GGGGGGGGCAGCAAGTCCGCAGTTCGGCGGATGGACGATGCAGATGCGACTCGCAATTCCAGACGCAGTGGACCCAAGCCCGTAGTACGTTGCTCCGTGGTTGGCTGCAATGCAGGCGAGAAGAGGAGTCGAGTAAGGTGATTGCGGAAGGAAAAGCAAGTTCGGGGCTGGTTTGATGAGTTAGCTAGCAGTAGATTTCTCGGGACCGAAGTAGACATGAACAGCGAATGGGGTTGCTGAAGGCAGTCGATGGACTGGAGATTGTGGCGTTGGAAGGGTTGGACGATGGGGAATTGAGCCTGAATGCCAAATGGTGCGCAGCCTGAGGGTGAAATGCACGGAACGAGCCAGGGTCCGCCATTGGCCAGATCACGGGACAAGCTCCATCGCAGTGATTTTTCTGAGGGATGAGGAAAACTGCGGACAGGGAGGGCCCTCAGCACGCTATGCCCGATTGGGAATCAAGGGCAGGCGGCGCTGTCGCATCCAGCAGCAGCGAAAGATTTATGTATGTATTTGACACGGGGCCAGATGGAGGGCACATGAAAACAGCGGAGTGGCCAACGGCATCTGTGCGGTACTCACCTAATCAGCGCTAGCAATACCGAGCCTGAGCGTACGCGATGAATTGAGTGTCGGAGGAAGAAATCCAAGTGCACCGGGTGGTTTCAAAACGGAAGGTACAGCCAGCAAGCAAGCTCCTGCCCTTGTCATATCAGCCCGGATCAACGTATTTCCGCGATTGTGCCTGCTCCTTGTCGTTCTCCAGCAAGCAAGCCGCGACCTTTACACGCGTTGCTTCTAACAGCAGAGGCTATATCTAACTCAGGTATGTTGTCAACGCCCTCTCTCCGAGTGCAGGAAGGCCTAAATTCATGGATGCTGACTGCACGGCATCAGGAGGTGCTCTGATCAGATTCAGTAAGATGGACCTTCTGGACACCGGTCTCATCATCAAGCCAACAATCTTCACTCTACATGAGTATTTCAGTTGCCTCCGGTATGGCCTGGAAATCCGATACGGCGATTGAAGTGGAAAGTTTAAGAAGGCCCTTGTTAATGTAGGAGCCTCGTTGGACAATGGATTGCTTTGATCGAACATCTCGCCAATGGGAACGTGACGTCCTCGACCTCCAGGTTCTATCATACGAATTTTGCATTGCAGTAGAGCTCTGAATGAAAACCCCGCAGCTCTGAACGTGTCAGAACGAAATCCACTGCGGCCCTACGACCTTGCCTGTAGCAAAGGCCACTCACTTGACGTGTTTACTGTGGCAGATGATGTTGCAGCCAAACAGGTTAAGGAAGATGCGGAATATGATATGTTAGGCAATTAATGACGGTACAGTCTACATGAAGCAGAAACGGGACAGCGTCGAGGAGCTGCCGTTCTGTCTACGGAAGACGTTTGGCAACTATTGCGACGAATATGTGGGAAACTCAAAAGAGCCTTGATTGGGCACACTCATATACGCGTGAAGAGTCTGCGACTGACTGCAAGGTTCACTCCCCAACATGATCTTCATTGCCAGCCCGATAGAAGAACCACACAAAATAAGGTATTTAAGGCTCTAAGGCTTTAAGCACACTCGCTGCAGCATCCCCTTCTGACTAGCTGCACGCACCCCAATGTGAACATTGTGGAGAAGCACCCTGCAGCTAGACCAAACATGGCGATAGTGCCACATTGTCTGACAAAAAAATCTGTGGGTAAGAGTTTCTTCTCCGATTTTTAGCCAGTCAATTCTTTGGGCTTTAGTTGGTCATTGGGCTTATGCTGTAAACAGAGCATTCGTCATGGTCTGAACACTCGTTTTTTGGCGCCAATGTTCGCAATCACTTCCGTAAACGGTATGGGGCGCAGAAAACCAACAGCTCGAATATCGTTGCCTGGATAAGCTTTTCGACAATGCGCATATTTCTACTGATCGCACTCCATAAGCCCCACAACCGCATCCTAAAGCTGAGTCGTAATACCTCGTTAAGTTGATGGCGATGGCCAGTCCACGGCACATAAGTAGCTGGTCCTGTCCCGGCCATGGTACAGCCAGCTCAACTGCCATTTTTTCAGTGTTACACAATGCTTCTTATAACGACTCCTCTCATTTTGTGGACACTGTGTACGTCGAGCCTTGCGCGCTCTGTGCCACCGAGAGACACTGCTCCATCCGTCTACCTCGAAGATGCCGATGTTAGGTTCACAGGAACCTTGTCAGTCGAGACCGAGTCGTTTCTAAATATCCGCTTTGGTCAAGACACAAGCGGCAAAAACCGTTTCATTCCCCCGAAACCATACACATATCCTGCCGGCTCGGTGGTGAATGCAAGTCAATCCGGTGCGGCATGTCCACAGTTACGGGACCCTGATCCAGACTTTCCCATCTTCGCAAACGTCACGAACATCTCTGAAGACTGCCTCACATTGCGAGTTGATCGACCAGTCAACACATCGCCGTTCTCGCGATTACCGGTGCTAGTCTTCATCTATGGCGGCGGCGACACGATTGGGCAAATATACGATCCCATTTACGATCCCACGGCTTTGGTTGCCAGCGCAACTCAAAAAGGCCTCCCAATCATCTACGTGGCAATGAACTACCGTCTAGGTATTTTTGGGTTTGCATCGTCACCGGCGTTAAATGAGACGGATTCGCTGAACTCGGGCCTTCTGGACCAACGTTTGGCCTTGTGGTGGATTCAAGACAACATTGCTGCCTTCGGCGGAGATCCCGACCAGGTCACCATTTTCGGTGAAAGTGACGGCGCGACGGGCGTGGCTCTGCAGATGACAGCGTATGGAGGCAAGGTTCCCAAAGCCCCTTTCCGCAGAGCTATCATGGAATCCGGCGGCGCCACCGCCGATACAGGCACGGCCACGAACGTGGCGGGAGAGCGCACAGCCCAAGTGACGGAATTGGTCAACTGCACCTCTTCAACCAGCAACAGCAGAGAGGAGCTTCGGTGTCTGCAAAAGCTACCCATGTTGAGTCTCTTGAATGCTGCGACCGACATCGAAGCCCAGGTCGCAGGAGCTGGCGGGTTCGACGTCTTCATCCCAACGTCGCCGTCGTCCTTCATTCCCGATAGCCCGTCGACGCTGCTCAAGACAGGCCAGTTTGTCAGGGATATCGACGTCATCTCTGGCTGGGCTGAAAATGACGGGGCTTTCTTCACCCCCACAGAGCTTTATTCCTCGTCCGACGTCGCTGCATTTCTGGCTGAAACCTACCCGAGCCTCACGAATTCCTCAATCGAGGAGGCCCTAGCGCTCTATCCCATCTCGCAGTTCTCCAACGACACTTCGGTCAATCCCCCAATTAATGCGCAGTACTTCCGTGCTAGTCAAATGATACGCGATTGCCAGATGACATGTGTGAGTCTGCTAACGGTACAGACCAACGCCCAGTACGCGAGCGAACCCGGTGTTTCGAGCTATCTGTACGCGCTGAACCAGACTGTGTTCACTGCATTCCTTGACGCGGAAGGTGTGTCATACTACGGAGTCCCTCATTTCAGCGACATCCCTTATATCTTCAACGAAGTTTCGACCGATCCAGATTTCGCTCCGATAGCCACGGCATCGGATGTTCAGCTCGCCTCGGAGATGAGCACCAGCTGGGCCTCGTTTGCGACCTTCGGCAATCCATCGCGCGTCAATGGCACCATCACTGGATGGTCGCAAGCCTTGCCGGCCGGCAGCGGCTCTTGGACGTCCTCTTATAACCTACAGGTCATTGGTGGTCCAGACAAACGACTCGCAAGCACCGGGTCTGAACCGCGAGATTACAATGAAGATATTGTGCAGCGTTGTGCTTTCTGGAACTCGCCAGAGGTGCTTGCTGCGATAGGCATATAGCCTCGGATTTTGTACATTATATTCAATTGCGAGTATATGGCTTTTGATATAGCCTCCCCGGGCTTTCATGTTGTTTATCTCCCACAGCAGTGTCAAAAGTCAAAATTTTATATGATGTAGACTGAAATTAATGATGCATCCACCCGTCACGAATCTCCATGTTCTCTTTCTCGTTACAGTCGATGTCGCACTGAAGATATACTACCTAGGTAATGTATCTGATCAGCATGGATCAGCGCAAAATGATGCATACCATGGCAATCAGAGCCAATGAGTCGTCTCTTTTCCCCACAGTCGCCAGCGATCTATTGATCCACTAGTTTCTCCGTCGTACCAGTCCCTCTCGGTTCACGTTCTCGGTTCTCGGTAGTTACTCCTTCTCATCTACTGTCAAGGTATCGTCTCTTAAGATATCTCTTAGTACATACAGAGAAGGCCTTATTCCAGACTCAAAAACTCTTCCATCAAAAGAAAAGAAATAGCAAGAATGGCCCACAAACCCCAGCAAGTTGCCGCTCTCATAGAGCAAACCCCTAACCCTAGGTCCCAAAACCCCAACTCTTTACCCTGGGACCCCAGCAACGACATCTTCCCACGACGCCACGAGCTGCCCACGTCGATTCCTCATCATGTCGGGGCCCCCAAAGATGCAGCTTGGGTGTGGGGTGAGAATGATTATGTATGTGTCTGTCTCTCCGGCATGAAGAAAGTATGCGCTGACTACCTAATAAAATGATAGAAAGGACGAATAAATCTGCTCACCGCGCAGCGCGTAGCAAACGCAGCAAAGAGTGAGATCAGAACTGGGCAGACGGTTCGATTGGAGTATGTAAACCCACTCAGGTCATTGATAGCACGCGTACCTAAGCGTCATGCTAATGAATGACTCAAGCCTCCCCTTACAAATCCCATCATCGCCGGCATTTGGCCGGAAATCGGCAACTCATCGAGTTGTTGATTTAGGGGGGATTGCTTATGATGATATCATTGACAATATGAACCCGCAAAGTGGGAGTCAGTGGGATGGATTTCGACATGTTTGTTCCCTCTGTATCTTCTCTTCTATCGCATACTGAGTGAGGAATGGTTAGTTCGCGCATGTCAAGAGTGGCTTGTTTTACAACGGGGTTGGTGAAACATTCCTATGAGCAAGGCTCATCATGACTGATATAAAAACAGACAAAAACATCCGACATCGTCGCCCCAGACGCCCCAGATTCCAAATGTAGCATTCACCACTGGTCCTCCAGCTCGTCTACCGTCAGCCATGACCACACAACAACAACAACAGGAGGAATATCCGGCCGCGCCATTTTGCTCGACTACTGGAGTTATGCGGAGTCCACGCCGGGAAAGTTATATGACCCATATACCGGCCACGCCATTCCATTCAGCGACCTGCAAGCCTGCGCTGCTGCGCAAGGAATCAACCTCCTACCGGCCCGCGACGGGGGCGATGTCCAAGTTGGCGACATCCTCCTCATCAGATCCGGATGGGTATCGCGATACCATTCACTGACGGACGAGCAGCGACACAAAGCCGCTTCTAGACATGTGCATGTATTTGCTTCCCAGGTGACGGGGAAAGAGGAAGTCCAAGAATGGGCCGGGATCAAACAAGAACAAGCGACCCTCGACTGGCTACATGACTGCTACTTCTCTGCTGTGGCCGGTGACGCGCCCAGTTTTGAGCGCTGGCCAAGCCAGGTGGACTGGTTGTTTCATGAGTATGTGCTTGCGTTGTGGGGGATGCCGCTGGGCGAAATGTGGGATTTGGAGGAGTTGGCGGCGCTGTGTAGGAGGGAGAAAAGATGGACTTTCTTTTTGTCGAGTGCGCCGGATGTGGTTTATGGTTTGTCGTTATCTCTTTCTTATTGATGGAACTTGCGTATGCTAACGTTGCTGTTGTTCGTATAGGAGGTGTAGGCTCGCATCCGAATGCGACGGCGATTTTCTAAGTTGACGTTTTACGGATTTTATCATCACGAGAACCTACTATAAATAGACAGGTCCAGGGAATAATTGAGCCTAAAAAAGTAGAAATCTTGATTACATAAAGGAGAAATACTCCTGCATACAATCAAAATAGTCATCAAAAAAATAAAAATAAAATAAAAAACCTCCATCATTATCATCGTGAAATCCGCTCAAGTCGATAAATCACAGAGAAACGAAACCAAATGGGGATTGTAAAAAAAAGGAATTGTATCATTCATGAGCCATACTCGTGGAACAGAAGAAGAGGCATAAGCAATTCAGAAGATATCCTCCGGCCAAGAAAACTCCTTCGACGGAACTCTCGGCTTCAAAACAGCTTTCATCCCCCTCGTAGTAATCTTACTACTACCATTATCTCCTGACAACAACTCCTGCGGAACGGGTGGGACAGGCGGGATATTCTCGTCGTCGTCACCATAATAAGTCCGTCCTCTTTTCTTTTGCGCGGATGATGTAGGTGTAGATGACGCGTTGTTTCCTTCTTGTTCCTGAAGATGATTACTGGTTGTTTTCTCGTCTTTTTTGCTATCGCTGTTGTTCTTAATCGCACTTTGGTTGGCTACCTGGCGCAAATTGCGAGACGACTGCTTGGCTTTCAGACGTTGACTCGCCTTGGTCGTCAAACTGGAGGCTCGCTTGTCTCGCGTTGATCGAAGTTTATTACGCACACGTTTAGCTGCTGTGGTGCTTCTAGGGGAGTTGTCATCGTATGCCTTACCGCAGTCGGCGTCATAAACTTCACAATCCATATCATCATCGACGTTGTGATGCATCATATTGACCTCAGTTTCAGAGTCATCTGCAGCTACGGCCGCAATCGGTTGTCTACGCTTGCGTGACAGGCTGTCAACAGGTGGCCACATCGCACTCTTGTGGCTAGCTCCTCGCTTTATGGTATCAGACTCTGTCTCAGTCTCGAAGGGATTGTGAACATGCCCGTCGTCGAGAAGCCTCTCTGAGAGAATGGTAGGCAGAGCGCTAGGCCGACTGTGCTCGTCATCGACACAGATAGTCGGTATTGTCGGTAGATGTTGACAATGATTTTCGTCGGCCAAGTCAGACAAGTCGACGAATTCTCGCAGCTCTCGTCGAGCTCGCAGTAACTTGTCTTCCAGATTGCTGACTCTTTTCAGCAATTTGGCCTGTCTATTCAGCTCTTTGCGCGACTGTCGTCGCTCCATATTTCGATGTGAGTTGTGGTTGTGCTCGTCCTCTCGGTCAGACGGCGGTATGCCCATAGGAGACGCATCACGAAATCGTATCGCCGGGATGCTAAGGTTTGAGGTGCGCTTCCGCAATTCAGAGAAAGATTTGAACTTTGAAACCCCCTTCTCGGCACATAAAGGAGTGAGCGCTTCTTCCCTGGCTCCAGGCGCAGCAACAAGAGTATCGTCCTGTGAGATCCGGCTCTCATTGGCTACCTTGTAGCCCATCTTCTCTTGAATCGCTTTCCATGTTTCATCGGCGATGCCAGCATCAACTTTGTTGTTGCTGTTGTAATTAAAGTTGGTATTGGCATAGGAACAAGTAGTACCCGTGCCCTTGTAGCCAGACTTTTTCAATTCAGCATAGGCCTGCTCTGCCTTGATCTGTCTTTGCTTCATGATTTCCTTCTGTGACTTGGCACCACCGGCGTCTTGCGAGTTTCTCCAAAGCTCGGGTTTGTTGGCACCGCGGGATCCAAAGGGATGAAAAGCTGAGGCTATAGCCTTCCCAAACCGGAATATTCCTGACGATCTTTTCTCTAGAGTCTTCTTCTCTCCACCCGCAGCGGCGTCAGAATGTGACAGGTTATATCCCTGGTTCTGGTCCTGAATCTGATCGTCCCGAAAGAAAATGCTTGGCGGCTTCTCGCTAACTCGATCATTCATACTTCCTTCGATGAATCTTGAGCGTCGAATGCGCAGCACCGGCGCGGCGGATCTTGCACGTGGTGATGCCGAATTCGTGCCTTTGGTTTTTGCTTTTGTCTTTGTAGGCGTTGGGGTGGGCGTTGGGGTGGCCCTTCGTGCACTCAGATCGATCTTCATGCCATTCTCATCGTATGCAATCTCATTTTGCAGCGGCCAGCCATTCGATCTCCCACGCTTAGCCGAATGCACTTGTTCTGCTCCAGCAGCAACAACAGCAGCATCCCCTTCTGTCTCCGTCTCCGTCTTTGCCACTGTGCTCTGCTGCTGGTGCTGCTCGACATCTGACTCCTCATCCGCATCATCGAATCTTCCTGACATGTCAGAAGTGGCGTCTGTCGACTCTGAATCTGACAATTCTTCGTCTGGCGACAATTTGCGCTTGTGATGGCCCAAACTATTGGGGGCAGCCATCATGCTAAAACTACGGCTGTCGTACGTATCTGTGTCGGAAAGAAGATCATCGGCGGTATTGTGGCTGTCATCGAGCACGAGCGATTTCTGAAGCAGCGGGTCAGCCTGGAGCGGGTCGAATTGGAGCTCGACGTCAATGTATGGAAGCGTGTGATGTGGATGCTGATGAGTCCGTGATTAGTATGATATATCACTTAAAATTGATAACATGAAAATGACATGGCATATTTGATCGGGAGGGGAAAGAAAAAAAAAAAAAAAAACAAACCTCCGCAGCATCCAAGTGTTGTCTTTCCATGGCAAGGTAAGAGAAGGGTGCTTTGGTTGCGACTTACCAATATGAACAGAGAAGAGAAAAGGGAAAAGGAACGGAAACAAAGGAACGGAAAGCGTCTCTCGTCAGGAAATTAAAAGAATTAAGGCCAGAATGTACAAAGAATCGAGAATGAACAAAACAATACGGATAATATGAAGGGATGAGAGGATGGTATGGGATGGTTTTGTGTTTGTTTACATTTGCCGATAAGATAACCCGGTCACGAGACCGGCAACGGAGCCCTAAGTCATCACGGCATGCACCGTTTATTTACCTCTTGCATACTCCCCAATGAGTGAATAACTGAAATATATACGATGTACAACATATAAATATATTTATAAATATCTGTGTAGGCCAATAGATAGTGAGTCCAACTACCTGACTCTTTTGCTCTACTATACATCTCTCTTTTCTCCCTTCATACCAACCCGAAACACCCGCATAACTAGTACGTAGATAGTGTTCTACGCAACTCAAAATCTCAACCATAAAATGAGTAATATTGTATATAGCTAGTATATGCAACTGTCGCAAGTCAATCAATCACAGATAGACAAGATAGGATGGCATGAAATGCATGCATGCTTTGATACTGAATGCCCATGTAGAGAAAAAGATGACAGGAAGAAAGATATGCAAGACAATACCTTCTTTAGAGGAAAATGAGAATGAAATTGAAAGGAATCAAAAATCACACACAGAAGATATGTGAAAAGCAAAGAAGCCAACAACAGCAGCAAACTGAACCAAAGCGTTGTCACATAAGAAATGATTTCTCGTACAAGAGAAGAAAGAAGATAGCAGAGGGAATGTAGAAGAATAGAGGGGGAAAAAAATGGGGGAAAAAAAATATGCCGACAAGGCGAGTCATACTGCTTGCTATGCAGTGTATAATGTATAAGAAAGGTAACCACGCAGAAATTGAAGAAAAATGAAGCAGACTCCATAAACATGTACAGGAGAAGAAGTTGTGCCAACACAAAAAGGTTTCTTACAAAACAAACAATTCGATATCAGTAAAACATGATTGAGAACGAATTTGATGGTTTAGTTAGGAGACATCAAGGCAAGTAGCAGTCCACATGACATATCCTAAATCCTGAAACCAAGATCCATTCCAAAACTTGAATAGTAAAAAAGGAAAATAAACAACAAGCACCATCGTAGTCTCTGGTATATTCCGTTGATAAAAGTAGAAATGGGGAGAACAAAGAAAACAATACACCGTTTTTCCCTGTCATAATTCGATATACTCTATATATATATATATCAAACTGCAAGCTGGAGCTTGCTAGACATCCTGCCGTCTGCACGTCGATATTCCATCTGTGGACGGTCCCATTGTGGTTCTTCTACTTCGAGCGCTCCACGTTTCGTCATGGGTCCGGTAGGAGTAGGACCACTGCTATGGTTGTTGATGTTGACTCCGGCGTAATCATTCTCCGCCGAACGGACACTCTTGTGATGTGCAATAGCGTCGTAACTGCCAAACGAGTCCTCGTGGGATCTTTTTGCGAGCGAAGTCTCAATTGGGTAATAAGACGGTCTCCGTTGATGCAGGTTATCAGAAGGATGCTGCGAGGAAGAATGTGGCGGCGGAGGAGGAACGGAAGATGCAAATGAACTGATGGGCGGGAGCATGATTGACGAGGACGGCGTGCGCGAGCGCTGGGGTGCAGTTTGTGATGTCGGTGTTGATGCTGCTGAATGGTAGTTTTCCGAAGACGGAGTGCCCACAGCTGGTTCCACTGGTGCTGGGTTTAGGATGGATGGCAGGTTGTGAGAACGCGTAGGATATGATATTTGGACCGACTCATGCTCTGATGAGCTTGACGGATGGCGGGAGTGCGGCAATGAAGCGTGCGATGAATAGGATTTTGGTGTAGAAGAACCAGGAGTATAAGCACGATGTGGAGGTGGAGGTGGTGCAGCTGGCAATGGTGGAGCTTGGTATGATGTTGGTGTAGATCCAAATGTCAGATATCCAGGTGCACCTGAAGACAAAGTAGACGGAGGCGGTGGTGGGGGGGCAGGATGAGAGTGCTGGTATGGACTTGGTGCCACTGGTGGCGGCGGTGGTACTGGGTGATGAGTGTGGTATGCAGAGTACTCATGGCTAGAAGAATCTCGACGCGGCGTCTGTGGATAAGCATACGGTGGCTCAACTGCGCTGGCCGTGCTGGCCGACCGAGGGCGCTCAACCGGTGTGGGAGTGGCGTAACGCGATGATGACCGGCCGTAACGGTCTTCATCATATTCCCCATAGTCCTTGCTGCTCTTCTCACCACGTCTTCTCATACGTACATCACGACGAATACGCACACGGCAGCCTTGTTCGGCGACAACCCGACTGAGCGAAGTGCTGGTAGCCAGTCCTGGGAACTTCTTTGCACTATACACCTGAAAGGGGGCGGATTTGACCTCCAGTCGGAAGTTTAAGAACGACTTTGGTGCCGTGGGTTTGCCGGAGGAGGCCTGGCTTTGTGGAGAGGGAAGAGGAGTGTCCTTGTCGGCATCCTTTGCGTCCTTCACTTCTTCATACAGGTTGAAGTTGAGGCGGTAGAAACCTTCGTGACGAACGGACAAGTCGGGGAAGATGAAATAGCCGGCTTGAGCAGGCCGGTCCAAGTAAGCAATGCCTGCAACTGGTACGCCAGTAAGCACAGGGCAGTTGGGAGCCTGACCGGAAACACGACCTTGGGCGATAGGCCGCGCATTCTCCAACGTCGCGAAGAGGAAGAAGTTGGCATTGTAAGCAAAGGTGATGTCGGTCTTGCTCATGTCATTGTCAACATCGGATTCGTAAACACGCAACTCAACCACCGGGGGAGGATCAACAGGGCGACGGTCGGCAGACGCTGTAGAAAATGTTAGCAATGAGTCCTTGTCTCTGGGGTGTGTTGATTTCCTTACACTTTGCACCCGCACCACAGGCACGAGCTCTTTCAGGTTGCTGGATAACCTTCAAGTTGTAGGTTATCCTCTTTCCTTCTCGGCTGATACGGCTGAACGAGTGTTCAGTCTCGTTAACCGGCGTCAAGAGCCCTGGTCTCGACGCAGCTGTCATCTTGATCTTATTGTTCAAAGCCACGTTGTTAGAAGACATGGTTTCAGAGCCCGATCGCCTGTAGGCTTTTGTCGCGATGAGATGAGCGCGAGAAGGGAGCGAAGGGACGTCGGAGCGAGTATGTGGCACGGTAAGTATAATCGAGCCTGGCACTGCCTTGCACTACCGTGATTCCATACGTTCTTGTGTTTTCCCTCGAGTCCAAGTTCCGTCCGAACGGTTTGTCTTTGTGTCTGCGGATGACGATGCGATGTTGTCGACAGGCCTCTCCCCTAATTTCTGTATAACTTCTTGTTCTCCCCTGTTTTGCTTTCCCACTTCCACTCTTGGTTTCCTTCCTCTCTTTCTCTCACTCTCTCACTTCTCACCACCGATATCCCGCCAATGCAGGATGGGAACAGTGACTGTGTCCAAGACGAAGGCACATGGGATGGATGGGAAGAAGAGTAGTCGGAAGAAGCTAAGTCGCAGACTGCATGGCGGAGTGGTAGCAGCAAGGCTAGTTGCAGAAGGAGATCGTTCGTCAGAGTCGTATAACTAACTAGCAACATGGTAGGTAACGCACGGAGTCTTTGCAGATTGCAAGACCGAGCCGAGGGCACGGACAGACTAGTACGTGTGTAATTACAAGACGAAGAAACGCCTTGGCCCAGGGTGAGGTTGACTGGTGGTGGGTCCACCTAGCGTGTGTAATAATGTATGTATTGTGTATTTATGCATGGCCCTATGTCCTTTCGAATATTGGGGACGAGGCTACGTATGTACGTATCATATGCTCCGGGCCGAGTCTGAATAATATACGATAGTCTGTCAATGCATTCAATAAGTCTCCGTTTAGGTACTGAGCCATGGGTTGTGAAGATCGTCCCAGAGGGCAAAGATTGCAGAGGTTGTAAATAGTACTGGAGACCTACGGAGCAGGCGGTCCCGGCATGAGGGCGCCGGGGAGACAATGCAGCCGGATCAGGCGATTGGCTGCAGACGACCCGCCTTCCTCAGCGGGGAGCCCCACCCATCCTTTCTGTTCTTCTACAAGGCCCTGTCCGGAGACGAGCCAATCAAAGTGCAGAACAGCCGGACAGCCAGTGGGACTGGCCGTTCAGGGGTGGAGAGAGGGGCAGGCCTTCCCTTATACGGCACTGGGTCTGCTGAGGTACCAGCTTTTGCAAGAAGAAAAGCAAACCTTATAACGGGTGCTTCCTGAATCCTGCGACGTACTACGGAGTAGACCGTCCTATCATCCTGAAGAACGAAGGGCAGGGACTCGGCGTTCCCGCAGGATTAGCTTATACGTAGTCCTAAGTCTAGCAAATGGTGCAGGATTAGTGGGCTAGCCACATTTTCATAAAATTGACAGAAAATCTACGCATTCATGTCCATCGAGGAAATACTACGGACTACTCCTTTGGCATGTTAGTATGGAGATCTTTCAAATCTAAACTGTAAGGCAAAGGCATGTGCTTGGGTTTATAAACGAAGTGCATACGCTCTTGATTCTACCACGCGTCGCACGGAGTACATAAAATCATCAGAATCAGAAGAAGCAACTTCAAGTTTAATGTTTCAACGTATTGACTTTTTAGTGAAGAACTAGTAGTATTTATCCGTACACAACGGTACGGCAAGATCGTCAGGCTAAGCGAGGCCGGGTGGTGCTCCCAGCCCGTCGTCACGGGTCAGTTGACGCAAGCTGATTGGGCCAAACCTTCCGTCTCGAAGGGCCAACTTCCGGAAACGGAAAGCGCTTGGTCCAGTCATGTGTAAGTCTGGCTGTCAGCGTCGTACACCGTACCGCTAACCCCGATCTAGCCTGGTCTAGCGGGAAATTTCTCCTCAGGTTGTCTTAGTCAGTCTGGACGGAAGCACTGACTCGTTGCGCTCCCATATTCATATTCCCAGGCGTTCGGGTCTGCGGCGTGTCCGAGCGGCGAGCGCCATCACGGGTTTTCTTCAGCCTATTAGTATTCCAGAATCCAGCCATCTCGGCGCTGTCTCGGCCATAGTCATCGTTAACTAACCACTGAGAAGCAGCATCTACCCGGTGGGAGATTATTCTCCCTTTCCTCATTTCCCCTGCAACAGAGCTACATCCGGCTCCCGTATATGTACGGAGGGATGGGCTTAAGTCGGTACCCGAGCAGCGAGCACGGTAGCAAATCAGTGAATTGAGAAGAGGGAAATTCTCCGAGTTGCTGCATCGCGGGAAATGCTGGTGGAGTCTAAGCAGCGTTGCACTGTGATAGTCGATACGGTTACACCTTAAAGCACAAACTTCCAGGCAAAGTTTAAGCGGGACGAATGCGCGGCGATTACGTATAAAGTTAGGTTGTGGGATGCAGGGCAGGATTTTGTGATGGATTGATTTTTCGACTTTCTTTTTTCCTCTCTTTTTCTTCTCTCAATGCTACGTAGCACTGTACGATCAACAATAGAGACAGAGGGCCCGAAGGAAAAAAGCAAAGAAGGCCCAAGAAAAGTCTCAAAAATGAGAGGTCAACACGCACTAACTGTAAACGGTCTAGCTGGGTACGTCGTGCGTCACTTTGGTACTACCTAACTAGCCTTTTGCCGTTAGTGGGCTAGTGAGCGGAGCACCCGAGAGTTTATTAAATTGGCCACTAAATCGAGATAACCCAAACTTTAATACTGCGCTAGTCTACATTCATCATCGAACTCGACATCATTCCTCTGCGCTTCTGAAGTAGACCTTGTTTTTTACTGGTTTCTTATTTGTCCCTGTGATGCCTGCGACCCTGCAGTGGCCACTAGCCATGGCCACGCGGAAATCCGTTTCTTCTCATGTCTTTTTCGACTGCACTTTGCTATCGGTCAGACCAGATTGCTCATCGATTTCTGTAGAACTGAAAATTAGCAATATTGAGGTTGACTACACCGCACACTTGACCAAAAGATGAGATTTTTATTTTTGGTAAATTATGCACGGAGTCCGGGCTACATAACGTATCAGAAAAGAATCAGGAATGATCCACTATTTCCCATACAGTCAGCATCGCTGTGCATGGAAGACAGTTCCACGGTTACTCTTTACCAGAATCAGGATTAATGCGTGCTTAGCTCCAACATTTACAAGTGATATCGCTTCTGAGTACTCTGCCCTATATTTATGATGGAGATCCAATAGCCATTCTACCTGCAGCCAGTTTATCAAAATTCTTCGGCATTGCCTAACTTTTGAGGGGATGACTTTAGGATCTATATCTATGTCGCATAATATTCAAATAGATTGATTAACTGAATATTCAATTCGACGGATCGCTAGATCTGTGGACAAAGTCATTGACATTATTTATTGTCATTGTCATTGTCATTGTCATTGTCATTGTCATTGTCATTGTCATTGTCATTGTCATTGTCAAATTATTATCGCGGTGGCTAAATGTAAACTCCCCGCGACCCTGAAGTCTAAATTTTACTTGATAAATAGCTTCCTTGCTACGCATCTCTCTCAGTTATGATCAAAGATTTCAACGGTGGCGTTTTAATACATATATCCGCTAGGTAGATATATACTCCGTACGATTGTACGAATAGAATCTGTGTATCACCGTATCGCGGAATAAAATACCGGATGATCGGCCTGACACATACGAACGCGCTAGTCCGTTTCAAGTGTATTCCATTTTCGGCCAGGTGCGTACAACGTCTAACCCTGTGGCCAATGATATGCCGTCAAACAAGATGCCATCGCATGACTGAGCATCAAACGTTCTGTCTATGTTTCTACTTAATATATATCGTCAGTAACATCCTATGCCAGACTTTGTCCCCACACCTCTACCTTGAGACTTGGTGCTACGTTTTCTTCATCAGGTCGCACTCGTATACCTACTGGGCCCTGGCTCGGATAGAATAAAGAAATCTTGTTAGTAAATAAATACCTTATGCAAGACATCAGGTCAGCCCTGTCGTTTTCTAGGGACCCATGACTCTGGCTTAGGCTCGAGGCTGAGGGGTATGTGTGGTTTACTACCTATGGACGGAGTATGGAGTATAATATGTGACTACGCACTTAGAAGGCCTGTCCTTGTCCTTGCAGACCGTTATTCCGGCACATCGGTTGATGGGCCCAACGTTGACGTTGTCCATGGCCCAGTACGACGACCTCAATTACTCCGTAGCTTTTGTATAATTATGGGTGGAAGTGGGTTACGTTACGTACGTGCTTTATATCTGACGCAAGCACATGCCTAAACGGTTTTCTTGTCCAAAGCCCGACTGACCCGCTGCCGTTTAAAAACTTGAGGCTTATTTCTAGATCCACTCACCTTATGAAGTGGATAAGTAACTGCTCCGACTAACAGCGGTCTCACACAGACCTCTATATCTAGGGACTCATATTACTCCATAATCCATTTATTAAGCCTCGCACAACGTTTGCACCATAGCAAACCAAGCTATAGTTGATGCAGTGGCAAAAGCATAAAGTAAACCTTATGATAAATATTGCGAATTGGCCCCCTACCCTGCAGTGACATGAAAAGATGATCTATCACAGGGTGCTCTTTGCCCAAGCTGATAGTGCTACGTAATCGCAACTATAAACTCCACGCCGGGAACCGTTTATAATTGTCCGTGCATTTGATTTCATTTATATACTTAGGTAGGTAAAAGGAAATTCTAGTCAAGTCTGACTACGGAGTCGGAGAGTGTCCTCGTCCCGGTGTTAAATAGCGATTGACACAAACAAGTTGTAAGTTATAACCCCCGAGTAACTAGACTGATCACATATCAAGAGCTTTAGCCTTGGAAAGCCTTTTAAAGTTTACAGGGCAGTCGCCTAGTTACTTCAATTAAGTCGGTAGCTTCAGCTGACACTAGCATGGCAGCCTGGAGCACGAGCACTATCTGGGCTTTGTACCAGACCCTGAGCTCGCATAGAATGCATACCTAGGTAACTTGATCCACGGATATATCTACATTCATGCACGGAGTAGAACTATATCATATACACCGGGCCAACTAGGTACATGACTCAGTTGCATCGTTCAGCTGCAAGGCTGTGCCCAGCCGCTGGAATCTCGATTTAGTCCTACACGGTCAGATCCTGGAGGCTGGTAATACATGTGCACAATGTGACGAGCGAATAAATATATTCTCCGATGTTCGTATTCAATGCATCCATGCATCCTGCGAATGACAAATCATTGCGCAAAACGGTATCGAGGTAACATACCTGTAAAAAATCTCAGTTCATGCAATTCCATCATAAGTTCTCCCGTTTCCATATTACATATGCAGCTGCATTGCATTGCGTCGAGAGGAGACCAGATACCGCGCATAGCCGTCTGTATGATTGATAGGTAGATGTTTGATACGCATGATGCAGCGATCGATGATCATGAGCTGTATACGCGCTATCCGTCAAGTACGTAGCTGATCACTTCCAGAGCTCCTTTCTTTATGCAGTTAGGCTAGGCAATGTGAGCAGATTTGTTTTGCGACGTCCTACGGAGTGCCTAAATAGGTAAAGATACCAGATCGATGTCTCGGTTAGTAGGTGCTAGGTATATGACTGATCAATTTTCGCCATATGGCAGACGTTGACAGACATGATTCAAAATTGGGCAATGCTTATTATCGATGCACCTTTGTTTATGGTTTCGTTGGTTGGTTGATTGCTTTCTTGATCTGGGATAACCCTAATCTGGACTCTGCTTCCGAATCAAATCAAATATACGAAATACGATGGCACTGTCCTCCTCTGATGCTCTCGGCAAATTAATAAATTCCAAAAATATATTGGCCTCGAACAGTCTATTGTACCCTATATATATGTAACTTGGTCGGAAACATGTTGTAGATCAATTATTATCGACCGCGTAGTGTTATGTAGCTCATTACTTAGCAGGGGATAAAACTCTTAGTTATATGCAATGGTCCTTCTAGTTATTAATTCCGTAGACACTAAGACTTAATATTAATTACATTTTCCCTTGGATAGTAAATAACCTTTAACCTTGCAACTAGAACGGCTCGATACATCCATCCCTGCGCATATGTATCTTGACAGCTGTCAGCGCCTGTGATAAATCATTATAGTCTGGGTTTTGGTCTTTTGTGAAAGGTAAACATCCAGTTCTGGCACCCTTTTACTAGTATTATATTAATGCTACGTGTTATTACTAGGTTAGAAATCCTCCCGGATCCCTCTTCCCGGATCCGCGGACGGTTGAATACGACGTTTCCCTAGTAAACACGGAGTTTTATCCTTGTTAATGTTAGGTTATAATAGCCAGTTGGCTCTGCTCCAGTACCATGCCAGGGTCTTGCACATTGGAAGATACGTTGATTAGAATGCAGTCGTAGTCGATACCTGTTCGATGTAGATTTTCAACGGCTTTCTTCGATCCTAGAATTATACCCATGGCATTCTAGGTAATCTCCTTACCCTTGCGACTGTTGATCTAGTTAGTCGGTTATCCAGGGTCGTAGTTATAGACTTGTAATTGAAAATAAACAACGTCTACACTTAGTTACATTACACCCTAGCTAGGTAGTGAACTAACAACTAGTTTATGGTCTATCTTGATACCCAAACAATTTACCTACATACGAGCAATGTTAGACCCTTGCGCCCAACGTCTTTGACAGTTTAATACCAACCATCCGTAAAGTGTCCCGATACTATACTAGTCACTAACTATGTGGCCGAACTCGTGCCCATGCCACTGGAAGACTGAAGCATCTACTAGCTTACTAGCCAGCTAGGTGTCTACCTTTTTTGGATTCATGCATAGCCCATAGACCACGGTGCATAGTTTTGGACTCTTTGATAGGTGTTCATGAGTTTAGTTTCAATCCAAGGATAACTAGATATAGGCAGTTTGCCGCATCAGGCGCCGGAAGAGGCAAGGTATTAACTTAATAAACCAGTGGCTTCAGTGAGTTATATATCTTCTGCAAGTACGTAGTACATAACGTAACTATAGGTAAATCGACGGAATGACTTCCGAGTTCTGTCTTGTGTTTTTTTTTTAACCGAGATTACCAAGGAGTTCATTTCTAACATACTGTCAAGTAGAAACATACAAGGGTGACAACAGAGAGAGGGGCGTATATACGTACTACGTATACGGAGTATAAAATTCAAGAATGCTATCATCTTTCTTTATCAACCCCCTTGCAGGATTGAATGTATCGGTACGTATACTGTACGGAGTGCATGCATACATTGAAAGACGATTTCGGTGCCATGGCAAATGGCGAAGTCGGATGTGCATGTTTGATTGGAATGATCTTGTGTTATGAAACAGACCAGCCAGTTACTGGCGTGCGTATATCAATATTTAGTATGTGGTAAATATGTATTGAGTATGTGTCTCAAGGTAGGGCATTTCCCTTGACAGGTGATGTATCAGAAACTGGTCGATGCTTGGATATATCTTCTGCCCTCGTGCTGCCGGGCACCGCTCCCGCGCGCATGCCTGGATACCATGGTCCATTTGTATGGGGTTTCCTTGCTTGAGAAAGTGCATCAGATAAGAACATTGGAAATGCCGAGGACGTACATGTCAATCAGCAAGGGGGCTATGGCTGTTCCAAGTCCATGGTGCTGATGAGATGGCTATAGATCAATCACAATATGCACAAGATCAATCCATCCGTAGTACCTAAGACGCAATGCTTGTGCATATTCTTGTTTGAGTTGACATATTTGGAATGATACTGCTCCAAATTAGCAAGTACCATGCATTGCGATGTCGTGGGAGAGTGGAAAAGAGTATACCACAGGCCTTCAATATTACTTGTGAAAGTGAATAGGGTGAAGCCTATATGACCAATATCCTCAGCTGTGCTGGCAAAGAATCAGAATCACGATCAATCACTAATTATACACGGCGTATAGTGGGTGTATAGTTAGTTGACTGATAACTAATTAGTAATACTTGACGCTGATTGGCGGCGCGCGGCGCGTCGCGATACGCAACGACATCAGCCAAAAAGAGAGTTGTAACATAAAAATGAAAAACCCAATCCATGAATTCTCGAGAATAAATCTATGGATCTCCTAACCATCCTGCCCACCTTCGTCATAAAACCATACACGCATATTCTCCCCTCGCTAGAAAGAAGAAACATCTCGACCGTCGACCTGATAACCCTCGACTATCTCGAAATCGCGAAACGAGCACACGTCCCCCCCGCCGACGTTCGCCGTTTGTGTGCTGATGTCGTTGCCGCGCTACATGGCGATTTGGACTTGCAGGTGACGAGTGATAGCGATAGAAAAAACAAGGACGAAGGACAAGAGGCAGATAGCAAGAAAGATGCCCGAGCAGAAAGAGGGCTGGATCTTGCGCGGTGGAATACTGTCACCACCCTGGACCCCGCGCTAGACAAGCTTCTGGGCGGCGGTATACCGACAGGTTATCTGACCGAAGTCACTGGCGAGAGGTGTGTTCTAGTCTACTGGAGGAGAAGAAAGGAGGGGGAAAGAATCAAATAACTGATCTGTTATCAGCGGAAGTGGAAAAACGCAATTCCTTCTCAACCTCCTCCTCGCCGCGCAACTCCCTGCCCCAAAAGGACTCGGTAAAAGAGCCATCTACATATCGACCGAGGCACCACTATCAACACCACGACTGTCCCAGATCCTACAAACCCACCCTTTTCTATCCCAACTGCCCGCAAACGAGACCCCCTCTTTGGACAACGTTCTCTCCATCACAGCCGTAGATCTGGAAACACAAGACCATATACTCAACTATCAGCTTCCAGTTGCAATATCGCGGTTCAATGTTGGTTTGGTAGCGATAGACTCGATTGCTGCCAACTACCGTGCCGAACATGCCTCGAACAGTATGCAGGGTCTGTCAGCGCGCTCTGGCGAATTGGCCAGGCTGGGACATATGCTGCGCAATCTGGCTGTCAGGGAGGATGTGGCGATAGTTGTTGCGAATCAGGTCTCGGACAGATTCGATAATAGTATGCTGGCAGTGGATACACGCTTCTCACGGAGCAGTCAAACATCACTCTTAAATCGCGCAACACATAACAGCAACAACAAAACAATCGGGGAAGGGAATGACTTCCCATCCTCATCCCCAGCCCTATCGTCCACGCCTTCCTCACAACTGCCCGCTGATGATGACGCATTCGTGTTCGATGGCGCATATATTGTCGGCCACCATCCCGTGCGGAACGAAACCCTGAGTCTCGCGCACCAGCAGAAGTTTTTCACTGGCTGGGGCGACGAGGATGGTGGTTTTTTTGAATCGCAACAGAAAACCCCTGCATTGGGGTTTGTGTGGTCTACGCAAATCGCGTGTCGCATTGCATTGAAAAAGGACGACGAGAGTGCTGATAATCCTTTCCGTATATCAGCGTTATCCACGCAGCCATCATTTCAAGTTTCGCACCCACAAGGAGAAGGAAATGCAGTTGACAAGGAAAATAATCATTCGACCGAGATAAAATCTGCAGGAGAAGTTTCGCTTCAGTCATCTCCCTCCCAAAACAAGGGAAGCAATACCCCAACGCATCATGAAGAGAAAGACCCTTCTCTTCCTCTAACCAAGGCCCCAAGCAAAACACCAACAAAAGTAGCAGAACGACGAACCAAACGCCGGATCAAACTCGTCTTTGCGCCGTGGACATCAGGCATTGTGCACAATGATCAGCGTGACACTGGTAGCAACGAAATAGAATTTGAGATATGGAAGGGCGGGATACGCAGTCTTGCAAATAAACCCTAATCAATTAATCAATAATCATGATAAGGAAAGAAAAATCAGAAATAAAGACAGGATAGCGGTGAGATGTTTAGTGTTTATATAAACATGAGATGTATATATAGTAGGTGCTCAGTACATATGTATACACAAACATACAGACATGACTACCTAGGATCTTCAGAATTAACCTTGGAAGATGCAGTACTAGTAACTATGCATAGATAAACCTCGGATGTAAATAGAACGAAACCAAGTTTTAAGTATTTGTGGATAATGAATATGTATTTAGAGTTTCATCCACATCAAGCCCCCCGCATTTTATTAGGCCCATTCATGTTCTAGATGAGGGAATCAATGCCAAACCACTTTCTCTAAAAAAAAACGGAACCGGACTTGATGGGACCATTAATCATATTAAAAAGAAGAGAAGAGAAAAGAAAAGGCAAAATATCGCATTACATCCCCAGAACGCCCTGGAAATCAAGCGGCGGATCAGCTTACTCCCAAAAAAGCCATAACAATAACAGCAATCATATCTACAGATTCGAGTAATGCACGCCAGTTCTTAGACGAATTTTATCTCTTGAAAAGCCACAACGCAAATATGGCACAAAGAAAACAGCAAAGAGCCAGTATTGTCTATGATGCTGGCTTGGGCAGCTTCGCAGGTGGCAGGCCCACGCCGTTGATGTTGCGGAAGAACATTACGCCCTTGCTCTCGCCCTGGGCTCCTTCATTAGGCTCAACCCACTGGCAGGTACGCGCGCTAGTCCACATAGCCTTGATGAAGCCAAGAGGACCTGTGTGTGCTTCGGTGCGGTAGTGCTTGCCCATCACCTTCTTGATAGCCTCGGTTGCTTCGTCCGCGTGGTAGAACGGAATGGTGCTGACATAGTGATGGCATACGTGAGTCTCAATAATTCCATGGAGCAATTGACGACCAATGAACCCGAATTCGCGGTCAATTGTCGCTGCTGCACCACGTGTGAAGTTCCAGGTCTCGTTGTCGTAGTGAGGCAGGGTGGGATCGGTGTGTTGCAAGTACGTGATGGCCACTGTTATAACCGTAAGTAAACATGCAACAAACTAATCTGACAAAGATTCTTCTACTTACCCAGCCAGTGGTTAACCCAGAGATAAGGCACACCGTACCACACAAGCAGATTGAGCCAGCCGAAAGTGGATCCAAGATAATACAGACCAGCACCAACGAGGCCCAATCCCAAGTCACTGAGGAGGATGAGCTTGGCATCCTTGGCCTCGTACAGAGGGCTACGAGGGTCGAAATGGTTGACACCACCGAAGTATCCGTTTCTCTTGCCCTTGCCACGGCCCTCGACCTGGCGCTCGTGGTTGTTATGACCAGTCACGTTAATGAAAAGGTACATGGGCCAGCCGAAAAGCTGTTGCAGAACCAAGTTAATGGCAGTGAGAATAGGGGTTTCCTCCATGAGTTCTGAAACTTCGTGAATAGCCTTGCCCACGTTAGAGGCAAATTGCTCGCGAGTTTTGGGCACAAAGACCATGTCCCTGCTCAGGTTACCGGTAGCTTTGTGATGCTTGCCGTGGGAGATCTTCCAGGAAAAGTAGGGCACCAAGAGAAGAGAGTGGCAGATCCAGCCAACGGTATCATTGAGAACCTTGGAAGTCGAGAAAGCCTGGTGGCCGCATTCGTGAGCCAAAACCCACACCCCAGTACCAAACAGACCCTGAATGAAGGTGTACAGAGCCCACAGACCAGAGCGAAGGTAGACATCGGGCACGGCTTCCGGGGTCACATAGTTGTGAAAGAGGTAGAAAGTGGTAGCGAGACAGGCAAAGTCCCTCAAGACATAATACAGACCGGTGACCGCAGACCGCTCATAGCAATGCGCAGGAATGGCATCGCGAATCTGCTTGATGGTGTAATCGGGGATCTGGAACTCATTGCCAAGGGTATCCACCATCTTTGTGCTCTTCACCTCCTGCTGTTCCGAGGCCAGCGACGACAGGGACGTGGTCGAGGGCGACTGGCGAGGGCTGTCCATGGGAGAAACGGAGTTGGAGCTGGCGGCGGACGAGTCGGTGGTGATGTTCCTGTGAAGCGCAACGCGCTTTGGGACCGCGGTGGAGGACATTTTTGACTTGACGAGTTGAATTGGCAAGTGATAGAAAGAACGACAGACCAAATGACAGACCGCGGATTGCAACTCACTTGACGCCGGCGGTGCAAGTGGTGGTGGTCTGGGGGTCTAGAGAGATAGGGAGAGGAGTGAGTGAAAGAAGAAGAAAGAGTGAGAGCGAGCGGAAACGCTCCTAAAAAATAAAATCATATGCCAAAGGGAAGGAAGAGGGTGGTCTGCCCCCGGAAGGAAACCACGATTAATTACGGAGACATACACTTTGGTAACAAACAATTTTTTTATTCTTTTTAGAGTTTAGCCCAGAATTGCACTTAGAATTTCTCTTTCGACTCTGCTCTCATTGGCCTACCATGGCGTGAAAAATACCTATACATCCAAAGAGGGACGCTCTCAACAAAATGCGGCGACAAATTTGGTAAAATATCGGGAGCCCAGACAGGGGTAGCTGTGTTAGTCTCGGCGGGGAGCGCGAGCAAAATTACCAAAAATTTCTTAAGATTACCGCGATTACAAGGGAGATACGCCTGCCTGAGGCCGAGTGCGTGGAGTTTGCCCTTTTTGAGCAGCGCGCCATGTGCTGCGGTGGTGCTAGCTGACCAATGGCAGCCGTTATTGGCACTGAGTGGCCGGCTTGCCCGTGCGGGCCTGCCGAACAAGAAAGGCGCGAGGCCGAATGCGCGCCTGTGGTTGGCTGGTCTACGCCAAGAGTCTTTTTCGGGAAGCTGGCTCATAACCTTCTTTTGGCCGATGGTCAGTGACTACTGACTAGTTAACTGGTTCGGTAATCTTGGCCTCTTGATAGATGTGATCTGCCCGACCGCGCAAGGAGGAGTTCTGTGCAACGCTGAACGGGGCATCTCGACTTATGACAGATTCACATGAACAAGATCCAAGTGCCTGTCCACTGTCGGACACGCTGTGGTTCATCCGCCTCAACCAAACTATCCTAGATTAAAGGCATGATGAACATACATGTTCTCATGCGATGTGCCGTACAGGCCGCTCCTTGCACTGAGAGGTTTTCTAAACACAAGCCAAAGTCTAGATTTTGCTCTCATTAATTCGTTCATGAGCAACCAGCTATGTAGCCATGCAAGCGAACTGTACGACGTCGATCTAAAAGAGTACTGTCTAGTTAGATGGTGGCTGGCTGATGGTGATACTGCAAAGTGCAGCGCGATCAAACTTATGTACTCCGTACTGCGACAGGATCTTACAATTGGCTACATATATATCTTCAGTTTCTACTCCGTACTGCCATACCTACCTTAGCAAGTACTAAGGGGAAGCCGAACTGACAAGTCACTGTTCCACATATCAACCAATCGATTCATACGAGCTATGATTGCGGGCCGTGTGAACGACCTCTTCACATGCCAGCGAACTCCACCAAACCAAGCGAGATTTGGTGGCTGGTTTGCAGTTTGACCGCATTTCTCGATGTTCTTAAAGCTCGCAGATCTCAAAGGGGGGCGCGAGAGAAATAATAACCTTGTAATTTTCATACCATACGGGGGCAAATGTGGGAGGACGAGTTTCGTTGGGGAAGCCAAAGACCCGTTTTTGTTGAGGATTCTTTGTGTACCCGTGGCAATAACGGTAATACGATGACGGTATTGCCATTACACTCTGCCGCAAACTTAATTGGCTTTTTTTGCCCCTCCGTTATCGCTCAATCACATGGGAAGGCGGCTTATCTGATAAATGCCTCAGCTTTCAGGCTCGCTCTCCGCGGACTCATCGTGACGTTGCCTAGGTAAGTCACATGTCAGTAGATGCTTAAGAAAGGGTGCAACTGTATTGTCTCTGGGTATTCACTGTTAACAGCCAATTCTCATGAGTTCTATTCTATCTATATATACAGACGCTCTCCAAGAAACGAAACTACGCCGCAATTCGAGCCTCCGACTCAATCAGCCCCGGATTCCCCGACTCCAAGCTCACAGTCGTCTTTCGCAGGTCCGGCAGCACTAGCAACGTCTCGCCATGATTCTTATAATCCACCTCATTGGGTATTTGACGTCGCTGCTGTGTCCACGGCGCCGTCGTCGCAGCCGGGCTAACAGCGATGATGGATGGCATATTGTTCGTAGTCGGAGTTGGGGTAGGGGTATTCGTAGCGGAAGCTGTAGCTGGGGTAGTCCCACCCACGACAAAGGTCTTGATTTCAATAGTTGGTAGTAGCAAATGTCCCGATTTCTGCGGCAAAAGCATAACAGCGAATTTCTTGACTTCGCCTTCTTGCGCTGTAAAATGGCCTCTTCGCCGTCCTCCGAGAAGCCAGAGGTCTTGATTGACGTGCATTTCGTACGAGAATTCGAGGTGCTCAAAAGAATCTTGTTTTTCGCTCTGCTGAGAACACCATCTACGTGTATGTCGCAGTGTGAGTTCTGCCGGTACCATGTGTCCTACGGCTGCGTGGGGTGTTATTGTCGTCGTAGCTTCGGAATCAGTAAAGAGGCGCAGCTCCGCGGTGTGGACTACCTGGATTTCAGGAACTTCAACTGAGATGACGATGTGGCGAGCAAGCAGGGATTCATTATCCTCTACCAAAGGTAGTATGGGGTTTTCCTATATTGACGGTTAGTTCTGATTTCCCTTCTCTATCTGCCTTGAAAGCGACCTACCTGATGCCACCCTCTGAGCCAGGTTTGGACCTCCTGGCCGAGTGGCTCTTGTAAACCCTTCAGTACTGTGTCCCAATGTACATCATCATATGGTAGCATTTCCACTTCTCGTATTAGACTTATACTTTCCATAACTGACGCTGACAATTGTCCTCGAAAGGCCTCTACAATATGGGGCGTTAATAGTCTTGTCAAAGACTTGTATTTGCTTTGTGCGAGAGCTTCGCTGAATTTCTGCTTGACCAGGAACAGACACTCATCATCGATGCATGTATACCACACGGTCAGTCGTAGAGAATGTTGCTTTGCCGTCGAGTTTGCCGATGAAGTGGCTGCTGCTGATTGGTTTACTTTCTGTCTGATTTTGTACATTATCGAAGCTGGCTGTTTCGGAAACACGTCGAAAGCTAGAGGCCCCTTCACGCCACTTTCAACCTTGTATGTCTCTGATTCAGGGATATCACAGCCGAGAATTCGAAGCGGAACTAGCGTTGCCGGGCTCACGGTAAACCGTGAGAGCAGGACATCATCTCTGAAAATATCCTGCACGTTGACACTAATGGGTAATGTCGATATGAACGAACTGGTAGAAATATATGTAAACCGACCAGCACCCGTCTCATACGCGACTTCTAGCCTCGCAGACAGCGTGGTATGATTTTCATCGACAGTGTAAGGAACACGGAATCGTATTGACGTGTCTCGCGCAAGGTCGACAAACTCGATACATCCGGATTCCGGATTCGGTGTCATTTCAATATCTCCAGCAATTACAGTAATCTCTGAAGTGCGTAGTCGAAGCCCGGCGGTTGCTGGCCGGATCCGGAGCAGACCTTTTGAAACATTGTTTCGTCCGCTGTCTAGCTCAATCTCGAGTGTTCGCAATTCCTCCAAGTTGATTCGATGCGGAGCTGCAAGTCTCGCATCAAGACCATGTGCTGATGGATAGCACCATATGCATGGTCTGGTTTCTTCTTCCTCCGCGGATTCTAGTTCTTTGAGACTGGGAAGACTCAAAGAGCCACTACTGTTACCACCATTTCCACTAGCATGTGTGAAGACCAAGTTCTGAAAACGGATCTCTATTCGATCAACGAAAAACTTCCCTTGTAGAGTTGTCTGCCATTATAACATGTCAGTGTTCAATGTGCCCTGTGAATTCAGATGTTGAAATATGCACTCTGCTTACCGCGGAATCAATCGACAACCTCGAAGTCCTTGATTTGATGACAGTTTCCCCGGTGTTCTCTAGCCAAATATCGTTTGAAAGAGTCCCCGTCGCGCCGACTAATCTGACTTTGATGGACTCTGCTATAAGGTCCTTACCCAATAAGAATCGTAATTTAATGTGCATCTGGAATCCATCTTTATCCTCGTAATGCTTGATCTCAGGCTCAATTACAATGCCCCCGAAGAAGCTGGACAGAGGGACATTAATTTCCTTTGCTAGATCCTTTGAAGCTTGTAACAATTCTTCAATGTAAGGGCTCACGTTGCTTTCAACGCTTGTATCAGATGCAGCAACAGATGCTTTCTGGCTAGGAGAAAGATAGGATTGAGTATATGACGCATACTGTGACAACAATCTTAGCAAAGTGCGCACATATTCATCCTTCCTGTCGAGCTCCTTCAGACACCGAGCATACAGCTCCAGAATCGCGCCTTCAAGCGGTGTCCAATGACTACTTTCGTAAAACGGAGCTATCTGCCGGAAGAAAAAAGACGCGCTTTTAAAGTCCTTCTGCCGAAATCTGAGTACAGCGATATCTGTCATTGCGGCCTTGGCGAACCTGACTTGGTTGGCTGCAAGGTAATGACGGAACATTTGATCTGTGAATACCTCAAAATGAAGGTGGAATTTGTTTCTTGACGAGAATGCATTTCGCAATCCGGGCAAGTAGAGATCAGTGTCATAGAAGACTGGAGTCGAGTCTCGACTAATTTCTTCTTCTTCGCTTGGTTGATCGTCATCAAGTGAAACTTCGTCCATATCTTCTCCGGCGGAACTGGAATCGCCAAAGAGTAGCTCGAGATCGCTCCATTTATGGGCCCAACCTCGACGCCTGCCCATCTCTTCGAGGACTCCTCGGCCTAACTGATATAGCTCGCCTCGGCCAGAAGCGAGATCTTCGATGCCCGTTATGTTTGGCAACGGCTGCTTGGTGCTAGCAGCAGCAAAAGAACTTGTCATTAACGAGCTGGATCGTTTTGGGACATTAGATCTGGCGTCAGCTGCCGCTGTCGAGCCTCCAGTTGTTCGCAATGGTGACTCCGGTAGAGCGAGGGAAGGTGTAACTGTTTGAGATAGTATTTGACAGGCTGCTGCATATGTCCATGAAGAAACCAAGTCATTTTGAATAGCCGTCTTTTTTGCGCTGCTGATTTCCTCTGTGACTTCCGAAAACGCGCGTTCGATATCATACCGAAGAGTTCTAGCAGCCATGCTGATGAATTCCATTGCTCTATCGCAGACTTCAGCCAGTAGTGTAAGATCCTCTGATTTGGCACTCAGACCTGGATCCTGTTTGCCTTGTTGCAGTAGGAACGGTGCTTTGGCGGCTTTAAGTAGTAGGTTCACCTGCCGTGAAAAGACGTAGGCGCGAAAATCAAAGACAGAGATATTATTTGCCAAGATCATATCTCTGTATGGCTTCTTGGTAGCGTCGAGAGGGAAATACTCTTCATCAAGGTCGAGCGAGATTTCCGTGTCATCCCTACTGATGTCTTCATTCTCATCATTTTGCCTCTCTCTAGAGGCTTTAATTGCAGCTGATACTTTCTCTTTGTTGTCAGAACTGTAATCGAGAAAGCTGTCTCCATACTGGTCCCCGGTCCCAGATAGATAGTCAGTCACGGCGCTTTCTAAGCCGGCTGCAAGCTCATCGTATCCAATGAGAGCATCCTCTAACAAGCCAACATTCTCAAAGCCCCTCGCTAAACCTTCCTTGAGTATGAAAAACGTGCAGAAATTCCACCCAGGTAAGCTTCGTTGGGAATCCTTCTCCCGAATATCTTCTTCATACTGCGCAACTCGCAAATCAAAGGACGTCAAAATTGCCTGCTTAATCTTATCCACTAGGTCATTGAGCTGATCCACCAATTCTTCATGGTTCTGTGGCTTGCCGCCATGTTTCGGAAGGCGTATCTGCGCTACCCGGTCGACGGCAGTCTTGGACGATCCGTTGAAATCCGCCTTGACCTTCTCCAGCACCGAAGTAGATCCTCGGCCAGGCCATTTCGATGCTGTCTTTTCTGCGACGCCCCCATCCTGCAAGACATGCAGTATCAACCATTCGCAGGCATCGTGATTATCCTGGCCACCACCACTTGTCAGTTGCGATGCCGAGTGTGCCTTGATCCAGTCCCTCAATAGTTTCCGTGACGACGCCTTGTAGACCTCATTGTCATCACATTTCAAAAGGTATATTTTCAGATAGGGGGTTTGCCGCAAGCCCGGAATTTGGTGTCGCCGAAGAGGCGCTGCCGTTGCAGCTGTACCGGAGGAATCATTGGATGATCTGTTTTCATCTGCGGGTGGGGAAGCGACGAGGTCGATATTCAGCGAATCAATAGAGCGAGCCGGACGAGTGGGGGATTTCCAGTGCAGGTTTCTCAATGGCAATCGCTGCGAGAGGATGGCTTGGACGTCTGGAAAGAGTCCCGAGGGATCTGTGCATGCCACTGTAGCAGACAACCAACTGTTAATTCGGCAGTCACAACGACCAGCGTGGATAGGTATGTACCAGTAACCTTGCTCAAACCAGTCTCGTTGGTGGAGTCCATTCTCTTGCAGACACCATGGCGCTCTTGTTGTTGTCGAGACGTCGAGATGTCGTGGTGTTTTGGGTTGGTTTGGCTGCGGCGCTGGTGATGCTGCACGGACCACTTCCTTCCCTCTGGGAACTACTCTGCACTTGCTTGCTTACTTCTCCCAACTGTGCTTCCAAATCATACACTCTATAGTTTTACTTCTTGATCATACTATTCTATCCTTTACTGTTTGAAGTAGCTGCTGGACTTCCTGGGTATATCTCCTCTGCACAAGGCCCTTCGTCATTGCCGATTCAAGAGTGTCGACAACTAATTGCATACTGGAGAGTGAACACGCTGTCAGTCTACTAACTGTAAACAAATATGTTCAGGCTTGGCTACCCACCGACGTTGGAGGATAGGATCCGGATCAGACTTCTCTGAAACAAAGGCCTGCACCATATTTTGGGCTGCAAACACGGTGTCCTGCACGGCGTTCCAGGCTTGCATCGTAATGCAGACGCCACCATGGCTATGCAGAGCGCGTCCGGCAAATTCGCCATACAAGGAGAATCTCGCAAACCAATACAAGAGTTTCAGGCGAGTGCCGATTTTTGCCTGTTCCCCCAGACCGGGGTTTGGCGACCAGCCGAGAAAGGAGGGAACACCAGCCAGCCAGGTTGACAGTTGGCTGTCTAGCTCCTCGTTTACTGGAGACGGGATACACGTGTTCATATTTACAATGCTCTGGCTGTGGCTGGGAAGAAATTCTGCGAGGCTCTCCTTCTCAGAACTTGGCATTCTCTTCAGGATCGCCTTCAGACCGGTTTCTGCAAGGAAAAATGTGTAAATCGTTCGTGTCGACACTGGCATATGAGTCGTCGCAAACTCTTCACAGCCCAGCGGAAGTGCCAGCGAATCTTCCAATGTGGACAATGGTGATCTTGGAAGCTCGGGATGGTGGACAAGGAAGTCGCTGATTCCATATTAGTTGACCTGTATTCAAATGCAAGGCAATCAGGAGGAGGACTACTGTTCCAGATTTACTGAGACCCAAAATAACCTGAGTATCGTATTCCACTCTGTTCTATCTCGCCGACTCTGACCGCGGAGGTCTCTGTGACGACATCAACGATATGAATAGCATCCCTAACTGCCCACTCTGACTTACCTCTTTGTCATGACATAGAGATTTGTACAGCCTGCATGTATGTGCCTCCACGCCTCTAGAACCTTTGATTTCCGGTAGAGATAAATGCCAGCCAAGATCTCCGCCTGGGCAAACTCCAGAGTGAAATCAAACTGCAGTCGATAGAGTGTGGCAATCGCAGCGTGGAACGCCGCCAGCCCGTGGTTCCCATTGCACTCATGGGATTCTTTTCCTATAGCAACTAGGAGAAGAGTGAGACACACATCGATGCTGTCCTCGTAGTAGCCTTTTGAAGCGATTGCGGATGCACTTTCCATTGCCACGACGTCACATATAACCGGATATAGGGGACACATTTCATCGAAAAACTTTTGCACTAGCGTCATCAGTTCTGATATCTCTGGCAATGTGGGAACATCCGGCACAAGTCTGTTTCCAGTACTCGGCTGAGTGATTGATGGGGACAAGCCTTGTTCTCTGTCGATATTGTCGCGCTTAGGAGGCTTCCTACTTGGATACAGCATGGATTCTCGCAGCTGGTTCGGAGTAGCAGCTTGTTGGACAATTGACTCATCATTACCAGCTGACGGAGTATGTTCGCGACGCTCTACTATGGAGGAAAGGCGATGTACGGCTGTTTGCAGGGTCTCCAACTGTTCACTTAACGATGCCAGATGAGATTCGTTTCTTTTTATGCATTAGTACACTATCCGATCCTCTATGCATATGTTTATCCATACAGGAGTTCTTGTGATGCGCGATAATGGCACCGGAAGCCATGCTTCGTACAGAAGCTACATTCAGGCCGGCCCTCGTCACAGCGCACTTTCTTTCGACGACATGTCTGGCATGCCTGGACAAGTCATATCAGTGAGGATATCCGCAATGTCATGGCCCCGTTTTCCAGACTCACTGTAGACGCCCGCACGGGTGGGCGGCGTGGATAGGCCGGAAGATCTGTACTCTGCACAGTGCTGTTGCTATACGCGTGTTGCGGCTGCAGACGCATGCTTGATTTTCTCGACTCTAGATCTGGCATTGCTTCTGGTCAAACCAAGTCCAGCTGGAAGAGAGGTGCAATCTGCAATGAGCAAGATCTAGCCAGTCGGCTAGTGCATGGTCACGCCAAACGCAGACAAGAAGGCATCATGCCGACTGGTAACGGGGATGCCCATAAGCACTAAAATAGAGGGATGCAAAATCTTCGGACAATCTCATAAAACAAATCTTACTTCTCCTGTTTCGAATGCAGGCGAGGCTGATTGGCCGGCCACGGAAGACTTCCGGTGGCGTGCTAAGGCTAGGAATTGCTTCATCACCAACAAACAACAGCCCGCGACAGCTGAGAGAGATAAGCATGCCACCTTTCAAACTCCAGCCATTTAAACGCATCTGGGCTGTCGACGATATCAATGTCGACTGCATCCATTGCATCGCGGTGTTCTTAATAGAGTGAAATGGCAGACCAACAGAAGCTGCGCGTCGCCATCATTGGCGCTGGCCCAGCGGGCTTGGGGGCGGCCATTGAATTTGGGAAGCTGCCTTTTGTCGATTTCAGAATTTATGACCAGGCCACCGTTCTACGCGAGGTCGGGACAGGTATAAGCATCCAGCCAAACACATGGCGCATGTTGGATGTGATGGACGCATCGCGCAATATCAGTCCTGACGAGATCTTTCGCCCTGCCGATCACCACTCTGTGCAACACCGGTAATGCGATACTTACAGTGTTTCTAATTGTTAAGAGAGATTGATGACGCTAACGTCAATTGCTTTTCAAGGAATGGAAGGACGGGAGAACTTGCCGTCTCGCATGGCCCACGATGTCAGTCATTAACGAACTCTGATTGCATCCAAAACTGGCGAGGCTGACTACTTGCTTTCATTTTACAGCAAGTATTCCGAGTCATCTACATGCACGCGCGTTTCGTTCGGTTCTACAAAAGGCACTTTTGTCAAATATAGATCAATCGCGCCTCCGGCTATCCTCTCGGTTAGTCAAGATCAGCGAAACCGCATCGAATACGCTCTCTCTGCACTTTCAGGACGACTTCGTTGACGAGGTAGATCTGCTAGTTGGTGCAGATGGTGTCCGATCGGTCGGTGGCATCACATCAGCCAGATGAAGCATGTATAATTCTACTAACTTAGGTGATGTGTATAGGTTGTCAGGGCTTTCGCCTTTCCCGAGCACAAGATCTCATATATAGGCAGGACGGCGTATCGGGGAATCGTCCCAACAGCGGAAATCCTCAGTATCCCAAATTTCCCAGATGGGGTGACTTTCTGGCACGGGCCCACAGACTGGGTATACACCTGCAATCTGAATGGAGGCAACTATGAAATCACAGTCAATGCCAAAGAGTCTGCAGATGTTGCCCGGGTGAGCTGGGGCGAGAAAGCAACCCTGGAGGAATTTCAAAGACCGTGGAAAGTGAGTACGTGTTCTTTGGTTTACCAAGCAAGAGTAGCCTAACCAGGAGCCTAGGACTTCGGACCTACTGTTCAGGCGGTTATCAACAAAGTTACCGATGTGCAGAAATTCGCCCTGTTTGCTGGTCCCCGTCTTAGCTCCGTCGTAGCCCGCGGTGCTGTTGCTCTGGTTGGGGATGCATCTCATCGTATGTCGTCCCTCGGTGTACTTGCTGCACTTTTTATACACATATAGCTGACCTTTCTTTCTTTTATCCCCAAATAGCATTATCCGGGGCATTCGGTGAGTAATCTTCGCTTTTGAGTTGAACTCCATTTCTTTCCCCCTAACAATACGTTTTAGGAAATGGTGCTGGGTTCGCTCTTGAGGATAGCTACGCTTTAGCACAGTCGGTCGCCTGGGCACACCGACGCGGGCATACTTTGAAAGACGGCCTTACTTTGTACGACTGCGTACGATCGCCGCATTACGAGGAAATGGTTTGTTTCTTTCCCAACAAGTAGGTCCTGGCCAATGGCCTTTTGCTAATGGGACTCCATATTGGATCTAGTATAAAATCTTGGACGCGTTCGCGGCATCGGACGCCATCCTGAATGAAAAGGACTTTTCGTTTGACGAAGCCGTCGCACATACCATTCGCGGTAAATGGGGCGCGGAGCACTTTTGGCTCTACGAGTATGATGTGAGCTGCCAGTCTTCTAGTTATTTTTCTTGGTTCCTGACTTTGGAGCAGATTCAAGACGTGTGGAAGAAGGCTGCTGAGGCAGAGGATGGCCGTCGCGTGGCGTTGGATACGAGCCGTGTGTCTCATTTATAAGCATACTAGATATATAGATCGTGAAAGCATTACAGTCAAGTTTGCATCGTAACCTGATTCCGTAGCAAAAGCGTGTACACATAAAGCCACTTCGGTTGACTGGGAGCAATCATCCATCATCCAAGCAGACAGAAGTAGCCGAGAGCTATATATGTAGCTGATAAGCTTCCTTGATACAGTATCCACTCACAACAAATAGCGCGTTGCTAGGCTTCCAAAGGCCATACGTACTCTCCGCTGCGAATGGCGTCAGAAGCCCTAACCGGCCAGCCAACCACTGCTGTCCGGCACGCATCCGAGAGGCCAAAGCTTCTATGGCTATGGAAATACTTATCAAGATACATACTTAAAGCACCGCCCATGTCCCCCGAAATGCCTTGATCCTCTGTCTGCATACATGAATGCCAGTGTTAGTTGCTTCATCATGTCATCCTCGCCGCAGAGAATCCGGCTGCACCCATGGTATGCTGTGCAATGTATCCTTGACCACTTTGGAACCGTGCTCTAACTGCGAGGACCACAGGTACACCGTCAGTGTGGTCGCATGGACAGCGTTTTGTCTTCCAGGCATGTTTGGTGCCTTGAATGTACGTACCGTAGTAGCAGCCAACTTTGGAAGAAAGAAGATCGTAACTCACATGTTTTAGGGACTCGGAGTCGGTCATTCTACCCCCAAGCTGTCCAGCAGATACTGATTGAGATGTGCGATTCAGGCTGCCGGCGAAGAAAGTGCGACCTTGTCCAATGTTGCCAATGCCGTGGTCTTTGGCGTAATGACTGTCGGAGGCTTCGTCTCGGGCATCATTTGTAATCGAATTGGCGTTCGCTGGACTCTGCTCCTTGGTACTCTTGGATATGCACCGTATGCAGGTATATACCTCGTCTCTCTGTGCGTGTCGCAAGATCAATGACTCACAGCTTTGCTCGCCACAACAGCATCTCTGTACACGAACGCCGCGTTTGGGAACACGTGAGTCACATGGCCATTAGCCCTAAAACCTGAGCCCTGCTGGGACCGACAAAACTGACCAAGCCGATAATATGACATGACAGTTGGTTTCCTGTGTTAGGCGCTGTGACGTGCGGTCTGAGTGCTGTTCTCCTGTGGACAGCATCTGGTGCGATAAATCTAGTGGTTCCAGAAGTTCATCATCGCGGACGCGCCGTAGCCACGAAATTCACCATGCAGAACTTCGGATCCTCGATTGGAGGCATGATCTCTCTGGGGTTGAATGTGCATCAGGATCACCGTGGCAGAGTCTCTAATGGTACGTGCCGTACCTACTGGAGAAGAATAGCCTGAAGGAAGCAAGAATCTAAAATGTATACAGCAACCTATTTCACGTTCACCTCGGTCATGTGTTTGGCACTACCCCTGGCAGCTACTATTCCTCTGCCATCACAGGTCAGACGCAGTGACGGATCGAAAGTGTTCGAACACAAATTCAATTCATACAAGGACGAACTTATCAACTTGAAGAAGGTGTTGTCCCTGAAGGCTTTCTTCTTGTTGGCTCCATTCCTCTTATACTTTGTGAGATATGCCCCGTTGCCGTGGAATAGGGCGTTGGTTAATGTCTAATATCATTAGCAATGGGATCTCTCCTACATGTGGACTTGGAATGCCACCTATCACACTGTTCGAGCCCGCGCTCTTCTTAGTACCTTGTTCTACTTGAGTAAGAGAGAATCATTCTAGAATAGCAAGATCCCTGCTGACATTCATTCAGTCGGGCCTTCCATTATCGGCCAAGTTCAAGGATGGCTCCTGGACAAGAAAGAATGGAGCCGGCCAAAGCGTGCGCGCTGGGGTGTGACGTTGTTCAGCATAGTTGCTCTGCTCACTTGTGAGTTTGGAACACACTCACCCCCTCCAATAAGTATTGTACTGACGATAGCTAGGGATATATGGTATCATCGTGCAATACCAATACGACAAAGAACAAACCGTTATTGACATCACTGATCCCGTCTTCGTCAAATCATGCCTTTTGTTCATCTTATATGGACTCATTGAAAACTCGGGCTCGGTTGTAGTATACTGGATCATAGGCTCTCTAGGTCTCGAGCCAGGACAAGTCTCATCATTTGTCGGATTGGCGTAAGTTTCTTTCTATCATGACCACAGTTCTCAAAACTAATCCCTTTGGTTTGTCATATATAGGAACGGAGTGGGCGGGTTAGGATCAACACTCGCCTTCGTCTTGGGCGCAGTCAACGTCTCTTTGAACTGGCAACTCTGGGCCAACGTAATCACTTTTCTGGCCAGTCTTCCGGGGCTGCTTTACATCGGCTGGTTCGGGATTGTGGACGATAGTGAGATTCGCCGAGCCACGACGACAGGATTTGAAAGCGAATCGGCGTCATCTTCTGAAAATGAGTATGAGCAGGAGCAGCATATCTATACTACAAAGCATGATGAGTCTGAGAGTACCGTTTAGGCTGTCTGTCTCTAACTCGTCGTTCCTATACATGCTTTCTTACTGCCGTCAAGTAGCATAAATGCCAGGCTACTCGGGCTAGGAATACAATCTCTAGATCAATATGACTTCAACTAATACTATACACAAAATTAGTATATTAGAGTTGCATTCGCATTCAGAGCAAACCAATTGTAAATGGTGTCGTGGGGCATGCTTAGCGTGTTCTCAGCTTCTAATCGCAGAGCAGCCCTCATCATTTCTCGTGTCTACCTAGGTACTGATTTCTCCAATTCCACAACCACCTCCCAGTCGTAAACAATGACCGTTCACCTCCGTCCAGCCACCGAAGCTGATCTGGCCGACATCGTCGATGTCTCAACAGCCGCATTTCCGCCAAGCGTAGACGCCATTGTCCGCCGTCTCTTCCCAGGCGACCTGCACCATTCTGAGGGTGTCAGGAAAGTGAGATTGGCGCGCAAATCGGCCACGTTTCAACTCAAATCGACTGTTATGATGCTTGCTGTCGATGACAACAACGGCCAGAAGACAGTGGTAGGCTATTCGATCTGGGAAATTCCTGTCCCAGAAGAAGAGCCTGTTGAGAATCCGAAAGGAAAACATGATGATGATGATGATGATGATGATGATGATGAAGACGACGAAAGACCTAAACCACCGCCAATGGCGCAGGAAGGGATGGATCTAGCTGCCTTCGCGGAACTGCGTCGCATGCTCGGTGAAGATGTGAGCAAGAGCTTTGGTGAAAGGGGGACTAGCGATGTGTGGAGTGAGTTTACCTACCTATATCACTGTTTACCTTAACCGAATACATTAGTAGTAATTCAGATGAATGCTCCAGCTCTCGACTCCCTCGGTGTTCACCCCCAACACCAGAAGAAAGGTATCGGCAAAATGCTGCTGGACTGGGGAATGAAGGAAGCAGCAAAACAGGGGAGAGACTGTTATTTGGTTGCTACTCCTGCCGGGCTTCCTCTTTATCGAGCTGCTGGATTCGAGGATGTTAGGATTGTGGATATTTTTGGTACGCCGCACGTGTCTATGAGAAAGCGCAATGCTTCGTGAATAACATCGAGCAATTGGTGGAATTCCTAAGATGAGCTCGGTATAGTATATATTGCAGATGGCTATAGCAAGAAATACGCGTTAGAAACGCATCTGTCTTACACTAGACACGTTGCATATTCGATCTTCAAAGCCTTTCAATTGATATATAAATACACAGAGTCAATCATATGTACAAGACACCCATCTCCGTGAAGACACACATACTCCCTCCCGGGAACCATTAAAAATCTGCGCGAGTATAAAAGGGGGCAAAATAGGATGAAAAACAGGGTTTGCTGCCTGGCTCAAAAAAAGGATATCTATTGCATGTCACGAGAGAAAAGAAAAAAAAGAAAGAGAAATTATGACGACCAACGAATGCTACCCTATCTCTATGGTGCTGCTGTAATGCTACGCTGTAGGTAGCGGGTCTTGACGAACTGATACCCCTCAGAAACACCTTGCCATAGACCTGGCACAAAATTTCGAAGCCATAGGCCTAGGAACAGAAGTAACATTGGGAGCTGATGAAAAATAATTAGAAATGATATTCATCTTCAAATACGCGGGCGGAGGAGGAGAAAGGAAGACCACTTACCCAGAAGAAGAAAAGATTTTTATCCTTCGTCAGCCCCTTCATTTTGCGCGCTTGTTGCTGTCTCAACTGCTTCTGTTGCTGGCGAGAAATCACAGTCTTACGACCAATTCGAATATCGGTTATTTCTTCGTGCTTGTTGTTCACAGTCTCAGCCTCCGCATTTGAATTGGACGGTCCGGCTTGTGCCTCAAAGTGCTGGTCTAGTGCTGCTTCTGTGGCTGCCCTGAGCAACGAAGTTTTCTTGAGCTCATGTTCCCGATCTTCGTCCAACTCTTGATGTGGGTATAGCTCATCGTATGCAGGGGGTTGATTTTGATTGGCTGCTGGGGCAGAATTTCCAGTAAACAAGTCCCACCAGCCGTCCTTTGAAGACCATGAAGATCCTGGTCTGTGAGGAACCAAGTTACTAATCCGACGCATCATGGGATACGCCTGGTAGTCAGGCAAAGCAGGCATCGGTGGCATCGGTGGAAGGGCAGGAAGGTTTGGAAACGCTCTGCCAACGCTCTGTTGAAATTGGTTGATTTGAGTTGCAAGGTGATCGCGCCATGCAACTAGCGAATCAGGTGGCGGAGGTGTGTTAGACGCCGTTTCTGTCTCGACGTTTGATTCGACTTGCGTGCTGATCGCATCAACATTGACGCTGCCTTCGCGAGAACGGGGATAATACAGGGATGATCCTGTATCATGGTGGACACTCGACCTTCGCGAAGAAGATAAATACGCATCGGCCTCCTCCTCATCTGCTTCAGATGACTCATCATCTTCGAACTCGTCCTGAGCTAGGTTAAAAGATCCAGATGCCGAAGATGCTTCCCAAAATGAATTTAAGGACGCAGAGCTACTAGGACGGCGACGGAGAGAAGGCGAAGAACCCACACTGCGAGATCGATAATGGCGTGCTGGTATAAGTGCAGCCTGGTGAGCAGGCAGCGAGGTTGCAATATCAGCAGGTGTAAATCCTCGGAGATTCCTGGTCAAAGCATCGGCGCCTGCTAGTCTAAGACGGTGTACAATATGAGCATGTCCGCTCAATGCAGCGAAATGCATAGGCACATGGCCGTTCTTGTCCTGAACATCTGGATTTGCGCCTCTAGCAAGAAGCCCCGCAACAAATCTAGTCAAACCTAGAGATGAAGCAAAATGCAACAGCGTCTGACCGGTGGTTGATCGCGAGTTATACCTCGGGGCACGGGGACTATCATCTAGATCGATGAACTCCAAATATGTCAGCATTCGTGAGTCTAGATCGCTGGTCTGGCCTTGAGCATTGAGGTTAGGAATTTGTCGTTGCCCACTGCTGCCTCCTTGGATATCATTTTGCAGGTTCCACAAAGCGGCCTGGTCACCACCCATGATGCGTTGAGCAGTTTGGAAAGCATCTGATGGATTCCGTAATTTTTGACCTAAGATACTAAGCGCCAGTCTGTACATTTGGAGCTCCCGATCATCCACGTAGCGGAAAAAGTGTTGTTGTTTGGGAAGTATTGGATGGGTCTGAGTAACTTGGCCGAAGGTAGGATGCTCGTGCTTGAAGACAACGGGTACAAGACCAGGTTGTAACGCCGGTGGGGTAAGACAGTTCAGGCATTTATCACCCCAGAATGTTGTTGTCGTGGCGAGAGTATCACCAAAAACAACTTCCATGCCTGGGTAAAATCCGCTGCCCAATAATGTGACCTCCGTCCCTCCAGTTGTCGAGCCTTCGGCTGGAACAAGCTTATGAATTATTGTTGGCAAGCGATTTCCAGCGTTTGTCAGACGAGGCCAGGCTTGGCTCACTGGATTTGGCCCACTAGCTAATCCTTGTGCCGGTTCAGCAAAGTTGTTGCGCGATGTCAATCCTGGCGAGCCCGGCCGACTTGCATGGGTAGAGCTCGGAGTTGACATGAATTGATTTTGAGTAAGCCCATCTAAGTTCTGAGGTTGTTGGATGGCATTGAAATAAGGAGTTTCGTTGGTATTTGGAGTAGGTGGACTGTTGCTGAAGGGACCGGCGACACCAATTGGCGTAGCGAAAGGTTGTTCGACCGGCGAAAAATAGCTTCTAGAATTGGAAGAAAATTGGCCGTTAACAGAAGAACTCGTCGAAGAGGTCGCCTGGGGACTATCAAGTCTAGTCATAGTCAGTCCGGTGGGCAACTTGCCGGAACCGCTGTGCTTCCGACGTTTGTTCGAAGGTCCACCGTACTCGGAGGGAGATGTCTGTCTCGATGAATTGCGTGGTGTGAGAGAAGCAGACGAGCTCCCGTTGGCTTGCGGTATTGCAAAGGCCCCTGGGGTCATTGAATATTGAGAAGATAGTTGTTGCTGAAGGCTCTGAAGATCGGCATTAGATGATGACATTTGAAACGTTTGTTGCCCGCCAAGCGGGCCTTTTGCCATCTCTTGAGAGGGACCGGAAACGAAAACGCCAGTGCCGGGCAGCTGCTGAGCGCTATCTGTCACCACGGCATTCGGAGCTACTGCCGCTGTAGCAGCTGATGATGCTGCTGCGTGAGTCTTGTGATCGTCGGTAATCATTATCGAGTTGGTGATTGCTTGAGCCACCACATTATCTAAATGATCCTTTATAGTAAGAATAACCCTGGATGTTTTCGTTAGCTTCGGAATTCAGTCAAACGAGTTCAAAATCACTGTGCTTACTGGAAGCCAATCTTTTCGTTTTGATGCCGACAGTAACATGCTATTCGCATTGGCAGCTCAACTTGCATAGCTCCTGGCGGGGTGAAAGTCATAGAAGAATCCTTGGCCGGCTCGACCCAATCCTTCATTTCATTGGTATTGAAAACAATAACTCTTTTGTCTTCGTTTTTTTGGAAAAGTTCGTCTTCATCTGGTTTCCTCTGTTTCTTCCGTGAGGCACGTTTTCTTTCTCGCTGAATACATCCTTGGCAGATTTTTACATCGCCGCCATCTAAAGGCGTGTCTTGGACTTCTTCCTGAGTACTCTCTGTAGCAGCTGACGTAATAGAGGAGTGTTTCACTTCTTCCCCACGAGCTCTGGCATAGGCTCGTTCCAGTTTCGACTCATCTCGCATTGCACTGGTACATACAAGGCTCGTATGCAGCTCAAGGACCTCTGGAGACCGAATTACATCGGGTTTTGCTAAGAACTTGGGCTTCGAAATGGTATGTGTGGGTAAACGCAGCTTTTTGACACCGGCAGGAAGGGGATATAAGGTGAGTCGAATTGGGATTTGCGTTTCCACTCGAGATTTGAGCGATGTTGGATGCACATGGAGAACAGTACGTGTCGGAGCGCGAGGGGCCGATTTAGCGCTAAAAGAATTGACGGAGTAATCTGGCATACCAAATTGTACTTCGCTTTGACCGGCGTTAATGTTTAGATTCAAGGCTGCATTGTGCACAGATAAAGTATTCGCGGAAATTCCTGCAAAGTTCTCATCTAGGACGGAAGAAGGGGAGCGGCCACTCCACTGTGATGAAGTAGATCGTGCATTATTGGGGAGTCTCGATGTCATTGGAGATGCTTCTCTAGAGCTAGCGGAGTAGAAGGGCGACCCAGGATAATGATTCTATCACAAGAAGGGAATCCAATCAGATTCATGCTGTGCTTCGATATGGAACAGAAGGGGAAACACTTACCACGCTTGTAGGTTTGGATGAAGCGAAGCTATTGGCCTGGACTTTTGAACTGCTTTTGTATTTCTCTGCTGCTCCAAAGGAAGATGTGACCTCGTTCTTTAGAGGCATTGGACTGCTCGCTGCGCTTTCAAAGTCAAAAGCAGAGTCCATGACTTTATTACTCGATTCAATATCTGTGTATTTAGGATCGAAGCCGGCAAAATCATTTTCTAAGCCGAACAGATTGTCATCCTTTTCTGAAAATGCTTGCGCGTTAAACCATCCATCGCTGTCAAATTTTATAGCAGCATCACTGTAGGCAGCTGACCCAACGGACGAGTTACGCCCGTGGTCCCGCATTGACTCTGCAGACGAACCAGGACTCGAGTTGTCGCACGGTGAATCCGACGGTGAGTCGAGGGAAAACTCCAGAGGCCGCTTGAGAGATTTGGAATGCTGCTGCTGCTTCACAGAAGACACTTCAGAGGGAGACACGTATAACCCACTATTATCGACAATTCGAGCATGAGTTGAGTGAGCAAATATATCGTCGAATTCCCTGCCGGCGTCATGGGGTTGATGATAGTCGCCGCCATTTACAAACTCCGTATCGGCGTCCTCATAGACTCCGTTCATTTCGGTATCCAGCACTGTCGGATCCAACGTAGCGAATACGGGCGACGAGGGGGCTTCAGGCGGTCTCATTGTGGACTGATTGATCGAAGCGTGGACGAGATAGGTTGCGAACCCAAGGTAATTCACACGAAGATCGTGTTACGCGATTGACCGCTCAAATCCTAGTGCGTCGGAACTCCCAAATTTCTGACTTATACTCACACCGAGGTATTCCGTTTTCAGGGGGGACGGGAGCCCGGGTTGGACACGCACAAACGAGGAACGTCCTTTAATGGCCGATGTCAACAATCATGCCGCCCGCGAAGAATAATGTGGGCACGAGGAAATATGACACTTGGAATCGGGCAGTTGACAAGAGATGGAAAAGTCCTGCCGGGTGGGAAAGATTGGTCTGGAATGTCGGTGTGGGATGACTTCGACGGGTTAACTATGTCGAGGCTGATCGAGGAGGCTGTAAAGGAATGCAACGGAAGAACAGACCAGACTGACCGGAGCCACCACCAGGAGAGAGCACATGGATCAGGCTTCTGTGTTGGCCAGGATCAGGCTAGCGAGAGAGAGGTTGATTGGGCCAGCCTTCTGGAAGCCTGGAATAAGAAGAATAAGAATCGCGGCGGACGGAGGAAGGAAGGAAGATTTGCGGGTGACAAGTCGGGGTCGCGCCGCCTGAGGCAGCAAGGCAGCGACGCCTCGATAACGTAAGCCGCCAAGCGTTCGTCGGCGCGCAGGCATCAACTTTCGCTTTCTGACGAATGAAATGCTTCTGGAGATGGAATGCCTGAGACGTAAGGCTATGGATGGTGAGACAGGCTCGCATCTTGGGGCAGCGCGGTGATTGGACGGGGCCCAGGAGGTTATTTCGACGACGCCGACTGTTTCATCGGTCCTGCGCGATTCCCTGCGTATTGGACGACTTGTCTCGACATGGAGACGAACCGAAACCATGCTTATGAGCTGGGCATCCATATTTTCCCTCAGCCAAGATCGCGGATTGTCGGTCTATTATCTCTGAATGCCATGATCTTGACGACCTAGGCGGGGTCTGGATACAGGCGAAATGACAGGACTGCGCCAGCTGCTGAATGCCGATCAGTCGAATTATCGGCAACAAGGGCTCAGTATGCCTGGGGCTTGTATAAATATGCGAATCAAGCCTGTCTCGCTATTTCAAGTCATTCTTCACTTTCAATTCTAATAACTGAGTTATATCTTCCTTTCTATCAGAACTTCGTTGATCGAAGCGTTTCCCCCTTCTCTATCTGCCTTCCTTCTTCTTTCGATTTTGCAACTCATTGCTGAGATGCCTTCTGCTAAAGTCACTGTACTGTCTGTTTTCCTGGCTGTAGCCTCAACTGTTGCTGCCCATGGCTATGTACAAGGCATTGTTATTGGAGATGCCTTGTAAGTAAACATCAGATTTGAGCAACCATAACATGACGTACTTACAGGGAAGTATTTTAGTTATTCTGGATACATTGTAACCCAATATCCCTATATGGAGGATCCGCCGGCTGTCATCGGATGGGCAACTACAGCAACGAACCTGGGTTTTATCGACGGCACTGAGTATGCCGATCCAGATATTATCTGCCACCAGAATGCCACTCCTGCACAGCTATCTGCTCCAGTCGCTGCTGGGGGCACTGTTGAGCTTCAGTGGACTCCGTGGCCCGATAGCCACTACGGCCCGGTTATCACGTATCTCGCCAATTGCAATGGCAACTGTTCGACGGTGGACAAAACCCAGTTGAATTTTGTCAAAATTGATCAAGCTGGCTTGATCAACGATACCCAAGTACCGGGGACATGGGCCGCGAATGAGCTGATCGCTGCCAACAACAGCTGGACTGTTACAATTCCTTCGTCCATTGAACCTGGGAACTATGTATTGCGACATGAGATCATTGCTCTTCACTCGGCTCAGGAAGTGGATGGGGCTCAGAATTACCCCCAATGTATCAACTTGGAGATTACCGGTAGCGGAACCGCCAGCCCGTCTGGTACTCCTGGAGAAGACCTCTATAGCCCGACTGATCCTGGTATTTTGATCAACATTTACACGTCTTTGTCGACGTACATCATACCTGGACCAACGCTATGGAGCGGTGCTTCATCCGATGTTGTTGCTCCTGCCAGCGCTACGCCGTCAGCTTCTACTACTACTGCTGCTGCTGCTGCTGCTGCTGCTTCCGAATCAGTCTCAACTTCTGTGGTGACTGCGCTCACAACATTAGCCTCGACCACCACATTCTTTACCACTGTTACTGGTGGTAGTCAACCGACTTCGCCGTGTGGTATCTAAAAGGCCTGTTTAATTGATACTCAAAAAGGGTTCACCAACCGATGTGCGTCTATACTTTGGAAATTGTTGTAGTCTACTTTTGCACTATGTCCTCCTTGGTGTTTAGGCCATCTTGACTGTCCAATGGCACATAGCAGAACAATATGATTCATACATTCTTCGCAGAATAAATGTCACCTCGACTCATCTCGAGTCATCGTAAGGCATCAGCCAATCAGCCGAGCTGGCAGAGCGGAGGATAAATTATGTACAATGCGGAGCTGCCGTCCCCGCCCGCATTTATTTATGTCATCAGCAGGACGGATTTCTCCCCAGGCTAACACCACCTCTTCTCCCTACACCACTCCTCGTCTCTGGCGATACTATTCTCTCCTTGTATTGTGAGGAATAGCCAGCATGTTCAAGAAAAAGCCAACGGTGAATAGCATCAACCACTGCTGCCACCCCGCAATACCCCTCATAACACAGCTTCAATAAATGCCTTCAATAGTGCTAACATCTTGCTATTATAATAGATCAAAACACTTTCTCCTTTACGCTCCTCAGATCGACGAAAGATAGCCGATCAGATTATCAAAGATTACCAAATCCCTATCCCTCCGGCATCTCCCTCGGAAGACAAGAATAACGAAGATGGAAACGCCGCAAAAGAGACAGCCAGCAATCTTACAGCAATCAGAAATACCCTCCTCCCCGAAAACTCCCTTTCTGCCCGGTTCACAACAACGTCAGGACCAGATCTCCGGGAAGTGCAAGGCACAGTATATGCCGGATCGCATCCTGAATTTGGAGGCGAAGAAAGAATTTTGTGGTTTAAAATAGAGCAAGGACCGGGCGCAGATGGACGGCTATACCCAACGGTGTACTCCCTATGGCATAACCCGCGTATCCTACCCCTATTACACACGCCAGCCCTGGTCATGGGCAAGCTTTTTGGAGGCGCGGATCTGATGACCCCCGGGTTAGCCAATGGGCCACCATTCCCGAGCAAAGCTGTCAAGGGTTCTGCCGTGGCTGTTGCTAGTCTGGACAGCCATACCGTGCCTGTATTTGTTGGGATATGTGAAATTAATGTGTCGGAACTGGGTGAAGTTCAGGGCACAAAGGGCCACGCAGTACGCGGTTTACACTGGGAAGGTGATGAGTTGTGGTCATGGAGCTCCTCCTCTAGGCCTGGTCAATCTGCTCCAGAATACCTGGAAGGCTGGGACGAGGAGACCAGAGATGTTGAGGACGCAGTGCAGGAGTTGACTTTGAAAGAACAGGAAGCGGAAGCGCGACGGGAAGAGGCTCGTCCAGACGAAGAGGAACAGGAACCTCTTGAGCCGGAAGCTGAACCAACGGTTAAAGGTGGGTTGTACATGTGCATGCTGCACTTATTTTTTCACCCCCCAACATAGTTTCTAACCGTTCGTGTTACAGAGATTGATGAAGCCTTCGTGAAAGCGTTCGTATATTCTCTTTATCAGCTGAAAAAGGATAATCCAAGCACGCCAAACCATGGACTGACTCTCCCTGTTCAACCATCTGCGGTAATATCTCGGCTCGTGACTCCATACCTTCCGATATACTCAACACACCAAGCCCAGTTCTACCAGATCAAGAAGACTAGCTGGAAAAACGTTAAGAAATTCATCAAATATCTAGACAAGGAAGCATTGGTGAAATCCAAAGATCGCAATGGACAAGAGACAATCGTCATCGATGTGGATTTCAACGACCGCCGCATTGAGCAGTTCGTTCCTTACAGAATACCCACCAGAAATATTGTGGAAAACTCCGGGAAACCGGTGTCAGGCAAACAAAAGGCTACTACCGAAGAAGGCGTTGATCCGTCGGTTGGACAGACACTTACCGTACAGGTCTTGTACAGGCCTACTCAAAAACTTACCCCGACGCTCTTTCCAGCGCTCGGCGCATCTGATCCGAAGAATTACTACAAATATTCCGATGTGTCTAGTCGCTTGGATCAATATCTGACATCTCAAGATCCTCCGCTCGTATCCGAATCAAATCGACGCATTATCAAGCTGGATCCTTTTCTATCGAATACCATATACTCGTCCTCGTCAGCCGATGACAGAGCAGCGCTAGCACGACGGGAAGTCACTCGAGACGGCCTTCTCAAGCGCATTGTATCCGATGCATCGCTTCTTGCATCATATCATGCCATCCTCAAGCAAGGACAAACGGTAGTAACGGACGTGAAGCCGAAAGCCGGAAGTCCACCAAAAGTACTAGTAACCGTTGAAAGGCGGGGATCTAACAAGACAGTCACCAAGGTATCTGGAATCGAGGTGTTTGGCATCATCCCTACCTTCTTGGCTGAGGAGTTGCAGAAGAAATGCGCTTCCAGCACTAGTGTTTCTCAAGCTACTGGAGCCGTCAAGGGCATTATGGAGATTCTTGTTCAAGGCGACCAGCGCAAGGCGGTTGAAACGGCGTTGGAGAGGCGTGGAGTGAGATCACAATGGGTTGATGTAGTGGACAAGACGAAGAAGAAAAAGTGAAATTTCTTTATGGCCAAAAAAGCAAAACTGAATTCGATGGCGAGGTGTAGAACGTTGAACGATGAACATAATGTATTTTGAGCGATGTTCGTGTTAGACAATACTCGTCAATACTAGTCAATTCAGCTGCTAGATAACTAACTAGCTCAGTATGGTGGATGGTTAATGCATACTGACAAAAACTACCCCTGCATGCCCTAACTAAGCGTAAGTAGCGGCCGGCCAATGACCAGGCTGCAGCTTTTCTTGCGGGCAAGTTTTTTTTGTTTTTAAAACAAGACATAAATAAATACATCCGCTGCATTGCCAGGTACTTCCAAAAATTCGTCCCATCGCCACCATGGGTAACGTCTGGGGACAGCTGTTCCCCCCCGAGCCGCATTTCACCGAGAAGGAAATCCCTTCGCTCGAAGGAGGAGTCTTTATTGTCACTGGGGGAAACTCAGGCGTCGGGCTAGAAATTGTCAAAATCCTCTACGCGCCTGGCGGCACAGTCTACATGGCTGGTCGCTCAGCTCCCAGAATCGATGCAGAAATTGAAGCTATCAAGGCCGCCACACCAGACCCGACAAACCAGCTCAAGAGCCTTCTTCTCGACCTGACAGCGACTTAACTACCATCAACCAGCAGTGGATGCATTCCTTGCGCAAGAATCCCGGCTGGATGTGCTTTTCAACAATGCAGGGATTACTCGCCAGCCCGCTGGCTCGGCCACAAAGCAAGGCCACGAAATGCACATGGGCACCAACTGCTTGGGGCCGTATTTACTGACGAAACTGCTCGCTCCCACTCTCCAGGAGACTACTAAGTCCGCGCCCAAGGACAGCGTACGCATCATCTTTACCTCCTTCGGGAATCGTCGACCTAACGGGTCCTCCAGGGGGTCTCTCCTTTGAGGAACTCAAGCCTGGCCACTTCCACAGTGACATGAACCGCAACTACAGCGCGTCCAAGGCCGGAAACTGGTTTTTGGCTTCTGAATTTGACAAGCGCACTCCGGACGTTGTTTCTGTGGTGCAGAGCCCCGGAACGCTGAAGACCAAGGGCTGGGATGGAACACCTAAGCTTGTGCGAATCATCATGGCGCCGCTGCTTTACCCTCCCAAGTTTGGTGCCTACACGGGGCTATGGGCTTGTCTCAGTGCCGAGGTCAAGAAGGGCGACGGACAGAAGCTCATCAACCCATGGGGAAGATGGCATGAAACGCCGAAGAAGGAAGTTGTTGCCAGCTTGAGCACAAAAGAGGCCGGCGGTACAGGCCTTGCTGCTGAGTTTTTCGACTTTTGTACGAGCAGACCAAGGAACACGCTTGATTAAGCCAACTCCTTACATGTAACCAAAGTAACAATGCCAACCAGTGTAATCAACTAGCCTAGATTAATGCTAGGATGGCATCAAATTTAAATCAATTCTAGTTCTAATTTTCCGCTTCATTCTTATCTTGTTTGTCTGTTCCCGGTTGGGTGACTGAATTCCTGAACACCTTGCAACTATTAGCTACGTATATCTCTTATAAGCTGTAGGGCTAGGACTGTGCATAGGAATATCACGGAGTAGTAGGACCACAGTGGAATCTCCGAAACGTGCCTCAGGCCCAGATTGGAGCGAGCATCCAGAAGCTCTACTTATGTAAATGCCTGGTGGCCACTACATAGGATAAGGGGTACAAAGTATATTTAGCCTCATTATATATATCACTTACACCTAAGTATGGAATACATGTTTGCACAAGATCTACTTCAAACCCCTATTAATTACCTAGCATGTGACTCTAACCGCAACGAGTCGATGTGTTGCCAAGAATACATCGTTTCACAAAAGACGATATAATCTCAAATATATCATTGACTTGACATTCAAAACTCTTTTCTGGGAATATTGCCTGCAGTGGTTGGCACTCAATATTTGCATGCCTCCACCTGCTCATCTATACTTGCCGCCAATGATGTCAACTGAGAACAAATCATTCTACAAGGCATGATATGACTTCAAATGTTGACTCGAGCATAGGTATGACTCTTTCATAGGTATTTAAGTGGCAGAAACATCTGCGATTGGTACGTTTCTACTGCAACAGCAACAGCAACAGCAACTTCTACTCTGTTAGCAACTAGGGCTTCTTTCGATCAGGACGATAACAAAAGCTTGTGAGATACATACACTATGTCTTCTTCTAGGAAAGAAAAAAAAGGAAAAAAAGGTAACAAAGCCATGTCAAACTCTCAATATGCCTTGACTAACATATCATCGTCAAGTTGAAACTACGCCATCCGAGCCAGGGAAGTCAGAGCAGCCTCGAGGGGAAAGCGAACCCTCTGGTCACAGGCAAGCCGAACGGATCTCTAAAACCTCCGAGAGTGACACTCGCACTCGTGTACCTCAAGAAGTCTGGGGTCTTTGTTATTATCTGCCGCGGTGGGCAATCGTGTCGAAGGAAGTACAGCGTCTTCCGCACCTCTGCCAAGTAAAGCAGTACTCTCTACAACCTGTACCTAATGAGGAAAGCCGTCTCCCGAAAAATAGTATCACGGAGCTCGACACTCTCCTGAACCTCTGTGAAGCGCGCTATGAGCACACTGCAGAGCAGAGGCAAAGTGAGAAACTTTCGATCTACTTACTGCTGAAGCATCGTCGTGTACCGCATTCGCCTAACATAGCAAACAACACCTCCTCTGAATGGTGGATTGATTTCCTACATGTAAAGGAGGGGGGAGAGGGGTACGAGCCTGTCAGCTACAAAGGTTCGGCGCAATTTCAATTTTTGGGCGTGGTCGACGGCGAAAATTATTTCTTAATAGAATTAGATTTGAGTCTTTCAACAGATTTCAAATGGTATGAGGAGAAGACCGATGAGAAAAGAATGCTCATTATCTCGGTTGCATATGACAAAGGTGCTGGCAGACCAAAACCGGGCTGCTGTTGGTCTGCTGGTCAAATGATTGGGGTTGCGAGATGAAGACACTTATATATTAGGTAGCTCGCTATCCACCAAAGGTTTTCATTTCATTCAATGTGCTTTAGTAAGAAACAAGTGTTGTAATGGTTACTTTATATTCCACACCAACACTTCTGGCCGGGCCAGGGTGGATAACCCTATGAATAGGTATTTTCTACAAGATTGACTCCAGTTAAAAGTATATCACTGTGCCATCTACCCAGGTAGAAGTAAGTAAGCAGGGTTTCATGCATAATACGAGGAGGTGTTGCTCCATTACGCTACATAAGCTCGTCTATTTTGTGATGGAGTTTCCAAGCAACGCTCAGCTACCATTAGGTATTCAAACAGCACTTGGACTTTCGTGTATGTATATGATATGACTTGGTCCCTACGTAGGAAGACAGCCATCCAATCACACGCACAAAACATATTACATGTAGATCGCGAGCTCGTTGCCAGAATACGAATCGCGGGGCGAAAAAAATGCATACTTACTCCGAAGCACAGATTATGATTTCATGTTTAATTAATTATCTAACATACCTACAATCCAGTGTGCTCGCATCTTGCCTTGGAACGATTCGTACGGCATTGGGATTGACTGCGCTCAAATTATTACTAAATTAGGAAAGAACTCATGGAAAGCAAAGCCCTAATACGCGGCAACCTTCTTGCAAGGAGAAGTTACATACGTCAATCAACATAACTGGCTATACCGAACTGGACGGATCAGCGTATATAGCACTTAGACAGGTAAAAAGTAAGCAAGAGGCCAAGAGCTGAAATGGGTTTTTTTCTTTCTTTTCTTTTCTTTTCTTTTTTGGCGGGGTGGCAGATACGGTCGACGTTACACATGATGACCGTGTCTATCTTTGATTTCTTTTTCTTTCGTACGGAATTAGTCCATTCAGAGCATAAACGACCGTTTTTAGGGTTACTTCTTGTCTAGCAGTGACCACATTCAGCCCTTCATGAAGGATGGTCGGAGTCGGCGAAAAGATGTCTAAAACACCGACATGAAGTGCCTCCACGAATACTCTGAGGAAAAGGAGGGAGGGGTCTTCAGGTATAAAGATGATCTTTGGACACTCTTCTCGAAAACTTGAATCCTTGAAGTCAGCAGCTATTTCATACACCACAGCTCAACACATAATTAAAACATAATCAAACAAACTCTCAACTCTCCTTGACCATGCCTGTTTACCACATCGGTTAGTCAATTTCTATCTGCTGCAGAATATTACAGAATACCTAGGTATCTAAGAAAACACACCAGTCCTCTTCCACCTCAAGCCCGAGGTGACCGACGACCAAATCTCCGAATGGAGCCAAATGGTCAAGAGCCAGCTTGGCCAGGTTCCTGGTACGTTTTCCCACATAAAAAGAGAGAAGGGAGGAGAAGCTAATGAAACCACAGGCCTCATCTCAATTGAAGCCAACAAGCCTCTCCCCGTCGCCGTGCCTCGTACCAAGGGTTACGACATGGCTGTTGTGGCCGTGCTTGAGGGCGCTGAACACGTCGAGGGATATACTCGATATGCTGCTCAGTCTCAGTGCGTTGCAAACCCCTCTTGTTCTCTCATTCTTGTTTTCTCCGAGTACTCGGAATGAGTTCTGACTAATATGCGGATTTGAACCTCTCGTACAGGGCCCAGAGTTTCCGCGAAGCGCTCTTCGATGACACCATTGCTTTTGACTTGGAGTTTTAGACTTATTCCTCAATCCTGAAACCCTGGTGTTGCGATGATCGAGAATGGGGTTGGAAGATGTTACGGGACTATTGATTGACAAGGGTAGTTTGCTTGTATGATGTCCAATTGTATTTCAATAAGTCACATTACTGAATAAAGAATTACCGCATTCCGACTGCTTATCATACTAAGTCAACTGAAATTGCGGCGGGCTTCTTCGTAGAGTAAGTAGATCGTGCGGAAGCTCTATATAGTTAAAGAGAAAACATAAAAAGCCCATCGGTGTCGAAGAAAGGAAAACCCAAACCAATATGAAATCATGACCATGACCTGGAAAATACAACGCCGGAGGATGAAGTTTTAAAACCCATGCGGAATAACTTTTCTGGTGAAAAGAAGCTGATTATGTCTGTTGGTAAACAGCTCAACCTTCCTTGACATCAACTTTCTTAGCAGCATGTGCTCCGTTGCTGTCTTCTTCACGAGCTCGCTTCTGGCCAGAGGCAGATGGGGTTGCGTCTACGGTGCTCTTTATAACAGGAACGCCCCTAGATAATGTGTTAGCTGACGGATACAAAAGAAAAGTTTAGATAAGAATGAAAATGTAGCATACCGAGCGTCCTTGTCAATGGTAGGTTTATCTTCACGGAAACCCTTCTTTTGATCCTCCTTGCGACGTTCCCTCCAATCGCGACGATCATCTCGGTCATTTCGGCCACGATCACTGCGGCCACGATCACTTCGGCCACGACCACGACCACCACGGCCACGGCCACTGTTGTTGCCACGGCCGCTAGCCTTGATTTTCCCAGACTCGATATCCCGGACTTTCTCATCGCAATAATCTTTCTTGCTCTTGATGATCAGGTCTTGGCCCTTCCACTTTGGCTTAGGATCCAAAGCAAGGAATTTTTTCTGAGTCTCCTCGGAGTCAAACTCCACGAAAACACTTCCCTTGAATTTCTTGTCGTAGGCACGACGCAGACGAATGGCATTTGTAGGGCCATGTGGGGCAAAGAAAGCCTCGATGTCAAATTGAGTGGTAGGGCCCTCTTCGCCAAATCCTTTGACATAGACGCTGCGAGCCATGGCCTCGTTCTCGAACACCTTGACAACATTGGGATCGAGGAAGTCATTCACCGACTCGGGAAGAGGCACCTTGCGCCGGATTTGAGTATCGTTCTCGACAAGTTCTAGGGTTTCGGAGGACTTCAATGCCTCAACGATGGCACTGAAGGGTTGGAAACGACGCATGCGCTTGAAACTGTGCAGCAACGAGAGATCTACGGCGTGGTTGGCACTTCCACCGACCTTCTTCAGAAGGAAGTTGTCCATAGGGAGATTAGAGTCGGAGAAATAAAATTCAACCTGAGAGACTTAGTGACAGTTTCTCTTTTTCAGCAAAGCCGCGCTGTACAAACCTGCTTTCTGATCTCGCTTGGATCATCAGTTGTCTTCTGAGAAGTGAAATCGGATTTAATGTTGTCGCGATAGTTACGTGACTTGAAGGGGCGCTCGCTACGCTCCGTCTTCTGTTCAGGCTTCGACTCTTTCACGGCCGATTCTTCACCAAGCTTGGCTGCTTCTGCGACGATACGAGCTTCTTTCGCAGCATCATCCTCTTGAGCGGAAGTCGCAGCTGCGGCGCCATTTTCGGTCTTGTTCTCTTCGCCTCCCTTCAATTCCGCGAGCAGGTCTTTGACGTCCTTCTCAGCATCGGCGTTGGCATTCTGAGGCGCCTCGGTAGCTTTCACTTCACCAGACATCGTGGATAAATGAGAGCGCTGTGCGCCGGACAGGTCAATTCGTTGAAAATAGACAGGAAACACGGGCGGAAAATTCTTGCGCGATTAGGGAGTGAAATCGCAAGAGGGATTCAGAGCAAAAGAAGCATGGGCGCGCGATAAGGGAAAAAAAAAAGAAGTTGCAGAGGTGGGGAAAAATTCAAGCAGCAGCTAGCCTGAGCGGATCACAGCTACGAAAACGGCTTAGCGGCACAGCGGCGCTTTTTATGGCGTTATCGGATAAGCGCTTCATCCTCTGTTGAAAAGCGTATATAAATAGCGATGATCTTGAGAAGGCCATCGACTCACCCTCTTACGAGAGAGTCTTGGCTAGTCTGTTTATAACAAACAAAGGATTTATTCCTCCACAAGTTCTTGTAAAACCCAGATGGTTTTACTAAATGGCCGCTTCTATGCTGGTAGTCGGATTCATGAAAGAATACTCATTCATAGCTCTATGTATACAATTAATCGTTGATACACCACGAATCGCCGATGATCTTGCAAAGCAGGCCTTTTGTGTCCAATATTGAAGACAGCGTCAAACTACTGCATTTGTTCATTGGATGGATGGAGATCTGATGAGGATATGATTTTGAGGCCAAGGCGGTGCATCATTATCAATGCCAACAAATTAACATTTCCCCCAAAACAACCACCTGGTCCTGGCATCTGTTACACTGATAATAGGAAAAGGGATAGGTCCAACCTTTTTTGCGAGAGGCCGGGGTCAAGGAGTGGAGGTTCTAATTGTTTAGCGTACGCATGTGTATCATACGCCTAGTTCTGTTCGATGCCTTCCTGACGGGTCACCTGATTGCGGCGTGCTCCAAAGGGCTGCTCTTTCCCCAAAGAACAGAATGCCCAAAGAGGAAGGCGCTGCTGCTCTGACCGGGAATGGGCATGTTCACTTCACCCCCGGCCTCCTTTCTCGCTTCTGTCCTTCCAACATCGCATCTTTTATCATCAATTCACACATCGTTTGCTTCACTCTGTATCAATCACTGCTCTTGTGACATGTCAAACACAGAACGGTTTCCTTCCTTCCGGCTTTCAGAAGTAGAAGCTTGCTCATTGCTCCACGATGGGCGACGCCGAGAGCGACAGCGTGCCTCAAGGCCAGTGGTCTGTGGCGGATGTGTGTTATGTATTGCCAGCTGCATTGGTTATTTTGCTTATCTGACTTATAGATTGTCTACATTACCTTGGTTTCGCCCCTCATGTTGGCGGCTTTCCTTGAATGGTTCCTCTGGCTCGCTGCGTTTCTCTTTGGCCTGGTGAACGTGTGCCGGAAAGCCGATCACTGGAGTACTCGTGTGATAGCAGTACTTATGATGCTTCTATTTTCAGTACTTCGGTATGTCTGGACTTGCTTATTCTGTCGTCAAATGCGGCTGGCTAACTTTCTTGCACAAGAGCGATTTTTCTGCCCGTGATGGTCGTCACTCTTCCTTTACCACTCGTAATCACTCGTCATTTCCCCTGGCCCATGGTCTACTTCCTCCAATGGTTCGCGTTTTACACCTTCTCGATAATACTCTTGGTTCCATGGGTTCTTTGCATGTACAGACTTGTGACAAACGAAATCGGACGCTCCAACAGAGTCAAAGAAGTTTTACACGAAAGTAACACACCAAAGGTGGTCGTGGTCATGCCTGTCTACAATGAGGAACCTGGTGTTCTGATAAAAGCTATCGACTCTGTGGTTGGGAGCGATTACCCTTCGTCATGTCTCCATGTCTTCTTATCCTTCGACGGAGAGCCGACAGAACGGCTTTGGAAACTGGTCGCTACGCAATTGGGGATTCCTGTTAGTGCTAAGAAAAAGAACCAGAGTATCGACGTTATCTACAACTCCGTTCGCGTGACGGTCAGCAGATTTCCTCACGGTGGTAAGCGGCACTGCCAAAAGAGGACTTTTAGGCTCATTGACCGAATATACGTCGACTACCTTGCATACAATGATGATTTGTTCATCCTTTTCATTGACTCAGACTGTATTCTAGACAAAGTATGCATCCAGAATTTCATGTATGATATGGAGCTGAAGCCGGGGAGTGGGCATGACATGCTAGCGATGACAGGAATCATCACTTCTACAACACAGAGCACTTCCTTGATTACAATCCTGCAGGATATGGAATACATTCATGGGCAGTTATTTGAACGCTCGGTGGAGTCTACCTGTGGTGCAGTGACTTGTCTTCCTGGTGCTCTGACCATGCTGCGATTCTCGGCATTCCGAAAGATGGCCAAGTATTACTTTGAAGATCAGATTGATAGAATTGACGACTTCTTCGATTACATCAAATGTCATTTGGGAGAGGACCGCTGGCTGACGCACTTGTTTATGGTCAGCACTGTGAAGCGGTATCAAATACAGTTATGCACTGGGGCTTTCTGTAAGACCGAGGCTGTACAGACAATGAGCAGCTTGATAAAGCAGCGTCGCCGCTGGTTCCTGGGATTCATCTCCAATGAGGTGTGTATGCTTACCGACGTGAGAATTTGGCGACGCTATCCTTTGCTGTGTATTATTCGTTTTATGCAAGATACCATTCGCACTACAGCCCTGCTATTCTTTATTATGATTCTTTCAGTGTCAACCACGTCTAGCAGTCTCGTGATCTTGCCGCTCGGATTTATTGCTATCTCATTGGGGTTGAATTATGCATTGATGCTCTATTTCGGCTATATTCTGCACAGATTCAAGGCGTGGCTATACCCGTTGATGTTTTTGCTCAATCCTTTCTTCAATTGGTTATACCTTGTCTATGGATGTTGTACGGCAGGTAAGCGTACATGGGGTGGGCCTCGAACAAATGCACCCAAGGCAGATGAACACACCTCGCCTCGTGAAGCTGCAGAACAAGCAGAAGCTCAAGGCGATGATCTCAACGTGGACGTCTCCACCTTCCGCGAATATGGTCATGCCGCTATAGGCGTTCCGTTGCACCCAACAGAAAGTGCAGCAAATCGCTTGGTGAATAACAATCAAGATGAGCTCTATGGCACGCATCATGACTCTGAGCTCGCTCTTGTGCATCATAATGCAGGAGACCCCACCGTACCAAGGATCCCCCTACATCCACGAAACTCCTTCGATTCTGCCATGACTGAAACCTACAGTATCCAGCTTCCGCTCCGTGTGGAAAGCCTTATGGACGAAGAAGAAATGCGAAATTTTTATCCCTCTCGTGAGACTAAGCTGATGCCAGAAAAGGACAAAGATGAAGAAAAGGGCACGACTCAGTCTTCACCGACTTTACCTGGGCGTCTACATCTTGATGGTGAAACGAGTGTATCGGCTTCGACGGAGACCAACATGGATTCCGTTAAACAACTAGCACCTTTGCATCTTACTCGGAGCCCGCTAGGCCTCCATAATACAGTTCCTGAGGAGGAAGATCCAGAGAACACTGCACGAATGCCGCTGTTCGGCGGGACAGGCAGGAGATCAACGAGGAAGTCAGACAAGAAGCGACGGCATTTGTTCACGTTGGGGAGAAGGTCGGGCGACCAGTGATACCAGTGATCAGAAAGAAGTTTCTTAACTTGACTCTACGGCAAGCCCATTAACTTCTTCATTTTATATGGAGATGACAATGGGCGATGCATCATTATAACGTGCAAACTGCATACATAGACATAGATTACCAGTTATGGTTACGCTCTTTTGGTTCTTACATTTATCCTTCCAAGAGCTCATCATGTTCGTTCAGTCACTTTCGGTATTGATAGAAGATAGACTTCAATTCATTTTTTCATACCACGAGCAATAGGTACCTAAAGGTAGTATACCTATATTCCTACCTAAGGTAATAGAGTAGGACGCTGAGCAGGTTGTGAGCCTCCATGGATATCTACTAGAGCCTACTGACACCGGCACCCTGGGTTATATAGGCCTTTTTCACAAGAACTCAGCTGCTAGGCAACAAAATCGCTCGATATTAATTTTGATCACATGAAAGATAACACTCCCACCTACCTAGGTACAATGTAATGCTATTGGGGTTTTACTAGATTCGGCCATTTGGGTTCGCCCGAAGCCGATGCAGCTGCCGGAGCTGCGGAACAACTCACGATGAACGTAGATTAATCATAAATTACCTAGGTAAGTATTGTTAGGATTCTCCCTTGGTAACCCCCTTGTCGCAATATCTAATCACCTTTACTTCCTAGTTCTAATGACTCTAAATCCCTCTAGGACATGCGCGCCTTGTTGGTCCAATTGACTTTCCCGATAAGTATTAAAACCAAGACGATCCGTCTTCGTTTTTCGGATTTGCTTGGACGGTTATGGATGGATATAACAGAATGGAGACAGTCGTTGACAAGCCACTCACTCTGAAATGCGGCCTTACCTTGACCAATCGCCTGGTTAAAGCCGCAATGGCGGAGAATATGGCGCCTAAAAGTGGCCTGCCAACTGAGCGGTTCAACATCTCCTACGGGGAATGGGCGCGTGGTGGATGGGGCATGCTGCTTACAGGTAAGTGAGCTCCATGTCCTTCATTATTACCTGGAAGAACTACTAATTCGAAACAGGTAACGTCCAGGTCGACGCTGATTACTTGGGGAATGTGGGAGAGGCTTCTGTCGACCCGTCTCTTGAGCCCGAGCTCTCAATGGCGTGGAAAGAGTGGGCATCGGCGTGCAACAGCCATGGAACGCCCACGCTCATGCAGCTTAACCATACAGGCAGACAGTCGCCTATCATGGCTGGGAAGCGAGGGTTGTGGACCAAAACCATAGCTCCAAGTCCTATTCCCCTGGACATGGGCCCCTTTCTGCTAGCAAAGGCGCTTGTCCCACTCGTATTTGGTACTCCCCGCGAGATGAGCCAGGCTGATATCAACAAGGTGATTGAGCAGTTCACCTATGCGTCCCGTAAAGCGGCCGAGGCAGGGTTTCAGGGTGTTGAAATACACGCAGCACACGGATACCTATTCTCTCAATTCCTTTCATCCAAAAACAAACAAAAGGACTGACGAATACGGGGGTTCGGCTGCAAACCGCGCGCGAATAGTTGTGCAGACCTTGGAGTCGATTAAACGGGCAGTCCCGGCGGGCTTTTGTGTTGGCATCAAGTTCAATTCTGTAGACCAACAATCCACCGACGAGCTTCGCGATTGCATTGAACAGCTTAAACTCATTGTTGCTACTAATATCGACTTTGTTGAGATCAGCGGCGGAACATGGGAAGACCCCAAGGTAAGCCGATGTCTAACTACTGGCAGGTTACAGATGACTAATTTCTGACCGTTTGAGCAGATGATGTCGAATGTAGATTACGATATGCGCAAGGCAAAATCAGAACATACCAAGGCACGGGAAGCTTTCTTCCTGGACTTTGCCAAAGCGATTCGCAACGAATTCCCCTCAATACCGTTAATGGTGACCGGTGGTTTCCGCACACGTTCAGGCATGCGAAGCGCCGTTCAAAGCGGAGGCTGTGACTTGGTAGGCATCGCTCGTCCCGCTGCGATACTCCCTCAGTTACCCAACGATATCATCTTCAACCAGAAGGTGAATGATGAAGACGCGGTATTGCCTTGTAAACATCTTGAAACCCCTCTGTTGGCCAAGGTCACAGGCATAAAAGCAATTGGCTCTGGCGCAGAGAGCGTAAGTATCATTCAGGTCCCACGTCAGGGCTCATACGTTAACAATGGTTTAGAAATGGTACGGCCTCCAAATATCAAAGATGACTCGGAATGTCTGATGATACAAGCACGCCGACATATTCCTCGCTTCGAAAAAAACACAAGCATCGTTATTTTTGACCCCTTTTGTACCCATAATGTAATAAGTTAAATACAACACAGGACAGGATGGAGTGCCAGCAGTGGCGAGCGTAAACGGCGGTACTGGTACTACAGAAATACTACCAATCCAGACAATTAGAATCTAGAATAGATTTGATTTCTCAAGTTCGCTACTGTGTATGGTAATTCGGCAGTGGTTGGCGGCATTTGGTACGGCGTCGTGCCATCTCAATGATACCGTACAACGATGGTGGGATGCACCTGGAAGAAAGTGATGTGGTAATAATACCTGCTTTCTAATGATATGGTGGACAGATTATGGTAGGTAACTGGCGCTGATGGCTGGGGTTCACTTATCACTCACTCGCTAATTACTTAGAACGTGGATCTAGGTGTTGCTTGTAAATTATGCTTTTGATTCCCTTTGTATGTCCTAGTTACGTAATGTTTAACTTATTACTCCTTTCAAACATACCCAGGTATGCGAATACCGAGACCCAATGAAATGGCCTGACGTCCAACGCTTTCAGTTGAAGCCTACTTACTGCAAGCTCAACCCAACTTCGGAAAGCCGAGACGAAGGGGGAAGAGGTTGTTTTGTAAATAGAACATACTGAGTGGCTCCACCTTCTACAATAGGTAATTTTTCGGCATCAATGTCTGGGGCATTGGTCATGTGACCGTGCATGCCCTTAAAAGACATGTTTGTTCCTTTTCTCAGCCGACTTCTCAATGGTTGCAATCTGCTGCGACGTGGCCGTCACATGGAGGATACAATGAGTTTGAGTTCTATCTGGTATGCTACCTTGACCCTTGCCTAAGAGAGCATTCACCGTTACAAGGCCTGTAGATCTGCCGCTACCCATCTTGAAAACTCTCTGTTTCGTTCTTGCTAGTAGTCAATCATGCTGCTAGGAAGGTACGGGAATATTTCCGTGGGGAGTGGACAGGGATTCCTGTGCGAGAATGGATCGATTCGAGGACCGTTCAACAAATATAAGTAGGGACAAAGAACCCAGAAAAAGCATCAACTTTCGGTGATTTTAGGAAGAATAAATGCTCAGGAATGTATTACTTCTAGACCTTCTTCCAGCTAGTGCTCCGGTCTATGATGGAAAGGGTGGAGGCTCGTCAGGTCACAATGCCACATGTAGTCTCGATGAGTACTCAAGCTATACAACCCTAGCGGAGCACCCTTCTGCAGGTAATTATTTTGTCAGACTCTGTTGGTAGAAAGACCTTCTTCTTCTCCTCCTCCTCCTCTTCTTCTTTGACTCCACTCGGAAAACGAATAACGAAACGTGGCAATCGTGACTTGTGACATATCCTCTGGGCCATGCAATAGTACTGTGATGATGACTTCCCTGTCTTGCTAGTGCAAAGGCCTGGTGCGACAGAAATCAGCTCAAATGACAATACCGTACTGGCAGAGCCTGTGCAAAAATTTGAGTTGACACTAATGTGCTTGACTGCAATCGAAGTCGATGTGACGAAAACATACATCGATTCTTTATCTTGGATTGACCCAGAGCACTACAGCACAGCAACCACCCGCACGATTGAATCCCCGGTCCTATTCCTACTACAAAAGATCCTACAATCCTTACTTATTTCAAGCACTCTCTGCTACTTCGTGGGGTATACAGCTAATAAGTGACCCAGGTACCAGATATATTATGTTATCCCCAAGTACAAGAGATTTGGCTGGGGACTGGGGGATAGTGGGGGGGTTTATTATTGTCCTAGGCATGGGATCCAAGGCATGGTCAGTCTGTTGATATGAAGTGCTGCAAATTGGCAGAATTGAGATTGGATTATGTAACCCCGCCAGATTTTCTAGAAAACGTATAAGATCATTCATGAATCGCTTGTTGACTGCGAGGCATACGATACGAGTGACGAGTTGAAATGCCAAGTTCCGAAGTAATGCAGTGAATCTTTTTGCTGGGATTTTGCATAATTGCTAAAGTTCAAGGATTTGAGTAACTCTCTCAAAATCAGGGGAAAGTGGACTAAAATGCTAATTAAATCATTGATTGCTTGCATAACTTAACTACTCGCAGTCTAGCACGTTGCTAGTACTGCGTAGTCAGGAACGCCACATCAGCCCACGCCAGTGCCATGATCGAGACGCGCAGGGAGACAAAGGAAAATCCGCTCAAACGAAGCATAGCGAAGTTCAGCTCGTACAGGGATACGAAGCACGTAGTATGGATATCCCTGCTTGATTGTTGTGGTAAGTAACCCTAAATCCCCCCCCTTTTGGGCTGCCGGGATTTGATTTAGATCGCAAGCAGAACAGAACATAAATGTCAATCTTAAGAGGGCAAGCAGATCTCAGGCCAGGATACAGACGTGAATTGCACGTTCTGATTGGGCTGGTGCCCTGATAGATATTAAAGTGGCGCCGACTGCAGCTGAAACGGTTTCGAATTCAGGGTGAGCGGTGAAGATAGCAGCCAGGAATGTCCGTCTCGCTTTTCTATATGCTGCTGGCCAGGGCCAGTTTCCACTGGCCCCCGCTTAATTTCCATATCTACACAGTCAGAAAGAAACTGCCAAACTGTTTCAGGCGCTCCACTGAGAACCACGGTTGTGCGCTGGCTTCAGCCCTTGCAATGGAATTATTGCCCGGGACAATGTCGTTACCTCGCTCTTCTACTGACGGGAATCATCAAAAAAAAAATTAATAAAATAGCTAGCATTCGTCAACTAATAGTCGCAGATACGTATGTCGATACTATTATAGTAAGTGGTACGTACTTGTACATCGCTTGGCGGCAGAGCAACAGCGCTAGCCGAGCCTGGAGCGGCTGCCAAATCATCACGACAACTAAACACCGCCTGCCCCCTCGCAACTTCTCCTCCGTCTTTCTTTTCTCTCGTCTCGAAAAGTCTCTGCGCTTCTCTTGTCTCGTTTGTCTTGCTTGTCTGGTCCGCTCCTGTCTTTGTCCCTGCTTTTTATTCTCCATCTCAAAGGCCTTTCCCCGCCTCGCCTCTCGGAACTCCTGCGCGCACTGACCTGACTCGACTCGACACCGGGGGCTTCCTCTCTCTCCCTACGACGGTCGCCCTCATATCAGCGAGACGACAGACGAATCTGACAGTTCGCCCGACGCAGGTTATAGAGCTGTTCAGCCTCCGCCTTCTTTGGGTGCTGTCAGCGCGCGGGTTATACCAGTCTGTATGTACCCCCCTTCTTCAGTACAATATCTCTCGAGCAGCGATTCCTCTACGCCGAGCGGCATCCTCGAGGAGCTGTAACTTTTCTGCTCGCCGGATATGAAAAGGCAAACAAAAATAAAAGTCCGGTTACTGATAATCGTCTGCCACCATTCTAGAATCTCATCAACGTCCACCTCCGCATACTGTACAATATAACGACCCTTCCATGCGCCGACTCGAATAAGCTCGGGAGTCTCTTTTCGTGTGTCGCGGCACATATTTTCAAGAAAGCAGACAATTGCGCCTACACCCACTAACCCTTGGAGCTGTCTGAAAAAAAAAAGTTATATAAAATGGATTCGCCTTCAGAATCACCCATGGAACAGGAGGATATTCCCTACCCTTGCAAGGGCTGTGGAGAAGTATGTATTTGCGCGGTGTTTTTTTTTTTTTGGGCGTGTGTCGCTGACGGTTTCTTCTCGTTCAGATACTTGAGGAAGGAAAAGCATTCGAATTAGGTGAGTTCCCTCGTACCCTGTTTTACATTGTCGTGCCTTGCTGATTATTTGGATCATAGCCGGTAATAGGTGGCACATTGATTGTTTCCGATGCAACACCTGTAATACTCTCCTGGACTCTGACGCTCACCTACTGCTCCTCGGCGACGGTTCCTTGATATGTAGCAATTGTACCTACAGTTGCAGCTCTTGCGGAAACAAAATTGAAGATCTGGCGATTCTGACAGGCGACCAGGCATTCTGTGCCAATTGCTTCAAATGCCGAAACTGCAAGAGGAGGATTGAAAACCTCCGCTATGCCCGAACCTCCCAGGGTATTTTCTGCATGGATTGCCATGAGTCGCTCATGCAACGACGTCGCAAGAAAAAGACGGCCGCGAAGAAACCCAATGCCATATATGACAAGTCGCTTCCTTCCTTGCCTCCGAGCTTGATGGAAAGTCGTGAAGAGAAGCTTCCACCGAGAGAGTATTCCGCTTCTCCCGATGTTCCTTCCCGGAATTATGTTTCAGAAGAACGAGGCTCCAGCCGTGGTCCGGCTGATGCCTCGCCTGCTCCACAGCCAGAGCAACCTCCAGCTCAAGGTAAGAAGCCTCGAGCAATAGAAAGTCAACTCCGTGCTAAGATGTTTTCTTCTTCAGACAATCTTATCCTCCCGTCAAGTGCGTATCGCCCTGATTCTCACAAACGTCAGTCCGCCATGTCTACAAAGTCGGAAGTGGATGCCGGGGATGAATTTTTGATACCAGTCGCGTTCGACCCAACTCCCGACGAGCGCGTGTCACCGCATAGCGAAAGCATACCGGCTTCAGATGGCCCACGTTCTGCGCCGCGAGATTACTTCGACAATTCGAAACCAGCGTCATCCTCTCGCCAGGTCTCGTCCGATCGCACACAGACCACACAATCACCCTCCCCTCATATTGCCTTCCAAGAAAAGGGACGCCTGCCTCTACAAGCTGATCAGAGTCGATGGCGCCAGCAAGACTCGACGTCAAAAGTGGCTCATAGCAAGACTGATGGCAGCGACGGCTTCAGATTGCAGGAAGCTCCCAGAGGAAGAAAGTCGGCATCAAACCGTAGTTCCAAGTCCGATCTTAGCGGGGCGAAAGAAGGAGCATCCATTTCGACAAGCTCACCTGGAGCTGGTGCTGCAGCACCCACAGATTCTTCCAGAGCTCCTCAGACCTTTCCTGAAAGACATACGAGCCCTCCCGTGTCTTCATCAACGCCATCAGTGCGATCGCCCGACCAAACTCGCAACAGTAATACCGAAAGTGAACCTGACCGAGTGGACACTAGCAGGTCTATCCCTAAATCCAACACAGTGCAATTTCCGCCCAAGCGAGGAGACTCACTGGAGCATTATGTTTCCAGCCAGATCCATCGCAAGGACGTTGGATCTGGTCCCAAATCTGCACCCAAGGTTGGTGAGAGAACTGTGAATACTGGAGCGGCGTCTAAAAATGACTCAAAGGATTCACCTGATATATCCCGTTCGTTGACTCATTCACAAGAAGGGACAGAAGAGTCAAAGGACGTGTCTACAAATATTAATGATGCGCCCGTTTCCTTGGACAACCATCATACCCGCAACGGGTCGAATATTCCTCCTCCCTCGGACATCCAAAACAATCTCAACTTATCGCCTAGGTTATTGCGTTACAGTGGCGGCGGTGATTTCTCATTGGACGAGGAAATGTCTAGGATTCTAGGCGTAGAGATTCAACCAGACACGAGCGAATCTTTCATGAGACGAGTTTCGAACTCGGTGCGCCATGGCCGGAGTTACAGTGACAAGGGCTCCCGCATGTCAAAGGACGGCAAGTGGCCCAGGTCTCCAGCCAATGGTGGCACTTTTGCACATGACATCAGCAGCCCTACCAGCCCTAGCTCTCCTGAAGAACTGGAAAATGTCAGTTGGCTAAAGAGCGAACTGCGGAGAGAGCGCCAGCGTGCAGTTGAAAAAGACCAGAAAATTGCAGAGCTTGAGAAGGCATTGAATGCTCAGGCAGATGTGAAACAAGCTAACAGTGAACTACGCGAGAAGCGTTCAACTATGGTTGTTCTGGATACTAAGAAGGAAGTTGTGATGCGTGAGCTAGCAGTAATCACAGAACATCTTGAAACCGAGAAACATGGTGCTGCCCCTATGGATCTGGCAAAGTTGACAAACAATGTTGTTCGTGGGTTTGCAGAAAAGCTACAGCAGCTCAAGGACTCATACGGCCCACAGATTGAAGAGCTCATGCAGAAAAAGAATGAGATTGTGGAGGAAGTGGCAAATCTTTCACGCATGAAGGACAAGAGTTTCCAAGAATTTGAGCAGTTGTCGTCAAAGAATGCCCAGCTAGCAGAACTGAATAACCAGCTCGTCAATCAAATACAAGGACTCTACAAAGCCAGCTCGACCACTGATTCGTCCCGCTCCACGAACGGACTGGGCATCTACTCGCACAACAAAGAGAGATCCACGAGCTCGGTTGATGGCACTAAATCAAGTGACCTTGCGACTTCGGTTTCCACCATGACGATTCATGATGAGGTCGAACCTGCCACCATTGTTCCTGGGCCGCAGGTTGTCAGTATTCGCAAAGGACAAGTGCGCAAGTTCAACTGGAAACGAGGTGGTCAGTCGGTTGCCAAGGGTGTCAGCAAAGGTCTTAAAGCCTTTGCAGGCGAGAAGGAGATGATGGCTGCCGATGGCACAATTCAAACTGTCGAGGGACCAGCGCCACTGCCTCGCTCTCAAACGCAGGAACCACGGTTTGGTTTCTTTGGGAACCAGAAGAGACAAGCAGCGTGGAAAAATCAACAGAATGGCAGCTCACCAGCACTGGGCGATAATGCGTCTCTGAACAGTGATAGTAAGCCTTTTTTTCAAATTATCCTCTCTGCCCTTGCTGTTTTACTTACTTTTTGTTTAGGTCTTTTTGGAGTCGACTTGGAACAACGATTAGAACAAGAGAAAAGCATCATTCCTTCTGTGGTCACACGCTGTATTCAAGAGGTTGAGCTGCGAGGTAAGTTATTTGCACTGTGTGGTTATGTTGTCGTCGATCTACTGACACTGTTGTCGTAGGAATGGACGAAGAAGGCATTTACCGAAAATCGGGGGCTTCGACTGTCACTCAGAATATCCGCGATGGTTTTGAGCACGCAAATGACTTTGACATTTCCGATCCAGATCTGGACATCCACGCCGTGACATCAGCTCTTAAACAGTACTTCCGCAAGCTGCCCACGCCGCTGATTACATACGATGTCTACGATAGTGTTCTTGAAACCAATGATGTTTCCGGGCAACAGAGTCGCATCGAAGCTCTACGTGCATCTTTGGAGGGGCTTCCACGCGTTCATCGCGACGTGCTAGAGTTCCTTATATTTCATCTTAAGCGTGTCGTAGAGCACGAAAAGACGAATCTCATGACCAGCCAGAACATTGCCGTTGTCTTTGCTCCAACTATCATGAGACCAATAGACATTGCACGTGAGATGACAGACGTCCAAAAGAAGAACGAAGCACTGAAGTTCCTCGTGGAAAATTGTCAAGAAATCTTCATGTAACAACAGAATTTCTTTTGATTCCAGCTATATTTTCCCGACAAACGGCGTTTTATCTATTCGAGCGACGTTTTCGAAATGGAGGTCGCCAGGAATTTTTCTTTCCTCTGCCTTCCTTATATGATGAGCGTTAGTTCTTATGAGCACCAATTGGGCGTTATCATTTCTTCTTCTAACTTCCATTTCATCCATTATTTGTATTTATTCATGATTATACCCATTATTATTTTTCTATATTTTTGCCGACTTGGCACGGCATGTGTCTTTTTCTTATTTTTCCTTTCTATTTTACTTATTGATAAATATAAGAGCGCTGGATCGTTCTTATGTTCTAGATATTTCGATACCTTTACAAGAAGGAGTTGTTTGTTTCGGATGGTTCATTGATTTTTGTTTCCCCTGTGGTATTTAGTCATACATGCCACCCACCCTGGCAATCTAAAGTATTTATATGAAATGGTGATATTTTATATTTATTCTAATAATCATACACATTTGTAGTTCGATTTAATGATCGATCTTCCAAAATTATTCTCTACTTAACTTGCGGTGTTTCGAGTTGAAACGAATCGTCATCGTCATTGTAAATACTTGAAGATGTCCCTGTTCCCCCACCCGCTGTCGCCAGAAGATCAGAGACGATTCGTTTGGATGCTTCTTTGGCTAGATACATTCTTAGTTTGGACAAAGAGACACGCGAAGAGAAAAGAGGGAGGGGAGGGGCAAACCTGGAGTCTTCATCAACCGACTATGCGGAATATGGAATTGCATGGTCTTGGGCGGACTAACACCAAGACCAGTAGCTGTATCATCGTCGTCGTCGTCGTCGAATTCGGCGCCGAATCGGTCGTCGGCGTCATCATCGCTGTCCCAGCTATTATTTTTGTTCTTGTTGTTGCCGGGTGTTAGGACACTGGTACCGGGTCTGGGAGTGGTGCGGCTTCTCTGTGGTTTTATTCTTGTCCGGGGGGTATTTGGGGTTCTGGTATTGCTGTTATTCTTTCTGGCGTTAATGGGCGATGCGAAGATCTCTTCATGGAGTTTGGGGGCTTCGAGTTCCGGACTGGAAAGAGGCGAGGAGTCGTAAGCGGGTTTTCGTTTCGGGGTCATGACGGAGAATTTGGTTGGTTTGAATGTTCCTGCTGCCCCTGCTCCCAAACCTGCACCTTTCTTGGAAAGTGGCGTGGCTTGAACACGGTAGGTCTTGTCGAGGACATGGTGCAGAATCGGGTCGGTGGGTTTCTGGTAGTAATTCTTCATTGTGGACGTTGATGGCTGCTGGTTGCGGGAGGAGGTTGTCGGCGGAGGAATGAATGGAGATGACATTGGAGTATCACTCTCGACATCAGCAGCGGATTGGTGGTATCGGCCTGCGTATCTGCCGGGGGTGACGGGCGCATCATTATCTGGCAGAGTCGACTCGTCATGTTCTCCAAGTCTACTGTTTTCTTCGCCGTAGGTTGTTGGAGGAGAATAACCGCCCATAACTGACGAGGATGAAGGTGTCTCATCACCGCCACCAAGCTGAGCCATTTTACCCGGGGCTCGAGGGGTGCTATGAGATGGAGATATCGTGAGCGACGAGAGATCCAATTCAGACTCGTCAGGATGTTGATGGTGTCCAAGGTCAAGGTGTTCCGACGAAGGAGTTTGGTATGATGCCACTTCCTCTTCTAGGCTGCTTGTGTTTTGTGTTATGTTTGTGGACGACTCTTCCTCCGTAATGGTTGTTGCTGTCTGTTCGTGCTCCGTCGTGTCCTCATTTGGATTTTCCTCGTAACCTGATAGGGAGACATTGGCACTGGCCTCGAAGAATTGTTTCCAGAACTAAGATTGTTAATTGATACGTCATGCGATTTTCCATGGTTGGGATCTCACTTTGGCTCCTTCCCAGACATCCTTCGAATGCTCTGCGTACTGCTCAACGATGGGTAGGATGCTGGTGGTGACGATTCTATGGGCGCGCGAGAAGTTGCTGTCAATTTCTGCAGATCAAATTCCAAATTAATTTTCCTTTCGAATGCTTGATCGAACCTGTGTAGCGCGGTGCTTACCTTGCAAAGTCAAGGTGATTGACTGCTCCAATTTCTCCAGCTCCTCTGTGAGAGTTAGATTGCGCTGCGCAGGGCCAGACATGGTTGGCTTTGATTCGCCAAGAAGAGGATCAGTAGAGGTAAAACTGCGTGACAGGTATGAAAGCCAGAAAATGGAAAGGACTGGGTAGACGAGAGAGGGAGGGGGGGAAGAGAGAGTATACGTATTTTGGTCGGTGGAGACTGTATACAAAGCCCAAAACGGACGCGTTCTAGGGCACCCAGAAGGGGCTATTGCCAATCACGTGGGGGGCCGTGCGGGGTGGGCTGCTTATCCAGCGGGCTTATCTAATCCTATCCGGGACATTCGGGGATAAGAGAGAAGAAGGCAGCAGCAGTCAAATCAGTCGACCCATCAATCAAAGAAATGCCCATGAGGTTTATATTCCTTGTCGATTGTGCTGGCTTCTGATTACACTGGCTATACCGACTACAGGATTCTGATAGAGCTTTTATGTCACAACATTTGATCTTCACCAGTTTAGCGTGAGGAAAGGTGCCGGCATTGCGCGCAAGGCTACCTCTAGAAAAAGCCTCCCAGCGGCTTTTTCTTAGCGATTGATATATTCTTCCCTCTATTTTCTTTCTTTTTTTCTTAGGACTTTCTCTAAAATTAAACTTGATTGAAGATATGCCAGCTCCTCTAGCAAAAGGTTCGTTTGACTATTTCACTACCCGACTGGATTGCGTCACTCAAATCGAGTTTCAAACACCGTATCTAATCACTGACTGCATCATCTAGGAATCATCGTGGGCGTGTCTGTCCTGGTTGCAGCAGGCATTGCCGTCTACGAAAGCCCACAGTTTCGACGATGGGTTGACCAGTCTCGCCGGAAGATAGCGATTGCTCTTTACAACCTGGGCGATGAAATCCATCCCCGGGAGCCAGTTTCCCAAGACATCTCTATGACTGAAGAAGCAAGCGAAGCTGCCATGGAGCGAAGGCGTCAGGCTCGGGAAGAGATAGCACTACGCCGGGAGTTAATGCAATCGCGCAGAGATACCCGGACAAGCAGTGCGGCGGTCAGTTTTGATGCACTAGTGGACCAGGACGGCAGGCTGCGATCTGGAGCAGAAGAAGGAGACGTTACCCGTGGAATTGTTGACGAGAAGGATGATATTACAACTGCTCATTCTACTGCGCTTGACTCCAGTCGTTCGACATGGCTGCACAAACGCGGCGGAGGATCTCCTGAGCCAGAAGCTCTTACTGATGCACGCCTCCAAGCGCAGCGTGAAATGATGGAAGCCATAGAAAGAGATCGTCTTCATCTTTATTTGCCATCTGAAACCCCGTCTCATCACCCTTCCGAGTCTTTGATTGATCTCACACCCACATCCGAATTTCCCGAGCTCACGCCTTCACCATCCAAGCAGGACCGGATTGCCAATTCCGAATATTTCTCGATTGCATCGCTTCCAAGCTCGACGCACAATGACTCGGACATTGGACAATCCGGGTTTTTCTATGCACATCCGAATCAGTCGGAAGATCGTTCCTCTGCAGAGAGTACACATCCAGAGGCAGACCCTTTTCAAGATCACGATTTGTCAGCCGCTTCATCTGTGGCGGGGAGTCTCGAGCACGTCCACCATGATGTCTCTTCCGACGGGACATTGAGCGAATGGGGACAGCACACGGATGGAGCACTGACTCCTGCCAGCTGGTCCGAGGTAGGCAGTGTCATTAGCAGTGACGATGAGCATCATCATCAATAGACTGCTTTTTACAAGCACTTTCTACGTGAAGCATCGACATGGGTATTGGGACTGGGTAAACCTCGCTGCTGATGGTCGGCGTAGGCAGTTTGATATTGGACCGGCGTTTGTTGGAGTAATCAGATCTTGCGAGTCAATCTTTAGCTTTGATATCATTCATTACCACGATCTCCCTAATCTCCTGGCAAGGAAATGCTCTGATTGGCCGGCTTCCGTAAGCATTTAGCGCCCGCACGCGGAGTTAGGCGATGATTCATACGCCGTAACACTGGCTGCTAAGAAGAAGTACAACTCAATGCTTGGTATCCATAATGCCACTATCTCGCCCATCTAACTATGACCACGAACATGACGAATGGGTGCTATAGTGAACCGCTAGTTACTGAAAGTTACGTAGTAGAGGCCTGAAAGCGGCCTGATTCCAGAGGCGTCAACGAGTCATTGAAGCTCCACCGACTGTCCAATCAGCAGCTGTTAGTGGGGCGCAGCATCTGGAACTAACCTGTTAGGGCAGGTATGCACGCGCCCACGACCGGCGGCATGCAATCAGATTATCTTCCCAGGACTTTCGTCGGTCTTGTCGCTGCTCGTGCAATTGGCCATGAATCCGCATGGCAGCCTCGCGTCCAAGGAAATGCCGCCCTTTTGCTCCCTAGCGCTCTCTTGGTGCTATCGTTTGCGAAGGAATGCCTGTATCATGGCCATCCATTCCAGCCAACATCCCTGACACCGATTCTTGGCGTATCTCGGCATGTCAAGGGATTTGCCCATATTTCAATTTCAGTCTCGTGTCTTCATTCCTCTCCCTTTCCGGAGATGGGAATTGCACCTTGTTTTGTTTTGTTCGATCTGGTCTTCCCCTGCCGATCCGATCTATATAAGAGGGCAATGAGAGGAACAATGGTCATTGGCCATAGAAGATGAGGACAATAACGACGATGTTGATGAAAACGAAGATCCGGAGAATCTTATTCGGCGTCGCCATCGGGCCGCTGTCCTTGTCGCATATCGTGACCGCCGCGCCAGCACCGGCTCACGCAGAAGCATCACAACCGCCGCCGCCGCCCGTTCTCGAGGGCATGAATTACCTGACTTTGAATCGCTCCCTCGAAGACAAATATTTCCACGAGCCCGTGGGACATGAGCTGGGAGCGGACGACCGACTAGGCCACTACGACGTGCGATACTTCCATGGGATGGTGACCGAAGAGGAAAGGGCGGAAAGTTTGCATCACATGGTAATAGCTTATTTGGACTTTTTCCGCCTGAACGAGCTGGAGACTTGGATCGCCCATGGAACACTGTTGGGCTGGTGGTGGAACGGGGAAGTGCGTTTGAACCTTCTGACTGATCCTTTTACCTTCGAGTCATAACTGACGGATGTGTTTCCACAGCTGCTCCCCTGGGACTGGGATGTCGATACCCAGGTGCTCGACACGACACTGGCGCGCATGGCGCGAGAATTCAATCGCACGGTTACTAGTTACGTCTCGGCCGACGCAAAATTCAAGCGAGAATATCTGCTGGACATAAACCCGTGGGCATACTTCCGCGACAGAGGACCGGGCCACAACATCATCGACGCGCGCTGGATCGATACTAGTAATGGGCTATACGTCGACATCACTGCACTGAGTCGCTTCAACCCCAGCGATCAGCCCACTACTTGGGAATGTAAAAATCGACACCGATATCAAACGATCGACTTGTACCCTCTGCGACAGACGATGTTTGAGAGCACACCGGCCTTGGTGCCGTACATGTATCAGGATCTTTTAGTGGAGGAGTACTCTACGAAGGCCCTCGCACGCACCGACTTCCAAAAGTATGTATACTCTTATATTTTTCGTTTTTGCGATGCATAATCCCTCTAACCTGTCCAAATTCAGTCATACATGGAATCCGATAGTCGGACAATGGATTTTGACGGCGTGACACTGTCTCGCCAGTTTTGAGAAAGTATATATTTGATCGATATACATACTCGAATTTTTTCTGGGGTTGCACAACCGCGACATGCATAATGATACAGCAGAAGTTGTAACACGATATCCGCGACGATCCGATTGAATAGAAAGCGTCATCACATAATTTCGGGATCTACAAATCTCGGGTTGGTATAACATGGAACGAAACGATATTTTTCTGTTTGCATCAAATATAATAACGATTTGTATACACTAGTTAATATGAATGTACATAGGATGAGACAAGGGGATTTCAGAATCTCCCATGTAGTTATCCAGGCTTTTGTTGCACCGATGAATGATATATGACATATATGAACCATCCATTTTTGGCGATACGTTACTGCTAACAGATGTCACAATGGCATTCACAGCAGGATTCACAACATCCCCGATCGGTCCATAGACCGACGCATCATAAACAATCTATAGCGACACTCAGCGAGACCGCTGCGCAGTTCGTTTCTCATATGGCAACATTTTAATGGAAAATCGCCGTGGATCATATATTTATATATTATCTCTTAACATTGGACTTTAGTGCATTTGAAATAGGAATTACTGATGCATTTCCTATCCATTAGAGAATTATGCTGGGAGTCATCTCTTACCTAGGTATTCTTGCCTACTTGGGTATTATTAGGGCTAGGTCTATTCTTATCTCCGCCTCAGGCCCAAGGCTTTCCACGTTCTCCCTCCGTAGGTAATTGGCCGTGCGAGGAATTGTCTAAATCTATAAATATGCAAGTGCTTCTAGAGCACGACGAATAGGAAGAGTTATAAATATATGATGGTCTTGATCTGCGACATCCCGGCGCTTAGCTCTGTGATGTGAGTAGGTGATGTTTTTACTCCGGCAGCCATAGAAAAGACCTCATCCAATCGTCTATTCCTTGTCTTCGTTACCTCCAGGCTGGTTCGTCGCCACTGACCAAGGAGATGTCAGACGATTCATGCCCACTCAATGCCCCTAGACGCATGCTGCAGCAAACGGCAATGAATATTTTTGTGTTACATTATATTACACATAACTGTACTTTTGCCTGGATAATCATCCCCAGTCTCTCACTTAACCAAGGTGCCTAGTCACAAAGCAGAGCACAGACGAGCCCAGATAGACAGCAGACGCTTCATCATTGATCTCGCTCTTTGGCACAAACCGACGGCCATCCTAGCCATGCGCGATTCCTCTCGATCTTTGAAGATGGAACAACACGAAGCAGCCGTCAGCCAGATCGCTGCCTCTGTACGAGCTTTATATGTTCGGCGAGAGCCCTTCTGTATATATCACGGTCCGACCAACAGTACACGACCCATCAAGAAAGACTGCGTTGTAGACATCAGCGCGTTGTCAAACGTTGTCAAAATTGACCCGGCGTGCAAGGTTGCAACTGTGGAGCCAAAGGTCTCGATGGATAAACTGGTAGAGGCAACTCTAGAATATGGGTTAATCCCACCAGTCGTTATGGAATTTCCTGGAATCACCGTCGGCGGCGGCTACGCAGGATCTGCTGGAGAGAGGAGCTCTTTCAGGTACGGTTACTCTGACCAAACTGTCAACTCTGTGGAGATGGTCCTGGCAATAGGGATTGTTACTGCGTCCAGAAATGAACGCCCGGAACTCTTCAAAGCTGCAGGCGGAGCTCTGGGAACTCTGGGAATCACCACTTTGCTTGAATTACAGCTTCTCCCAGCCAAGAAGTTTGTTAAAACTACGTATTATCGAAGTAACAATGTACATGATACCATCAAAGTTATTCGGCAAGAAACTGAAAACACTTCCAACGACTACGTTGACGGCATTATCTTTTCCAAATCCCATGGAGTCGTGATTACGGGTCAGTTAACAGACGAAACTCCTGGCTCAATTAAGCCACAGACATTCAGCAAGCCCTGGGACCCCTGGTTGTACCTTCATGTGAAGGACAAAACCGACACTGAATCGCCAGTCATCGACTATATTCCCCTTGCTGAATACCTCTATCGATACGACCGCGGCGGCTTCTAGGTCGGTGCAGAGGCATTCCGGTACTTTGGGTTTGTTCCGTTTAACTGGCTGACAAGATGGTTCCTTGACGATTTCATGCATACTCGTATGCTGTATCGTGCCTTACACGGTAGCAACATGTCCTTCGGGTACATGGTGCAAGATCCGTCACTGCCTTATCCCACTGCTGAGTATCAATTACACATCCGAAGAACTTGGCATCTGGCCAGTATGGCTATGTCCTCTACGAGAGATGGAACCGCCTACATTTCACCCTTACACGAGACTTCCGGGTCCGGACCATTCTCCCAAGCCGATGCTGAATATCGGTCTATGGGGACAAGCGTCAGCTGATATGAGCAAATTTGTGGGACAGAACCGCCAGTTTGAAAGCAAACTGGCACAGCTTGGGGGACGAAAAGTGTTATATTCCCACACATATTACAAGGAGCAGGAGTTCTGGAATCTGTACGACCGAAGCTGGTATGATGATATGAGACAGCGGTACTCGGATACAACGCTGCCTACAGTCTATAATAAAGTGAAAACTATCGCGAATAAACACGGCGAGAATGGACAATTATGGATTCAGCGACTGGCTTCCATGTGGCCATTTGCTGGATTCGTTGGCATATATTGGGCTATACGAAGCAAGGACTATTTGCTCCATAGACGACCATCTTGGATGTACAAACGAGTTTCCATGATTTTGCAGTTATTGTTAAAACTGCCAGAGCGGAAAATGTGCATTGGAAGTTACCATTGCGTTACCTTTCATAACTAGGAAATTACCAGGAGACAATTCTAGGTATTAGAAACGAAACAGTACAGTAAATACAATGAAAACCTGCCAAACCTCATCATGATCTCAGCATTAGATGTAACATTGTAACACTATATTTTGTCTAGAAATGTCACTAAATCTAGTAATCTAACAGGGTAAGTTTGTAATCACTTATATGAAGTGGACTGTAATGTTTCTAAAACATGTCTTTCTAATTAGGGATCAAGCTTATGGTTACCTAGGTAAATATCTATTGAAGTCTGTGCTATACTTACTTACATTAATCCTTAATTATACTTACTATAAATATGCCTCCGTCATGGTAAGTGTCCCCTTATTGAGCGTGTACTAGGTAATATGTGATCCTATGTATACACCGCTGGCATGGTGAGTGTCCGCTAATTGACCTTGCTGAGCGTATATTCAGATAGGAATCAAGTATCTAGTGTTTGCTGATGTTTTTATTTGCTGGAGAATGTCCTCTATCTACATATTTGACGAGTAATATATGACTTTCTCTGGTGCTGTAGGGTAGGATTAGGGCTAATTCATCCTAGCCCTGGGTTAGCAAACCGTTATCGTCCGAATGGGCTCCACCGGGCATCGCCGCTGGCTTATCAACTCGCCCACTCCCCAACAATGTCCATCGACACAGTCTATATACTCTATGACTACAGTTCTGTACACTGTGCACATACATGCCACCTCTATCATCCGGCCGGAGCAGCAGCGCCTGCCACCGATGCCATAAGCGCAAAGTGAGATGCTCACGAGGTAAGAGGTGACAATACACACTCGTTCAGCAAACGCTTATCGTTGGTTTCAAGAGCTGCCATGTCGAAGCTGTCGCATGGCCAACCAAAGATGTACATATCCCATCCGCGACCGCAACATCACTGTGTCTGAGAGCTTCGTCCGCAGCCTGGAAGCCAGGGCGCTCGCTTATGCACCGGATGCGAGTCCGTCGTCCGGGCATGAGTCACTGCGAGGCAGCACAGCGCAAGGCTATCAGCCGCCGCTCGTTGAGGACTCGACGTCTGAAGCATTCCTCGCACGGCTGAAGCAAATCCGCCAGCAGAACGCAGGTCCTGTCTTCCCAGACCTCCAGGACCACGACAGCAGCCCGTCAAACCCGCATACTGACTACAGTAGCCCGTCGTACGATTATGTACAGTTGGACTTTGACACCTCTCGTGCGTTCATCACCTTCTTGATTCCAACATAATTTACTCACCATCCGTGCTAGACTCACCATGCTCCTTCAAACTGCCTCCGTACCCATACGCGCTAGCGCTGTTGGACCAGTTTGACGTATTTCTGGGCCACGACTTCCACTGGTTTCTACGGAAGAGCTTCCGAAGAAGGCTCGAGTTAACATACAGGAACCCAGACTCTCCTCAAGTCAAGGATAGGGTATGGTTGTGCACATTGCTGGTCGTATTTGCTCTGGGTGAATCCTACAACGTGGGCCGGCCGCCTGAGATCCGCCTGGGTCAAGTTGTTGTTCCTGGAGAAAATGGATCGTCAGTCTCTGGGCCTCCCCCTGGGACAGTTTTCTTTGAGCATGCTCTAGCTCTGCTCAAGGTCCGTTATGAGGACCCGACAATCGACCAGATTGAGGCACTCAACCTGATTGTAAAAAGACCGCCAATCCTTATCGAACCTAAAATCATACTGACCTCATTTATCTAGACCTTTTACTCATATAGCCTGCATCGCAAGAGGGCTGCCTACGTGTATGCGGGACTAAGTGCCCGCCTATCCAACATACTGCGACTACATAAGCCATCTCCACCGTCATCCTTCTCGCCGATTGAAATCGAGCATAGAAAGCGTGTATGGTGGACTGCATACTGTCTCGACCGTATGACAAGCACGGAAACGGGCCTCCTGCCCATATTCCACCGCGACCAGATTGAGCTCGCCTATCCCTGCGACGAGATGCTGCCGCTCGAGGATGCAGATGAGTTCTCTGACGGGATCAGCCTAGCTACCCAAGTTCAGCTAGCATTCCTTCATGCTGACATCTGCGAGACGGTCAAGAATCTCGGCGATGGTGATACGGCGTATGATAAGAAGTTGACAGAGCCCATCATACAGCAATTGGAAACATTGAGGCTGCGGCTACCTCCTCACTTGTCTTTTGATGTTGAGGACGGCATGCCGAGGGCCATGCAAGAGATGAGTAACCGGTCATTGGCCTCGCTATATCAAAGATACTACCAAGTAAGGCTGCCTTCCCAACATATTTTCTCCCTGTGCATTGGAAGAACTAACAATACTAGTGTTTTGTTCTCTTATTGCGACCTCTGTTTCTGAAGCAAATCAATTACCTTTTATCGAACGATGCTGTAAATGCGAGCCAAGAGAGCTTGAAGTATATGACCAACATCTGTCTCCGTGCAGCGAGGACGAACTTGCTGCTTATAATCGGTTTGCGGCAGTGCGATAGGATGAGTAAGTTTCCCAGGCCCTTTGTACAGACACACACTAATACGAGGCGATTATAGCCAAGTTCGGGTTCTGGGAGAGCCTACATCTCTTTTCCGGTCTTACCATTGTATCTCTCGCCATATCGGTGAACTTGAGGTGGCCGGGAAGCTTTGATGAGAAGCCAGACGATGGAGAAACTTACCAGACGGCCAGATGCTTGCTAAGTGAGATGGCAGACGCGGGAAATCTTGCTTCAAAGGGGCAGCTGCGGATGCTGGATGAGGTGGAAGCTTTGCAAGATGTACTGACAGGCGCGGACAGCACGGCATTTGAACTTTTCAATCTATGGGACATGGAAGCTTGGCTGAAGTAATGTATGCTAATTTTTCTTCCCTTTTTCTTACAATATAGCAAGCATTATATTACTCTATAGCTTAGACATGACACCGCTGAATAAAAAGTCATCTACTAGCTTGCTCACTTCCTTGGCCACACCCCAGCTGAAGACGTAGCCGCCACCACCGGTACCGTAGGCATGGACAATCTTCTCTCCGTCTTTGACCTCCTTCTCTACTCGTACGCCCCTTGGCCTATCAGGACGAATTCCCACGTTGTACTGGATGACGTCGAAGCCAGATGGCTTTGGGTCAGGGAAGTACTCCGGCAAGTTCTCGTGCACTCGGCGCAGAATCTATATCCAAGAGTGTCAGCTATAGCCCAATTTTTCAGGTATGCACGTAGCTTACGTCTTTCGTAATATTATCATCGAGTTCAGGATCTCTGTTATTAAGACGGTCAGCGTGAGGCAATCTCAAGCCTTAATACCTTGGAACTTACGCTTGTCCGTACTGCTTGATGCCACCTAAAATTGCCGTGCCGTCTAATCTCGGAATTACGTACGTGTAGTCCTTTCCATGGCGCATGAAGATCTTGTTATAGCCGGTCCTGGCCAGGACGGTCTGTCCGCGGACCTGCACCATGTGCTTGTCTGCCACGTCAGCCAGGTGTCGTGCGCCTAGGGCGGTAGCATTGATGAGGATGTCGTAGCCTGAGTTCTTAAGGTCTGCGAGAGATGTGAGAGTTTTGCGGATAAATTTGACACCGGATTTTTCCAGTCGTTGACGAAGCCAGGGGAGGAAGACACCTGGCGTTATTACCACAGTCTTATCTGCATTATGTGAGTACTTTACTTGTGATTGTCCAAAAACATAGTTGAGAAATCTTAGGTATCATACAGCTCATTCCAAGTTTGGAACCCTTAGGCAGCTCATGTGGCTCCATGACACGAAACTGTTTCAACTAATTCAGTGCTGTACCCTATGGACGAAGTGTCTGGGTACATACCTCCGGCATCAGGCCGCGATACCACACCTTCTCGAGCGGAGTCTCGTCCTGGAAATCATTCATCTCTATTATCTATGGCATGGAACAACTTCGTCGTTAGAATTTCCACCTTCAATACTGTATATAATCTAGCACTTACCCTGACGCTCGACTCAGGATGAGTCTTGGCAATCTGCCACCAGAAGGCAAAGGAATTGATTTGCATCTCCTGTTCACGAGGGGACGATCCGTCTAGTCCCAGGAAGACTGCTCCAGCCCATGGACTGGCCCATTCGTGAGTCAATTCATCTCCAGGCAGATTCCGAGCTACCACTGTCACATCGCATGTTTTAGGCAAAAGGCTTGCGGCAGTCAAGCCTACAATGCTGAAGGTATGGATTAGAATGATGATGCAGTCAGATAATTGGTACGAGGTACGTACCCAGCACCGACAACAGTAACTTTCGGCATAGTGAACACTAGTCGATAATTTTTTTTGTATTTGCTCAGCCTGAAGAAAAGATATGGCACTTTCTTTTAAGAGCCTTCAGCCTATAGATAACACCAATGAACCATACAGCCCGTATTCCAGAAGATAGGACTCTAACATATACTCTCCAGGCGGTCGTCCAATTAGGGCTTCATCGCGCGGGGGCTAGGCGCCATCGCCGAGGCCTAGTGGCGGCGGAAGGCTCCTAGCGCCCGAACATGACTCGGAGCAGATAATGCTATCGCCGCTGTGTGCCTTCACCATCTTCACCTGCGATATCTCTGGAGTGCGAAGATTCTGTAGCTGCGGTCAATATCACGGACAGGGCAGCTTATCTCCCCATATGGTCCTCCACACTCAACGCCTACAAATAGCTGAACGCACCTACGCGTGCCCTACATCGCAGAACATGGTTCAACAACACAATGGCGACCGATTCCATTAGAAAAGATATCAAGGCCCCTGACGCTCAGGACTTTGGCAGTGTAAATGTGGGAGATAGCACCAAAATCAATTCCGGTGATTATTCTCGGTTCCTGGAACTGAACGTAGAGTTCTCGGGGGCGAAGCTCAAGAAATTGATTCGCAAGTGCGAGTAAGTACAGCCAGCTAGCTGTTCTTTGCAAAGGTGTCCGCTTAACTTTTGACGACAATGTCAACAGCTTTCATGTTCTACCACAGCTGATCTTCATCTATCTCATGTCCTATGTGGACCGAACCAACGTCAGTAAGTGCAAACACATCGTCCCCGTGCATAACAAGACAGTAACACCAGACCCATCAGGCAATGCCAAACTCTTCGGCATCGTGGATGACCTCGACCTTGGCGGCCAGCGATGGAACACCTGTCTCTGCATTTTCTTTGTCACCTATGCGTTTGGTGGTGTGCCTTCCAACATCGCCCTCAAGCGCTTTGGCCCCAAGATCTGGCTCCCCGTCCTCATGACCTCGATCTCACTCGTCATGGTCTTCACCTCTCTTCTGAGCAACTATGCCGGCTGGGCGGCTTTCCGTGTTATTCTGGGTCTGGTAGAGGCCGGTGTATTTCCGGGATGTTCCTTTGTCCTGACACAGTGGTACTCTCCTCAGGAAGTTAGCGCGAGAATGGGTATCTTCTACTCGGGTGCCTCTGCTGCGGGTGCCTTTTCGGGGCTTCTGGCATATGGAATTGGGCAGTTGGATTACACGTGGGGATACCGTGGATGGAGATTTATCTATTGCATTGAAGGTCAGTGAGCCCATGTTTTTCTGCCGTAGAATTGCCGGGCTAATGCATCGTCCCAGGTGTCTTCAGCTTTTGCATTGCCGTCGCTGGATTCTGGCTCGTCTACGACACCCCTGCCAAGGTTAAATGGCTCACGCCTGAGGAAAAAGAATTCCTCACTCTGCGCCATAAGTTCTCTGCTGGCGGAGAGAACACTGGCATTGGCGAGAAGGAGGGCTTCTCTTGGAAGCACGCCCGCTCGGCCTTCCGGTCGCCGCACATATATGCCGTTGCGGCCACCGAATTTACCCTCTGTGTTGCTGTGTACGGATACGGTTTCGTACTACCAACCATTATCAACAACCTAGGCTTCTCTGCCGCTAGAGCCCAGGCCATGACGGTGCCGCCGTACGTTTTTGCATGCGTCGTTACCGCGTTCTCCGGGTATATGGCAAATAAATGGCAGAAAAGGATGCTACCCTTGTTTCTGGTAAACCTCATGGCACTAATTGGCTTCGTCATCATGATGGTCAGTGTGCGGTACCCATCGATACCGGGGGTTACTCTTTTCGGTGTTTTCCTGACGACGGGCGGCTTATATCCTGTCTCTCCTCTGGCGACAGCGTGGATCTCCCTCAACTGCGCCGGCACCATGAAGCGGGCAGTTGGCATCGGTGCCATGATTAGTTTCTCTCAGCTCGGAGGAGTGAGTGCTATTCTATCTGAATTCCACACAATACTAGTTTCTATACTAACGGCTATGGTTAGATTGTCGGCTCCAACATCTATATCGCGGATACGGCACCGAAATACCCTGTCGGATTCGGAATTAGCATTGGCATGCTTGCCGTATTCGGCTGCATTTGGCCTCCTACCTATGCCTTGATTCTGAAACGCATCAATGCAAAACGGGCGGCGATTAGTGAGGAGGAGGTGAAGGCTAAGTATACTGAGGAGGAACTTGCTGAGATGGGAGACGAGAGTCCGCTGTTTAGATATTCATATTAAGCAGCACTGTATGTATTGTCTATGTATGCCTAAGAATAGATCGTTGGATGTAGCCTATTCTGCGGGTCTGAATTTAGCGCCAACACTGTGCCCCACTTGCTGCTCCACCGCGGTGATGACTAAGGAGCACCTTCCAGAAGACGGATTACTTATCGATAAGTGCGCATCTCGCCTGTCGTAATCATCTACTTTACACACCTCCTGCATTCCAGCGTTCAAGCATCAAACGTTGCCTTTTATGTCATTGATATCATTTATGTTCTTTCTGCACTATCTTTCCATATCATTTTACTCGATATAATCTATACTCCATGTCGGGTCATGCTAAACCCCCCGCACCTACAACGTCCATCACAGTCCATCACCATGGATCACCGCACACGTTCACACTGCCTATCTCATCAACTCTTGACGATCTCTCGTCCGCCATCTCCGTATCTGCCGACCTCCAGATCCCCATCGAGAACCAGAAGCTTTTAATCGCGCCGAAACTGGGGCTCCAGAAGCCTCCCTTCGATGCCGTCACGCCCCTAGCAGAGCTTCTCCCCCTCTCATCACCCAAATTCAAAATCACCTTACTAGGCACAAAAGCGCAGGATATAGACTCCATGAACGAAACTATACAAAGCAACAAACACCGCCTGGCTGCACGCGCGCAAGCCCGTCGCCAGCCACACCCACCGATTTCCCGGCGGCCGCCAGGTGGTATACACACGCTCTCTTCGCCATCATCATCTGCATACACATTCGGCCGATGCGAGCCGTTGCCATACCTACCCAATCCAGCGCGCAGTCTCACCTTTTTGGAACGTCTGCGTGATGACCCAGGCATCAAATTTGCCATGGCCAAACACCGATTCTTTGTACCTTTGCTCACGGAGATGAACCCAGCCGAACACACAACACATGAGTCGCGAACATTAGGCTTAAACCGGAATAAAGGCGAAGTCATCGAGTTGCGGTTGCGAACAGATGCATATGATGGATACAGGGATTATCGCACTATACGGAAAACGCTCTGCCACGAACTGGCGCACTGTGTGCATAGCGAGCATGATCGCAACTTCTGGGATTTGACGAAACAGATTGAAATAGAAGTTGAAAAGGGAGATTGGACGAGAGGTGGTCATCGCTTGTCTGAGCAGGAGTTTTATAATCCGCAGGACTGGGAGACCGAAGGGCAGCGGAGTGATGATGAATGGGTGGATCATGGAGGTTGGACGGGCGGTGAATTCGTTTTGGGTAGAGCAGAGCCTTCTACTACTGCTGCTGCTGCTGGAGAGGGTAGTCAGGCGCTGAGTCGGAGGGAGATTATGGCTCGTGCTGCAGAGGATCGGTTGAAAAAGGAACAGCATCGAGGGAAGGGGTCTAATTCTAATGCCGAGGAGTGAAATATATTTTGTACCTGAACATGTTTTTACTTAGAGAAATACATAGTATATATAGAGAGAGAAAGACTACTGCTCATTGACAAAAAGCCCCGCCATCCCCTGCCCAGTCCCAATACACATACTCGTCACAAGAATCTTCTTCTTCGTCCTGCGCGCCTCACTCAAAATCGTACACACCTGCCTCGCCCCCGTCGCACCGAGCGGGTGACCAAGCGCAATAGCGCCGCCACGCGGATTGAGCTTCTCATGCTCAATACCCAGCGTCTTCAAACAATAAACCGCCATTGAAGCAAAGGCCTCGTTGATTTCGAAGATGTCAATGTCCGAGATGTTGAGGTTGAATTGTTTCAGGAGCTTGGGGATTGCCGCTGTTGGTCCAATGCCCATTACTCGTGGAGGCACACCGGCGACTGTTGCGCCGCAGAATTTGGCGAGGATGGGCTGGTTGAGTTCGATGGCTTTGGAGCGGCGCATGAGAAGGATGGCAGCGGCTGGAACAATAACTCAGTACAAGATATATTCAACATCTGCTTTTAGATAATAGCGTTGACTTACCCCCATCAGTAACCTGACTGGCATTACCGCCAGTAGTCTTATTCCCAAATTGCGGAAATGCAGGGCGAATTTTGCTCAATCCTTCATATGTAGTTCCATAACGAGGGCCCTCATCACGCGTCAAAGTAACAGTCTTTTCCTCCCCGGTCTTTGGATCCTTAACCTTAGTCGTAACGGGGACAATCTCATCATCAAAAAGGCCCGCTTTCTGGGCCGCTTCTGCGCGCCGGAACGACTCTACGGCATACTCATCCTGCATTTGACGAGTGATACCAAAATCGTCACCAACATTCTCCGATGTCTGACCCATAGGCTGTAGACAATCGGCCGCTTCTTGCGTTTTTAGGATTTGCTCGTGGAACGGCTCCAAGTCCCCCTTTCCGAAGGTCATGGACTCGGCGCCAACAGCTACACCGACGTCGATTGCACCAGCGTGGATTTGGTTCGCGATGTCTTGTAGCGCTTTGAGGCCCGAGGAGCAGAAACGGTTGACCGATGAGGATCCGGCGGTGTGTGGGATGCCTGCTGCGAGGGCTGCGGCGCGGCCGATATATGCTGCTTTTTCGTCGTTGACCTGTATATCACCAATCAGATGGCCTCATCAATAACTAGGAACACTACGTATGCAATAGAGCAGGAAAATCAAACTAACGTTTCCCAAACAAACATCCTCAATAAGCGCAGGATCCAGCTTGGACCGCTCAACGAGCTCTTTCAGCAGGGAATAGACGATATAATCGAGTTTTGTGTCCTTGAATCCACCCTTGGCAGCTTTTGTGAGTGGTGTTCGCAGTGCCAACGTGATAACGACGTCGTCTGGGTTTTTTTGTGTGCTGTTGTACCAGTCAACTCTTGTCGTTTCCCTTGGCTGTCGTTGCAGTAGATATAGGACTCACATCGCCGAAAGTCCCGAGTTGCCAGCGGGCTTCAAGTGGCCGATAATCGACGAGAGACGCTCCACGGCCATGGTTTTCTCCTCTTGTCTTTTATTCCTCTCGTATATCGTTCACGGATACTGTATCAAAGTGACAGATAGATGTCTGCTATGCAACATGAATCCGGTCAGCTACCTTCACACAATGCGGGGAAAGCTCCGCGAACAGATAGATACCCACTCACTCACTCGGTCAAGTGTTAGTAGGATAAGAACGTTCAGAAAATATATCGTTCAAGAAAAATCGTCCTTGGTATGTACGGTATGATATGATTTATGCGCTGAGTAGAAAGGATGTATGAACTGACTGATTACCTAGGCACTGAGATGTTGGGAAGCCGATAGCCGAGGTACCCATGCATCGATCTTACCAAGGCTAAGTAAGGTAGGCAGACCATTTATGGGGAAATGAAACTGAACTATTTAAAGCAATGTTTATTTGTATATAGAATCGAAGAGAAAATCTAGTCTAGGTGTAAAACAAAAGAAAACTCCTCTCACATTAGACACAGGGTAAAGAAAAAAAGAAATTTGGCACACACGTTTTCGTCAAGTGTTGAATCGATTCATTCGTAAGAAAATAGGGGAAGTTCTCGTCTTTTCGTTCCTTGTCAAATATTCCTTTTTTGGTTTTTGGTTCGTACTTTTTTTTTTAGGGTCTGTCTGCTATTGCAGAATAAAGACGGGAGCGTTCGAGACATATTATAAGAAAGTAATAATTGCAATGAGCGTGTCATCATATATCATGATCAAATAGTATACCCTCCCCCGCCTTTTATCAACCGACGAAGAGAAGGAATCATTGCAAGAGCGCACAAAAAAAATGGATATGGGGTGCCGTTTATTCGACGTCGGCCTTGGCCTCGCCCTCGGCAGCTGGGGCATCCTTCATCTCGGTATCTGGTGCCTCAGTCTTCTGTCCCTCAGCGGCCTTCTTAGCCTCCTCTTCAGCCTTTCGCTTGGCCTCTTGTTCCTCGCGCTTCTTGGCTGCCTCTTCCTCCTTAGCCTTCAACACAGTCAGGCGCTCGTTCTCGATCTTGTCCATGTATCGCTGAATAATAGGTCCAGCAATGAAGCGGATCTCGTCCATCTTGGCAACGTAGATGGCTTTGGTGGTGTCTTCGCCATCCTCGTAAAGCCAATCCTAGCATTGAAGTTAGTACTTTTCTTACAACGAACTTCCTTTTCATGAAGCTTACCTCAGAGTCGGTCAATTTCGAGCGCAACTTATCCTTCTCTTCCTCGCTGGCGAACTCCGAGTAGGTGGTCTCGATCTTGTCACGAAGCTCGTAGATGTAGGACTCGAGCTCGTTCTTCTTCTCATCAGTGTCGGCAACAAGCTTGTCCTCCATTGCCATAGCATTCTCCTTCTCGGTCCAGGCATTCTTGGTAACCTCTTCCAGGCTGGGAGTGCCGGCGGTGATAGGAAGTTCACCCTTGCGGACTTGCTTCTTCACCTTGCGAGTCTTCTTTTCACCGTCGTTGGCTGCATCGGTATCCATAGCCTAGGATGATTGGGTTAGTACACTGCTGATTGCGAATACTGATGTTTGCTGAAAGGGAAAACTTACATCACCGTCCTTCTTCTCACCCTCCTTAGGCTCTTCAATAGGCTCCTCAACCTCGACATCCTCAACATAGTATCCAGACTCGACGTTGAGTATACCGTGCAAGTTAAGACGCGCCTTGAGCTTGCAAATCATGAAGTCATTGTTGTCCTGAGCTTGAACACCCTTGACAGAGAAACGGCCAATCCAAGGGTTGACCTTCCCAGGGAGGGTGTCTGGCTTGGCATAGCGAGCCTCCAAATCAAAAGGCTGTCGTCGATAGAATGTAAGGATCTTAGTAGAAGGCAGCACATTGCCCTTGTTGAAGACCGTCAGACTGGTGTCCTCATCTGGAATCTCTGGCGACTGCTCCCAAGTGAATTCAATTGGATAGTTGACAATGTCGTGGACGGAGAAGTCACGCACGCGGAAGACGGGGGACAATATGGCGCAGCTAAATGTGCAACCACGAGCAATGGCCTCGTCTTGGTTAAGGGTGAAAGAAAGGGGCTTGCCGAAAAAGTTGCTGACGGTCTCCTTGATGATAGGAACACGAGTACAACCACCCACCATCTCGATGTGGTCAATATCTTCTGGCTTCAGCTTAGCTTCGGCGAGCGCCTGCTCCAAAGGAACGGCAAGTCTGTTCAAGAGAGGTTGGACCATCTCCTGCATCTCCTCACGCTTGACCATAGCACGAACATCAATGTCGTCCATCAACGACTCGATGCTCAGGGGAGCCTGAGCATTGGCAGAGAGAACCTTCTTTAATTTCTCTGCGGCAGTCAATGTGCGGGCCCAAGCCTTCGGGTTCGAGCGAATGTCGATCTTGAATTTCTCCTTGAATTCATCGGCAAAGTGGTCGGTAAGCGCCTTGTCGAAGTTGCGGCCACCGAAGTGACGATCCCACGCGGTGGCTTTGACATTAAGCTCTCCCTTGCGGAATTCCACAATGGAGACAGTGTAGTTACTGTGACCAATATCAACGAAAGCCACGCGACGGGGCTTCTCCTCGGGACCGGGGAGGTCCAGCTTCGTGATACCATAACCGAGAGCGATGGCTGTGGTGTCATTGATCAGTCGGAGAGCCTTGAGACCGGCGATGTCGGCAGCGTCAAGCATTGCCCGTCGTTGGACGTCGGTAAACCATGCGGGGACACTAATGACGACATCCGAAACGGCCAACTTGATTTCCCTTTCGGCTGTGTGCTTAATCTTGTTGAGGTACATGGCAACGAGCTGGGTAGCGCTGAACTTGTCCTTCTTCCCCAGGTAAGTAGCCTCAACACCAACTTGTCCCTCCACATCGCAGAAAGTGGCGGTGCTATATTCCTTCTCAATCTGCACATCGGGGTCGTTCAAGCTGCGGCCGATGAGGCGTTTGAGATTGCTGACGGTGTTCTTAAGGTTGGAGACTTCTTGGGTCTTGGCAGTTTCGCCCAGGTATCTGCTCTTAGGGCCGAATCCCACGAGGGTCCTATAATTTGAATCGCATAACAATCAATACTCGGATCTCAAAAAAAAAATAGTTTTCCTCAACGCGACAGCTGAGAACTTCAACTTACGGTGTAGATCTGTTGGAGACTTCATTTGTAATCTATAAAATAATAGAAAAAAACACAGCGGTTAGCAACAGTTATGTAGTGAAGCAAAGCATGGCATGGATGCTATGCCGCAGGACGGTGAAGAGAGCCCGGCGGGTTGGAGGGGCAAGCGAAGATACGTACGATATCGATACCCTTGTTGCGGGCCACACCAACCTTGGTGCTTTGAGCACCAAAATCAATACCGATCACAGACATGGCGAGAGCGGAAAAGCAATGGACGGTACGGGTATGATGTGTAAGAGGAAGAAAAGGTGGAAAAAAGGTATCAACACAAGAGAAGTACTTTTAAGGCGGGAGGTGGAGGACAGCGATACTGGTGGTAGTTGCTCCGTCGGAGGGGAAGGAATTTGCACAAGCGTGGAGCGGCTGGTGGACCCCTGCGGTTTGTTGTCCCGTCGAACTTTTTTCTTCTTCCTTTTTCGCGCTTCTTTTCACTTCGGTGGCGGCTTTGGTTGCTCCTGGGCAGCTGGGATGGTATACTTGCAGACAAGTGGCAATAGCAGTGATTTTTAGAATCAGCCAGCTGGGCAGTCGGGTATAAAGGGCGGCTCTTTGGTGACTCTTGGGCGACTCTCATGGATTCGCATCGAATCTTCTGGTGCTTCCTGGACTGCTCACCGCCTGGTTTTTGTGCATGGCAGAATCGCCGCCGCTCTCACCGCCTTTACGACTAGACTGTGTTGGGACTAGCACACGGACCTGGAATCATCCCTATTTAGGCATAGCCTGTAGGCCAGAAGGAACAAAACTCCACGCTATATACACAAAACAAAATCAATGGATACCAACGTTATCCAACCAAAAGAGAAGAAGAACATCACAGCACAAATGGGAATATAGAAAAGAGACCATCACCCTATACACATCCTGTACACCTATGATCGAATAGCTTGAGACGACTTCTTCGCAATAAAGTACGTCAACAGATTGCGCTGGTCGTTGCCAGGAGAATTGACCATGCGCCAAAATACTTCCTCGTTTTGTACCATTCCATGCAACTCCACGCAGAACTCTGTGATAGCACGTCTCACATCAGGTTGCGGCTGCGTAAGACTCGTGCTGGCAAACCTTCCTAATCGTTCGATTTCGCCCTCATCTAACGTCCGGCGGTCCTTATTAAGACGCTTGAGTAGGCCCGATATTATGTAGATCCCCATCGTGATCGCACGATAGCCTTCATCGTCATGTTTCTCCATCTCGATCAAATCAAGCACTGCAAAAATCACTTCCACCGCTTCGCAAGATGCAACTATATCCTCGGCTGTCTCTTCAAGCCCGCTCACTATGTGGTGGGTAAGTTCGTAATTTTTGCGCGTATTAAGAAGCGCTGTCATCACTCGAGGGTAATGGACGGCAAAGTACGCCCCATTATACGCGAACAGGAGCCGGATAGTAACAAGGATCTGTATCTTGAGGTCCATTGAGCGAGACACCGATGTCCGCTTGTCCTCGCCGGGAGCCTCTAGCGCATCAACAAGCCCTATTAGCATCTCATCGTACTTTGACTCATCGATAAATATCGAAGTGTGGTATTTGATGAGTCCCTGCAGTTTTCGGTACCCATGCACGTCCAAAGCTTTTGCTTTGATGCGAATAATGCCTTTGTCCATCATTTCTCTCGCTTTAGTCACATCCTTTGACCGAGGACTAAGGCTTCTGCGTCTATCAACCGCTCCGACTTTCCCTGCAACGCGATGGGTATTCTCCAACTCACTAGGCAACCCTACAGTGCCACTTAACGGACTGGGAGACAATACCGGTTGTTTGACAGTGCGTGGAGTAGGTACATTGGGCTCGTTTACCGGAATCTCTTCCAAAACAGATTTCTTGGAAACATCTGGGTCTCGCGTAATGTTGTTGGAGTGGGTTGTTTCGGCATCGACATGTGCCTCTGGGTCTTCATAGACGGTGAGACCAGCGGGTCGATGTTCCTCATGACGAGGAGCGATAGGACTTGGTATGTGGCTTTGTTTATCTTCACTTGGGTTTCTTGAATGACGCACGCGTGGAGAAGCTATTACAAAAGAGGTGCCATACGTTTCACCACTATTTGTGCGCGAGTGGGTGACTGGTATTCGAGACGGAGAGGTCACTATGTTGGCGGTCTCAGGCACATCGTCGACGGGGATAGGGAGCTCTTCCCTTGTCATTAAATCGTTGTGTGTATGAGTGTTGTGTGCAGGCTTGTGGCCATCCCCCGCAAGTACAACCGGATGCTCGACTACACGAGTCTTTTCACGTAGCGCCAACTCGGCTATCTCACTCTCTCTCGTAGGATTCGGTTGCATGTTATCATCTGAATCATCCCCAGCTCCTGGTGCGGTGTGAATGTCGCCGGATTTGAGACTTGAAATGTCGAGCTTCTTAGGCTTGCTTCTGGTAGTACTGCTTGCTGGGGCAGCGCCAGCTCTTGATTTAGGCCGTGCTGGTGACCTTGCGCTAGGTGTTGCAACAATTTTCGCCCTAGACTTGGCCGGACTGACTTCAGGGCTTACGGGTTTCCCACTGGACGCCGCACTGGGGGGTCTTCTCTCGGCATAGGGATCTGCAGTCGCTGGCCGTGTTATCTCTGGTCGTCGCGGCTTCACTGCCGGCCGCATTGGAGCAGATGACAAGGAAGAAAGGTGGGCGCCCGTTGGGACAGTTCGTGTAGTACTCGCAGCCTTGGATGCCGGAGTCCGCGTCGCCGGGCGTGTGGGTTTAGTATCGGCGAATGTAGATTGCGCAGATTCGGGCCGTGGAGGGATATTCTTTGCGGCAGCAGCTCTCTTCTGAGCCGCAATTGTTTCTTTGAGAGTAGGCCGATGACTTGATGCGACACTGCTCGAAAAGGCCTGCTGAGAGCGGCTGTCTGATGCAGCTGCTGCATTCGGATTGGCGGGATCTTTCTCTAACAAGGTCTTTGATTTATTATCAAGTGTAGACATTATTCTGCGAAAGAAAACGAGGTTAGCTTAAATTCTCTCACAAAAAAGTAAAAATAATCGTACTCTTCTGCGCGATCGGGCCAGAGCTGGTGGAAAGTCCAAAATGTTCCACGCATACTCTCTCGGACCCCAGGGTTCGGATCACCAAGGCATTTTTTGATGCATTTCTCGACCAAGTCGAGACCTCCGCCGTGCTCAATTGAGCTCTTATGGCGAGACTGTTTGAGAAGGAGAGTTTTCAACCAGCCTGTTGCATATAGGCGGGGCTGAACATTTTTGTCTTGACAAGCAAACGACACATGCTGAAGGATGCGAGGAACATAAGTTATGTTTTGAATGATAGCATCCACGGTGAGATTACCATTCTGCGCACTGATCTTCTTCATTCCAGCACATAGCTTGATCATGTTCTGCAGCAGGATTTCCACCATATGGTCGATTCCCGGGCCGCATATTTTCGCAATTTCTTGGATTAAGAGACAGCCCGCTGTAGACAGAGTAGTCCGCAACGAGTTCACCACTTTTAAGATTCCATCGAGAAGAGTTTTGATGCCAGCAAGGAAATGTTGAGAATAGGATTGCGGAGCATTTCCGCGTACAAGTTTCCGAAGTGTCTCAACTGACTTCTCACGAGGAATCCAATTATGCTCCGTTTCCCTGCCCTCGAAATGAGGTTGTATATTCCGTATTAGGTCGTCGATCTCCCGATTCGAGCTCACGAACAGAGGCTCAATGCTTTCGCCTTCCAATGCAGCTGTAGCTGAAGCATTTAAAGAATCCGTGCTAACACTGTGAGACAATCCCTTAGAATGCAGGTCTACTCTTGAAGGCGGTCGAAGGGTGTGTTCCGCATCTATATAATTGAATGAAAAGTTAGTAAAGGCTTAAAATAAATAGCCACATCCAAGCTAACCTTCTCGAGTAATGCCAACGCGGCTTTGTGGGCGTGTAGATAGCACAGAATTTGGCCGAGGTGGATCGTCACGATGGCGAGAAATTGCAAGACTGCTTCCAGGACGACGTGTCTCTGATCGGCTGCTTGACATCATATCGTGATCGGAAAGACCCAGACTAGACAAAATTGCAGAAACTATAGATTTTCGCACACCGTGTTCGGAAAGTTGCTTCTTTAAATCGGATTTAGCCCGGGATGGCGCATTCCTAGTAGGAAGAACAAATCAGCACATTGCGAAAACAATAAGTTGAGATAAGGCACGGCGGCTTACTGAAATATTTCGATGATAGTAGTCTTTGCGGTATCCCGGACGCCACTATCGGCGTCCTCCAAAGCAGCAACTAGCGAAGGAACATGCGCGCGGAACAGGATATTATGTTCTCTGGTCATCTGTAGATATGTAAGTAAGGACGGTGTTAGTCGACTTCCACAAGCGTCTACTGGATGTGACTCACAGTAGCCAACCATGCCATGCTCATCTCCCTAGCCCGTGCATTCTTTCCAACCAAAGCAATTCCCAGGACATGGCTTTCGACTTCTTGAGGAGCTGCAGCCCACAGGTCGGTGAAGGCTTGAGATGCTTGGGAGCGAAGGCGTTCTTTATGGTCTCCAAAACGCTCTAGACAAATGGAGTACAATTGGCGGGCATGAAAGGCAACCAGGTTGTGATATTCTTGTATGTACAACCGCTTAAGCAAGTGCCCGAGTGTTGAAAAGCCCGCAGAAGACAGAGACGGGTGCTGGTTTGATATCGCAACTCGCAAGCTCTCAAATATGGGAAGGACGGCTGTTTCAGGGACATTTTTCTGCTTGATTTCGGACTTGAGGTTCGTAAGCGCTGTGATTTTGGCATCAATTGAAATATTTGGGTTTTTGAGAGTGCCCAAGAGTTCTGTGGCTCTGGACTCCATTTTTTCTTGCGTTTCGCTCAGACCGTCGGAAGGAACACGTCGAAGGCCTGCGGAAGGCACATCAAGGGCAGTTGCGGCCTTGGTGTTGTTGAGCTGGTTTCCTCGAGAAGGGCGAATGCGAGTGTTGCTTTGATCGAATATGCGGATGGCAAGAACGACTATGGGACATAGAAGAACAGCGTCCGTTAGTATGATGTTGGAAGTGAAACAAGAATGAACAGCGCAAAAGGGAACGGATTGACGAAGCGCTGCATCAGGCCGTGGTGAAACATGCGAAATGTTGACTGCTTGACAAAAGAATTGCTCTGCGCATATGCGATGGGACCGCATCAGGGTTGCCCGAAGTGACTTACGAAGAAATGGCTTGTGATGTGCTGTGTCAATCGATATCTGAGTGCGTATGAAGAGCAACGACTGTGAAGAGCGTTAGTTACAAGTCGAGGTCGAGGTCGAGGCTTGTGCCGGCGGTGATCAAAAGGGAAAGCGCGATGGTTGCACCACCACCACCTTACTAACTTCGCAGATTAGCCGCAAGCTTGGCAAAAGCTCAACTTGGTCTTAGGCGCGATGCACGCCCCCGAGTCGATGCAAAAGAGAGACTGCAATGCGTGAGTATAACTCGGATCATCTGAGACGAAGACTGGCAACGAACAGTTGTTGTTGCGTGGCTAAACACACCCGTGGACGTCTCGTGTTTGTTTTCTTTCTGCCAAATCGAGTTGCGTGGTTTACGGTCCGACCAACAATTTCCTCCAATACAATCACACTGTTCCTTTTATACCCACGATGCTTACTGGGATCTTAGGCATCGAACCTTGTCGCCTGAGAAATGATATGTTTCGGCCTTATCGCCATCCCGACAAAACAACAAGCATGACTCGTAGCTATATTCAATATTGTATCTATCTATATGCAGAGAGCTGTTCAATTGCTTGTAGACGTACAATTCAATATGTAATGTAAAGAAATGGCTCTCCGTTTTGCGCATCTACTACTATATCTAATGATTACCACTGGACTGGAGCCTACATATATCCATGGATGTACGGGCGAACCTCGACTTCGACTTCACTGTTTCACATCAAAAGCGCCGTTTCCGCCAAGCATAGCAACAGGAACCTACTCGATGAATGTTCAAAATTAAAAAAAAAAAAAAAGCCCACAAACTGTTGGGTTACTGAATAACTTGACTCTGAGCCACCATGACCACCAGCACATCGACTGCCACTCCCTCGCCGCTTCCGGTCCACACCAAGCACAATCCTCATGACAGCCCTTCTGTTACTAAGAAACCAAGTGTTCCCAAACCAAAGCTCAGACTTCATATACAAGATGCCCGTCACTCTGCAGTGCCGTCTTTCTTCAGCCTCGTCCCGGACCTTGAAGCTGTCCTTGACGCCGCTCTGACGGCAATTGTCGACCAGCTCTATACTTCTCCTCACAGGCAGACCACACACCAGCAGTCGGCACCATTACCCGCGTTCAATCCCTTCATACCCCGTACCCGCTCTGTGACAGTAATACTGCATGATTTTGATGGTGTGGCCTATACTAATGGCACGGAGCTTGATGATGACCACAAGGAAATACATTTCTCGTTGTCATACATAAACCACGTCTGCAATAACAACGCCGACCCTCTCGCCGAGCTAAAAGGCGTGCTTACTCATGAACTCGTTCATTGCTACCAGCATACTGCTCCCCCGGCATCACAGGGGGTATCCATTGCGCGACCTCCCGGTGGTCTCATTGAGGGGATCGCTGACTTTGTGCGCTTGAAGGCAGGCCTTGCTGCTCCGCACTGGCAAATGCCCAAATCTGCTCTAGATCGTGCGTCCAAATGGGATGCAGGCTATCAACACACGGCATACTTCCTGGCATGGCTGGAGGATAAGCGTATTGGCCGTGGCGCAATTGGCTTGCTCAATGATCGTCTGCTTCGGACGGGGTATATCGGGGAAATGCAAGAAGGCAAGACGGACAAATCTCAGCCGAGTTTTTGGAGGGATTTGTTTGGACTTGAGGTCGCTGATTTATGGGAGGAGTATGGCCGGTATCTTGATGAGGGGCCTAAAGAAGAATAGGACGTATCATATGTATATGAATACAGAGCTGAAATTCAAATTCATGAAAAAGAAAAAGAGAGTGTTGATCTATGTTTTTACAATGTCACCTGATATTGCCCATTGAGATCTGAATAATATACAAAGACATGATGACAACATGCAATGGAAAAGTCCGTTCCCATGCAATTTCATACCGAAGATATAAATAACACAATTAGGAAATCTAAGAATGAAACAAAAAATCTCATAGCGCCATTAGACCTCGGCACCATAATAAGAAAAAGAAAGGAAAGGAAACAGGGACCGGTTGATGTGGTAAATGCTTCTTTTCATGGGAACGAAATGCGAAAACAATCTTAGAAGCAAATTTCTCCAAGATCCACGTGGACAGGTTTCCATGACTTAGTGCCTGTTTCTTCCGTCGAACTGGGCACTTTAACATCCAAGGGGCTATAGAGATACCAGCTCTTGAGAGCTGCAACCGCAGCACGAGTCCTGGCTTCCACAATACTCGATCCTGCGCCTTCACCCAGTTTATCCTTGCCAGAGTACACTCCAACCACGAAAACCGGGTGTCTGCTGTGGCGACCAGTCTCGCTCTCAATCCTTGCAGTGGGACGTTCGAAGTTTTCGCGGCCGCAAAGTTTGACCAAATCTTGAATTGGCCGTGCGAAATAAAACAACTTGGACATATCGAGGTGACGAGACAGAATATGTTCTTGGAAGAACTTTTTGGCTGTCGGACGACCGGCATGCAAATAAATGGCGCCCATCATCGCCTGCACAAACGTCGATGAGGCTTTCTCGGCTGTTACACCGGAAATGCTTTCGGCATCTGGAAGTTTTGGTTCAATTCTTTTCGGATGTACGGCCTTGATATCCGGGTTTCCAAAAATATCATCATAAATAACACTCGACGACATCGTTTTTCGCCACTTTGGGCGGACGTGTGGCCGCGTCGTATTCGAACGATCTTGGGAAACCTCATCTCCTGGGTCCACCCTTTTGAACTGAAGGAGTCCCGGATCTACCTCCAATCCCGGTGCAGCAGCAAACTCCACACCCCATTCTCTAGCGACAATTGCGAGTGTCTTAGGGCTGACGTACGCATACATTGCAGCGTATAACACGGCCATGGGAAGGCGAGGATAGGTACAAATCAGGTGTTCGGTGGTGTAGTAAGCGAGGAGGTCTTGGCCAAGCACAGCCAAAGATGCATTGTTGAATTTGGGATGTGGTTCTGCCGATGCATCTAATAACGTACGTGCCACGGTCTCTGGTGGGACTTTGTTTGGTAAAGAGAGTCGAGCATGTAGAGCGAAGACTTTCGGCGACAGATTCCAATATGCTCTTCGAGAAGGAGATTTAGGTTGTTGAGGTTTAGGGTGATGTTCGAGATCCTGTGAAGGGTCTGTTTGGAATTCTTGCATCTGTGCAGCCGTCGAAGCTGTTGACTGCCGTCGCAAGCCAGCGTTGACCTGTAAATATAATTGAGCACCCGGCATGGCCCTGGATGCCGGCGACAGGACCGAGCGGCTCCATCGCTGGAGCTGCAATCTTTTCATCGGGTGCCCTGAGGTGGTAGTATAGCGTAAGCACCAAAATAATGCAATTGGAGCCAGGAACAGGCGTTGGTGTAAGTATTGACCAAGAAGACAGCAATCACGACTTTTCGGAGAAAAATGTCAAGCCGCGCTGCAAAGTCACGGGGACGGGGAGGTGAGAAACTCAGAAAACGACGAAAAGACGCTAATCCATTTACAGTACTAGCTTCCAGGTCACGGGCGTTCCGGCCGACCCAAACCAACGTCGAATGAACACCACCCGATTTCAGAGCAAATCACTCATTTTACATTTCTCTCCGCTACGTTGATTCCTTTCTCGAAGATGGGAGGAGGCGGAAAGATACCGTGAGTCCCGCAGCCTTGTTGAATAGCGAGCTTTCTGGCAATTCCCCGAGTGGAAGCTGACCGATCGCAGTTACCCCAAGGAAGTCTGGTCTCCAGCTGGAGGTTGGTATGCCCAGCCAGGCAACTGGAAAACCAACACTGCGATCCTCGGCGCAGCTATCGTCGGAATCGCTGCAGCGACGTGGAGTCTGAGCGCAGAACGCGAACACCGCAATAAAATGCCCGAGCCAGGCCGATTCTTTCCCAGCCGGAAGTCAGTTACTCTGATGAATTTTCGCCCCAATTGCAACATTTGCTGACCATATTTCTTCTAGCTGGAGCAAGCAAATAATTGAACATGAGCGACAGACTGCCACGAAGAACGAATCATAGACAAACCCATTAAAAAAAATTAGAGGCAAGCTTTGGGCGTCTTAAGTGCCGCGGGGATATGGATTGCAGCTACAGATTTTTTACCAATCTACAAAGAATTGATAAAGGAGGGATTTAATTTTTCATCCATTCATGATTCTGCGGAAGCTGTTTGAGGGTTGTGCATAACCGCTGTGTATAATTACGAAGTCTTTCACTGAACCCAGTTTCGTTCCAAAGCTCACTTCCATCCTCCGCTGTCGAGATTGTAGGCACCCCAATCTGTTCTACAACAAATCCGGCTACCACTGTAGCACAGACTAACGCCTTGGGGACCTGACCGTCATTGCCCCATTGGAATTTGATCTCATTCCAAGCATCTGAAGATGCAAGCACATCATTAATAACATGGCTGGGCTTGCGACCTTGGGAGATCATGCCTTGTGCTAAGGCACCAAGAAAAGAATTTCCGGCCCCAGTAGGATCGACAACTTTACTTGCCTGGCCTGATTGTGATTGATGATATGCTGGTAGCCATAATCCTTTTTGACCCTTTGAATAGCTGTAGCTTCCGTCCTTGCCTGCCCTGATAACTAGAGTTCCTTGGCTTTCTGGTCCGATGCCAGATAGCAGTATGCTTTGAACAAGCTTTCGATCATCCTCATTGGTCTCGTTCCATCCTGGACGACCAAACATCATGCCTAGCTCCAGCTCATTGGGACTTACCACATCAACCACGCGGCAGGCTTCAAGGAATTTTACATGTTCTTCTGGGGTGCATAGATCAGGCACCGGTTCCCATACGAATATTGGCCTTGCAGACCGACCTAAACCCGCCGACTTTTGCCGCTGGAGAATGTCCTGAACGATGAGCATACATCGCTCGGAGGAGCAGACCATGTGAAAAGTTTTTGAGAAAATCTGGGCATCTGAAAGCATCCAGGGGTCCAGCCGTAGCTTTGGTGTCAAATATTTGAAGTCTTTTTTCTCTTCTCATTAGGTCCGCTTGCTACACAGAAAAGGTGTTCAGCCAGCCTCACCTCTTTTTTCATTTTCGCCATATCCGTTCCATGCTCGAGTAGTTTGTCGGCTCTTGTCCTCCCGAATAATACATCCTGTGTTCCATGACAGAATGGTGCTCATCATATCGGCCGGAAAATCGGATCCCACGTCCAGAATCCAGCTCACGGCCTTCCCATGCTCCGCCCCGGCAACGATGCGCGCTCCTATAACAGCAAATGATCCAGCACCCCCTATAATGCCATAGACTGACGGAGTGGGTGGTTTAAACTCGATATCATCTAGGAGGCACGGGCATGTTAGAATAGGACATACATTGTTGAGCGCGATGGTACGCAGCTATCAAGTGAAATGCCATTGATACATGCCTATTATGAACATTCCCAAGCTACAGAAGTCCACCTCGGCTTCCGGCCCGAGAGGCGAGGAGCTGTTATGCGACATCATCTTCCCTTTGAGGGGTTCTCTCCTGCAAATCCGTTGGACTGCCTGGGCCAAGGATGCCTTGACTAACTCGCAGGTAACGGGGGTTACAGCTAGGGGATTGGACACCAATTAGAGTACGAATGAGTTATGTCTCAAAACAAAAACACGTCAGCCTTGTGCTCCCACGTCAACCGATGATGTTATCGGGCCATGATTTGTGTGGGTGAAAGCGGAAGCCTAAATATATTGCTGCCTCAGGCAAGAAATAAATATGGGCGGGCGGGCCGGCGTCCGCAAGCTGGCCGCTTCGGAGCCTCACCTGAACAACTCTTGAGTTGATCATCTGTTTACTCCTTGTCTTTGGCGTCAACTTATAGCACCGCCATTTCTATACTCTGTCTACTTTCATCTTGCAGCTGCTCTTTCGTCAGCTGCCAGCGCCTTCTACAGTTTGGGGGTTCGGCATTTTGCCGGAGGCGTGAACTGAGGTGTAGCCCCTGGCTGTAGCTCAGCCAGCTTGTACCATTACGTCGCCCTCCATATCGCTCAGTCGGGATTCTATCACAGCGTCGGCGACAATGGCGGCGGGGAGTCAAATGCATAACATGACAACCCTCATCAAGAGGTACGAGTTGATAATTACTCTTAATGTCCGATTGCCACGAACATCCGACGACTGACACCTCACTGGCAGGCTTGAGGCAGCAACCTCTCGCCTTGAGGATATGGCAATGTCGTTCGAGGGCGCAAGCCCCTCGAGCCACACGAGCCTTGCAACTCCTGTGCAGCCACCAGCCCTAGAGCCTCCCAAACAGGCCCCTTCACCGCCAGCGCCAACACCTGAACCGGATCCACAACAAATCGAGGACTTTGATGCGCTCATCAAAAGCGATGTCCAGGCATTTGTTGACCTTGGAAAGGAAATTGGCGGCCTAGTCGGAGAACAGGTATTAGTTCCGAGGACATGCACAAAATGACGCGGTAGCCAATTATGGACATGGTATTGACTTTGATAACAGTCCGAGGCAGTTCTTCAAGCATTCCAGGCAGAGCGTACCTTTATTCTCGTCACCACCAAGGCAAAAAAACCAGACCCATTCAACCCAGAACTCATGACCGAGCTCCACAAAGCATCCGATACGATCAACAATATCCGCGAGTCTAACCGGGTTTCACCGTATTTCAACCATTTGAGCGCCGTTGCCGAAGGCATTGTTGCGCTGGGCTGGTTTTTCGAGATGAAACCCGCAACCTTTGTCAACGACATGTTAGGCGGAATTCAATACTATGGAAACAAGGTTTTGAAAGAGTACAAAGAAAAGTAAGCATATCAGGCGGTGTAATTCTATTGAGCAAATACTGATTGTTTTGGGACAACAGAGATCCACAACATGTCCAGTACATACAAGCATATTACAAGGTTTTCCGGTCACTTGCCTCGTTCTTGAATAACCACTATCAAAGAGGCCTGACCTGGAACAACCAGAGCGACATCTCTGCTCTGGATGCATTGAAACAGATTCAATCAGGTGCATCTCAATCAGCGGTTGCTCCCGCACCGGCTGCCGGTGCACCACCGCCGCCGCCTCCACCTCCACCGCCTCCACCACCGCCAGCTGATTTAGGTGCCCCTTCCTCTGGCGCAAAAGAAGGAGGGGACATGTCTGCAGTGTTTGCTGAATTGAACCAGGGTGATGCCATCACATCGGGTCTCCGCAAGGTAGACAAATCTCAGATGACACACAAGAACCCCAGTCTTCGAGCAAGCTCTACAGTTCCAGAGCGATCCGACTCCCAAAGTAGTCTCGGATCGCCTATCAGTAGGGCTAAATCACCTGCACCGGGCAAGAAGCCCAAGCCCGAGAGCATGCGTGCCAAGAAACCTCCCCGAAAGGATCTGGAGGGCAGCAAATGGTATATTGAGCACTTCGACAACGCCTCTGATATAATCGAAATACCCGCGCAACAGAACCAATCTATTCTCATCTCCCGCTGCAACAAGGCAATCGTCAAAGTGACTGGAAAAGCAAACGCGATCTCGATCGATAACTGCACTGGACTCTCAATCATCGTCGAGTCCCTGGTCAGCAGTTTGGAGGTGATCAAATCCGCAAAGTTTGCGCTGGAAGTCGGTGGCGTTGTCCCGACTTTACTTCTGGATCAGGTAGATGGCGCAACCGTCTATCTTTCACCGGAAAGTATCAATCTGGAGGTCTTTAGCAGTAAGACAATGGGTGTCAACATCTTGCTACCGCCGAAGGACGAAGGGGACGACACCATTGAATGCCCAGTTCCAGAACAGATCAAGAGCTATGTCAAGGACGGCGTGCTTGTCAATGAGATTGTTGAACATGCTGGTTAGAATTGCAGGTTTGACTTGCTTTACCTTACTTGTCTCTTGACTACTCTAGGAGGGGATAACTTGCACTAGTAACCTCGGTCTAGAATTCTCGTTCTTGCTCTTTTGAAACATTTTGTGATTTAGCTCAGGTTGGTAGTAGTGGTGCTATAGTATATTCATGTAGATTATATTCAAGATTCAAGATTCTTATTCCGATGTTGTAGTAAGTTCAAAGATACAACCAAATAATACAGTCATGATCTACCTAGATACATGACTGGGCTCACAGCTCGATAAAGTAATTCGCGGATTGTACCCTAGAATGTATGCATATCGGAAAACGTATGAATATTTTCAAGCAATTAAAGCCTTTTATATATTCGAGAGCAACGCAGTATGTACGCCATTGTGTTCAAAGACTAATTGTCGGATCGCTGAGTTGAAAGTACAGCAACAACAGCAATCAACAGGTGTATCGGGTATGTATATATAGTGGAGCGGACTCTGCTATTGCCTAATTGTCGATTAGCCGGTTGCTCTTGTTCATGATGATACGATATGGATATATATGTGATCTCCGGGATCAAAAAAATATGGTCTGCTCAAGTGAAGAGGATGCAGAAGTACGCTTTCTGCGTATAATAGAGCGAATGGAGGTATCAATCGCTTGCTGGCAAGAGATTGTTTGATGAGAAGAATAATAATCAAGTCTCGAATCCATCGCGGATGGAATTCGATAAATCAACGAGATCGGTTCATTGATCAGCCTGTTCGCTGCTGCAATTCCACTCTTTAAGCTTCTGTGCGAGCAAACTCTCTCTAGGGCTGGAAAATGCGGGTGAGGAAGGGTAGCCGGTCCAATAGCCGGTGTCTCCTTTCTGGAGCTTGTTATAAAGTTCGCTATCATTGCCATTGTCCATCTCTGTTTCTCCCAAGTATTGGGAGTCTGCTGGCCTGGAAGGCGAAGAATCCAATGACATGTCTTCGGAGGTTGGATGCTGAGATGAAGCAGAATTTTCAGTCTGCCAGAAATTGCTCGAAAATATGGAGCCGACAGAATCTCCAGCTGGTAATGATCCTTTGGGTTTGGGAATGGACGGCTTGAATGATACGGGGTTCACCTGCGTTTTTGAGGACACAGGCGGTGATGAATGAGGAAAAGCTTTATCTTCCAAAAACTGGTTTCCATTGAGCCCGATCCCAGCACTACGTCTCCTGTAATGCTTGTCACTTGCCGAGCAATGAACAGCTGTGTTTGTTGTGTCTTTTACAGGCTTGTAGGGGCTGTATCGAGGCTCTGGATACTGGATTTCATTCCGTAACTTCTCCTTGCCGTCAGGCACTCGATTGGCAAAGACAACACGGATCGTAGAATAGAGATAAAATCGACCCTTAGCTGGGCAGCATATATTCAAGTGGATGAGATATCTCAGGGTGGGTTTGTCTTTAGGGTCGTTTGTCGGATTGAGAGACGCTTCAGGACGATCAGTGCCTAGATTCTTCCGTGCTGTCAAAGGCATGTCAATAATCGGGCCCGCCGAATAGCTTCTTTGCCGAATGAATGTTTTGGTGCCTGGTTCCATGCCGTCGAGATCATATGGAACAAGGAATAGCTTGACGGCAGTTTTGTTCGGGTTTTTGATCACAATTTGCAGCTGACCACGTTGAGGGATGCGATAGGCGCCCCCGGGAGGAGCCTTGACGACATCGGTACGACCAGATCGCCTTTCGTGTTTGTGGCATTCGCTAAAGTCAGAGCTTGGTATGAGAGTGCTTGAATGGTTATTTCCAGGCAAGTCTGACGTCTTTGGGTTGCGATTCCGGTTGCTCCCGCTCGAGCTATCCCCTCGGGGCAATGAATTTTCAAGATCAATCAATCCAACGTATGGACTAGGACTGTCATCCGAGATTGAGCGGCCAGCACCTGATGTGGGATAGCTATAGAAGACAGCTGGAAAGGGTACTGTGACGTGAGGTGGGTATCTCAAATTAGCTTTACATTTGCCCTTGCCCAGAACACCAATCTTTGCAGTGAAGTCCAAAGGCTTCGACGGAGTCGTAGACATTCTTCCGCGTAAGATAGACTCTTCATACGAGCCAACCATTGAAGCATGAATACGAGGAGACAAGTCTGACGATAAAGATGGTCGCCGCAACCGAAAAGGCGTTTGCGGTGACGATGCAGGTTGAAGACTACATGCCGGTGATCGATGGGGTTGATACGCCTGGTGTCGCAGGCCCTCCCCTCCTTGAACTGTCGCAAACGACCTGCTTAGATTGAAGTTTCGTGATTGGCTTGGTGGCGAGTTACGAAGTTGCATAAACGTTTCTGGTGGCAATGTACGCCGACGGCTGTTCTTGTTTGAATTTGTGGTAAAATCGACGGATTCAAGCTTTGGTGAGAAGTCTAAATCGGTATTGTTTGCTTGATACACTAATGGACTAGTGGGAGCCTTCAGAACATAGCTTGAGGAGAATGACCCAAGAGAAGGTGCCCTAGATCTGGCACTTGAGATACTTTGGGAATTCCCAGTCACTGTCTCAGAATCTCTGGAAATGAATCTTGAAGGAGTAGCTGGATTAAACCATGGCGTAGTGGGTGAAGAACCAAAGCGCTTAAAGGATGGAGAGTCCTGCGTTGTAGAGTTTAAGCCCCCATATCTAGGAAAATCCGGCGGTTCTGTTTGAGCAGCACCTTCTCTAAAATCTCCAGAATGTAGCGCGGAGCGTGGACGTTCGATTTCGCCAGGTTGAGCCAAGCTAGTCCTCTCATCGAATATGTCTTGCCGCGCGGGTTTTGAGGGTGAATCTTCTCTATTGTTCTCCAGTTCCAGTGTCCATGGTTGAGAGGGAGAACTTTGGTAAGCACGATAATCCTCAGGCTTGCTCTCTAAGTTTATATTATGAGACCCCCAAGCAGGAAATTCCCGCTGCTTTAGACTCTGTATGAGCACTTCTAGGCCATTAGCTTGTAACCGGGAGGAATGGTGGCGGTCATAGATTTGCTGGTCTGGTGACGAGGCCTCGCTCATTTGAATATCAGCTAACTGATGGTATCTCCATTCTGAACCTGAACACCCGGAAATATTTTCAATATTGCCGCTTTCACTGCCGGTTGATTTGCTTGGAGACGGAGCGCCGTTTGATCTTTCCGGGTCGTGGAATATAGGCATTTTAAGTTATTATATAGATCATAAGCCGCGAAGTGATATTAACATCTCAACCAGAAGCACAGACTGGAGAAGTCCTTGTCGCTCTTTAGGTAGCGGATGAGGTCTGACAGACACAATCGGGTGGCGGTAAGAACCTTGGACGACGTAATATACTTCGGAGATGCAATAGTATGTGCTGGCAGACTGGCTGCAGGCAACAGTCAAACGGACAACAGAACAAAGATAAAGCACAACAAAGCGAGAAAGTCGGCGGATGGCTACAGTCAAGTCGAGATCATGGTTTAGTGAGGTGAGGTGAGGTGAGGTGAGGTTGGAGATCGGAGGTTGAGGGAGCGCATGAACCGGTGACTTATCTAATAACTACCCGCTGACTAACAAACATGAAGTCAGTCGATGATCTCTGGCTCCGCAGCCAGCCGGAACATGCAGCATAATGCGCACTATGCAAGTCCAGCGAAGAGACGACAGCTGACGTTGTGACGCAGAAAGGGAAAAATAAAGGATGTCTTAGCACTTTCTCTCAAAAGAAAATGAATGATCGCTGCTAAATTGGCCGCTGGAGGCGACGCTTTTTAAGTGTTTCTTGGCGCTTGCCTAGCGCCATGGGTGGGGCCTTCCCTCGGTGGACTTTGGAATTTTGCGGAGCTGCCAAAAAAAAAAAATGAAACTGTTGATAGTGGAGCGTCTGCACGAACATCACCAGAACTAGCTGTAGTCTACATCCATAAGCAGCTGCTGGTATACGACTGCATTGGGCTATTTGATAATATCTTTTTCGTTTCCTTTGTTTCTCTCAAAATGGCACCAAAACGGCCCCTTGACGCAGACTATGCCGCCGATTCGAAGGCATCCACCGCTGCACCGGAAACTCACAAACGCAGGAAGGGCTTCACGGTTGGACCAGACAATTTGCCAGATGGCACATACCGGCGTAAAAGTACGTCGATTCCTAGTTTATCACGCTTCTCCTTAAGAAAGGACACTTTTCATGCTAATCCCCTACGTTTTTTAGCCCAGAAAATCAAACGTGATCTAATCGAGAAGGCCAAGGTCAAGAAGGCCTATGCAAAAATAAAAGCTGCCGAACAAGAATCTGCACCTGTGCGGTCTAGTTATTATAACTACGACAACAACGACGGCGATGAAGGACCTACTGAGAATGCTGATTCCGCGACACCAGCCACCACTAGTCTGGAATTGCACCCCGATCGCCAAGCTATGCTAGATGGTCCTGAAGAAAAAGAATCTATAGAGGAGGAAAGGAGAGCTAAGAGGCGAGACGAGGCGAGGGAACAGGGCCGTCGGAAACGACGACCTAAGCCGTCCGCTTTCAAGAAAGAGATTGAATTGGCCGAGAAGCGTAGGAAGGAGCAAGAGGCTCGACACAGAGAGAGGGAATCGAAAGCTAAGGAGCGGGAAGCTATGGCAAGGGCAAGGAGGCCTGACCAGTATGGAAAGCGAAGGCTTGGTCGGGAAAGCAAAGTTCTTCTGAGTAAGATCCAGCGTACTGTGGGATCTCAATAAATTGATGCATTCTATTTGATTTCCAATTTCATTTATTGTTCTTGAAATACACGATACAAGCCAAGATACCCTTTTGCATTATCTACATGTCTCTAAACATAGCTGCTGTGTTCTGTGGGTCGTATATATGTAGAGAGGATTGATATGACTGGAAAACTATTGCGCGGCTGCTTTGGCAGACCTCACTTTCCTAAAACATGCAAACTCGCCTTTGGTTCGCTCACGCAATTTCTTCAGAATCCCCCGCATCTCGCCCAGCTCGGCCTGTAGCTTGGTACGCGCTTCGTTATTGGTTCGTCGATCGAGTTCTAGGTAGATTTGGCTCTGTATTGAAGATGCCTCCTCTGTCACATACTGCGACATGGTTTGCGCGACGAATTCAGTGTCCAAGGTAGCTTGCATGAGTGCAGGCAGCGTGTATTTAGCACGGGATTGAAATGCTGAGAGGAGTGACGACGATATCTTCGTGATGAGGTGGCAAAGAACGCCGCTTAGCAAGGGGTTCGCTGAAGACGACAATGAGGAAGAAGATGCCGATGATGATCCAGGCTGAACTGGGATGGTTGTAGAGATCTCGGTGTGTACGAGTACCAAAGTCAGCATTGTTGTGTACACATATGGCTTCACCTGCTCCGGACGGTTTGTGACCGGAACCCAGTCTGGTGCTTTGATGCCTTCCTGGATTACAGCATCCAAAGCCGTGATTGTCGGGTTTGTGTACGACTGAAACAGTCTAGCATCAATCTGACCAAGTACATCGCGAATCGTGTTTGATTCATCTGTCAATTTAACAGAGAAAGCCGTCTCGAAGTTGGACACCAGCTGAGGAACAAACTCTGTTTGAAGTGCCTTGAGGTTTGACAGAGTAAGAAGCATCCGTACGTTCTGAGACTCTCAAGTCAGCAATGAATATTATACGGGGACCCAGTCGAGAACTTACCCTATTCCTTGCATCGACACTGTCTGTTGTGATGATGGTCGATGCCGCATCGATACTCCGTACCGGTACTGTAGGTCTGCCAAGTCCCCATTCATCGTCGTCGCCTATGTTAATCGGTCGCTCAGCATTTTCCACAAGGCCACTAAGAGCTTTGTAGACACTAGTCACAAACTGAGACCGGACCATCTGTAATAATTTGGCGGGGGGCGGCGTAACAACGTCAACCGCGCCAGCCTTGCTCATGGCTTCTGAAATGTAAAGAATCTTCTGCATCCCAGCCAGCACCATGCTTTCAAAGGAAACTAAAAATCCAGGCATTCTTGTGAGTTCTCGTTTTTCTGGATCACGGGTCCAGTCTTCGAGCATTTTGCAATTCTCGGCGTCCTTATTCCAAGCAGCGCAAGCAACACGTACACATCGTTCACGAGCTATACTAACAAGATTCTTCAGGCGGTCATAAGAAGTGCTTCCTGTGGTTATTGGAGATAATGCAGCCATATCACTAGCGGCTGTGCCAATCAGGATCAGGAATCTGCTTAAATAGTGCACGCTACTCAATGAATTGGAGTATGGAGGCCAGAATGCAAATTCCTCCCATGCTTCCCCACGTTTTGGTGAAGTTGGAGGTAAGTTCTTGGGGTCGAGCTTAAATCGAGATTCAGTAGGGGTGACATGAATAACAGGCGTGCCAGGGCTTGGTGGAATTGGCGAAGCCAGAAGAGAGATATCTTCAATCGGAGGATCTGCAAATAAAGAAAGGACGCTCTTTCGGATCAAATCGACGAGTTCGATAATGCCATCTTGTAGCTGCTTCACACCATCATTGGGTAGACGATGGTGTTTGCGACTCTCGCCTTCAAACCCTGCGGGCAACATTTTTTGTTTGTTGCCATTGATAAAAGACTGCGCTGTTTCCCAAAATTCAGCTACTTCACCCAGCAAGCCGGTTTGCATAGATAGCAATTTCGTCAAATAAGTATGGATGCATTCCCACAGCTCAATGACTGAATCCGTATCAAGTCTTTCCAGCGGCTCCGCATCGCGTAGAGATACACGCAGGAAAGTTGCCATGGCCTGGATATTAGGCTTCTCCCCCGCGGCAAGTCGGCGTCTGAGAATCTCGATCTCGACGCTAGATCGTTCGCAAAAAGTAACAATTTTCGTTTTGAGTAAGTCGTAACGGCTCAGAAGCCAAATCCACACAGGGTTATCCTCCACACCGAGTTCCAGAAGCGCTCCAATCAACTCCATATGCTCCTCTACCGGTCCAGCTGCAGTTAGATGAGACGATGAAGTATTAACATCACTCAATCGGTGCCACAAGTCTCTTTTAAATGCTTCGACTTGGTGTTCGACATCAATCCACATTCGCCCAGTGGCCAACACAGTGTGACTTTCATCATCTGTCAATTGCCGGCCTCTTGTTGTTGCGCGATCAACTAGTTGTTTAGCTTCATTTCTCAGAGTCTTAGCTCGACGATATTCATCAAATATGGATTGAAAGTCCCGTTGCTTGATCGCTCTAGAAATGTTCCCGCCGGTCTCATACACTGCCCGATTCCTTTCAACGGCATTTACAAGCGCATATAGGTTCTGCTCGCGATCTCGACCTCCCAACGCAGGACCCCATAACTCTTCCGCTTTGACCGATGCCTCAACTAAGGGGGCCCGGATCCCCTTCACCCCGTATTCAGCCTCCTTGGTAAGGGCAGTCTTCTTCGAAGCAGCGCTTGGCGCTGGTGGGGGAGCTCCAGTGAGCGAGTAGCGATATTGGCCGCTTGCACGATGTGACTGAGGCCTGTTTTTATTTGCTCCTTGGTCTCTCATTTCCGTGTATACGCTGTCTATTGTCGCCTTTGCGCGCACGAAACGCTCAAAGTTGGCCTCCACAAGCACCTTCAGAGAAGCCGATTTTTTATCAATCGAACGCGACAGAAACTCGAGACCCTCAAGTAGGCTTTTAGTAGAGGCGTCTTGATGCGCCTGGGCCAAAAACAAAGCGGGAGAAAATGAAGTCGAGGACAGAAGGAATCGATTGCGCAAGCGCGGGTCGTCGTCAACGGGAATACGTCGCTGTTTGAGGATATACATCACACTGTCAGAGGACCCCAGGGGATCCGATTCGTCTTTAACGGCGACATTGTCACCGGCGCCCCCTGCTCGATATGAGCCTGCTGCCAGACCCCTACTGCCCGTTCCACCTAGAGCCGAGTATCGTGCAGAGCGTCTTTCCTGTTTGGCGCCACCGCCGGCAGCGAAGTCCTCGGTATCTGAAGCGTCACTCTCGTCGAGCTCAGCAGGCCACACGTCCGGAAAGGCATGCTGGATGCCGTAGTGGCCAGCAACGTCGATATCCTCCGCCATCTTGCACGATCCGAGAGCTGCTAGACCTAGCAGATATCGATATCCACTGTGTGCCGGTCACTCCAGAGTCCAGTGCCCAATAGCAGACCAAGATAGGTTACCGTCCGATTCTGCGTTGATGTCACAGTGAACGGCAAGAAAGTTCCGAAACGCGGAAGTTACGCTGCGGCTTGCTGGCCACACACAGCCGAGGGAGCCCACCTTCCCTGCAATCGGAACTTGCGAAGCTAACGCGGATAAACTCTTCCTGCCTTTTTTCATTCTGTCCTCTGGAACTATCCAGCACCACAGAATTTCCATTTCTAGGGAGGAGTTTTGCGAATTGCAAGTCATTTTTCGTCTCTTCGTTTTTGTCTTCTTGTCACAATGATCTCCGCGCGTGCTTTCGTTGCGCCCTCCCGCCAATGCTTGCGGGGACTCCGCTATGTTCCTACCCAAGCATCTCCCTTTGCACAAGTTTGTCAATTGCTCCCGACTTTCAATTGCGCATTGCTAACAAGTCCGCATATACAGGCTCGTGGCTACGCCGCTGCTGCCGATAAGCGCGTCGGCGCATTTAAGGGACAGAAAGGCCCCGATGTATGGCTCCCACTCCATGCGCGTCGGTTTCTCAGGATGGCTCCGCGACTCTCCGCTGTGATGAAGCACACATACTGATGGGAAACTTGTGCAGGGAAACTACACCGTTACTCTAATTGAAGGTGATGGTATCGGCCCTGAGATCTCTCAGTCCGTTAAGGATATTTTTGCTGCGGCCAAGGTACGCTGTCAGCCTCAAAGCTTGGAAAAGGCATAGCCGAAGCTTACTTTGCATACTTAGGTCCCTATCAAATGGGAGCCCGTCGACGTTACCCCCATTCTTAAGGATGGACGAACTACCATCCCCGATGAGGCTATCCAGAGTGTGCAGAAAAACTACGTTGCTCTGAAGGGCCCTCTTGCTGTTCGTCCAGCCCCCCTCCCATTCTATGGTTGATACGTTGCTGATTGCTCCTGGCAGACCCCGGTCGGAAAGGGCCATGTTTCACTTAACCTTACTCTGCGCCGTACCTTCAATCTCTTTGCCAACTTGCGACCCTGCCGTTCCATTGCTGGCTATAAGACACCATATGACAACGTTGACACTGTGTTGATCCGTGAGAACACGGAGGGTGAATATTCCGGAATTGAACACGTCGTTGTTGACGGTGTCGTTCAAAGCATTAAGCTTATCACCCGGGAAGCTTCTGAGCGTGTCCTTCGTTTCGCTTTCCAACACGCACAGGCCTCGGGAAAGAACAAGGTTCGCGTTGTGCACAAGGCTACCATCATGAAGATGTCCGACGGTCTTTTCCTCAACACTGCCCGCGAGGTTGCTAAGGAGTTCCCCGAAATTGAATTTGATGCCGAACTCCTTGACAACACCTGCTTGAAGATGGTCACCGATCCTACCCCATATAACGACAAGGTTCTTGTTATGCCTAACCTTTACGGTGATATTCTGTCCGATATGTGCGCTGGTCTGATCGGTGGTCTTGGTCTTACTCCCTCCGGAAACATTGGAGATGAATGCTCCATCTTCGAGGCTGTTCACGGTTCCGCTCCCGACATTGCTGGAAAGGGCCTTGCTAACCCCACAGCGCTCTTGTTGAGCAGTATTATGATGTTGCAGCACATGGGTCTCAACGAGCACGCTGCTCGTATTCAAAAGGCTGCTTTTGAGACTCTTGCTGAAGGCAAGGTGCGTACATGTATCACCCACATAGCTAATATAAAGCGGATGCTGACTATTTACTAGACACTTACGGGTGATCTTGGAGGATCTTCCAAGACCCACGAATACGCCGGGGCTATTATCAAGCGTCTATAAGCAAAATCTAAATACACCTGATACGCCTCATCTTGTACTATTTATGCATTTCTAGATTCCTTTTACCACCTCACGAATTAAATCTGGTGCATGTAAGACATGGTTGGTAATGAAACAGTTCTTCTTACCTGTATTTGCAAGTGCTAGTAAAACAGAGAGATCACAGTGTGTTTAGCTTCTGCGTCAAGCATTCCCATTCTAATCTCTTAATGAAAAAAATTTTCAAAAGTCGTCTTATGAAGGACCACGTTATGATTGAAGTCTTGCCAATGCCATATCTTTGTCCAAATAAATGATACATGTATTCGTCGCGCATCAACACCAAACGCCAGTTTCTAAAAAGTATACATAACTAGGCTATCACCGACGTCTTCCAGTGCGTCTTGTCGTTGTACTAGTGGCTGTCGAGCCCTTCTTGTCTTTCTTAGACTTGGCGGTTTGCGTTCGTGTACTTCTCGTCGCCGGAGAGCTTGCAGCTTCCATATCTTGTTCGTCCGCATCATTATCTACTTCGCCTTCACCCACGTCACTATCCCCCTCATCCTCACCGTCTCCCTCGTTCCCATCCGCATCTTCTATTTGTTCATCTTCGGTGGCAGGAGCCGATGAAGATGGCTTTTCGACCTCCGTCTGTAGTCTTGTCGACCGGGTACCGCGGGTAGACACCCTCGTTGGCTTACCACGGCGACCACGGGATGGTGCCGGAGATGAGCGCGGTTCTAGATCAATCATTAGTATTCATCCTTGACGCCAACTTTGGAGCTCCTACCATCAGTATCAGCAACTGTGCTACCCCTCCTAGACTCGGCCTGTATAGAAGTTTCTGGCGATTCTGATCGCTCTGCTGCAAGTCGCTTTGCAAACATCATTTCACCATATTCATCTTCTGGTAGTTCAAAGGGGCAGTATTCCGACTCTTCTGAATCCTCTGCCTCTGGTGTAATTATTGAATCCTCCTGTAACATTGTCAACCAAAAAGGCCCTTGAATACTGAAAGATCAAACGGTATAATATCACTGACCCTTTCGTCCAGCGCAGGGAGGTTATATAGCGAAGTGAGCTTTTTCCAGATTCCTGGAATACGGGTATGTTCTTCGTCTGCAGGCGCGTAACCTTGGCTTTTCATATATTCAGATATAGCCAGCATCCTAAAATGTTTATGCATCCCTATGTGAAGAAAACTCATATTAATTTCTGTCCGTGTCGAAAGTCTTTGAGGGTGCAAGAAAGCAACGGACCAACGGGTTTCCACCGGACGATGCTTTTCAGCAGCGCAGTTTCCTGCTCATCCGTCCAAGGATCGTTCACCAATTCACTCTCAGTATCCGACTTATGCGTGCTGTCTGTGGCGCTAAGCGCAGAAGATGGTTGTTTTGTAGCCTCGACTTGCGGCGTGGTGGATGTCGCACGCGATGAAAGCTTTGGTCGTTTTCTGGGTGGCATTTTGTAGGTTGGAAGAATTTTAAGGAGCAGGCGAGGTTGTTCAGCGCGCAAATGAAAATCCCCCAGATTTCCTGGTTTAATGGCGCCGGGTTCAATTGCTGCGTGGTATAGATCCAAGCTACGATGCTTCGTGCAAGCCGCAAGATTGACCAGGCGAGGCGCGGAGGAAGAGCGGAAATTAAGCAATGGTCCGTGCATGTCACGCCTCAGGCTATACCAGAAACAGCTTGGTTATTGTCGACGCGATTCCCCGCGTAGCTGATTCTTCTCACTGACGAACACGCGCCATTATGGCCGGCGTCCACAAAATGGATGCTGGGAATGACATTGAAGATGCTTTTAAGCTCAACGATCTCTGGCAGTCTTCGAGCTTTACGCTTGAATCACTTCCGCCCCTCGAACCGATCCATCTGCAGTTAGCCAACCCAGGTTCGTTTACTTTCCCCGTTTTCTTCTTCAACTATCGCTGATCGCCTCATCTGTAGATTCACCAAAAGGCATTTTCGATACATCGATCCACCAATTCGATCAAAATAAATCTTTACTTTACGAGATCAACGTTTACGGCACGGACAATACTGAAAATACGTCGACCAAGCTTTCGAACGATGTAGCTGAGGTTACAATTAACGACGGCAAGACGGATTCGGAGCCTTCGCTTGAGGATGAAGAGAGCCCATGGACAATAGACTCGATATTAGATGCTCTCAACGAAACGCCGAGAGATGGACCTAAATTAGAGTCCTGGGACGGATTTTTGGACCGCCATTATGAAGAGCCTGCGTCCGCCTATCTAAGTGAATTTGGTAACAGAGGATTCGATGCTGCGTTATCGCACAGAGCTACCGTGAGTGGGCTGGAGAATTCGGGCCGCATAATACATTCTTCGGTATTTTTGGACTCGTTCATTCGTCTCGGGCTTGGATGGAATTCAGTGCTCTTCCAGTATAACGAGCAGAAGAAGTTATTCGAAAAGAGTCTGCGTGATATACGTATAACTGGAGTCAGCCTGACAGCTCTGGATGGCATGATTAGCGATATTTCGCGTTGCGGCACCAACGTGCAAAAGATACGGAGATTCATCCGAGTAAATTCTTCGGTGCCTGAACAACCAGCTGCACTCTCTAGCTTAGCTAGTGCGGCTTCTGTATTGCTCTACAGTCTTGAAAAGCAGCTTTCGGGACATCTACGAGTCAACGTTTCCTTAATACAGGTCTACAACCTCTTTCAAAAGTGTGGCGACCTAGTTGGCACTCTGGCAGAAATTATTACCGCAGCAGAAAGAGCCAGGAGCGAAAGCGAGGTTATATCTGTACTCATATCAAAGTGCGAAGATCATGAACAACGGGTACCTTGGTTGGCAAACACTCTACATGAGATAATTCATCGATGCACAAAACCGTGGTTAAGTTTGGTTGAGTCATGGATTGGACTCAAGAGCGAAAAGACTCTCTTTGCCGAGGGACATTCAATTAAAAACAGCTTTGTAGAGTTAGAATACCCTCAAGCTCAAACAAGCACGGCCCTCAAATCGGAAACTGTTGAGTTCATTTACCATCCCGAGTTCATGCCCTCATCTTTGCCTGCCGAGCAAGCACACTTGCTATTCGAAACTGGAAAAGCACTTCGTTTACTCAAACGCAATCAGCCAGATCATCCCATATCAAGACTCGATGTCGTTGAGGCTTCACAAGCCCCCAGTCTTACATGTGCATTCTCCTGGGGGCATATTGAGCAGATACAAAGAAGGGCCATAGAGTATGAAACTCGGCTTCGCCGGGAGATTGCCAGATACAATAGTGGCGATACTGCAAGATCTCGACCTGGGACACAGCATGGTTATGTGGAGCATGACAAGAAAGGATTGTATGAAAATGATGCTACCGAGAATTTCGACCTTATCAATCTCGACAACGGAAAACATGTCACTGGGCTCCTGGCAGATAATTCATACATGGAATCTGATAAGCTGTATCAAGATACCGAAGAAAGGGAGTTCTTCAGCCCCCAGTCCCTTGTACACCATGACACAGCCTTTGGACCACCTCTAGGCTCGGTTTTATACCTTTCGCTCGGTCCAACTCTAGCAGTGCAGGCAAAACTTGTTGACTTCTCCTGCCTTCATTTGCTTTTCAAAAAACACAAGCTGCGCTATCACCTAATGCTACAATGGCGATTCCACCTTCTGAGCGACGGCGCCTTTGCTTCGCGCTTGTCACAATCGCTGTTTGATCCGGAGATGACAAGCGGCGAGCGAAAATCAGGTGTAGCCCGAGGTGGGTTCCATACAGGATTACGCCTAGGAAATCGGGACACATGGCCTCCAGCGAGCTCCGAGCTACGATTAGTCCTCATGGGGCTCCTTAGTGAATGTTACGATGCCACCGAGAATGACCCTGCCTTGTCCACGCAGCCAGAGACAGCAAACACAAAGGGGAAGGAGGTGTCTGGTAACCTAAGTTTTGGAATCCGTGACCTTACTGGGAATGAGTTGATCAAATGCAAGGACCCCAATTCCATCCAGGCGCTAGATTTCCTCCGTTTGCAGTACAAGCCTTCAACTACCATAGAAAGCGTTATCACGTCGCAATCGCTTCAGAAATACGACATGCTATTCAAATACCTACTACGACTCTTACGCATGGTTTCTGTTGTGAACAGTCTTGTGCGCGATTCTACCGCTCGCGGGTCACTGTCAGGAGACACGCATAACATCTTCCAGCAATTCCGCATTGAGTCTCATCATTTCATAACGGCTCTAAATGACTACGTCTTCCAAGTAGCCATCGGCGCGAATTGGCAACGCTTCGAAGCCACACTCTCCGAAATCGAGTCCTCTATAGACAACGGCGATGTTGACGGGACCATTGAGATTGCCGGATCTCTGCATCGGTTACGTAAATATCACGAAGACGTTCTCAATCAAATATTGTTTTCGCTTTTCTTGGAGCCACAAGATCGACCACGACAACGACGACGTGGCCTTGAGCAAGTAAATAGGCTTTTAGAAGACGTATTTGGTACCATCCTGGCTTTTATGCCTTTGTCTGGACTTGATGGGGCCAGTGGTATTCGCAATGAGAACGAAAAGACTGTCTATCGACTCCATGTCACGTTTAGAAAGCAGGTGGGTACCTTTGTTCGCTTTCTGAGGAGCTTGGATGATAAAAGGGCCTTGTCCAAGTCTAGAGTTAATCAGCTTGGTGGGAGCGGGACTATGTCTGCAAAAGGTACATCAAGTATATTTGAGTACCTTCTTGTGCGATTGGACATGAAGCAATATTATTAAGTCATTAGACAAGCATTATGCTTTTTCCCCTCTTCACTAGGGTTGTCGAGGGTATAGAAGATTTGCTTTGATGACTTGGGAGAAGTTGTTCGTCACTTATTGTCGTTGCCATTCTATATATACGTAAACTCGTTCCGTCGAGCATGCAAATAATATATCAAGGTGATCTATATACAAAAAAGCTAAACCAGACGCCTCAAAAACAAAATGCGCGCCTCTAAATCAATTAGAAGAAAACTAGATCGTTCTCATTCCATCCCAGTTTAAGTAGCGTTTTCTTTGCAACACTCTCCATACCTTCGGGTCCGCATATCAAAGCCAGACTGTCTTCATTGGGGGTTGCATACTCTTTCAATAAGTCTTCGCTTATCCGACCCCTAAGGCCCTTCCAGTCATTTGATGGTTTTGTTAGGGTATGCAGGATCGTACACCGTCTATCGGCCATGGATGCAAAAGAATCCAGCTCTTCTCGGCATAAGATATCTTCTTCCAATCTATTGCCATCCAGCACGGTACACTCTGTTGAATCGTTGGGGTTGCTCATGACACCTCTCAAAACTTGGTAGATGGGGGTGATGCCACTTCCACCACAAATCATGCGGAAAGATTTTACAAACCGCTCCTTATCATTCAAAATAACTCGGCCATTACCACGATAAATCAGCTTTCCAATTGGTCCTTTAATGTCGACAAAGTCGCCAATCTGCATTTTGTCAAGTGCCGCGGTCATTTTGCCACCTTTGGATGTTTCTGTCGGGAAATATATTTTGATGAGAATGTCGAGTGTTCCTTTCTGGTTGGTTTCTGATATGGGCGTATATGCGCGGATGATGGACTCGGAGGTAGAAGCGTTTTTCAGTTTGATCATAAGATGTTGGCCGGTGGGCAGGCCCAGAGTTTGCAAATCGTACTCGAGCTTGAAGGTAAATATGCGAGTATCCCACGATATAGAGCGCTTGGCACAGAGCTCTGCCTTCTTCCACACCTTAGGTTGCAAATATATCTCGTCCGGAGTCTCTGAGGAAGATTGATTTTCGGACTCTTTTTGTAAAAGTTCCTGGGACTCTCTATCAAGAGTACCAATGTGATAGTCCGGCATCATTGCTTTCGCAGTCTCGCTGTCTATAATATTATTAGATTCGAAAGTGGTAGAATCAAAGAAAGCAAATACTCACGAATTGCAAGAAACTCTTCAGATACATCCATGCCGGCTGCTGATATGATACTCTGAGCACCACCAGGATGACCTTCCAAAAACTTTGTGCCATCATAGACCTCGCCGTTTATGACAAACCAAGGTTCTTGGGGAGAAATATGTGCTTTGAGCTCCGTAATATCGATCCTTTTGTTCAATCCCTCTTTCTTCATGGAGATCTCCTCCACTGCCTTCTCGTTGCTAGAGAATGAGTCCTCGTTGTTGGATACTTCACCCCATCGACCGTTTGTTAGATCTCCGCCAGCTTTTTTAGCCCGCTCCATCCAGCCACCAGGCATCAGGGCTGGTTGGGTTGGGTGTTCAAATTTCAGAACATCGCCATCTCTGATGATTGCAACCCTGAACCAGGGGTTATTCATCATACCGAGAACAGACCAATACATGTCTCGAGGTTGGCAATTGAGGGCTTCATCCATGGCACGAACAAGAATTGCATCGCTATCTTTCAAATCTTCAACTGGAATTTCTAGGTTCCAAAAGCACCAGCAGAAACAAGTCTCGCGCCAAAACATATCAACTTTACCTCCAAAGAGATCAGATTCAAAGTCACGATATTTGTCTTCGGGATATTCTATGGTTGCTAGTCGCCAAGCTGCATGAAAAAAAATAGATGTCAGGTGTCGAGATGCATTGTGATACGGAAAACGAGTCAACTTACATTTGCCTTTATCAAGTGAAATTTCGACTCTGTTTATACGCCTACCACCCCCGCCATAAGCGTATCCTCTTGCAGTGTATATTGGGTCGGCAGTTGACAGATTTAACTCTTCGTTATGCTGGGGATAAGCAGCAGCTGAATTGACGTTGAGATCATATATGGCATATCGCTCGTCGTACCACCATTTGCTTTCTTTAGCCGATTGTTCGGGCGTAACGGTTGTCCTGAATGCCTTAAAGTCAGTAATGAATCAGTTCAAATGAAAACAAGGGAAAAACTCACGGAAGAACTCGGTTGTCATAAATATGATACCAGTTATCGCTGGGTTTGTCGGTTACGATTAGTCTCTTAAGCCATTTAACGCTTCGACCGCCGATTTGTCCTGGAACTACAGCTCTCAATGGGCGTCCATGGTCAGGACGAAGATCCTCGCCGTTCATCTTATGTGCCAGCATAATTCCTCGGTTAGGGTCCATGACCCAGTTGAGTTTCACAGATGTCCCGTAATACCCATTTGGCTACCAGGAAGTGTTAGTATACAATACATTTTTAGAGACCAGAGGTAAATTGCAGTATTACCAATTTATCAGCCCCCTCCATACAGACATATTTGGCTTTTCTGGATGGGTTTGCTCGTTTGATGACATCTCGCATCATTGGACCTGTGAACAGGGCAGTCGAGACGCCGGCCGCTCCCCATGAGAAACCTTTCGACTTTCGGACTTGATTCTGTTCTTTACGCCTGTTACCAGCACACACGAGAGTGACGGGTGCAGTGATTTGGTCAAATTCCTGTAGGATCTGTTTGAAATCCAGCACTATAGGATTCTCAACGAGCCTGATAGGTATTGGGTTTGTAAGTGAATGCCATTCCATATGCCGAGCTAGGCAGAACTAACCCTTCAATACTGATCTCCCATGTTGGGATGTCTTCATCGCTCACTTGAGGAACTGGACCATGGTTTCTAACGTAGAACAGCTCCGGAGACGTCAGGAAGCCTACAGTTATTCAATAACCAGTCAATTTACGTTCCATTCGGAAAATTTTACGGATTGTGAATGATGCTCATACCTTCATTGAAGAGCATCGTCAGTGGAGGCTCGACATTGAATGGATGCACGCCAGTGAGCCTAATTAGCCTTGGATCACGGGGTACATGATTATCGGGCGTGTCCTTATCAACACTCAAGACCTCTGTCGGTGCTTTAGAGGGCGGCGGTAGAGGAATCTCGGGCAATGAATCTGATTTATCGGAGGCACTATCACTGTCAAGTTGCGATTCGGAAAGAGACAGAGAGGTCACTGTGGGATACAGCTTATGAGGTGCGTCCAGCACACTCTGCTGTTGCAAAATGGTTTGTGTTATCGTGGCCATCTTCCATCAAAAAGCCATCCAACTCGAAAGCTGGGATTCGGAGAATTGTGAGTACTTTAGGGGAGCAAAAGGAATAGCTGAGGGGAACATTCAACAGCAGTGAGTTGAATCTGTCAGTTTCGTAGGGCTGGATATATCACTTAGAACAGCCTAGAAAGCTTGAAGTAGCACCCGCGGAAATCCAGTCTATGTGTAATGTGACGTAGTAAACCTTGCTTCGAGTCTGCGGCGGGAGATACCGGTACATGGAGAGACATCCTACCACAGAAAGATCATCCAGCTAGACTCCACCTAAGCTGGCATATTTTTCTTCTTTTGAAGCATTACCCGATGTGGCGATTAGGGCAGGCTCATTCCGGCAGCCAATCAGGATTGCGGCTAGATATCCTTATCAGGAGCAAATCCAATGTGGAATAGCGGCAAGCCATTCCAGGCCTTCCGCGGAGTCTTTCTCCTTACAATTAATTATTCAAGTGAATGACAGAGATATGATCGTTGATGCACCTGTTTGGTCCGCTTCTGGCGATGACAGCGACGTAGCCGCACTAATATTAGATAAAGTATGCGCTAAGAGTACAACTGGAGCCAATCTCTTACCGTTGCAATGCAACTGATTCGCAAATTGCTGCTGGCCAGGTGTGGAAAAGAGTTATGGCCTGAAATTTGGGTCAGGGCTAAATTGCCCCTCGGGCCTCCACTATCGAGTCCTATATACTGGTCCTTCTTCCTTTCTCACATGTCAGTCATCAAGGGATTCAAGATACGCCAGCATAATGGAAACCATGGCGGTTCCAACAGAGGAAGCCAGCGCATTAACGGCGGGCACCATACCCAACGGCGAAAGTCACCATCAGCACTATGAGAAGAAGACATCCGGACGAAAGAAGATCGTTATTGTAGGGTTGGGAATGGTCGCCATCTCCTTCATGTATGTACCGGGTCCTAGGTCCATGTGCAAGAGTCGCTGACACGGAAAGTGAAAAATTACTAAAATTGGATGCCGAGCGACGAGAATATGACATAGTAGTTATTGGTGAAGAGCAGCACCTAGCATATAATCGCGTTGGATTGTCGACGTTTTTTGAGCACCGGAAAGTTGAGGACTTATATCTGAATTCGCAAGAATGGGTAAGCAGGAAAACCCCTAATCCCATAGACCCAAAGGAAAAAAAAAAGAAAAAAAGAAAAAACCTCACCTGACGTTTGCTAGTACTCATCCTTCACGGATGGGTCGTTCAATTATCACTTGAACACTTGCGTAACAGAAATCGACCCTGCGAAGAAACAAGTTTATACTTCGACTGGCCAATGGGTTGCCTACGATTTGCTGATCCTGGCAACAGGCTCTGATGCCATGCTTCCTGAGACTACGCCGGGCTATGATGCCAAAGGCGTCTTCGTGTATAGAACAATCACTGACTTGGAACGACTTATTGAATTTGCGAGCCACCACAAAGGCGAAACGGGCGTCACTGTGGGCGGAGGCTTGCTAGGCCTCGAAGCAGCCAAGGCCATGACCGATTTACGGGACTTTGGCAGCGTCAAGCTGATCGACAGAAACAAATATGTTCTTGCGCGGCAGTTAGACGCCGACGCAGGAGGACTGGTGACCGAGAAAATTCGAGAACTCGGCTTGGACGTCATGCATCAGAAGAGGGTTGCCCGAATTGAAACAGACGAAGGGAACAATGTGAGCGGTTTAGTGTTTGAAGATGGCGAGAAAATCGACTGTTGCTGTATCTGTTTTGCGGTAGGCGCTGCACCTTCCCGTAGTGCACAGTTAACTGCATTCGGCAAGAGCTGACCCAAGGACATCGACAGATCGGAGTCAAGCCACGTGATGAACTCGGCGCCAAAGCTGGCATTGAATGTGCTCCTCGAGGAGGGTTTATCATCAACGAAAGGTATGCAAGCATGGAAAACAGATACACGCTCGTTGGCATCTTCAAATTGACTTCATGTTCTGCAGTCTCGAAACATCGGTCCCTGGCATCTATGCCGTGGGAGAGTGCGCCAGCTGGGAGAACCAGACTTTCGGCATCATCGCTCCTGGAATTGAAATGGCGGATGTGCTCTCTTTCAACCTGACCCATTCAGACAAGGAACGAAAGCGCTTTCATCGTCCAGATCTAAGCACAAAGTTGAAGTTGCTCGGTGTTGATGTGGCCAGCTTCGGTGACTTCTTCGCAGACCGAGATGGGCCAAGATTCCTGCCTGGCCGCCGAGCATCGATTGAGAAGTTGAGACCATTTGAAAAATCGGGAGAACAGAAAAAAACTGCCAGCAAAGTCAAGGCGTTGACATACAAAGATCCATTTGGTGCTGTCTATAAGAAATACCTCTTCACTTTGGATGGAAAGTACCTACTGGGTGGAATGATGATTGGGGATACCAAAGACTACATCAAGCTAAACCAAATGGTCAAATCTCAGAAGGAACTAGACGTTCCTCCGAGTCAGTTCATACTAGGCGCACAGAACGGCGGTGAAGAGAATGCGGATGATCTGTAAGTTTCGTCGTGTTTTACCGGAACTTGAAAGAGAATTGCTGATCATCTATTCGCCAGTGACGATGACACTCAGATATGTTCTTGCCATAATGTTACCAAAGGTGATGTAGTGGAGAGTGTTAAAAATGGCACTTGTTCAACAATTGCACAAGTAAAATCTTGCACCAAGGCTGGCACCGGATGCGGAGGTTGTATGCCATTAGTCCAGTCTATATTCAACAAAACCATGCTTGAACTGGGTCAAGAGGTTTCCAACCACTGTAAGTATTTCTGCTCTTGATCTGCTCAATAACTGAACAAGACACTGAACCTCCACTAGTGTGTCCCCACATTCCATATTCGCGTGCGGACTTGTATAATGTGATTGCCATCAAGCAATTGAAGACGTTTGTCGAAGTTATGCAAGCTTGTGCCAAGAACCCCGATTCTCTGGGCTGTGAGATTTGCAAGCCAGCCATCGCTTCAATCTTGTCAAGTCTCTTTAATCCCCATCTCATGGATAAGCAAGTCCACGAGCTTCAAGACACAAACGATAGGTTCCTGGCCAATATTCAGCGCAACGGAACTTTCTCAGTTGTCCCGCGTGTTCCCGGTGGTGAAATTACCCCTGAAAAGCTTATTACTATCGGACAGGTGGCGAAGAAATACAGCCTGTATTGTAAAATCACGGGGGGTCAGAGAATCGACCTGTTTGGTGCCAAGAAGCAAGACCTTCTTGCCATCTGGACTGAGCTGATAGATGGCGGTATGGAGAGTGGCCATGCATACGCTAAGTCGCTGAGAACAGTCAAGGTATGCGGTGGTGTCTTTTGTTCACAAGAAATCAATAGCTAATAGGACCTCAGAGTTGTGTCGGAACTACCTGGTGCAGATTCGGTGTTGGCGACAGTGTCGGTATGGCCATTCGTCTTGAAGAACGATACAAGAGTATTCGAAGTCCTCATAAGTTCAAGGGCGGCGTGTCTGGCTGCGTGAGGGAATGTGCTGAGGCACAGAGTAAAGAGTAAGATATCATCAATATTACTATTGATATTTCTGGCTAACTAACATCAAAATAGCTTTGGTCTTATTGCAACCGACAAGGGGTTTAATATCTTTGTTGGAGGCAATGGAGGTGCCAAGCCACGACATGCAGAGCTGTTGGCTAAAGATGTTCCGCCGGAAGAAGTTGTTCCTATCGTGGATCGTTTCCTTATCTTTTACATTCGCACTGCCGACAAACTTCAGCGTACAGCGCGATGGATTGAAAATCTACCTGGGGGTCTCAAGTACCTACAAGAAGTTATCTTGGAGGATAAGCTTGGGATATGCGCAGATATGGAGCGACAAATGGAAGAACTTGTCGGCAGTTATTTCTGCGAGTGGACGGAAACCATCAATAACCCAGAGAGACGCAAATATTTTGAGCAGTTTGGCAACACATCGGAGACCGTTGAGACGGTGGAAGTGGTGAAAGAACGTGACCAAAATAGACCAGCATACTGGCCGAAGGACTCGGCGAGCGATGACTTTAAGGGCCATCAGTGGTCTAGCGTGACATGGCAGCCGGTCATTGAAGCCAGCCATTTCTCCGATGCGAAACCGCAAGTATCATCTGCCAACATCAAACGGGGCGATACACAGTTGGCCATTTTCAAGATCAAAGGCAAATACTACGCGACGCAGCAGATGTGTCCTCACAAGCGCGCATTTGTGCTTTCGGATGGTCTTATTGGCGATGACGATTCGGGCAAGTACTGGGTATCCTGTCCATACCACAAGCGCAACTTTGACTTGAACGGCGAGCAAGCCGGTCGATGCTCGAATGATGAAGCGATGAACATTGCTACATTTCCTGCCGAAGAACGAGAGGATGGCTGGGTATACCTGAAGTTACCGCCTACTGATGAACTTGACACGGTGCTTGGGACGGAAAAATGGAAGATCAAGAAAACCGAATCAGAGAACCCATTTGAAAAGGTTGACAAGATCTACAAGGGTGTGCGAGGAAAGAAGATCCACGATATCAAAGTTCAGACTCGCGAAATTACCGTGGGTGGCGGTGGCGCCAACGGGATTGATTGGTGAAGCAATTACTTATATCATAGTTATACATATATATACATACATAGATTACGAGAGACATGATTTCTTTTTGTTTGCAACTGTGCATTTGCTAGACAATAATAATTTTATACCCATACTCTTTGAATATATATCTTAATTCTTCATCCTAGTCAGTCTTTTCCCCATAGCAGAAACAACAATAACAATGTCCAACGTAGTTAGGGTTCCACGATGCACGTGCGATCTGCTCCAACCAATCAAAGCACCTTAGAGTGAGAAAACCAATCAGCGATGTCATAATTGTCCTTATCAAGCTGGGTGGGCCCTTCTCTCCACTGCTTCCCGGCCCTGGCAGCGCGAACGATAAGCTCAACCTCGATCGCGTTAGGTATTCCAGTTAATCATCGCTGCATAGAGCCTTAATGTTGATTATGGAGTTTGATCCACCGATCTCACTAATTTACCATTTATTAATCCGGAGAAGTCCTCCGCGGAGTGTGGTTCTGTGAATCTCAATCCGGAGATGTGTCGTTTTTCGAAATCATATTCGAGTACCATAGTATTAGGTATCATATACTATGCACTATCTAATATGTTCGCGGAAGAGTGGCATGAATGATGCAAACGAGCCTTGACGTCTAGGGCTAGGCGATGCATGCCAGAGCTTCCTGTCCAATGGGCTGAGGTATGGTTATCTTGTTATTTTCTTTTTTCTGCTCCCATTTCGTTTCTTCTGCGGCCATTATTCGGTTACCACTCGTTTAACCACTCTAAGGCATTGTTGTGGTAGATCATGGCTGTTTTCTCGCGCTTCCCATACTCCTGTCGATTTAGACTAACAACTTAAATACCAAGCTCACACAGCCCACCACTTATCAGTGACTAGCGTCATCGCCAACTATATAATTATACTGTGTATTTTCAGCTTGGTTGTCGCGCTTGACATCTGCAGCTAAATATTTAATTCAGACTTCACGTCTACCCACCGCGGAAATACCGGTATAGCCGTGATCATTTTCTTTTCCATTGACTAGATGATGCCGGGCAGTCATCTGTGATCATCACATCGTTGTTTTGTATATATACCCGGGTCATCGAAGAAGATCCCTTCTGTTCGGAATCTTGAGAAACGGCAAGGCATCAACAGTTCCAGTTGGATGAACGATACACAGCACATCCGAGGCCTCTCTACACACAGCGCATTGCTTGATCGCATCATTACCCACTCAACAAAATGGCTTACAACACATTCACCAGTTTATGGGCGCCCCCCAGCGTCAACCCCCTAACCTATAAGGCATTATCTGTTCCGATATTGAACCCATTCGACAGCTATGGAAGGGTATTCTTCTTCTCATGGTTCGGGTTCTTCGTGGCGTTCCTGTCATGGTTCGCTTTCCCGCCACTGGTGAGCAAAACCATGAAAATGCACTAGGGTTTTTTTTTTCACTGCTAACAGGGAAAATTCTAGTTAACCGATACTATCAAAAAGGACCTTGGTATGAGCCAGACACAGGTGGCCAACTCAAACATTGTCGCACTTCTAGCTACGTACGTATTTTGTCACATCAAATTGCTTCAAGTGTCGCTATATACTGACTACTCAATATATAGTCTGCTCGTACGATTTATATCCGGACCGCTTTGTGATCGATTTGGACCTCGTTGGGTGTTTGTTGGCCTGTTGATGTCTGGTGCTATTCCAACTGCTATGGCAGGTTTAGTAACAAACCCTAATGGTCTAATCGCGCTGAGGTTCTTCGTTGGAATTCTTGGTGCCAGTTTTGTGCCCTGTCAAGTATGGACGACTGGGTTCTTTGACAAGAGTGTGGTTGGTTCTGCAAATGCTCTGGCTGCAGGACTGGGAAATGCTGGAGGCGGTGTGACGTAGTATGCAAAGCTTCCCTACTTGACTTGAGGAACTCAGTTCTAATTTGGTATTCTAGCTTTGCGATGCCAGCGATATACAATTCTCTCGTTTCCGACGGCCTCACCAGGCACCAAGCATGGAGAGTGGCATACGTTGTGCCGTTTGTCATTATCGTCGTTATCTCCTTGGGCATGGTGTTCACTTGCGATGACACGCCAACCGGCAAATGGTCTCAACGCCACCTTGCAGGAACTGATACTCCTATTACCACCACATCAGCCCTAGAACGTGGAAACTTCTCTTCGGGAGCTACAACCCCGAAGAAAATGCAGGAAAAAGTGCAAACTGGGCTAGACACCGAAGCCCAAGTTGATAGTTCCAGGGGCCGTGTTTTGGAAGAACTGGTAGTGGCACCGACATGGAAAGAGACCTTGCAAGTAATTTTCAGCCTTCCGACATTGTCTCTTGCTGTTCTGTACGCCTGCACTTTTGGAGCCGAACTGTCCTTTGACAGCTTTCTGGGGAGTTACTACTCCAAGAACTTCCCTACAATGGGCCAAACCAAATCCGGCGAGTGGGCAGCCATGTTTGGACTTTTGAATGTCGTTACTCGACCTTTGGGTGGATATGTTGCAGATTATGTTTACCGCCACACCAAATCTGTCTGGGCTAAGAAGATTTGGTTGACCTTTTTGACCATTGTTTCTGGCGCATTTTTCCTCGCCATCGGACTGACTAACCCGATGAGCGAGGCGACAATGTTCGGGTTAGTCGCTGGAGCGGCATTTTTCCTCGAAGCCGCCAACGGAGCCAACTTTGCCCTTGTCCCGCACGTCTATCCCTTTGCTAATGGTATGTAGCCATTCCCAGTGTTTTATCTTGCATTTCATCCACGGAGAAGATTTCTAACATCAGTTGATAGGAATCGTGTCTGGCCTTGTAGGCGCCTTTGGCAACTTCGGCGGGATTATCTTCAATATCGTCTTCCGATATAATGGAACGGATTATGCGCGGTCAATCTGGATCGTGGGGGTGATCACCCTGGGTGTGTCGGCCTTGCAATCATGGACTCGACCGGTGCCAAAAGAGGCTGTGGTTGTGGCGAGACAATGAATGATAGACTGGCAAATAGTATATGTGTATATATATGAAATAATAGAAAGCGTCTGGTTGAACATTCTTGGAGGTCGTCGGTCACCCGGGCGGGGTGCTAACTCAAAACGGCAAATAGACAATAAATTAATAATCAAGGCCTGATCGTCGTAAGGAACGATCCAGCCCGGGCTGGCTAATGAGCAGCCGCGGACAGCCAGCCATCGGCCCGCCATGGAAGCCGCGACCCAGCAGGCACGTGTTTTCAGTGGGCAAGCCGCTGACGGGCCCTGCTGATTGGCCAGCTACCCCACGTGAGACTAGCTGGCCTAGCGCATCCAGAACGAAACACCCACGCCCGGGGTGTTTCCCCGTCTCTTCGGTGGATTTGAGCGGGGAGCAAGCTCTTCATCCAAGAAACGTGTTGTGCCTTGTTGACGCTGGAGCATAGAGTAGGAGATGAGAATGCCGACGTCGTACACCCGTCCATCCAGTTCCGCACAATGAGAAGATGACCATGTCGGAGAAGGCTGCCATCACCATGAAGCAGGACGACAACGTCAGCAAGAATGTGAATCCCCGATCGCGCGTGTTTCGTCCCTGCCTGACATGTCGTCGCCGCAAGATTAGTGTTTGTGAACCTCGACCTCTTGGATCTTGAATCTCCAGCGTTGCTTGCTACCTCTGCTTTCCCCCGGACTGACTAGATTTGTGAACAAATGCAGTGCGACAAAGCCAAGCCCAAGTGCAACAGATGTGCCCAGACTGGATACCAGTGCGAAGGTTATGGCGAAGAGCGCCATTTCGTCTATGTCATCCCCACCCGAGCTTCTGCCTCGAGCACAGAAACCCAGAAAATGAAGAAAGTCACCCTCAGGTCGTCCCGACAGTTGCCGCCGGACCAGCAGCTGCGGCAGTATCAACAAAGCCAGCCCCGTCCGCAGTTCCCCACCGCGGTCAACCCGGCGAATGCAAACCGTTTGCAGATTCTGTCTTATTTTCTCGAACGCTATCTGCCCGACCGACCGTTGCAGCAAAGGGAAGACAAGACGGCTTTAACTTGGATAAGAGGTTTGCCACAGAATCTTGGGAAATGGACGTTCTTGGACATGGCTCTGTCGGCCTTGTCGCTGTCATACATCGGAGATCTTTACCAGAAGAACCAGTCAATTTCACGGCAGGGTGAGCGTTTCTATGATGAGACCTTGATGCACGTGAGAGCACGACTGCATCGAAGTCAGGTTGACGATGGCATGCTTGCTACCTGCATGTGCATGTCCATATACGAGGTGTGTTCATAATGTCGGTTCAGTCTACCGATCTACGGAAGCTAATTATCTTGCGAGCTCTTTCACACAACATATGGAGGAACACAAGGGTGGATGTTTCATGTCAAAGGGGCTTGTAGGTTGCTGGAGCTAAGAGGACCGCCTTCAGCAACATCGCCTCTTGACATGAATCTCTTTCGTCGAATACGAGCCGCAGCAGTAAGACCCTTCGAAGGCCTATCACGTATCCAACATATGGCTAAAGTCTATCTCCTTACAGGTTTGGGATTCATACGGAAGTGGCAGACCCACATTTTTGGCCAAACCTGAATGGCGCGGTCTATCCGATGCCCCATATGATCAGCTACTCGATATCTTAGTTCTCCTTCCTTCGTTACTAGCAAAGTCAGACCAGATTGAATCCTTAGCGGCGAGTGATAACGATAATGCGGCGGCCGTAAAGAAGCTCTTGTGGAAATGCTATGCTCTGCGAGATGAATTGGTCACCTGGTATGAGGCTTTCCAATCCAAGGAAACAGAGCCCCTTTTCTACCTAGAGCCGGAAGAACAACATCCGTATCTCGACCCCGAATCCGATCTAAATGAGCTGTTTCCGGATACTGTCACATTTCGGACGCCTTATATAGCTGACATACTGATGTTATATTGGTATGGGGAAGTCGTTGTCCACAGCGTCATGTCGCATGTGCATCGATATGTCTGGGAACAAGCCCAGAATAACGGCCCCTCATCGCAAATGGCACAGCAGCTGATAGCTGATGAAACGATATCAAATACTGAGACAGTCGGAGAGTACTTCGCGTCCAAGATATGTCAAGCCATGGCTGGGTGCGGACGGAACAGTCTCCAAGGCTACGGTTTTCAGATAGCGTTGGTACCCCTATGGGCGGCTCAGGAGTACTATTTCTCACGTTCACCACAGAAGTATCTGTGGTGTCGAACAGTGCTTACTAATTTCAGCACAAAAGGGTTTGTGTTGGCTCAGAATCTCGGTTCCTTGCCGTTGCGACAATATCCAGGACGATATGTGGAAGCCTATTCCGCGACTGATGACGCGGTTTAGTGAGAAAAAAACAAAAAAAAAGGGAAGAAGCCCTTTTTTATATATATGAATGAACTTCATGGGTATCGATCATTTCGGAAACGATATTCTATCTCTGCTATCACGATATTATGTGAGCCCGACGAATCATGAGAAAATGAAGGATTATGCAGAATGTATTCCTTTTTGCGTCATTTGCCCGTCTATATACATGATTTAAGGCTAACCATTACTGATTGGGAATTTGTATATTACTGTTTAAACCTTATATAAAAGACGAGGCCTTGAAGCTATGAACTACCTAGATATTTAGGGGAAAATCAGAAGATGAAGCCATAGATCATTTAATGAGATGCCTTGGGTATTCTCCTCTCGCCTCCCGTTTGGTATACCGCTACGCAAACAAAATGCGTGAGTGTTGGGTTCGTCTTTTCTGCCTATTTAGCTGGAGATAGCATGAGTTGACCCGTTCATAGATTTTCTCCCTACCTTCATTCCATCCCTAAACGTCTCTTTCCTTATCTGCCTCAAGTGCAACAACCAACTGCTGAATGAATTCAATGCCGTTTGACATTGGCTATGAAAGAGACAACAATGAACGACCTCGGGATGGTCGTTCTCGTTGGTTGTCTGTTCGGATTCGTGATGCGAAGAGTGGGAAGTTGAGATACTAGCAGCATAGCTCATATACCTCTCACATTGGATACGGAACTAAGATATACCGATACGCTGAAATGATAGAAATGTGCGCTTAACTTTCTGATCATTGACGATAAAATAATGACCGCGTCGGCCTCGTGAAGGGGAATTGAAATATCGTAGTATGCCCGTACAATTTCTTGAACAACGGCTACCGACGTCTTCTTGATTTCTTGTGGGCGGGCTGTTCCCAGTTCTGGAAATTGGCAAAGCTTCCTATAGATAGTCTAGTCCTGGACGAATGCTAAGAAATCAAGAGAGCATTTAGGCAAGTGCTCTGAAAACGTCAAAGCAATATAACGCCGGGCTATGATACTAGTTTCTGGCACAATACTCAGTAATGGCTGTGAGTTGATGAACGCTTTTACCATCGCAATAATAAATACTCGAGCAATGGAGCATGATGAGCCAGACGTACCTAAATGTTCCTCCGGATTATACTGGCGATGATATGATTCAAATGCTTGGTCAGCACTTCGCCCTTACGCAGCTGAGGCTCGGGTGTTGGAGGCGACAAATAAACGAGAAGCTGTTGCCATAATGCAGAGTCTACCAGCAAATCTCATCTGTCGTATGTCTTGTGTTTTTCTTCCCAGATCATTATATTCGAAAATCAGATCTATCTTACAACAGCTCTTCCAGTTATTATTAAACAGCCTTTACTCAAATACAGCCAGCGTTAACGAGTCGAGTCACGAACAAGGAAAGATTTATAGATAAAGATAATAGACGCGCGCAAAGAAGAGGACAAAGCAATTAGTGTAGGATTGTGGTCTTCTACTTCGTATAATGCTAAGCCAAGAGGTGCTCATGAGAAGAAATCATTCAACAGTTGGAGAAATATCCTTTAAAAACTCCCACCCGGTTTCTTCTTCAGGCTTTTCTGCTTCCAAGCCAATAGCTGAGCGTAGAGCGCGTACTTCCGACTGCAAGGCTTGGATAACTCGGGTCGGTGTTTGGTCTTCTTCACACCGTAGGCGATATGCCGTCCGGACCATCTCTGCAAGACGCATAGTTTGTGCATGCCAATGATCGCGGTCCAGACGGCTGGCAAGGTGAGCATCGCGCTCCGCTTGCAAAAGTGCATTGTATTCTTTCTTCTGAGAAAGGAAATACATGTTGTTATTCTGGCAATAATTTCGAATCTGCTCGACAATGATTCCCATGGCCGTTTCAAATTCGCCAATGAGGCTGGTATTCTCAATCTGCTCACGCTTCAGTGCTTCAACGGTGCGACGTTCCCTGGCAAGTGCGCGCTCTAATTCTGCGATCCTAGCGGCTGCTAAGTATATTAGCAACGTTCATATCTTGACACGCATCAGTTGAAGATCAAACCAACCTGATATCTCTTCGCTGACTTGTTGTATATCTGGGCTGGTACCATCAGTATTGGACCGACGCTGTGGTAAGTTAACAGAAATCCAGTCATAGAGGCGAACGCGCGACCGGGTTTATAAATACCATGATCTCCTCGGCACTAGAAACAATTCCACGAGTCATGTCGCGATTGTGTTTGAGGATATCGCTAAACTCTACAACCATGTCGTATAAATTATTAAGATCCATCTGGTGCCCCGCGTTCATGGGAACGCCGTTCATCATATTGTTGCCCATAGCACCACCGCCGTTGACTTGTGAAACTCCCCCGTGTTGCGGAGATGGAGACGCAGCTTGACGCGACATATTTGCCATATTGATCACGTTCGGCGAGTTGTCCATGAAACTTCCCATCACAGCTCCGTTTGTTGTCATGCTCTTGAGGAGCAGCGTCGTTCGGGGAGGGAAAGCCGTGGGAGAGCTGGTGGCGCAACGGCTTTATCTTCGTTCTTGTCACATGCGATAGCGGCGACACAATTACCACCCAGACGTGGGTCGAGGTCGAAGTCGTGCCTGTTCGGTGTTATACCTTATGACTGGAAACCAGTTCCAGCTGGACCTGTCTCAACTTCATCAATCGAGGTCTACGTACTTAGCCGCGCAATGGAAACGTACTAAATCCCAAAGGGGCTAGCTATTATGCACTAGTTCCTGATTTGGTATAGTCTCTGCTTACTCAGTACGTGCTAACTGAGTTCGAAATTTATATCGAGGGTGTAGTTTGCGCCGACCACGCACAGACCAAGTGCCGCTACACTAGGAGCGGCATTTCTAATTTTCCGTGCCAAGAGTTGCACTTTGTCTGTGCGTAGTGCCGCCTTAACTTCTACCACATTTATATCTTTCTTCTATACCAACAACCAAGCATTAGGCTGTGTTATGCATTTATCATGATTCGAATCGAGTACACTCTTAGACAGTGATACCATCTTCAATATCATCGTCGCTAGACCCATAAGATTCATTATCCGTTTCGCTATCCTCCGGCCGCCATTCGCGAGAGATCCAGTACACCTCATTAACGTCCCACCCGTAACAATGGCTAGCTTCGTTTATTATACGGTCGTATGCCTCGCAAGCTGGCATCGCGACGCGGATTAATTCGAGAGATGGAAATACTTTCAGTCAATCATTCACTAGGGATGATATTTCGCTGACCTTCTCCGGTTTATCAAGATAGGGCAGAAGCCTCTCATGAACCCTATAGGCTGTGCTAAATAATTAACTTCGTCGAACCAGTACAGGCACTTTGGATCTTGTCAAGGATGCGAGCATTCTCTTCCGATTTGAACAACCCATCCTTGTTTTCCAGGACTGTCGGCAATTCCGGGAAAATTCGCCGAATATGCTTCGCATTCTGACCGATCTGATCGAGGAACGTGGCTGTATACTCATATCCGTGGAACGAGAAATCGATTTCTGAATAGACTAGCGTGCCATATTTCTAGTAGATCGTCTTGTTTGTGTAAAGGAGGTTGACATGCAGCCGCATGTTAGTGATTGAGTGGAAGGGATAATGGGCTGGCATACCCATGCCTATTAAACACATGTAGATCATGTTGCGAATCTCCTCAGGGAGGTCGAGGAAGCCAATCATGCTTGTGGCTGACGAACTCGTGTAGCCGATGGTTCATGGACCTGCGAATTTGTAGTTTGTTGTGGTAGATGCGTCGGGACTTTGGTACGTAGGTATTTTATAAGTCGGACAAAAAGCTGACTGGCCTTTGTACCCTACCCGGCTAGAAGGTGAGAACAGCACTGGGGCTCTCCAAGCTGGCGGTGCACTTCTCCTTCATTCGCGATGACCTCTGCATTTGGCTTCCCAGCCGCTTCGATGCCCCCATACCTTATCAGCCTCGCTTTCCTAAGATTATTAGACTCTTGACTTGCGGTTGTTGGAGGGTACGCGAGGACGAGGGATGGTAGTAGTGATTAGTATACGGGCTGCAATGGAATTTCGCTGTACCTGCATCTTGTACCTTGACCTGCTTATTCCTCCTTGTGTACCCTTTCAAGTAGCTTCTTCTCATTCTCTTGCAGCTGTAGAATGCACATCGCAATTTCCTCGAATATATCGCGAAACTGCAGTTTCTTCAACCACCGCTCGGGAATTTCCTCTATCCCGGCTCTTGCACCAAGTAAACCCCCTGCAATAGCCCCGTTCGTATCGCTATCTCCTCCAATTCGGACTACGTCTACTAGCACATCTTCGAAAGACCGCGGATCCAGTAGTGCGGCAATCGAGAGCTTCAGGCTGTCGAGCACGTAACCACACGGGGTGAATGCTATGTCACGCCGGGGACCCTCCGTAGCGATCCTCGCCAAAGGGAGCGTCTCGCCCTCTCTAATAGCATGTGCAACCTCCGCGCAGCCCAAGTCGTCTGCTACCGTCTTGCCAATCTCCACAGCTTCTTGCAGCGACTTGTCGTTGACCAGAGAAGCAACAATCTCGTTGTATGCTGCACAAGCGACTGTGCACCTCGGGTCATTGTGGGTGAACTCGCTGATAGTCATTGACTCATCCTGTCGCCTCTCCTTTGATGCAAACAGCCCAGTAGGTATGCAGCGCATCAGACTCCCATTTCCTGCGCTGCCAATCCCTGCCCCGGACTTCGCTGGATTCTTTAACCTCTTGAAGTTCTGTAAGCCGATCCTCGTAGCGTTCCCGATGTCAATCGGACGCGTGCCTTTCTTGCGACCTGGCCAGTCGCCCTCGTTCCATTTGAGTGCATACTCAGCTGCTGCTTTGGCAATGTTGAATTCTCCTTCCACGAAATCTACACCCCCCGCCTGTTTTTCCCCCTCGTAGTCTCCGTAGGCTAGGAGGACTGCGCGGGTGAGATCGGTGTCGTCCGTTGCGTGGCCGACAGGCCAGTCTAGGGTGCCGCCCCCGACGATTTCACGCAAGCCATTGGGATATTTCCTTATGATTCGCGACCAGGGCATGAACTCGAACGTGGCACCTAGCGAGTCACCGCAGTGGACGCCCAAGAGGGCTCCAAGGGTTCTCGAGATGCGTAGATCGCTTGATGAAGACATTAAGGATTTTTTCGGACGGTCAATTCCGGAGCACACGACACGGAACTTTGAGAGAGTGAAAGATATGGGTGCTGCTTCAACAACAACAAAAGCGGTAAATGCGTGCAGATGATACCACGTTAGTCAGGCTATATTCAGCTGCACCGCCACAATAATAGCTGGAGAGACGCAAAACTCTAAGATGCTGAAATTGGTTATTCAACAGGTGTAGTGCTGAACCGCACTTTGCAGAAAAATGTGAAAATATGTATTATATTTACACATTAATGTACCTGCCTGCTATAATTGAAAGATCTGGCCTTGGGAATGTAATTCACTCCAAGCACCAATCATGTTCTAGTATAAGTTATAATATACAAATGAAGATGTTGTTGACGGCGATCTTGCTTGGTTTTTTGACTGATACATAGGTACTTCCCATAGTATCATCAACAGAGGAAGTCATGCCTATTTCAATGTTGGTATTTACTCCATTGTGGTATGCACTTGAGTGCCAAATGCATTTCACCTACGCCTGATGCAGCTAGATGTAGCCTTTGTGCGGAGTCGACTTAGAACAGATACTTCGCGTGAATATCGATCTGGTCGGGAACGGAACATTGTTGCTAGGCGGGCAGATTTATCGTCAGCCGAGCATATCTGGCTGGTAGAGTTAAAAAATCTCGTCGCCATATTCAAGTCATATCGAGCAAAGCTGCAAGCCTATCTCCAGGATCTGTAGAGGGTATTATAGTCGAGTTGTCTTCTCCTGTCTGTATAACACGAGTATTGTGAATCCTCCCCGCAACCCTTGCCACCAGCATGCGCATTTTATCGATTTCTCGAACAATTTCGCCATCTTTCGTGATCAGATTAGGCTGGATATTGTCGTGCGGATTTTTGAATGGCTCAAGGAGGAATTCTAGCTGCTTGTACTGAGCTAAACGCTTCTGTTGTGCTTGCCGCCTGTTGTCCAATGCAATTAATCGTTCGTGTAGAGCCTTGTACCTGGAGCATTTCGTATTTGTTTAATAACGTGCAGCTCCAAACGGGCATGAGAGTACTAAGCGTACCTTTCTTTGTCCTCAATTGACGCATCGTCTCCGCGGTATTGGGACGGCAGTTTCTCGATGACTCTAGCACCATATCAGTCCTGAACGGGGTAAATATTATGAAGTAAACTCGGTATGTACAAATGGTTTGACAGGTCTGAACCAATTTCCACCCCACTCAGCCCTTGACTCGGGTTGAGGATTTCGCTTTTGACCGAGTTCCAGTACAAGCTTTCGATCTGTCGAACAATGTGTTGGATGGCTTGAGTCGAATAAACAACGCGATTGTGCTGCTTTAAAATTGCGTTCACTATAGAGACAATCATCAGATATTATCCCCAGAGTTTGCAAATCTCTTTTTTTTTTTTTTTTCAATAACACACGCTTCTGTAGAGCTTCCTCCACCACTTTCTCGCTCAGGTCATCTTCAGTCTCTGGCGCAAAGCCCCTCCATCCTTCCTGGGGCGCGATGGCTGTCGAAAGGATTCGCACTTGATTTCTAATAAACGATGTCTTTAGTTCCAATATCGTGCGCGAGCTCTCCATCGTCGGTTTTTCTCAAGCGTTTGTCGCAAAGCATGCGTGTTTTGAGCTGCTGTTCGTGTTGTTGATTCGATCACGTGTTGATACGCGCCCCCCGCATCCTGATAATACCTTCGCGAACATCTATTCGTGCATTGAGGGCTGTGTCTCTGCGCTATAGGGAGAATGGAGATTTCGAAGGAAATATAGAAATATATTCGTCAACTTCAACCGAATGACTTCATTACATAGCTCACGAACCGAGCATTGGCAGTTTGATACCTACATAGCCCTGTCGCCATCGGTGTATACCTACCTGCTTGCCTCGGCACGTCCTCATGCATCAACCGAACAGCAAATATTGCTTTCATATACCTAGGTACCTTTAATTTTCTCCTCGAAAACAACGTCAATGTTATATGCTCCTACGGGCAGATACGCTTGGCTCTTTTTCAATAATGACTGGGGCTACACGACCTCGTGTGCTTTTATTTGACGTTGGCGGAGTTTGTGTAAGTTTTCTAGTATCCCCCAGCTCGACAAAGAGTTTTGCCCTAACGTGATTTGCAGGTTGTTTCTCCATTTCAAGCGATCCTAGATTATGAGATAGCTAATGGAATCCCTCCGGGCTGGATAAATTTCAGTATCTCACGATCATCACCCAATGGCAGTTGGCACCAGTTAGAGCGCGGTGAGATATCACTAGACGCAGACTTCTTCAAAGGCTTCAACAGAGACCTCCAACAACCTGCATTATGGAAAGAATTTAATCATCGACTACGAACGCAAAAAGGAAATTCTTCCAATGTGCTCGAATCTCTTCCACCACCTCCCAAAATTGACGCGGAATATTTGTTCTGGGAGATGATGCGCGTATCTCGCAATCCAGACCCGTTTATGTTTCCTGCCTTAAGACGACTGAAGGCGTCTGGGCAATATCTGATGGGCGCGTTATCTAATACGGTCATATTTCCGGCTGGCCATCCCTTCCGGGAGGATACAATAGGACTTCGAGAGCAATTCGATTTTTTCATTTCTTCAGCGCATACTGGCCTCCGCAAGCCAGACCCAAAGATATACGCGTTTGCCCTGGAGAAAGCAAATGAATTATTAGCTGGGAGAGAAGACGTCCGACTCAATGCTTCTGATGTTATCTTCCTCGATGATATCGGTGAAAATCTAAAGGCAGCCAAAAAGGCTGGTTTTGGCACCATCAAAGTTGTGCTGGGCAGAACGCAGGATGCTGTTAAAGAACTGGAAAACATCACCGGTCTTCAGCTGCTGGAAGATGCTGACAGGCCAAAGCTTTGAGAGTGTTGCGAGGAAGACGAACAGTCTTCCTCCACATATGCAGTTGAAATTACCTTTGTCATGTTACTGCGCCAGACATCTGTAATACATTTGAGGACAATAACCCCCCGACTCAGGACTGATAATGTAGAATTCGACCAACTCCCCTGAATCAGATGCGTTCTTTTTTTTTTTTTTCTTTTCTTTTCTTTTCTTTCTCATGTAATCAGTCAGAAGCTGAAAATACTGACCGGAAATGGTCAAAGTACATAGAGAAACCAGGTTCGTCGTCACCCACCTCAGCCCGGATGGTGTCCGTGGCCAACCTTCCTACCCGCAGAGCTTGAGATCGCCGGCTGGCGCTAAGCGAAGCACCCACACAAAAGCCTCCCGCACTCCCTCTCCCACCATAACTTTTTTTCCCCGTTGGAGCAGCCAGGAACATTTCGACAACAGGCCTCAGTCCTTGCAGAAATCGTCAAGATGGTGAGTATTTCTAGTATGCAGAGAGGCTGAATAGCGCCATCTGTGAATATTCTTCTCTCAAATCCTCCGAATCATGGTCCCAGGGTCTTTGCAAGATGCTTCGGAAAGGAGGATTTCTGAAGCGCAAATTGCTGACTCGCTTGTAGCCTTTCACCAAGCAAGTTAAGAACAGCGCGTACTACAGGTGAGTTTGTTTCGTTTCCTCTACTTCCAGGTCGTTTTTTATACTGATTTGTTTTCTCTCATCTAGTCGCTACCAGACCAAGTACAAGCGTCGTCGTGAGGGAAAGACCGACTACTATGCCCGTAAGCGCTTGATCACCCAGGCCAAGAACAAGTATTACGCCCCGTACAGCTTTCAATAAGGTCCAATCTAACACTTTCGATAGGTACTCGGCCAGGAAGCACCGCTTGGTGGTAAGTTTTTCATACCTTCTACGTTGAGTATCTCTTGAGAAATCCAATCTGACTCTGGCTTCGCTAGGTTCGTTTTACCAACCGCGACATCATCACCCAGATTGTCTACTCTGAAATCACCGGTGACAAGGTCATCGCCTCCGCTTATGCCCACGAATTGAAGCGCTATGGCATTGAGCACGGTTTGACCAACTGGTCCGCTGCCTACGCCACCGGTCTGCTTCTCGCTCGCCGTCTCCTCAAGAAGCTTGAGCTCGACGAAACCTTCGAGGGTGTCGAGGAGGCTGACGGTGAATACACTTTGACTGAGGCTGCCGAAACCGACGAGGGCACCCGCCGCCCCTTCAAGGTTTTCTTGGATGTCGGTCTCGTCCGTACCTCCACTGGTGCCCGTGTCTTCGGTGCCCTGAAGGGTGCTTCTGACGGCGGTCTTTTCGTTCCCCACTCCGAGAACCGCTTCCCCGGTTACGACATCGAGTCCGAGGAGCTTGACGCCGAGACTCTCCGCAAGTACATCACCGGCGGCCACGTCGCTGAGTACATGGAGGGCCTTGCTGACGACGACGAGGAGCGCTTCAAGTCTCAGTTCTCCCAGTACATCGAGGACGAGATCGATGCTGGTGACCTCGAGGACCTCTACCTCGAGGCCCACAAGGCCATCCGCGAGGACCCATTCAAGAAGGACGAGAGCGAGGGTCCCAAGAAGAGCAAGGAGGAGTGGAAGGCTGAGAGCAAGAAGTACCGCGCCACCAAACTTAGCCACGCCGAGAGGCAACAGCGCGTGCAGGAGAAGATCCGCGAGTTGGCTGCTTAGATGGACAGCTCGCTCTAGATGTTCTTATGACTTACACCCAAAAACTCGCTTCTTACCATACCTTTTTGAGGCAGAACTTGAACAAACAAAAAGCATTTTCTCATGTCTTAATGACTTTCAAGATCGTCTTCCCTTCTCCATCTTCTTTCTCGTATTAGTTTCACGGCTTCTGGATGATATCACTTCATGTTAATTTTTCTTTTCTTTTCTTTTTGTTTGGTTCTATTCTATGCGGAGCAATAGGGCGGGTATAGGGAATGGTGTTTCTTTTCTGAATTTTTCCAACGCCCACTGTGCTAGGAACTATCTAAGCTGTGGTAATTGTAAGCAAAAAAGCACATCATCGAAGCTGAAAGTAGACTAGGCCATGTCCCAATCAGGAAGCGCTAGTAAAATACTGTAATTTATGTGGGAAATTGCCGCACAAATTGATGCTATGTGCGCCGATTGGCCTACCGGTATTAGCAGGAATTAATCCCAATCATCCGGCGATCTTTTCTTGCCATGGATTGGTGCCGAAACCCAAGACACTGGTTGAATCTGCATTCCCTACTTTGCTAATAATATACTCTTTTGAGTAGAAAATATAGCAGCAGTCAGCATGCCGCTCCACCGGCAGTGTCTCCGATAACGGACAGCGGCGTTGTCGTGTGTTACTGGTATCGCACTAGTAATATTACTAAGCAGTTCCAGCGAATGGCAGTTCCGCTGGCGACCCACGACGGCGATGCCCTTGGAGTGTCTCGCTCGGCATTCTCCATACTCTCACGTTAGTCTGTCTACTAACATTCGTCTTTCGCATCGAGCCTGTCGAGTCGTGGCTAGAGCGGAAATTTTCTTTTAAAACTCTCTTGGTTTGGACAGAGATAATCACTACGAGGACAATCAGTCCGTATCCGCGCCGAACCTTTTATCTTTTTCTTTTTCTTGCTAAGCATCTATCGTCCTGGCTCATGGCGAATGAACATGTCGTCTTTATGAGAGATAACGTGACATCATCCCACACCTGACCGACCTGCACACTCCCCCCTCTCTTTCCCTTCGATTGTTACATATCTTCTTTGACTTAATTCTCTGCTTCATCTACTATCGATTCCTGAGTGTTGTGCAATATGGAGGGGGCGAATACAGTGGATGTGAGCTGGCTCCATCATTCTCATCGAGGTATAGCAAACACTATACATGCTCCTGTTCTTTTTGTTGTACCGGCAGGTACATACACATGATTGCGCCACCCTGAACCCATGAATGAGCATCACTCAGGTTTCTTCTTCTCTTCATGGTTAACCGATTCATATAGATCAAACCTTGCGAACCAAAGCCGCCGCTACTACAGTCCTTGAGAAGCCCAATGCACAGACGGACCTAAAGGCCGAGCGAAATGCCCCAAAGAAACCATCGCCACAGCGCTCGACTAGCGATGCATCGCGTAATCCCTCGCAGGAAGCTGATGGCCATACGGAGCCAGCGTCGCGTAATTTGCCGGAGAAAAAATCACCTAATCCTCCCAGTACGCCCGCTAAAGGAAGCGCACCGAAAGCAGTGCCAGCAAGGCGCAACTCGTGGATCTCGTCGTTGAGTTCCAAATTCTCTACCGGCACTACTCCTCCAGGGGCAAGTGGTACCAAAGAAAGTCCTCACGCTGCTCTGAAGCAGAATTCCCCGGTTACGAAACCAGATATCAATCCGTTTGGCGCTTCATATCCTCCTAGGGATAGAGATGAACGCATCGCCGAGTCTGTCAATTCAGTAACTTCCACCTCACCGAAGAACCCTTCCTTTCTTCAGAATGCATTCCGAAAATTATCCTCGGGTGCTGGCGCAATAGGAGGAAGGACTACAGGCAACAGTGGCTTATGCGAACGCCGGATAATGAATGTTGATCCAAATCGAGATCGGTGTAAGGTTCCTGAATTGGATCAAGCCACGTTGAAGCGTGTTGCCTTTTGTGTCGACGTCGAGATAGCAGGCTTTAGCCAGCGAGAGATCGACGAGCAAACGCGTGAAACCGGTAATAACGTGCCTACTTCCCAAGGGCCTAAGGCAAAGGCCAAAGAGAAAGCGGAAGCCTCGGCATTGAAGAACCCAGAGGCTGTTGTCAAGGAAAAAGAACGTGAGCTGAAATCGAGCGCAGTCGACCAGCCAACAGCGACGGCAACGTCACCCTCAACGTCACCCCCAATCGCAACCGCAACCACAAATGGTGAAACTGTTCCCGATGGTCGAACCAAAGAGCCAACCAGGAAACAAGAAAAGAAGAAACGCTCAGAGGAAGAAAGAAAGGAACGGAAAGAGCGGAAGAGAAGGCAGGCAGAAGAGAACGGAACTATCCCTATGCAATTCAAGCATGCGGAAGATGAGCAGTCTGCGGCATCACCAGCAAGTGGTAGTTCACGCACTAAAACACAGAATCATCCGACTACGGACCCTGTGCGCATCTATCGCCGTTGTTGTCAGCTCCGTGAAACTCCAGTCTTGAAGAAACTAGTAGAGCAAATGGCATCGCCATCATCGACACTAGCTGAGGCTCCTGGCACCGTGGCGCTGCTAGATCTCACTGATTTCCCCATGACGTTGCAGGATATTGTTACTATGAGTGATTGGCTGGCAATAGTTCCTGTTCGCAAATTATGTCTTGAAAACTGTGCTCTCACGGACGAAGGAGTGCGCTCAATTTTGGCAGGACTCTTGTCAACAAAGACCATGCAACAAGCTCGAAATAGACGCCGGTCTGCCAAAACTTCTAGTACAGCTGCGCCACAGCCTTATGGAATTGTTGAGAAGCTATCGTTAAAAAACAACACGAAGATTGGACCTGAAGGTTGGCGTCACATTTGTTTGTTTATTCATCTCTCGAAATCCCTCAAAGCGATCGATCTCTCCGGTATTCCTTTCCCGAGGAATATATCTGCTGCCGATGGATTGAAGGGCTCTCCAAAATCGCGTGACATTGGGAGGACGCTGGCCGCCTCCCTTAAATCACGGTTTGGTGGCGATCACCTTGAGGAATTGCTCCTTAGCGAATGTCAACCGTCTACCGAAGATATAGAAAACATTTGCAATGCAGCAGGCTCCATAAAGCTGAGACGGCTTGGATTAGCTAATAACAATTTGACTCGGGAAGGGTTGGAGCATGTTGCCCGTTATCTCCAGGGTAATAACTGCGAGGGTGTGGACCTTGGTGGGAACGATTTACATGAACATCTAGATCTGCTAGCGGATGCCATAGATTCTCAAAGCCCTTTAATGGCGTTGAGTTTGGCGGACTGTTCATTGACACCGGCTACGATATTTCCTCTGCTTCAAGCACTCCCAACACTCCCTCTCTTGCGATTTGTTGACTTTTCGCACAATCCAGCACTATTCACCTCGCAGCCTGACTCGTTATCCATGCTCAGGCGATTTCTTCCAAAGATGACTGCGTTGAAGCGCATACATCTAGCAGATGTGGACCTTTCCCCAGATCATGCAATTGCAATTGCAGAAATATTGCCTGAGTGTCCGAGTCTAGCTCACCTGAATATCCTAGAGAACTCACAAATTGCGAGGCTTGGTTCATCGCAAGATCCAGCCGATCAAGAGGAGGCATGCGCCGTTTATGCTTCCTTGATGGCGGCCGTTCGTGTTTCACACACCCTCATTGCAGTGGATATCGAGGTCCCTAGTGCCGAATGTAATGAAGTTGTGAGAGCATTGGCCTCTCAGATCGTCGCGTATTCTCTCAGAAACATGGGCGCTATTGAGGAGCTTAGCGATGCAAGCCAGGTCCAACGCCCAGAGGTCCCGATTCCTGAAGTGCTGCAACATCTTGTAGGACATTCAGGTCCTGGAGAAGCCACAGATGTTGAATCTGCACCTAACGAAGACTATGTTATTGGAGGATCAGGCGTCGTCAAGGCGCTCGGGGTGTGCCTCGGCAACCTTGAGCGCTACCAATCTGAAATGGGAGGATCAAGACCAAGCAGTGGTCGCTCAACCCCCGTTCCGCACGTTTCTACGTCAGTCAATAGGACTAAGAAGGCGCGAGACATGTCGAAGAATTTACTCGGATCCGCACGTAACATCAAAGCTAGAATTGAGATATCACTCATTCGGGAGGATAGAGCTGGCAATGACGCCAACTATCGTAAGTTTGAAATTTCTATATCACTTTACCTTGGCTATTTCTAACATAGACGGTATTTAGGACGACTACAATTCCTTGATCAGACTCTACAGAAGATCATCACACGTTTTGAAGAGGAATTTCCCGAGTGCCGTGTACCCACAGACAAACAAGCGGAAGAGGTATCATCGCAGCAGTACGGTGGTTACAGTCATGAACCAGCAGAAGCGGCTGATAGCCCAACGTATGCTCCTGATCCTGCTACTGCGGAGGATGACGAGGCGGATCCATTTGCCATTCGACTGTCACGCAGAGGCTCAAATACATCCCTTCACTCTCGAGCGTTGACTTCTGAAGAAGGGCGTTTCCACCGTATTAGTCAGAACTTGAGAAGAGATTTCCTCAATCCATCTCTCGTTTCGCCTGAAGACAGTGACGCCGTATCTAGAGATGATTCCCATCTCAACGCGCTTCGGGAGAAACTGGAGAATATGAAAGGAGAAGAACCTCAGACGCACGTGGAGAGCGTTGGAGCGGACAAGGCTTATCACGAGTTGGGGTCTACTATGGAGGAACTGTGGATCATTCAGCAGCAAGATCAGGATGCGTTCGAGAAGTGGAAGCAAAGCCAAATTGCTGCTCAAATCAACGCTGGCCTGCGACCACGTCCGTCCCAGCCGCAGTCTCAGCCGGATGGAGCAAATCATTCTAGCGATTGAAATTATGCAACGATCGTGTGAAAATAAGAACGCACTCCCTTCTTTTTTGGTTTCCTTTCCTTGTTTGATATATCATTTAGCGTGTCTTTTTGTAAATGTATTCTTCGATGTGCTTTTATCTGATGAGACATGACCAATGGTACATACTACCTACCTAATGTATGATTGTTGTGACGGTAGGGCTTGTGGCGTACCGTTCTATATATACCCTCCACTCGTTTGATGCTACTCAGCTCAGCAATTGGTTTCTGGGTTCTCTGTGACTGCGTCATATTTTTTTTTTTTTTTTTGACAATTTTCTGTACCATATTGTACATTAGTCAGTCAACTGTTTGGTGGTTCCATCTAATTTACCTGATATCACCAACATGGTAATCCTGGAGGCTCATCTGATTGGCCACAACACTCCCAGTCTAAGAAGCCTAACCTAATAGAGTATACAATAAGACTATATTTAAATTAAGCTTTTAACAGAGCAAAGTTTTAGTTGATTTATAGTCTGATATAAATTCTATTTTCTAATACCTGCCCGAGAAACAGAAACGTCGCAGCCAATAGATCAAAAACACAGGAAGATTATGGGAAACACATACAGCTGGTTAACTACTGGTCATATTGCGTCCCTGAGACCAGCACTGCATGTTTACTTCTTAGGGCTTACGAAGTATCTTCGTGTTGAATACCATTGCGCCTTGCTTGTGGGGGCACACGCCAAAATTAGAGTTGACCAAAGTAAAGATTTCTACTCCTTATATATCCCCCCTGAACGGCCTCTTCGGCAGATTGTTCTGCCCATTATGAAAGCGAGAGAGGATCAAGATGACAACCATCCCTTCGCACATCGAGAGCTATGACCCGTCCAAGTTTTGGGTCGCTCCGGCCAGGAACTTCCGATCGTCTGCGCGCTTACATTTGCAGCACTTCCTTATCCAAAACACCCTCGGCTATCTCCTGGAGCCGGCCATCGAGAAGTCCTTAACGGCTACTTCGCAGCAACTGAGAGTCGCCGACCTTGCTTGTGGTAACGGCGCCTGGCTGACTGAACTGCACTCCCACTTTGTTAAGAAGGATATCTTGGCCCAGCTGGACGGATTCGACATCAACCCAGTAAACTTTCCGGACGCAGCCTTCCTCCCGGCCTCGATATCTCTCCAGCAACTTGACATCCTAGCCAAGCCCTTGCCTGCCGGCCTGATTGGCATCTACGATATAGTCCACATCCGAGCCTTTGTCAGTGTCATTCCCGATGCCGACCTGACACCGATTCTCTCCGTTGCCTCGGCGCTCCTGAAGCCGGGCGGGTTCCTTCAGTGGGAAGAAATCCGAGGCGACAGATTCATTGTCGAGTCGCCTTCACCGCAGGTATCCAAAGTGGTCTGCGAGAGTATTGTGCAGGTAATCCAAGGCGGCCTCCAGGCCAAAGGCATCCGAAATGACTGGGTAGACGTCCTCGACACGCACCTGGATCAGTTTGGCTTTGACAACGCGCGATTGCTCGTACAGGAGAAGAGAAAGCAGGATTACAAGGGCTGGACTGAAGATTACCTGATGGTTTGGGAGGAGCTTGCCGCCTTCTTTCCGCCAAAGTCTGAGGCGCCAAATGCACCCCTGTCGCGCGAGACGTGGATCGATCTGTTTGCAGACGGCATCAAGGAAACCGAGCAAGGCGTTGTGGTACATCAAGGAAGGGTCATGACTGCGGTAGGCCAGAAGGCCCAATAGTAGTGTTAATAGCACAGTAGATGACATGCATCCTAACTATGACCATGGCTCTTTTCAAGATTATATAGTCGGTATTATTCAATACTAGTTAATACAGTTGTTACATACCTGGATAAGAAAGTGCCTAGGTAGTACTGTCCGGCACGACAGAACATGCATGCAGGGTCTTGGTCATCTGGGATTAATGATCTCGAGGGGCGCAAATAGGAATACAATCCAGTAGCCAGTTGTGCTTCAAGAAATGAGAAATGGAGCGTGGAATGGAGGCATAGCGGTTGCACAACGTGTATTGTAAACCGGTACATACATAGTGGGCCGTAACTTCCTCGGCAGTGCAGCTCAGTTCACATGTTAACCTAGCGGCGCAAGAAGCTCGACCAACTTCCATTGGAACACACAAACAACACAACAACAACATCTTCTGCTTCTACTGCGTTAACTTTCCTCGCGATCAGGCTCAGGCGCTATTGAGCATGGTTCATACTGTCTATTCCGGTACCTGAGACACCCTTGTGCCTACATGTGAACCCAACCCTCTCGGCGTCATTCTGCAAGATGGCAGCGCAGTCGAAAATACGTCCCCCGGAGCGCTCGATCGGCCGCATGCTCTCGCGGCTCGCAGGCCTATACGTAAAACATCGCACCCGAATCTCGCGTGCCGTCTATCTCGCGCTCTTCCTCGCCCTCGCAAAACGAATCCACAACGCTGTCGGGGAACAAAAAGCGGCCTCGCGCCGACAAGCCGAGATACGAGAGCGCCCGGGAACAAGCAGTCTTAGCCAGGAAGATGGCAACAAGCGCAGCACTACTGCAACAGGCAGAAAAGCGGTGGAGTTAAACCTCGAGTTTCTCAGGAGCCTGTTGCGGTTGCTGCGAATCGTAATTCCCGGGTGGCGGAGTAAGGAGTTGCGATTGCTGCTAAGTCATAGTGTGTTCTTGGTGCTGCGGACTATTCTTAGCATTTATGTTGCTGAGTTGGATGGGAGGGTCGCGAGTAACCTGGTGCGAGGGAGAGGCAGGGATTTCTTGTCTACTCTTGCGTGGTGGATGACAGTGGCTGTTCCGGCGACATTTACGAATTCCATGGTAAGCTAGCTCTACATTTGTATCGTTTGTTGTAGTATGGTTGACTTAAAACTAACGGTAAAAAGCTCTCTTATCATCAATGTCGCTTGGCGCTGCAGTATCGAAAGCGTCTCACCGATCATGTCCATGATAAATATCTGTCTAACATGACATTCTATGCTCTTTCGGCATTGGATGACCGAATTAAGAACCCAGATCAGATGGTTACGGTAGACATATCTAGATTCTCAGACAGCTTAGCAGAGCTGTACTCGAATCTGGCAAAGCCGGTCTTGGACATGATTCTCTACAATTACCAGCTGTCAAAGAATGTGGGCATGGAAGGCCTGTTCATCATGAGTCTCTTGGTTCAGCTATCGGCGAACATGATGCGCGCATTGACGCCTCCATTTGGGAAATATGTGGCCGACGAAGCGCGCCTAGAGGGCGAGTTTAGATTTCAGCATACAAGATTAATAGATTATAGTGAAGAGGTTGCTCTCTACCACGGCCATGAAGCCGAGAAGGATAACCTTGACAAGGGCTACTTTACGCTCATAAAGCACGTCAACCGCATTCTTCGTCGACGACTGTATCACGGATTCATGGAGGATTTCGTGATCAAATATTTCTGGGGTGCCCTGGGACTGGTGCTGTGCAGTGTTCCGGTATTCTTCAAGATTCCAGGCCAGATCAGCAAGACCATGGGAGATCGGACAGAAAGTGAGTACCCTATATAAACCAAGCCACTAGTTAAGATAATCAACTAAACATACCATCTATTAGGCTTCGTCACTAACCGGCGCTTGCTACTCTCCTCATCCGATGCATTTGGCCGCGTGATGTTCTCTTACAAGGAAGTATCAGAACTCGCGGGCCACACAGCTCGTGTCTCATCTCTGCTCGATGTCATGGAAGATGTAGCAGCAGGAAGGTTTGAGAAGAGGCTCGTATCCTCAGCGTCAACAGACGAAAATGCAGCCGTCCTCGCAGGTCGAGGAACGATCACCGAAAGCCCCTCCATCGAATTCACAGACGTCCCCATTGTGTCGCCGAACGGGGACGTTCTCGTTCGGAAACTGTCATTCACCGTCCACCCCGGTGAGCACCTATTAATCGTAGGACCGAACGGATGTGGCAAATCATCCCTGTTCCGAATCCTCGGCGGCCTCTGGCCCGTCTACGGCGGAACAGTCAAGAAGCCCAACTTCGACGACATCTTCTACATCCCTCAACGACCGTACTTGTCTCACGGAACCCTGCGACAGCAGGTGACATACCCAGACGGCGTGAAAGAAATGCGAGCCAAGGGCATCACGGACGCCGATTTATACGACGTACTCTCAATCCTTGAAATCGCCAACATTGTCGATCGCGACAACGGCTGGGACGCCGAGGAAGAATGGCGAGACGTTCTTTCCGGTGGTCTCCAGCAACGAATCGCCATGGCGCGATTGTTTTATCACAAACCGCGGTATGCGATTCTGGATGAATGCACGTCCTCGGTGACTCTGGAGATTGAGAAGGTCATGTACGAAACGGCCAAGAATTTGGGCATCACTTTGATGACGGTGTCGCATCGTCGCAGTTTGTGGCAATATCACAAAAACATTTTGCAGTTTGATGGGCAAGGCGGGTATATATTTACGGGCTTGGATTGGGAGAAGAGATTGAAACTGGAAGAGTACGACTCCCCCTATCTACTGAGAATAAAGGAGACTAGTTGCTAACACCTTACCCCTAAATTATAGTGAAAAGGAAGATCTTGATCTTCAACTCCGTGCGGTACCGGATATTGAGAAACGTATCGCTGAGCTCTCGGCGACTTGATTGAGTCATGAAGGTTGCCATGATATATATCTAAGCTTAATCCCATAGTTTTATAATTTAAGGCCATGATATCACGATACATTTTCCGTGAAGGAAATCCGAGAGAATAGCACATGTTAACACCGAACCACGCGTAATTCTACCTACGAGCGTCTGAACAACCAAGCTTTGGAGACATTTAATATAACTCCTGGTGTTCAAACAAAAGACTCCGACTGCACTCAAAGCGTGAACAACAGGTAACTTGTATGTATATATGTATGCGTTATTGTGTACTTAATAATTATTATATATGCATTGTCACATGAATATGCTTGATCAAATCCAATCCAAGCCTGGACTTATTTGTCGAAGTGTTATCTACTCGCCAATCCAATTTCACCATCATCATCACTAGACTTCATCACCGTCACATTTCCACCCTCCTCTTCTGCCTTGGGAGGTACATTATTAGTCGTAGTTGCATTACCACCCTCAATTGACTGCTGATGCTGATGTTGCACCTGTCCAAGCGGCGACTTGGGTGCATCTGCAATGGACAATGATGACGACGATGGGACAGTGATATCTAGAGAGCACTTTCGACTGGATGATGATTCGTAGTCGGACTCGCTGTTAGTATGTCGATGTTCCTTTTTGAGTAGCACATTACTCCATCTCTTCGTTCGGCGGCTTATACTTCGGCTTAGAGTTGTGGTTGCTGGTATTGCGGTGGTGGATTCTTCGCTAGCGCGACGAGAGGAGGATGATGATTGTTCACCTCGGTTGTTGTTGGTGTTATTATTATCATTATTATTACTATCGCCGCCAACTTCCTTCTTGCTGACGCTGGGAAGAGCGGCTTCTGATGATGTTGGTCCGGTAACTGATGAAGAAGTTGATATTGCTGTTGCTGTTGCTGTTGCTGGGGCGGTGCTATTTCTCCGATCTTGCCATTCCTTGCGTCGCTCGCTGGCCCAGGCTCCCCAGGAACTGATATAAGCGCCTGCCCTTTGTCCCGCTGTATTTGCTGGTGCTTGACCCTGGCTGACATCGACCGATGGTGATCGGCGAACGTGTCCAAACCATGAAAATGAGTTCGTCTCGGTAGAAGAACCAGAGGTGGTGGTGGTGGTGGTAGAGGGAGAGGTTGTATTATTGCGTATAGACTGGAGAGATTCGCCACTCAGACTTTTCTCATCTGAAGATGCTCGCTCCATTGCTCGCTCCTCGTTTCTTTTGCGTTGCGCTTCTCGTAGCGCTTCGATATCCGCCCAGAAGCTGTTGAATGCGTTGCTCACTTTCTTCTGGCCGGTGACTAGCGTCTTGTTTAGTGCTTCGCGACCCTCGCGCACCCGCTCGTCTAGATGGAGTTCTGACACCTGTTGTGCCAGTCGTCGCTGGATATCATCTATCGTCAGCCCGCCGGCACAGGGGTGCCGAGGCTCAACAACGGAAAATAGCATTGCATCAGAGGTCAATCGGTGAAATAAGGCATAATTCCGGGTCGTTTTCCAGTGCGCGACGAAGTCCTGGTTAAATTCGAGCGTCGGGTCCGCTTCTGCATCCGCTGACTGAACTTTGTTTTTGGTTTCATTCGCTTTTACTGGGGATGAAGGCTGCACATGTTGTCGATGGTTTGTGCACGACAGTAAAGCTAGGAGGTACTCCTCGAACTGTAGTCGAATAAACTCCTCGGATCCCACGTAGCCGTGAGTTTTGGGTTGTTCAGGGTGTGATGGGTCCCAGGTCTCGTTGATGGTCTGCGTGAGGAAATCGATCCATCGTCTATCTGCTGCAGTTAAGGCCAGTGCGGTCCGCATTGCAGGTGACTGTATGCTGATGGCCCCTTCGTCGAGCTTTGTACACGTAAGCTACTCATTTCATACACGCGAAAACAGGACCATTCTTACATTGATCAGAATGTCGCTATAACGATCTTTCTGCTGAAGCAGCAAAGAATTCGTCGACCCGACTATATAAGACTTGGTTCCGTGATCGGCCAAAAGATCTAACTGCTGCAATGGTGTGTAGGGCCCAAAAATGCTCCCCTAGTAATAGTGTTAGCAAAAGCAAGGACAATATAATGCTCTGCGACGGACACTCGCCTTGCCGAAAAGTTGCAATGGCAATCCCATATAAGCCAGTACTAGGATTCGTCGATCAGCAAATCTTACGGAGTTATAAGCATTTAGATTTTAGAATCCATACATGAACTCCGTTCACTCGTCTTCAGCGAGGTGGCCTTTTCAGTGTTTTCAGCATATGAATCAAACGCCGGGTCAGCGCAGTCTTGCAAATTGCTAAGTAGTCCAGGTATCAAAGATAGCAAGGAAAATTGTATCATGCATAGACGCTCGCAACGAGAGCCAAAGAACAACATCTATCTGACTGTTAGCGACACATTCTCCTGCGTTTTTCTTTTCTAGGCGCTTGCGGATTATCGTACCTTTGGTTGCAAAAGTAAACATTTAAACAGAACAAGTGTTTGGGATTTAAACTGGTGGATCATCTCGCGCAATGACAGGCCTTTTTCTTTCGATTAGCAAAAGCGCTCGATTTGGTCAACTTCGAATAAGAGAGGATCTCATACCGAGATAAGTGTCTTTATGTGCGTCTTCATTCTTCAGACTTGCAATCAAGCTCTCGCGAAATTTCTAGCAACCGATAAGTAACCGATCCCACTCATGCATGTATTCAATGGGAAACGACGACGGACCTTCAAAATATCCACATCTGAAAAATCCCTATTGCGACAACAAGACTTAGTAACGAAAATTCATCACAACGAGTTCGTCCCAATTTATGTGGCAATGGCAGAAGTGTATCCGTACCGTTGCGCAAACCATGCCGATGTTACCATGGATAATTTTTCCCTCAATCTCCCAAAATGCTGAGGTCCATCAGACACAACCACCACAGCCTTCTGGACAGTCGATCGGGTAACTTCCGGAGAGCGATTGATCAACGAGCTAGCGGGGATCTGCCTTGTACATGATATACCGAACAGAGACGTCGCATTCTGAGTCGAGGTCGCTTCGCGGCGGAGGGTGAAATATGAGAAATCTTCCGTGGAGCTTAATAATTTGTTAGCCTAGACTCTCCATATTTGTATATATAGTCATCATCATCGTATGTAGTAAGAATCGCCGAGAATACCCATCTCCGCCGTCCTTTGTGCGAAAGACTCACGCATGTGCTCCATCTGACAATGCCATGAATGGCAACAGTGACCAATCATTTTCCACAGCCGGATTCGTCCCTTCGTCCGCAAAGCATAACTCTATCTCGGGGCCTCTATTTGTGATCAAAGAAAGAATACATTAGCTTCATATGACATGTTGAATTGACGTCGTACGTGAGAGACGAGAGACTAGAGGCGCTATTTGAGAGGAAGGAGAGTAAAAGCGGCGACATCTAACCTTGCATGGTGAAAGTCTATGACTAGGACAATCGGATTCTGGCGTGCAATAGCTTGGGTCATTCTCGAAGGTCGAAGGGAGGACGAATATAATGATTGCGGTTGTGAGTTATCAGAGGAATGCGGTATGATGATGGGCTAATTATTTAAGTCTATTTGGACCGAAAAAGACACGCAATCCATATATTCCGTCTTCCGCGAGTATAGTGAGCAAGTCATATGTTCATGACGGTGAATTGCCGTGGTTATCTGGGGGCTTCGACTGCTTTTCTCGTTATTTACTTTAGCCAAACTTCACTAGTTCGTTCTGATGTCAAGATGGAGGAAGCTGAGGACGGCTAGCTGATTGGGCCAAGCCCGAAGGCGGTGTGTGCCGAGTAATTGCGGGGTGTTGGTCAGAAGAGATGAGCAAATCGAACTTCACAATAAATATATATTATTTACATCAAAAAACAATTTCTATGTAGAGACAATCAAGAAAAGTAAAATAACCTCTGTTCTTGATCAAATGCGATTATCAAGAGACACAGATCAGGTTACCTCAAAAGGAAAAGTCGAGGGCCTTCGGTTGAGACAAGGCGACGGTTACATCTTCTGTTGTTTCAATGTTCTGTCCATATTCTGACACCGGTTGACGGGCTCATGATGTGAACAGAAAAGGGTGACATGAATTGGTGTTACTAATGTTGTGTTGCTGACCGCATGTCGGGGTGTATGGAAGTCAGCAATGCCAAATGCTTGCCCCGAAAAAGTAAAATAACACAAGGCCTCAAGAAAACCAAACACCGTGGTGGCTTCCATATACATATATGTAGTAGATCGCTTCGTGTTTCGACGTATCCTAAGGCGGTGTGAGGTTTTAGATTGAGTAGCTCCGTCGAACTATTGCAGTCCAGCTTGGGTGGGATCGGCAGCTTGGTCGATGTTATGGTAATCCAGAATCTCCGAGTACCTGCGCGTAGAGCTAGTTAGTCACGCATCGGAAAAAGCGTATTCAATACGTTTTTGCGTACATCATAATTTTCCAGGTGTCCACTGGCAAGTCGGCGTCGTTAAATGACCAATCGAACTTCTCTTCGGCGACTGGCTCGTCGGTAGGGTCGTGGTATGGAGATAGATATTCATGGGCAAGCGCATCACCTGCCGTAATTCGTTTTTTCGGATCGAAGACAAGCATCCGCTCGAGTAAATCGACAGCTAAGAATTCGTAAGCGTCTGTCTTTACACTGTGACGCGAGACTCCGAAGAGGAAATTAAGACATACCTGCTGGATCGGCGTTCTTGAACTTGCTAGCAAGTGGTTGCCGTTCTCGTTTTGGCAGAGATTGAACAAATCGGAGAGTCTAGGAGAATGTCAGTGTTTCCCACTCCCCAAGAAATGAGCACACTCATGATGCGGTACGCACGTTTTCGCTGCAGATGGTTTTGATGACATCGTCCGGAGGGGTGCCTAGGAGTTCGGTGATGATGGAGAATTGGTTGACGTGGTCTTTTCCAGGGAAGAGAGGCTTTCCGTCGAGCATTTCCGCAAATATACACCCAGCGCTCCAGATGTCAACTTCAACGTCGTATTTTTGCCATGTAAGCATAATCTCGGGGGCGCGATAGTATCTCGTCGACACATATCCGGTCATCTGTGGGTCTTGGATTCTAGCTAGGCCAAAGTCGCATATCTTCAGATCGCAATTTTCATTAATGAGGATATTACTGGGCTTTAAATCACGATGGACGACACCTGCGGAGTGAACGTATTTTAAGCCGCGCTGTGATTGTTAGAAGGCATAATCCGGAAATTTACAAGTTGGAAAGAGCGCGCTGCCACGTACTAAAATTTGATAGAGGAAGTACTGGATGAATTGTTTCTCGAGGGGTCGGGAGGTTAGGAGTCGGTGCAAGTCGGTGCCCAGCAGTTCGGTAACAAAGTAGCTAGAGGTCGGAAATCATTTAGCCAAAACATCATCTCGGCGGGCGGGATTAAGTCAACATACATATCTTCTAATGGAGAGATGAAAATATCACTAAGGCTGATGACCTGAGACAACGAGTCAATATCTTCAGGTCGGCGGAGAAACGGAGGGGCTCCACTCACATTCTCATGTCGTAGATGCTTGAGCAGCTTGAGTTCTCGATATGTGCGCTTCGAGAGCACCGGCGTACTGAACGGCTTCATAATCTTCTTAACAGCCACCGGTTGACCGGTCAATTGATCTCTCGCCGAACTTATTTTCAGTCAGTCTCACGTCGCAGTGAAAGAAATTAAGGCCGCACCACATGTACATACCAGACCAGGCCAAATGCACCCATTCCCACAGGTTGGAGATCGGTGTATCTAACAAAATTGGTCAGTTTCCAGTTCCTTCGTCGCAGCAACGGTTGCAGGAGGGGGCAATGCGCACCGGCTGGTGATCTCAAAGGTTGTGCCAAAGATCTGGGCACGCACGAACTCCGCCATGATGGGCGCGTTGGTCGGTTAGATGTGGTGCTGCGAGACGGGAGAATATAAGCTTCCTGCTGTTCACACACGCAGTCTTTTGCGCGCGCGCTCTTTGATTTCTATGTTGGCTCTTCTTGCTCCTGCGCGTGGATAATTGGAGCTGAATTAGATCAGAGCGAGGGTGCGGGGGAGGGATTGCTACCGCTTCGGGGCGAGAGAGACGACGACGCGATCGATGAACACGAAGAAGATAAAAAGGGGAGGTGAAGGTGAAGGTGAAGATGAAAGTCACAAGGTGTGAAGCGGTGGAAGGTGGTGGGGGTGGGCAGCACAGCAGAGGGAGAGGGGGAAGGTGCGGTTGCGGCAACGGCAAGCGGGTTTTTCCCAGCGAAGAAGAAGCCCTTCCCAGGAAGCAGCAAGAATGACGTTGTTCGCCCACCCCAATGCGGTTTAGCCCCCGGAAAAGTCAAGCAGCGTGGGCCCCAGGCACCTCTGCGGCTGCTGATTGGCCGGCCGCTCGAAGTCGAGACTACATCCATTTCGTCGCCCAAGTTGGATATCCTTGGAATCGCAGGCAATTTTTGTACTCTCTTCACCTTTAGGCATGTGCTGGGTGACTGTCTGTTCGGCGCGATCACCTTGTATGGCTTGCACTGGACTACGCCTCAAATGACAACAACACCACGATGATACGTGCGCGGCCAATCAAAAAGGAATCCAAAAATAGACAACCGTCCCAATCTTGCGATTTGGCAGCACGCAGCCTTTGCCTGGCTGGCAAGCCCGCCCAGATTCGGCAGGGTCTGTGCTCATCTACGTTCCACGGCCAGATACCGATGCAGTTCACGTTCAATCTGCCCGAGGACTAAATCCATAGTAATACTAACACTAACAGAATGTGCTCGTGCCACGATCCGTCCTTCTATCTTGTATTCAATCAACCTCGTCTTCCTGTCGAAACTCAATTCATTAGTTTGTGTTTCATCACTTGCTGGCTGTGTCATGTGACCTGGGGTACGAATAGGCGATCGATGCAGTTCACCTAGGTCCATGTATAAATATATTCTACGCATGTCAGTGCCCCGAGCTAAGCTGAAACCGTGAAGAGACAAACTCATGTATGTCGCACATGCGACTGTAGATCCTCTCGGGGCGCAACTGTTTCAGACGTTGATGTATGAACTTGCTGGAATGGGACACTATATAACAAACTAGTTACTGACTAATGGCCATAATTAAATGTATAGCTACCCCGTACATACATATACGTATTTGTTTGGAATTCGTAACGAAAGAGGCAATGCAACTTGAATTAGTTACGCTGTGCACAGGGATCGGCAGCGTAATCCCTGTACAATGTATGTAATTTTCCCTTATTACTCATCGTATCTGTCCATTCTCATTGGCCTATGGTCTCGCTTTCCCCGCCGCGCAGTCCCACGTGAGTCGCGCAGTGGCTCTGTATTACTCGTATTACATAGATTGGCCATGTCCTTCGTTTCTTTGACTAGACAAAGACCATATATGTATTTCTGCAACAAATAGCTAGCTAGAATTGTTGACCAGTTATCAATTAGTATTGGGTATTGTTTCCTCAGGATCAACTAGTAGCCATTACCATCAAACCCCCCGAACCGCCGGCAGCGCCCACTTTGGCCGAAGCAAGCGTACATTCGCGGAGTGAACTTCCACTCTCTGGATTAGTGCACGAGTATAAAGCAACTTTGTATAGGTATTAGGTATTGGGTATTGGGTATTGTAACGATTTGATAGCAATACCGGGCCACCAAGGCAGATAGGTGCATAGAGCCCCGGCGATTTACGCGCCGACATGACTAGCAAAGCTGAATATATCACGAACGAAGCAAAAAGCGGTGCCCCTCTCTCCTAATAGTTAGGCTAACCGAGCGGACCGTCAGCCATAGCCACCTTCCTTAGGCTTACACGTTGAATACGTGAGTGGACTACCCGCCGTAGCAACTAACCTATCCCTGCTCTACTTCCCACCTTTCCTCCGTCCGAGCTCTCAACATTAACAACCACCTCCATCAAACCACACCTTCATCTCTTACCACCCTGCTTTCAGTCCGCGCTGCCCATCGCATCGTTTCGCCGCTGATTGCGAACAACGACAGCTTGCTTGCTTGCTGGCTTCATCCCCCGTTGTCACGCCGCTGTGCCCCCAGCACTGAAGCTATTATTTGCGGCACTCGACGGAGAACAGATCACAGCCCACTTCGCAAACCAGTATCCTTTATATACCTATATATCGATTTATACTATAGATATTCTTCGGGCGCACCGGTGTTGAATCAAAGAGAAGGTAATCCGGACAACATCACACACCTCGTGGCCTCGAGCCATCGCCGCCGGCCTTGGACAGTTCGGATCCTCGAAACGACACTTCGGAATCCGGTGGATTGGCGTCAACACACGTCCGCATCAGCTGTGCTTTGCTTGATTCGCCTTCGTTCGTGCTTCCGACTGGGGGTTGCGGGTTTGCTCTTTAATTTAACAACGCAACACTCCCGGTCACCATGGGCGTCTGTTTTAGCTCCGAGTCCAATCAGGACGTCGAACAGAAGAAGCGAAGTCAGATGATCGATAAGAAATTAGAGGAGGATTCGCGGCGATTACGACGAGAATGCAAGATTTTGCTACTTGGTAGGTTTCCCGCCCTTCCTTTTTTTTTTTTTTTTTTTGCTCTTTTCCTTCATTTCATTGCGGAAAATGCGTTGCTTATCTTAACTCACTCAACTCTGCAGGTTCTGGCGAAAGTGGAAAATCGACCATTGTCAAGCAAATGAAGATTATCCATCAAAATGGATATAGCGTCGAAGAACTTACACTTTACCGCCTGACCGTGTACAAGAATCTTCTTGATTGCGCCAAGGCCTTGATTCAAGCGTATAGTTATTTCGACATGGAGCCTGCGAGCCAGAGAGTGCGGGACTTCGTCACATATATCTCGGAGTACAACATAGATCCCGATCCCACCATAGCTTTGGATCCCAAAGTTGGCGATGCAGTGACGTACATCTGGAATGATCCTTGTACAGCCTCGGTCATGGAACACCAAAGCGAATTTTACCTGATGGATTCTGCACCTTAGTATGTCTTTTAATCATGCACCTGTGTGCAGACAGGGATTTTGCTGACAGCGTGGTAGCTTTTTTGAGCATGCAAAGCGGATAACAGCTGATGACTACATCCCGAACGAAGCCGACGTGCTTCGCGCTCGTACAAAGACGACAGGAATATACGAGACAAGATTTACCATGGGGCAACTGAGTATACAGTATGACTTCTCATTTCGTCGGCAGTTATTGTGTGGTTCTGACATTGGTATAGCATGTTTGACGTTGGCGGGCAACGGAGCGAACGTAAGAAATGGATCCATTGTTTCGAAAATGTCACGTCAATTATCTTTTGCGTGGCACTAAGTGAATACGATCAAGTCTTGCTGGAAGAAAGCAATCAGGTAGGAGACCCTGACATGACGCGATCGTAGGCGTACTATAACTAATGGGTTAATGCAGAATCGAATGATGGAGAGCTTGGTTCTTTTCGACTCGGTGGTCAATTCCAGGTGGTTCATGCGCACAAGTATTATTTTGTTCCTGAACAAGGTCGATCTTTTCCGACAGAAGCTCGACCGATCACCTTTGAGCAATTACTTCCCAGACTACTCTGGGGGAAACGATGTCAACAGGGCGGCAAAATACCTTTTGTGGAGGTTTAACCAGGTCAACCGGGCTCATTTAAATCTATATCCTCAGTACGTCAAGCTTATCCTTTCTCTGTTTCCTGTCCGCTGACTGTGTTCTTTCTAGCCTCACTCAAGCTACTGATACAACCAATATCCGACTTGTTTTCGCCGCCGTGAAAGAAACTATCCTTCAAAACGCGTTGATAGACTCCGGTATTCTATGACTTTGATGATATCCTCATTTTTCTACTTTCGCTTTTCATGCAATCCAATTGGTCGACCTTTTTATGTCAAGCAGCGTCACGTTTCCATTTACATTCAGTCGTCTTTCATCCGCCGCTGCAGCCCAGTAACGATTTACGGGCTCATTATTCTTATTTCATACTGACATCACCTGAACTCAAGATAATCTTTATTACCATTGATATCCCAACAATCTTCGATCTTTTTTATTTACCCTTATGGAATGGCGTTCTTGGATGCGGAGCATAATTCGGGTTCTCATTTATGTTTTCTCCTGGCTTTTGTTTCTATTTCTTTGTCTATTTGGCGCTATGATATAGCATGGTTGTTATGGCAGGAGACATTTACAGCCCATTGCTCCCTTTTCCCTCTTTGTTTTGACTTTTTATGAGAATTTCTATACCTGTTCCGTGCCTTGCGTCTGTCCCTGTGGGAATTCGCGTGATATTATTTGTCTGTTTAGTAGTGACTATATTATCTGGGAACATATTATAAGTTCAGCCCATACTGTTCAAACCAAACAATGATTTGAAGCCACTCTAGTTTGATTCTGATCCGATTATTGTTTGCTTCATCCTCTCAGGCGCTCAGAGCAAAGAAGGCCGTGGGCAACGCCTCCAAAGGCCATTGGGCCAAGAAGCCTTTTCAGTTAATGGGCTTGACCTCTGCGTATCGCTCATTGTCTAGCTCCGTACCAAGGAAAGTCTGGCCATTGACCCAGTAGTAATAATAGAACCTATAGAATATCAGCCGTGATTCGAGCAGAGGGGGTTAATAACACCTACAGCGACATATAACCATAGATATCCGCCGGATTCTTCTCGCGTTTCTCGTACATAATTTTATACAAGGCGTCAAGGGAGCCGTGACTTTGTAAGGTAGGCTTGATTCCGTAGATCTTTTCGAAAGACGCTGCGATCTCGTGGATTGTAGCCCGGCCACCAAGGACTATTGGTGTCTTATTAACGAGAAGCCTAGTCAAACAGAGAGAAGAAAATAAAGGAAAAAACTCACACTTCACGACACCAGTCGCCTTCTCATCTACCGTGACCGCAGCGGTAAACTCTGCGGCGTTGTCGTAAGTTGTTCCCTCCATCACTTCATCGCCTGAACCCCAAAAGCGGAAAGTGTGGGACTAAGGGTCATGGATATTGGAGAATGGGCTGAAGATGGGTTCCATGAATCCTCCAATAAGGATATGGACCCCTTGCACCTTCTTAGTCTCAAGATAGGCCTTGACATGAATCATCGGGTCCTTGGGGAACAGCTCGCCGAGCTTGAGCTTGGTATAATCCAGCGCCCAGTCACTGGCAACGTAACGAGGTACATCAAACTCGTCGCAGGCGTCAATTAGCAACTTTTGTCCATCCACCATGAGCTTGTCATCACCGAGGTAGCAGCACACGATCACGACGCATGACTTGGCAAACGTGCTGACCGCGTCTTTGTCTAAAGCATCGCCTTTGAACAGAGTGACCTGCGACGACGACGAGATGGCCTCTGGCACCTTGCTGGGATCACGGCAATATCCCCGGATGGTAACATCAGGCTGCTTGAGGAGGTGAGAGACAAGACGTCTGGAAAACTTGCCAGTGATTCCAGCCACTCCAACTGTGATGATCGCCATAATTGAATGTCGAGTGATTATTAGAAGTCGAAGAGGGTTCAATTCCTGAAAAGCGGCCTTGAAAGTACCCCGAGCTCATATATTTATATGTAGTTTTATGTTTTATATTCCAGGGAGTGGCAATCGCTTAATCATCTCGGGCGGTAAAATAACCCCGAGACCAACCTTGATGACTACCATTGGACTTCGCAAACTGGTGTGCTAGCTAATGAGAGGTATTGTGCCGTAAGACATTCAAATATGGAAGAACTATGTTCTGTGCTTTGGCGGGCGACCCAAGGATTCCTTTAGGGTATGTAAATGCTTGCTTGTAGGATTCGGGGCGAGCATCTGTAGGAGAAGTAAGCAAGGTGCCGAATGTGGTTACATCTTCCAAACCGTCGTTGATAAATCAAAGCTCGGGCTCAAGGAAAGGCCAAATTAATAATAGCTGAGCGATGCTATTCTATCTTTATTCAAGTCCCGCTACTGTAAACTTGGTTAACCTTCTAAAAGTGCAGCGAGGAGGATTGTTAGGGAGTAGCTCAGTCAAAACAACTTGAGAAACACCACAGACATGGCTGGGCCTATACTTGAGAATCTTGCGATCCCACAAGGCTCCTGGATTCTAGTCACTGGCGTCAATGGCCACATTGCCTCTCATATAGCTGATCAGCTCCTTCGCTCAAGGGTATAATGTTCGCGGAACCGTTCGAAACCCATCAAAGAGCTAATGGGTGAAGGAGCTATTCGAAAAGAAATACAAGAATTGCAAGTTTGACTTGGCACAAGTTGAGGACGCGACTTGTCCTGGAGCATTTGATCATGCCATTCAAGGCAGGTATCTCTCAACGCCGGAGGGCAGATTCTTGCTAACAGATCTGATTCAACGGTACCAGGTATCTCTGGTATAACTCACGTGGCGACTATCTTCAGCGGGACGACAGATATTATTGAGAGTGTAAATAATATGAATCAGAACCTCCTCGTCAGTGCAGCTAAGGAACCGAAAATGACGCGATTTGTATACACTTCCTCCTCCGAGGCTGCTGTGTTCTCGTCTTTCCTCGAGCACGACGAAAAAGAGTTGGCACGGATTACTGTCAACACTTGGAATGGGAAAGTAATAGAGAGAGTCAAGAGAGAAACGTCCTCTGCAACACCCAAGACAGGGGTTGATTTATACGCTGCGAGCAAGACATTTGGGGAACAGGCGATCTGGCAGTGGGTGACGGAGTTCCAGCCGAGCTTTGTGGTTAATACAGGTAAATAGTTTCGAAGACACATCTTTTCCACTTGAAAAGTTGCTAACGCATTCTCAATAAAATAGTTCTGCCATCTGTATGCTTCGGGGGCTCGATTGATCCTAAGAACCAAGGGCACGCATCGTCATCCGCGTGGCCTGTGGCAATCTTTCGGAACGAATTTCACAACATCTGGCCATTTGTGAAGTATATCATACCTACAGGTGAGAAGAGGCCCATGCGTTATCCATATTCAAAACCGTAAAGCTCTAATTCCGATAGCATGAAAAAGGAGCAAATGGGTCTGAAGGTCATAGGCAGATCTTGCCCTGTTTTCCGAGCAAAGATCTGCTTCATGTCGTCGAAGGTCAATTCATCGCCCGCCAGGGATATTCCCTTGCCCTTGTACTGCTCGGGATTGAGGAAAGCATCAGCCCCAAAGTATCCGATGTCACTAGTAGCAACAAGCTGAAGAGCCTTCCCTTTCAGGGACATCTTGAAACATGTCGAGAAGACCTTGCCAAAGAAGTCCGGAGTAAGATTCTCATAGAACGCCGTCGGCCTCAAGATTGTCCAGTCCATCCCACTGTGTTTTGCCCTGTCAATGAGATGGTGTTCAATGTTGTGTTTTTTGATGAAATGCGGAATCTTGGTTGGGTTGTTGAACGAACGGTTCTCGCCACCACGGTCCACGGAGCTATACACAAAGAATTTGACATTCTGTTTGATCGCCTCATCGACAAGGGCTATGCCTTGTGATTCTTCTTTGGCATTGCCAATGGCTGCCTGTGTTGTTTAGTTAATATTCGGGCCTGGTTAATCTGGGGTTCCTACGCCCGATAGAGGAGCATATTTGATTACCTGCACACTGTAGACTCCCCAGATACGGGCTGAAGTGAGGCTCTGTGCTTTCTGAAAGATACCGACCGGGTTATCCAAGTCACCTTCAACAAGCTTGATGCTCGAAGAAAGCTTTTGAGTTTCAGGGCGGATGCAGATGCCGGATTCCGCGTAACGGCCAAGATCTCGAAAGAGGCGTTGCGGGAGAGGAGGCTCCTAATGAGCGAGCCCCCTTGCTTACCCGTCGCACCTGTGATTAACACAGCAGTCATAGTGGGAAGATGGTAGGTAAGTGACTGTTTTTGAAGGATAGGCAGAAGGTGAAAAAGGCAAGACTTTTAACTGAATATTTGGCCCACCTTTTATAGACCCGTACAGGATAATCAGAAGAGTCCACTGTCAGGGCTAAAAATTTAACTATAATACAGATACAGCAAATATACCTTAACGTGCTAAATACTCAAATCCTTAGCTAACCAAGTACAATGGATTATAAAGCACTTTTAGGGCAAAGTTGAGAAGTGTGAAAGCATCTTAGTCAGCTGTCGCCTATCAACTATTTCGATGCGGGTCCAGGGATAATACCGCCGCTCTGATTAGACGACCCCGGGTTTTGTCGCTAATTTAACGTTCACCCTTAACCTCAATTGTCATGACCTAACTAACTAACTTAAACTGAGATCGCGTGGCGTTGTCTGACTAAACATTGCCGCGCTCGGGCTTTATTTCAACCCCGGCGCTCTCTGGTGTAACTATATGATTACTTCGCGGCGAGTTATTCCAGAGTCTGCTTTTATGTGAATGTGCCATTTAGGGCCTTTAATTTAGTACCATTTGTTATTGTTATAATAGGACCCTAATGTTGAAAGGAATATAATACTGGCTAGTATTAAAATACTGCAATTTGCCGTCAACCGAGGTGAATACTAACAGAGTAAAGCATTGGCATGAATGGCGCCATCCCGGGCTTTAAGCTTTAAGTATTTTTCTCCCCCATTGACGGATGGAATAGCATTGCGATCATTCGATAACCGGGTGTATTATTTAGTCAAGCATAGCTCTGCTGCATTTTACTGAAGACCAAAACATACCCGACTACAGCAGTACAGGGGCTTGATCTTGCGTGAGTGAGTCTCCAAATAACTGCTAGGGACTAAGCGCGCGCCAATCCGCATAGTCGGGAGAAAGTTCCCATTCTAGTCTCGCACAGTCTCCACGAATGGCTGAGTTGTCCGGCAGATTCTCAAATGCAGTTTCGGTCTGCTGATACCATTCCTCGTCGGCCTCGTTAGTATTATTGCCAAAGCGCTTTTGCGTGCTCATTTTGAAGAAATCGTCGCGGCGACGCGAGGATTCACAACTGGCATTGATGTAGTTCGTCCGACAATAGCTGCAAGTATTATCAAGGATTCCATCTTTACAGGAATAGCCATATAACTCAGGGCAAGTCAAAACGTATGTATCAAGTTTGAGATGAGGGCATGGGTAAGTTCTGCCACGTGCGGAACTGTACATTGCGTCCTGAGACTTGCCACTTCGTTTCTACCGCCAAGCTTCCTTCTTGATCGAGCATCATTCTGAGACTGATCTGTAGTTCTGTTTCCTTGGTTTCGTAATCATCCATATATAAAAAGTGATGGTAGCCCCCGGATTCGTCAAACTTGACGAGCTTCTCAATGCTGCTAGAGAGTTTATAGTCTCCTGGCTCCCCCGATGATGACAGTTTTTTCTATCAACAACCTACAGGGAAACATCTCCATCTTGACAAACGAAGTATACCTATCTAAAATGATTATGTCTACGTACAATATAAGAGCAAGTCTCCACCCCCGCACAAGCGACCCCGATCTAGACCGGGCTCGGCCACGCACTACTAGTACATAGAAGGACTAGTACCGTGCACGCCACATGCATTATGATTCAATGATCTTACGATCTTTTAAACGGTCGCTCCTTCCTGCTTGCATCCTATTTTCAGGGAAGGTGGCCGTGCACAGGGCACCTTCCCTGTATGTCTGCTGATGTATTATATAATTGTGTATCTCTGCCCCTCCCTCTCGTCCGACCTCGTTTTTGTTCGTTCAAGGAATTCACCCTGACGACTTCGGGAGAACCTGCCTCTATCGATTATTCTGCTTCTACTAGCGTGTGGTTTATTCCATAAGCTGTTGCTCGACTTATAATCTATCCGTTTGACTTGCTTCTCATTCCAGAGAATAACTGCCCAAAAAAAAAAAAGAAAAAAGAAAGGAAGCTGCAAACTCGAAATGTCTACCAAACCTTTAGCTCGTGAACGAAGACCATCTATCGGTGTTCCCGTAGCGGAACTGCAAGGTCCCGTGGGCCCTGGTTTCAGCCGTCCCAAGCACAAGAGGACATTTACTGGCTTTGGCCCGGCCGAAATCAAGGCTGTCGAGGCCAGCATTCCAGAACCTCTGAGAGCGGCGTAAGTCCCGTTCTCTTGCTGTTGTCAATATACCGACCTCCCGGCTGAACTCTTTTACTACAGATGGAAGGAACATGTATGCCGCCGTCCTCAAGTATATAAAGACCTCTTCACGCCAGGCGCTAATCTTCGCTGTGTAGTCGGCCAAAAGCTTTGAAACGAAGGACGAGTTCGAGGTATTCCAGCCATCACTTGTTATGTCTCAATCAAATCTAATTACCTCCTTTCACAGCGAGAATTCGTTCGCCATGTTGAAACGACTCTTGCTCGTTCGCTCTTCAATTGTGATGATTTGTAGGTGGTTTAACCCACCAACATCCACCAAAACTGACTGAGAGGACTTCGAAGGGCGGCATACTCCGGCACGGCGCTGGCATTTCGGGATAGGTTGATTATCGAATGGAACAAAACACAACAACGTCAGACCTTTGCAGATCAAAAGCGCGTCTACTGTAAGCAAAACCACGACCCATGTTGAGACTTTGAAGCCTGATAATCATGACTATTGCAGATCTGTCGCTTGAGTTTTTGATGGGTCGTGCTCTCGACAATGCTATGTTGAATGTCGGCCAAAAGGATGCCGCAAAAGGTGAAGTCCACTCTGGAGCATAAACCAATCAAGGCTAATTAGTCAATTATTTATTATATAGACGGTCTATCTGACCTCGGCTTCAGAATTGAAGACGTCATTGACCAGGAACATGATGCAGCACTGGGAAACGGTGGTCTTGGTCGTTTGGCCGCCTGTTTTCTTGACAGTCTCGCTACACTCAACTATCCAGCATGGGGCTATGGGTTGCGCTACCGGTACGGTATCTTCAAGCAAGAGATAATTGACGGCTACCAGGTAGAGATTCCCGACTATTGGCTAGATTTCAATCCATGGGAATTTCCACGCCATGATATCACAGTTGATATCCAGTTTCACGGCCAGTCTGTTCAACAGGAAGATGAGAACGGCAGGTTGACGTACAATTGGCATGGTGGCGAGATCGTTCAAGCTGTTGCATACGACGTTCCAATCCCCGGATATGGTACCAAAACTACGAATAATTTGCGCTTGTGGTCGAGCAAAGCAAGCAGTGGCGAGTTTGATTTTCAAAAGTTCAATGCTGGTGAATATGAAAGTGCTGTCTCTGACCAGCAACGGGCGGAGACGATCTCTGCTGTGCTCTATCCCAATGACAATCTCGACCGCGGAAAAGAACTTCGCTTGAAGCAACAATACTTTTGGTGCGCAGCTTCTCTATATGATATTGTGCGCAGATTCAAAAAGACAAAGCGTGCCTGGCTCGAGTTTCCAGACCAGGTTGCAATTCAACTGAATGATACTCACCCCACCCTCGCCATTGTCGAGTTGCAAAGGATCTTGGTTGATATAGAAGGTCTTGAATGGGATGAAGCATGGCGCATTGTCGTCGATACTTTCGGATATACCAATCATACTGTCCTGCCAGAAGCCTTGGAAAAATGGTCTGTTCCTCTCATGCAGCATTTGCTGCCGCGGCACCTTCAAATAATATACGACATCAACTTGTTCTTCTTGCAGTTTGTGGAAAAGAATTTCCCCGGTGATCGGGATCTGTTAACTCGGGTCTCTATTATCGAAGAGTCTCAGCCCAAGGCGGTCCGCATGGCGTACCTGGCTATTATTGGGTCTCACAAGGTCAATGGAGTGGCGGAACTGCACTCAGATTTGATCAAGACTACGATATTTAAAGATTTTGTCGAGATATATGGCCCGGACAAGTTCACTAACATGACTAATGGCATCACGCCCAGACGGTGGCTGCATCAGGCAAACCCTCGACTATCCAACTTAATTGCGTCAAAGTTGGGTGGATATGAGTTTCTGAAGGACCTGACACTTTTGGACGGCATTGAACGCTACGTTGATGATAAAGACTTTCGCAGAGAGTGGGTGGAGATCAAAACAGCGAACAAGGTGCGGCTCGCTAAACACATCAAAAACACGACTGGGTATACTATCAATCCAACAGCGCTCTTTGACGTTCAAGTAAAGCGGATCCACGAGTACAAGAGACAGCAGCTTAATATCTTCGGAGTAATCCACCGATACCTGAAGATCAAATCCCTGACACCGGAAGCACGCAAGAGCGTGGTACCTCGAGTGTCAATTTTTGGAGGCAAAGCTGCTCCTGGATACTGGATGGCAAAAACTATTATCCATCTGATTAACAAGGTGGGCCAGGTTGTGAATAACGACAAAGACGTTGGCGATTTGCTCAAGGTAATCTTCGTTGAAGACTACAACGTAAGCAAAGCCGAAATTATAATCCCGGCGTCAGATATAAGTGAGCACATTTCAACAGCTGGTACAGAAGCGAGTGGCACAAGCAACATGAAATTCGTGCTCAATGGAGGACTGATCATTGGAACATGTGATGGCGCCAATGTGAGTTACTGCATTTAATTCAATTCATCATGTATGCCCTTAGCATATTTTCCTGACGCTACCACAGATCGAGATCACCCGCGAAATCGGCGAATCCAACATCTTTCTCTTTGGCAACCTAGCCGAAAACGTGGAAGAAATCCGTGCGAGCCATCGCTACAAGGGCTTCACCCTAGACGAAGACCTAGCCAAAGTCTTCGAAGCAATTCGCAACGGCACGTTCGGCGAACCGAAATCGTTCGAGGCACTAATCGCTTCTATTGCTGACCATGGAGATTACTATCTAGTATCTGATGACTTCAATTCGTATCTCATGACACAGGAGTTGGTTGATGAGGACTTTGGGAAGCAGGACGAATGGATCGCCAAATCGATAAGTAGTGTGGCGCGCATGGGGTTTTTCTCGTCGGACCGGGTGATTGAAGAATATGCAGAGAGTATTTGGAACGTGGAGCCTCTGGCACTCGAGTAATTTTTTTTACCCAACTGGGCATACGTCGTTCTTCATTTTATGGTTATTTATTGATTAGTGAGTTATTTAGTTAACAAGAAAATGATAGCAACTAGTTTATAACTGCCTATCTTCTTGAATAACCAATTAGTATAAAAAGAAAGAATGAATTGCTTGATTGTATCTACGATAGATAACCCTACCTTCCCATCCGCCTGCTTGCCAGCCTATACCACCTAAACTAGAACTAGTAACTACCTACCCAATGATTGGAGAAAAAAAAAGATATCAAATACGAAATGTTCAGAAATAATCATCATACCACGCTTTGAATTGCAAACAAAAAAGAGGGAAAATAAGGAAAGAGACAATTTGTTTCCCTTTCATTATTTCGTTGTTGTTGGGTTTAAAAGAATCTTGCCGTTTGTTTTTATGCAATATATGCCAATTCGTCATTGTCCAACCGTTCAATATAGTCTTTTTCCATGAGAGCTTCAATGTTCTTCTTGATGTCTGGAATTTTGGGTGGGAAGCGTGCTTTGACTTGTTGGATTACTTCTTGGACTAATTGGACGTGCTTCATCTTCTTGCGTGATTTCATGATTCGCACGATTGCGGACTGGATGGTTGTTAGTACTGAGAACGAAAGTGAAATAACGAGAAAGGGAGAGGCATACCTGTAGAAGAAGTTTACGGTCCTCCTCAATCGTTTTGTGGGTATCGTCGGCTTCGGTCTTTTGCTCTGACTTGATCTGTAGATTCAGATTGACCTTGACCTTCTTGTGCTTGAAATTGTGGTTCAAAGTGAATGAGACTCCCGGGGCGGGCTTCGATCCCTCAGGACTAGCTAAAAGGACTTTGGCCTTCAATAGCAGACTAATATTCGGCTCGAGGACCTCATTGGCTAGCTTGGTAGCCTTTTGGATCTCGTCAAAGTCGAGAGAGTCGTGCTCGTTATAAAGAAGTAATATTCCCATTTGATACGTCGACACCTGGAATGTATATGGAACCTTGGTGTTCTTGATGTAGTTGGCCTTCATTTCACCCTTGCACAACTGCCACAGCCATGTCAGCTTACGACCGCTGTGCTTGTCAAAGTAAAAGTGTTGAAATCTTTCTGCTGTCTTGACGATTTCTGTCGGCGGTATGAATTCTGTCGATGGCGCATTGAGAGGCCAGAATCCTGTGCCCAGAATCTGGAAGTGAGGGTCCACCATCTTCTTTCGGTCTTCTTCGTCGTGGACTTTTTCTTGCCAATCCCGGTAACTGGCATTGAGATCCTTGGAAATTTGGATATCCTGGAACATGCGCTGCAATTTATTGGTGTACTCAAAACCACACGCCTCCTTCAACTTGCTGATCATACTGGTTTCAGCATCATCGGACACGGAACTGACGTGGACAAGACGCTTTGCAAGCATTTTCGAGTAGAACTTCTGGAATACATCCTTATCTTCAATATATTTGAAAACCGTCATAATCTGGTTGAGCATCTCCTCCAACTCAGACTCTTCAGTAGCTTTGGAACCTTTCTTCAATAGAGAATCTGTGTAGCGTGCCAGCAACTCTGGCGATTTCGACGAACTGGTCTTGCAGATGGAATTCCGATTCACAAATTCACGACAAGCATTATCGAGGGACCTAACAAATTCGGATTCGCCTGCGAAAGCGGCATTGACCAGTGTCTGGTATCGAGAGTGAACCTGCAATAAAGCATCCACATACATCTTCGGCTCAAAATTCTCCCCATCTGCAGCAACTTTCTCAACCGCAGCAGTGCCTGCATTGCGAACGTGTTTTTCGAATCTGGAGCGGAGGGGGTCTAGACCGTCCTTTATTCTCGAGAGTAACCTGTACATACGAGCCAGATCGTCTTGTCGGTCGTTGTCCAGTAGGGCTTGAAATTCGTCGCGGAGAAGACTGGAGTGGGTGGTGACCAAAACATCCAGGCATGTCTCGGTTAATCGCTTGGTGATATCCGGGTGTAAGTACAGGCCAACACGGGCCTTCTCTTCATCCAATCGCGATTCCGCCTTCTTCATGTACTCTACAACACTATTCTCCGAAACAAACTGGCGAGATTCATTCTCATAGTAGACACGAGTGGCGTCGATGAAAGGACGTTCAAAGTAGTGCCGGTAAACCTCCAGGGTTGATTTGGTACTGTCATTCTCGTCCAAGCCAAGTGAAACGAATGAGTCCACGATGCTCTTGATCTGTGACTGCTCGATTGTTTCGCCATTACGTTGTTTCTCCACGAGAGTCAGAACAGCAGCCATCACCTTCTCCTGAACTCGCTTGAAGAAATCCTCGCGCCATTTGACTAGATGTAGTGTGTACACGTCGTAGATATTCTTCTTGCCTTCGTCGATCTCTCGTCGGACCCAGTGTCTATTCAGGTAGCGGAACAAATGGTTCACATACTTCGCGGCTGTTGTATACCGATCCCACTCCCGAATATAAAAGCCCAGTAAAGCTTCTTCGCTATGAGTTTCGGAGGCTTGATAAACGTTCTCTAAATGTTTCGATAGATATTGTCCCAGAAGATTGTAAAGTTCCTCGCCGAGAAGATGGGCTGTTTGAGAATTAGTACGCACGAGTTTAAAGTAATCATATCCATGAGTCATAAACGCACCACCCCTGAGAGCTTGGAGACCTCCGCTGTTACCAACAGCTTTTTGTGATGTACAAAAGTCATGGACCGCCCTAGATGACATTTAGCTTTCAAATATAAATCGATTCTCGAAAGCGGAAGCGTACGTGTAAAGTGCCATGTACTTGGTAAGAGAACAAAAAAGTTAGCTCAGCGTCAAAAGCAGAAACCTCTCATCTGAAGTTACATACTGTCTTCATGTCAACGCCTTCCTCCAGTTTCAGCATCACACTGTTGATGCCATGCTCCAAGAAAGACCATCTGTAGAGAATGTTAGCCGACACAGAACGGTCGACTCGGCCAGCGAGAGATCGGGGGATTCATACGTGTCTTGGATATCATCTTTCTGAGGGGTCGCCATAGTATGCGTCCGTATCTTCTTGGTAGAGCGGGTCAAGGCCCTTGTCAAACGTTCTGATCGACGGAGAGGAGGAGCTGTAGGAGCTGTAGGAGCGGCAGCAGTGGCAGCGGTTAGCACCATGGCGTTCTATGAAAAGTAAATCAAATCGAGAGGGTTGAGGTGCAAAATCAAAAACTCAGACAAGTGTAGAGCAAGGTATGAGGCAGCGAAGAAGAACTGAGACATAAAAGAAGTCGCACGCAGAGAGGCTTGTGAAGTGCGGGGAACTCCAGGCAGAAAAATGATCAAAAGAGAACAAGATGAAGAAATAATCGCAAGCTCAACATGACGCGAGCAAGCTATTTGGCACATCCAAAGTTTGTATGGGCTGTTGACTGAGTTTGCGGGGTGGGTTGTCTGGGTCGTAGGCAGGGAACCATGGAGGCGTGATGCTTAAGACGTATAATTGTCGAGGGTGCCTGGGGCGAAGAAAAAACGGCGACACAAAGGTCGTGACGCGAATAGTGGGAATTGCAGATGCCTTCTGAAGAAGCTTTCACTTACAAAAGGTCGGGACAGTGCGGTTGCTCCTGGTAAATAGGCTGCAAAACAGTGACAGATGCCGATGCAACAGCTGCGAGTGCCAAGAGGTCTATTCTTATATAAGGACGGGACCGGTCAAGAGAGAAGAGAAAAAAGAAGGAGCAGAAAGAAACAAGAAGATGCAAGCAGACAAGAAAGAAAGGTGCGTTCGCGAAAAGAACAAAAGGAGGCAGTTTGAAGAGGTTGGTTGATAAGGTTGTTGAGTTGAGGATGCCATTTCTCTAAGGCTTCGTTCAGGCGGCGGAACAGCAGCAGAGCCACGGTTGCGCGCCAAACCGTAAGCGGAAGTTGCCTCTTTGGTTGGGTAGGCAGAGCGCGGGTCTGATTGGCTGCAACTGCGTCTGGCGCCGTGGAAGTGGAGTATGTCACCTTACGCTATGGGGCTTAGCGCCCTTGCATCTGATCTCATCTGATCTGACATGACGCAAAAACTGAATTATGTAGTATGTACCCTAAAAGCTAGATTCTTGTACTAATGACTGCATCCAAAGCACAACTCATACGGCAGAATGCACACGGATGGCAGGTATACAACGTAAAATGCTAGACGATCAAACTCCATTCTTGAAACCACTTCCACCAGCATCATTGTCCACCCTCACCGAGTCCGACAGCCCACACACTTCGAACACCTTCTTAGGGCCATACCCCTCAGGAATGCCAGCTATGCCGTCGGTCTGAATTCTCCGGAATGCCGCACGGATGCCCAAGTAAGCGGGAGTGATTGATGCGAACGAGAAAATCATAATACGGAAACCCATCTGCTCCGCTTCTTTAGTGGTAATCACCGGGCCCGCGCCGTGCTCTACCATGTTCAGAAGCAAAGGCCAGGGAGCAAGGTCATGCACCGCCTGTTGAGCCATCTCCTTGGAAGTGAAGCCCTCTAGGAGACCAACATCGGCACCAAGTTCGCGGGCAGCTTTCAAACGGCGAATACACTCGTCGTAGCCGTGCTGTTGAAGGGCATCGGTTCGCGCAATCAGCACAATGTCCGAGTGCATGCGGTCCTTAGCGAGCTTTGCGGCGCGAATCCGCGTGAGATACTCATCCAAGTCAACTACTTTCTTGCCAGCAAGATGTCCGCAGCGCTTGTTTTGGATTTGGTCTTCAATATGGAATCCGGCAACTCCAGCTTGAATGTATTGTTGCACGGCCTTGTATACCATCAAGGGGCCTAAAATTTGTTGGGGGAAAAATCGTTAACATTAAAGATGGTCAAGAGAAGGAAGCGTAAGGAGATTTTTTTTGTTTAACACTCACCACCGTAGCCAGTATCCATGTCCGCAATAAGCGGAGGACCGTAAGGGTCCAGGTTCGCAATCATCTCCGCGTTTGTCTTCATATCATGAAGTTGGGCCAATCCCAAGTCAGCCATTCCCAGGCGAGAAGCCGTGGTGCCAGCACCAGTCTATCTATCATGTCAGCTCCCAGTGTCTTTCCCGTCTCCCCACCCACCCCCCCAACCGAAAGGATTGCAGGTTCAATAGGAAGATATTTGTATATCCCATGAGTTCTTGAATAAAGCAAGGCAGAAGAAAATGCCATACATACCATGTACATGCCCTTGAAACCAAGTTCCATTGCAACGCGAGCAGATAGCCCATCATAAACCCCAGGGCATACAATTAACTCATTGGTATCTCTGAGAATGCGGCGTAGCTTCGAGGCGCCAGGGATAACGTAAAGATTAACAAGAGGGTCTTTCTTGGTCCCATTGACCTTGAACTGGCCATTGTCATCAAAGGTGATTGTGATGGAGCCCTTGCTGGGATAAGTCGAAGAGGGGGAATCTTGAGAGGAGGTCACAGGGACAACACTCTCTACGACTGTAAGGTCTTTGTCAAACATCTTTAGTCTGGGGACTTAGTCTGAAGAAAAATAGAAATAGAGAAATAAAGAGAAAGCAACCGGATATGGTATTGGTAGCAAAATGACTTGTAGATGGCTCGACTAACCTTTCTACGAGGATTGAGGGGAATATTTATACTTTCCTCATGCACAAAGAATTTCATAACTTGGCAGTCCATGATATTCGTCCACGCTCGCTTCATCTAGATGAACCACACCTTCTCATTCACCCGGAGGGGGAATATCTCGGCACAAAGGGCAAATGGCTTGGTATGTCAATCACATTTTTAGGATAATAGCAAGGTAGCGTCAGCTCCGGGATGTTTTTCGTCCACTCGCCCCTCTCTCAATCTTGTTAATACCAAGACGACAATCGCCACTCCTGATCTTGGCATGAAGCCAGCTGCATTGTTCATTGAAAAGATTCTCCCGGCTTGCAGAAATTGGCATTTCACGATAGTCTGGTTTCATGCACTTGGTAATTTTCCTCGAATGGCTTCCTTGTCACGAGAAGACTATGGGAAGAGGAAGGTGGCTATGCTGTTGATAGATAAAACCTCGGGCTGTTGGGTAGATCCCGGCAAGAGGGGCAAATACTTCGTTCTTCGGTTTGGTTGTACTGGGATAATGATCTCTCCTTCCTCGGCGGGACAAGACTCGATTGCAGCGGTTTTTGACAAGAACCTTGATAATAATGGACCCAGGCCATTGGCAGAGGACAAGGGTAGGGTCCGAGATACGCAATCTTCAGCCCCCGGGGTAAACAGGGCCGGAACCCAAATGATAGCTATTCGTCTGGGCCATCACAGAAGGTTAAATACTGACCAGGGTTTGCAATGCATGTAACCCTGCGAAAATCATTTTATGGACTGCTAATGCACGATCAATTTAAGAATGAATGGTCCTGATCGAATAGCTATCGGTAAAACAACAGAGACCTCGTGTCGGCAAGCCAAGATTGCCGAGAGGTTACTTTCTCCGGTTGTGCATGGCCTTTACTTTGCTGCAGACAATCTCGGCCTGCAGTAGAGAGAGAGAGAGAGAGAGAGAGAGGAGACGTTTACCCCGTCTGCAGACCGAAGGACCTGGGCTTTCCCGTATCATAGCTTAGTATATAATACATATAATATAAGTAGCGAAAGCTAAGCCACGCTCGTAGTTATGACCAGGCTGCCTATTCGGGATGTTTTTCGTGAATCGACTTCACGGGCCCGGGATTGCTGGAGTTCTGTCGGACATTTATTTCTCGTGCTCGGAAGCATTGTATATACACGGGCGTAGAGGGCTGCTTGGCTGCTGCAGCGCACTGGTATCCCCGGTGCATTTTGACTCGGACTCCAGATGGAGAGAGAGAAACAGATACAAGGGGGTGGGGAGGGAGAGAGAGAGATATCAACCAAGTCTAAAGTGCGCGGGCCGAGGGGAAGTGCATCTGCCGAGAAAGGGTAAGACTGGGTGGGCCCCGGGGCGATTTGATTCTCCGGGCTCCCGCATAAATTCGTGATTAATAATGGACTGCTCCCTATAGGCTCGGCTGCTGCCTGCCTCAGTTATTCGTCCAGCACGAACAGACATCACTGAGCATTGAGCGCTGGGCACTGGGCAGAGTCTTGGAAAAGGCCGGAGCAGAGTCTCTTTACCTCCCGGTGAAGCCTCATATCTCCATTTCATTTCTCCCTCGTCGCGGTCGGCCGCTGTTGCGTGAGAAAAATTTTTGCATTTCTGGCCCTCCTCTCTCTCTCATACTGATCGTCAATATGGTCGACGTCTCTAAGAACGAAGCAATGCTTCCGTATTGGAAAAACAAAATCACCACCCAACATGCGGACATACTCTTGTTAGCTTGCTGTTTCTCCTCTGGCCTTCTGGACAGCTCCGTCTTTGACGGTGAGTTCTACCTTGCGTTGTGTTGCGTTGCTGCAAGACAAGACCAGAAGCAGAAACTAAGGCAGATGTATACAGTATATGGCACTTTTGTTGCGATGCAAACAGGTATGTCTCATGAGTTCGGGACTGGACAAGGAAAATCTCTCTTACCTCAATCTAGGAAACACTATCTTCGTTGGTCTGGGTACCTCAAACCAGGATACTCAGCCCTACGCGTGGGCTCGATCTATCACTTCAATTGTCTGCTTTGCGCTCGGTGCTCTGTTCTTTGCTCGCATCGGCTCAATTCTTGGGCCCAAAGCCCGTCTTTCCTTGATTGGGTCGTTCTTTGTTCAAGCAAGTCTCATTCTCATTACTGCTGCTCTTCTGCAAGCCGGAGTAGTCTCGCAAGCTGCGCCCACCTTTGGTGAGCCTCTCAATTGGGACAACGAGGTGCCAATCGTGCTTCTAGCTTTCCAATCTGCTGGACAGATCGTGGCCAGCCGTGCATTGGGTTTCAATGAGGTGCCGACAGTTGTCATTACCAGTTTGCTATGTGATTTGATGTCAGACCCGAGCCTGTTTAAACTCCAAAATGTCAAACGCGACAGGCGCGTTATCGCCTTTTTGCTGACTCTTGTGGGTGCTATATCCGGTGGCTGGATTACAAAGGCTAGCGGAAGCCTGTCTGTCTCCTTGTGGGTGGCTGCTGGCATCAAATACGCAATAGCATTCTCGTGGATGGTTTGGAGGCAGGATCAGGTATAACCATGTCGTTCCACCTGCACTTGTTAGCCAGGCCTGCTACAGGGAAGAGAACTACTATTGGGGGATTTTCTTCCATCTATCAAACTAATATTATATACCACTCAGGATAGAAGTTGAATTCCCTCTCTATCAATTAACTGTGGCCTGATTGTTGATTCCAGATTATTGTGGATGCCTGAGGGTTGCAAATAATTTTCAATTCTTGTATTTAGAACCATAACTGAAAAAGGTTAGTTGTTAGTTATACAGTCATATTACATAAGCAATCCTCTATAACGTAACCGGTAAGCCACCCGGCCATGTAAGCGACCCAGCCACCTCTGCCCGGAAACGCGTTCTATTTCGATCTTACAACTTCAACACGTCAATATGTCACCAATTCGCAAGAAAAATCCTTCAAAATTAGCTGAATTAGAAGGAAAGATTTAATTAACTATTTCTAATTTAAAAAATAGGAATATTCAAAGTATTTATGAAGCTGTATGGGTTTATATTATCTCTTATACAATTCTTTAAGACTGACTGAAGGGAATACAATATAAATATATAAAATATACTAATAATTATAAATTTATTTAGTTTGAAGAGGAATTACTTATTAGATAGATATTAGATTTAGATAAATAAGGATTATCTTCCTAGCTATTTATAATATAAGAAATAGCTAATTATCTTCTTTCTTAATATAGAAATTAATAAGTTAAAAAAAAATAGATTTATAATCTAGTTTAATATTGCTCAAAGCTCAAATTATAATTTTTTTAAAGATATAATTATAAATATATTAAATATAAAGATCTAAAGATAATTTAAGAATATTTTAACTATATATAAAAAATTATATTAGAATATAGTATCTTATTAAAAGATATCTATAACTTTAATAAGACTAGTTTTGTTATAGGACTCTATATAATTATAAAGATTATTATTAAAAGTAATTAATATGTTTATCTAAAGCTATTATAATCTAGTAATTAAGAATAAATAATTTTAATTAAGATAGTTAATTCTATTAGATAGACTCTATCTTTATATATAATTTTTAAAGTAATAAAATATATATAAAAAAACTAGTTTAAAACTCTTTTAGATAATTAGAAAATTAATATTAATAATAATAGATAGATAATTAATAATATTAGTATAGATTAGCTTTAAAATTACTTTATTTCTTTTATAAATAGCTATATAATAGGAAGATATTAAATACTAATTCTTAATAGTTATAGAAATTATTTAACTGTGGAATTTAACTATATATATATTAAGAATAATATTATTCTAGTCTATATACTTTTATATTCCTCTTATTTTTTACAGCTTTTTAATGTTAGCTATTTTACAGTTATAAAGCAGAAATATAGATAGCTTATTAAGTAATAGATAAAGCTTGGATTTAATTATATTAATAAAATTAATTTTCTTATTATATTTCTAGAGGCTTATATAATAATATATAAAGCTAAGATTATTTAGAAGGGTTTTATAGCTATTAGATTAATATTATATAATTTAGATTAAGTCTATTAACAATTTACTATTTAGCTTAAGACTTTTATATCTTCTCTAAGTTAATTAAGTAATACTTAATTATTCTGCTTATAAATATCTTAAAATCTATATTAATTTAAATATTAATTAAATATAATAAAAAGGTATATAAGCTAGTATATAGAAAGCCTATTAAGTTTAATTAATGAAGTAATTAATTGGATGTTTAAGATATATAAAATAATTATAAATAGCTTTATACTTTTAAGGAAAGAAGTTCATAATTTATAGGCTATATATAAGAAGAAGAAGTAAAAATGTAAATAATCTAGAAAGTAGATAGAATATAAGTAAGGAATTATTAGAAAGGAAGTTTAGATATTTATATAAAATTAGATTAAGATATCTTAAAATATTACTACTACTCTAGCTAAGTCTAAGCTGCTAGTCTTATAAACAATCATATGCCGCTAATTTAAGTGTAGTAAGTGTAGTATTCTTGGGTATAGAAGGCCTTAATACCTTTATTGTACTAGTAATTAGTTTTTTTATATATAATTATTATTTTGGGTTGAAAATTGTGATTAGAAATTCATATAGAACGCGTTTCCGGGCGGAGGTGGCCGGGTCGCTTACATGGCCGGGTGGCTTACCGGTTACGTTAACGTTTTCACAACCCCGTTATGCATATAAACACACAGAAGATTGTAATGTTCCACAGACCGCGAATACATAACTACCTAAAGTGGTGTACAGCATGTCAATCAATCCGCCATCCTCCATCAAAGTGTCTCAGCACTTCATCCCCCCATGGCACGCAGCCCCCAACACATCCATTCAAGACAAGCCTCTGCTCATCTACCGCGCCGTCTTCAAGAGGGACGTCTGCTCTGCATCCCATGTCTCTGCTCTCCTGAAACGCATGGACGTTGTCGTGCCCCAGTGGCAGTATACAATGTACACACAAAGCCACTTCCATTCAACGACCCACGAGGTCCTGAGTGTCGTCTCGGGACGCGCACGTCTCTGCTTCGGCGGGGAGGAGAATCCACATCGTGTCGAGCCTGTGGTTGAAGCGGGGGATGTGATCATCGTGCCGGCGGGCGTGGCACATCGCTTATTGGAGGATCAAAGCGGTGCTACTAGTAGTACTGCTGGGTTTTCCATGGTTGGTTCGTATCCCAAGGGTAAGGAGAGGGACATGTGCTATGGCGCGGGGAGTGAGGACGAGGAAGAGGTTAGAGAGCGGATTTCGCAGCTAGGGTGGTTTGATCAGGATCCCATATATGGATATGATGGGCCGGTGATTCATGTGTTAACGCAATCGTTCCCGTATAACAAAAGAGCAATGCATCCATTGTATATTACCAAAGTAATTGCAGGATGTAGACAGATTAGAAGATGAAACCAAAACCAATTAGATGCTGATTCATGTAGCCGTATGTCATCCCCTCAACGCCACGCTAAATCAAAGCAGAAAGAAATCTTCAAAACCGACGATGCAAATAGTAGTTTTCCTTCACTTCGCAACCCTTTCTACCAACCGGAACACACTGACAACAAAAGTCAGCAGCCACGCAATCAATGCCACAAGGAGGACTGAGGCAAGTGCCTTTTGTCGAACACACAATACATCACTCCTCTCATCCGGTTCGTCGTTGATGACAGCATTCGTGCAAGAGCCTGTTACATCACTCAAAGACTCAAAGGCAAGACTTAAATTGGCCGAATCAAAGACGATGAAAAATAAATCCAGCAAAATCAGCCTCACTTTCGCTTTCGGGGAGCGAAGACCCAACGGCTTGCTAGCATACTCATCATAGGTGATGTACACCAAATAAACCAAGGCCACCGCATCAACAATGATAGCCATGTCCGGCGACGGACCCTGATTTCGATGAAGCTTACCCGACAAGTAGTGGAGTGACCCACCAAGTGCAAGGGCACACACAGAGAATATCCAGACTGTGAGCCGCAGGATCAGCGGTACGATCGGACTGCGTAACAACTGCCTTTGCAGACGCTCAATGAAGCTTCGACGCCGTGGAGTCCAGCCAAGTTCTGCATCCGAAACATCGTTGCTAGCATTCCAGGGTTGAGAATAGTCACCCAGATTATCATTTAGCCAATCGAACGAAACTTGTTTCTCTTCTATGCCGGCTTCGGTACGAGCGTAGGCAGCTGACTGAGTGAAAAGTTTCCAGCGCGATTGGCGTGTCTCTGTGGCCGTCGAAACTAGTCCATCTGATTCGAGTTTGAGGATTTTGTTGCGGTCCTGTTTCGATGTCTCGTGCGGGGAGTGGTTGTGCTGTGCTATCAATGCGTCGTTTATCTCGGCTGGTAAAAGTCTTGTTGAGGCATCAGGCTCGTCTTCGGGAACGACGAGGGATCTCACCCAACCTAAATGTAGGATATATGCATCAGTATTATGTCGCTATTTCAATGTCAATGGGATATTTTCTCCAGCGTACCAGGTAGAGTCCGGACGGGGTACGACCAAGTCTGCGATGCAGATCCATTTGTCCCCGATGTTAGCGGACGAGAAGACTGTGTATGACTCGTTTCGGGGACATCGATATAAGACGCTGATGGGGCGTGAGCATCAGCTTCCAGCGAGACGCCTATAGAGGAGTTATTGGCAATTGGCGGGACAAAGTAAGAGTCTCGCGCAACCTGGGCCATTGCATGCAACGAAAAGCGAAAGGCACGCTGAGCGGGCCACCGCGGGGGTAACGAATGGAGCTATTCCTGGCCCAAAAGCAAAAAATCAAAACGAACGCTCCTCTGGAATAGCAAGATGTGGATTGTGAATTCACAATCGGTTGGGGAAAGTCGTAAGACGCATGTAAATATTCCACCCGGAAGTGCCGCGGAATGACGACGCCTGCAACTTAAGGCTGCATTAAGCTAAGGCATTTTTGGTTGGTGCCTGAGGGTGAGCCCGCCGGGAGCTGAGCCAGTGGTATGACGTCTTGAACACATGTGCCAACCAAGTTGATCTTCATCTTTTATCAACGAGAAGAGATTATCCAATTGCCTTCTCTTTCTCATAAATGAAATATGCAGTTCCTTCATTGATTTTCTTGTTGCCATAGGCCCGAGGTCGAGAGAGTCGACCACCGCTGCATAACAATGCGCTTCTTCCTCGTCCCCATCTCAACCAGACGAGCCTTTATATACTGCCGCGCACCAAAAACACTCAAAACCGGATACCTCGACCGCGTCACAAACAAGGCTGCCGATACATGGGCCAGCTGGGAGCGCGCCGAGAAGGGCTGGAAGAAGCGCCTTGTCGCGTACGGACAAGTCATCTTGCAACGAATCCCGTATGAGGAATGGGGATTGAAAAGCATCCCGCCGCTGAACGTGAGTCGCGAGATTCAAGAGGCGCAAAAGCAGGAGAAGATTGATGTGATGTTTCCGGGAAACGCGATCAAGGCAGAGAATGTGCTCGGTGTCTTGAGGAAGTTGGGCACTGAGCGGCAGGAATTTCATCGGAATAAGATGTGGTGGTGTTTGGGCCTTTCGCCTCTTACTGCACCTGTTGCGATTATTCCATTGTATGTCTCCATTTATACGTACACATGAACCGTGAAATAAGAGTGTACTGACGAAATTTCTATCCTGCTAGAGTGCCTAATATTCCCTTTTTCTATCTGATATACCGAGCCTGGTCGCATTGGCGAGGTGAGTGTGGCATTTCAAGCGTGTTCTTCACTCGCTGATTCATATCTCAGCTTGGAGCGGCTCCAAACATCTGATCCATCTCCTCGACCTCAACCTGATTAATCTCCACGCATTCCCCGAACTCGAAGCCTTCTACTCTAGCCGATTGCTGAAAGCCAAAGTCCCTACTGATAGTGCTAGTTCTAATAAGGAGGAAATAAATAATGAGAGATCATCCTCGCCAGCAAAAGAAGAAGCAGAACGATTACTCCTGGCGACGGAAGATGGCCAAGAGCTCGGCAAGATCCTACAAACTCCCGGAATAGTGATTGAAGTGGAACGAGCCGTGCTGCAGATTAGGCAGAAATTGAAGGCCGAAGAAGAACTGGCGAAAGAAAAGAAAGATACCTAAAACGGTAGTCACGTCACAGTTGACTTTGAAATTGGATTTTGCATTATATTGAGCCGATTCATGGATCTACCAGAAAAAATTATGGCTTTCGGGATGGCACGCATTTGATCAAGGTTATAGATCCTTCAGTGTATTTTAGATATATAATAAGTGAATAGAAATTGACCTAGATAGGTAGTATATTGCTATTGTTAATCGGACAATATTATGACGTCTATATGAGAATATGTATTCAATCTATCTGTGCACAGGGGAGTTTCACACTGACGAGCCACGGTATTTGGCCAATTCCAGTCTCCCCCTGAAGCGCAGCATTCACAAACAACATCTGCTCTTGTCGATTCAGGCCAGGGGCATCAGCAGAAAAGTAAACCAAATCACCTGTCCGCCGATCTTGTCGCGCCCTCTCCAGTAGGTCAATATTACCCAAGACCGTAGACCTCGAATTATCAATATGAGTTCAATGACAAGGCGCCATAGTTCCGTTCTCCGTCTTCCTCCGACTCACCAATTTCGCTCCCCAACCTTCATGAATATGCCCGAAACAGTGCAGTTTCGGCTGAACACGAGCAACAGCACGAAACAGATCCGGACAGCCGGCTCTACTGCTCGAGTTCGCGCTGTAATCGAGAATGCCCCGCGGGGGTCCATGGGTGATCACCACATCGACATTGTCCGGTATATCAAACGTGTGACCTTGATTGAGGTGATATTGGAAGCCCCAGTCGCCGCTCAACGAGGGAGTGAAGGGGCTTGCATAGACACGCAACAAAGCGCCGTTTCGGAGCTGAAATTCATATGTCCCTTCTTCGTCTAAAAGAAATATATTGTCATCGGCATCACCATTGCCTGCCTGTGAATTTCTAGAAAAGTGAAGAACCCCTTAACTTCCCCATAGTTTCCATACCTTCTGCGAACTAGTTCCGGTTCCAAAACCGGTCTGGCGTTAGCAACTATATTTTTAAACGCGGGGATATCCAATGTAAAGTCATGGTTGCCGGCAATTACAAGTTTGAGATCTGTTTGAGGAAGATCTTCTCGGATGTAGCGCAGCATATTTTGAAACTCTTCGATTTTGGATTCGTTGGTGAGGTCGCCGCAATGAATGGCTACGTCGATGTGTTCGGTGATGGAGTTTGAGAGTGGTGGTTGGCCGTGTGTTTCTGATATGAGGAGGATTTTGGTGTTGATTGGTTCTGGAATGGTCTGTTGATTTGTTGATGGATTAGTGACGATTAAGTATACTGCGGACTTTAGTAAAAGAGTTCTCTGAGACAATAAACATGATATTTCATTATTGGCAAGGCAGACGTCGACTGATACCTGCTGTTTGGTCACATGACGCAGTAGCAAACCCTAATAGCTGAAGTCTGGAACCACGATGTTCACAGCAGGCCCTTCTATCTCTCATTTCCTACCTTCTACTTGGACTTTGGAATCAATTTAGTTCGGAATATTCACGATGCTGGGTCAAGACAATGTCGAACCCTACAGATTGAATTGCATATACTCGAAAGAGTCTAGAAAGTATGTATGTATAAAGGACAACGAAAATAAAGTCTATCGACAGAAACAATATTCATCGAGGACAGGGACAAAAACGGGGTATAAGGTATCAAAATGTAGCGTATCCCTGACTCTTATCCTTCTTATTATACGCCAAAGTTTCCTCTTCCGGAATACTTCTGGCTTCCTCATCATTAACCACTTCCTGCCCATACGCCACGGTGAGATGATCAACATCCACATCGATTTCATTCCACGTCGGGCTCGTCGCGGGAATAGGGAATAGGCGACAAAGCAGATAGTACACCACAGCAGATACCACGAAACCAGCGATATAATCCACATTGTAGATGTACTGCGCCCCAATGGGCACGGTGGCACCACAGGCGCCCGCAAAACCGACAATATTAATCAAAATACCAGAAATATATGCTGCGAACGCACGCCATGAAAACCCGTATGTAAAATAGTACGGCGAGCGCTTGCGGGCGCTGTACAGTTCGCGAACTTCCAGATACCCCTTGCGCACAAAGTAGTAATCGGTGATGATGACGGCAGCAATAGATGAGAGGAACACAGCGTACGCTGAGAGGTAGGTGGTGAAGTTATTGGACGAATCGGCCAGTTTCCACGGACACATGGCCAAACCAACAGCTGCACAGATGTAGCCTCCGCGGCGAATGTTGATGAATCGAGGTAGGAGAGCGGTCATATCAGTACCTGCTGAGACCGAGTTGGCGGCGATATTGGTGCCTAGTTGGGCGAGCGTAAAACCTAGAGCAATAACGAAAACGCCAAAACGTTCACCGGAGCTCGCGCCTTCGAGGAATCGGCCTAGCAGTTCAAGCGGGCTCCAGATGGTTTCACCGTAGAGGACGGTGGAGGACGACGAAGCAATGATTCCGATGAAGGAGGTGATTGCGAACGCAATGGGGATGGAGATTAGCTGGGACCACAGGGCGCTGTCTCTGGTCTTTGCGAAACGGGAGAAATCCGGGTCATTGACTATGAGGGTTGCAAAGTTGGCGATTGAGGACATGATGCCCTTGATCACGGCCCAGGCGAGGTCGCTGCCATGAAGAGTGGTGGGCTGGTTCATGATGGGGCCGATTCCGTGAGCACGGTGGATGGCCCAGGCGAAAAAGGCAATCATGGCGATGGGGGTATATACTGCCTTGACGGTGAACAGGTGGCGGATCTGATGGACTGGGAACCAGATTGCTGGCAGACTGCAGAGCCAGAAGAGGAAAAAGCTGACGAAGGCTTGGGTCGTGGTTCCGGAGGCGACGATGGTGTTGGGGATGTTGGCATAGCTGGGCCAGATGGCCTCGATCATGACGGTGACGCATTCACCTGTAAAATTTAGTATTTATTTCATAGAACTGAAGAAAGTAGGACAAGGAAATACCTCCAATCCAACCCTGAACCCCATACCAGACGCACTAGATGTGCATTAGCACCGGATTTCTTCCCCTGCAGCCATATAAATACTTACTGCCATAGCAGCTCGATTGAAAACGGGCCATAACGAGCCCCAAATCCCAAACGATGCTCTCGACACCACAGGAAATGAGATGTGGTACTGAGCGCCAATGCGACCGGTAGCACAGATCAAGACGGCCGAAATAAAATATCCCACCCAGACACAGATCCACGCTTGCCACCAGGACAGGGCGATTTGGTTGGGGTTTGAGGACGAGACGATGAACGAGGAGGCAATCATCCATGTGTTCTGCGAGAATTAGCTTTTTCTCTAGAGGGAAGTACGGAGGTATTGGGTGAGAGAACGTACGATATTGGCGGCATCGGCAATCCAGAAAGCGACAAAATTCCACCACCCCCATCTTCGGCGGCCGGGATCGACTAGAGATTATGTTTCAGTAAATCGTCCTTCTCGCAGGAGAAACCTCGGAATGCACTCACCAGGCTGCAAGTCGTGGTTGGTCAGCATGAGCTGGGCATTGGTGAGGCCCGGCTCGCTGGACACGGCCAGCTTGTCGATATAGTGCCGGACCGCCATGTTCTGTATGGTGTATATATAGATGTTTATGTTTGTATATCAAGGAGATGCAAAACAGAACAAGAAACAAGCCGAGTCAAAGATCAATGAGAAAGAAAGCTGGCTTGCAATACAAACTATACGCCGGCAGACGGAGTGTATGACTTCGCACAGAATCAGCGATCCATTGGCATCAAGCTTGGAACCAGTATGGCAGGATGGATCCGGTATGGGAAAGAAGGACAGACACGCAGACTTAAATAGTGAAAACTTCCACTCGGACCCCTAAAGGGCAACAATCGAAGGATCGTCTACTGCACACTAGACCCCGATCGATAAGAGAGACAGCCAATGACTGCGCTAGCTTTAGCTAATCAAGAAATCCGGGGCCGCTGCTTATCATGACGTTGATCATCGTTCCACATGCTATTTACAGAATTTGCTGCTTTTTTGCATGTGCGTCGATTGACTTTGCAACTTTGCAGTCTGTAGGAGGATACACGCGTGCTATGCTCTGTATACCCTCGCTATATCCAGCACTGTAAAAGAGACGTCGACGTAATGCCAAACAGCGACCGCAAGCGGCGGCCGAAAGAGGAAAGCAGACCCCAAGATAAGAATTGCAGCGCTAAAAGCCGCGCGCTGATAGGCGCTGATAGCTGACTCGATCTGATCGAGTAATTATTTGTTACCGTATTTTGTGTGGAAATTTTCACTATAAATTCAGCTTTCTAGTGTATTAGCGTATTAACTGTATTTATTCGATTATTGACATTCATTATCACACTAGTCCTGTTCGAGTACTACCGGCTGTTCCACTTCCCAAACCGCACGTAGTCCTCATGCAGCGTCTTGAAAATCGCCCTCGCCGACACATCCAGGCTGGCATTCAGCGCCCGCTTGCTCTCCGTCGGCATCGCATCCAGCACTGCATACAGGCCCGGCGCCAGCGCGTTTTTTATTTCTGGCTTGAGCGGCACCTGCAGCATGTTGTGCGCGTAGCTCTGGATGAGGATGCGCGCATGCTGCCCGGAGATCACCTTGGCCTTTTTGGTCTGGTCGATGAGGCCGTCGTGTCCGTGTCCAGGACGACCCGGTCGCGACACGGCGGACAGCGTTGGGTCGCAGAGGGATGTTAGCAGTCGCGTGAATAGCACGGCATTGCTCACGCTGCTACTGCTACGACCATTGCCACGGGGCCTCTTGCTGCTGTGATTCTGACTAGCAGTAGGAGCGAAAAACAACGCCTTGAGAAGACACTGCAAGGCCGGAATGAGGATGTGGAATCGACCACCAAGTTGCTGTCGATAAAGCCCTATTACCGTACCGAGCAGGCGACACAGACGCGTGCTTGCGAATTCAGGTGATAAGGAAGCCTCCCTCTCTTCTGTCGCCAAGAAGAATCTAGACATCGTGATCGACACTGCGGCAAGGAAATTGTCAATATTGAATTGGCTCACTCCTCGAGGATGCAAGCGGAGTATTATATCTAAACACTCCGCCGCGAGAGAGAAGTGCTCGATTTCTCTGCTACTTTGCAACACTTGAGTAACCGCTGTGCACAGAGAAGAGACTTCTCGCGCCTCCGTGCTGTCTTTCTCCGTTATTTCATCCACCACTGACACCGCTAGTCCAACCAGAAGCAACCGGCTTGCTCCGGATGGTCCCTCGAAGCCCTCGTTTTTCAGTGAATGAATCGTTCCAATTCGCTCTGTGTTGCTCATGTTTTTTACTTTTGCCGTTGCTGAGCGTGCAAAGTACTGCTGTTCGGACGCTTGCATCCGCTGTAAGTCAACACCTTCAAGTAACCTTGAATCGTTGAATCCTACGCCTTGTTCGTCACTGGCAGCTGATCGAGTGATTATCCGACGCCGAGTAATCTTTTGAACCCAAAGGCTCGCGTCTGAAGAGGCGTCCTCTCCAATCAAAGCCAAACGCTGATCATCCGCTGGCGCAAGGTCGTCAAACACCCCTAGAACCTGGAGTGTCGTAGCTAACGAAATGGTCACTTTGGTATGATCGGGCCCATGCTGCTGCAAGAGCGCATTGCATCTATCAAGACTGTGCAGTAATAATTTAAAAATTTTATCTCTCTGACGCCTGACATCTTTTGCCGACACTTTCGTATCGTCCAACTCTTCGCGATGCTCCCACACAAACCGTAAACAAGCCCCCACAAAAACGGGTGTAAGAGAGGAAGCAGAAGAAGCATTGCCCGATCCCAACTCGGTCGTTGCTGTCGAGATTCGACCAGTAGCAAGCTTATAAATTCGTCTCAAGAGCTTCTGTATGTTGCCTGCGGGTCTGCAAGCGTTGTATTCGCTTTCGAACACTGTGTTAACCAACGACCGGAAGGATTCGATTGTGCGCATGTCTGCGACTGATCCTTGCAATGGTATGTTGGAGGTGATCCATTTGAACATGAGCTCTGACTCAACATGTTGCCAATCTTCCTGACACCACCCGTTTATCAGTGATATCGCGTGAATGACGCCTTCTGCAGGGCAGCCGTCTTCCACCATAATCGCCTTCATCATGTCCTTGAACCCGGGCACGTCGCTGAGACGAACAGGGATGCAGGGTAAGTATTGAAGGAGGAAACGGCGTCGCTCGCTGTCCACGAGTAGCCCACAAATAGCCTGCGCTATCCCCGAAGCCAATGCTGGGTTTTCGACGAGATAATCGTAAGATGTAAAAACGGACCATAAGTTCTCAAATGAAACAGACGTAGTGGCAGTAATAGTTGCACTCTCTGAATGAAGCTCTATCGGTTGAGCAAGAACTGACAGATAACTTACATACTGCTTCACATTCTCAGAAGTGAGTGTAGCCCACAGATGCGGGAACTCTAGCACACACTGCACGTAGGCAATGCCCAGCTGAGAAAGTGTATCAAGATCTTGGACCCGGCCATTCCAGTTTGAAAGTTTCTCCTCCGAGAGAGAATCTAATAACGAACAGATGCTTTGCAGGAAGCTGGAGAGTGTGGATTGCAACTGAGAAGTAGCGTCATGATGTAAATCTTTAGTTGTTTGTAATAAGAACCGACAAGCTTCGAACGCTTCACGCCAGGTGTTCGAGTTCACTTTTATCCCACGTCTTGAAATTATGTTATCCATTCTCAATACTTGCAGCGCCGTTTGTTCGAATTTCTTTGCAAGATCATTGGGCGTGTTAAGAGGTGTCTTCAGGCTAATTGGGATAAGATTTCTCGTGAGTCTCCATAGACGCCAAGACCAGTGCATTTTTTCAGCACGATTGGAGATTGATTTGTTGGTTGCTTCCACAAGACTTGTGACCAAGTCGATGCGTAGCCCTGGAAGCCCGTTATGCCCCCAAGCACGAGAACCGGCTTCCAAAATGATGAAGTGGGCGTAAGACTCTGGGGAAGGTGAAATAAGACCCGGACCAGTTATTATTGTAGGTATGGCCATTTCGATCTGTGCTTTCAAGTGGCTATCGCTCAACGTGGTTTTGATTGCTTCGCGGTATGCGGTGGCTAGATCATCGTCTTCCCACACTGAGTACGCGCCTAGAAGGAATATTGAGGACCCAGATTTGCGGACAGCTTCGATCTGCCTCAATTGTTCATGCCACAACCCAACAAAAGTTGAGAGATCTCGCGCGGCAGCAAAAGCCCGAAGTAAAGGCACGACTACTTTCTCCTTGACGGTTTGAAATGTTTCCTTATCTGCGCTGTCACTCCGAATATGCTGAAGTGACTGGAAAAGGGCCTCCAAGAGACGGCCGGAATCTTTGAATCCCGAATTAGGTAGGAAAATATCGACTCCGAGGTCAATTAGTAGTGTTGTCAAACTCCATCGCACTTCTTCTGGCTTTTCTTTCCCTTTCAGCAGTCCCGTGTAGGCAGCATGAGTCAGAAATGTGTGAAGAGATAGATAGATTTTCCGAGCACGCACAACAATAAACAGCTGTTCTAGTAAGGGTATGAATCCAGAGGCATTGTCGCTCAATTGCCGAGTGCTTGAGTAAGCCAGCTCCGCGAGTGCCACGAAGACTGTCTCAAGCCACGATGCTTCTGTATTCTGACGACGAAATGAATCTCTCGGCACCGATCTGGCAACAATATTGTAAAAAGTCGGAATGAGTTCAGCCGCCTGCCAAGTTGCCGCGAAGACACAGGAGTCTTCTTTGCCAACATGCATTCCATTGCAACTAATATCCACTCCTGACTGGTCTTCAAAGAGTGGCCTGAAACTGGAAGTAACGGGCTGCACGGCGCTCCAGTCAGGGTCCTCAACTTTTGAGTAATCTATTCCAGATCCGCCGGAATCCATAAATGTGCTTCGTGCTGGGAGGACGACATGGAGAGCAATAAGCTTTTCAATAGAATTCGTAATGAAACTAACATCATCACTGACGATTCCGGTGCAAAGCACAATGTGGTAGAGCCTCAGCGCTTCAAGAAAGCAGGATTCGGCGAATGCAGTCTAAAAAATTCAGTTCTACATACTGCTGTGTCATAAAGGGTGTGTAACTCACGTTGATAGAATTCTTCTCAACACCATTGATACCAGATTTTTTGAGATCCCAGAGACCGAAACAAGCCGTAGTAGTCTTCAACAGCTGTAGTAACTGGTCACTTCGTTTTTCTTGTGTAAACCTGACTATTAACCCTGCAGATAGCCTTAGCAACCTGCCAAGTATCTGCGCAACAAATGCAGGATCCAGCCGTAGTGATTGTTGAAGATGAAAATGCGATACGTTCCCACGGTTGTCTTGATCATCTACCAAGCTCATGAGGGAATAGAGAGCGTCCAAAAATCGAACATAAGCAGTAACGGCGGAGTCGGTCTCTCCCACATCATACATTTCTACGTCTTCACCACCACCAACATCTTCATTTCCCCTCTTGCGTTTCTTTGATTTTTTTGACTGAACCGGAGATCCGTCGACAGTTTCCCTCGTCTCAGACCCAGACAGGATTCGACCCGTGCCATCTCGAAGCGATTTGAAAACAGCATTATCCAGATCGTCCACAATATCCTTCAATAAATGCGCGAATTTGTATTCCACAAATGTAGTCGCGATTGCTCGTCTCGAAATGCGCTGTAGGAGCTTTTGTAATAGAATAAAGGAACGAGGTTGTATCCTATATGTGTCGATCTTGAATCTTTTGAGCAGCCATCGGAGCACCCATTCTTCTTTGGGAGCCGGCCGGTTTATCACTTCACGGGAGTCGCAGTCGGGCAATAGCAGAGCATTATCGGATAAATCTAGCTTGAGAATTTGTGCTGCCGCGGCGAGTTGAAAATCGGTATTTTCTGTGCTTTTCTCTAATTTCAACAGCGCTTCTTGCGACGGGCCAACAGCCTACAATATTTTTTTTGGTCTGATTAGTCTTGGACCCTGTAAATTACCCATGCAATAACAGATGCACAAACAAACAGGGGAAAATTAACACATACTCTGATAGGAGCCATGGCAGCGAAGAAGCAAGGCTGCTGCTGATGGAGCAATGAAAGTTGATCATCAAAATAAATTTATTCGTTTGATGTTCAAGTTTATCGATAGTAATATCAGAAAAAATGCGCCTTTCCGTATCAGGACTAGTGCAGCATATCCAGCCAATCCTGGCAACGAAAATGACGACAGTGCTAGCCTTAGCCTTTAGGCAGGAACTAAGCCGAGCCTAGTTTTTCCGAAGGAGCTCTCTGCCCTTACGACCGACCTTGGCCGCCGTAAACGTTGTTTGCACTTCAACATCTATCGACTTTCCGCTCCGCACATATTCCCCTCATATGTCAGTTATAGCTCCCGTGGCGCTCAAAGCTGTCTTGGATTATAATTGTCTGACATATCTCATAGATCCCCCGTCGCAATGGCCGAGTCTAGCGAGTCCAAGCCGACAATCCCGGTTGCGCGCTCAACCAAGCCCGTGAGCGAGGCTCTTCTCAATGAGAAGGTAAGTTCAAGTCGATTCGTAGCTGGAATACGAAATAATACGTTATTTCTATGCCTGTGCTGGGGCGTTCCCAATTTCTTTATTGTCAGACACAACTAACTCCATTACTTGATCAGTGGGACCGTGCCATCTCGTCCGTGATTGTTCGCTCTTCAATCGGCCTTGGATTCGGTGTTGTTCTTTCAGTTCTCCTCTTCAAGCGAAGGGCTTGGCCTGCCTGGGTTGGTCTTGGTTTTGGCGCTGGTCGCGCTTATGAAGAAGCCGATTGTGAGTGATCCAAGTAAACAAAGGAGAGGATAGTGAAAATGACAATATACTGATTGATTCTTCTTAACGAGATATAGCCGGCTTCCGACGAGGCGATAGTCCAGTTACAAATGCTGTGCGTCAGTCCAGGTCATGAGATACCCGGTGGGAAAAAGTGTCCTTGATATGTGGAGAATTAGTCCTACAGGATATCGGAGGGAATGGATCTTAAAATCCTGATATTTTCTGTCCAAGAGAAGTCATACGTTATACAGCAATAGATATTGGACAACTCTTCTTTTTTCTCGATCCATGTACACTATATGTACAGGAGAACATGGGCAAGTGACCAAGAAGGTCGATGAAGCAGGCCATTTTATGTTTTATTCTTCGTTCACAACACAAGCTCGATCTTTGATGAAGTATGCTTTCTTTCCTTTGTCAATGCATATCTATTTTCGTGGTTTTATCAGCTGTGTGGATGGAAACATTATACCGCAAGAGCGTAGAATTATTGGGAGGGGTGAATCTTTTGATTGTCTAAAATAAAGTCCTCCCGATAGCTAACTTGAGAAATGTATGACTGGCAGTTGCTAGATTTTGGTAGAACATCCCATCCTTTAGAAAAGAATCAAGAAAGTCCAAGAGAATAGAATGAATAGAGTGTCGAGGGTATACATGGTCATGGTCGTCGTCATTATCATCATCAAATCATACAATTTTTAAACAGCGGGGTCTAAACGAGAGGTGCTTCAACAACTGGTGGGCTCAGAGCCGAGGGAGAATATTGATCCATCGAACGGGGTATGTCTGTGGTCGGTTGAAAATATTCCCGAAAATCCTGCGATGCAACCCCATTACTCGCTGGAAACACACGTTGGCTTTCTGTGGGTATTGAATCTAGAGTGATTCCGTCATGGCCACTGTGTGTGATGCATCCCACGCAACTGCAGTCAATACCGCACTGACAAGTCCCTGTTGTGTCTGAACATACGTTAAATCCAACAGGGTACTCTAAAGTATAATATTCGGACGGCTGCATGAACTGATCTGATGCGAAATTAGGCGAGCCCAGCGTGTTGTCGAGACTTGGAAGCAAAGAAGTATCGTCCGTAAGAGATTGACCCGTATTTGGCGACAGTGGAAAGTTTTGGGTAGAGGCTTCCAAGGCTAGCGGACTCTTAGCCCCAGTGAAAGGGCTCGAGGTAGCAGATTTATCGTCATCCTGCTTCACGGCCATCATGTAGCCCATTTCTTGCACATGCTGTCGTGTTGTTTCATTGAAAGGATGACTAGCACATCCCAAGCATTGACAACCATCCCCACACGAACAATCGTGATTGTTTTCGTTGACGAACGGAAACGACATGTCGAAAGAATATGTAGATGATGAATTGGAGATGAACTGATCCATGGAGGAAGTACCAATGTTACCTTGATAACCCAAATTCATAGTTTGAAAAGCTCGAGGGAGCATGGGCTGACTCGACTGTGGTTCGTTTTTATAAGGTGATAATGCCTTTTGGTTTATAGCAGTATATGTATTGTTTCCAAAGGCGTAGTTGCTATTTGTCAAATGATCGCTCCATGGAAGTGGATTAGGGCTATTAAGTGCTGTCCATGTTGGGTTGAAAGCAGTTCCTGGTACTGTTGCATTTTGGCTGTTTACGTCTTTGGAAGCGGGAGGACCTCCGCAACAAGAACGTTGTTGCGGCGCTGGAGGAGTAACCGACTCCGACTCCCCATTACAACAGGCTCCGAGGATTGTCTCCGGGGCCGGTTTTCTCCTTAATCCTTGAGCCCGATCATGTAACATTGCTGGATCCGCGCGTCCCGGGATTGAGTTGTAGTTTGGTTCAGTTGGTTGTCTTGGTAAGCGAATGTCTTTATTGAAATCCGTTCGCATGAGTTCCAAATCCAATGCTTTGATAACATTATCCGAAGGAGATTGAAAATTGCTCGGCTTTCGCGATTGTTTTTGAATTCTCCCCACAGAAGCGGGCGTCGATGCTATTGACGATGTCGCAGAATTGCCGGGAAGCGAAGAAGCCTCTGTCGAACTGGCTGGAACCTGATATAACGGTCTACACAAGCAAGTTGATCCTAGCATGAAGATCTGGTAAGCTTGAATCATTGAAATAATCTCCACGTATCACCATCGATCGCAGCGCCTACCTTTTGGAATTCGCACCATGAACGCATATACTCGCTCACAGCTGCATGATCCTTTGGGGTGTGGGCATTTTGCTAGGGGGCGTCCAGCTTTAGGGACTTTCATCATGAGACGGTCGAAATGCTGACATTTTGACGAACGGTGCCCACGGATACATGGCTCACTAATCATCCATCAAAGGTATTAGAACGCCATGCATGCATTTCCGCAGAGATGCTGTAACCTACCATGACCACTTGGCTCCTTCTTCATCGAGAGGCATAATCGTTATGATATGCTTACTGATCCATGCAAGATAGGCCTCAAGTATGGTATTGTGAAGTATTGCCTTCTGCCCAATTCCATAAGATAACTAAGTTCTCCGGATAAAGGTCATCACCCCGTACCGATTGGGCCCGAACACATCGACTAACGCACGATCACCCCCGCACCACGGCTGTAAAGCTGCTCGGCTGGGCAATGAGTAAGTAAAGCAGTTGACAAGTTGTTTGAAAGAAGCTTGACAAGCAAGCCGGTGCGATTTTGTCGTGTTCCCGGAGGCAATGCAGAGTCAAAGCTGAATAGACACAATCCAGCGAAATCTTATCGGATTCAGCGGTCCCCGAAGGCGGAAGGTGCAGGCTTTTGGAATGCCAAGAGAACGTGACCGGGCCCGAGGGGTCGAGGCTAGCTGACCAATAGGAACAGGAAACGCTCCCGAGACGCTTAGTGGCCAATGAATGAAGGCGGTCAGAGCTGCGTCCCCATTGATCGCTGTCTAAATAAAGATAATTTAATGCGGCCAGTCTTCAAACAAGCAACAAACTCGTCTACCTCCGCTACAGAGCCTTAGTGCAATTATTCGCTCCTTGTCCTGCTTTTACTACGCACAAAAAGGCGACTCTTTTACCCATGCCCTCGGATACTCACGAAAGCGCTCCTACGCCGGTCGGATATGAGCAAGGACCGGAGCCCTCCCGACCAGCATCTCCCAGCGCGCCGTCAACACAGAAGCTCTTCGGCGTGCCTGCGCCGGTGAAACGGGTCTTCGATCGCTTTCCTCTAGTGTCATATCCAGCAGAAGAAGTTCCCGGCAGTGTACATAAAAGCGGAACCTCTGAGCGGAATAGGTTGTTTGTTTTTATTGATCCTGAGCAAGCAACGAAAGGGGCGCCATCATTCAATCCGCAATGTCTCAGATGGCAGGTGAGTAGTTTGTGCTAGGAGATATATAGAAATTTTATTTCTAATACTTTGAGTATTATTCAACAGGCCTATCTAAAGTTTGTCGGCATAGACTTTGATCTTGTCCCCTCGAACAACCATGCTTCTCCTACAGGCGCCCTGCCTTTCCTTTACCCAGCCCTACCCGCTGGGACAATCAGTCCGATCCCTTCCAATAAATTACAAAAATGGGCCATTGAGCAAGTTCACTGCGAAGAAGAGCAGCAGCTCAATATCAGATTCGATGTATATGCGTCGTTATTGGATCATCGAATACGCAATGCTTGGGTGAGTATAACTTTCTTGCTTCGTAAGCCTCAATAACTAACCATAGGTTGATATAGCTACACCAACTATACTTGAACGAACGCAACTTTAATGAAGTGGCTAGGAAACGATACGTTGATGCTGCCACCTCCTCATCTGTCGTGCAGGCAGCGCTCGCTGTCCAACTACAACAAGCAGCTCGGGACGAACTCCTCAAGTACTCAGAATACATCAACGTTAATGATCTTGAGGCCGATGCAGATAACGCATTCGAAGCTCTTTCTACTCTGCTAGGAACGGAGGAATACTTTTTTAACCGGAGTCGGCCTGGATTGTTCGATGCCAACGTCTTTGCATATACGTATCTCATATTGGATGACACCCTGGGATGGAAATACAACCGACTGGCCCATCTATTGTCGAAATACGAGAACCTTGTGCGACATCGACAACTGCTCTTTGGAAAGTATTTTGCGTGATCATTTAGGGGACCCGCATAGGGCCTTTTTTTTTCTTTGGGTATCATCATTTAACCCGCGTTGAACTTTTGGATATACTATAATAGACATGTATGATATATGAACACTATTGATAAACTACAGATAAAAAGTCGCCTTCCAACAAGAACCATACCCAGGAGCTCCTTTTTTTCACCGCCCTTCTTCTCAGATCTTTCTCAGACAAACTCCCAACCAAACAGTAACACCAACATACTTCAGTGACCTTTTCCCAAGCTTCTCGACCATGTCTTGCGTCACTGTTCTCTCAATTACACCCTCGACATCGCCCTTGCTGCCTGTGTTAGTAGTAGACGGTAACGACACAACTTCAAAACCGGCTTTCGCAGCCTCGGCCAACAAATGAGTCACAGAATGAGCATAACTCCTCGAGGGGCGAACTTTGCTGCCTGTGGCGGAGTCAACAAACCCGGCTTGACTAATTTGGCCCATTTCAGCGTGCATGTTTGTAATCAAGAAACATGCACCTGGCCGAAGAATGGCTGCGGCAGATGCAAAATAGATATCTAGTGGAATATGCTCGGCAACGAGAGTAGATATCATTCCATCTGTGTTGTTCACAAGGTCCAGGGTTCCGGCATCCAGAGATGATTGATCGAGAAGGTCGAAGGGGGCGAGCTTCACGTCTACAGCGATTGCGGTGTTTCGCTGGAAATCCTGGACTTTCTGCCGAGCCACATCAAGCATACCATTCGAGGCATCAAGCCCAATAATCTGAGCATCTACTGCCCCCAGTCCATCTTCAGATACTATTGTGGATGATTCTGATGTAATGGTAGCTACAAGTTGCAAAGTATTCCGGCCCGTGCCACAACCCATATCGACCAGCTTACATGGCCGACGACTTGGCTGTTGTCTTCGCAAGTACTCCTTTTTCACTTGGGTCCAGAAATCAGGAAGTAGAGAACGCATTTCGATAGTGTCGAGAGCTTGGAGGAAGTTGCCATCCGTGTCGTAAACCTGTAAGAAACATTAGCATCAAGTCCTTTATCATTTGTAGGTGATTTTCTTCCAGCTTACATTGGCCCATTGGTCATAGGCTTGTGTGGTGTCGATATAAGCCACATCGCGCGGGGTTGACTGCATCGTCGGTGGTTGCGCCATTTGTGATTAGTGAATATTGTGTGTTCCAGTTCGGCGGTTCAATCGCGATATATGAGGGCGTGTATGTATATATATATACCTAGGCAATCCCCATCACCTGGGTAAGAATGGTGGAGTGAGTCACACCCACGCAACCACATTGTGTAAGTAAAGAGTTAGAGCTGGAGTCGACTGTCCCCGTTAATTCAGGCGCCAACCTAATTATTTATCAAGAGAAAAGAATTGAATGCTTTAACTAACCCGATTCAGAGCCCGCTGTGGGAATTTTGAAGGAAGGAAAATTAAAAAAAAAAAAAAAAAAAGCTTACCAAAATGGATGCAAATGATGTCATGCATGGCCTCTGCTCGTGGCTGCCTATTTTGGCAGGCATGCATTCGAGTATTTAAGTAAGCGGCCCGCCAACCAACCGACTCCCTTTCTTCCACTCGCGACGAGGACATCATTGGTAAATTCTGCAACCACTTTTTGTGCTTTTTTTTGTTTTTTTTTTTTTTTTTGTTTTTTCCCTCTTTTTCCCTTCCAGTGTTCTACCTTCTCTCATAAAAGAAATACCCCAGTAAAATGGCATCTGCCCTCCCTCTCACCCTCAAATCAATCAGCTCCACAAAACTCGAAGAACTCTCCAAACAACGTACTCTTTTCAACCAGCGCAAAGCCGAAATCCTGCATGCCGCCAACAATGCAGCTGATGATTCAGATGGTCTTCGCCGCAAGGTCCAAATTCTCCTAGAAGGCGTAACGCGTCTAGCGGGCCGCGCAGAAGATGCCTTTGATCGTGAGGATGATATCGATTTGGACCATGTAACACCAATGGCATCAGCAGCTCGTCTTCCCATCTCGCCGGACCTCTACACAACATCGGATTGGGAAAGGAGCCGAGATATCAATATTCGGCGCTTCCTGTTCCAAAGTAATTATGACAGTTCCGTTTCCGATGATGTTTTGCGCAGATGGATTTCATCCCTTGAAAATGATCTGAAGTTTCTCTCAGTTAAGTATGAACATGCTACTTTTTACAGTAGCATGGTTGCCGAGTGGCTGTCGAATTTTAAAGATGGAAGGGCCAATGTCGTCAAGAGCCATACTGCGGCTGACGACAGCGACGACGAGGCGAAGTCGAATAGATCGTCGTTCGAAGAAATTGGCCGTGCGGAAATGCACCAGCAGCGCCATACCTGGGAGCGTTTGGTATTTTCGCCAGCAGACGTGGATTCTCAGAGTATAGAAACGTACCTTAATAGGCTTTTCAACCGGACGAGACTGTCTCAACAGGCTCTCCGAGAACTTCGAGATAGAATCAAGAGTTTTGGATCTATGATGAAATCCGAGGCCAGGAATTCCTTTGACATTAGTCTTCTAAAAATTATCAGTAAATCACTACTAGCCAGCGACTTGCTATCTTCAGACAAGGTTATGATTCTGAAGGAATTCTTGAGAAACGATGAGGTAGCTCAGGAAGTCGCCGACGTGTTGAACTTGCGTTTCGCTGCTCTGGATCGCTGGGACTGGCCTGCCGAAGGTATTCCCGTAGAGATGCGTCGTCAGTTGAATGGTAAATACCGTGTTTACACGGATGAGGATCTCATTGATACCCTACTTTTTCATTACATTGGTCTGAAGTGGTCAGTTGAATTCCGACAAGTGTTTTTCGAGTTTCTTAGATCCCCTGCATGGAAGCCGAATACGAAGCCTATTTCTAAAGCAGACATTGATCGACGACACTTTTTTGTCGGAAACGTGAGCAAATCATTAACAGTTGATGACCTCCGGAAATCGATGTACCAGGATGATTATTTCATGAGTCAGCTCCCCGCCTCCCTGATTGAAGGCAAAAGAGGGTACGACGATGATGATGACGACGGCGTGAATGAAGGCCCAGACAAGCGCAAGTCACCCATTGAGACTAAGCATTCTCTGCTTCACTTGCTAATAACCGAGTCAATCATTCATAATCGACTTCGGGGGCAATTTACTGTTATACGATCAGACTTCAAATGGTTTGGCCCGTCGCTCCCTCATGGAACTCTATTGGCGGTTTTGCAATTCTTTGGCGTTCCGGATGACTGGCTAGGGATTTTCAAAAAGTACTTAGAATGCCCTTTGAGATTTGCCCAGGATGGACCGGAAGCCTCAGTGCGAATCCGAAGAAGAGGCATTCCCATCAGCCACAGTCTTTCTGATGTTTTCGGGGAAGCGGTCCTTTTCTGCATGGATTACGCTGTTAACCAGCAGGCAGATGGCGCCTTTCTTTACCGACTTCACGATGACTTCTGGTTTTGGGGGGAGGAAAAGACGTGCAGAAAAGCATGGAGGGCAATGACTGATTTCACTGCGGTAACTGGGTTAGAGTTCAACGAAGAAAAGACGGGCACGGCTCGAATTGGAACATTAATAAACCTCCACGATCGGAAACGGCAACGACAGGAGGTCTCTGATTCGTCTTCTAGCGATGAAGAGATGGGAGAAGAAGAAGAGAAAGAAGAGTTCTCCGAGTCTGATGACGACGCAGAAACATACCTCGGCATAAATAACGGGTTTGACCCGTTGCCCCGAGGTGATATTCGATGGGGGTTCTTGAGGCTGGATGCAGGACGAGGGCGCTTTCTCATTGATCAGGAACAGGTAGACGTTCACATAGAGGAATTGCGGCATCAACTATCCGCATGCAAAAGTATTTTCACCTGGGTCCAAGCATGGAACAGCTATTTCTCGCGATTCTTCAGCAACAACTTCGCCAAGCCCTCGATTGCATTCGGTCGAGAACACATTGATATGGCAATCAACACCTTGAGTCGAATTGAACGAGAAGTATTTGCGCATACCACTTCCAAGGCCTCGGGCAATGGCGGTGTGGTGGATCACCTACGTCGAGTAATTGCTGATCGTTTTGACATTCGTGATTTGCCCGATGGCTTCTTCTTTTTCCCCGTCGAACTCGGCGGCTTGGAGCTCCACAATCCTTTCATCAACTTCCTTTCAATGAGAGAGAATATCACACAAACCCCGCAACGGATCATGGAAAAGGTCTATATTATGGAGGAAGCTGACTATGAGTCTGCAAAGAAGAAGTGGCGGGAAGGAAGTATCGACGTCAACAGGAGTAGCTATCGTCGCAGTTTCATGCAGAAGTCTCTTGGTAAGAATGATGACGCAGATTCGCCAGAGGCTTTCTTCTCATTCGAGGAATACACAGCCAATCTTGAATCCACCAGCAAGGCGTTGTTTGGAGCTTACAAAACCCTCCTCCAGGTTCCTGAAGAGACGGAAATTGGCCAAAACTCGGGTCTGAGTCATTACATGTTTTCAGATGGGAATAACAACAGAAGCGGGAATACATTTGGAAGAGGCAGGGGAAGAGGAAGAGGCAGAGGAGGTTTGCCTTGGAACGAGCAGCGGCAGCAGGATCGGATTGTTGTGGAGGGGATCGGTATGACTCCGTATTGGAGTTGGGTAGCTGAGGTTTATCGTGGTGGAATGCTGCAAAAGTATGGCGGTCTTTCGGCGGTGGATCGTGCGTTGATGCCGCTGGGTGTGGTGAAAGTGTTGCGTCAGGGGAAAGTTCGGTGGCAGGGGTAGTTTGTTTGTTAGTAAGTTATATGTTTTTGATACTCATGTTAGATACCTAGGTAGTGAGGATTATGATTGATGGACATATTTTTAGTGTATACATGCTCATTACGCATATATACACAACATGTAGAGAGACCTAGAAAGCCCACCTAAACATCCAACTGAGCAAACTCAGCCAACAAGCTTCGTAAACGAGACTTTTCCCCCTCGCCACTGAAAATACTTTCAACTCCCTTCTCACAAAGCGCAATCAGGTCTACGCGGCCCAGACCAAAATGTTTTGATGCAAGGTAATATTCCTGCGATACTGGACTGCAGAAGAATCCTACGTCGTCGGTCTGCATGTTTCAGTCAGAAGCATGAAGAAAAACGAGGGAGAAAGACTAACACATAATATAACGGCACAATCTGTCTCGCTCCACCAGTACCCAAAATGATGATCCTCAAACCCTCCATGAATTAATTTTGCATGCACATTGCATGACATGCACAATTCAAGGGCAATCTTTTTCGCCGCGATTTCCTGTTTTATTGCGTCTGGGACATGGATAACATGGCCCAAGCGGTCTGGTGAGAATGAAAAAAGCGTTTCAAGCTCTTGTGACATGTTTGAAGTTGAGTATATAGTTTCTGCGAAGTGCAGAGTTGTTTTGAGACCAGCGGCTTTGGCCTTGTTGAACGCTGAGCGGTAAATTGATACGTCGCCTTTTGTGGGGTTGCCGCAAAGGTCTATGCCAACTATGACTGGCAATGGCTGCAAATTCTCTGAAACATTCAAGTCATTATAATTATAATTATTATGGTTGTGGTTGCAATGTTTGAGCGCGATGTTGACGACTTCTTCTGCTGAAGCGGAGGTGTCTCTCCCTCTGTCGATCGATAAGATGAGATAGACAGACATCGTGGTTTGTGGCTGCCTCTTAAACTCTTCGATAGCACTCAAAACTATTACAACATATTCTTCCTTCGAGATTTCTACCTCTCCGTGGTTATTGCGAATCTCTCTCGGCGTAGTGCGCAGTTCCAGATATCGCACGCCATCATCTTGAAAGTCGTTCAGAACGCACTTTGTTGCATATTTAATACTTTCAACATCATTCACTAGATTATAAATGGATTTTGAGAAGACCTCAAAGAATCTTGGTTTTTTTTTTTTTTTTTTTTTTTTTTTTTTTTTTTTTTTTTTTTTTTTTTTTCAGTCTATTGGCTTGTATGCTTGAAGCTACTTTGGTGAGTACATACATGTCCAGTCCATAATTGACTTTCCCAGGTGGCATGAGCACCCATGGATCCTCAATCGTAAAGCGCGCGTCTTGGCCCTTTTTGTGATGCCAGATTTCGTGCAAACAGCCTCTAGTGATGCTACCGCTGAGATGAGCGTGGAGCTGAATTTAGTCCTGATCATTAGCAGTTGTTTGGTCAATGCATAAGGGAGTTGAAGCTGAGTCACCTCTATTTTGGGCAAGCGTTTGGTGAAATATTCGCTGACAGGCCTTGATGCATCAGCCATACTGAGAGTTAAGTTTGAATGAAGTCCTTGGGTCAATGATTGATATTATTTCGTGGTCGGGAACTGTCAACTGGATGAGCCTGAATTGGGCCGAAGCGGTGGGCTAGGTCACGTTCACCGCTTGCCCTAATTGCAGGATTTTCCTAACTAGGTAAGTAGTCTCTATATCACTTTTACCGTCACCTTGACCTTTGAGAGCTCTGTACTCAAACTATTGTGGTGTTGCTAGCATTCTTTGATTGACCGTGGCCTTTTGTTCATCTGGCTGCTCTTGTGTACTTTGACAACGCCCGTTTATTTCGCGGCACCATGGGAGCCATCTTCTTGACTGCCCTTTCGGTCTCGCAAATATTCCAAAGAATGTCCCGCTCATATCTTGGGTCTTTTTGTTGATCGGACCAGCTTTCGACCTGGGCAACGTTCAGACTAGATGTTTGACTCGCCTGGGTTTTGGGTCGTAGATGCGGACTTTTTTCTCTTGCTTTTTCTTGAACATGATAAGTGCGTATATATATAGGGACATTGGAGAACTTCGAGTTCTTTTTTGAAGGAAGGTATTTGAGCATGGAAAGAGGCTGGAAATCATATGACTTTATATCATTTTCTCTCCAACGATTGACTGGGATTACGCAAAAACTTCATTCAAATCAATAGAGAAGCGCCGATCTAGCTTTCTGTTTTTAGTATTTACCGGGCAATCATGATTCTTCACCATACATCAACTGACCCGAGCCTCCCAATTACCGCCATTGATTCACCTCGACTATACTAGTTCTATTGGGACTAAAAAATAAAGGAGCGATCGTTTAAGTTGTAAACATTGTTTTTAGTCTTACTGGATAGTTTGATTCTTTGTTGCAGTAAGCAAAAAATATCTTACATTGTTCACCGACATTACTCATTCGCAGTTAGCAAGCTGCTCCCTTAGTTGAGAAACAAAGCGACCATCGACTAAGGGCGCCTGAAGTACTTCACTGGCAAAAATCTCCTGCTGCCCCTTATGTTACTGGTCGTTATCTCTTTTGATCCATGTGACTTGTTTTGATCCCGCTTTATTATTACCTTGGTGCCTTCTTTAGCCACCGAATTCCTACCTAGTAGACTGCAAGCACAACCAGTGCAAGTTATGCAAGAATTCAAGCCTCCGTTTATTCTGATGCACCTCTTAAGGCAACGCGCGGCACGAACTACAGTACATACTAGATGCTAGTTAGAATTCCCCACCTCTGAGTCACTAACAGCAGGCAGCAGTTTTCTTACTCAGTATTTAATGAGTCAACATGTATCGTTGACATAGACATAGTTTCGCTATACAGACCACAGAAAATGGAGTCTATGAATCGAAAGAGGTTCCTCGAGCAGTACACCTACGCTGTTCAGAATGATTTCACATCTCCTTCTGGAGAGCCCGCAGCCTGGACTCCAGGCCATCCCAAACACTGGGGCCAAGAAAGGGCAAAAATCCCACTAGGTGGAAAGGCAAGCTCGCTTGCCCTAAGCCCCGATGAAAAACTTATCGCCGTCGGGATTGAGGAGGACATCCATGTGTTTGATGTGACTACGCAGGAGCGTCTCGAGGTGTTGAGAGGACATACGGAGACGGCGAGCAAGGTCCGATTTTGTCCAAGCTTAATAATGAATAATAAAAGTGGTAAAGACGAGAATCAAAAGACGACTCGTTATATTCTGGTATCACAAAGTTCTCCTCAAGAAGGGCGTCTCGTTATCCTATGGGAGCTGGACGAACATGGGAGGCTGGTGAGAAAAGGAAGAGAGAAGAAAAGCGTTACTGTCGACGCCCTAGCAGACAAAATATTGAAACCTCTAGTAACCGAAATTACCGCAGACTACGGTTGGGATCACGCTGAAAAAGCTATCAGAGCCCTTGACCACGAAGTGAGAAATACCCTTCGCAACGTCATCAGATTACACGAACAGGAAGACAAAATATGCTTCGAAGGCGAGCTGGCTTCTTTCGGTAGTCCCACCTTCAGTTCTGACGGTAAATTCATGATCTATCTCAGTAACAATCAGACAACCCAACACGGAACTCGTGAAGCTGCATCTCTCCCCTGCGTTAATCTGTGGGATGTTGAAACTAACTCCCTCCAGTACCAACTCCTCGGCCACACGGACTCGGTAATGTGGGCTGCAATGAGCCCAGACAGCATGCTAGTCGCATCCATCGCGTGGGACGGTACAGCACGTATTTGGGACGCCAGGTCGGGAGTCTGCTTCCATGTCCTAGGCCCATTTGGTGGCCAGCTCTGGAGCGGTGCCTTCTCCCCGTGTGGGAAGTATCTTGCCATCAGCCAGGGGAGTCCTAAGACTTATATTCATGTTTATGACATTAGCACCGGACATCCAGTCTCTCGCTTTGAAGGCTTTCGTCACTGGGCGCGTTCCCTGGCCTGGAGTCCCGATGGGACCATGATAGCAGGCGGAGAAAGAGACGCAGAACTTCTCATCTGGGATCCATATACGGGGGAGGAGCGGATGCGATGGCGTCTGGGCTTTGATAATAACATGATGCGCCGCTTTGCGTATATTAGAGGGGTGCAATTCGTGGATGGTGGCCGAAAGCTGATGTTTCAGATACTAGATGGAACAGTCGAGGTATACGATTTTCAAAGCAATCTCAAGAAGCAGTTTACGAGGCGCGCGGAGGATAAAATAGACGAATACCATATTCCACAGATGGTTTGTTCGGATTTGGGGCTTCTTGTCGTTCCGGATGGTGATGGAGTCCTAAGGCTTTGGGACGTCTAGGACTCGGAATTTAGAATAGATAAATAGTTGTGCTCATGCGAGTACCTTCAGAAGTTGAACATCGATCGAACCATGTGGACCCTTGGCTATTGTCGCACGACTCCTCCTTGATTATTAAGCACCCATGCATCTCATTTGAGATGTACTTCCAGCTCCCTTATCACTCACCTAAAGGTGATTAGGGAGGAACATCACAAGATGTCACGGTGAGAAAGCCCACTAGGAGCTGCGAGGGTTAATCAATCCCAGCCTCGGCACTGGCGCTATCCTAAGAATAGGAGCCTTGTAGGCTGCTGTCTCGAGGCCGCAATGATCCATGCAGCATCTCTTCCGGGCTCAATTAGCTACCCAACCAGAGGGCTGAACTGGTATTACTTCCATCGTCATTTTCTACTTTCTTCATTTGTCCGCTTTCTCTGTGCTGTATTATTGAGACATTCTGAGTTGTATATGCCAATAATACTACCTAGGCAATAAATAATTAGTTACGTGTTGTGACTTGCTTGCAAATCAGATAGCTGCCATTAGTTGCACTACTAATGGTGTATTCGGTCAATATTCAAATGCATGACTAGCTACAGGAACTAAGAATGACTCATCGAGAGAACTCTCCGTAACTAGTTACTGCCTAGCACTCAAGACACTTACCAGGCTCGTGGCTTGCCTAGGTACCTAGCTGAACTCGCTCGAGCAAGAAGTCATCGCATGTTTGCCCAGTCTTGGCCATCATAAGTAGGTTTATATGGAAAGAAAATCTCGGCAGAATGGCGGGCTAAAGTAAAATTAGGCACTTGATGCTGTCAACTCAGGCATACGATTGATTGGTGTCTGAAGAGAGCAAAATGGCCCGCTTGTGGCCCATGAAACGACGTGGCAGAGGGATTTGTGTCCGACCATATCGACTAGCGTTGCGCGCCTGAAGTTGAGGGAGAGACTTGGAGAAGCTACATAAGACGCTTTCCCGTTGTCCCCGAATGCTGAGAAAGAACAACCAAACCGCATATCTTTTCGTCGTCGCTCGAGGCGCCGCATTAGGATTCACGTGACGCACGTGACGCACGTGACCTGGGCGGTGTGTGGCGGCGTGGCGTCGGCTCGGCCTCAGGCTCAGCCGGTCGTGCCTAATAACTAAGGTATGAAGAACGTATTCTCGCGCATCCCTTAGCAATTTTCCATCTCTCACCCCATCCCTTGCGGTGACTCATCGCGTCCTCTCTGCCTACACTAGCCAAGTATCTAGAGATCCAGGCAGACAGGCCTCGCCTCGAATCGGTGCAATCCCTGCCACGACCCCCGAGCTCTGGTGGAGTCATCGTCGTCACACGACGGTTGTTGTGGGCTGCGCACCTCGCTTCTGTTGTTGGAATATTCGCCTGTCTGGACTAGGCGTCCAAGATCAGAATCTCGTCGCTGGCAATTCGCAGCAGCCTTCGTTCTGTGAAGCGCCGCGTCATAGCCCGCGTCTACAGCTAAGCTTACTGGGCGCTTCGGAGAGCAGCCTGGAAACCTGAATTTTCAGGTGGCAAAAAATCATCCGCGGATGCCTTCCACGAAGTATATGCCGGGCTGTATATAACTGGAAGACCGCGTCCACTTTTCGACCCAACGCTGAATCAGACACATATTCTCGTCGAACTCGCTCATCAGCCTTAACCTCACAGAAATACAACCACGACGCCTTTAAGATAACAAAGTGTGGAGGATCGATCCATAATAACACCAACACCAAAATCAACTAGACCCTCGGCTCAACTCGCGAAATAGACTTAGTCCTTCATGCCTTCTACTGTCATGGGCGACGGCACAGATTATCCCAGTCCAAGAAGTGAAGGACCCAGTGGACCTAGTGCTATTCTAATTGCTGCGCCAGAATCGCTTTCACCCCCTACCAAAATGACAGACTCTCTCACAAATCTCACAAATCTTGATGGAACGCGCCCGCGTTTGTCGGTGCGACGTTCTCGCGACCCGCCAAAGAATGAAAGCAACCAGATTTATTGCGATCATGCCGACTGTCAGGCTAATCCGCCGACCTTCAGACGACCTTGTGAATGGAAGTAAGTATTTCCCAATTGTTACAAATATCCTCTTTTGTTTGGGCCCCTTCGCTAACAATCGCTCAATAGTAAACACATGGATAAACACGACCGACCTTATAAATGCATGGAACCCGGTTGCGACAAGATTCAAGGCTTTACATACTCCGGCGGTCTTTTGCGACATCAGCGCGAAGTGCACAAGAAGAATTCCACCACGAAGAAACCCTTAATGTGCCCATACGCTGATTGCAACCGCAGCACTGGCAACGGGTTTACGCGGCAAGAGAACTTGAAAGAGCATCTCCGCCGTCGACACATGCACTCGGAGAATGGAAACTCGCCAGAATTATCGGTGCTCACCGTGGCAGACGTCGAAGGTCTCAAGTCGAGCTTTTTAGATCCTAGTCCGGGGCTAAAGCGTAAACACGATGGCACTGAGACGGTACTTGATGATGTTGTGGATGACGGGGACAATGTAGATCTCCATAATGAGCTGAAGCGCTTGCGACGCGAGGTTGAAGAGAAGGATCGACGCCTTGAAGAGCTTGAGAAAATTGTTGCCGGGCTGCAGCAGTCGATTCCCCATCATGGCATACCTGTGGTTGCTACCGGCGAGGTATAATCATGGTTTCATGTCATTCGTCTCCTCTCTTATCTTTTGACTTTCTGTCTCCCCCTCTCTTCATTTTCCTTTTGTGTGTAAGTGGGTGCATCAGTGGGCGTTACGCAGATTTCATGTTCATGACAGCTTTTATACTTGCTTCATATGCACCGTCCAAGATGACTTGCGACAAGTATTAAGCTTTAAGGAGGTGTGGTTTTTATGTGGGTTTCAGTTGCTTTTGTTTTCTCTTGGCCTGAAGAGATTAAAGGCGTTCTTTTGTCCCTCCCTATTTTGGGTTGGCATCGGAAATTATGGGAGAAGTTCGAGACATGCAATCTGGTTCTTGTAGTCAGTCAATCGGTTATCAGGGGAATAGGGGGCGTTCCTTTTGATTCATTTCTTTTTCTTTTCCTTTCCTTTTCTTTATTGTCGAGGCCAACCCGTTGTTTTTGACATTTTTACTCTTTATCAGATATACCCAGTTCTCTCTGTTACGATAATTGATGTCACCAGCACTACAACTCCTATTAGTCTTTACCACAATACACATTCGCTGCTATCTCTATGCTTAGTAACGTTTAAGTAGATGAAGGTTTCATAGGCAGGAAGTTCTTTTGATCATTGCATTTCGATTTCAGCCAAAGTGGCTGGACGAGGCTGAATGCCATTTCATGCATGCACGTGTACAGACCAGATAATGCTCAGAGTGGTAGAAGTTAGGCGGCACTACGCACAGACCAAGTGCAACTCTTGGCACGGAAATTAGAAATGCCGCTCCTAGTGTAGCGGCACTTGGTCTGTGCGTAGTCGGCGCAAACTACACCCTCCATCATCAGACAAACCGAGCAAACAGACCTGCTTATATAAGGCATTACCCCTGCAGGCACTCGGGCGATCATCGTGACATCCGATTAGCCCAGCAGCCAGCCACGGGTGCGCACTATTCCCGATTAGGCTCTCAGCCCTTCTTCAACATCCTCGAACTCCTCCCCTGGTTTGTTTGCTGACAGTCAACCCTGCAGTAACTAACTAGCTATGTGCTGAGCTGGTCCTCTGTGCACCGCGATAGCACGCTATATTTTTCTCCATTACACCCCTCAATTCACTGCCATTTCCCTATTCTTCTATAAGAAATAGCTGGCCCGGTGAATCAATCTATACTGCATGCATACTACCACTGTTCTATCAATGGCAGACTACGCAATGTCAGATATGGTGCAGCCCACTGCAGACGTACAGCGTAATAATGTGCTTTCTAAAACTCCCGCAGCACTATATGCTCCCGCTCATGATTATCACGCAGCTGTCCCTAGCTATTATATGAAGACACTGATCCCCCCATCGACACTGGGTGACAGAAAAAGCGACAATCTCGTCATTGAGCCGCCGAAAGACCACACTTTTGAAACTGGGGAGTTTGTTAACCAGGGTTTCTTCGACAAAGTTCACCAGTCGTGGTTCCTTCACAAAGCACCTCGTGCCGAATGGACCTACTCCATGCGCCGAGAAGCTCAGCAAGTCCTGCCTTTCTTGTACCTGGGGCCCGCTTCCGTGGCGCGGGATAAGAAGTTTGTCAAGGATGAAGGCATCACTTTACTTTTGTCGATTCGTGACAAGCGAGCGGCCATTGTACGCTTGCTTTCGGGGACCAAGGTTGCCGAAGAATTGGGGGTGCAGTCTGACTCGGTCGATGTGGACAGTGACCAAGAACTCATCGCCCTCTACCCCCAGGCTATTCGCCGCATAAATCAGCACATATCATCAGGAGCCTCGGCCGGCTCAGATCTGCCACCGAGGGTGCTCGTCTTTTGTGAATCAGGCAATAGCCGATCCGCTAGTGTGGTCATTGCCTACTTAATGAGCATGCTAAATATGGATATGGCTGCTGCAATGTGGGCTGTGCACCATCGGCGTTTCTGCATAGATGTGGACGACTCTATGCGGCTGCTTCTCCTGTCTTTTCAGTCCATTCTCGATGCAAAGCGCGAAGTTGCGGAAGCCCGCCGTCAAGAATCGCAACAAGCGTCTTTAGCGGTGAATCCGATATCTTGTCATTCTCACGGCCATGGGGGATGTCACCTCACAAAGAAGAGGAGTTTTATTGAATATGACGACGATACCACGCTGGCTATTGGACATGCTATGGATTGTATTGAGTCAGCGCAGACTCATCTCGAAGGGGATTCGGAGCATCTGAGGCGAAAGCCGGCTCCATTCATCGAGCGCAGTCTTTAATGATATATTATTACTAGAATTTTTTATGGAAAAAGTAGCTTCTCTTCCTTGCTTTGGACTACTTAGGCGTCATTGGGACAGGATCATATCATACCATTGGTATGTTGCGCGCCAAAAACAATAGATAGCTAGATGAGGTGGAAACAACCGAAATGCATGTAATCCCATGATTCTGAATACAGAGATTTGCTAGGCTGTGATTTTTTTTTTCTGAAGGAGAAAAGAAGCAAATACACACTCCCCTGGGATTCGTCTCATCCTCAGCTTTATAGTGACATAAAACGAACAATGAACAGGCGGTGCTCAGAACAGACCAAGAGCTACCCACCCACTCCGTCAAAGACCTGACACATGCCCACCCATTATTATCAGTAGGCTGACTCGAATGATGGTCTGATAAGTCCCTCTGGCAGCGTACATACACATTGTCTAGGCAGCCGTTCTTTTGTCTCTCTGTCACGACAACTTGACCTTTTTTTTCTTCCTCCTCCCTACTGCAAATCACACTCGTTGTTGTCATTCCTTCATTAATTTTGCAGAATCTCGAGGTTTTTTCCTCCTTGCCAACTATCGTCATTCGTTGAATCTTCCTTTTTTCTTTCTGTCTCCCCTTCCCCCTCCCCCTCTTTGCGTCGCTCTTGTTGTCTCTTCAAGCACCTTCTGATGGAGGATAATCTGGCAACTGGTTTGCCATGAGGTTAAGATCGAGCATCAATCCTCCACAACGGTATCAATCCGATGACGAGTTCTTAGTGACCGATCATCGACGAATGCCACGACGTGCGGCAAAGACAAAGATCAAGAATTATGTCGACTTCAACCCGCACCTTCCTCCTGCCGCATTTCCCACGCTCGACCAGCCGCTTCCCGCCGGGCAGAGTCCTCCCTCGTCAAGAAAACCAGAAAGCATCACGTGTCAAGAGGACGACCACAGTCTGGACTTGGCTGATCTGAAACCTTTCCCTCATATCCCTTCAGAGAGCTTCGACAACTTCATCGCTAGCAATGGGCCCCAGAACCCGCAATACATGAGAAACATGGCTCTGCTAAACAGGGAGTATAGCTCAGACCTCGATATCAGCAGCGACGAGGATGAGGATGAATTGCAGCTACCTGGCAGTGACGCTACCGGCGATTACCATGATGAAGTAGGTGCCATATAGTTCTCTATTTGAATATGCCCGTGTTAACTCACTCACGCATTCACTCCAGGAACAAAAGATACTCGACAATCCGCAATGGCACGATCTGTCGCTGGGTCTACAAATCGAGATTGCAGAAAACATGTTGGAGTTCCACGAAATGTCCAAAATTCGTTTCCTACTAGGCTTAAACCAATTCGATATCGAGGAACTGAAACGCAATCTCCACAAGAGGAATGCAGACGTGGACTACGAAAATCGCGTTCTCGAGGAAATGCAGCACAAGCAATTGAGAGCCTTGATGTGCCTAGACAATTCTGACCTCAGAAAACATTCTGTGCCAGCGCGCCTAATCATGTCAAAAAGGTCGTGGACACAGTGTCATCGCGTCATTCAGAAAAATTCAAGGATGAGATACCTCTTGTGTCAGGTCGGTGATCTTCAGACTGCAAGGAGGTTTCTATCCAGGCGTGGCTTGCCAATGACATACGCTGGTGAATGGGATAACCAATTTGTCGCAAATACATCAGTATCTAATCACGAAGGCGTTCCTGAGGCATTCGAATGGAGACTGATTACTGATCAAACAACACATCCGGTGACTATAACCAGAGACGATAGACCAGAGCTACAAGAGTCTTTAGTTGAAAGACAGCCCGGTGTTCAAAATGGACATACTGACACTGTCAATAACATGCGAGATGCACACTTATCGTCTCCTCGACAAGGAAGCCATATCCAACCTCTTCCTCGTCAGCAAATGCCCAACAATCGCTGGTCACATATTGAATTGCCACGCCAAAGTCTGGTTCGTCTCAAAATAGGTGCAAGGAATGCAGCCCACATACAGACTTTTGAACCACCAACGCCATATAGTCATCCCGCTGATATTGTCAATGTGATGTTCACCCGTTCACTACCACAACCGATAATCAGAGAGCCAAATAGCGATGATACCATTGAACAATCTCCGCCTAAGCCGAACAGATCATTTCCGGTACAAGGCCATTTCCCTTTACCAGTGCGTCGCAAGCTTGGCTGCTGGTCAAATGGCAAACGTTACCCTAGACCTGCACTTTCTCCAACAACAGAATCGCGTGAAAAGCAAATGCATGGAGATTACCCCCAATCCCCTGATTCAGCTTTGAGCGAAACCATAGTCGACCGGAACGCAATGGATTTGATTTCACCGATCAATCTTCAAAGATCTCCTAGAAAAGAGTCATATTCCTCAAGCAGTACGGAAGCAAGAGCAAAGACAGCCGATAAGCGCTGGGCTATTTCTTCCCAAACAAGTGCTGAAATGACTTTAGCAACTCCAGACTCTTCTGACAATGTGGTCCGCGACGTGCAGCTTCGCTCAGGCAGTTCGGCATACGAATACCCCTCGTCACTCCCGGACGGTGAATCAGCGTCGATAACTACGCACTTGAATTCAACTCCTTTCTCCAACCCGGACTACGTTGCACGCCAGTTAAAGACGATAGAAAAGCCAAACACCATAGAGGTTACGGCATCAATAACCAAGTGGGATCTGAGGTCTACAACTCTTGCGCAGGATAGCCCAGCTGAGGAACCGAGCGAACAGGGAACCGGAGGAAGTTCGCCTAGCTTTGCTAAAACGTACAGCTCCAGTGGTGACCAGTCAGTATTAGAAATCATCACGCACAAATTTCCGAGGGAGATTGCCGACTTGTCGAAGATGCAGGAACAGCAGGCGCCTATGAAGGTAATCGATCCTGTTTCTAGCATCGAAGACCGGAATGGGGCCCAGAAAGCAGGCACTATCCAGCCCTGCCAACCCATTACATCAAACAATCGAGAGCGACAATCAACTGGTAACATCCATGCGAACGAAAAAAAAGAACCTGGGATGGCTGGGGGGCCGCGAGATCAAATAGCAGATTCATCAACTCCAACAGATGAATTGAATGAGTCGAAAGCTCTAGAGAAGCAATTGTCAGGCAAACTTTCGGCACAATGTGATAACATAACTGTCGAGCTACCCCCCTTAAACACTAAGACATGCCAGACGACAAACAAGAAAAGAGCGGTCGGGAAAAAGCGAATTGCAAGTAATGATTCACTTGCCTCACAACCCAAGCGGAGCAAAAAGTCTGAATATCCTGTTTCTCAACGAGTTCTTCGTGCCCGCCCTGCTGTGAAGAGTGAGCAGAAAAAATGATATGCCTGGACAAGTAATCAAGAAGCGAATGAGTACACGAGTTGATGAATTTCTGTTCCAATCTGTGTTCTTTCCCTTTCTCTTTTTGCTTTTGATTTTCTTTCCTTTGTCTCTTCTCAATGATTTCACGATGTGTATGAGTCATGATCGTTCATGCCTGATTGAATATTTGCAATGTCTATGAGGCCATGACATACGCTATCTTTCGGACTTTTTGTTAGAGTCAGTTACAGGCTTTCTACCTCTCGAAGAGGTAGTCTACATTCTTTGATCCCCTTCTCTCTTCCTCTTCTGGTGTTATCTCAATTCTTCTTTTCCTGGTAAGTTGACTTGGGAAAATGTGTTAATACAAATTTTGTGTACCAACAACACATAGAAAATGGACTTTTGTGTAATTAGAACTCGAACTCTCTGGCCACTTTCTTGTTGACAGATCAGTCAAGACTATTGTATCAACAGACTAGCAAAGAATTTACGAATTTCTTTCCCAGACACATACTCTCATCACATTAGACAACATGCACGTGATGTGACGAACCCTGATAAACTATTCAATCACCCTTTGATTTCGAAATAACATATAGCAGAAAAACCGTTTCAGAATCTAGAAATGATTTCATAACCAGATCATTTTTGTTCCATTTAATATTCGTCAGGAACACGATAATAGTCAGCTACAAGAAAATTAGAGAAAGTTCTTAAGACAAAAAAAAAATGTCGCAGTCAGAATTACGCTACGAATTTGGTTAAAGAGAAATTCTACGCGCACGTGATACCGCGCCGCGTTTGCTTGCTTATCCCGATCTCTGCCCGCGTCGAAAAGGAGAGGCGAATCAATTCCGCGACAACTACTCCGAAACGGATCGGCTTAATGAAGGGTCTCTGATTGGGAGATTGGGTGCAGACTTTCTTTCGTTTGGGAGATTTGCGGATATTGTCAACCCTTCTCCTCCACTGCCCAGCGCTACGCATTCCCACTCCGTACTTCTATTTCTAATGGGCTCCCGGATTCTCAACTTCTTCGCAAATAAATGGTCTAGCCCCAGCAAAAAGCAGCAAGGAGCGGTCGATGCCGAAATGTCAAGCGTCACAACTCCCGTTACCATGGCCGAATCGGTTTCTGCACGGCAGGAGTCAAGTCCTCCAACTTCGCCTGCCACCGGGTCAGCGTCGTCGGTTCAGCAGGACGTGAAGATGGTGGTTGACGAGGTTGATAATGCGAAGAATGGAGTGGGGAATATTGATGCGACACCGGATATCGCAGAAGACGGAGATGGTGATGACGATGATACAGAAGGCATGGATATGAAGGCGAGAGCTTTGACCAAATTGCTTCAAACAAGTTCCGTAAGTTGGAATTGGCAGGTCGCTTTATGCGAATTTTTTTTTCTCCCTTCAACTCGTGCTCACTTACCAATTTTTCTGCATCTCGTGATATAGGTATTTGTTGCGATCATGTCCGATAAGATGAAAGAACAGCAGAGACAACAGCAAGAGGCAGAAAGAAAAGCCGCTGCTAAAAGACAGGCTGCGCTGGCTGCGCCAGAACCAGCTACAACAACGACTTCTGGACGGCGCAGCTCCCGATTGAAAGCGAACGAAGAGGCCGAAGTTGATAACGTGGCTACCAGAGCAACCGATCAAGTACAATCAAAGAAAGCCACTGCAAAAAGGGGTGCAAAGAAGAACACACCAGGCAAGGACATTTCAAGCTACTTCAAGAAAGCCGATGTGGAAGTCAAGGAAGGTAATCCAAGTGTTCAAGAGGCTTTGGCGCAAGCTGCAGATGAACTAGAAGCGAAGCCATCGGCAATCGGTGAACAGGAAGGATTAGTAGCCACAGAACAGCCCTCTTTGGTTACAGGCGGCAAAATGCGCCGATATCAGTTGGAGGGGCTAGAGTGGATGAAATCACTTTGGATCAATGGACTATGTGGTATTCTGGCAGACGAGATGGGTCTCGGAAAGACCGTCCAAACTATATCTCTGATTGCGTTCTTTAAAGAAAATAACATTTCGGGTCCCTTCTTGATTGCGGCACCCTTGAGCACGGTCAGTAACTGGGTTGACGAATTCCAGAGATGGACTCCTGGTATCAAAACAGTTCTGTACCATGGCTCTAAGCCTGAGCGCGCCGAGCTCCGGAAGCAGATGAAATTGAAAGATCAGAAAGACAGGGATTTCCCTGTAGTATGCACATCATATGAGATTTGTATGAATGATCGCGCTTTCTTGTCTCAATTCTCTTGGAAGTACATCGTCGTGGTAAGTCTGTCCTGTTTGCCGACGTATTCTAGGTCACCCCTTTTAACAAGGTTGTTAGGATGAGGGCCATCGTCTGAAGAACATGAATTGCAAGTTGATCAAGGAGCTTCTTACCTACCATTCAGCAAATAGACTTCTCATAACGGGAACCCCTCTACAAAACAATATATCCGAGCTATGGTCGCTTTTGCACTTCTTGCTACCTGAAATCTTCAACGATCTGGGCAACTTTGAAAGCTGGTTTGATTTCTCTTCTGTTCTCGACAAGAATGGCCAGAAGGATGTTATTGAAAGGCGCAAACGCAAACTCGTCACTACTATGCATGCCATTCTCAAGCCTTTCCTCTTGCGGCGAGTCAAGACAGATGTGGAAACTTCCCTTCCCAAGAAACGAGAATATATCCTTTACGCCCCGCTTACATCAGAGCAAAAGGAGCTTTATAGGGAGATTATAAGTGGCACTGGCCGCCAATACTTGGAGAACAGGGCAATCGAACGTATCGAGGCCAAAAGTGGACGGGTCTCTCGGTCCACAAGCGTGAAAAGAAAAGCCGAAGACTACAGCGGATCAATGACTCCAAACAAAAGCGTAAAATCTACTGGCACGTCAACACCAGGCAGCATTAGTGGCCGTATGACGCGAAAGGGCCGTCTAAGCTACCGAGAAATCGGCGACCGAGAGTTTAATGCCAAACTCCGCAGGCTCGAGGATGGTCTTGAGGAAGAAGAAGAGAAAGAAGAGACGCCCGGTGAAACGGAGCAAGAAGAGATCGAACGAGCAAAGACCATTAAACTGGCCAAGAAAGAGATTGGCAACAAAAAGCTTCAGAACCCCGTCATGCAGGCACGTCTTGCATGCAATTCGCCGCACAATTTCTATTGGCCGTGGGGTGACGATTCTTCCACCGTCGATGAAACCCTCGTAACAGCCTCTGGGAAGATGCTACTCCTTGATCGCTTAGTGCCCTGTCTCATGAAAAAGGGGCACAAGATTCTCATATTCTCTCAATTTAAGACACAGCTTGACCTCATCCAAGACTGGGCTACTCAACTCCGCAAATGGAATTGCTGCCGTATCGATGGTGGCGTGAGCCAAGTTGATCGCCGGGCTCAGATCCAAGCCTTCAACAAAGACAAGAACTACAAGATCTTTCTTCTGAGTACCCGTGCAGGAGGCCAGGGCATCAATCTCACAGCTGCCGACACCGTGATCCTATTCGACTCAGACTGGAACCCTCAACAGGACCTGCAAGCGCAAGACCGAGCGCATCGAATCGGACAAACACGACCCGTCATCGTCTACCGACTCGCTACCAAGGGCACAGTCGAACAAACTCTACTCGAAAAGGCAGACTCCAAACGCCGCTTGGAGCGCCTAGTCATTCAAAAGGGCAAATTCAAAAGTCTGCTTGACAATAACAATAGCATCGACAGTACACAAAACGACATAGAGGATCTTCGCAAGGCTCTCGGCGAAGAGGAATTTGAGCAGTTCCATATTCAAAGTGATGATCCGGAATCATTGCTCTCGCAGAAGGATCTTGATACTCTGACGGACAGAAGTGAGGAGGCTTATCTTCGTGCTGAGAAGGGTCTGGAGGAGACAAGTGGACGTTCTTTTCATGCCGTCGAGACCACGGAGGGTCAGGGGATTACATCTGAATTGACTGGATGATTTCCTCCCTATTTTTCGTGTAGTTTTACGAGCTTTTTGTATTATGTACCACTGGGAATTGGTACGGTTGGTTTTCTTTCTTTGGGTGTCTTGGTTTGGGAGTCTCCTAATATGGTGTGGGAGGCTGTGATAATAATGTCTATTTCTTGTTCAATGTTTGTCTGTTTGAAGGGGTCCAGGGCCAAAGTAGATCAGAAAAGAAGATAGAGGTAATAGAGAGAAAATAGAACTTCATTAAGACCTATCTACATATACAACATGGACATTTACTCGACGGAGCATGAACAATGTCTCAATCTAGTCAGCTCAGTTCACACCTGCTCACCGACTAGCCTTCACATCCTCAATCTGCCGTCTCAAATCCGCCAAAACGTCATTCCGCTTGTCAAGATGATCCTTCAGGCCATCTACCTGGTCAGCCACCGTTTTAATATCCTCCCTCAACCGCGCCAGATCCTGACCATCTTTCGCCCGCCCCGTTCCCTCTCTCATTTCACGGAGTTCGCGCTCCTTGTACTCTAGCAATTGAAGCGCCTCCTTTTTAATGATTGCCCAATTGGGCCGTCCATCATTGCGCGCGCTATCTCGTCCACCGCCATTCCGTCTCTCTTCCGAGGCGCGATTAGCAGCTTCCAGTTTCGATTCGAGTTCTGCCAGATCGCGACGCAAACGCACTTTTTCCCACTCTTCATCCTGGATGGTGGTGCTAAAATCCGTGCCCTGAGGGCGATAAGTGGATGATTTCACACCTAGTCGGCTCAAGTATGTATCTCCGAATTTGGCTTTGCGGCCTGTCGCCGTTTCAGTGTCGCCGTCTGCGCCCCAGCGTTGCGCAGGGCGCACGTTGTCGACTTGGTAGTCAATCTTATTGGACTCGAAGGAGGCGCGGAGTGAAGGTGGGACGGTGCGGGGGATTCGGTAACCCTCATGTCGGAAGTTCAGAATGTGCAGGAAGGCGAGAGTGGCGTCTTTGTTGATGGATGAAGATGCCGCGGGGTTCACTAGGTTCCATGCCGACCTGACATCAGTGTCGGGCACTTCTAACGAGTCGTAAAGAGGATGTAATGATTCAACTGAGTTCACGCGCGTTAGTTGAAAATAAACGAAAAGCACAGGTAGACAATACTAACATGTGATTTCGCCACGGTGATTCTTGTTTGCGCTATAGATTTCCTCGTATTTGGCCTTGTCATTCGGGCTCATGTACCAGTCAAATCCATCTTTCAGACCGGGCGTATCGTCTTCATCCTCTATCCGCTCAAACTGTTCCTGGCCTCGGGTCAATGCGGCACTGGCCTGGACTAGATGTGCCTTGGACTCGGGGATAAGCCAGTCCGGTAACGCCCGCGGGACTTCTTGATATTCCTAGTTGGGACGCTGTTAACAAAATAAAGGGAGGAAATTTCCAATTCTAGTGCAACGATAGAAAGGTCGTAGACTCACCCCATTAACAAGATCAAATATTAGCCGCATCGCAACGCAAAACTCCTCAAAGTCCAGCTCGCCATCTCCATCCACATCGGCCAAATCCCATACTTTCTCAAGCTGCTCGTCTCGTAACCGACTGTTACGAAGCACACTGGCGGCTTGCGAGTTATTGAGACGGGGCTGGCCGTTTGCCAGCGACGAGAAGATCTCCCAGTACCGCTCGACTTCCCACTGCTCAATTCTTTTTGCCATTGTTTGGAGGTGCGCTAATATGGTATATGTAGGCGGTCATGCAGGGGGATATATTGTACAAAGAAAATGGGCAAGCGCGTGGCTCAGTGAGGTCGATGTGGTTGTAGCTTGGCGGTTGATTGTTGAGTCTATATCGAATGCGGATGCGGATGCCTTACATAATACCCGCGCCCACATGGGCCGTTGCCAACAGCCAACCCCTTTTCAACTTTTTTGTATCTGCTTGTTTACACAGCAATATAACTCGCTCATCTCATCGGAGTTACGTAGCCAACGAGCCTACAGCTGAAAATCGGCCATGGTACCGTTCGTTGGTAGAAGCATTGCAAGCAGCAGATTGAGGGCAGTTGCAGCTTGCAGGTATCGGCTGCTTCGCGCAAGTGTTCAGAATAGGCGATACCGGGATTGTCATCAAGGAGACTTTCGATCATCCACCGACAAAGAAACGCATCTATGAGCGGCTTGGTCATCATCACCCTTATATTCTGCGATACTACGGTGAATACTGCCAGGGCAATGGCCTTCCAAGTGGACTTGTATTTCAATATCAGGAGGAAGCTTTGAACTATTCCACTTATTTCGTTGAGGCTATATAGTCTCAGTACTGGAACACCTCCATGTATACAATTTCTTACTCTCTCGGGTGTTGTCAATCGTCGTAGAGACATTTTTGCCTCGCACAAAGGGCAACGACCTTGCAACTTAGTTGATCCGAGAGTAGCTGGTCATTGTACAGCCTCGACACAATATCCATCATTGCTTTTCTCCTTCATGCAAGAAAGCTTGTTTGTGACCCCTTGATCCATGTTCGGTTGTATTGTTTCAATTCGCCGCTTAATTGGTATGGTATGGTCTTCATCCTCTGGAAAAGTGCACTGAGAATAATGCTGCTTCACTTCGGAGTAAACGCACATATTGACCTGGTTGTCAGGCCGGGATTTGAAGGATGGGTTTGGCTGCTGCGCTTTTTATGTCAAGTGTTCGATGTGGAAGACCTTTTGAGGAATAATAAATATACCAGCTACCTCTCACGATTGAACAAGTCTTCCGAGTGCTACACAAACTCGAATTTAGATGTCAGATCGATCGCAAGCGTTGAATATATCGACCAGCCAGATTGCTAGACATCTCTGGCTGGCTCGCTCCCCATGCGGCGGATAGGGCAAGGCCCATCACCCTTAAGCGCAGGGCTTTATGTCTGTCCAAATACGGTCATCGCATTAATTCATTCTATCAATTGCATATCGTACAAGAGTCTCACCAAATCATCAAAATCATAGACGCAAATAGCAGGTCGCAACAAAGGGGAATCGTAACAAGGAAAGAACCGAAACAGGTAAGAGAATATATACCGACAGTCATGTCAGATCGTCAATTTGTTCAAGTGATGAAGAAAAGAAAGACAAAAGGGGCAGAGGAATAGAAGAGAGCACTAATAAACGGCGCTCCCAAACGGAGCAGTCTCCTTCAGGTCCTCGACCAAGTCCTCAACATTGCTCAGATAACGGCCAAGAATCTTCTGCTTCTCCTCTGTGGTACGAGTTTCGCGACCTGCAGTGTGATTGTCACTCGCAGGCGTATAACTCTTGGCAAAAGCACCCGACAACTTGCTCGGGCTTCGATGCAGTCCGAGGACCGCTGTGTTGGGCGCACTGGCAGCAACCGAGGGGATACTAGTGGGCGTTTCGGGCATGAGGTAGAAGTACAAGAACTCGACCAGTTTCAGCTTGACTTCTCTAGAAGTTGCGCGCAATTTGAACAGCGACGTGACAGTGAGAAGCCCATCTAATTGTTCAAAAGTGCGCGTGTTCGCGGGCTGGTCCAATAGCGCTGTCACCAAGGTCAACAGAGTGGAAGACTGAATGGCGGGGCAGTTAATGGGATCCAGCAGATCCAAAAGAATATTCATATATATCTCGCGCGCAAAGAGTGATCTTGAAGGCGGGTGCAAAAGGAGAGCGCCCTGAATCAGGTCCAGTGTAGAAATTATCAAAAGGTCGTTTGCGCCATTGCTTCCGCGGCCGAGGAGATGCTCCAAGCAGGTGACGAGACGAATGGCAACTGAACAACTTAGACAGTCAATTATCGGTGGAGATAGAATACAGTTGCACATTTTTCATCAATAAAAAAATGCTGGCTGGGTAAAAAAGCAATTTACTTACCGTTCCACTGAAACCCCTCCTGCAGCTTAAAAAATTCACGAAAAGCCGGATCCTCCGCCAACTCGCTCAATGCCTTTGGCGCCGGTGGTGCTTGGCCGAGAGGAATCATGGATCGTCTTTTTTCCAATTGTGATTGCTGGGTGCGCGAAAGACATATCTGCGCGAGTAGTCCTTCGACCTGGCGGAGACCCTTGCGGATTTTGTTTGGCTCGTAGGAGGAAAGGTAGTCAAAGGAATGTGTCAAGAGGGCCTCCATTGCTAAGGGAGTATGGTTCGAGGAAATGCGAGGACAAGAAGAAAGAGACAGAGAAAGAGAGGGGGCAGCACGAAGAGAAATATACGCCGGGGGCCAGCAAAGGGTCCTCCAGCTGGACTGGGCTGGCTGATAAGGCTGGGCGAGGGATCTGCTGGAAATCTGGAGGATGTGATGGATTACATCAGCCCGTAAACAAGCCGCAGTTGCCCAGCGAACCGATTCTGCCACCGCCTTTCTTTCTCATACTACGTGGCACGTGCTACTCCGTCGTTATTTTTATCGATCTTGAACCTAACTCAACTACCATTCACCCTAGCTGGCTTAGACGCCGCGGCGCAAGTTCTCATTGTACACGGCTGAAACATTCCTGCTGTTTCTCAGCTCACGCTCAACGTCCTTCCGACTCCGGCTGCCCTCCTTGAAAACCGGAACTTCGCCGACAATGGTGACGCGCACGCCGGACCGATGTAAGGGAGCATAGTCATGCGTTGCGCGGTGTGTAGCACAGCGATTGTCCCACAGCGCGCATGAGTTCTTTTCCCATCTCCAGCGCACCGTGTGGTCGGTGGCAGTATGGATGTGAGTGAAGAGCAACTCGAGCAGCTTGTCAGATTCGTAGCGATTCAGCCCATCAATTCTCGTGACAAACCCGGAATTTAGATTGAGCGACTTGTATCCCGTGACGGGATGTGTTCGCACCACGGGGTGCAACGTTTCGGACGGCCGAGTCGGCAGTTTCGCGTGCCAGTGGTTGGTAACCGACTCGTAGACGTGCTGCGTGTTGTGTTTGTTTCCGTTAGGGGCAGAGATGACGGGTCATAATTTGTCCATGTATTGGGCTCACCTCGGAACTGTGCCACGCACTCAGACCCTCCAAGAACTTTTGAAATGGCGGCGAAAGTGTCTCGAATGTACCGTAGCCGGATATCCTGCGCAGCAGATTGCACTACTTGTGAAGAACATGGTCGTGAAGAACACCATATTGTATACAATGAGCAAAGCTTACCAATTCGTGTCTCCCCCCAGGGGCGGTGGCTCATTAATGCGCAGAAGCGAAAAGGATGGCGGGTTGATTGCATGAGACGAGTCGGCGTGAAAGTCTGCAAACGGCCACTTGAAGTGCACATAGGTGCGACGAAAGTCCCTAGAAATGAGAGCCATCATCAGTTTGCTGACTCGTTACCGAAGCGTTTGTTTTGTCATACTCTTCCTGCTCCTGAATTGTAGTTGTAAGGGGGGCCCTTTGGCTATCCTCCGGGTTCTCACGTACACCCTCTGGCAGGCCTGGAATGGTCAACTCAAGAATTAAAAAAAAAATGTGTTTTTTGCCAAATACACGAAGGAGGTGTTGGGGAGTGAAGCGTCCTGATATAGGCTGAAAATCATTGCGAATGGCGGTTTCGCCATGCACCGTTTATTTCCCAATTCGGCAATATCAACGGGTATTCGCAATAGGCTGCACTCGGATGTCTTCCGAAACTCACAATGTGATTCGTCGAAGCTTCCAGAGCTCGTGATAATGCTAAATTTCCGAGCGAAATTCCGTGTGCCATCGGAATGCCTATTCATACGCATATATAATTGAAATCCAGGTCCGGCGGCTTCTACTTGTCTTGTATCACTGTGGCTGACCATGACCAATATCTCAAAAACATCGCAGACCAATGCTGTAAAGCAAGACCCCGTGGTCACTGAAGAGGAACTCCTTGCCGTTAGAAATGTTCCTTTTTGGCGCTCCACGGTATGGCAAGCAATCGTTGTGTCAGCAGTGTTCCTCTGCGGACCAGGTATGAACAGCGCCCTGGGAGCCCTAGGCGCTGGGGGGGCTGGAAGATCCCACTTTGATCAATATCACGTCGGGTCTTGGGTACGGCTTGATTGCCGTGTTTAGTTTCTTTGGTGGTGTGTCTATCAACCTGTTGGGTTTGCGTGCCGTTCTCTCACTCGGCGTGGCCTCGTTCGCCGTCTCGGGCGCCTCGCTGTACTGCAACAATAAGTTTGGGAATGTGTGGTTCTTGTATCTCGCACAGGCTACTTCAGGCTTTTGTGCTGCCATTCTTTGGTGCGGGAATCTCTTTCTTTTCTTTTCTTTTCTCGCGGCTCAAGTATTAATTCATAGTGTCATGTCACTTCAGGATTGCACAAGGAGCTGTTACCATGGCGTACCCAGAACCAAATCGCAAGGGCTTTTTCAGTAAGCTATTTGAATAATCTCGTGCAAGTTGTCCCGCTAATGTCGTACTTGGCAGTATCTCTTGTGTACTCATCGCTCTCTGTTGGCGGGCTACTCGGTGGAATCATTGCCCTCGCTTTCAATGCCACCGATGGCCAAGCTGGGTCTATAACACTTGGTGAGTGACATAATCTCGGTTATTCAATCCCGTGTCTAAGTGATAGTATAGTTTCATATATCCCTTTGATTGCAATTTCGGCATTAGGGCCGTTCATTGCATGGTTGTTAGCCCCTCCTGAAAGGGTCATTCGAACAGACGGCCTGCCTGTTAATGTTAAGAAACTAGACGGGCCATGGCAGGAAGCAAAGCAAGTTTTTGTGACGCTGAAAAACAAAAAGGTATATATACATGTATATATATCTAATTAATATATATCTTGCCACTTTTGAGAAGTACGAGAACTAACACAATTGATAATAATAGATCCTGCTTCTGCTGCCCATGTTTGTCTACTCCCAGTGGTTTCTTTCATACCAGGGCAACTTCATCACTCTCTACCACTCAGTTCGCGGCACGGCCTTGGGTGGTTTGTTGTCCGCAGTTACAGGAATCATTGGAACGATTCTTTTCTACTTACTCACCGACAAGCTCGGTTGGACGTGAAAGCAGGTTGCCCGACGAGGCTTTGTGATTATTTTCAGTCTGTATAGTATTGTCTGGATCTGGGCAACGGTGGTACAGCGCATATACAGCAATACACATCCAAGCGGACTGGATTGGACCATGCCGGAATACTGGCTCAGTGTATCTCTATACATATATTGGCCGTAAGTTGTCACTTGATAGCGTGCAAACCGCGGGCACTGGCTGACTTATGACAAACACACACACACACACACACACACACACACACACACAAGGCTTGTGGACAACATATACCAGTGTTATATGTACTTTGTTGTTGGAACTCTGTCCGACCAGGTTGAAGAGTTGGCGCGATACACGAGTATCATGAAGACTATCAATACCGCAGGTATTGCACTTGGGTATGGCGTCCAAGTGAAATGGAGTATGATGGGTGCCGAAGCCTTGCTGTGAGTTCGCGACATGCATAGAGGAAGTGAAGATTAGTTGACGCTGACAGCAATCAAGGTGCGGACTATTCTTTATCCAAATATTCCCGGCATGGTGTGTGATTAGGGACATTGCAGACTATGAAGATTTGGTAGTCGATGAAGATCCCCTGCCACCTGCTGCAGAAACTACTAAAGTTGCTAGTTCAAGTGATTAGACAATAGACGATAATCTAATAAATGTGAACTATATACCGTATGGAAAATACTTTCATGGCGCCATCTCCGCTTTGCATTTCGCGATAATGTTTCGGCGATGAGGGGACATCTTAGTTGCCCCTCGTTCTCAGTGAAAATGCATGCCAGTTTACCATTTAACTAACTACATCACGGATTGAATACAATACCAAGAAACAATGACAGATGCAATCAACTATACCTTTCCCTCCCCTCTGCAGGGCTACGAGAACCTCGAGCCTCTGACCGAGTACGTCTTGTCCCCTCAGACAAACCTCAGTCACTCACTCACTCACATAACATGACCTGCATTGGTATCAATACAGAGAGAAAGCAGCCGATGGAAAATCCTTACTCAACCCGCCAAGCGACACAAAATCCTCTGCATATTCCTCATTCCCCGACCCACTGGAAAACGGGCGTCGCGCGGGCTTTGATGTACATATATACTACATCCCAAACAATGCCGGACAAACCAAGTTCGCAAAGGAGCTTCACGAGCGGATTCGTCGAGAGTGTACGTACTTGTCCCCCTGTTAGGAAAAAAAAGATAGGGCTGGCTGATCCGAAGGGGAAAAGCAAAGTCCCTGAACTGCGCATCTACCGCTTCTGGGACAGACCCGTCGGGCCGCACCCAGTCCCCATGTTTGAAGTAAATCTGCTGAGTCCGGCAGAGTTTGGGGCCTTTGTGCCGTGGTTGGTGATTAACAGAGGGCCGCTGAGTGCTTTGGTTCATCCGAATACCGTCAATGAAGGCGAGGAGTTGAGGAATCATTCGCAACGGGCGATGTGGTTGGGGGAGAGAATTCCGCTGGATTTGGAGTTGTTGAGGGGGTTATAATTCAGTTCTTCAAATAGTTAACTTTTGAATTCTTAGTTAACTAGTCCATCCTGTAAATACTAATGCTAGGCTACTGAGTGTTTTGATTTGAGTCTATGGTATGATGAGCAACCGCGGTCGATCTACGCAGATCAATGCAGTCCTCGGAGCACTCGTGCCCAGCTCCCTGATGATCCTCGTATCCGTATCACTCGCGTCTTCATGGAACTGGTTCAGCAGGCAAAAAGAGCTCCATCCCGGCGTCTTAGATACTGCTTCAAAAAGGTTTCTGCTGGCGGCATGGAATTCATTTAAGCACAACTGACGAAGCTGAGAGAAAACAGATTGCTGGAAAGGCTCGCATCCAGGCGCATTCGATCGCGGTTCACATATTCAAAAAGATGGTATGAGAGCCGCACTCGATGAGAGACCTGGTATGTGAAGTTGTGTAGATAAAGAAGGTCGGCATCGGCAGGATGAACGTATATGTTCAGAGGCGGTTCTATCACATGGGACGTGATAGGTTGTTCATCCGATAATGGATATGTTGCTTTCTCGACCCCATGGTAATCTTGCATAATGTGTACTAGCTCATTGAAGTCAGGACTTGTATGGCCTAGTTGTTGAAGCCGCTGGCAGAGGACCATGCAGTAGCTTGAGAAAATATACGACCGAACAAGTAGATATTCCCATGGTTCGCACTGTTTATAAATTTCCTGAATCCAAGCGAAGACCTCGCTGCGAAATTGCCGGCCCGGTAAGAGTGCCCCGATTTGCTAGTGTCACGTTAATGATGTGAAATAAGAAATGTTTCACAATAAGACGAGGTAGTACTCACGACAGTATTGAAGACGACCCCAAAAAGATTCCGACCTTTAAGGGTAGAAAATTGCTCTGGGCCTCGCAGGCGAATCAACTGTAAGAGTCCCTGGCAGTGGGCATCCCATCCAGAGACGATGACTGGGGTCGTGAATCTTTTTTGCAAACTAAAAAGGAGCTTATTCACAGATCCATGATCAGCGAACTATGCTTGTTTGTATAAGTATGCACAATTCATACCTCGCACTGGCCCAGTAACCAAACGCTTAACAAGATTCTATCGCTCTGCCACTGCTGCGGATCCTTAAGGAGCACGTTGACCGCCGAAATGGCAGCTCCGTATGCTTGTTCTCGTTCTGCAATTGCCTGCAAGGATCGCGTTATGTTTGCCATATAAGCGAGTCCCACAGCGCTGCAGACCTTGAAAAGAACGGATCCTTCTTCCACGTGGGAAATCACAAACGCGACCACGCTGTAGACGGACTCTGCAAATTTGCGCTGAAACTTGCTCAAGAGGAAAGGAAGAGCGTGATTATTCCACATCTCCGGCAAGGGACGCTGTAGCGTTGGATGGGATCGAGCAGCTTGCTCTTCCGGTCTTCGAGACTGTGTTTCGTCATTCAAGGAAATCAAGTGGCCGCGCTTTGGATGAGCTGCATTCTGAAGCGAGACCGTTTCGACCCGGAAGCGCAGGTCTAGCTCGTCTCGATATCCGGGGCATGGTTGTTGCTTGTTCAGACACTGGGTGCAGGCCGGCCGTTTGAGATCGCACTGCGTCAGATTATTAACAGACTGATCGAGGTCTTGTCAAGAAATGGGCGACGCACCCTAATCCGTCGTCGACGGCATGAATAGCAGTCGCGGCTCGGTCGACCGGTGTTCGGCATGATCGACGTCGTCTCATATTCCTTTACCTGCTACAAACGTGGCTCTATGTGCTTGGAACAGTTTGGGAATGTAGGCGTATGGGTAGCTCATGGTCGGAATAGGCAGCACATCTGTCTCGTCGTCTGAGATTCAAGGACTAGGATTCCATTAGCACTAGCAGGTATGATTGTGATGGGGGCCAAATGCCGACCAAGTGCAGTAATTAGCTGATTGGCTCTCTTGAGGATATACTTGCATGTCCTGAGTGAGTCTAGCACATTCCATTACTCTTCAGTAACTGTGGCATGGCTATGCTTTTCTTTCTTTCTTTCTCTGTGTACAAAGAACGAAGGACAATGGTTACATAGCACGACGGGCAATGAATGGCTGCTGATTCAGCCGCGATCACATGTCACGCCTCTCTCTGTCTCTCTCTCTCTCTCTCTCGTCATCTTCTGGAGGTGACCTCCAGGCAGCTCATTTCTTCCTGCTGGCGCTTATTCTATATTACCTTGCATTCCCCAGTGCTTCTGAATCCGTCATTCCTTACACCGAAATTCTCGAACTGCGCGCGCGTCGAAAAACAACCCGAGCTCTGCCCCGCTTTATACATATATCCAAGCTTCATCTTAGCTTTTATCGTCCGTCCAAGCAATGGCCCAATCGCTACAATCCCCGAACGCGATCCCTCCGCGAACAAGCTCCAACGGCGCCGTCAATGCGAGCCCAGGTCTAGGATCGATCTCGGAGGGCGAATGGATGTCGTCGTCCAAGCGGAAACAGCTGAGCACCAACACCAACAGCAAACATGGCCGGAATCGATCCAGCGTGGACTGGACGCAGACGAAAGAGGGCCTGTGGTCGCAAGAAAAGGACCACATTCTGATGGGGCCGTATGACTACATGGCGCAACAACCAGGAAAAGATATTCGCAAGCAGATGATTACTGCATTCAATGCGTGGTTGAAGGTGCCCGAGGCTAGTTTGGCCATTATCACAAGAGTTGTGACCATGTTGCATACAGCTTCGTTACTGTAAGTCATTATCTATTGGAGCAAAATGGTGGAAATGGGCGTGTACATGAATGCTAACAGCTAGTGCACAGCATCGACGACGTCGAAGACAACTCGGTCTTGCGAAGAGGTATTCCAGTGGCGCACAATATTTTTGGCACAGCCCAGACTATCAACTCGGCAAACTATGTTTATTTTCTAGCGCTACAAGAAGTCCGCAAACTCAACAATCCCGTGGCGATGGATATATATACCGAAGAACTTTTGAATCTGCACCGGGGGCAGGGCATGGATTTGTTTTGGAGGGATTCGCTGACCTGCCCGACTGAAGAGGAGTATCTGGAGATGGTCGATAACAAAACCGGGGGTCTATTTCGACTGGCGGTTAAGCTGATGCAAGCAGAAAGCAGTACAGGGAGGTGCGTATTAACTTCTCCGAATGGAAAAGAGAGATAATTAACCCTTTTTTCATAGAGACTGCGTACCGCTCGTCAACGTACTCGGCCTGATATTCCAGATTTGCGACGACTACCTCAATCTCTCCGACCAAACATACAGCAAAAATAAGGGGCTCTGCGAAGACCTAACCGAGGGCAAATTTTCCTTCCCTATCATCCACAGCATCCGCGCGGACCCGTCCAACGTCCAATTAATCAACATCCTCAAACAAAAGACCAAGGACGAAGAAGTCAAATTGTACGCCGTGAGTTACATGGAGCGTACAGGCAGCTTCGCGCATACTAAGAGGGTAGTGACGCAGTTGCGCGACAAGGCTTTTAAACTGATTGATGAGATGGATGGGATTTATGATGAGCAGCCGATAGTCGATAGCGGGAGGAATGGGAGGTTTGTTAGGGAGATTTTGGAGAAGATTGTGGAATCGACGTTGAAGGATAAGGGGAAAGCGTGAGATTTCCTTTTTATGCCTTGTTGTACATATATTCTTACGACGGACGCCATCCATTCATTCATTCGGTCATTGTAATCTGGTTAGTGACATTGCATGATTATACCCTTGCTCATCAGTTGGATATGAAGTTGCATTATATAACCCTCCCTCAGGTTGTACCCAAAAACCAACCAAGATCCCTTAATAAGTATCCATAATATATCCAAACATGCATTATTTGACGCAAAACGAAGAAAACCAGATGGGTATCACATAACGATACAGCAACCACCAAGCTTGCGCAGGACGGTGGGAAGCACCTTTTCAACAATGGCTTCAACATCATCCTGTTTCCCGGCTTGACCCTGCTGCGCCTGACTGTACTGGTTGTATTGATGCGGCTGTTGCTGCGGCTGTTGGCCAGGATATCCACCACCGCCATAGTAAGGTTGTTGCTGATACTCATGACCAGGAGGAATCGTATCGGCCGGACCACCGGTCAGATTGACATAGATGCGGCCTGCATTTTCTTCCGTGGCGTATTGCAGCCCGAGCTCACGACAGACCTGCTCGACGCGCGGTTTGATTTTCTGGACGTGGTTGGCTGAGTGATTTCCTTTGCCGACGATGCTATAATGCATCAGCATATTTCGACCAACATAACAATGTAGAATGAACATACACGTGCAAATGCGTCTGCCCGTGCTGGCGCGCATACTTGATGCGCTCCTCGAGTATATCCTCCGCCTCCTCGACGTACTGGCCATGCAGATCAATGGTGTCATCGGCAACCCGGCCAGCGGCATTGTTCTCGCGGAAAATGAATTCAGAGGCTTGGCGATTATACTCCTGCATTTTGCGACCATGTTCTTTGCCTTCTTCGGAGAGTTGTTTAGCGAGTGCGCCGTCGCCATTGGTGTAGGCTTGTTGTGACTGCGTGACCACGATTTCACATGCGGTTAGTTTTGGAGGGAAGAGGAGAGGCAAGTGGGTGAGAAGAGGAGGAGGGATATACACGCTCAAAACAATGGTTTCGTTTGTTTGCTTCTTGGTGAGCGAGGCCGCGCAGTCGATCATATTCTTCTTCGGCTTGATTGGATTGGTCGTGGTTGAAGGCTGCATTGGATTAACTGGTGCATGTCACAGGCTAAGGAGTGCAACAAACCGCGCGCGCCGATGTGGTGCATTTCGTAGGACATTGTGTTGTCTTGTCGGCGACCTGTCTGGTATTCGACAGTCTCGTAGAGAGTTGTAGGAAGAGAAGAAGAGAAGAAGAGAAGAAGAATCCAAAGATGAACGATGGGCCAGCCCCAGCCAGCCAATCACGGCACGCCGAGATCTGGCGCTATTTCTGCGATCGGCGCGGCGCCGATCGTCGGGTTTTCATTGTGTTTTTTGCTTCATTTTGTTGATGGGGTTTTGGGTTACCATGGACTGGTGAGTGTTTTGAGTTCGGTTCAACCCTGGATACAGGTGCAGGTACATAATATATGTAGATGAAAAAAAATGTTGTTCCAATCATGAGGCTGGAGGGGCATTCGCATGCATCGTTTTAGCAAACATACCTATCAAGCAATTTAACAAATATAACAACATGCCACAGTCATCACTCATTACAAATAAACAGTAGACAAAAGACAAGCATAAAAGCAAGAAGGAAAAAAAAAGAAAAAAAAAGAAAGGGCAAAATCAGCGATACTCGAGAACACGCCGTTTCCATATCTTCCCCCCGTCCTCCGGGCTCCTTCGAAACAACTGCATGGACTCGCTGTACTTCAGCACTGTGCTTGGCTCTGGATCCGACTCGGGCGGTGTTTCGGATTCGTCACATCGCTGCAGGAAAAGAGGCGAAGTGCTGGTTCCCTCGGGGAAGACACACGCGAACGGCGACGGTGCGAATTGCTGGTGCTGCTGCGGGTGTTGTTCCTGCTGTTCCTGCTGCTGATGCTGTTGATGCTGCTGCTGCTGCTCCCTGTATAGACGTGACGACGACGACGACGAAGAAGACTCTGACGAAGACTGCCACACGGCGGCCGTGAACTCTCGCAGCGCATCAACGGTGGCGCCCACATTGGAATCCGATTGGGCGTGCACCAAGCTATTATCGCCATTATTAATGCTAAAGCTCTGGTTTTGCCCCCGATCTGCATGTTGAGTCGCTAGCAATGCAAGCGACCCGCTACTCGGGAAAAGGATTGCGCGCTGGGCTGCAACTTCAGACAGCGGCCGCAGGATATCGCCAGCTGAGCCTGCGAGATGGGATGTGATGCCATGCACCTCAGATCCTTCTTCTGTATGCGCCTCCTCGTATTCCTCCTTTGCCTCTTCCTTGTCGTTTTCTCTTTCTCTTTCCACGCCCTCTGGTCGAGTGCTTCCATCTCTTCTCCTGTCCATCTTCTGCCTCTACTGCGCAGATTCCAGGCCCTGCTCTTGAGACCCTTTCTTCCCGTTTGCAAGAAAAAAAATCACCTGGCAGGTAGATTAGCTTGGAGCTGGAGCAATAGTAGGGGTATATAGAGATATATATGTAGATATATAGAGAACCATGGAATTGGGTCGGTGGTTTCTACGTCCAACCGAGGATGGATGAATGGATTGATTGGATGAACGCACGATTCTGACAAGCTCAAAGCAACCGCTCATTGATGATGAAGAAGCATCGATTCATAAATCAACATGGCTTAGCTTTCTGCTTCAATTCCCTACTTGGCCGGCTTGCGAAAACGCCAAAGACATGATCGACTCAAGTTCAACTGTCGTAGGGCGATTGAAGGACGATTTTCATAGAATAGTTGCGAAAACAACCTAGCAGTTTCTTTCGAAGCTGAGTCAAATAGAGAAAATTCAAATCTCAAGTCGAGTTGTAAGCTGACATAAAAATCGCAACACGTGGTCGAGCACTCGAGCGAGTATTCCATTTATATATAAACAGAGGGGGAGATGAGGCTGCTTTAAGCAACAGCAATAACAACAACAGAAAAGAACCAAACCACCGGACAAACATTACTGACTAGTCTTTAATCTCTACCAAACAAAAACAAGAAGCAAGGCCGGAACACTCTTGGAAAGGGAGGGGGGTTCAGGTCAAAGGGGGGCGCTTTTGCGGGTAGATTTCAGCTTTGGCATTCAACGCCACAGCCGCACGCGCTGTAGAACTGCACTGCATGGAAACTTTGCTGCATTTTGCGTGCAGGCAGATTCGGAAGCTTGCTTCTTGGTAGATTGCGGTACTTGGATGTAGGGCTCGGGCTAGTGGCGCGCCAGAGAATGAGATCCAGAGGCGATAGTCGAACCCATCTAGAAGAACTAGTATGTATTTCATTGATACGTACGTGGACTGTGCTAGAGTACTATTTATTACTCTAACTGGCATAATTCCAAATACATAAAAATTAAAAACTAAGTAGTGACTGCACTCAGACACAGCCAGTGGTTGAATCTCCTTCCCCCGTGCAGTAGATCTGCCATGCTTGTGAATCGCCGCTATCTAGCGTTGGTACTATATAATATATTGTATACACTATACTATACCGTATAGTATATACTATATAAGCTATTGTAGAAAGCCCTCTAGGTCCTTGAGAGGCAACGCTCGGCTGGCAGAGCCAATGCCGGCTCTGGATGTGCGCCTGTTCAGCTCAGCCATGACAGACGATTAGAGTTCTTAGCGGATTAGCGTGCACTTGAAATGCTGCATTCAATCTCCCAAGGCCAATGAAAAAGACAACCTGAATTGCTCCGTCTTTGTAGCGCGGAGTCTAGAATGAGTATGTCTGCAGGGATGTGCCTTCTTGGGCAATGCTTACTCCGTACGGAATGCAGAACGAGCGGAAAATTAGAGATCTGATCTATCATCCAGTAAATAATACTCTACGGCAGACTGTATGTGCGTTCGTACAAGTGGTAAGATTTTTTACTCATTCAGTCATGTGATAATAATCTCCACTGCTCTAAATATAGCTTCTCGTCAGCAGCAAGTAGTTAAGCTCAAACTCAAGATAACTATTTACTAGAGCGATGGATATGCAGCTCGTCCTTATTTAAAACCGGCCTAAAACAACCCTAATTGGGTTGAATGGAAATTCAGTAATGTGATAGCGGAATGTAAGGCATTATATATACATAAAAAAAGTGAGCATTACCATTTCTTACAAGAGAAGGAGTTTTCCGGTTGCCATAGTAAAGGCATAGAGTGTATGAATTTCTTTGATATGTCGTGGGTATTACTAGACCACATATGACTTAGCTCCCGCCACTTAACTATATTGAGGAAGGCGCAGTATTTTTCTCTCACAACAAAAAATTATCTTACCAAATTTTACAAAACAAAACGAGCTTTGCCAAGGCTGCTCGTATGGTCCGCCGTACGACGATCTCCCTCATTGCTGTGGCGCATGCGCCTCGCCTTCCTCCGAAAGTGTGGCGCAGCAGGCACATATAACTAAGTTAACTACATACGACGCTCCTCATCCACTCTTACGTACGCTCACGAGGGAGCAGGCAGCACCATTTCGAATTTTCTGAGACACTCACACGATATGCCTTGCCTTGCCACAGATGGCAAATATGAGATTTTAGATCTAGCTGTTCTACTGCTCATATGACAGCACAAATGTATGTATGTATGTATGTATGTATGTACATGCATCATTGATCATCACGAGTCGTTCAAATGGCCATTACCAAAAGTGCTTGGCTCTCATAGCACCCACCAACGAGATGAGACATTTATGACTGGCCAGGCATGATCGAAAAGTCACCCTGAGACCAGCGCACACGAAGAACCCAGCTCTTGATCTTCCACTGACCATCCTTCTCCTTGATGGCTTCGATATCATAAACGCCAGCGGCCAAAAAGTGCGGTGCACCTGGTGTCATGCCCTCGCCAGGGCGGAAATGCTGAGCCAATGCCTGGCAGTAGACCTTGGCTGTGCTACCGGCTTCGTCGACTTCGATGCGGAAGTTGCTCACGTTGTGCTGCGTGTCCATGGGGCCGACGCCGTGGAAACATTTATTGAACTCTTCCACGCCGTTGTACGTGGTGCCGGCGATTGTGACGACGACTTTCTCGGGCTCTTCGGTTGGCCAGCAGGTGTCGAAGAGGGCTTGGTCGTACTCATCGAAGGCAAGAGTGCAGCGGAGGACGAGATCGATGATTTGCTCGCGGGTGTTGAGGCCGCTGAGAGATGTAGGGTAAGGCATTTTGCTTGATTTGTTTGATCTGATAGATAAAATCCGAGGTCAATTGAAGTGTTTGCTTGATTGCTTTGTGAAGTCTAGAAGTGAAACATCCTTTATATACCTGCACATTTTGCAAATGCCTTGAAGATGCAAACGGCATTATGTTAAAATCCGCCCGTCTAGGATCGCAGCGTGCCAAGTTTAAGTCCGACATGTAGCTGGTGGCTAGCTCTTTTCGGCCTAGCGTACTCGTTGATAGTCTTGCTGTCTCCATAAGTTGAGTTGATGCACTTGATTGTACTCCATAAGTTATAAACATCCTGTATACCAACTATAGTCTTGGTTTACCCCAGTTCTTGGCTGCGAATATTATGTATGTCATTCAAACAACTTGCGTGTCTGTGCTGACAAGATGCCGGGTATTACCATCCGATGAAGTATTTGATTGTATACCATCCAGCAGAGCATATAGCTCATCCTGAGGGAAAACAATATCCATATATCTGACAAAGAGCATATGACAGAAGTTAACTGCCATAAGTAAATACTTATCATGTAAAATGTAACTATTCAAGGTTCATTGCATGATCGTACAGGCGGCCTGATTGGCCACGGCGTTAGATGACTAAGATGGAGTTTACTTAACTCCGCAAAACTTAAACACCGGCAGTGAGCACTAATGATTTAGGGCTTACAGGACACGTGAGTCGACATGATTGGCCGCGTCTGTCCGCCTAGTTGGGCATAGCTGCGCCGAGCTAAGAACAACATTACGTTCTGCTCGCCATCTCCAACGGCCAGAGACTAAGACGACGAAGGAACACGGGGAAATAGGAAATAGGAATTCACTAAAGAAACGAAAAGAAATGGCCCGCTCTATACCGTCAACAAGCCCTGACCCAGACCCTTACACGATCGACATCATCAACGTGAACAACCTCCTCACTCGCCTCGAACAGAACATCTTCACGTCATCGGCCGAGTACAAACTCCTACGGCAGTCGCATTTGCACTGTGCGCGGATAGGCGCTGTACGAATCTCTCCTACACCCAAATACTAGGTTTGTGTGATTCAATTGATAGACTGACTAACTATTGTACCAGAATATCGACTATGCGCAAACCCTCCTGAATAATATTGACCACTCATTACCAACGGTGAAATCGCCGGCAACGCGTCATGAGCGAGCGACAGATCTCGCGAAGAAGAGAGCGCGATGGGTGAAGGTTAAGGAGAGATTCGATTTGGTTGCGGAGAATGTTGGGAGAAGGATCCAAGACGACCATAACGCCGCTGAAGAAGAAGAGGAGGAAGATGACGATGGTATATGGGAAGGCCTGGGCCCGGTTTCTGAACAAAAAAGCGATGCTGAAGCTGAAGCTGTAGTTGAAGCTGAAGTCGAAGCCGAAGTCGAAGCCGAAGCCGAAACGGTAGCTGAATATAATAATAATAATAATATCACACCGGAGGAAATCATTACATTACGACAACGACATGGTCACGATACAACCACCACACCCTCATCGACCGCTACAACCACAGCTGTTATCGCCAGCGGCACATCAACCATCCCCAAACCAACATTTCCTACTACTACTACTACTACTACCACCACCACCACCAAACCAAAACCAGAATCAGAATCACTAAATAACACCAAAGAAGCAACTCTCTCCACCCACCGCGCCGAACAGGAATCCCTAACAACCAGCCTCCTCACGCTCGCGGGCCAACTGAAAGCATCCTCCGAGGCCTTCCAGACCTCTCTGGAGAACGAAAAGGGCATCCTGAACCGCGCCGTCGAGGGACTTGATAGAAACATATCCGGTATGGATGCGGCGGGGAAGAGGATGGGGGTGCTGAGACGCATGTCTGAGAGGAGAGGTTGGTGGGGGCGAATGATGATGTATCTTTGGATCTTTGGGTTGTGGATTGTGGCGTTGGCCATTGTATATTTGGGGCCCAAGTTGAGGTTCTAAGTTTATCTAACGAAGGTAAATAGAACAGTACTTCCATTCTCCTAGTTTTGAGTAAGGCAGATACACACAGTGCACATGCATGCTTACACACGTCGCTGTTTATTATCAGACAGATAATTAAGTCAATCAATGATCAAGACGAGGGAAAGGTAGATATAGATAAAAGAAGCGATTGGCAAGGTTACAAAAATGTACATCCATCAAGTACGACTTGAGACTTAAAGAAAAGGATGGTTGGTTGACCGGATAAATGATACATCGAAGCTCATTTGCAAAAAAAAAAAAAAAATAAAAAATTAAAGAGAAAAAAAAGATAGACAAAACGAGCCTCAAACTGTCAACGCCGAATTTTGTATCACGCAATTAAAGAAAAGTATGAGAAAAGAAAAGAAAATGGGAATAGGGAATATGGAAATCAAATATGCAGGAAAAGAAAGAAAAAAGATAATGAAAATACAGATCGTGTAAACAATTCTAAACATCGACGTCGATAGCCGTTATATCTTACAACGGCTCATTCGTTAGATCAGACCGCACAACCGGAGGTTCTCTTGGATGATGATATCTGTACAATCGTTAGAAGTCTGCCTCAAAACCAAGGACAAGCAAAAAAACGTACCATTGACTGCTGCCATAACAAATCGGATCTGGGTTGTGTCGGTAGCGCATGTGAAATGTGTGTAGATTTGTTTCTGCTCAGCTTGGTTGAGCGACACGAAGCGGTTCAGAATGTAATCGCAAGCAGCCGCATAGTCGGCGCCGCCTTCATAGTCAGGGAAATAATTCTTCATCGGGCTGACAGGAAGCTTCTCCTTGAAGCGATCGATTTTGTTAAGGAAAAGAATGATCGATGTCTTGACGAACCACCGCGAGTTGCAAATCGAGTCGAACAGCGTCAAGGCCTCCTGCATACGGTTGACAGTCTCGTCCTCGAAAAGAAGCTGATCGTACTCGGAGATAGCGACTAGGAAAAGTATGGTGGTGACATTTTCAAAGCAGTGAATCCACTTCTTACGTTCCGACCGTTGTCCACCAACATCGAACATACGGTAGGTAAGGTCACCAATGATGAATGTCGTTTCGGTGATACCGGTGGTCTTGACACGCGAACGGAGGACATCCTGGTCGCTCGGGAGATAGTCGGGTTGGGCAATGCGTTCGATGGCATCAAAGTAGCTAGTAGCATTGGGTCAGGCTATGTTACGAACGTTTGGTAAGAATTCAAGACTTACTATTGAGCTGAGTCGTTGAGTTGGTATTCGCGAGAGCGGCGGAAACACTCCTGAATGCCGGCATCCCGCCAAAGAGCCTGAATGGCGCTTCCAACTTCGGGGGGAAGGCTGTCACCCTCGATCTGAGCTGGTTGCATAAAAATTGTTTGAACGTGGTACTCGGCACGTGGGTCTTCGAGGGGCAATTCGAGGGATTCCATGGCTTCCAGGATGACACGCATCGACTGGACAGTGTTGCTGTAAATGATCTCCTTGAATGATTCCCGTTCATCGCGGGAATAGCTGCCTTCGTTGATGAGCTTCATTTGCTTCAAGATCGTGGATTTACCCGACTCTCCAGCACCTGCAAGCAGTCAAGCCGTTAGAATTCTCAGTGCAATGATGCGAGTGCACATCAGAGACAACTTACCCAACAGCAACATTTTTATTTCATTGCGCTGCATCATCTTGTCGCGTTTGAGCTGGTTCTCGATCTCCTCATTGCGCGCCTTCCCCTCCTTATCCTCCGTACTCATTCCGCAACCCATTGTGGACGATGTTCGTTGAATTCGTTAAAGATAACTCTTAAACAGACGGGAGACGTGTGCTAGCACTCGAACGGCTGACTTGTAGCAGAACTGGGATGTGTTAGATGAAAGCAGGAAAAGCAGGAACAGATTGAGAATGTGAACGTGACGATGAAATAGAGGCCCACGAGGATCGAGGACTCTGGTCTCCAGAGCAGGATAACAAAGGTTGTTTGCCCGTTTGTCACGACGGGCGTAGACAGACGTAATGAATCAATAATGCGACGTGTCGCAGGGCGATCCAAGTGAAGCAACAATAAGAGATGCCCGTGCAGTGGGCAAGTGAAGAATGACTTACAACCCTGTTTTCTGCAGAAGCCCAATAAAGAAACGATTCGAGATCGACGGTGGATTAATAATAATAATTAAAAAGAAAAAAGGAGGATGTCGGTTGCCCCCTGACAGATAAGACAGATCAAGGGAGGGAGCCAAGAAGGACGCACGAAAGAGGCAATCCAAAGGAAGAAAAGAGAAGAAAGAAAGAAGAGAAGCAGGTAGTTAGACTCTGAAGAACCAACTAACTGCTACAAAGATATTAGAAACGATCGATAAGGTGAGGGAAGGAAGAGTGAGTGAGAGCGAGTGAGTTGCGTGGTTGGAGGTTGTGGTCGGAAGGTGGGAAAGGGAGGAAAAAGGACCGAAGGTGGGATTCGTCGTACGGCGTTGAGCGTAACGCCGTACGGTACGGTAACTGTATTCTGTACACATTAAATTGGTTAACTAACTTTCGGGCGCAGTATTCAGCCAATGGAGGGTTGCGAGGGGGATACGGGGGAGTGGGGCTGGCACTCTGATTAGCCCGAAGCAGAGAATTGGGTTAGACGCGGTATCTATACTTGAGGTTAATTACAGCGAAAAACAGACACTCCATCGCGTGCTGTGATTGAACTAGGTTCGATTAAAAAAACATAGCTTGATGGTGAAACGACTGATCGAAGACGTGATTGGCCAGGGCCAGCGGCAGCCGGATTGACTGTGGGACCACAATATCGAGACAGCTTATTAATGTGAAATTATATTTAATGCTCTAGCGACATGCCCGTTTGACAATCATTACTGTATCTTATAGCTTGTAGCCCATGCAGAGTGACTGACCAATATACACTGCATCAAAAACATGGCACACGGAGTAGGAACTGTATTGGCTGCAAGTCACGGATTTCAGAGTGTTGAAACTTGAGATTCCATCGAATTACCCACAAATGGAGCAGACAGGGGCTCTGCCAATCATATCCTTTGCACGCCCCGCTAAGTGGGCCTCCCCGCCCCGATTGAGATCTAACTCCAGATGCGGTTAGTGCTCTGTGGGACCTCCTGAAAATGCTTCTGTTTCGGGCAATTGTGCAGAAAATTCCATTCGATTTCGGAGTCCTATCTTCGCTCGGCAGTAGAGTCGGGCATAGTTAGCCGTAGATGATGATACAACCACTATAACGTCACATTTAAGTGTCTCAAGTGACTGCATCCTCAGACAGGACCAGTCCTCGAAAAGGCTTTGCCATGGATGTCTAACTTCAATACTTCTCGTAAACCATGATTAGGCTGGTAGTATGGTATGCATATCCCCGCTAGATTCCCATAGACAATGGGCCAGAGCACGGACTGTACGTACATAGCTAGGGAGTACGGGGTAGGACCACCAAGCGGAAGAGTTGGCATATCTGATACAAACTAAATTCAAGTCATACGGCATTCCATGAGCTTTTCTCCAGTTCCAATAGCGACCACGCGCAACGCTTTAGCCCAGTTACACTGTTATTTGGAAGATGTAATGATCGTTGGTAAACCGATACTTGTGCGGATACAGCAAGATTTGCAGTGCCAATTCAGCTAATCTAAATATCTTGAGTTCAAAACCTATCTATTAACTATTTTCAACCATCGAGTATATTATCTCGCTTTGTGAGGCACATCACACAAATATCAAGCACGTCCTCACAATCAACGCCGTTTTTTTCACCTTTAATTCTCTTCCACCCTCTTCTGCCTGCTTGCCTGCGAGTCTGTCACACTTAAGGACGGGCCTGTATTCACTCATAATTTGTCACCTGACAAACAAGTCAATGCAGCTTGTAACTCATCTACTATCTTTTCCTCAAGGCGACTCTCAGCACCCGCATGAAGTGGCTTTTGACGAGCCAACTCCACTTCCTTCTCGTTGGTAGCCACAATACGAGTTCGCAGACTGGTGCGCCGACTAAGCAGCTCTTCAATGTCCTCTTTGAGCTGCGATTTATCCCATTTCAATTCTTGGATGGCTTGGCTATCGACTCCAGCACTTGGTCCGGCGGCTCGGTATCGCTCGAGAATGAATGAAATTAGTGTCAGGGAGTATGCCTCAGACGCCATCGATAGACAGATTCGTTTCTCAGGGTGCTGAGACGATGATAATGTGGTTGTAGGTGCGTGCATACTAGAAAATGACTCAGCTGCTTGAGTCAGTCGCCCTTCAAATTGATTGAGAAATGCCGCGACTTCCGATGCAGCGCGACTAACGTGAAAGAGAAGATTGAGACACAGAGGCAAGAACCCCTCTCTCCAAATCGCATATAGTCGAGGCACCGGGTCAAAGGGACCGAAGCTTTTGGCTTGCCCAAGGATGCGCGTTAGTCGACTTGTGGATAGTTTCATGAGCACCGCTTCAACTGCTAAATATTCCGCCAACATGGGAATGGCAGAAAGTTCCACCAAGAAGATAATGCTTAGTTCGCCGTATACTGGATCGCCTTCAACTGTCAACTGATCTGCCCACGAGAACAGAGTAGTCGCGTATCTAGCGGTGTCATTATCTTCAATGTGAAACACAATGTGTTCATATAATCTCTCCGCATCCTTGACTCGCAGGGCCGTCTGCAAGATTGCCGTGATGATGGCAAAATCCTTGGGCGAGCAACGTTGCGGTTCGTCATGCAAATATGTTGTGAGCGACCGGAAGCCCTGTGCAATCACAATCTTAATCACCTCTAATATAATAGAGAGATCTGGTGAAAGGTCAGGTTTCCCCTTCTTCTTATTCCTAGACTCCGGGGCTGCTGCTGATGGTTTGGTGACATGAAACTGAAGCGCGAGGAAAAGAACGTTGAGTAAACCACGGTAATACTCTGTATGGTCATGAATCAAGGCATTTTCGTACGTAGTGCCACAAGAGCGCATTGTTTCCCACACAGTGGCCAGCAATCCAACCATTTGCGGACCATGAGCACCAAACTCGACCAATCTTTGAAGCATTGAAAGAGCAAAATCAACACGAGACGTTTGCAGCTTCGAAAAAATAGGCTCCTCAGGGACTGCACGGGTGTTTGCAAGTAAACAATTCCGCACGATTAGCGCCATGGATTTTTGAATTTCTTGATCAGGAGTAAAGTCGGTTGCATGCTCGATCGCGAAAAACTTCCAACTATTGAACAGATTCTGCATGATATTTCATGTTAGTCTTAAAATTCCCTCGATCTATTCCAAGACATTAAATGTCACTTACTACTTGTGCTTCCACCAGAGACAGATTGAGGTTCGCTCGCTCAAACTCATCTGCAAAACCTTGATCCTTTCTCCCTTTCCAAGAGAAGTCATATGACAGTAGTCTATCCGATAGATAAAGATCATAATAGTACCCTTTACCTAGTGGTCGTATCTCAAGGGCCGTGCGCTTCAATTGTTGAAGATGGCATCCTGCGTATTTCATTTCGAAATTTCTCTTTAAGTTAGCGTGAAGGGACGCGTTGTAACCGGAGACGTCCACTGCGTTTTCGGCGTACCAGGAGACTAGTGGTACCAGCATCTTGACAAACGTCTGATCCCTAGCCTCCTTCGCTGAGTGCAGGTAAACAGCACACAGGTTGGCTGTAATGGCTGCAATTTGTATCATATTAATCTGGGTTGTAACTGTCTCACTGTCGAGTTTCAAGTGAGAAACGTAGCTCACAATGGAGCTAAAAAAGTTAGAATGGTTGCCTAACTGAGGAGTTGCCCAAGGCCAATGCTCCTGTGAGCAGGAAATGAATTCAAGTAGTGACAACGAAACCAGAGGGTCGAGGTGGTCGATATTTGTCAAAGAGTTGAGTGCTGTTTTGAGGAATGGAGTATTCCGCATCTTCGGAGCTTTGTCGTCGCCGGTGCTCAGTTTCAATGTGTCACGAGGTGAACTTCCCGTAAGGAGATATATAGCAACCCATTGCTGACGTTTACTGACAAATGCAGACAGAAGTCGCCATATTGACACCAGCAAGGTCATGTTAGGTAAAGGCTTGTCGAATTGTGCGAGCATGTCAAGGAAAAGGCATGTCGATTCTGCGCCTAGATGGCCAAGGAAGGAAGCTGGCTCGTTTTCAAGATCTAATGCTGCGTTCGTGATCAACATCTCTAAAAGAGTTACCACAGGTAAACGGTAGCGGTCATGGGCGCTGTAAAGTTTGACAAGGATAGGAGATGCCTTAAAAAGTTGATCTTCAAGGAGAGATGCAGCTGACCCAGCCAGCTGCGCTGCTTGAATCAATTTTATAGCTAACCTGAGTGTGGCGATCAGCTGGTGTTCATAGCAAAGTAACTGGCGAAGGTAGATGGTGCTTGTCGGAGTTTGAAGGCCATCCAGGATAATACGTAAGACGGGGTTTAATGGCAACTCATCCTTTGACTGAGGTCGCAGCACGTCGAGGATGTATTCAGCTGACTGCTCAAAGACTGCTGAAATCTTTGACTGAGCATTTACCGTTTCGTCAATACCATACGTATAGTAGATGATTCTTTCAAAGTTCTCGGCCAACACGGCATTCACCTGAAGCCTATGCTCCGGTTGATTAAACCGCCAATTTCCAGAACTGTTGTATATTTCAACCATGACACGCACAAAATCTGAGAGTACTTTGCTGATGACATGAGATGGCACACCGGCGGTCCTATCGGAGGAATCACCGGACCTAGTAATCGTGCGTGCCGCCATTTTCCGTACTGCAGCGTTCGATATCGCATCTTCCACAACTGCACCGAAGAGATCGACACAGCTGAGGAGAAAAGGATAATTACCCGACGTCACTTCGCTCGCTTGCACAATTGCAGAGAAACGGCCTCCTTGACCACCTTGGCCTAACAGGCTACTCCGAGATAAGAAGGGCCACGCGCGACTTGGAAGAAAAGAAACAAGAGCTCGCAGAAATCGCAAGCAGGCCACGACCACATCGAGCGAATCGCCAACACTTTGTAGATTTCGTTCCAAGATATCGAAAATCACGGACACAATGTCGCTACGTTCATTCAAACCTTCACTAGCAAGTTCAAGTATCTTTCTTGGGCCATTGCCATCTTCCGTGGTTTGGCACGCAGCCATTAGATCAGTGAGCAGCCCGATGATCTCAGCGATGGCTTCATCGTCAGCGTTAGGCATGTGGCCGCCATTGGTTGACCATTTTTCTAGCCAGCTACCGAGGAAGGTTATACAAGAGTATTTATGATACCACATGATAACGGCAGGCTTTGATTCTGAAACTACCTGGCCGGTTGTTGTTGGCTGAAGCTGTGAAGAGCCTGTAACAACAAGCGCGGTCTCTGTACCGGTATTTTCATTTAGTTTCGCGGTTGTCGAGGCAATCATGGGAATCGGCTGGACAAGTGAAACAAAATTGGCATTTTCGTCTTCACGTATAGTTTCGTACCCCTGGAAGTCCGGTGACACCATTTGAGTGAAAGTTTCCATGGTATCCAATTCGTTTAAGATACCATCAGCACCGCTCTCATTGATTTCGTCTTTTCCAGTTAAAGCTCGACATAATTGAAGGAACGGCACTGATTCATACGGAAAACGAGAGCGAGCGATGTGGAATATTCGACCCATGAGATTCTCATCGTTTAGGAAAATGAAACGGGGGTCGCTTGGCTGAGTGATAGAGTCGTTGTATCCTTCAAGAGGATTCGTTGATGACTTCAAGATTGACAAAGTCGACGCTAGAATTTCTGGAGAGTAATCTATCAATTGTGAGCTCACGCGAATAATACTCATCAAGGAATTGCGAATCCACAAATTGGTTGCCAAATCATCAACGGCGGAGGCTGACCCGGCAGCGGAAGCGATATTATTAATGACTTCGAATAGCTGGCCTCTTTCAATAGCTCCCAAGGTCAGCACGCCAACAAAGTCATCTCCATAAGCAGGGACTCGGGCAATATCTAATAAGTCTTCATAAAACGTCTGCTCTAACGAGCGAGATGAAGATGTGGCGGGTAAATTAGCTTGGAACGAATCGACTGCGCTGTGAAACTGCTCCATTTCTCGGGTCTCTTTCGCAATTTGTGCTATTTCTCGCATTTGATAAAGTATTGCGCCCCAGGCAAAGGCCGCAGGACTAGCACTCAGTACTTCCATATTAACAGCATTCAAAAGCACCTCGTTGATCTCTGTAATGTGTGCACGGGATAGAAAATACGGCTTAGAATGCGACAAAGCTTCGGCTTGCGACAATTTGGCATTCTTCAAAACCAATGTCATGGAATCAGGAAGCTTGAGCAAACCTAGGGTCGTGACGGAAGTGACAACTTGCAGGGAAAGTCTGAGAACAATTGGGTCCTCACATGGCTAGGAAACGAAAGTTAGAAGATCACACAATCTGGGGCCTTTTTGTACTCACCGGGTTGATAGGCTCCATGAAGCTATATTCAGCCATGAGCCGTAACCAGGCCAAAATAACCTCTCCAGTCGGTAACAAATCAGACGATTGAACATGCAAGAAGATAATCTGCATGATGTGTACAATCTCATCAACAAGAGCTGTTCGCCAAGCATTCTCTGACTCAATGTTGCTCTCAGAGGCAGACAACCAGCCACCTTCAGCCTGAAAATCGGAGGCACGCTTTTCAATGGCCTCAATCGCTTCAAGTAAAAATCGACTGTTTTCGGCTTCTCCAAGTTTATCTTTGAATAACTGTTCCCCGAGGCTTGCAAGACCGTCCTTTATGGGACCTTGGTCTGCGTGTGTAAGCGGTATTTGGGAAGCATCAGCTGGAACTTTCCCATGCAGAGTAAGCGCCAGTAATTTTCTGGAGATTTTAAGAATATGACTCCTTTCCGACAAGTATAAGCTCCGCAGGCGTATACGTCTGGACTTTTCAGAATAGAAATCTGCATCTGAGCCCCCGTGCACTTTTTTCAGAACTTCTTTTAACTGCGGTCCGGCCAAGGAAACGCGAAAACTATCCACACTCGTTGCATCTTGTAAACTGGTTGCTTCTTCTTCGGAGAGTCTCCCTAGAAGTCGGGTGTTGGGTCTACTCTGCCATTCTTGGACCGTGATTCGGAGTGCTGATACCTCGTCGATTCCAGCTTTTTGACTCAACCACAGAGCATCGGACTTGATCTCTTCTATTTTATAAGCTGCCTGTGGTGATGTATCCACATGGATAGCGGCTGTTTTGGACTCGAATTCGGATTTGGACTTTGGAGAAGGAGAATCGAAAGGCGTGAAGCAATTCGAAAGCGATCGGACGCTTTCTGGATGGGACAAGAAGGATGTGATGTATTCGGCATCACTGTGGTACTCTGGCGAAGACGAGAGTGCAATAAATGCACGTCTCCAAGATCTGTTTATGTTAGTTCAAAGGTCTATTAGGCAAATCCGGGTGTCTGGATATCCATACAGAAGCTGTGCGTCCCCAGAGAAACATTTATCCAGGGACGCGAAATAGGCTTCCGGAGCCGGAGCCATCACTGGCACAGCTATATCATTATCCAGATGCCAAAACTGTTGCGACAGGGATGAGGAAAGAAAATAAACCCAGCGAGAACTCTCAGCTGGCGAATTGAGAGGCGTGGTAGGCAATCTGTAGCTATTGAGCTGGTAATTAAAACAACCAAAAACGAGCTTGCGGCGGCAACATCAAAGCGGAGCGCGACTGGACTAATTTGGTTTAGCGCCACGACGGCAACTGTCCCTCCTTCCTTCTGTTGGGGATTATTTCTCTCAGACGATTTACCCATTGACAATTGTTGCACTGTCTGTCTGGCCTCGATAAAGAGATATCGCCGGCGCCTCTTTCTCTATACCTACTGTGCATGTTCTAGCCATTCTTCTTGGCTTTAGCAGCGCTATCTTGACCGCCCTGCTTGACTCCATGTACACCGCATAAAAAACGTGACTCACTCGCCGCCCCTTGAATCGCTAAGGATTGCTCGATTCGAGCTCGTTCGGAGTCAAGAAGATCCATTGGTAGGTAATCCACCAATTCTTCAATGTGTACTTTCTGTAACTAACTCCTCAGCAACTTGTTCGGCCGAAATGGAGAACGGTCTAGTGGACTATTCCCCCCGCCACCCAACGAAGACGGAGAAGCTTGAGTCGGCCTCCAACGTGGTCCTGATTGACAACTACGACTCATTTACTTGGAATGTTTACCAGTATCTGGCGCTTGAGGGTGCAACGATCACCGTCTATCGAAATGATCAGATCACACTAGATGAACTGATTGCGAAGAAGCCGACTCAGCTCGTGATAAGCCCTGGTCCAGGTCATCCTGAAACCGACTCGGGTGTCAGCAGGGCCGCTATCGAGTACTTCAGTGGGAAGATACCTGTGTTCGGCGTCTGTATGGGACATCAGTGCATCATTTCTGTGTTCGGCGGCAAAGTTGATGTAACTGGTGAGATCTTGCATGGCAAAACTTCGGTATTGACACACGATGCGAAGGGAGTCTACTCCGGGCTCCCGGCTTCCTTGAATGTTACCAGATACCATTCTCTGGCTGGTACGCATCCTACCCTTCCGGACTCGCTTGAGGTATCCTCTTGGGCCAACGTAGACCTTGGCCGGAACCCCATTATCATGGGTTGCAGACATAAAGGTAGGCATCCCGGTTATGACAGTATTGAAACTCGCAATCTGACAATGAAAATAGAATTTACAACGGAGGGTGTGCAATTTCACCCGGAAAGTATCTTGACTGAACATGGAAGGTCGATGTTCCGGAATTTTCTCAGGTTGCGTGGTGGTACCTGGAAGGAGAATGCAGCCTTCTTTTCCAAGCAACCAATAACTGTATCTTCTGGCGGAGGCAAAGGGGAAAAGAAAATTTCTATCTTGGAAAAGATTTACGCACATCGAAAGGAAGCAGTTGCAGCTCAAAAATTGATCCCATCGCAGACTCCTGAGGACCTTCAAGCTGCCTACAATCTTGGCATCGCCCCCCCACAGATATCATTTCCTGATCGACTAAGACGGACACCATACAATCTAGCCTTAATGGCTGAAATTAAAAGAGCCTCTCCTTCGAAGGGGACGATTGCAGCCTCAGTCTGCGCACCTGCACAAGCCAGAAAGTATGCTGTCGCTGGGGCCAGTGTTATATCAGTTTTAACAGAGCCAGAATGGTTCAAAGGTAGCTTAGATGACATGCGTACCGTACGGCAGAGCCTTGAAGGACTGCCTAATCGTCCTGCCGTCCTTCGGAAGGAATTCATATTTGACGAATACCAGATTCTCGAAGCACGCCTTGCCGGTGCGGATACAGTATTGCTCATTGTCAAGATGCTTAGTGTTGAGTTGTTGACGAAGCTCTATAAATATTCTCGAAGTCTAGGAATGGAGCCATTAGTCGAAGTTAACACGCCAGAGGAGATGAAGATCGCCGTTGAATTGGGCTCCCAGGTGATCGGTGTGAACAATCGCGATCTCACAAGCTTCGAGGTGGATCTAGGTACCACCAGTCGGCTGATGGACCAAGTCCCAGAAACAACTATCGTTTGCGCACTGAGTGGTATCTCAGGGTCTGCGGATGTCGGGGCGTATAAAAAGGATGGAGTAAAGGCTATATTAGTTGGAGAAGCATTGATGCGGGCCAAAAACACGGAGAACTTTGTTTCCGAGCTTCTTGGGGGCAGTGTAGGTTCCAAATCTTCTAAGATCTCGTCACCCCTGGTTAAGATCTGTGGAACGAGGACCCCAGAGGCAGCCCGTGCCGCTATCGAGGCGGGTGCCGATTTGATTGGCATAATTCAAGTTGAAGGTCGTAAGAGGCGAGTATCTGATGAGGTTGCTTTGCAAATATCGGAAGTCGTCAAGGCAACGCCACGCCCGTCCGGGAAACGACCTGCGGATGAGGAATTACCAATTTATTTTGAACATTCAGCAAATACACTGCGCCATCCTACTCGTGCTCTTCTTGTTGGCGTCTTTGCCGGTCAGCCTTTGTCCTACATCATCGAACAACAGCGTAAGCTGGGACTTGATGTTGTTCAGCTTCATGGAGATGAACCTGTAGAATGGGCGAGTTTAATACCTGTTCCCGTGGTTCGAAAATTCAGTCCTGGTGATCCTAGTGTCTCTCGTCAAGCTTATCATGCCCTACCCTTACTTGATTCTGGTGCTGGTGGCTCGGGGAAACTGTTAGATGTGTCGTCTGTGGCTAAAGAGCTGGAGGGCAATGCCGGGCTTCGCATCATTCTCGCTGGTGGTCTTAATCCCCAGAACGTAACTGAGGTAGTGAAGAGCCTGGGTGATTCAGCCTCGAAGGTTGTTGGCGTCGATGTGAGTAGCGGTGTCGAGACAGGTGGTGCTCAAGACCTTGAAAAGATCCGTGCCTTTGTTTCGGCTGTCAAGGGGCAAGCAGCTCTTTAAAAGGTTTTACTTTACGTATGATCACGCTGTCACGAAGTATGCTCGGGAGGAAATAGGGTCATCTCACAAATATAAACAAATCGCATTTACTTTCTCTTCACTACTCAACCTTTGACCTTTCCAAGCGCAACAATATCTCCATGATAAAGCGCCTCACTCCTTTCAACATCTTTCCTTAATTCTTCATTATCTAGACCCTTTACATCTCTGCTTTTCATCTACTTGGACCATCTTAGAACCCTAGTTGAAGAGTTTGCCTCGCTTTGGTGAGGTGAAGCAACTTCGTTTCAGCATCAATCGTCTGTCGAATGACCAACACTCAGTAGGCTCAACCAACCTTTCACTGCTGGAGTTAACACTTCATTGATTCAGGTCCTACAGTTTGATCTTTCTTTCTCCATCTCATTTGGAACACCACTCATTATTCTAGCAGGAAAGGACTATCTAGTCAGAAAATGGCGAAAGGATTCAATGGCGTCAACGTATCCTTCGTTGGTACCCATGAGCATAGCGACAAGATGCCCAGATGGCTGAAAGCGAATGGTGGCATTTACTCTCGCAACATTGATGAATCTGTCACCCATCTCATTGCGACCGAATCGGCTGTGAAAGCAAATGTTGACGCAGGTACGATTTTCTTACACTGGCCCCCTCAAAGCTTTAAATAGCGTCAGGGAAGGTTGACAGTTTGCGAACTACAGTGGAAAAAGCCAGATCTCTTAAAATCAAAATTGTCACCTATGACTGGCTTGAAGATTCTCTGCTTTCGAAAACATGCAAGCCCAAGCGCGAAGGTCCATATCTTTGGGATCGGATCCTGAGAGAGAGCAAGCCCAAAGGGGTCAAGAAACCAGAAAACAAAGAGGCACGCCAGAAAAAGCTGAAAAGGCTTGATTCAGGTAACTACCCTACACGAGAGAGAGAGAGAGAGAGAAACGGCAACGGAACGGAATTCAATATAACGTTGTTCGCAGAAAAACTCTTAGGGGAACTTTCGCAAGGCGCACGTGCTATTGTATCTGACATGGAAAGACGTATGCTACCCTAAATGCTCTTCTGTTCTCTATTCAGCTTATCTTTGAAACTGAACAATTGCCGAATTGATAGTGGGCTATCATCTTTACGTTGACGATTCCACTGGAGTAAGCTATTCTGCAACTCTAGTTCGCAATACACTCGTGAACGACCGTTCTCGCAAAGAAACCTTTCACACTGGTGTAAGTGAACCAAAAACATACATTATTCAACCTCCTTCAAATCCGCATTTGATACGCGTCCCCATATACAATCCAGTCGCTCAACAACTTCAGGTGTACGAATCAAACGATATGCCGCACAATTACACGACATTTGTCAAATACACTCGGGCTGGGGCATCTAGTAAGGACATGCTGGCCCCCAAGGGAAGCCTTGACTCTGCTTTGTTCGCATTCAAGAAGTTCTTCCATATGAAAACTGGGTTGGAATGGAAAGGTCGATTCGATGATTCAAAGGTTCCTGTTTCGTGTGGGAAAGAGGGAGATATTGGCTCTTCAGACCAAGGATGGTTTCGATACGAACGCCCGGCTGGTTTGATGGCGGCCTTGAACATTGATGCCGAAAGAACACTTTGTGGTGAACAGATTGAAACTGGCAGTGTTAATGAAGAAGGCGAAGCAGAAGATGATGCAGCTCTCGCTTCTGTGGACGACAACATCTGAAGCCAATCTGATGATGTTCACCATCTAGTCTAATTTCTGGGAATCTCTTCTAATATTTGAATTCCACGGGCCATGTTAAAACCGATATGGCGAGGGATATTGATCTTATGAAACTGCTGCAAAATTTTTTAATTGGCTATTGATGTTCTTTTCAAATCTCTCAAAACCTCATGAAACTCCTCAAGTCCATACTCCGTAAGACGCCGCAATCACTTGACTGTGATCTATGCAAAGTAGACGTTGCTAGTCCTAATATTCGTTTCGCTTCTTTATAGATAATCCTTCTTCCGGCTCGTCCTTGTGTATTGAGTAAGAGCCCACTCCACATCACCACCTGCATTCTTCTCTAAAGTACCGCCTCGAATCTCAAACAGTCGCATGGTCATACGAGGTCCAACTTCAGCAAGTTCGACATCCTGATACCCGGTCCTGACAAAAACGTGATGTCGGACCTCAATCGCATCCTCTCTATTTTGAAACGTAACAACTCTGTTTCCAAGCTTTCCACCGCCGTCTCGTGGAGGAAAGAGATGTTTGAGAATCTGAACAACACGCTTCCCCAGTTTTGTCGTGAACCCCTCAAAGATAATATGCGGGTAGCTTTCAGAAACGGTTCCTCTGGAAGAATCGGGGATATCTGCTCGCAGCATGACATTATGCAGCGAGAAACTGGCAGTTGGACCATGAGGCAGATGCGATACTGTGATAGCGGTAGGCGTGCCACGGTGTTCGTGTAATAGAACCATATCCGTGAGCGCAGCAGCATTTGCGCTAGATACTAGGTCTGGTAGAATCAAATTTCCTCTGTTTAAACGGATAGACGTCGGGAGGAGCAAACGTATTTCTTTCGCAAAGGTGCTAAGACGCGCTGATGGAGACCGAGAAGTGGTGACCAGTGGGCGAGGGTCTACCAGACCAGATGTAAGGGCATATTCATCGTCAACATCCATGAATTCGTCATCTTTGCCCTGGTCCTTGGAGGCCGACGGCAGCGACTCGTCGTATTTGAAATCTTCGCGAAGGCGGGAATCGTTGGCTATGGAGGGATCTAGAGGTTTTCCGGAGGCCAGAGAAGCCTTCAGCTGAGCGCGCTTTTCAGCAATTGATGCATCCCGAAGCAAAAGCGCTACAAAGAGTGGTTAGCTGAATCAAAATATCCTCAATGGTATCAAGTTCAACAGACCTTTACGGTACAGGTAATCCCGTCGCTCTCGTGCTTGTCGGCGCTGGATAGCATGTCAGTACAGAAGCTTCACGTTGTATATAGCATGCCTGAAGCGAACTCACAATCATGGCTGCCTTGTACGCAACGTTGTTGGCTTGTGATAGACGACGCCGTAAACTTGCACTTTTTTTTATTCTGCCGATAAAAAAAGTGCGGCAATGGAGTGTGTCGCCCGCCGTGGAACGGGATTTTGGTGGGAGTGGAGGCAAGCGCGTACGATGATTGGCGGATGCCGCATTACACATGCACCACCGCCTTTGCGGAGGAGCTTTTCTTTGGCCGCCACACTTCATCGCCAAATCCCAAATCTTTGGCAGTCATGTCGGTGGAGTTTCTGTGAGCTCTTCTCTCTGCCGATCTCGAAAACCAACACCAAGGCCCCCTCTCCCGAGTACTGAAAGTGCCAGGGCGTTGTATAGCGCCGCTCGTTCTCACTAACAAGTTACAGCCCTCACGCCTTCGTTTAGCAAAAGCGACACCACTCACTCGGTCAGCTCGTTCAGACCCCAGACTTCCACAGTTATCCAGATTACGGGGATTTTCTTTCAGGCATATAGTCTGAATGCTGCTACTTTGCCATCCGGTTTTATCTCAATCCGACCTTCCATACCACTTCCTAAACTAGTAGTGAATGCATGATAGTGCAAGGATGGACGCGTTCACGAATCTAGGAAACCACATGGTTTCCGACTCTGCCTCAACAATCAATGCAGATGATGGCTTTTCTATGGTTGATCCAGATGAAAACCTCTTAAGCCTCGCCGGCGGTGCCCGCCGCAGGAGACACGACGACGAAGACGACGGCTCGGATGGTTTTGATGATGATGAACTGGAGAGTCTCGCAAGCGTACCAGTTGATGGCCGATTACAGAAACAGAAGTTTGAAGAAGAGAAGGAGTTACCTCCTCATGCCTGCGCGTGCGTACCCAATCAATGTCCCCCCTGAACAATTTCTGTGCATTATAAATACTAAGATCACATAGGTATTGTGGCATACACAACCCCAGCAGCGTTGTGAAATGTCTATCTTGCAGCAAATGGTTTTGCAGTGCACGTGGCAACACCTCCTCTTCGCATATTGTAAACCATCTTGTCCGCGCACGGCACAAGGAAGTGCAACTACACCCAAGCTCATCCCTTGGAGATACCATTCTTGAGTGCTATAACTGCGGAACGAAGAACGTCTTCCTTCTCGGTTTCATCCCCGCCAAATCAGACACAGTCGTCGTCCTTTTGTGCCGTCAACCATGTGCCGCTATGCCGTCTTCCAAAGACATGAACTGGGATACTTCGCGCTGGCAGCCACTTATCGAAGACCGTTCATTTTTGCCATGGCTAGTAGCGACGCCATCCGATCAAGAACAACTCCGAGCACGTCATCTAAGCCCACAAATGATTGCAAAACTGGAGGAGATGTGGAAAGACAATTCGACCGCCACTGTTGCTGACTTGGAGAAGGCAAACAGCGTTGATGACGAGCCGGCTGCTGTTCTACTACGCTACGACGACGCATACCAATATCAGAACGTATTTGGTCCCTTGGTAAAGATAGAAGCAGATTACGACCGCAAGTTGAAGGAATCGCAGTCTCAAGACGGATTGATTGTCCGATGGGATCTGGGTCTTAATAACAAACACTTAGCCAGCTTTGTACTTCCCAAGCTCGAACTAGGAGACGTCAAGTTGGCGGTTGGTGACGAAATGCGCTTGAAGTACACCGGGGAATTGCGTCCCAAATGGGAAGGCGTCGGCTATGTTATCAAGATCCCTAACAATCAGTCGGATGAAGTCACAATAGAGTTGCGCGCGAAGGGCGATCACAAATCTGTTCCTACGGAATGCACACACAACTTCACCGCAGACTATGTCTGGAAGGCGACTTCATTTGATCGTATGCAATACGCCATGAAGAATTTTGCTGTCGATGAAATGAGCCTCTCGGGTTATCTTTATCACCGTCTTCTGGGTCACGAAGTGGCTGCGGCGCCGATGAAGACTCAGATGCCAAAGAAATTCAGCGTGCCTGGCCTTCCTGAACTGAACGGCAGTCAGATCAATGCGGTAAAAAGCGTCTTACAGAAACCTCTAAGCTTGATTCAAGGACCGCCAGGAACCGGTAAAACAGTCACATCAGCCACCATTATCTATCACCTTGCGAAGATCAACGGAGGTCAGGTCTTGGTTTGCGCACCCTCAAACGTCGCTGTTGATCAGCTTTGTGAGCGCATCCATCGCACAGGCCTCAAGACTGTCCGTGTCACTGCTAAGTCTCGCGAAGATGTGGAGTCTCCTGTACGATTCTTGTCGTTGCATGAACAAGTTCGAATGAACGATAGCAACATTGAACTCATCAAGCTTAATCAACTGAAGTCAGAGCTAGGTGAATTGTCCAGCCAAGATGAGAAGAAATTTAAGCAGCTTACTCGCGCTGCTGAGCGAGAAATCCTCACCAACGCCGACGTCATCTGCTGCACATGTGTTGGTGCTGGAGATCCACGGTTGGCCAAATTCAAGTTCCGAACGGTTCTTATTGACGAATCCACTCAATCTGCAGAGCCTGAGTGCATGATTCCTCTAGTACTTGGCTGCAAGCAGGTCGTCCTTGTTGGTGACCATCAACAATTGGGCCCTGTCATCATGAACAAAAAAGCTGCAAAAGCAGGTCTTAATCAGTCTCTTTTCGAGCGTCTTGTCATTCTTGGTTGCTCGCCTATTCGTTTGAACGTGCAATATCGAATGCATCCTTGCTTATCCGAGTTTCCTTCCAACATGTTCTACGAAGGATCTTTGCAGAATGGCGTGTCTATGGCACTACGCCTCCGCCGTGAGGTTGACTTCCCTTGGCCTGTGGCGGAGAATCCCATGATGTTCTGGTCTAATCTTGGCAACGAGGAGATTTCTGCATCGGGAACTTCCTACCTCAATCGTACGGAGGCTGCCAATGTGGAAAAGATTGTGACACGATTCTTCAAGGCAGGCGTGCAACCACAAGAAATTGGTATCATCACCCCTTACGAAGGTCAACGCAGCTACGTAGTTTCTTCAATGCAGGCAAACGGCACTTTCAAGAAGGAGAACTACAAGGAGATTGAAGTTGCGTCGGTCGATGCATTCCAAGGACGAGAAAAGGATTTCATTGTCGTTTCTTGTGTTCGATCCAACGACCATCAAGGCATTGGTTTCTTGAGCGATCCTCGTCGTCTCAACGTCGCTCTCACTCGTGCCAAATACGGCGTGGTGATTCTAGGCAACCCGAAGGTCCTATCCAAGCATCCTCTTTGGAACTATCTACTCCTCCATTTCAAGGAACGCAAGTGCTTGGTCGAGGGTCCCTTGTCGAATCTGCAGGAATCTCTCGTTCAATTCAGCCGTCCTAAACAGGCTTACCGTGGACCTCAAAGATTCCAGATGGCCTACAACCACGCATCAAGTATGGCAAGCGGCATGACGACCAATGGCAGAAATGGACACCACCGACCGCCTGAATACCACGACACGGGCTCTGTGATTGGATATATCCCCGACGACGTATCTTCAGTGCATTCCTCTGCCATTGGCGGTGGCGGAGTAGGCATTCCTTCAGGCTATCCACCCATGTTTCAAAACTTCGCAGAAGCATGGCCATCTCTACAAGGCGGGGCCCGTAGAGGAGCCAATGGAGCTCGGAACAAGGGCGCACCAAGTGTTGCCGGCGAATCAGTCGCAGCCACAGAGTCGGATATGACGAGCAGCGTGATAGACGGCAAGGGTAGCGTTGGCCAAGGTGGAGTCAGTCTAGCAGGTCTGAGCATCAACGACATGACGAAGCAAACCAGTCTTAGTCAGTCTGACAGACTGAAGCGGTACGTTGAGTCCGGGGGATACAAATCGAACGTCAACGACAGCGCAAGCATTTTTGGTGGCAGCAGCACGGCTAGCATCCGTGTACCCCGTGGACCTGGACATGTTCATCAAGACGACGATGACGCTCGCAGCGTTTCTACAGCATTTGCCAGTCAGATTGGTGGCAATTATGACTGAATGTGCTGCTAAACAACGGAGGATGTTCATTTTATCTTATTACATTTTTTTTCTCCGCCAAAAAGAATATAGCCTGTGAGGAGGGGCTAACAAATCAACAGCCCAGGGACTATTGAAGCTCGGCAGCTACTTAATTACTCTTCATGAAAGATGCTTCTTTCTTAGCGGGGCGAGATCATTGATATATCGGTTATTTCGATGTCTGAAAGACGATATATATGGCTACACTGCGTCTTTGTCTGATCGGTCGGTCACTGTCAGAGAGAACTATCATCGATCAATTAATCAAGAACAATCTATTTCTTTCTTGAGTCTTTTCGCCTCGTTGATTGATGAAGAAGACTTTGGTGGTGTTACGCTTTTAGTTCTTTGATTCCTCCTTGTCTCTATGTCGGCAGAGCGTACAAGCAAAGCTATTGTGCACCTGCCAAAGAGCAAGTGCACTAGTTGTGATCGCATCTTAGCATGTGGCCAGGAGGGGGGGAGAGAGCTAGCGAGCGCGAAAGCGAGGGCAATGAAGGGAGAGAAGTAAAGAATGGAAAGAGTGGTGGTCTTATTTGAAGATTGTCCAAGCTGACTGACTGATGTTCAGTACCTACCTATCTACATTGAAATGTGTTTTATCAGCAGAATCAGTGACCTATTGCTTATTGCATGAAGAGAGAGAAAAGAAAAAGAAAAAAAGAAAAGCAAAACAAAATTGTCAAGTCAAGTTACATACATACATCATAGAATTGGACGTAGTTAGTCTTCAATTGACTAGTTCTTGAAACCTAGAATATTGAAAGTAGACCTATTTATTAATTTATTGTATAAATAGTAGTTATAAAATGCATCATCCGTGAATTACTAATGATGGTATGACATTATATATTGTCGATTCATTGCAAAACCCATTCCATCATCTATCATCTCAATATCAGACTGTAGATAGATACACAAAACAAAAAACGAATTAAATACCGGAAGAACATAGAATGAAGGAGGGAAAGATGGGTAACGTACGTTACTATCCCTTTAACTATGTTAGTCGTGAATGCAATGCAAAAAAATAATAAGAAAATGCAATGGCAATGACCAGACAAAAGGCTTGGCTGGGGTATCTCAAACGACACATGACTGAGTAGATACAACAGCAGCAGCAAAAATAAGAAGGCCAGACAAAATCAAGATATGCTTTCGCTAATAATTCGACAACAAGAGATATGATATGAAGTCAGATGGTTTGGAGAATGTCAAGAGTAAGACGATGCACAAAAGTATGATTGACATGATAATATGATGATGATGATGATGATGATGATGATGATGATGCGAGGACACCTTTCCATGATGAAATGAACAAAAACCTCAAACAATCGGATATATACATATAAAAACGCCATGACAAGAACAATTTCAACCCAATCGCCAGCGACTCGAGGACAATGCCAATGCGTGAGACGAAAGAAAATGCCTGTTTGTTATGCAATGAATCGAAAAGTATACTCCAGATAAAAATGATATAACACCATCCATGTTAGAACCTGATCAACATAACCTTGGGAAAATGACGTGAGAAAAAAAAAAAAAAAAAAACAGTCGTAACATGTTCAAAAATCAAATAAATATAATATAGGTCTTCGTCCATCAAGGAAGCGCATTCAGCGGCGGAATCGTCGGTGATGTAGACACTACAGGTCCGAGAGATGGCGAGTATTCTTTGCTTCGCACAGATTCCGCATCACCGCCTGCTTTCGTATTTCGATCACGCTCCTTGGACAAAGCTCGTTTGATGACCGTCTGGCCAATCTGTCGGAAGATGCCCCTTCGTTCAGCCTTGAGATCTTCCATGTCTAGTCGCTGGACTGGCACTGGGTCTTCCTTGGTGATTCGGCAAAACAATGTAGAGAACAAGTATTGATCGCCGCTGTCATCGTACAATGGGAGATAGCGATATCCTTCAGACAGACTGCTGAATTTCGCCGTGAAACTAGCAAGTTGGATGGCATTATTGTTTCCCGCACTACGAGCATCAGGCGAGTTCCAAACAGTCCAGCGAACAAAGACGAGATCGGGATATTTGGTCTCAACTGCTAGCCACAATTTCTCGTCGAAAACCGGACTGAACCCATTGTTTGCTTCGATCTTCGTCCGACGGCGATGTGGAAGCCCCAGACCGGACATGCCGTTACGAGCAGACACATTTTGGCCACCTCCTCCAAGGGCAACACACTGGCCGCGATCATCTGCCGAGTACATCTCGACTTCGATATATGGGTTGATATTGTCATCCGGTCCCATACTTCTGGGTCGTGGAAGCTGTTGAGCGGAAATGATGTCGACCGCCAATCGAACAAACTTTCGTTCAGTGGTCACTGGCTTCCCTTCGCTAAACGCATCTAGCGCGGACGTTGGTCGACGAAGCTCTTCTGGTTTGAGTACATACCCGGTTCGGTCTGTGCCAGCGGCAAACATGGCCTGGTTGATTTGCATGCCGATGTCGTACGTCTGCCAATTGAGAGCAGCCATCTGGACACCACTCCGCCAAAACGAGGTTGGGTCGAAGTTGGACGACTTCAAACGAAATGCAGACGGATAGACTCGCGTGAGAAAGCGTTTATTGTGAATATCGAATAGAGCTTTGTTGTCTCCCTCGCGACAAGCGCTCTCATAAGCCCGCTCTGCAAAGGAAAACACATGGTTGTACTGTTTGCTCTCAGGAGCGATGAAACTCTGCCATTTGTAGCCACGGGTGTAGACGCCAAGATCAGATAGAGGCTTGGTAATTTTGCTTCGTTGCCGCCGTTTCTTCTCTCGGCTGGCATTGATCAGTGCGCTATCGCTATCATCTGTGGCGCTACTCATGCCCGTAGATGTTGCTGAACGACGACTAGGAGCAATTATAGGCATCGGCATGGTAACGTCCATCGAGGGTCCGATTGTTGGAGGACTTGAGAGAGGAATATCAGCCGCAACACTAAGGCTTTCGTAGCCTGTACTGCGCAGAAACGGGGTGCTTGAGCTTCGCTTTCGTCCATGGAAACTTGGCGTGTTCGAAATACCTTCCGGTGGAAGGGTGTTTTGTGGCTCATCACAAGTCTTCACTTTGACAAGAATCTTGTTCTTCAGCTCTTCTGGTGACGGTAGGACGGTACTTTTGGGAAGTAGGGGCTCGAGAATTAATTGCTCGCCAAATGTTTCTTTCATTATTTTGACCATGGCAAACTGCTGTTCGGGGTTGCAATGGACTTCGAGTGACAGGATAAGAGGAAAGTCGGATGAAATGAAGGCATATCTGTTGATCACAGTAATACAATCTACGAACAGGACGCTGGTTGTCATTGTCCGTCCGTGGGAGACAATTGGACGTCCGTCAGACCCATCCCAGCAGTCAATTTCAACGCAGCGACACCCTTGTTGAAGAGCTGTGATATAAGCTTCGGTACTTGACGCTCCAGCTACCTGGCGACCGAGGAGGTAAGTATTATGAGAGCTGGAAATAAAGTACTCATTAAGAGGGCGGTCGAAACGAGACTCTGGGGCATGAGAAGAGTATATGCCGTTTGCCTCTGATTGCAAGAATGATGCCAACGCATCTAGACTCATTCGTGGGAGATGGGCCTCAAGAGGCTCGGGTAAACTGTGTGCTCTAGTACGAGTACGGCGTACAACCCTTTCGAAAATTGAGGACCAATACTGTCTGTCACGAACAATGTCCTCTCTTTGAACGTTCCGTAAAAATTCGAGGAACTCGTCGAGGCTGAGGCCTTGTTCGGGATTGCTGACGGCGAGGTCTTTGTACAACCGCCTGAGATCTTTCCGCTCTTTCAATCCAGCGATAAAATCCTTGAACTTTGAGTAATTCAATTTGCCGGTTCCTTCCAGATCTACTTTGGCAAACTGGGAACGAAGCATATCCTTGGAGCAATTGATATGCAAGCCTAGGCAAACAGACTCAATGGCAGCCAGATCCAAGGATTCGGTTTCTCCCGGCTGAAGTCCGTGGGGAAAGAGTCGAGACATCTCGCGCTGCCAATGGGCCCGTAGGACCGTCTCATTTTGGCTCGATGCTGCGAGGCCCGTCATGAGACCAACCCTGAACCGGGAAATATGTTCTAAAGTGGCGGTCCAAAGTTCCAAAGTATAGTCATCGGGAGTAATAAGATGCATGGCCTTGACTGGTCGGCTCTTTGACCGATCAGGATTGGCGAAGATGATCGTAATCCATCGGCTTTCAGCTTCGGCGGAAACCTGATATTCCTCACGATAGTTACGAGCATCCGGACCAACACGGATTTCTTTGATGTCATCAATATAGAATCTTTTCGACGGATTAGATAAATCCCATCGCACTTTTGCCGTACCGAGGTCTAAAAAGAATCGCACTTGCTTGCTTTTTTTCTTCGTGACCTTGGTCAGCCAGGTGCCCCGTTGCAGAGCAGAGTCGACCTTTGGAGCGACAGCACCGGCTTCTCGAGCCAAAACCGTGCCTGGAAATTCACTATTGATACTGGTCGATTCAGAACCAGCGTAGCCATTGAAGGGCTCGTACATGTCGTTGTCGTCGTCATCAAAGCTCCAATCCAAGGTACTTTCTCTGCCGGTGCGGGGGTGAGCTTTGCTATCGCTTCGTCTCCGCATGATAACAGGTCCAGAACTCCTTTCCCGTTTATCGCGTTGCGTGGACGATTGGCGGCGTTTTAACTTGTGGGAAATTCGGCGAATTATGCCGGAAGTCCCTTTATTCAATGGGGCCTGGTCAGAGGACTGAGGTGGCCCAGAAGGTATGCTAGTAATAGCCATCATATTGTCAGACGTCTCGTCCAGTTCTAGCGGGACCGGCGACGCAAGGGTATAGGGGAGGTAGCGACCACGACCACTATCAGCAGCAAGCATGTATGGAGTTCCCATAGGACTCGACGCATTGGAGAAGCTATTCCGAGGAGGAAAAGTAGGGCTGGAGTTGGTGGTGGTAGCGGTAGTAGGAGTATTAGCTGTTGTTGTAGATGAGGTGACAGCACTCGGGGGGACTGGGGCGGAGGATAAAGCAGCATTGACGCTGGATGCTGACGTGAGAACATTTTGCAATTTGGGGCCTCGGGTCAGCGAAGACGCTGATGATAACCTGGACGTGACGCTATTGTCGCCATTTAAGGCGGAAGAAGATGGAGTTGCGGAATCCATTGCGGGATAGGGGCGGGAGCTGAAGATATGAGCGACACCAGTGTCAAACTCCGAGTCACCTGGACCAGCCACGGACGACTAAGTAGACAGGGCTGCTGCAAGGATCCGGTCTGTGCGGTAATAAAAAAAGACAAAAGACAGGCAGGCAGGTTCAAATAAGGCAACAATTGAGTCCCAGATGCAAGCAGTCAGCGATTAGCTATCTGCATCTTGGAAATGCTGCAGTAACGTGGAGTCAGCCCTTCCCGAGGGCGCCGACACGGGGCTAAGAGACCTCGAGGGATTCCTTTTTTTTTTCAAGTATAAAGGAATGGAGCGAGGTATTAAAAGTGATGCTGCAGCTGCACCACCTCCAATGACGTACTTCCGTGCCTTAAGTCGCAGACTTAGTATTTTGATGATTCTATACTACCTGACACCCAATACTGCAACGGGGTATTGCGTAGAATGCAGGCTTTCCACTTTATGTCAATTGGACCTGTGGGCGTATAGACTGTTTCTATTTTCCCGGATATTATGTCAAGGTATGGTGTCAGAGTGTTTGATCGACTATGTGGTTTGGGAGAAAATTCCTTGGATGCCGATCAATCGGGGCCGACGAAGGCGCTATCGTCTGCAAGTAATGCTGAGAGCTTAGAACACTAGGAATGACCCGAAGTAATGCCTGTTGCATAGAAGGAGGAGCGGGGGGGGGAGCACAATGATGCTTCATATGCGGCTTTTATGCACGTAAAGAAGTCAATATGCAGCGTCTGTGTTCTAGTGAAAGAATGGAATGGCTCGGCACAGCGCTTCACGACAAGGAGCGGGGCTCAAGTTGTGGTTGTCGTCAAATAGTGTCGTCACTTTGGATTATCAGACAGATGAGGGGAAAGGAAGCTTCCATACATGCACAGAGCGAAAGTGGTTGGATTGTTGGCAAGGCGGGCCTTGGACAGGGCCTAGGAATAATGGAGAACCTGCTTGCTCTTTTGCCAGCACAGCAAGAGCTATGCAAGTGAGCCAAAGCGGCAAGTCTGAACTAGTTAATCTGCAGCGATCGTTTCGCGCGAAGACTCGTAATGGGCGGATAGTAATTGAATGTATGTAGTAGCAGTAGCAGTAGCAGTAGCAGTAGCAGTAGTAGAAGGCTGGGCGATGCAGACAGGGATGGTGCGCAAAGAAGGTAGTATTTTTTTTCTGCTGTATATTATTACTTTTTTGGCTAGGATCCCTTGTGGTGTCTTTCCTATTTTAGCTCGACGACGGTGTAGCCTTGTCCTGCAAGTCGGGCTGTTTGAGTCGTAACGCGGGGGAGAAATTGAGCAAGCAACGCCGCAGCAGCAGCAGCAGTACTGGTGGTAGTGTAATGATAGGGATGGGCGCGACGCAGCTCAGCGGCGGGAACCTGCAGATAAATAAGTTGATTGTTGGACGAATGGACGATTGCGGCGAGGAAGAGGAACAAAGAATCCAATGCATGCAACAACAATTCATACATACAGAAAAGCAATCTGCAAGTGCGCATGTATGAGCGAAGCAAGACGAGTATGTTGCTGTTTCAAACAGAACAAAGCTCGCGTTCTCTGAGTCACTCCTTTTTTAGGTGGTTAAAAAAAAGTTTCGTTTCCGGTGACGTATTGGCAACGGCGTGTTTCATCAAGGAGGAGTCGAATAGTGGACAAGGAGGATTGCTCAATGGATCCAGGGGGGATTGGAGCAGGTTAAGAAGGAAGATAGAATAAGAGAGAGAAGAGCAGAAAATGCGACGATCTCCTTTTTTGTCTTTCTGGCTGCAGGAAGGCACGAAGGGGCAGCAGCAGGAAGGCGCGGAGAGGGGGGTGCAGGCAGGTCAAGTTGGAAGGTGCCAGTGGGAGCGCAAACCACCGAAAATGGCAGCAGCTGGTGGGGCCTAGCAATAGGATTTTTTTTTTATTTATTATTTTGAATTGGAATTTGGACTTTTTTGCAGGTTGTCTCTGTTTCGCTGCCTGAGGCTCGTCAGCCAAGCTCCATAAAATATAAAAAAAATAAAAATAAAAATAAAAACGGTAGTAAGTCCTACCTCGTAATTAATAGAACATATTCGGGCCCTCCGGCAGCAATCAGGAAGGCCCAAAGAAACAAGAGAAACAATGAAATAAATAAAATAAAATAGAATCAGAAAATAATAATAATCGAAAAGAAAAATCAGCCAACGGGCTGACAAAATAACCAAAAGAAGATGTTTTTTTTTCAATGACTGATCCTTGCAACCCCGGGTTGGCTATTTTTTCTTTTTCTCGTTTCTTTTTCTTTTAGGCGGTACCCGACGCTGCGGTCCTGTATTACGTCAATACCGTTTTGCAAGTGAAACAACGGTATTGCGTATGCGGGAAAACGGATATTTGCACGGGTCGTCTGTAAAACGTTGCTGTTGGTATGTTGACGGCAGACTGACGACACTGAAAGTATAATAGAGGATAAATTATGTTGGTCGAAGATAAATAAATCAAGGGGGAGGGGTATGCATTTAAATACAAGCAGTAGTTAGCCGGAATAGGGGGTTTGGTCAGGTAGAAAGGGGATTTGATTTGCTGTTCTACAGAGGATAAGACAAACAAAACAAAAATAAAAAATAAAAAAAAGAAATAAAATAAAAATGATTCTAATACCATAATAATAAAGCAGCCTGTTTCGGTTGCGAGTGGGTTCGGTAATCTTAGAGGTGTGGACATCAGTCACATCACATGTACCATACCACCAGTGCTTCCGAATACGTTGATGGTAGGGCATATATTCGATGCTGTGGAACAAAAAGGAACAAATTCGAGCGAGCGATTGGAGGATGCGCAGAAATGACATTCCTGAGTCACACATGGCATAATGATGCCCAAGATGCTTGCATAAGATTAAGTGGGTTTCTGCTCTCTGCTCGTTACGTGCTCGGCTCGTTCATTGACGATCTAATAATACAACCTGGGCAAATACCAGATAGATAGATACTCGGTAGTAATTGTTCAGAATTCTGCTGAGAGATCTGTGATGGTCACCCAACATGTACAACCCTGCATGGCGATAGGCTGGCGGCTAGATCTACTATGGATATGTAACCAATCCTTTTAATCTCATTAGACTTGAAGCATCAAATCAAAGACGTTGCAGTGCTCGTTATCTCATTCTTGCTTGATGATCACTGACATCCCTGTGCTATGATGGTGATCTAACTCTTGAAACGATGAGATGTGTGGAGAACTGAATAACTCACTTTTTCTCCTGTGTAATTCTTTCTGCCTTGTTCACCTGGGTGGTATGTTAGATCATTGCAAACCAGCCCGGCCGATTCGCAAATCAACTTTGGAAGGAGGACAAATAGCCGCAATCCTTGTTTTTTTTTTTTTTTTTTTTTTTTTTTCCCTTTTCGCGTACATGAACAAAGAATATTATCCATGCACGAAGATTTGTTGCAATGTGCCACAAGGAACTTCTAACTCGTTGGCACAGCCGTTGGTACACCCGCATACATACATACTCGTACCAAGAAATACGACCCAGCTCAATGAAACTTTCTGGTTTACTCGACCAGGCAAGTTTCGAGAAGAAAGGCAGAAGACAGGGCAAAAATAGCAACAGCAACACGATCCTCGTATCTGATTGGAAGCGGGGCAGGGGCGCAATGCAGACCAGATTGATCCTTGCAGGTTGATTGTATTACTAGACGCAGTAATTAAACCAGAGAAACGGTGGTGGCAGTCATACCGCTCATTTGTAGAATCCCATTATCACCGTGTCAACATGTAATCCAGGAATGTAAATACTAGTATGTGCGTCGTAGCGGTGAGCCCAAGTTTCTCCTTCCTTGTCCAATCCTTTCTCATCCCTTTGATAGCACGTCACTTGGTATATAGCATTTCCCCTCTACGGCGCATCAACTATTATTAATCTACCAAGACCAAGAAACAGAAACTAAAACCAACCAAACCCGGAGCCAGCCGACAGCTAATCAGAGCTGGTTCCGGAGTACGGAGTGTTAGGTTGATACTGCTAAAAGTAGGCTGGCTGTATATGCACGTCAACAACCATGCTCGCTGTAAGTTTCAACCGCCGGGTCCTGCATGAACGAACAAGGGAGAATCAGGAGCCCCCTCTTTTTGATTACTGCCCCGCGAATCATCGTTCTCTTGCTTGTTCCTTGTCGGAAGGGATTCTTCTGATCGGATTGCATGCGTCATCAGTCGGACTCTGTAACTTGCAAACTACCGTTGGACCGATATCGATGGCTGCTGGTATACGTCAAGCACTTATCGCCAGCGCCAATCACATGGAAAAGATAGCAGAAACTAACAGGATGGATAGGAAGGAAATCAAGCATCGTTATCGGGCCAGGCAGGCTAAGTCGGCCAAATGAGCGAGTGAGGAGACGCGTCCGCGTGACTCCGAAGGATTCCTCAGGCAGATCTGATTCGTCTGCCTTACTAATTGCACGTGCCGTGCATGAAACACGGTTGACAGCAAGTTAGTGAGTTTAACGAGTCATGAGAACAGCTTACTCAAGTAACTATAAGCTTTGTGTCGGGGAGCGCCGTACAACGCAGCAGTCCGTTTCAGGCTCATACTCCCGTACAATTCATGAATTGTACAGTTTTATTTGCCTCCCTGGCGGTGTGGCTGGGGCTGGGGCTGTTCCTGAACCGGTCCGGTTGCGGCGCACGATTGGCTGGGAATCTCAGCCCTGGTTATGATCACAACAAGTCGAGAGTCGAGCTATGTGCTGTCTTTGTTTTTGTCCGACATGAGGCTAGGATTATAGGCATATACTCGCCGATAGTGCCCGTACCGTTGCACCTTCGGGACTCGCATGACATCATAGACTACCGGTCATGTAGTATAAAGCTACAACAGCATCGACCAATCAAAAACAGGGGGCAAAGGCCGACAACGTTCATTTGGAGTGTCTCAGTATACGATGATCTATTTGTATGGTAGAGACTTGGCGGTAAGTTTGTTACGGATACGGCGTAATACGAGTACAGGCAGACAAGCCACGGAAATAAACAATTCGGCTGCGACGGAGGCTATTTAAATTGATGACAGAGATCAAAAATCAGAGTCAGCGCAGGATTGTAGTTAACTAGCTAGCTATCCAGTAGAGGATCGCCGCAAAATCGAAAACCTGAAAACACCATTCGCACGCATCCCCGGAGAAATCCGACAATCGTATGACACTATGCAGTGAATAAATACATGATGCATTATAAGGGTCCGACCCTATACCAAGTACCCAGGCGGACGGAACTTGGGCCTCAGTTTCACTTGGCAGCTGTGGCTCTACATACGTCCTCGGAAAGAAGTCCTATCAATGCATTCTTCAGAAGATAATGAGGTTAGTATGATCTAGTCATCATAAACCAGGGGATAACCATATCGTTGACTAACTAGCATTCCGTAGTTATAGCCATAATGGAGGCGGATCAGAGGCCTGAGCTCTGCTCTGTCTTCTCTTCTGTACTCGAAATTCCATAATCCCAGTCATAACGGGTATATAATAACCATCAAACACGTGTTGTGCTACCTACGACTCAGCTTATTCGCGTGCCTGCAGAGCAGAGCAGAGCATCGCATCGCATCGCATCGCATCCAACACAACATAGTTAGAGTATGTACTGCGTACCAAGGATCAGTGCATGTGCCTCGAATCACTTCTCTCTTTGGCTGCTTGCATGAATTTTTTTTTTCCCGCTTTGCTCCAAAGCTACTAAGTCGCCTCATTTTGTCTTGTTGTCAGGTCGAGGGTCCTCCCTCTCTGTCTCTATCCCTCTATACGAAGACGAAGGATTAATAATTATTTATTTCTCGCCATTCCGTGCTATATCATGCCATGGCAAGTCATGCGTCTGAGCAAGGAACTAGAGATGCAAGTGGAAAGGGGTCATTGCTATCGCATTGCATGAATCTGATGCTGGGAGTCAGCTCGAAGTCAGAGAGCCAGGTGCGTGCGAGCCGCATTGATAAGGCATTTTATATCTGCTTGCATGAATATCGAACGATGCCCGAGCACATAGTCTATTGTAGTCGGTATTCCTTCAGAGTACTCGGTAGCGAAAGACGGACTTGACTCTGATTTAGGATCATGCCCACGTACTGCAACGGTAACTCGCCCACGAATGTAACTATCTTCATCTACCACCCGAGTAACAGGTAAACCGTTGCTATAACTGCCCACCAACTAACTAACCATGCAACTAAAAGACTAGTAAGTTGTAACGGCTGTTATTTCCGCGCGATGCGCGCTCCTTTGCAAACAAATCCAAGCCACCTTAGTCAGCAGTAGTCAGTCAACACCTGCAAAACGCCGTAAACGATAACTATCTGCAACAGCGCAAACTAAATATGTAGTCGATAACTTGGCAAGCCAGGTGAGTGCGGGGAGAATCCTTCCACTTCATGAACCGATATTATTTACTATCTATCAGACCCGAGCGCGGGGCTCGAGCTTTCAGTATTAGTATTAGTTAGCCTCGGACTTCAGGGCTGACGTTAGGCCATGCCAATGATGATGATTATTATTATCTCTATCAATACACAGAACTGCAGGTAGAAAGGTATACTGCCTTTTCCGTAAACTGAATTATGAATTGCAAACCGGACTGGAGGGATGATGGATGATGGAACGTTTTGCATGAATTCCGATTTTCGTTTCAGCTGCTTTGATAATGTGCTATTGTTGGTCAGCGCTAGGAGAGTATCAGCCCTTAAGGCTGAGTACCAGGTCACTAGTCAGAAGTCGCTCACTCCTAAATTCTAAGAATATGCTGATCTGCTCCCTAAACGACCGTCGAGTGTTTACTCCGTATTGACAAACGGATAACAACGTCAACATTAGGTTACGAGAAAAGGTGTGGCTTCCGGCGGCCCGCCTGCAGAAGTTTGTTTTCCTCGGGACTCGCCTTGAATAGCCGCTTGTATCCGTGTGTGTATGTATCCCCTGTCTAAAATCTAAGGTTGGATTGATGTTTGTGTGTATTGGCAGAAATGAATGTGTAGTTAGCTGAAGACTACAGATCTGAACAGACTTATTCCAATTGCACGTCAATCCACCACACAGCAACTGATATTTACAAGAACATGTACATGGCAACAGCAGTCAAAACAGCCACAGGGCCCATCGCAAAGCCCGAGGCAGCACCGGAAGCCGCAACCGTAGACTTGGAACTAGAAGACGCGCTGGTCGACGATGAGTTCGACTTACTTGTCGAAGTAGTGGAACCGTTGGAGCTGGTCGAGGTCGTTTCGATGGTCTTGTTGCTAGAAGTGGTAGAGTTGGACAGGATGATACTCGTGTAGTCGCCCGTCTTGTCGCCGTAGGTGTAGTACTCGGCCGGGTAGTAGTTAGTAATGTTGACCGACTCGACGTACATGGTGAAAGGGGCGTCGCTGAAATCGGTCTCTCCACCAGCCCATTCGATGGTTCCTTCGCCTTCGCTGGAGGCTCCGCCAGCCCAGATACCGAGCTTCAGCACCATGGGAGTCTGCGGGTAGTTCGTGCCGTATACTGCAGAGTCGTACTCGAGTGTGCGCTGCAGAACGCCGTCAACGTACCACTCGAGGCGAGCCGGGGTCCAGTCGATGGAATACGTGTGGAACTCGTCGCATGGAGTTGTGACGTTCGGGTAAGTGGCGCGGTTGTAGCTTGTGGTGTTGTCCTTGCCGAAGTAGTTGGTCTCGATTTCGTAGTTGAAAGTACCAATTCCTTCCTATAGCCCAGTATTATTATCATTATTATTGATAATGAAAAGAACAAGAAGAAAAGAGAGAAAGAAAGCTAACATACCCAGTCAATTTCGTCGAGGTCGTCGGACAAGAACACAACACTGCTGATAATACCAGTGCCACTGGCAATCTTCATTTTGACATCGACATGACCGAAGAAGATGTAGAATTGAGTCTGAATAGTGGGAGCTTCGCCTTCTTCATTGATGATGAAAGCAGCACCTTGATCGGTGCTGTTGACGGTACCATCAGTGGTATTCCAAAACTCGAAAGCCGATTCGCCAATGGTGAAATCGGTAGAGAAGGTGTAGTTTGCCAGGCCAGGATCGGCAGGACAAGTTTCTAGTCCTGTTAGCTTGTGATCTTCAGATCTTGAGAAGAGGAACACTCACTGTTCAGCGGATCGCAACTGGAGTAGGTCTGAGCAGCAGCAAAGGGCACAGCGACAGTCGCTGCCAGCGCGAGCTTCAAGAAGGACGGCATAGTTGGTGCTCTCAGCGAAAGGATAGACCGCCACGCGTGCAAAGGTCAACGAACCGGAATTGAAAAAGAAGATTAAAAAAAAAACGAATGACTTGAATTGGAATGAAGATTAACGAAAGACAGAAAGACGCTCTTTGCTTGAAAAAAATAAGAACGAGCACGAACATGAATATGAAGAGGACGAGGCCGATCAGGGGACGTAGTGCGTTTCTGCTAGCGCGTAGCTAGATTATTATTAGATTTAGTTAGCAGCGTCAAGCGTTGGAGCTAGATCTTCAAGTTTGAGACATCCAGTGGCCTCGTCATCTCTGGGTATGACTCCCACTGGGCTGCTGGCTGGCTGTGTGGTTGCTCTGGCTGAGTTTGGCATGAGACGTCGTCCGTGGACTGCCATCCGGTGATTCAAGGCATGGCTGTGGATGCCGCAGGATGCGCTCCGAGTTGCAGGCAAATCATCGCCGGCGTTGATCAAGCACAACTGGCAGACGCGCAAGCAGAGTGCAGACAGAGTGGGCGTGCAAACTTCAGGGGCTGCGCTTGCGCAAATGGATTGCGCGGCTTGCCTTGCCGCCGCGTCACTCTTTCTTCCTCCGCCAACCTCTCTCCCACACTGATTCGACGTGACATTCTGCCTTTCTGACCCCAACTCGACGGGCGACAGGTAACTCTGGCATCAACTACATCGCTCCTCAGGCTCTCCAGGTCCAGGCAGGAGTCTAGGGTCCGCCGCTTGGAAACACGCCTACGTGTCAAGTTTTGAAAGTTGATGAAAAATATGAATACAGTTCTCAAAGTCCTACCAAATCTGGGAATTGCGCAATATTTCCACCATAGCCTCTATGGCTGTCCGCTTTATGTACACTTGTTTTCATAATCGTCCAACATCAAACCAGCTCTGTTAATAGGCCAGGCACAGAATCCGCGGTCGCCACGTCTCGGCGCCTTCTGTGCAGGAGACCGTCCAGCGATGAGAACTTCTCGCTTTCGGCAGTCCATATATGCAATTGAATGTGCTTTCACTCCCCCCGGAGCTTTTCGTGGATAATTTTGCTTGTTTCTCTTCTCGGACACCTTTGCCTCCCAGCACTCGCCTTATGACATCCGCTTCTGCATGAGCCGAATCATTTGCTATACGATACGACCAGGTGATTCTGACTGTCTCGCTGGTCTCAAAGAGAAAGGCCGCTCCGACGTGATGTCTCGTGTCTCTAGAACTCAGAGGATTGCCTTCCCCAATCAACCGAGCCGCCTGAACCAGGTTGGTCAATGCTGCTGTTGGTAAGTATGAGGAAACAGAAGCATGCTGCTGCTGTTGTTGCTGCTGCGCGGCTGCACGATATGACTCTCCGCCAGTTGCTGTGCATGTCTTTTCAAGCAGCTGATATATCCGGCCATTCGGGTCCGCGTAAATCGGAAACGAGCACTGTGTCGATTCTATTAACCTCCTAAGCCGGACATAGCTGCCACACCAGACTACGGTCAATCTGCTGTTTTTCGGGAGAGTAGCAGCAGTGCCTTTCAGCGATGACAGGAAAGTCTTGACGAAGCCTCGACGTAGCTATTGCTTTCTCATTAGCTCAATCTCCCTCACACACACTGACCAGATGTTAGATGTCGAAACAATAACTCACTCTAGAGCAGAAGGAAGGCCGAATGAAGATGACCATGGGTTTTTCTTGCCTTGCTTTCTCTGTCAGGTCAGGGGAGGGCAAGTACAGATTTCGAAACGGGACCGGGTTCCCTTCAATGTCCAACACATCGAGCTCCCCAGCCTGCTCGACAATGCCTGGCAATGGCATTTTACTACTGCAAGTCTCGCGGAGTATGGGTTTGACTCTCGACTCCCTCTTGTCGTCAGGTCTTGGGTGACTCGGGTCTCGCGTCTTTTCTTCTATCACATTAACCGGCGTCGCGACCGGTGTCACGGGAAGAGGCTTGTCAACGACCTGTGGTTTTTTTATTGTCACAACCCGGACAGAAGCCGCGTTATTGTTATCCTTTTCATCCATAATATGCGTGCGTAGCAATCCGTCTCTGTGGTTATTGACAGCCGTGACTCGTATTGCGTACGCGGTGGTAATGCGACCATTACCGGAGCCTTCTCGCTTGTACGGAGAGATGAAAGATGAAGTCGAGTATGAAGACGAATCCGGGAGGGTAGAGTATTTGCTGGACAGATTGACGAACGTCTGTGTACGAGGTCGTAGCACCGGTCTGTAGCTTTTGTCATCGTTATAATTATCAACTGGCATATTGAGCGATGGATCTAAGAACTTGGTTCTGCAGAAGAACATTTTCGTTTTCTTTCTGGTGAAGAACAAAGCTCGATACTGTCTTCCTAATCGGGTATTAAACAGGATGAAAAAATTTAGGGCATGTATGAACCACCACGTCGATTTATTTATCTACCCACGCGTCCCAATCACGATCACGATTATGATTTCGGATAATCGATGAAAAAAGAAAAAAAAACAAACAATATCGAGGAATCCATCTCGTCCTTACTTTCAGCAGGCCTGATACATATACATACATATGCACATTTAACATGAATCGATGCAGGTACATACGTGTATCCGTTCTCCCGATAGGTATCGAACATGCACACACATGTCGCGGCATTATCGTAACAGGTAAGTCAATGGTCATGTACGTGTTAGATCGTATCTCATGTATTAGTAGTACGTAGTACTGCATATATAGTGGCGCGCACTTTCAAGACTGAGAGGCCGAACCCTTACTTCTATCAAGAACAGATCTTAATACGCCCGAGTGAGCCCTTGCAGCTAGGCACCGGTTTCAGCTTGATGAGTACGTAGTCGTGCGTATTTTGAGAATGGTGAGATCGATAAGTATTTCTTAGTTTAATGAGGTAATTGAGGAAGGGAAAATAAACGGTGATTAAACCTGGAACTTTGGTTGCTCGTTGTTGCCTGGTAAGTCATTATATGGCTTGGGACATATCCAGGACGCTTGGAATTCAATGCACTGCGTATGTACTACATGCATGATACATGTGAGGGAATGTCTCAGAACTTGGACACTGCCAAGAGATGTGTATGGCGTCGATATACTTACTATACTGCCTAAGTATTCAGTTTCCTTTTCACTCATTATTAGCTCTGTTCCATATATATTCTCGTCTAGCTACATAACACTCAAGTAGATTATCATGACGAGACCTTGGGCGCATATTTTGCCGCTGCTGTATCAAAGAAAGAGCTCTTCTCTGCCAGATCAGTGAGGAGGGCATGTGATGGTTGCAAAGATTCCAGACGCCTGCAGCATGACCATTAGCTGTTGAACCTCTATGATGCAAAAAGAAAAATGTGCGGACGGGACATACAAAGTTAGTTCAGTAGTATCTTTACCAGTGAGAACATTCAGAACAATTGTATTAGCAATCAATTCCACATCCTCTGGATACTTCTGAATCGCCGAAGACAACGCAGCCTCGGCTTCGGGCAAGCGACCCAAGTGCAATTCGGCAATGGCTTGTCCCACAATAGACAAGGGAGCAGCGGTGTTGGGATTCGAAGCTAGTTCTTCGTAGACATAGAATGCAGACTGATATTTTTCTCCGCCCTGTTTTGCTTTCAGTATGTTTTATTCTTGTGCTTCTTGGGAAGGGTATATACCACTCGTAAGCCAACCCATGACTCTGCAATATTGACAAGTAGGGAATCCTGCGCCCAGCGCTTTGCCGCAGAAACCTCCTTTAGAGCAAGATCAATACGATTCGTTTGGAGATAGATCTGGACGGAGAGAGCGACACTGTACGTTATACAAGAAAGGTCAGCGGCTTGTCCTTCCTTGATATATATATATATTGTTTGTTTGTGTGTCTGTTTCACTTACGCCTCGAGGTTGCCTTGATGTTTGCTGAGTAGAGCTAGAGCATCATCGGTCTGTCCCTGTGCCTGCAAGACCGTGCCGACGAGTGTTTGAACAGTAGCATTCTCGCCATGTGTCTCCGCCAGTTTCTGTGATAGCGCAAGTGCGAATTCCGAATCGCCAGCTGTCTGTTGCGCCAGCGCCTTGACCGCACCTAGGTCAGGGATGGTGTCTGCTTCCTTCTCCACGTCCGCCAGCACTTCCGCTGTCTGTCCGAGAGCAATTCTGGCGCGCAGCTGCAATATACGAGCGGGCAGAGCGTTCTCCGGTGAGAACGACGAGGTATCGAAATCAATCACGTCTTGGTATTGGCCCTGGTGGAAGGCATTGTGAATGTTGACAAGTTCTGGGAGTGAGAGAGGCAGTTGGTCAGTCGGACTGCGAATAGGAGCAAATAAGAAATTTTGTAATACCTCCTTCTGCCGAGAACGGATCCATTGCGGCTGCTTGAGATATCGTATCTATGCGTGATGGCTCGTCGATAATAATATGGCGGTTGTTTGGACAGATATGGCGGTGCTCAATCCCGCCACATGCTTTTGTCAACTGGAGCCGGGACGCCTGCCACGGGAAAGTTTTGCCGGTCTCCAACTTCTTACATTGCATGTTACAAGCCTCAGGCAGTCAACCTTCCACGTTTAGATCCATGGATGGAGTTCATGTTTACAGAAATTCCTGTATTAGGACGGCGCACTACAGCCTCATTCCACCTCGTTCTCGTCCTCGTCCTAGTCAATGCCCATTCGGCTGATCCTCCTTCCCAGTCAACTCACAAAAAGCCTTGAACGTAGTAAACGTTTCATCTGTCGTGCTCTCAATTACACACTCTGCATCGGCGCCTACAAAAAACACATATCCCTCCTTCACTTCCTCGACTTTCGCGGGTCCCATGCTGACTTTACCCTGTCCGCCTGTGCATATGACGATACTCGGCCCGGGGATGGGGTCGAATGTAGCCTTTGCGCCGTTTCGTTTCAGATCGGTTTTTACAACGGCGAACTCTTCAATTTCGCTGGGGTCGTAGAGGGTCGTCGACGAGCCGCTTGTGTATGCTACCGTATTCAGTAGTACGTAAGGGTACTCTGTGGGTTGCATCTTTTGCTCGTCGATCGGTGCGTATGAGTAGGTGAGCATGGTCGTTAGTGTGGATACGTCTTTGAATTTTGGCGTGAATCCTGCGCGGACTACGTTGTCGGACGATGCCATGCATTCGATTATGTCTCCGGAGATATATGCGTGGATGTCGTCCGCTTTGAGAAACATTGCTTCTCCCGGAGAGAGCTTGACAAAGTTCAGGAAAAAGAGAACAAACAGCCCGATGTCATGAGGGAATTGTGAGTTCAGACGAGTCACCACCTCGGAGAGTTCGGATGCGCCGCTCGGGTTTGTTTCGGATCTTGGATCGATTGCGAAACTATTGGGGGAGTTCTCTGCCTCTGAGACGAGCTCTTTCGCTGCTTCTTCGATCTTATCTTGAGGGGACTCCATCAATGATGTGAAGATTACCTTGAGGGCATCCTTGTTGCGATTCACCGTTGCCGCATCCTCCGACTCTTCCGATCCCTTGACAATCTGCTCGAATTGCGCCGCGGCTTGTTGTCCGACAAGAGAGCGTAGCGGCTTCACGTAGTTCAGAAAGTGTACGATTTCAGCTAATGGTCGGAACCCGCAGAGTCCTTCGAACGGTGTAATGGCAATGGCCATTTCTGGCTTGTGGTTGTCGTCTATGACAGGTATAGTGAGTAATGCATGTTCGTGATAACGGTAGACGTCAAGCAATCCATACCAGGATAGTTTCTTGGGTCTCGAGTATGTAACTGTTCGGCAAGCTTTTTATTGGGATGCGCCTGAATGCTCAGCGCCTTGCTGATGGACAAAACCTTGAAGAGAAAAGGCAGTTTTCCCCCGTATCTCTGGAATATCTCCTGCCCCAAGAGCGCTTGGTTGTCCTGAACGAGATCTAACAGGGTTCGCTGTGTTTCGAGGTCTTTCGAAGGGAGTGACGGATGTGTTCCCATCCATAGCTGCGCGGTTTGTTTCTGTCAGTAGCTCAACCTGGGACCTGACCAGGACTCACTCATACCTCTGCGTAAGGCTTTGCATCTTCGATGGTAAAATCCGACTCGGCGGTGACAGCAGCATATTTAGCAGCTGCAGACTGTTGACCGACCTTGCCTATATAGAGAACTGAGCTTCAGATCTTGATCTCCTGAGGAGTTAGCCTACCCCAGTCATAACTGTTCACACCTGGTATTGTTAGCTTGCACACAGGAGCCAGCAGTCACACTGACTCACCACATTGTAAACGAAGTAGAGGCACTTGCATCTTGTGAATGGCGTTAATTCTCACAGCGAGGTGTTTCACTTGGGTCGCCGAGAGGTGCTAGACTCTTTTGATTTTCTCTTCCCTCTTTCGTTCTCTTTTGAATCTCTCTCTCTCTTCTTGCACAATCTCTGATGCAGCAACTGTTTAGCCCAGTTCAATTAAAAAGACAGGTAAGAAGAAGAAGAAGAAGCAAAAGAACAGAACATACCTCTGACTTTATCCCCTCTTCACCGGACAACCCCCACTGAGGGACTCCTGGTCCGTGCCAGGAATGGTTAGCCCAGCTGCAAAGAGTTAGATCAAGCTGACCTGTGCCTACCGCCTACGTCATACAGTTCCACGTGACTCCCTGTGCCCTCAGCCCTGGGGAGGCCCAAAAGGGGAAAAGAACCATGCAGCTGCGCTCAGGATCCCAGCTGGGCGGTGAGCTGCCCTCAGCCACCACCGCCACACCATCAGTTATCAGCGATAAACAAGACGAACAGGCCAATGTGCACTCTGCATCTGGTTCTGTGACGCTTCAATCTTCTACCAGCACACAGGAAGACCCTACTCCTGTGCCAGATGGATTGAGCCAAAGAAAGGGGAAGTCTAAGAAAAGAAGAAACAGATCCAGCAAGAAGAAACCAAAGGCTGAGCCCGAAGTCAAGCCTGCATCTCCAGTCCCCACCAATCAGCAGAGGTACAGCCTTAGAGAGAGCGGCGGGAAGCTCGACCTTGATTCTGTCGCTGGATGGGAAGCTCCTCGCCTACAAAGCCTAAAAAAGCTCGAAGTCCCGACGTCGACTACTTCAACAGCAGAAGCAGCAGGCCAGACGACTGCTGAGGGAAGGCCATCTGAAGCAGTGCAGTTGCCCGTCATGTCTCGCAACCGCCCTCGAGGACCCCCTGCCAACAGGGACAACGGCATTGCTGCTAACGAGGAGATTGACATGTGGAACAAGATCATCCAGGACATTCGCAAAGCCAAGGAGAAAAACGACAAACAGAAGTCTCTTGCTGCGCAGATTACTGAGCTGAACGAGAAGATTGCTCGCGAGGGCAACAGTAAGTCAGATACTCGCCTCCCTCTCTCTCTCTCTTTCTATCTTCGTGAAATCCCTTTCTCAGCCACAAGTCAGTTGCATGCTCGCTGACACTATGCAGAACCAACACTTGCAGAAATCAATCAACTCGACAGTTGGTATCGTCAGATACTCAAACTGAGCGAGGAGGAAAAGGCCATTCTTCTGGAAGAGCCTAGCGACGTTATCAAAAATCTGGGTTTACTGACTGCCCTCCGCTCAGCCTCGGAAGCAGAGACCTCAATCAGCCGTGCAGCCTCATTGCCCAAGTCTAGTAAGCAAAGCATTGCGAGAGATGGCACTGCTATCCATGCAGCCACAGCATCTAATTCTGCTCTGTCATCAGACAAACTCAATCGGGTCAAGGGGAGCACTCAGCGTAGCTCAAGCGTGTCTAGCTCCGGCCATGCGAAAGATGCCCGCGACTCTGTTTCGGTGAAGCTTGAAGAGGGCGTTGAGGGGGCCGCAAAGGGCACTGTTGCGGAACGCAACGGGCAGTTCATTGTTGGAGCTGAAGTTGTATTCAAACACAGCAAGAACAGACAGGGTGTCGAAGGCGAGGGTATTCAATGCATCATCAAGAGCATTTCCGGAGATGGATACAAGAAACGGTACCCTCATACGCAAAGTCCAACTTACCAAGTTCACTTCATTCTTAGTTACTAACCCACTACGCACTTGTACTAGATACGATGTCCAAGACCCCGAGCCCAATGAAAACGGTGAACAAGGCGCTGTCTACAAGACTACAGGAGCCTCCTTAATCCCAATTCCCCAAGTCGGCTCTGTTTTGCCATCTTTCCCTGTTGGTAAACAAGTGCTTGCGCGCTATCCAGACACAACTACCTTCTATCGCGCCGAAGTCATGGGCTCCAAGAAGGACGTCTACCGCCTCAAATTCGAGGGCGAGGAAGACGACAAGGAAATGGAAGTGGATAGACGCTTTGTCCTCGACATTCCTTCCAAGTGATTCCAGTCGACGGGAAATCATCAGTTCTAACGTTCTGACGTTCAGGGAGGCGCAATTGATACGGTTGGAAAATCTGGATGGGAGTTTGGAAAGGATGGTTGGCGTTTACACAGGATTCAGGTCCAATTGGTGTTATTATTTTCCCTTTGTTTGTTTCCCCCCCCCCTTCTTCTTCCTATAGTCTTGCGATTACAGATGGTGACGCGTGAAACAAAAAGATAATCGCTAGCATTTGTATGAGTGAGCCCTCGCACAAATGTGGCGAGAAACGGCGACATCGGCAAGTCCTGCTGATTCAGCATTTCGTAGGCAATTATTAATTTTGGCGCGGATGGCGTTCCCCGCATAATCCATCATGAACTCGCCGTTAATCCACCAGTGTATATCCGATGTTCTTCAGACTCTGGTTCTGACCTCTTAAATGATTGCTACCATCTTCCTTGTCACTTCTGCGCCTAATTGATCGATCCCGCTCGCACCCAGCAGGTTTCGCCTTGCCCACCATGGCGGAGAAATCTCCGTATATCGCTCCGCAACCGCGACGGCCGAATGTCCCTCTCGCCGCGCTGGATAATTCCGACAGAGGAGATTCCTCGACCATAACACCAGAGTCGCACGGTATTGATAGCCACCGGAGTCTTCTGGCAAGAGCTCTCGGGAATGAGGCGAGCGCCAATGCCACCCCGGCTCTCCCAGAATCCATTATTTCCCCCGCCTTCACACCTCCGTCCACACCAGGGGGGTCCGTTGTTATTTCCCAGCAGGCTATCCGCGTGCATCCACATGATGCGTCATCATCGCATAAGACACAGGCGCATGTGCCGAAGGGGCCCAAGTTGATGGAGCGATTGCCGCACGTTGAATGTATTGTTCGCGCACGTATTCCGACCACAACGGGTGCCGAGATGTTTCTTCATTTATACCAGAATGACGCGGATAATAAAGAGCATTTGGCTATTGTTTTTGGAAATCATATCCGATCGAGAAGTTTAGACCGTGTGCAGGAAGGAGAGACAGAGATGGATCGTATGATCCGAGGGGCTTATGTTGGAAGATTACATCCTGGTCGAGTGAGCAGTCGATTTGATGAGCCGCACTCTTCCCTTGGGCCAGAGGGAGAAGGGGTGGCGAAACAAGGGCTTCAAGCTCCCCTTGTTAGGATTCACTCTGAATGCTATACCGGTGAGACAGCATGGTCTGCTCGGTGCGACTGTGGCGAGCAACTCGACGAAGCTGCGCGGTTGATGTCAATGGCGTCGGAGTCAGCGGCGGGTCTTTCTGTTAACGAAGATGGCTCTATATCAGATAATACATCCCCCCTTTCTTCCCCGGTTTCCGACAATGACGGGCCGGGAGGCGTGATTATCTATCTTCGACAAGAGGGCCGTGGAATCGGATTGGGGGAAAAGCTCAAGGCATACAACTTGCAAGACCTGGGTTCCGATACGGTAGAAGCCAATCTACTCCTGCGTCATCCTGCCGATGCACGAAGCTATGGCCTGGCCACCGCGATGCTCGTTGACCTCGGACTCGGTGCTGACGCGTATCCAGAAGGAATCCGGCTGCTCACCAACAACCCAGACAAGGTCTTGGCTGTGGAAGGCCCCAATCGGGAAGTCCGCGTCAAGGAACGAGTAGCAATGATACCTATAGCATGGAGAACTGGCGGACAGAAGGGGATTAGAAGCAGGGAAATAGAAGGGTATTTGCAAACCAAGGTCGGTATTCCTTCTCAAGCCTACGTCCAGGCTTTTGATTCAAGTTAACTCATTGCTAACAACGAGGCAGATTGGCAAGATGGGCCATATGATTCGATAGCACATACATAGATGGGGTGGCTTGTTTGTATAATCGGCGTCTGGGGTTGTCACGAGTGTAGATAAAATGCGTTATGAGTTTTTGGTCATTCGATCATTTCTTCTACAATAGGAAGACCTTAAATATATATATATATATATATATGTAATTCAACAATACATGAAAGAATGCCCCGGTAGGGCGCTTTGACCGCGGCCAACCAATCACAGCCCGCGAAGACACCTCCAAACTACGACCCGACCTCAACTTCGCCATAAGCATCTCAGACTCACTATCATATTGCGCCAAAATACCTATACTTTACAGGCTCTTGACCTATATATCATTGCTTCTTTTCGATCCTACCATACATTAGCTCACTATCAAGCCCCTTCTGTGCCGTTCCATCCCATACGCAACCCCTCCCCCCAGCAAAGAGAGAGAGCGCCTTCTGAAACCATTCGCTACGAACCGAATCATTGTACGACTATCTGAACGATACCTATTCACGCGGCTTCGGTTGCTCCAATACCATCTGCGCCCTTCTTACCATCGATGGAGACAGACTAGGGATGGCGCCCGAGAGGGTTAGAGACTTCGTATGAACCATGTCAGCTTGGATTCGCGCGAGACCGAATCCTATTTCGCAAGGAAACTTCTCGCATTGATACTCGTCGCCGTTGATTTCTTACTTTGAGGGTACTAGGTATTTAGTCATATTCCACTTGCTAGTTACTATGCAGTCGCCGAATGTCAAGCCGGAACAAGGATCAACCACAGAGTCGCCGAGACTCATCCACGAAATGGAGGAATCGATCGACCTTCCCGTCTCTCACAATGGCAATATAACCGCGGGGACAAAACGCAAAATGAACAGTGCGAGCCCACGGGGCGTGGCTAATCTGACACCGGAGCAGCTGGCCAGGAAACGCGCAAATGACCGACAGGCGCAACGCGCCATACGGGAGCGTACAAAGTCGCAGATCGAAGCATTGGAGCGGAGAGTCCGCGAACTATCGTCGCAGCAGCCGTATCAGGATATACATAAACTGGTGTCTGAAAGGAATCAAATCATGGCAGAAAACCAAGATATTAAGCGGCGGTTGGGTGCTATGATGAACATATTACAACCATTGGTGGACAGAGACGGTAAGATCGTACCGATGTGGAATTGATTCTATGAAAGATTAATTGTGGCTTAGGAATGCCAATGAAGTCGCCGACAACCGCTGTGACGGATACAACGGTTTCGAATTCAAGCAACACCGTGATAATGCCAACAAATACAGCGCAAGTTCCAGCTGAAACCACTCATCCATCGCCGCTCACGGATCAAAGTCATGGTACACCTGGTAGCGTGGAGTCTAGCCTACTGGATCATCCCTGGACCGAGTCCGTCGCAGGGAACGTGTCTCCCAGCAACTCTGTGCTCCAGCACTGGCAGAGGTCGGATCCTATCAGCCTACTGAACACGGTCCCAAGCCAGCGACTGGCAGTAAAAGGGATGGACGAGAAACTGATTCTAAACTTCTTGATCGATAACCCTCGTCAGATCCCCAAAATAGGCGATATACCAAAACTCCCCAAGGATCACAATCATAGCCCCGATCCACCTTCAATTAATATCAATATAGCACCGCCACCAACCGCAGGTGATTACACTCAGGCACATTTGGTGGCTATTCGGAATATACAGCCCACATGTCCTCTCGATTCCATTTTCCTCGATTTTCTCAGCCATCGTCGTCGCGAATTGACAACTGGTTCGCAACAACGTTTAGCCTACCCGAGTGTCTCATCTCTTCTGAATCCCGTCGAGAATAGCACCCATTCGTACTCCATATCAAAAGTTTTCAGTGACATCCTGCGCACGTTTCCAGATATATCATCATTGCCCGAGCAAGTCGGTACACTATACACAATGTTCCAGATCATGCGTTGGCAGATATACCCGACACAAAAGAATTACGACCGGATCCCAGACTGGCTAACACCGCGTCCCGCACAGCTATTTAGCCCTCACCCAGCCTGGATGGATTACATACTCTGGCCCAAGGTCCGCGATCGGTTGGCATACGCACATCGCGACTACCCGTTCGAGAACTGGTTTGTCCCCTACACACGCACCATATCGTGCAACTGGCCATACGAACCGACAGATTGTTTGTTGCATAACACCGAGTCGGATGAGTTGGTGATTAATCCAGTATTTGAGCGCCACATTCGAGAGCTGAGTAACTGGACTGTTGGGACTGAATTTGCCGAGGCATACCCTAATTTGGTGGATGCGGTGAAAATCAGGCATGATGATAGAAGAGCACGGCCACCTTGATACGATGAGCAAGTAGTAGTAGTGGAAGTACTTTTGAGGTCTGATGTTGAAACTCCATTGTCAATATCATATACTCGTGCTTTTATAACTTATACCTGGAACGATAGCCCATTCCTGGTTTAGGAACATGCTCTGTCATGATAACTAAACTGTCATTACTGAGTGCTGTCTCAAGACCTTATTCCTGACTGCTGGCCACCTAGCTGCTCTACTACAAGATTTAACCTGAACGCATTGGTTACGGCTGTCTGACTAGCCTAGGAATCCCGCACAACTAACGGTACTACTGTGTTGTGAAATTCGAAGATCTGTAGCATATTTCTCCCATGCCACGACATCACCAAATTTGTTCAAGAAGCTGGCACGAGCGTTGTCCCATTTTCACATCCCAACTTTATAATTTTCTTCTGTCTTCTGTCTTCTGCCTCTTCCAGCTCGGTGATACCTTTATTTCATAGGCCGTTGTCTCCTGAAGCTTGACGATTGTTCCATCTTGCCTAGTGAATAGATCCTCAACGCGGCCTATTCAGCTCATGCTTTCCTGGTTACTGACACTCCTATTTCAAAACCGAACTGAAAGATGTTCTTGATGTGGTCTCTTAACGATCTCTTAGACGTCAATTGGGACGAATCCGGACTGGGAAACATCACACATCGTCTGTAGAGGATGGCATCATACTGTCATTTTTGCCGCAAGTTAGTATTGCACTTCTACGGCAACGTATTTCATGAAGGAATACCAGACAAATCAAAGAGCTCTTCTCACAGAGTAGTATGCTTCTGATCGAGAGGTCATAAATTGATAGGATGGAAGAAGCACTGATAGTCTGATAAGGATGCCTATCGGCCGAGATAAAGTAAATCTCTCCCCGCCTCAAACTTCCTCTGACTCCTCAGACTCCCTCTTAGACTTACTTCTTCTTCTTCTTCTTCTTCTTCTTCTTCTTATTATTGATCAACAAATCCATACTCCAATAATCATGGCCGCGACGCAAATTGGCTGGGTAAGAAGAACCAATCTGTAGAAATGATCCCTCACTGACCTCGATCTAGTACGGCCTCGGCTCCATGGGCCTCGCCATGGCAAGCAACCTGCAGCGACATCTCGCTGCCAAAAAGGCCCTGGGACTGGTCTATTCCAATCGCACTCTGTCTCGTGGCGAGCCATTGCGAGAACTAGGCGGTGTGCCCGAGAAGACATTTGGCGATGTGGTGCAGAAGTCGGGCATTATTTTTACTATGGTACATATCTTTTCCCTTTTGAATTCCTGTCAAGATAAATTGTTTACTAACTTTTCTCTCAAGGTCTCCAACGACGCCGTCCTCAAAACGCTAATAACCAGCATCGTTGAATCCGGCACGCCCCTGGCCCAAAAAATCTTCATCGACTGCTCCACTGTGCACCCGCAAACCATCACATCGATTTCAGCCCAACTCTCCGCGCAAAGCGCCTCATTTCTGTGTGCGCCAGTCTTTGGCGGCAACCCCGTCGCGGCAGCAGGTAAACTAGTCTTTGCGCTGGCCGGCGCGACGCCCGATGTCCGCGAGAATCTCATCAAGCCGCTTATCCAAGATGTAATGGGTCGCAAAGTGATTGACTGCGGCGAGGACCCGGCCAGATCGTCTCTGCTCAAAATTGCGGGCAATATTGTTACCGTCTCCCTGATGGAGACTGTGGGCGAGGCGCAGGTATTTGCTGAAAAGACCGGGTTGGGCACGGATGCGATGGAGGAGTTGATTACTGAGGCTTTTGGGCCTATTGCGGGCGGGTATTCGAAACGGTATGTTATTATTAACTTTCCTTTCTCTCTTCTTCTTCTAGACCGAGCCTCTAATTCTTCTCTCAGATTAACAACAGGCGCCTACGCCCCCCCGCTCACAACGCGTCCGGGCTTCGGCGTCTCTCTATCAATCAAAGACGCTGTTCATGCACTGGACATCGCAAAAGAAAAAGGCGTTGAGCTGCCATCCGTGGAATTAGCGAAGCAGAACATGTCTTCTGCAAGAGATTATGCCGGAGAGTGTTTGGACAGTTCGTCCATGTACGGCATTTTGAGGCAGAAGGCGGGTCTGGCGTTTTGGAATGAGAAGAGTAGACAAGGTGGTCAATAGTTATTTTCTAGTAGTGGTTCTCCTTCTTTATTTTCAACGCTTTTATAGATATAAATAGATATATAGAATATGATACTCAGACTTAGTTGTGATTTTAAAACATGTTGAAACTGTAGACTTGATTTTGATAATCTATGTACTGTATCAGTCCAGGGATCTGGGATTGATAGTGACCTTGACAGAAAAGAACAAAACGTGAGTGACTCTCCATCCAGCCTACGCTATATAAAACAGAAAGGATAAAAAAGAACAGTGGTTCATTATCGCGGTCCTAATTTGTCCAAGGCTCGGGCTCCTTGCTCTTGCCATTCTGCCTTTGTCACCCACATGTCTTCCTTATCGGCAATCTAGAAAAGCTGTTAATACGTGCATATAAATCTTAAACAGTCAGATGTATCTGGGAACTTACCAAGTTGGCCAACACCGCACCACCAAGGAAAACCATGTGTCTTCGTCGAGGTGGATCTTCGATCCGCACCTTGAATTTCTACATTGCAAGCATTCATCAGTATTCAGCGACTATCGTAAGCTAGGGACTGCGGGTACTCACGTTCAGCCGCTCAGGATTGCCCTGCAACACTCTCGTCAACCACAGCTGCTTCAATTCCTTCTCCAAACGAGACGGCAACCCCGGGTACATAGAGCTTCCACCACTAAGAACAATCGCCTTGTAAAGACTGCTGCGCACATCGAGGTCTGTACCCTGGATTGTATTGAACAGAAGCTCCGCAATCCCAGCCTGATCGACATCGACCAGGTGAGGCTGGAAAAGACATTCTGGAGCCTCAAATCGCTCGCTACCAACCCTGATAACACGTCCGTCGGGGAGCGTATAAGACTCGACGAGCACTGTTGTGTCTTCTGACAATTTTTGGTCGAGCTCCAGGTCATATGAAACGTAGCAAAGCTTTTCTTTGATTTGGCGCACGGTCTCAAAGTCTGCTGTTCTGTTGAGTGCGTAGCCGCGGCGTAGTAAGAGCGCAATCAGGTTTCGCGTGACATCTCGTCCGGCAACGTCTAGTCGCCGGATATGATGGTTGAGAACAGTCGATTCGAAAACGGGAACAATGTGAGTGACACCGTCGCCAGAGTCGACCACGACACCACTGCTGAGACCTATGCAACGATAAGAAATAATCCATGTAAACACATCATATACGCGAAGTGACTACTTGGGCTAGCTCACCCTGCGCATATAGAGCCAAAACTGCCTGGATTGCAACGTAGACGCCACCAAAGTCGTAGCCCTCGAGCATCACCTCGGCCATGGTCTGTCGGTTTTTGAGCGGGTCTATGCGTGTTAGCAAAAAGAAATCTTAATCAGAAATTTCCCACGTACTCATTGGAGGTTCTGTCAGGAGAATCTTTCTTCCTGAAGGATCAATCTTCATCTTGTCGTAGAATGTGTAGTTCCATAGATGTTGCATATCATCCCACTTCTTAACAATGCCATTCTCCATCTGCACCAGACAACATCATCGTTAGCATCATATTCTGGCTCTCGCGGTGTTTGTTTTCTTCCTTATCGCGGGGCGTACAGGATAGCTAATCTGAAGCATCGACCGAGCCGCAGCCGCTTCATCTCCGCACATAATATCCTTAAGAACAATATCACTTTCGCCTTGCTCTTCGGATCGAAGGATAGGTCGTCCCACTATACTTGGGAATTGATGCTCTGGGAAGTTCTATTAAGACGCCCTCTGTTAGTTTTCAGGTCTTGCGGAAATTTAGGGGCGATGGGATGCGAGTCTGTACCTGCGCGGCATATCCGACTTTGAGGAAACCGGTTCCTCCATCGAGAACTGTAATGGGCGGATGGGGATGATTAGCCAACTGTCCAGTCTCACAATAGCTGTAGCTACTTCAATGGTTAGGGTTATGCTGAGGGAGCGAGAGGGCGTTCTGTCATTATGCAACGAAGCGGGACGGCGTAGACCAGCTGGATAAACAACTTACCAATGGGCGCGTCCGTCATGACTGAAGAAGGGAGAACCGTTAAACTATGTTGCGCTCTGAGACAGGTTGTAGAGATTGGGTGACCTGGAGAGAACAAGCAATCCCCTGTGCTCTGGGGTGTGTTTGGGCTGTTTAGCGGGGGATTGCAAGGCACTCGTGGACGTCGGAGATGCAGTGACGATGTGTCCGCCCAATGGGGCTTAGCCGACTGCTTCTCCACATTTTCCAGGCATCCGTCAATACAATCAATGCATGGTGATGGTTGATGATATATATCATGATAATGATATATATAAAGCATTAGATATACATGGCTATATATAAGAATCTGAGGAGCCAACCAGTACAGCTGAGAATGCGAGTATCGCCAGAATCCTCTCACTAGAAACAACTCCAACCCATGCATGCCATCCATAGCCAAGACAAGAAAAAAGAAATCTAGACAAATAAACCGAAGAACCCCATGGACAAATCTAGTCGTCGCTGTCCGAGTCTGGTCCCTCCTCTACCAAACGCCGTTTCCGCTCTTCGTCGAGCTCTCTATACGTGCTGTAGCTCAGCAAGACGAACGCGATAATGATGAGAACGCCGCCCGACAGAGCCGCAAAAGACAACGGCTTGCCAGTACGTAGCCAGTCCACGATGGCCACAAGGAAAATCGTCAATAACGCCGCAACGGACGACAGAACAGGCGAAGTCAAGGACATCAAGACCAGGAACGAACCGGAGAAGGCTAGAAATGAGGGGGTGGAAAGGTTAGTCCTTATTCCTTCCTACTTAAAGAGTCAAAGTGGCATGGACTGCACTTACTAGCATTTGCAAGAACAGAAATCAGAAGCATCCATGCCGCCTCACCAGTAGGCCAGCGAAATGTTTCCAATCCCAGCCAATGTAGGATGGGCAAAGGAATCCATAGTACGAGCAAGGTGAAAGATCCAATCAAGCTTCCCACAGTATTGGCGAAAATCGTGCTTCGACCAGGGCTGGTTCCTTCCGGAGGACAAGCCAGTTTCTTATATAGCACTTCGTATAATCCATATAGAACACTTCCAACGCCAATCACAATATTTCCAAGTGTGCGATTGTCAGCGGTACCTGTGCCTTCTCCTTCTTCTGGGCCCGAATCTCCGTAGGCGACGACCAGAACACCAACAATAGCTATTACAACGGAGAAGATTCTATCAAAGCGAAGTTTATCATTCAAGAGCGGGACGGAAAATGCATATGCAAAGAAAGCCGAGCAATTGTATATAGCTGTCAAATCGCTGGGAGTCGTCATATTGACTGCAACGTACCACGAACCTCCGGCAACAGTCAACGCGGTCGTTATGAAAACCGTTGTTTTCAGCATGTAGGGAACCGGAGATCGAGGATCGTTGCGGGATGATAGGTGAAGGTCCTGCCGTTCAACCATTTGTGCTGTTGTGCGTAGTAAAGACACATGTCTCCGCCAGAATGCGTCCCAGGACAATTTTCGTTTCTGAATTCGCAAGATGAGAAGCTGAAAAGGCCATAGTAGCGACCAAGAGCCGTGTGTCAAGTATCTGATTATAGTTTTAATTAGCTGCATATAATTCTAGGGGGCAAAAAGAAGAACTCACAGCATACAATATGGCTTGTCCCAATGAAGCTCATGTTGGATGTACACCGCAGTCTCCGTCTGGATCACGAAACTAATCAAACTCAGCACCAGAAATCCCGAGGCCAATATGTATTTACGGCGAGTCAAGTTCTTGTCTTCAACAATGTCCGGCGTTCGACTGCGAAATGTTGATCTGCGAGACATCTGCGGCCGCGCGAGAAGTCCGTCGTCAGCTTCGGCAAAGGTATTTGATTGGCGGTGCGGATCATCTTCCTTCAGCAATGGTTGCTGAGAGTGTGCATCGGTTTGATTGCGCCGGTCAAAAGGCGAACGGGAGGTCATTGTGCCGCTATGATTGCCGTAGTCGTCTTCGTCTTCTTCCCAATCTTCGAAGTCGTCCGGATCCTGGATTTGATGCTGAAACAAGCTTCCTCGACCCGGGGCCTCATCATACAAGCGCGCGTTTTCCGTAGAAGAAGCCACAGTGGCGGTTTGGTAGAAACTAAAAATAAAAGATAAAAAGAAAAAGAAAAAGAAAGAATGTCGATTAGTATGTTCAGCTAGTGCGCTGGCTAGCCACGGTGGATGGGCAAGCCGGCGAATGACGGTTCAACGATAGTAAGACTAAGAGCTTGGGGCGTGACAAAATGTATGCGACGCCGCGAAGATCAGTCGGAGTCATGCAGCAACGAGATAAGCGACGTTATGGCTGAAGTATCTCGTATACAGTGCGGCATCAAGGATCCAAGGCGCCAAGTTCTATGTGACGCTGACGCCGACGCTGGTCTGGTCACGTGTCAAGAACACTATGTATGTATGGTTTCAACGTCTGAAGTTGCTAACTTGTCAAATGACACACCTCCCATGATCCTCACAGCACCAATCGCGTGAACGATAGCAACATCAAATCCCCTGTTGCTCCTCCGGGCTAAACGATGCGATGCCCGAATTTTAATCAGTTCAGGAATGGCAAGTACACACCTTTGAGCCTTCCAAAGTGAGCTCGAAGTACTCCAAGAATACAATGCTATTGATCACGAAAAATTGCAAAATTAAATACAGCTGGTAGAACAAGTGTTATGCACACAGTCATTCCAGAGACATTTCTCTCTCTTGAACTTGCTATCATTTTTCAGGCAGCTTTCTTTGCCTTTTTGTCTTCCTTCGCCATCCACTCTCGGGTGATTCCCTTGTAGTCATGAATAGTATAACCTTCAAACATCTCTTTGAACCATGATGTTTTCCTCCAATTTCGCACACCCAGGTCCCTCAACAGCATATCTGCGTACGGGATGGCATCATACGCAAACTCCGGGTACCAAGCTGAAAAGCCACATGGGTAGCGGTGTTTTCCAAAGCGGCTCAACAAAGCAGTCTGGTGGTAAATATCCTTGTTGTCGAGGTCAAGCTTACCATTGAGGAACGCATAGATCCACAGCGCCTGGACTTCCGCAATAATCATATTACTGGTGCTGTGGACCCTCTTAATATACGCAAGAGAGTAGTCAGACTGGGATGCGAGATTTGGTGGTGCGACGCCGCGGAACAGCCTGAAGGGACTGAGAAGTTGCTTGTAAGGTATTTTCATTTCGGGAGGACAGGCGAGGTATGGAAACTGGCGAAGAATGGTTTCATCTGCAATCTTATTAAGGCCATTCCAGAGAGACTGCTGTTTAGCTGTCTCGGAGCTGAGAAGACTTGGAACTCCGAGCTCAGCATCTAACCCATCAGGCTGATATTTGATGCTCGGAGCAAGATTCCAGCCTGTAATCGCGATCAAAGCATCAGTTTGGATGGTGGTGCCATTGGCAAAATGGACATTCCCCAAACTAGATAAATGATCAATATCCTGCTTGATGATTTTCACTTGGTCTGTACGCAGATATTCATGAATATCTGACGGATAATTTAGAATGCCCACGCGGGCAGACCAGAACAGACTGCCTTGGGGCGTCAGCAATTCAGGTGGTCTTCTGTCATACAGAATATGTTTCCAAAAATAAGACTCACCTTTCCTGCGGCTCCAGGTGCTCTAGTACTGATTCCTTCCTATACCCATTTGTTTCAATAATATCATTTCTCATGCTCTCCCAAAATTTGTGCACGATATACCGGCCCAGGCGGGTCTTATGCAAGGCACTTCTGATATAGCTGAACCCATCGGCATCACCCCAGACGCAGGGGCTGAACCAGCTGAAAAAGCGCATGGTGGCCAAGTATTCCAGTCGAAAATCCCCGAGTTTTCCCATCTTGACCCATGGATGCGCCATCCATACTCCGCCTCCTCCTGACTCGCGTATCACCCAGTTCACCTTTTTGCCGTGTGACGCCATGAGATGAACGGCGTCATATCCCGTCTTGGACGCACCCACCACAGTGACGGATGTCACATCGGGGTCATATGCTACTTGGTATCCCAGATCTTGAAGTCGGGAATGGTTAAAAACAGGCTTTCCAAAGTCTTCCTGACCGCGGATACGGACTGGGTTCGGGTTAGAGGCCAGCCCAGTACCGATGATTAATTTGTCGCAGTCGTAAATCACTGACTGTGCTTTTTCGTTCATAGTCGTGACCTTCCATCCCCTGTCTAGTTTCTCCATTGCAAGCACCTGAGTGTTGAAGTTGATGCGCTTGCGGAGATCAAAGTGATCGGCAAAGTCGTTGAAATACTTGTGCAATACCGTGCCGGGTATTTGCTGCCCTTCACGTACCTTGTACTTGGTATCCATTGGGAAATCGGTGAACTCGTATGTGCCATGGAGGTTGTTGGTTTTGAGTCCTTCGTAGCAGTTTTCCTCTGCCCAGACTCCACCCAATGTTGGTCGCTGGCATCGATGTTAGTCTCGACAGAACTATATGCTGTGGTGCGAGTTTGTGGATTGGAATACCTTCTCGAGTAGGAGGAGATTGGTGGCCGGAGAAAGCTCAAGATATGTCTTCGCGACCGCAAGGCCTCCAACTCCAGCGCCGACGATGATCACATCCACAGAGTGATCTCCAGACTTCATGATGGGTTGGATGGTTTCCTGTACAGCTCAATTATACACAACAAATCAGGTGGTGCTTCCGGCAGTGAAGGCCTTTTATTTCGAGGGCGCAAAACAGGTGGGCCGGACAGCGCCACGCAGCAAGTTCCATGTTCTATATTCATATTCGTATTCATCTTCATATCCTCCTAAGGTCTCGCTTCAGAATCGAAAAGCATCAACGTATTCCCCCGTATGTAGGAAGATGTTGGCTTTGCGTGGGGATGATAATGCGTTGCGTGGGTCCTCGACCGACTAGTCCCAGTTTGGAAGACAGATAAGATAAGCTGAGATAAGATACAGGAACGGCCCATTTCCGACGTTCTTCGGTCTTGCAGTCGCAAACAATCCCATGCTCTCCCACAATACTAGTCATACAGCATCTATCTGCTCTGAAAGTCCGACAATGGTTGATGAACATGCCCACTGACTCACGCAAGCTCCATCGCTGCACCGTTCCTGGGTGCGGCAAGGCCTTCACCCGGGTATCACACCTCCAAAGACATGCTCTGAACCACACCGAAGTAAAATGGCATTGTCATAGATGCGATACTTTTTTCAAGCGAATAGACCTACTAGGTAAGTATGCAGACTGGTTAGCAACGGAGTATTATCTGACAGAACTCCAGAGCGCCATAAAGAGCGTCATTCACGGAAAGATGCACTTGCTGGGGGACCAGGGCTGGGCACCTTGCAAGCTCGCAGAAAGATAATATGTGGCGCGGACCTATGCAATGATTCATTACAAGAAGAAGACTTGGAGAAAATAAGAAGATTGCAGGCCAATGAATCAAAATCAACCCAGCGAATTCCTAAGAGTGATGATGGAGAGCCAATTGATAATGGCACTGGAATAGATTTGGGTGCAAATTCAACCCATCAGCACGAAACCCCGAAAGAGCCTCCTCCTCCTCCTGCTGCTGCTTCTGCTGCTGCTGCTATCTCGCCGACAAACGCTCTTGACCGGGGAGATATGAATTATGATACCAGCTTTGACTCTCCACATTTTGATCTCATGGAGCCTTCATTCTCCCCAAGGTATACTTTGGCCGAAGTCCATTGGGACAATATGGACTACTTAAGCCCTAACAACGTAGCTGTACGGTCGGGTCTTTTGCCAAATGACATGAACTGGCCGATTCTTCAATCACCGTGCGCCGTGACGGCCAATGAAGAAAGACACGAGGATTCCAACCTGCAGTGAAGCATGCATGAGAGGTCCATACTGAACAGTCCCAAGGTACATTCGATTACCCCCTTCAGGTTCATCCATCTTTGGAAATGAATCTAATGGCCACTCAGCTATCACGCGTTTGCCTTGGACAAGATTTCGAATACTTTCTCTACGGTGGTATTAAATCAAGCCAAGATCGAGTTCCTAAAGAGCCTGCACAGCTGCCGTCTTTCACAAAAGAAAAATTAGAACTAACATCCTCAAAGAGAGAGGAGGTTCTCAACCTATTGGCCGAGATTCAATCGGTTTACGAAAATAGGTCTCTTGTGGATGAGATCAACGCCGCTCTATCCTTAGTAGAAATGCAAGAATATCTTCGCTTGTTTGTGCAAAAGTTCAACCTGTCTTACCCCTTGATTCACATACCGACCCTGGAGGTTGCGAAGACCGAGTCGATTCTTTTATTGTCAATGATTATTCTCGGCGCTAGTTACAAGACCAAAGACTCGCATCGAATGTCTGTCAGACTTTATGATGCTATTGTTCCTTACATTTTAAGCGGTTTGACCAGCATCCCCGTTCCAACTTTATCCACCTTGCAAGCGTTCTTGATCTTGGAAAGCTATGGAATGTACCGCGCTGGGCCATATCAACGGGAAATGGCCATGCTTATTCATACTTTGTTATTCAACGTAGGTTGCCTTCATCCTGCAAGAGTGTGCTGTGACCTGACTTACTGGTTCAGACCATCCGCCGAATATCGCGCTATCACGTCCGGGGAGGAATCATGCTTCCCAAGCATTTGAAACGCCCTATAAATTGGGAGGAATTCGCCTATGCTGAGCAATACAAAAGGTACTGCGGCGCAGTCTATTCGCTTTTTCACACGATTAGGAAACGGACCTGACAGGGCTTTATAGGCTGATCCTCTTTGTATTTATGTGGGATACCCAAAACGTATCTTGTTATTCCTTCATGCCTAGCATGTCCACGCACACAATCCAGGTTCCACACCCTTGCACTGAAGAGGCCTGGACAGCACCATGTCCATCCGCCTGGCAGCGAATTATGGAAGCTCACGATGAGCCTCCCGACTTTGGTGATACTATGAAATGGCTTGTAGAAGATAATGAAAAACTACAATCTATAAGGCTGGACTATCTACGCTTGACTCTCCTCCTCCACGGCCTCATGTCGATGTGTAACGACATGATTCATTTCGACAATCGATCGATATACTTGGGCGATCTTGAAGAACAAGAAGTATCCTGGAGGCCATGGAGGAAGCGAATGACTTCTGCTCTCGGGACCTGGAAGATAAAATACGATGCACTGGCCATGGCTACAATGCAAAGTATGCCGGATGAATATGTCCATTCCGTGCATCAGAAACAGAGCATTGTATTACTTACTTTATACCACACAGCCCATATCGTCATCAACGGTGATATTCGCCAATTACTTGGCGCAGCTGGGGCAAAGGCAATATTTGGCCATGCCGTCACCCTTGACGACCATCAGGAAAGCTACCGCTGGGTCAAGATGTGGGTAGAATCAAAACCGGCGGTGGTGGCGCACGCAACCTGGCATGCTGCACAAATATTCCGTGATAGTACTTTGTACCTTAAGAATTGGGATGCTCACGGGGTATTCCATTATCCCTGGTGCCTTGTCATCGGAACGCTCACATGTTGGGCTTTCCACCATTTTGGAAGTCAAGGGCGATCTGCTTCTCTCTGCACTCATGAGCGAGGACTTGCAATGCCACAGGAAACATCTCAGGCATTGATGAATCAACTTATCTCGTCAATGGCTTCCACAAGCCCTTGGGAAATACAAAGTATCCAAGGAAAATACTGCACACACGGACTGGTGGTAGAAGTTGCACGATATCTTAAAGGTGTGCGATGGACAGCAGCATTTGAGGCTATGAAAATTGCTCGAAGAACTGTCTGTTGACGAAACTCACCAATACGCAGATTGAATTCACCACTTACATAATGCTAGTATACTGGTCTCTTCCCACACTTCCTTGGCTTCAACCCCCGATTATAAGATACATCATAAGATGGATAGCTCTTTTTACTGGCAGATATTTGTGCTGTAGGTAAAACCCAGAGGCGTACGGAAATATATAGTTAGAACCATAATTTCATCCGATAGTATAGAATAATTGCTCAAAGTCTCCAAAATCAGGTACCAAATAATCAATATCTCCCAGCCACGCATCATATTGGTCGTTAGTTCGAGCCATATCAAGCAGCGCATGTAATCCATCCATATCTTGCAAAGAATCCATACTAACATCAAGCTGAGTATTCATAGCTGCAGATTTAAACGGATCACCAATCAGTGGTGTTTCACTAAAGCAGTGCTGAGGAACAGGCGCAGGGCCCAGTCTGAATATCCGCTCGATGTACTGATGAACAGCTTGGTGCGCTTCATCTGCAACTCGCTGCTTATACCTTTGAACAGCCTGGCTAAAGCTGCAAAGGATTTCGTGGTAAACCTGAGCTTGCGGGCTGACGGGAGCAATATCGGCCAGGATCGCACATGCATGATCAAACGAGTCGTTGATGTCTTTGCGTGGCTCGCCCGCAAACTGGGCAAACCCTAGAACCAGACCAGCACCAAAGACCCAAGCCCTATTGCCATAGTTAGCAAGCCAAAAAAGATGTTCTTGATCAAAGCCTGACGGAACTTGCAAAGTGGAGATGTTCATACTCAAGTAGACAGAAATTCCTAAAACGGAACCCAAAGTCCCTGGCAGTCATGCAAGTATCAACCAGGTATATAGCCGAGCTTACACATACCAGCCCTAATATGGATACCTCACTGTTCTTGATATTGACATCCGAAGCCTGATCAGGGGCATTTATAAGATGATCAGGAGCCTTCCCGCGCAGCCTTGACAGCAAGTACGCCACCATGAATGGCCGAGTAATCAGGATTGCTGTAAAATAATAAACAGAAGAAATGTGAAGAATTCCCATCAGAGCCTGCTGGTCCACCTCTTTGAGGTTATGGTCACGCTGAAAGGTATTCCAGAGCTGTTGTATGTTCAAGGGGAGAGCCTGAATCCATTGAGGAAGCTGACGGAGTAAGTTCTGCGCAGTGGGGACGTGTAGTATATTGTTGTTTCTAACCATTGTATCTACTATGTCTTCCAGGAGATCGCAAGCATTGGTTATTGCAGTGAACATAGCTTTGCTTTCTCCGCAGGCTGCGTTGATCTCGACTATACTTAAGCGTATAGTTGGCAAGTTTTTCGGCTTTCCAAGAATAAAGCTGCTGAGAATATCGAGGTTCCGAACACTAAGTAATACTCCTAATCTAGTACATAGGTCTCAGTTATGATCTGGATCTGACATACGGCTGGACTGGAGCTCTTACCTGTCATCGTCTTGACAGTCAACAACATCATGGAGGCCTAAGATGACGGTGGCCTTGGCTGCTATCCCAGAAACATGGAAGCTGCATTTTTGTTGCAGGCACCAAGCATATAGAAAGAAAGAAGGGCAAAAAGTCGGACTTGATGCAGACTCTGAGACATCAACAAGTCATCAAAAGCAATGCCTGCGGGCACGATGAAGATATGCTGCTGATAGTTGTAAATCATCGCCAGATCCACGCACCTGGGCTCCAATAGCCAAAGCAAGGTCCAGTGCTGCCATATCGTTGGGATTTGGTGGAGGGCATATTGGACTCCTTTTCTGGTAACCTTTGAGCTACGAGACTGTCGATCTCATCGGCCGTGAAAAGGTCCAAGATTCCCACGGTCTGCTTTAAAACTTAGCGCTCAACATAGTCAAGATTTGCGACAATCTATGCATTACTAATAGCTTCAAAATAGGAGTCCAATAACGAGTATAATTTCTCCGACGGAACTTGTTGAATGTCGGCTGTCCCCGGGGCACTGTCATGATCAATAGGGATGTGATGAAGCTCCTCGTCAGTGAAAGGGACCGACCCGACATATGACTTTATTGTTCTCCGTAAGAACTGTAAGAACAAAAGTGAAGATGCTTCTTCTTTCACACGGACTGGGTTCCGAGTCAGATTCTGTGAAAAGAGATAGTATTAAGTTTGAATACAACAACTTACAAGAACTTGTATTCTGGCTCTGTGATGTATGAGGCCCTGTGGCCGGAGTCCCCGATACCTCAGACAACGGAGTCCCCAACGGCATCGCAGCAGCTTCTGGCGACGGATGGATGGCTGTACTATCATGTAACTGAACCTCCTCCGGAGGAACGCCTTGGCTGCGACGGCGACGATCTGTACCTGAGAAAGTGCAAAGGCCAGCCTTTCCGCGTTTCATGCACGAGCGACAGGGTTGTCGGGAGTCGCATTTGATTTTGGAGGTTTTGCAAGCCTGACAGGCATGGCAGGCCCGTTGCCGATTCTCTGGTCGTACTTTGGGGCGTGGCATTGAGCATTGAGTTATTTACATACGCAGGACTAGGCTGATCAGAGGTCAAAGGTACAATCCAACATGTATATAAACCCGGGGTGTTGTAGTCTCAGGGTTTGTGTGGGTGCAGGCTTGCGTGGGTTACGTGGGACGGCTGTCTATGAAGCCGAAAAGGTCAATAATAGATAGTTAGGAATGTACTTTCAGTTCATATTCTCTTTCCAGACAATACATTTCCTCCCTTAATCCAGAGTGTATTTAGTCATTGAATGATTAGCAGTGGGTTCTACCAACCAAAAATCAAACACTGCCTAGCGTTATCTAACTACTATTTGTAAGACTCGTTTTGAGAGATTGAACGCAGATTCTTCACTTGCTGCCAACACATGTCCGGATGAAGTCCAGTACTGGCTGGCTCTGCGACGTATCTTCGGTTCCGATTGACAGGACGTTGCTGGTGCCATGCAATCAGCTTTCAAGCATGGATCATCAAAGGATAGTAGAATTCTAACCTAACGTGGTTGTGTCTCTTGGTGACATGAAATAAGGGCAGTGTTCCGGCCGGTTTGCTTTTCGCTTTATATGCGTTGAAGAATTTAATCGTTGCATCAATGGTTTCCGGTCTATAAATCGTTAGGTGGATGGATACATCCTTCCATAAAGATGGAGCACATACACTTCCCACTCGACTGAACCGAGATAAATGGGAATCTTTTGTGAATCTCTGTATGGCAATTGCTATGCTTTAGTAGAAGAAGAGTTGCAGATTGGTATACGCGAGGCGCAACGTACAGTACTGGTGAGTCTTCGGGCAGGGCTTGGAACAAACCCAATGCTGACTTGGGCTGGACATGCATATCAGCAAATCACCATCCATTGACAAAATATATTGGTTGAACTCACCCCCCAATCACTCTCGTCATCGGAGCCATAATATGACCTAATTGTTCTCTGGCGCACTGGCTTGGTTCGATCAAACCAAAAGGGCACGTCAATAAGGACCAGACCAGCAACTGGTGGAAAGTCCGGGACCTTTGGGGGGCGAGCAGGATCGCCTGCACTCTCTGCTTTAGCATAGACACGCCCGAAGAATCTTAAGAGTAACATCTCACCAGCCGCGAAAAGATTCATCGCAACATGCGCACCGCCAGACGAATGACCAAAAAGCACAACTTTGTCAATCGATCCACATCCGTACTTTTCCGACGCTATATTTTCATAGATCCATTCGCGCGCGAGCTGCACGTCATCCGCACCTCCCGGATATTGCACATGTGGCACAAGGCGATGATTGACCACAACAGTGACGATGCCATGTTGAGCAAAGAACCAGCCGATATTCGAATAAACCCGTTCAGACCACATCTTGTCGCCGGAAAAGAACCCGCCGCCATGAATATACATCAATACCGGCTTATTTTCTGCGCCATCATGTGGAACAAAGACGTCCAGAAAATTTCTCTCATGGGGGCCGTATCTCTCATTACGAATGACTGTCACATTTGACGGGGTTTCCGGATAAAGAGGCTCATACAGCTCGCGCCATTTCTTTTTGTCACATCGATCAGAGAGGCAAACTGCAGCAAACGGGTGCCGTGGTACAATACCTCTTCGTCTCCGGCCGCAAACTTGATCGTCTCTTTATCGATCTCTGCAAAGACTGCATCCATTATGATTTGTCGCTTTTAGTTTTCCTATTGATAAACAAGCTGAACAGAGAACGACCGTGGTTTGCGTCGGATATAACTAATAACCAAAAAGCGAGTCTTATCAGGGCGCATCTGGGAACATAGCCGAATCTGTGCTATTTCCGACTTTATCAGCTCCCGTCTATATCTCCCCTAGATTGTTAGTCCTTCCCATTCTATGTCAAAGATACCTCGCATCTTGCGTAACGCGGATTTGTGGTGGAGATTTACTAGGAGTTACTGTCAACCCCACGCTAGATAAAGAATAATATGTGCGATAGCGATAGCGATTGCTGTAGATAGGATTTTTTTTTCACGGTTATCACGGTGGACAGCTAGCCCTAAGCTGTAGGGGTATGTAGCTCGTAACCTGCGTGCATTCATTCGTACCTATAAAGAACTGTGTCGTCCTTTGGCTGTACAATATAGATGGAACGTCTCAGATCTACCGTGTTGACAAAACAGTGCGGAACGACGACCAATCTAGTGAACCAGAGAATTATCTTCGAGTATTTCCAATGGGCATCAGTATGTGAAATAGCATTAATAGTAGATAATTGACTTGAACCGGCAATTCAACAACATTTGAAGCAGTTAGTAGTCGGAGGAAATGACTCCATTTTCCGGGCCAATCGTTCCAATCCGGGGGTGATTATGTAATGCAGCTGCCATTGGCCTATCAACCGGCACGTGAGGGCCCACGTCGATCTTTCTTGAGATCCAGTCACGTGACTATATCGCAGCCTGAGGCCATCTAAAATTGGTGACATTGTCGGAAATGCATATTGACTACACCTCCAGTCCAGCGTGTGATACTCACAACCACCGAGTATCCTGGCTGTCCCAACACGCAGTCAGTCATGTAACTGCGTGGCAGTGTTTGTCTAAGAAAGGGGAAAAAGAAAAGGCACAGAACTCAACAGTTAAAACATGGCCGGCAACGAATATTCCGCCGTCGGCGGAGGCGGCAAGCTGAAACTGAAAGGATCTAAAGTCAAAGATGGCCGGGTAGACAAGCCCAAGAAAAAGAAGAAGACTACTTCTCAGAATCTACAGCAACAAGAAAAGGTGCTAGAAGGAGAAGGAGAAGAAAAGGAGGGATCCCAAACGGCCAAACCAGCAGAAAACGAATTACTCCTCACTAAGAACAACTCTGCAGCACATGGAGAAGTCGATGGTCATGACGAAGAATCAGACTCGAAACGAGTCGTGTACAAAACTGAAGCAGAACGAAAACACGAAGAGCAACGACGGAAGAGGGTATGTATCTGATTCTTCTTTGTCCTCGGGAAAAAAAATTGTTTTTTCGATGAAGATGCCCGGCTCTAACAGTCCAATAGCTGAATGAAAGACTTCGTCGCGAGGGAGTCAAGACGCATAAAGAGCGTGTGGAGGAGTTGAATCGGTATTTGAGTACGCTGAGCGAGCACCATGATATGTATGTTTTATTCTTTCTCTCTGCGAGCTTGATCTTTTTTTTTTCTTTAAAGATACTAACAATCCGATTCTGCCAGGCCTAAAATTGGACCGGGATAATATTTGCAGAGAGGCTGTCTTTCTTTGCTTACGGTGTTCTATATCAGTCTTCTCGAAGTATCCATTTCAAATGCCATACTTTGCCACTACTGCCAAGAGTCCAGGACCTAACAATAACCACCACACTACGTAGTCTTTGACATAGGAGACCCTACTAAAATCATCTAAGAGAGTAAATACTTCATACTTATAGTAATAGTAAATGCTCACAGCCGCTGACGACAATCCTTGCAAGACGCTGACTGATACTGATGTCAGGGGACCGCACATGATTGGACGGGGCAAACAAGCGGATGCATAGTAAGGTATTACTAAGAGTATCTTTTATAGTTAAAACATGTTTCTTGACATACGTACTGTTGGTTAAGCTTGTGGATTAACAATGCTATTTGGCTTCGGAATACGTAGTATGTACAGTAGCAGGCGGGAATTGGTCGGCATCCCGTTCTATGGATGGTTATCCGATAGGTAGGCGAGTGGTGACTATGTTTGACCATACAATTCTACAAGTCAAGTGCTGTCTGCGCATATTTGAAAAAGGTATGTAGATATATAGGTATTCGTTATGCATTTATATGATATCAACCGATCCAAAATCGCTGATCTTTATCATGTCCAATAGCTACCGGACCAGCCCAATCAGACCGTCTTGCCAACTCCAATAACCGCTGTCTTTTCCTGTAGATAAGACAGGATTGTACAGGCTATGTCGATTGCGGCTGTATTGTTCAGTCGAGGTTCGCACGATCAGGACGGTAGATAGTCGACTCCAGGGGCAATGCTGGCGTTGTATAAAGCCGAAGGAAAAGGCTCAAAACCGGTGTAAAGATTTAGTAGTAGAAACGCCGTAAAACGCCATGCAGATCCCAAAACAAAGGAGGTTCGCAAAATCGCAGATGATGTCTGTCCCCAAAACAGCATTTGAGAGAGATCGGAAAAGGTGAAATATCCGGGTATTAGGCAAAATAACCGAAATCGCCAGAGTTAGAAGCCAAAAGAAACAACATCCACCATGCAAGAACAGCAGAATCCGTAGATTGAATAAACAGATAGATAGATGATCAAATCAAACTATGCAGTCTTGATGACGGTCGTTCGCTCGCTGTTGAGTTTGTCTGCGTTTCGAGCATGCGATTCCTTCTTGCAATCCTCCAGGCCGCTGCAGGCATGTGATTCGAGCATGCGATGCTTATCGCAGAAGTGGCCGTTGCAGAAGGTGCAGTCGCCGATGATGCGTTGGGCGGCATTCTTGCACTCCTTGAAGTTGCAGCGAGGCTTGCGGGCAGGCATGGTGGATGTTACTCTTTTTTTATTCTTTTCTTGTCTCGTCTTCTTCTCTAGTGTGGGTCTAGACAGTGTATATATATATATATATATATATATATATACTGTTGTCGAGGAGGGCGGTGGCGATGTAGAGAGTCCGAGAGAAGCAGAAGGAAGGTATGGGGAGCTTCGGCGAGGAGTCCGATAACGGCCGAGATAACGACAGTGAGGTAGGCTCACAGGAGCTGAGGCAGCGAGTTCGAGAGGACGAGGGCGGTTAAATGAATGCAGCAGAAGCAGAGTAGACAGGGACAGAGGTGGGCAAGGTGAGGCAGTTGCGGAGAGGAGGCAGAGAGAGAGAGAAGGAGGGAGGGAGGGAGGGAGGGAGGAGCAGCACGTAGGGGGAGCGCGATATGATATATATACTGTATGGTCCGTAAGCAGTTAGGGCGGTTAGGTAATCCAAAGGGGAGCGTGACCAGATAAAAGCAAACCCAAAGACGAACAAGTAGCAAGCGCTGTACCCGGTGGACACGAGCTGGTGAGGCGAACCGAACGACGATCCGACGCAGGATGCGTTGGGCTTAGTTTTGCTGTGCTAGCTAACTAGCTATTGTACGATTTATCGCCGCAGAAGGCCCGAAATGGGGAATGCCTGGCTGAACGATGGGCTGACTTAAGCAATGGGTTTTCTGTCCTGGTCCTGGTCTATTGAACCGTAAAGAGGAAGATCGTACGAGTCATATTATCATATTTTGCTTTTCTTGCATACAAGGACGAATTCGGAAGAACGTGGCGAGTCGACACCTGAGATCTCAGGCCGCAGGGTGCCTGGATTCGTCTAGCTTATGTGAGAATGATAATGAGATACTACTTCTTCTTCCCTCACGCATCCGTGGTCGACACAAACTCTAACCACAGCGTGTGAATCCGGCGGTAGATGAGTCATGGAGGCATATATCCGCTAGTTACTTAGTTATTATCTGGCTATTTGCTATCATCGACTACAGTCGCATGTCCGTGTCACTGGGGGATGCATGCACTAGCATATTAATTAAGGATTGCTCTAATTTACATATTTTATGCTGCCACTATGAAAGATAACTACGTGGCAAAGTCGACGGGTCAGGTGATCGCCAGCTAACAAGGTACAAGTAGCACCACCAAGTGATGCGCCCATTATTAAATTGACTCGAATTGCTGCCAGCGATGCTTGCATGTTCCAACTTACGTGGCCCTGCAAGCCAGTCAACTACTATTCTGTAATAGCCAGGTGTATTGGCGAAGTTATGATATTATGAAGTACTTATATAACTCATGCATAGTCACGTCTAGTCAAACGGAATCGGCCGCAGTCCCGTGCCCCCCATGCGCTTTCGCATCTCCTCGCCCGCCGCGATAGTACTGGGCACTTTGATGCCGCAGCAATCACCCCAGAAATCGTCCCCATGCGTATGGTTGTGGTCGTGCGTATGAGGAGCGCCTTCTCCTTGCTCGCGCAATTCGTCGCCCCCCTGGCCCATGTCCGGAGACGCAGCGACTAAACTCCCAAACAAGAAATGCTGCATGATGGGTAGCTTGCCCAGCACTTCCTTGACAAACATCTTCTTCATTCCGCTCTCGACTTTGATCCAGGACTTTGCCCCCGAAATATCGTCGAGCATCGGACTGTGCCATCGAAGGCCCTTGACGGTTTTGACACTGTCCACCCACCGCACCTGATCAAGATACAAGTATTTATCCCCCTCTTCGTCGAGAACGGCACTATTGTGAATGGCGCGAGGCGTTATATAAGGATGCTCGACGAGCTGCGAGGCGCCGAATAGGAAAGGCAGGAAATGGTAATCATCGAGACCCCATACGCCGTGCGACCCAGCCGGTTCCAGATAATACGTAGTTTGGATGCGACGCATCAGATGCATGTAGCTATAGTATATCTTGAAAACCAACATCGGAAAGTCCGTGGGCGAGACAATCCTCAGCTCATACAGACACAAAAGCCACAGCATGAAATTGAGCTCATGCCCCGATCCGTAGTCGAGTCGGTCCCGCGACCCCAGGGAATGTATCAAATATGTCGATAACTCATCCACTGCATCTGAATTCTCTATGCCCAGTATTTCGCGATGCCATTCCGGGCTGTGCGACGCGGTATCGTCGAAGAGCGAGCGAAACGCGGGGTTGCCAAAGCGGGATCCGCCCTGGTCGAGGGCGGGATTCTTTTCGACTAGCGAGCCAAGGAGGTCGACTATACGTAGTATCTTTTCGATGTTTTCAGGCACTTTTTCGTCTTTCAAATCGGTGATTGCCCGCCCGCGGACCTTATCTGATAACCCGAATATAAAAGCGAGAACGAGCGTGTATGCAGGAGAGGTTGTAAAGGTGTCCAGGTCCTTGGGAGAGAGGATGCGGCGAACCGGGTGACTGTATGTGTGCGAGGAAAGGTCTATGGGCGTAGGGAGAGCTGGTGTTTTTGGTGGCGGTTCTTGTTGGCCGCTTGCTGCACGCTTCGTCTTGCCCGCACGGAGTTCGGCGAGTTTTCTCGACAGATCAGGCTTTGGGCCCGTTATAGAATTGTCGGCGGAAGGCATGATTGATACGGCAGTTCGTAATGAGGATCATGTAAACAGAAACCACTCAAAGCGAGTTGATGCACGGAGTAGTTATGCTTGGAAAGCGTCATGACATCAAACCACAAACAGAAAGCACGCAGCGGCAGAATCCCACCGCCCGGGACTCGGATTCTGGCCCGTCATTGGTCCTTGGCCAGCCGCTTTTCGCAATAGATGCGCATGACCGACGAACCTCGATTCACGACACTACAAAGACACATCTTTGAGGCCGTGTACAATTTTTCCAGTCCTTGCATACACCAGGAATTTTGGCCCGAACCAGGTGTCGCTGTGCCCCTTCTCTTTCGACGCGTGCATGAGCCTTAGGTCTAGAAGTGGCATTTAAGACTGAGATCGCAACACCACAATTGTTGCTTCAATACCTCGGTAAGTGGTGCGGCTTCTGTTACATTCGCCGCATATATTGACTTACATGTCTATCACAGGCCAGTTTGCAATAGCAGAGACAGCCAAAGCGGGCGGCGGAGATACATTCGACTCCAAAATGGCTGCTGTCAACGAGACCAGGCAGATTATCAACAATGATCCCTTTTCCTCGGCACAAGACATACAGCAACAGCACAATAGCGGGAACCAATCTACAGATCAATTACGATCATCAAGAGATGAGGGCGAGGAGACAGCTCGCAACTCATGGAGCGAGGAACATAGCCATCAACAGCAAGAATTAAACAGAAAAAATGACGACGACGACGACAACAACAACAACAATAGTAATCAGCAAGGAAGTGGAAACGCCGGTAATAGCAACACCAATAATGAGCAGAACCAACGAATTAGCGAACAAAACCAAGCTGCACAACAGTCATGGTACCAACGCACGGTGGAGAAATACGGCGCCTTGGAACTGGACAATAAGGGCAGTGTCGCGCGAGACCATCTCGCTTTGGGTACGACATACTCCTGATACCCACTCATTTGAACCTATCCATTGAACAATTGACTGATTTGTACGACATGTCTAGAACGAACGTTCCTTGCATGGCTCCGCACATCCCTCTCCTTTGCCTCCATCGGCATCGCCGTAACACAACTCTTCCGGCTAAACAGCACTATAACCTGTGACGACAAAACCTCCACATCCTCCGAAATCTCCTCGAACCATTTACTGTCACCACCATCATCATCGTCATCATCTCTCCTCGAAATCCTCCTCGCTCCCCCATCATCCAACAAAAACAACGGGAATTCCACCACGCGGTTCCGTAACATCGGAAAACCGCTCGGCGCAACATTTATCGGCATCGCGATTCTGATTCTGGTCATTGGATTCCATCGCTATTTTGAAGCGCAGTATTGGATTGTGCGCGGCAAGTTTCCTGCGAGTCGCGGTAGTGTTGCATTGGTGTCGTTTGTGGCGGGCGGGTTGGTAATTGCGAGTTTTGTGGTTATTCTGGCGGTTGCACCGAACGCGATGGAGTTATGAATTCTCTTATTTTTCCTCCCCTGTCCGCTCCATCTTTATTCTTCTTAGTATGGAGGGACGTTTGTATATAGTTTTATATCTAAATAACAAGTTTAGTCATGATTGAGTACCCGATGCTAAATGATGCCTATACCTATCCTTGTCCGTGCGGTAATTAACAGACTGAAACAAACAAGTGAACGCCCTTTTACATAGCCCTCGCAACGGGGAGGGAGGTATCGCTGAACAAGATGACCCGAAGGAAAATAAATAAAAAGTGAGCGGAGTGATTATGCAGCGTTCTCCTTCTGTCCAGCATCCGGATTTAAATAATCGTCCCTCTCTGCAGCCTCATACTCCTTAATCAAATCAACCACAACAGCCTTGGCCTCATCAAACTCACCCAGTCCTTCCGAAAAGGGCGCTTCTTTCTTATACTGATCCAGGAAGGCATTTCGCTTCCTCAGTCTATCATACTGCTGCACAATGCGTTTGAACAACGTCGCAACCGATGTGTGGTTAGCAAGCATCAGCCCACTGACGCGGTGCGTATGTTGAATATAAGGCGATTTCTTAGTCAGCGCAACCTGTATACTGGCAGGGCCCCAGGGAATGAACGAGGCCAGACGCCGTTCACGGATTCGCAATAACGATTTGTGCACATCTGTCGGGTCTGCTTCGCCCTGGATGATGTTTAGAATGCTTATGTAGCAGCTCGATTTGCTCGGTGTGACTGAGACCATGCGGTTTTTGGGCTGGAGGAGCCGTCGCATGACGTCAAGGACTGTAGTTTTTCGCACCGTCTTTGCTTGCTCGATGTTATCGCTTGTGAATGGTGTGAATGATGTGACGAGGAAGTGTGCGCGGGGTGTGGGTATGAGAGAGGCGATGATGCCGACGAGATCGTTGTGCATGTAGCCAGGGTAGCGAAGTGTAGTTGTTGACGCTGACATGACCGTTGAAACCTATAGATTGTTAGCGAATACTCCTCGCATGAAGGATGAAGATCCATACCAATTGGTTTGTCTGTTGAAACGACGGCTCCTGCACATGCATTCTATCGGCAACAATTCTCGATAGAGCGCCATTGTCCAGTACGACAACAGAGTCAGCATCTTGCGTCAATCGCCGCATCGTCAAGAGACTGTTGTACGGGTTGACAACGACATCTGCCGCCTGTCCATCTGGAAACACCGAGTATGTGTGTATAAGTTTCTTAGGAAATCGATCATTCATCCGTTCGAGCATGTAGCTTCCCAGGCCGGAGCCCGTCCCTCCCGCGATAGAGTGCAGTAACATGAAACCCTAGAAATATGCGTCAGGACACGCCTACCACAGAATATCGGGATTTGCTGCAGCAATAACAAACCTCCAGCGAATCACTGCCATCAGCTTCCCGGTCAATCATGTCAAAGATCTCCTCGTGCACGTGTTCACCCTGCGCATATCCCGCAGCCCAGTTATTTCCTGCTCCGCTTCCCTGGGGGTCTATGAAGAAATTCTCGGGATTGTAGATATTTCGATAGGGTCCGGTTTGAATGCCATTGATCACCTACCAAGAAGTCAGGCCGAGCGAAGTAAAAAAGAAAATCCGACCACTTACCCTAGGCTCGAGATCGAGCAGAATCGCTCGAGGAATATACCTTGTGTCATCACTCTAGCCAACGGGAAAAAAACATGTTTCAGCATTGACATACGAAAGCAGTACGGATACGTGATAATAAAGTCGACTGACCTGGTAGAAAAAAACATCTTTGCGATCTCCGCCCTCAGTTGCGAACTCCTCCAAATTCCCATCCTGGTTTATGCCATGTTCGAGACACAGCTGTTGCCAGAACTGGCTGCCGACTATCGCAAGCAGTCAGTTTTATGCTTGCTTGCTTTGGTTAAAATATACTGGCTGGCAGTCTAGCGATTGTAGCGGGGTTGCACTCGAAACGCACCGTTGTTGCCGCATTGGCCTGCTTGGATTGTGATGATTTCTCTAGAGATGGGGAGACAACGATTAATTCAATTATTGACAAGCATATACTGGGAATGACATCCCAACCTACCTGGGCATTCTATGTTGTTGTCAATCATGAGCAAGTTGGCGAATCTCGAGGTTGAGATGTTGAATTGTAAGACGCGTTGGTGAAAACGCGTTAGGCCGCGGAGGTGCACAGAGTCCGCTGATGTGATTGGCTGTGCGTCTTATCGTTATAAGTGGGAAACAGCATGCTGTTGCCTCAGGTACCAAGTTATATCTGTGTAGTTCTTCAATTTTTGTTTTTTCCTTTTTTGGCATGCACTTATATGACTGTGATCGTACGGGATAAACACTTATGAGTTTCCAGATACTATACAAGACATGACGTTTATTTCAGGGATCATTTTCGAACTCCAACACTGACTCCTCACGACCCGCGCCATAAATTCCTGCCAAATCTCCTCTATTTCCCATGTGCTCCTTGACACTGACCATATCGTGATCTGCCAGCTCCATGTCTCTCATGGTAGCACCTAATTTGCCTGCTAAGCCAAGGGCATGGCGGACATCTTTCTGTGCCAGGTCAACAGCAAAGAGAGGCTCAGCCCTCTTGTGATAATTCCGGTGCGCATACAGGAGGAATATGCCACATAGGGACCAGGAAAAACGGCCTCAAAGGATTGGTGTAGGGTATCTGTCCCCAGACCAGACTTTTCAGCGACCACTAACCCCCCAGCAATAGACTCCACCATGCTAATGACGAAAGTATTGCCCAGAATCTTCAACTGAGAGGCCTTGGAAGGCTCCTGATTGTCTTGGCGATCACACCCGTTGTATATGGCTTGACCTGCTCGATCGCCTCCTTTGGACCGGCCAGCACGCAGATTACCAGTCCCGCATCGGCCATCACGGGTGCACCGAAGACTGGGCTAGCCACAAAGAGTGTTCCATGCTCCTATATTTGGGCAGCAATGGATGTGGTAGTATCTGGGTGGACGGTGGAGCAGTCCGCGAAAATCTTATTCTTGATATCCCCAGAGCTGATGCTGAGCTTGACAAGACCCTTGATGGCAGCATCGTCACCCACGCAGGTGAAAATGATATCCGACTTGGAGACAGCTTCTTGCACCGACTCGGCTACCACTGTTCCAGGGTTCTTGGCCTGAAACTCGTGGGCCCTGCTGGCAGTGCGATTGTAGACGATCCAAGGGGGGAGGGGGAACTCAGGGAACCTTTTGCGGCCAGGTTCTTGGCCATTCCCTGGACCGCTCTTAAATTTCACAGATAGAAGAAAACTTGAAGTCTACATACCCGGCCTATGTTACCTAGGCCTAGCTAGGTAAGCTGAGGTGCTATCTTATAAAGCGTTGCAATGAGGATTTTCGATACCAAGCGGAGATGGCCTTTACCAATTGATATAATCGGCGTAGAGGAATGTTTTGTATCGACGATTTGAAAGAAATTGTTCACCTCGATTCTAATTATGACGTGTACGTTGGCAATATCTTTATGCTTTTTGTTTTCCTCCTTACAATTAACATCAGGGCCACTGGTGGATTAGGTGTACATTGTGGAACTGCCCATTCCACACGGCTGGAAACGGTAACTGACGATATCATCACTATCTATATCGTTATACCAGTGCCACCGGTGGGAGACCAAAAAATGTTAGGACAACGTCATGTCTGATTGATAATCATTGCTACCAGAATATTCCTTTGTGGATTTTGGGTAGAAACTGCATTTAACTTCTTCCGAACCAAAGTATCGCTAAGAATGATCCACTTATACGCCACGTTCAATTCAATTACGTTTGACTACGATAATATTGGAAACATGTATGCTATATATATATATTGGGCACCGGTGTCTTCTAGCAGTCAGCGAGATACAACCTCTATACCTACCTAACAGCCCTATCAAACGACCAAGCTTGTCCGATACCTAGGCTTGAAGATGACTACCCAGAAGGCCGTTGTCATCACTTCTCCAAAACAGGAGGGTCTGGTTAACAACAGGCCTATTCCTGTTCTCCGCGATGATTATATCCTAGTCAAGACTGTCGCCGTCGCTCTCAACCCTACTGACTGGAAACATATTGCTTTCCTCGCGCCTCAAGGCGTTCTAGTGGGATGTGACTATGCTGGTATCGTTGAGGAAGTGGGAAAGAACGTCAAAAAGCCATTCAAGAAGGGCGACCGCGTCTGTGGCTTCGTACACGGCGCCAATGCTGTGCAGCCTGAAGATGGGGCCTTTGCCGAGTACATCGTTGCCAAGGGAGATATCCAAATGCATATCCCGAGCAACCTCAGCTTCCAGGAAGCGGCAACCCTTGGGGTGGGCATTACTACAGTGGGTCAGGCCCTGTATCAAAGCTTGAAACTTGCACTGCCTACCGAGCCCATCAAAAAGCCGGTTCCCATCCTCATCTATGGCGGTTCAACAGCCACCGGAACGCTAGCTATTCAATTCGCCAAGTTGTCAGGCTACACGGTTCTTACTACCTGTTCGCCGCATAATTTCGATCTGGTTAGGAGCCTCGGTGCGGATGCTGTTTTCGACTACAAGGACCCGAACTCCGCCAAAGAAATCCGCACTTACACTAAGAACGACTTGAAATTGGTCCTGGATACCATTTCACTAGATAGCAGCGCTCAGTACTGCGACAATGCCATCTCTACTGAGGGCGGAGAGTACAGTGCTCTTCTAACGGTCAAAATTGAGCGTGCTAACGTTAATGACCGCTTAACCCTCGCCTATACTGCTATGGGCGAAGGCTTCAAGTTTGGCGACACAACAATTCCTGCGAAGCCTGAAGACAAGGCTCATGCTGAGATGTTCTGGGCGATCGCTGAGCAGTTGCTGGCCGCGGGCAAGATCAAAGTTCACACCCCGAAGGTAAACCCTGGCGGGTTGAAGGGCGTCTTGGAGGGAATGAAGCTTATGAAGGAAGACAAGGTCAGCGGAGAGAAACTAGTCTACAATGTTGGCGACACTTTGTAGATAAGTCAGCATCTTATACTTTTATCTTTTTACCTAATTTTTGATTTATTCTTCTCTTTCTTTTTTCCCGCTTCAATGATGGATCACTCTCCTATGCTAGACGTAACATAAACCATACATAGACATGTATCAGCGCATAGCATGTATTCAGGTTGCTCAGTAGATTTTTCAGCCGGACTTGACTTCCAGTTTCAGTTAAAAGGTGGAGTGATATCAAAATCGGCATGATCTGAGGGCGAGTTAGGGCTTCGATGAGAAGTGGAGAGCTCAAACTTTAAGGCGGCAATGTCTAGTCCCAAGGAGGAATAGTTTCCGCAGAATTGGCAAACTTGAGTCTTGATTTATAATCCAAATTTGAAGTTTGTTAGTTCGCAAAAAATGAATTTTCGAGATATTGTGGATAAATCATTATCCGGGTCTTCTATCTATCTCTAGTAGTATTAAGGCCAGGGGTACATAAGTGACACAATACATCCTGAAGCAACTGTTGCAACTGTGATAATAACTTGGAGTCAAAAAATATTTGCAATTTTATCTCGTGCAATATGTCTTCTACCATCATCTGGCCCCAACAATATCTCCCGGGAACCACGGACAACTATGTCTCGAATGAGATATTCGTGGCAGGCATCACCGCAGAACAAGTGTGGCCGTATCTGGTGAATATTACCAAGTGGGAGTCCTATTACAACAACGTCAGCCAGATCACACCACCCAGCTCCGGCCCAATCCTACGCAAGGACGACAAATTCAGCTTCTCTACCTTTGGATTCCCACCGCTACAGTCTCAAGTGTGGGAGTCAGTAGCGCCTACAGCTTCTTCGCCAGGACGACTGGCTTGGCGCGCGTGGCAGGATGGCGATGAAGAGACCGCCCTCGACGTGTATCATGCGTGGATTGTCGAGAATACCGAATGGGGGGTTGTGCGCATCCTAACGCAAGAGGTGCAAGTCGGGAAGCCTGCTGCTGAGCTGGCAACAGCGAGACCCAATCCAATGTTGAATGGGCACCAAGATTGGTTGGACGGATTGGCGAAGATAGCCAAGGCAGGAGGGAACTGAGGGAAAACGTCCCCTGCTAAGGAACGATCATTGAGATGTTCTTGCCCCTTTCAGGTTGACTTCGTACGCAGTACAGGTCTAAACATTGAACTAGATTCGTTAGCCAGACCTGCGAAGTCTCAGGATGGATCATGTTGAAAGCGTTTCCTCACGTGTAAGATTTAGTTGTACATTATGCATAGATTCTTTAGGGATGGAAAACGGGCAAATACCAAAGATTACCTAGGTAAAATAGCTTAAATCAAGTCTAGCTCTACTGCTTTAGAATACTACTAGGTACGAATCTAACATTTGTTGGACTTATCAGGTAAAAATGGCGAGGATGCGTTGAGGATAAATTGGGGCGTCTATATACATATTAGCGTACTTAGCTACCTAGGTATCGGTACAAAGTACTGCTAAACTTGAGCCTTGCAGGCGTTGACCAGCAAGCCAACCCCTGCTACAATGCCATCGACTATATGCACATCCTCACCGTCACTTTCTCCATATGCTCTTATACATCCTGCGCGGACTGCCTCTTCCATTCCGGCCATCCCGGCACAGCCCAAGCACACGGCTCGCACCGGATGTGATGTACCCTTGAGCAGCCTCTCAGTCGCATCAATCATGCGTCGGCGCACTTCTTCCGGCGGCGTTTCATGTAGTTCCACGGCCGTAAGCCCCGTGGTTTCGACACCCGCAAAGCGCGCAACAGACGTTGGGATTATTGTACTTGAGCTTGTACTCGAAGCAGGAGAAGAAGCAGCAGCAGCAGAGCCATCCGAGCTTGGCAAATTAGCCCCTTTTCCACTTCCTTCATTCTCCTCGGGCCCATTGATCATAGCCGAAACAGCCTTTGTAAGCTCCGGCTTCCACACGGCACCCGTCGTCACAATGCCAAAGGTATCCTGCGACTGAGTCTTGCGATGGCTCCATTCCGTCTGTAGATTGAAAGCGCTCATCAGCATCAGCGAGCTGGACACGCTAGCCTCGAAGATGCCAGTGACGTATTTCCGGGATTTCCGGGGATCTATAATCTCACTCCCGGCAAGCACATGCAACGTGCCGGAGTCGGAGCGGCGAGCTTTACTCTCGAGACCCCTGATTGTCGCACGCAGCATACCCACAAGCGGATGCGCCGAGTAGCATGCGACCAGGAAGGCGTCATATTGCGGGATTAGTGGCTCGACAAAGGGGCGGCAGTGGAGTGCTGATTGCACACTGTCAGCGCCTGAATTGATGCTGGGCACGGGCTCGATGACCCGGCCATCTGGCAGTGTGACGGATTGGTTGGGGGCAGTGAAATAGTCGACATGGATGCTGATGTAGTTGAGTTGCGCGACGATGGGCTTTAGGGCGTCGGTCATGGGGGTTGAGGAGTTGGGGTTGACGATGAGGATCTTGAAGGTGGGGTCCGCCATTGTCGCTGGCATCAACTGCGATGCGGCTGGGGATGGATGATATATCCAGTATCGTAGACTATTCTTAATGATCAACGGAGTAGCGTCAATAGATGTGCAAAGCAATGGGCTCGGTATACTCTGCGAAGGGCAAGATACATCTGGAGAGGAGGCCTGTGCAGACACGTCCCCTTTATGTACACCACCTGCACAGATTAGTTATCTTCTACTTAACTATCGCTCGTACTACTATGACGTATTCGGTGCAGAGATTCTCAGCACACCGACAGATATCATCTATCTTCGTGCACATAAATTCTCAGGCCGAAAAGGTACATAGGTACCCAACTAGTATATCACAATCGCAATAGAAAATCCATGTCTACTTCGTAAAAAGAGCCGCCTGAGTATCATACGTGTACTTGAGTTCCTTGTGCCAGTAAACCGACGTAGTAGGTTTGGACGCCAACCACGCCTCATCCAGAGCGTCCACCACATCCGGAGGAAGCGGACCCTTCTCCAAATCCGCCAGGTTGCCTTTCAACTGCTCAAAGCTGCTGACGCCAATAATCACCCCGTCATCCCCTCCGTTCACGTTAAGCGCAGAATGGTGTCGGATCCAGCGGAATGCGATTTCTAGCAGAGTCAGGTTGTGCTTGGAAGCTGCGGTCTCGATAAGCTGTAATGCCTTGAAGGTCTCGTCTTTGAAGTATCGGTTGCGGTATAGTAAACCAGAACTGGCATTGTCGCTGAACCGCCCTTCGCTTGGCTTGATATCCTTGCTTTTGATCTTGCCGGAAAACAGACCGCCTGCGAGAGGGTTGTAGACGACGATGCTGATGCCGTATCTGCGCAGCGCGTGCACGAGCTCGGTCTCGATTGATCGTGCTATATTCGTTGGCACCAAAACTCAGGCACAGCCGAATGATATGTATGATGATATACTTACTGATAGCATTGTACATAGCCTGATAAATAGTCGGACGCACCCAACCTCTCTCAGCAGCTAAAGTCACAATCTCCGCGACCTCAAAGGCAGTGAAATTGCTAAGCCCCAGCTCCACAAACTTGCCCTCCTTGTGCAACTTGTCAACCTCCTCCAGAGTCTCAGCGAACGGCACCGACCGGTCAGGCGCGTGCAAATAGAAGATGTCGACTTGATCCGTGCCCAGCTCTTTCAGCGAAGTCTCAAACAACTGGCGCAGCTTCTCGGGCTTGTGCATGCCATCCTCCGTGGGGTAGACCTTGGTAGCGAGTTTGAGCCCGCGCTCTTTCCAGCGAGCCTCGCGCGTGAATGCCTCTTGCTTGCCGCCGACGTATATACGAGCTGTGTCGACTTCATTGTAGCCCTGGGATTGCAGGTAATCAAGCTGCTGGTTGAATTCGTCGAGGCTGGTGACACGGGCGCCGCTGCTTGTGTCGGGGCCGAATGTCATCAATCCGAGGATGACACGGGGTTTTCCGGTTGATGCGACGAGAGGCATCTTGAGAAGCGGGGCAGGTGATAGGATTGATGTAAAGGAGACGACGAATGGATGGCAATAATGGCGAGGAAGAGCAGGAGGAGGAGTCGAGTTACCACACCCTTGCTCGTCGCGGGGTAGCCCCTCCAAGCCCCATTCGCGCGTCATTCAGCGTGATTTCTTTATATTATTCATGTCGTGAGTTTGCTTCCAGAACACGCCTGAACCTAAAGGACTTTTTGCGTGCCAACACATGATAAGATAGCACCATGTAAGAATATCCTAGTGAACAAAATTTACTCTCAATTCCGAGAACATTGGCCTCATTAAAAATAACGCATGTCACCAAACCCGATGAATCAGGCTTGACTCCGCTTGAGGGTCTTTTCCTTGATTCCGAGTTGGATTTTGATTGCACTCCGAGTTCGCTGTGCCGACTAGTAAGCTGGTCTCCGCATTTTTGAAATTATTGACCCGCCGAGCCGCGTACGATTTTGCTTGTACGGAGTATCAAGTAGACAAGTAGACAGCCGATCCCGAGATGCGCAGCGATGCATTTCTTTCGGGGCAGATATAGTACAAAAATAGTTTAGACAATAGTAGTAATAACGATAGGCTCATTGTTTTGATGGCTGGACCACCGTATACACGTAAGCAGGCTTTTAGATGAGGACGGTCGAGTCCAATTGTTCTTAGTGTGTCCAAGTCCAAGACAACGGCGGGCTGCATGATCGGTGGCAAGGATTCGCAGGCAGTTGGATGTCAAATCGGACGGGCTAGTAAGGGTAAGGGCGATTTCTCGACCAGAGTCATACACATAGTACATACACTGACATGGCTGAGATTGACAGGAGATGACAAGCATAGAGTTAGACTATATAAAAGTACTGTGCTATGATTGGCCACTCGCAAGTAAGGAGCTGGGGCATCTTACACGTCCGCCAATCAGCACCCCTCCTCGCCCACCGATCTTGCCGGTTTCAGCTAATGAAGATTGCCACGACAGCGCCTGATTGGTGGGCGTCCCCACCACCCCCCGGCAGCGGATCGTACTACCGTCGACCATCTGCGGTAGCACCCCAGACTCAGATCCATCCATCCATTCATTCATTCAGTGAGGAACTGTTAATCGACCTATTATTGCTGATGGCCACTATTTTAATACGGAGTAGAATAAATTGAACTGGTATAATTAATCATTAATTAGTTGTTTAATTGCCATGCTGGCTATTTGCTGGGTCCGAGTATAAGTCGAGGCCTTGCTTGAAGATCAATGTCTCAGCGATTACTGATTAACTAGTTAGTTAGTGTTAGTTATGCGTTGTCATGAATCATCACGGCAAGCTGGATATCCGACTGGGCGGCTGATTGGATGCGACGCTGGATACCGAAAATTCAAAAATCTTGCTGCTACTACCTAACAAGCCTAATCATGGCCCTGCATATACTTCGGAGCAATGAACCGTTCAATAACGAGTCTAGTCTGTCCTACCTAACTGATACGGTGCCAGGGGCGCAAATAAAAGTTGGCCAAGTCAATCAATTAATATTACTTGGTACTATCAGTGTTCGCGATCCCCTAGCAACGGCTCTTAATGCTACGTAGACTAACTAGTACGTACTTGGCCAACTAATAATCCTTGCGCTTAAGACACTCATTTACGAGTTCTCGCGCGCCAATCAGGGTTCGCTGGGGCTTTGGACTTCGCGATCAAAGAGCCGACACCGTCGCCAACAATGCCATTATCAGCAGAAGGCCACACATCGAATGCGAATCCACGCAGAAATACTCCGTCGTCGATAATGGATTTCAGTTATCAGGATAATTATAGTAATAAATAGACTGGCAGAATGCACAACACGGCGCTACGTCGTTAGCTGGCGCTGCCGTGGGCCGCCGCCTGCCCAATCAGCGACCGCGTGTGCCTGGCCTTATTTCTGACGGGGGCCTGGCTGCCTGAGGCGCCACCCCGGCCGGCCTGCGCCTGCCCCAAAACACCTCCTTCTCTCTCCCGCTCTGAAGCTTCAATAATCCCTTTCTCTCTCCCCCTCTCCTCCTCCTCCCTCTCCCTTCCCTCTCTCTGTTTCCCTTCTCCCTCTCGGCCTCACTGCCTGTTGCAGGGCTTATTCTTTCTTTCTTTCTTTTTGCTTTAGTCGTTTCTGGTTTTTTTGCTTGTCTTTTATCTTTCCTGCATATTCTTTGCCCCCGACAGATAGAGAGACACACACACAGAGAGAGAGAGAGAGAGAGAGAGAGAGAGAAAACGTACTTCCGTCCACATTACGGTTGAAAGCCTCTGGCCCGGTTTGGTGGCCGTCCGTTCATTACAACCGCTTATTTTTCCTCCTATCGGCTTTTCAAAAACCTGTTGTCTTCATATTTGAGTCTTCAGCCGCTCATCGAGATTCATTCGTTGGAACCTCTCGCATCGCCCTTCCCGCTCCGCCCGTGTCCAACAGACAGCCTTCATGCTCCCGTTCTCATGCTGACGGCCTCCGGCTCGCTGAAGCCTGACGTTCGACTGCGCGCCCATTGAATCTCAATAAAGTCTTGCGACAGTCTGGAGGCCTACATGTTTACGACTCGCGATTGTGAACCCAAACTCTTGATGATCGTCGTACAATAAAGACGTTGTTGTTTCCATCTTTTGAACGAACTCGATTTTTTTTCTTCTCAAATTCTTATTCTGGTCATTAAATTTGGCAGGTAATTTCATTACTCATGGATTCAATGCCATACCCTTCACAACGACTCTCCGTTGGAACGATGGATTATAATCCAGATGATCACGACGGTATGACTATGCCAGCCCGACCTCCGAATCCGCCCTTTCAATTCCCAGCCCGAGCATCTTTTGATGCAACAAGCGATAATGTTCCTCCACCCCTTCCGCGTTTCTCCTTCAACCCGGGCAATCTACATGCTCCCACGCCGTCAACATCCACACTCACAGCTCCTCGGCCTATGGGCCACCGACGGCGCCCCAGTGAACTGATCGGGGGAGAAGGTCCTCCAAGCCCTCGAATGTTGGGTACGAGTCCTGGAGCTAACGATGGAGAGAGTGCCAATCCTACACAGCCAGCTATGGGCGCAATACCTCGTGGCCCTGGCCGACGGGGACACGCTCACCGGCGCTCTCAGGCCATGTCGAGCATGGACCTGACCGCACTCACACTATCGGGCCCTCCGACATTGATTGTTGGAAGTGCGCCTACATCTCCTGCCGATAACAAACACGAATTCCAGAACCACATTCGCCCAATGTCCCGTTCAGCCATCGATTTGATCCCACACCCTAGCCCCCCTGCGTCGCCGGCTAAACAATCGAGCCATCTACGCTCAGATGTCCCTATTGCTGAGCCCAGACCTCGTCCAGTATCGATGATTTCCACAGACACATCTAGCAGTCTATCTACCGTTCGACCAAATCATTCCCGGGTAAGTAGCGCAGTGCCCGGTAACAGGGTTGACGATTCTTCTACAGAGGCTGTCAAGGCTCGTCCAAAGACTGCTGATGCAACATTACTCGTTTCGAAGCTGCACAAACCATCAGAACCTCTTCCGGATACGGAATTTTTACGGAGAACTTCACTGGGTATGGGCCCGCTGGGTTTACGTCAATCATCTCAAACTGAAGATGTCTCGGAGACAGAATCTATCAAGGAAAAGAAACCCACGAAGAAGGACAAAAAGAAGAAGGGGAAGAAGAACAAGAAGAGAAAAGAGGGGGAAACAGCCGGCTGTGAAGACGGAAAGAAACGGAGTAGTACTGAACAAGAACTTGGTCATACACAGGAACCCGCCGCAGAGAAATGGGATTCAGCATCAAGTTTCAATTCACGGTCCGGCGCTGAAGATGGTCACCCTAAAATATTGGATGTCTCTCACAGCAGAAAGCAGAAGAAAGTGCGAACCTGGGCTGGCGCGATCTTCCCTTTGAAGAACAAGCGGACACATGCCAAGAGACCATTATCTAGACGGAGTCCGACGCCGCCTCCTATTCTCACACGAACTAACTCCGACATGGGCTCGATAGAGGTCAATTTCGACGAAGACAACACTGTCATCATCAGGACGCCTACCAACACTATCACACCAAACCAGTCTTCTCAAAACACAACGGAAACAAATGACACTACGTTTGAGGCCTCGTGGAAGCCCCGCAGTTTCTATGAGCAGGGCGCCGAAAATGATACATTCAGCCCTGTCATTGACCTCGATGCAGCGCTGGGCCCCTTCAATACCCCCGAAATGAGTGCTGGCCGCGTCGCTGGTAGTGCTTTCTCGCAAGCAACTAAGCGCATGTATAGCGGTGGCCGACGCGGTGAATTCATTGGACCTGAGATGCGCTATCATCGACGGGCTGAAAGTGCCCCGGAAATGCCTCCCTTTGATCGCAGTGTGCTCGGCATTTTCCCTCGTCTCGACACCGCCATGGCTAACGCTGATGTATTCTATGAGGAGGAAGAGGATGCGTTTCTAGCTGAGAATGATTCCCATCCAGAGGGAAATAATCTTGTGGCAGATAGCGTGGATGCCGAGATTTCCAGCGTCATTGAGGAAGAGAGTGAGGATGAGCTAGCCCCTTCTAGTAGTGAGACTTTGCAAGCCATTGTTTCGCAACGTACCCCCACGATGGGACTTCCCCGTGATGATGGACTCGGTATTCAGGTGGCTGAAGAAACTGCTTCCGTTGACGACGGTCCCGGGGACTCTGTATTTGAGGATGACGGGGACTGTGATGACGGCAACAACAACAACAACAACAGCGAGAACAATGCATCGTTGCACCCACAAGTACACAACAAAAAGTCCGTGGAAATTGTAGAGGTTGATCAGTGGACACACTCTCGCGCAACACACCATTCCAATAGTCCTGATGTATCTCCTCACATGATAGCCGTTGACAAACGGCCTTGTTCGTCACCACTTGATCTAAATTCCGGTCTTTCACAACTGACACTTCCCTCTCGACATGCTTCGAGCTCTGCATTTCCATCGCCCGACCCCTCAAATATGTCCTTTGAAGGGCCAAGGTCCGCAACAGCTTCATCAATGACTGACAACACCACATTCAACCACTCTTTACACGACCAAAGACATAGCTCATTCGAAGATGTCCCATCATTGAGCAGCAGTGCATCTACGCGGACGAATTTTAGAGGGCGATTCTCGTCTAGCTTTTATCCTCGTTCGTCGGGTGAAAGGCTCGAATCCTTCTCGAATCCAATGCCGCCTCGAACTAGCCAGTCGAACTCGGCAAAGCGAGCCAGCCTGGTTAGTCTGTCCAGACTAGTCGGGGGTTCATATGGCGAGAGGAGCAAATTGAGCCACGAAGAGAAGCCACCCGCAGATGAGATCGAAAAGACTCGCCGACGAAGTCATCGGGTCAGCCGGTTGATGTTCTGGAAGTCGAAAGACAAGCAGAACAACAGTTGATTCATTTCGGCACATCCATCTTCTTTTCAGTCATCCGTTCATTCCATTTCGGGTTCTTTCTCTTATTATCACGGTATAGGCTGGGCGCATTACGGCTATTCTGCTTAATGAAATGCCCGATATTTCAATTCGAAGGGCATTGGGTAATGGCGGCGTCAATTTTCCTCTTTTATCTATTTCATATTTCTCTTCTCTTCTCATATTATTCGAGTCTATGTATTTATGCCGGCGCATTCAGGATGTACAGCCCTAACTGGACGATTTTTTTTTCCTTCTCTCATTCTTGCAAAAGGTCTCGTATGAGTGGTTGTTTTTTTATTTACCATTCAGTTTGAAGAGCGGACGGTTTTGTATCTTTCTGTTGGCTTTTTCTTTTTCTCTTTTTTCATTCATCATTGCTAGTATTTTCTCTTCTATTTTATTCACTTTATCACAACACTATCATTATCATTACCACACCCTCATTTTTTCATTCCTTTTATTTCCTTCTCATCAATCTTCGCTCTAGACGAATCAATGACATGTCTACCTCAGTCCCTGCTTTATTGACCATTTATGTATGCAATGGGAGCGTTTCCTTGCCGAGTCTCATGATTTACCTAGGTAGTAAGTAGTGTTTAGTTACATGTCATTCGATGGACAATCATTTTATTATCATATACGGTCATGCGCATACAATAGATGTCTTCACGTAGTTTGATCTATTCGCCCTGCCTGAGGTGTCTAGATGTGTGCCCCACTCCGTTGCCCAATTTTATAGAAAACATTCTTATATCTCTCGCCACTGTCAACTCTGTCTACACTATATCTTGTTGAAACTAACCCGCCATTCAATACATATCCCAAATTTCATGGTGTGAGTGAGCGAGTCAGAAAAGCATGGCACCACCCAACAGATCCGGAAAAACGAAGACGAAAAAGCAGGCCCAACAGTCCCGAAAACCAGTGAATAACAAAAGAGAACCAAAACGAAACACAAGAAGAGAAGAAAATAGAAAAGAAGAAACAATTGATTTATTATCAAATACAACAACAATAATATCATCTGATTTGCAACAGCTGTTGCTGAATGTATTCAAATACGCTCTTTCTATCTTCCCTTCTGCATCAAACGAAGTGAAAGATGGCAATGAGCCAGCAAGAGGAGAAGAAACAGATCCAGATCTGAATATGCAGATCCAAACCCTCAAAACGCATCTGTACAATCGAGACTTTGACTCGGCGTTTACGGATGCGTCGCCTGCGCTGTTGCGGGCGTATGCGTTGCGATGGTCGGCGTCGAGGTGTTTGGCGTATGCGGGCTTGTTTAGGGATGTTGTGGAGTGTGTCTTGTCTGATTCTATTTCTGGATCTGAGAATTGTGCGGTTAGTGATGAAGATGAGGAGCTGGGTGTGTTGTGTATTGGTGGCGGAGCTGGTGCAGAGATTGTTGCTCTGGCTGGGGCGTGGAGGGCTATTGGGGATGAGCATTTGGTTAAAGAAACAGAGCCCGTTGAAGAAGAAGAGCAGACCGGAATTGGGAGCTTGTCACTAAAGGGGGATGGCGAGCAGAAACAGAAGAAAAAGAAACTCGCCATAACTGCAGTTGACATCGCCGAATGGTCCGATGTCATCGACAGGCTGGACAGAGCCATACACTCAGTAGACATCCCCGGGCCCAAAACCTGCGCCTCACCATTGATACAGGACGGTGCTGCCATAGACATCTCATTCGAGCATGTGGATATCCTGACTCTATCAGAATCGGATCTCAAATCCCTCCTTTCTCACTCTCTGCATTCTCCTTCTGCTGCTGCTGCTGCCGCAACAAAAGAGAGGAGGAGGAGGTCTCTTATATCCCTCATGTTCACTCTCAACGAACTCTTCTCAACCTCCATACCGAAAACGACCCAACTCCTCCTGCGTCTTACAGACTTGTCAAGTCCGGGGACGGTTCTACTTGTCGTCGATAGTCCGGGGAGTTATTCGACATTATCCTTTTCGAATCCTGACTCGAAGCCGCAGAGTAGTAATACTAGTGGGCGACAACACCCGATGAAATTCCTACTCGATCATACGCTCCTGACCGTCGCAGAAGGAAAATGGGAGAAACTTGTCTCGCAGGATTCGAGATGGTTTCGTAGGGATGTTAATAGTAGGTTACATTATAATGTGGACTTGGAAGGGGGGCAGGGGTTTATTAAATTGGAGGATATGAGATTTCAGATTCATGTTTATCGAAGATTGGATTCCTCAGACAGCCAAAAAGAAATTAGATAGAACAAAGTGAAGAGGTCCTAGAATAATGCTACATACAGACAAGAAATGGGGATGCATAACAGTAAATAATACACAGAGGGGTTTATTATAGCTTCAATCTTTTCTTTTCCTCTCTTCTTTGAGCTTTTTTTTTTCCCCTTTCAATAAGAGGGAGTGAATCAACTCCTCAATCCTAAAAGCAAACTTGTGCTTTTACCGCTATCTTTACCCTCTCCTCCACCAGGCAGATAAGTAACATTAGGATTATTCGCCAAAGTAGCAGCAATCTCTTTACTAGCGTCGATTCTGCGAATCTCAATCAGACCCGTACCAGCCTTGGCAACAGCCTTGGAGATAATGTCAGCACTCTCGGCTTCACCCTCAGCGCGGATAACGTTTGCTTGACGCTCTTGTTCGGCACGCTCGACGATGAATCGTGCTCGTTCGGCGTCTTGTTGCGCAATCTGCTTCTGTTCGACGGCCCGAGTGAATTCCTTGCCAAAGGTCATGTGTGTGATGGATACGTCTTCAAGCGCAATATTGAATTGTTCGGCGCGACGCATGAGGTCCGTGCGGATTCGATTGGATACTGCTTCTCGCTGGGTGATGAGTTCGGCGGCATCGAATTGGGCGACGATGGCCTTGAGGACTTCGTTTCCGATGGATGGCAAGACACGCTCATCATAGTCTGTTCCGTAGGACTATAGTGATTCACCATAATCGTCAGTATGTAATCCAAGAACCCCTCAAAAGACAACAAGCATAGTACATACTTGGTAGATCTTAGGCAAGTTCGGCACCTCCGGACGATGCAACACTCGCAGCGTCAAGCTAACCATCTGCAAATCTTTGGATCCCGTTGTCGTGGAAATATTTCTCGGCTTAGTGCGCACATCATAAATAATACTCCTTTGCAGCCAGGGGACAAGGAAATGCGTTCCTTCGCCGACGACTTTTTCCTGGACTCCGGTCAAGCGGTCGAATATAACGGCGCGCGTGCCGCCCTTGACATCGTACATGGAGGCATCGATGGCGAGAGCACCTGCAATCGGCAGAGCAAACCACCGAAGAAGTGCGTTTGGAGATGCCATCTTCGGGTTATGTGTTGTGGCGGTGGTGGTTTGGGGGGGAAAAGAGTTGATGGATGATTCGCTTTCAAATGCAGATGGGAACTCAAAATGGCTTGGGCTGATTTTGCCGCTTGTCACCGCTGAGCATCGCGCATGCCTAATCGGGTTAGGGTGCTTATTATCGTTCAGTGACGAAATTCGTTCGAAGTGATTTCACTTTGCCGGAGCTGTGAAACTCATTGAATAGCTTCTATCTCTCTTGTTTCAGGCGTTCTTGTCCAGTTCTCCAGTATGGTCGCCAACGCGGACCCTAAGAATGGGAGGTCAGTCTCCGTATCTGCTGCCTTGAAGCCTCAGGCTAGCCTGGCTAGTGTTGCAGCTAGTTCTGCTAGTGCCATCTTCTTCTCTCCTCTACCTACCACACGAATCAGCGAATGCTTTGGCAATATATACTGACATACATCTAACATGACAGCTTTGCCGGAGCATGGGGCAAGTTAGGTATGTTGTTAGACAAAGCCTTGTCAGAACACGTGCAACCCCCTATCACCGGCTACCCTCGACGATAGTATAACAACAACAAAACAATGTACTATGCTGGTATTTTCTTGACTGCGCAAGTTAACCAACTGTGATCGACCATCAGGCTGTCCCACTCCAACCCGAGGAATCGCAGCCTACACGATCTCGCCAAACCGACAAAATCCATTTGCCGGCGCTGGCCATGCTGCGACTTTCAACGTTTTCCGCCGTTTCCGCCACCAGGTTCTTTATGTTGCGCCCCCATTCATCGTTGCATATGCTGCGATGAGCTGGGCGGTTGAAAAGTATGCTTTGTTCTATTTGCCGATTTGCCTTGCTTATGTGTCACAGCAGATTATGGCATAAAACAACTAACTTGTTTGTACCAAAGAAATGAGTTCCTGAACTCGAAAGCCGGGCGAATCATTGGCGACGCCGAGTAGTTCTTGATCATGAATTACAAGGCATAGGCGTTTTGACAGGTTCCTAATAAATCATAATACTATAATTATAAATTTTTTTTCTTAATCCTGGGGATTGCTATCGTCTCCATCTCATCAGAACGTCGAGTGGCAATGATACTTTCCGGCAGTTTGATTTTACCGATTTTACTTCCTACGCAGCGCCTTAACCGCCGCTCATGACTTGAAATAATGGCGCATCCGTCTTCACAATGGCCTAGGCAGCATGTGCTGGAAATGGCTGAATTCCGAAGAGGTGGATGGATTTCTGATTGCTGTTTATCAAGGAGACACCGAGCTACATCACGCATTCTCGTAACACCGCTATTCTTCACCTTCGGAGGTCAATGTAGAAGAAATGACGTTTGAATTACCGTCTTAGCCTGCAGTCCTCTATTCCCGCCTGAGTTGACTCTTGCGCCGGTCCCTGCTCGAATAAGGTCCATGCCTAAAAGGGCGAAAAGAAAGAGAGAAGGAAAAAAGAGATATGTGCTGAGGCAAAGGAGCTTCATGATAGCTGTTTACAGCGTGCACGAGTTGAACAACTGCGAACTCCATGCCGAGCTAACCCGGTTTCGAACACAGGGTGGGGCAAACAGGAGAAACCAACCAATGAATGCCTTCATACGAGAGGCTGGCATTGATGATATTTGTTGTATGATTATATGATGATATGATTATATGATTATATGAAGCTTGACGGAGGGTAGAGAGCCATCTAGTGGAAAGAGCTTTGTAGGCAGAGATTGTCTTCGAGCATGCATGCCTATTCAGGCCTAAGATACGCCACGATAACGGCCTTAGGCACCCCCACTGCGCATACAAAATCGATTGGAGGCGGGAACGGACAACCCCGCCGCCGCTGCCAGACTGTAAAAAAATCATACGAAGAAAAAAAACAGAGAAAAAACAAATACTCACTCACTCGCTTGCTGTTGTATGACATTTCGTCGTCTGTTGTCTTGCTACAACCGATCTCGAATTTACTGCCGCCAATTGACCCCTCCTCATACTTCATCCTTTCGACCTTCACGGAATATATCGTCACCATCATCCATATCCACGATGAGCGAAATCACACACTCCACCATTAAGGGTATGCAGAAGCCGCGCTGTTTTCATTCGCTGCGCCTATATTAATTGGCTGACTGACTTGCTTTCAACTTAGATGGCTGGTTTAGCGAGACCTCTGAGATGTGGCCTGGCCAGGCCATGACCCTCAAGGTCAAGGAGGTCCTCCACCACGAGAAGTCCAAGTACCAGGATGTGCTCGTTTTCGAGAGCACTGACCACGGCACTGTCCTCGTCTTGGACAATGTCATTCAATGCACTGAGCGCGATGAGTTCTCGTATGGCTAGCTAGTTACTCGAGAAATCAAGGTGGAGAGGGGGTAAAAGAAGGAGGCTAACATTGTCACTTTATCTAGTTACCAGGAAATGATTACCCACCTTGCTATGAACTCCCACCCCAACCCAAAGAAGGTGCTTGTTATTGGTGGTGGTGACGGTGGTGTCCTCCGTGAGGTTGTCAAGCACGAGAGCGTCGAGGAGGCTATTCTTTGCGACATTGACGAGGTAAAAACTCCATCAAAAAAATCTTCAAAAATGAGGGGGGACAAACGCTTAAGAAAATTACATATTTAGGCCGTTATTCGCGTCTCTAAGAAATACCTCCCCGGAATGAGCATTGGTTTCCAACACCCCAACGTCAAAGTCCACATCGGCGATGGCTTCAAGTTCCTGGAAGACTACAAGAACGAATTCGACGTGATCATCACCGACAGCTCCGACCCAGAGGGACCAGCTGAGTCACTCTTCCAAAAACCCTATTTCGAGCTTCTCAATGGAGCTTTGCGCGAAGGCGGCGTGATTACCACTCAAGGTTGTTCGTGGCCTTTCCATTTGAATTTTTTTTGTTTATCCCCATTTTTTTTATCGCTACATGACTCCCCTGTTTTCTATGATTTGGAAAAAAGAAAAAAGAAAAAGAAACGCTGACACTTTTTTTTCTTTCGTTTCTCCAGCTGAAAACCAATGGCTCCACCTCTCGCTCATCACCGACCTCAAAAAGGCCTGCAAGGAAGTCTTCCCCGTTGCCGAATATGCCTACACTACTATCCCCACCTACCCATCTGGCCAGATCGGGTTCATGGTATGCTGCAAGGACGCTTCGCGAAACGTCAAGGAGCCTATTCGTCAGTGGTCTCGTGAGGAGGAAGAACGCTTGTGCAGATACTACAATGCCGATATCCACCGCGCGAGCTTTATTCTGCCCAACTTTGCTCGCAAGGCTCTTGAGTAATTTAGCTTACTCTCTACGTTAACGTACCAGGTTTTATAAGAGTTTCCGATTTTTGGCGAGGGGTTGGAAGAAGAGAAAACGATATGAGTGAATGATTTTTTTCCAAAGGAAGGGTTTCTACTTTAGTAATTTATTTGACGTAGGTAGAGAAATTCATTTCTAATCTACAGTATGCCGTGCTGAAATGATATTCATAAACAAGGTTGGCTAGATTAAATTTAAACTAGATTTGTTACCTAAGTACCTATGAGTAAACCTGTTCGATTACATCAAGGTCATGGAAGCGTTTTAGAAATCTATGGAGTATCCACATGTAGGTGATTTTTATGTAGGATTGAAACAAGATTATATGTTCATTTCGTGTACCTAACATCAAAGTCTAAATATAGAAAGATGCGTGACATGATCCAAGGTGATTTTTTTTTCTTTTGGATTCTGCTTAATAATTTAGATAAGTTGCTGGAAAGCACGGTTGATAGGCGAGCGTGGCTTGACTCCCCTGTAGAAGTCGATGGTGGCAAGAGCGCGCTTGCTGATGCCTTCGGGGGTGATCTCGAATTTCTGCAAAAGCATTTATTAGCATAATCTAGTGCAAAGAAAGGAAGAAGAAAACTCACCTCGTAGACTTGCTTGTATGGGCCAGAGGCACCGAAGCGGTTGATACCAAATTGCTCGTGAGAGTAACGCTCCCAACCAAGAGTAGAAGCAGCCTCAACGGACAAGATGGGGATGCCGTCGGGAAGAACCGAGAGGCGGTACTCCTTGCTCTGGGCGTCGAAGACTTCGAAGCAAGGAATGGAGACAACACGGGCAGCAACGTTGTGCTTCTCCTTCAGGTACTGAGCAGCATCGATGGCAATGCTGACTTCAGAACCAGTCGATACGATAGCAACGGCGGCGTTAGGGGCATCAACAGCGACGTAACCACCCTTAAGTGCGACCTCAATGGAGGAGTTCTGCAGTTGAGGAAGGTTCTGACGGGTGAGAGCGAGGATGCTGGGTGTGTGGGTGGAAGTGAGGGCGGAGTAGTAGGCAGCGCTGGTCTCGTTGCCGTCGGCAGGACGCCAGACCATCAAGTTAGGCAAAGCACGGAAATGTGCGAGTGTCTCAATAGGCTGGTGAGTAGGACCGTCCTCACCAAGACCGATGGAGTCGTGGGTAGCGACCCAGATGGCGCGAACTTGCGACAGAGCCGAAAGACGGACGGCACCAGCGGCGTAGGAAACGAAGTTCAAGAAAGTACCACCAGCAGGGATGACGGTACCGTAAGCGGCGAGACCGTTGAAGATGGCTCCCATAGAGTGCTCACGGACACCGTAGCGGAGATAACGACCGGACCAGTCCCCAATACCGTACTCGGGAGGCTGAAAGTCGACAGCGTTCTTCCACCGAGTGTTGTTTGAGCCAGTCAAGTCGGCAGAACCGGAGAGAAGCTCGGGAATAACGGAGTGGATCTTCTCCAAAACAGCCTCGGACAACTTACGAGATGCAACAGCAGCGTCGGTTGGCTTGTAGGTGGGAAGGCTCTTCTCCCAGCCCTCGGGAAGCTTTCCGGCAAGACGTCTGGTCAAATCGGCGTGTTCAGCCTTGTATTCACCGCCATATTTCTGGAGCAGGTTGTTCCACTCCTGTTCTTTGGCAGCACCTTCAGCAGCATGCTTTCCGTACAGGTCGTAGACTTGTTGGGGAACGACGAAGCTCTGCGAGGGATCGAAACCGAAAGCCTTCTTGACACTTTCGGCGTCGTCAGCCTTCAGAGGGTTACCGTGGACACCACCAGTGCCCTGGAGCTTGGAACCGAAACCAATGGTGGTGGTAATCTTGATGACGGTGGGCTTGTCCTTAACCTGCTGGGCCTTGCGGATGGCCTCCTCAATGCCCTGAAGATCGTGGTCACCGTCCTTGACCTCAAGGGTGTGCCAGCCATATGCCTCAAAGCGCTTTAGAACGTCCTCAGTGAAAGCGACCTTGGTGTCACCATCTACAGATAGTCAATCATATGAGTCTCAATGTGCTTGTGGAGTAAGAGAGTGATACATACCAATGGAAATGTGGTTGTCATCATAAAGAGCAATGAGGTTGCCGAGCTTCAAGTGACCAGCAGTGCTAGCAGCCTCGCTAGCAACACCCTCCATAGCACAGCCATCACCGAAGATGGTGTATGTGTAGTTGTTGAAAAGTTCATAACCGGGCTTGTTGAAGACACCAGCGCTGTGAGCCTGAGCAATGGCAAGACCGACGGCGTTGGCGAAACCTTGACCGAGAGGGCCGGTTGTAACCTCAATACCAGGGGTCTCATGGGCCTCAGGGTGGCCCGGGGTGATACTGCCGATTTGCTACGAGATGAGACGTTAGTCTGGGAAGCCGGAAAAATCTCGATACTTCAGGTCAAACATACACGGAACGCCTTTAGGTCGTCGAGGCTGACAGCATATCCGAAAAGGTGGAGAAGGGCGTATTGGAGCATGCAACCGTGACCGTTTCTGATAGAATAAGAGCATTGTTAGAATTAATTGATCCTCTAGACTTGCCTTCCGGCGTAACATGCTGCAATCACTTACGAGAGAACAAATCGATCCCGGTTAGCCCAGCGAGGGCTCTTGGGGTTGAAGTTCATGAACTTGTTGAAGAGGACATGGGCGGTAGGAGCCAGACCCATAGGGGCACCGGGGTGACCTATTGCGAGTTGAGTATGGCCATATGAAAAGGAATTCGGAGAAAGGCCGAATGACAAAAATGGAAAGGGGGTATTCACCGGAGTTAGCCTTGGAAGTGGCATCGACCTGTAGTGTGAAAGAAGCCGCGAATTAGCATTACGAAAAACCAACAACGCGGCAAATCACATCAATGCTACTAAGCCCATCAACGCTACTACAATATTGTAGCCCCTAAATTATGTTGACTGGGAGGCACCATCATCAACGAAAAATTTGGCAGGTGTGCCGGGACAGCATAGCTCCGGGATGACAGAGCTCCGGGAGCGGGGCGTGACAACACGGCAAAAACGCCGTTGGGGGAAAAAAAAGCGAAATCGAAGAGCAAAGCCAAAACACAAAGAACATACCGCGAGAACACGGATCGTGTTGATGGCCAACTGATCAACTTCGGTGTAGGCCATGATTTCAAATTCTGCAGTTGAATTGATGGGAACTCAGCAAATGATCAGAATGGTGATGGAGAGGGACAGCGCAAAGGGCTCTAGAGGGGCACGACAAGCGCGGGGCTAGTTGGAAGAAAATCAATTAGGTCATACATACAGTTGGAAATTAGCCTGCAAGGAATGGAAGGTCGAAATAAAGTCAGAAGGCTGCACAAAAAGACACCAGAGGATGGCTTTCTGTATTGGATTCTGATGAACAAGACGTCTGGGGAGAAAGGAGGAGGAGGAAGAGAGAGAGAGAGAGAGAGAGGAAAGAGCGAGGATTAAAGCTTTCCATGCAGGCCAGCAGCCCCCGTGGCGGGCGCACTTGCCGTTGGGCGAGATGGTGGGGCAGCGATGATGTCGACGCTTGAACCCCCCGCTGCCTGAGGTGTCTGCCTGTATACTAGGTATTATATCATGGTTATATCCAGGTTCAGCGCCGAAGTATATATATGTTTATACATAGCTAGATATTATATATATGCTAGGCGAATCAATTGAATACCACCATGCCGAATGGCCAATGTCGGACTGTCTACTCCATATACAGACGCACTACCAAGGTATCTAGGTACCTACCTACACCTGCGTACTGACGGATATGCTGAATCAGGTAACCCGCACCCCCTAGTTAGCTATTGAGCCTGCTCTCCTGGATGTGAAGTCGGAAAGGAAACGAAAAACCATAGAGAGCCAATTTGCTGTACCGTATACCTAGTAACTGTATATACATATATGTATAGGCAGATTCTCCGCGGCGCTCGGAGCCTCGTCGGTGTACGTACTGGGAATACCTAATGATCTAGATTCTAGAATGCGTCTTTTTAAGAATGGCGTTACTTACTAATTTACCAGGTCGATTGACCCCATGACTGACTAATTCTTTTGCAAAGGAACTAACTACCTACCTACCTACCTAGATCACTATCTCTCCTTTCCGGATGCTTTCGGCTAATGATAATTCCTTTTTCTACACGATTAATAGCCGAGCCAACCCTAAATAATATCAATCGGACAGCTATGGTCCGGTTGATAGTAGATACACGAAAAATCTGTCTTCTTTTCTCACGCCATAGAAACTGTCTCGTCAAATGCCACTGGCATTGTTGACGCCCAGCATGACTATTTCTGATTGGGCCATGCCTTCAATTCGGTGTGTAACAAATGCATGCAGCTACCCTAGCTGCCAAGGTTGCTACCGAGCGAAAGCAAGGTATATGGCAGACCGTTATTTTGCGGATATGCAGTAGTATTACTGCATTAGTACATTGTCTTTGCATAGATATGCAGGTATGTGTGAGCAGGCAATAGAGGTGAGAGATTTGAAGGAGAGGGAGAGGAGACAGTTTGCCTTGGTCACATGCGCTCGACGAGAGGAGAGTTTTTCAAAATCGAGAATGTAATAATAATAACAATAACAACAGCAAGAATGTATGTTTCTACTCAAAAGCCAGACATTTCGAATGGTGGTGAAATTTGTTGGAATAATGGATTCCAATCAACCAAATCCATCAGTAGCCCGTCATTCAGTGGCATGTCCTGGGGACCGCCGAGGAAGTCTGGCAGCTGCACGTCATCCGTAGAACGATTTTGACCACCTCCAAGTTCATTATCTGCAAGGCGAACCTCGGGTTGAGAAAGTTTTTGATTTTGGTTCATTGCAATTGAGAAGTCCTGCAGCAGCAGCTTCGAATGCTCCTGTTGGGCGGATGAGAATAGCGAAGGAGAATCGAAAACTGAATTCTGTTCAACTTGGCTGGGAGTACCTTTCCGGCTTCTGGAAGAAGTGGTAAAGGCATTCAATATCCTCGGACATGGCGGGACAGAGACCCCCTGACGCCGGCATTCGCTGACCTGGGCATTCCATGCTTTGAAAGCAAGCTTGATACAAACAATGTGCAAGGGCCCTCGAGCCTCGGCAGTGAGCCGTGAGAATTGTGGCAAGAACAGGGTATCGATGTAGTGCCATGCGCGCTGCGTGTCTTCTGAAAGAACTGACCGGTGCGGCAATTCCGAAAACAAGAAAAGAAGAGCAGGCCAAGGAAAGTGCCAATCGAATTGCCACAGGAATTTTCTTAAGCAGTCTGTAGTATGTAGTCGTTCGTTGTTGTGTATTACTTCCAAGCAAGTTGCGAAGAGGTAGTCCCTTTCCGCTTGTGATAATGGTGATAGCTTCCGATCTGCTCCATAGTGGTAAGATGGGTAATACGCTAACAATCTTAATGTGGAAATGATTGAACGTCCTGAAAGGCTGACCAGGAGGTGTAGAGGTATCGACGTATCGCAGTATTGAATAACTTTAGCTTGAAAAGTTTCCTCGAGCTCGTCGACCACTTGGAGCCTGACAGAAATTTGTTGAGCTTCACTATCAGTCACGACTCGACCATTCCTTCTTGGAGATGAAAAGGATATAGTATTCCCCGAGAATATGGATTCCTTGATGAAGCTCCGTTGAATATCTTGCCATTTGCCAAGCTCTTGCCGCATATAACAGAAAATCATATCGGTACTGGTATCATTCTTTTCCACAGGGCTTTCCTTCATGGTAGGATGTAGGTCGCTGTCATTGATATTCAATGGAAGAGAGGTATCATTAGATGGCAATGGTGCTGAAACAAAGCCAGATGTGCGTGCGATAGTCCTATCCATGTATATGATGTGCCACCATACGCGGCGTCGCATCTCGGTCTCAAAGGCGGATAGCCCTAACCGAGAGCCATCTCGATGGAGCCCAATCTGCTGGGCGATTCTAATAGCCATACCACTCAGACACCACAGTGTCCTTCGATCGCATAGTACTCGTGAAGAAACCTACATGAGGGTTAGCAATAGCCACCAAAAAACACTAGTTGAATATACTCCGGCACATACAAGATATAGACTAAAGGCTTGCAGCAAAACCACATCAGAAGTGTTCATTAGATCTGCGTTAGCAAACGCTCGCTGCGCGCCTATACGAAATCTGGCTCGCATCTCGCTTCTGTCTTGGCCGAATTCTCTCTGCACTTCCTCGTCCGTCAACGAGAGCAAAGCACAGCAGTATATTGAAAACAATAATGCCTCCAACCCTTTTCCTATCGATCCCAAATCGCTTGTCGCGTTGAGAATTTGCTGTTGTAGCAAAGGGGGATGTATGATTTTCGTTAGTGGGTTGACATTATCCAGGAATATTTGCCAGAGTTTAAAGATATGAACAGGCTCAGGATGCAGACTTGCTAACGAGTCCTGAGATGGAGCTGCAAATAATGTATGATATATGTTATCGTGGAAATGCGATTTACTTCGATGTTTCGACTCTCCACTGCTGTCAGCATCACTATCATCTGAAATGAAATCGGAATCTTTTAGCTGCGGTTTCAGGTCAGTATCCACGTGTTGAGAGAAAGAAAAGATTGATACTTACCTCTCTACCAAGACTGCTCCAGACTTCGCTACAGACCCAATTATCAGCAACATTTCGGTACAGATATTGGGCAATAGAGGGGAGAGCTTACTTCTCCAGATAAATAGATTTCCCTCCTTTGGAAAGAAACTGCCCTGAAGGAGGCTGGAGAGTAGGAGCCCCGTAACAATTCACAGATTCAACTTCAGACTGTGGACTTTTCCCAAAATCGCCCAAGTAAAGGTTGTTCATTGAACGCTGAACATCCGTACCAGCGGACCCATCATCATCAAGCTGCAAACTTGGGTCGATCCCATGCTCACGTAAAAGATTCTCATAGTGTCGCAGGCGAGATAACAATGCAACCTCCGCTCTACGTTTGTGATGGCGAGATGGAATAGCGTGGTCACGAAAGATACATTCTGAATTGGATTTGGTGCAATTAGTGCAGGGATGCTTGCGGTCACATTTTATCTTCCTTTTGCGACAGACGATACATGATGGGCTCTTGGAGGATACTGTTGGTGTTGGTGTGGAAGAAGGAGCAGTTATAGGTTTTGTCTCATTCAAGGAATCTGCCATAATTGTTTAATGACTGGCTTTCGAGAGACGTATTGATAGTTAGATCCATCCATATGAATTAGAATTAGATCCGCATATCGACCCGAGGCTCTCAGAGTTATTGATATGTTTTCAAGTGTGGTATAGTGCAGGCATTCATCAATCATTCAAAATATTCCAGCTATCAAAAATGTCAACATCGCCGAGGTTGAAGAACGTCAAGATGGAAATACGGCGAGCTGGTAAGACCCCACATGCAGAATATGCCAGCACCATACCGGAAAGGTCTTAGACTGAGATTTTGAAGCATAAATATTGGCTACAGCTATACCAGCTATGTAGTAAGAGAGTAAAAGGATTATATACATTGATTGAACGACAAGAAATATACCACTAGAAACACGTAAGAAGTAGAATCAAACCAACCCAAATCACTTGAGAATGGCACGCCAGATGTTGAACAGCAAACAAATCCGTAGTATGAGAACCTTCGTAACATTGAATAAAAACAGGACGCCCAATTCCGAGCCATGCTCCACAAATGTTAAATTGCAAGGGAAAAGAAAATCATTTGCACACCGCATTCCCCTAAGTGATAAGTGAACGATCCCACCCATCAAATAGACCGAGATCGACAAGGTCTTCCTCAGCCGAAGGGATCATGATTCCTTTTACCGGGTCAACCATGTGAAGAGACTGTGGAAATCCATAATCCTTGATAGAAGTAGCATGGTCTGCACCTCCTACAGCATCTTCGGAAGGATAACTCGACGCAATCTCATGCACTCGAGAAACATCGCTACTATTGCTCGCAGACCAAGATCCGGATGAGGTATTGTGTGGAATAAGGCGCACGGGCTGTGGCATGACTGGCACATGTGGCGATGGGCTCTGGTGTTGGTTGCGCCCAGTAGTATTTACCGAGCTAAATGGACCTGCCTGGCCAGCACAATTTTGCCCGCCATAGATTCCGTTAAATATGTTCAGACTGCCCTGGTCGAGATCACTGAGTATGCATTCCCACTCTGCTGCTGATAATGCCATCTTGGAGACATCTGTAGTGGACATGGAGCGAGCTGCACCCGGATTGACAGGATAGTAGTCCACATTCGTTGTATCTGACGATAAATCGAATGACTTGTGTTTGTTAAGTGTATGAGGGGGATCCATTCGAACATTCCCACCATTACTTTGGTCGCGAGAACCAGCTCGTTGTTGTAATTGTGGGGGCTGTTTCTGTGTAGAATTGAAACTTGAAATGGTATTCCTCCTCGATGGCGCCTCGGCTTTCGACATTTTTGCACTGGTATCCACATTAGGACGGGACTGCGACGTTTGTACAACATTCTCTGAAACACCAGACGGCAGACTGTCGGCTCCATTGATAATATTGGAAAGAATACGGAACTCTGTCGCTACAGCGGCGGACTCCAACGCAAGTTGCGTCTTAACAGCTGACACAATCTTACGGCTTTCTTGAACCAATTTGCTATCGCGCTTGAGACTCGTATTTTGCCACAGAATGCCGAGACCTGAGAGATAGACTACCTCCAAGCGATTGATGGAGAGCGATAGGCTTAAGGTTCGTTCGTCGAGTAGCTGTAGAATTTGAATTATATGCTTGCTCGCGTCGCATACAGTCATCATAGCTGGGCTCATAACATTGAGGCTGCCAAAGCAAGCTGCAGGACGGTGAATTAATATCCGTATGAAGTAATATACCAAAGACTAGAACAAAGTTAGCCTGTTACTGTTTCTTTGGACAGATGTAATAGAGAAGACCGACCAATAAAGGAGACCGGCTGTCTGTTACGTTGGTACTTGGTTTATCTTGAAGGAAAACCAATTGAAGATGGACCGGAAGATCTTTCTTCCAATTATCTAGTTCCTCTGACAGTTCGTGTACCTTGGACATGTATACTTCGTAACCAGCTGCCGGGGGGTATAGCGTTTCGACGACTTTCCCGAGAACCATAGCAGCCCTCAATAAGGCAAGAGTACTTGACATTCGAGTGGATTCGTCAGGCAAACCTGGAAGAAATCCAGTCGTGGTGACGTTCTCATCGTCAATGTCTGCGGGAAGCTCGGTGCTGATTTGTTTATCGAGCAGCATCAGTGGCAGTCCGGTTAGAGCAGCGGCAAAACTGGCCAAATGTTTGTTAGTGAAAGTCAAGTATACATAGTGTATCCGCTGGGAGCCTACCGATCCAAAATATATTGGCACCAGAATACCTTCTTACGGGTTTCAGTGGTTAAGGGATCAAGAGCCAGATGACCTTGACTTCGGTCAAGCCCAAGAGCCTGTATAGTGCCAATGGCAAGAGCGCGATATCGATTCAGAGATTGGTAGTCTCCTTTGGCTAGAAAGTACATCTGAGCTAGAACCATGCATTGCACAACAGGCACAGACATGTCTCCACAAAAGGACTCAAGCTGAGAGTACCAGTTTGGCTCAAAAATTGTTGGATCTTGATGGGTTCTCGACTAGAGTAGAGAGGTAAGTATACCTTTGAACCGTACTTGGCCTAAGCTTTGTATATAAACATACCTTGGAGGACAATGCGGCGATACCGAAAATGAGATTGAGTTGTATGACTGTCAGAGGCTGTTCTTTCAACGAAGATGGGTCCGCAAGATAGTGATCCAAAGCTTTGAGAATGGAAGGACGGTGTACTACAGGATATAGAGGAGCCCATTCCTGCAAGTAGATGTTGACCAATTGATCCGTTACCAATCTCGGCGGTGATTTCAGGGTCTGCGGCGTGCGTTGATAGTTCCTAGCCGGGAATGCCGTCAAAGCCTTTGTTGAGAAGGAAGATGGGGATACACCTTGTGTTTTTAATTTTTCTGTCAGTGTCGCAGAAAAGGCACGAACGCTAGATGGCCCAGCAAAAGGTGTAAGCTTTGCGGAATGCTGAAATGCAATAACAGTGTCTGCTTCAGATGTAGAAGTCGCTATTTCTCTTGGAGAAGTCATTGACTGAGAAGCTTCCCGTATTGATCCTGCTGATGCTGAAGCAGTAGAAGACTGAGGTGAGCATGCCTTTCGACGAGGCGAATTGAACGAATGGATACGCGAGAGCACCTCGATTTTCTCATCTCGTTCATCTAGAAGATTCTTTAATTCTCTAACTTCAGCTTCAAGCGACCGCACGCGGCCTTCCAATGACTCAGTATATCCGCGGGGAAAAGCCCTGCGGCTTAACTTGTCGCTGGTCTTGCACTCGAAGCCGACAGTCTTGCATTGTGTGCAGCAGGGACGGACTCCATCGCATCGAATCTTTTTGCTTCGACACCGATCACAGGCTTGAGCAATGCGGCTCTGGGAGGTGTTTCCCATTTTAATCACCTTCATAGGCAAAATTCCCGGCATCTTTGCTGGTGCTTTTCGAGTGTGTTAAGTAAAGTATATACTAGTTAAATATACGTTCAATGTCGGCATCCGCCGAGCTAGGCGGCGATAGGTCGCAACAACGCGATGTGATGACGCGGCGATGGAGAGGGTATAGACGAGGGAGAAGCTAATGACAGCGAGTGGTCATGGGCGTGGATCGCTGATATACCCGACACTGGACAGGCCACTTCCAGAGTCGCACAGACAACATGTACAGCACTTGGTGTAACTAATACAAGTGGACGGAGGGCGGGACGAGGGAGTAATACGAGGCGGAACTATTGTTCTTCCGCCATGGCGCCTCAGGCAGCGTTCTCGATCCACGCTAGTTCAGGGTGGGTCTAGTGTTGGGCCCGTTCTACACGCTGAGAGAGATTACATAAGGAAAAGCAGTTGAATGTCTGGAATGGTTTGACCAAAAGATGTTGATATGACAGAACGAACGCACGAGGCCTTCATTGGCGTATAGTCACTCGGCCTCATTTGCTTATTGAAGCGTAGATTTTCTTCAATTATTCTCACAGACGACCCTGCTCACCGGCAAACGTCTTCACAAATTCACCGCCTTCCATTATAACTTCCCCACCTGCAAATCAGCGAATGCGGTCTAGCGCTGACCATTGCAGACGCGCTATTGGCTGCCCCATACACTTGGCACTCGGGTCTGCGTACGCCGTGCGGCCGGTGATCTGTGCTCGCACCCATGGTACAACTACAACCCAACATTCGGGCAGTTATTGCTCAACGAACTTCCACAAAGGCAATATGAATGCAGACTACGACGTCCACAAGAAAATCGTATTATCTGCTATTTACCGCTCTAAATCTGGGAGTCTTCAGGGACTGCAGATAGCATCACGAGAAATCCTCTTCAACCTGTTCTTGTTGCTCGAGATATCTCCTCACCGGCTCTGAGGACATTAAATCCTCAATCTGTGATTCGGTTAAGTTAGGCACGCATCTTTGGACTCCTCATTGACTGGGCTTAGCATCTATATGTAACTTACCTCGCTGGAGAGATCCTCCAGGCCCCTTTTCAGTAACTCTGTCTCCTGGATTCTCAGCTGTCGAATCATATCATAGATATAACTGCGAACACCAGTTTGGCTTCCGTCCGCATCATGCTCTACATTCGCAAATTCCTGCTCCATTTCACCTCCCAACATGGCCAGGTGAGATTGCAAACACTGCTGAACAAGCACAACTGCACGTAAATGAAATATCTCCCATTGGGGTTCGCGAGAGAGGATACCTCGCAATGACTTCGCCTTCATTGTTGACGTCTTGTCCGAGACGTGGCCGATCTCTTCCTCATCCTTCCATAATACTTTGAGTTCCGGTGGGCCCTCGTGAGTTTGCATCAGCTCAAAAGAGAGGCCGTCTTCTTCATTGACGCACGCCCAGTATATGAAATCGCTTTCCCATTTGGTCTTCCCCTCTTCCACGGCTAGCCGCAAGCCCGGCGCCGTATTGTTAGCGCAGATCATTTTCTTGGCCTGCTTCAAGGGATCGTCATCTGGGATATCGAGGGCTAGAAATAGTTGCCGTGCGCTGTTGACGGAACTCTCCAGAAAACCGTAAGAAAAGATCATTTCTGATGCGCCTTTTTCATCTCCATATCTGGAAGTTCATGTTATTCTTGTAGAGAAAGTAGATGAAGGGGATGCACATACGTTATTGTAACCTCCTCGCCTGGCCGAAGCTTCTTCCCCAACCGAAGCTGCAGCACAGCATTGCGATCCTCATCAGTCTCATATAACGCGACCGTCTCTTCTCCCGAGGCATGATTAGCCATATCCACGCAAGGAACCATTACATGGCCCGAACCGGGCAAATCCAACGCCCGTGAACGATACATAGCGTCAACCATATTCCAATCCTCAAAGCTCAATCGACCCGTCTCTTCATCCCACCACTCCCGATTGCACCAGGAGATAGACTGCGTGGCATCTTGGAGACGGTCAAACTCAGATTCGAGTGCGGATAATTTGAAATCGACGGCGTCTTTGAGAGATGTGCCATATAATAATACGCGTTCGACTTCTGTCCATAATGTAGGTAATGGGATATCACTCGGTATGAATTTGATGTATTCTGACCAGGGGTTTGTAACTCCGATTTTGGTATGTGTGTCACTCTCGTATGTTATATGGCAGAGTAAGAATATGAGAATAGCCCCGCGAGCAGTCTGTCTTTATTTTAACGTCTGTTTCTGAAACATAATAAATATATACGAGAAAGAATATCATACCCTTCCAAAATCACCTAGAGCCTCTAATACCTCCCTCAGGTACGAATCTGATTTTGCAAAATCATGCACAAGGTCAAGCGACAGAACCATATCAGAAGGGACAGAAATCAAAACTTCAACATTGTTTGTTTGTTCTTGATCATTTTTTCTTATTTCTGAATTATCATCATGGTCGTCTTCTTTTCTGTCCACTTTCGTGACTATACCCGAGCCGTTTGCGAGTTTCTCAAAGCCAATGCTGTCGTGGAACTTGATTCCATTCAGATGTGCCCATGCCGGCAATGCCTCGATGGGGAGTTGGGATCGTTCTAGCATGTCAGTGGAGATCAGCCCAGCGTTTTATGCGTAGGTATGTCCTTGTGAAGAGATCAGGATCGATAAATCGATAGCTTCAATATGAGTTGTGTGTACGAAGCTAGTGTATTATCTGGTATTAGAAATGTATTTATAAATACGAGTAACACAAATTATTGCCAGCGTTATGTGTATGGTACGGTATTCCAATGTATTAACCAACCCCGCGGTACTACTTATCGATAAGCACGATAAGAAGCATTCCGTATCATTGCAGCATTTCGACGTCATGACCAACCTCTCAACTATATAACGGATGTATATAGAAAATAACGAGAGGAGCACCTACATAGCAAAGCAAGCAGATCGACGGAAGAAATAATCACAATGCGCCGCAGTCTAATCCCCAACCCACCTCGTCCCTACCTCTTCCCCATCCAATCCATCCTTCAACCCGCCTCAATCATAACCCCAACCGCCCTACGCATCCAGCTCAAAAACGATAGTCATGAAACACAACATCAACAGTCACAATACCACCAAACCGCCTCGAACGGCACCAAGAAGGAGCCCAAATTCCAAGAATGGAAGGGCTCCTCCACGCAAGACCACGCCATAAACCGCGCGTCCAGAAACGACATCACAGACCCCGAAGTCGAGGGGGTAGCAAGCGGGAGGGAAGAGCGGAAGCAGAACGCTAGCGTTGCAGATGCTACTAAGAGTAGTGCTACAACGGAGAGGGATCTGGGACAGAATGCGAAGAAAGCAAAGCAGGAGTTTCCAAAGGCTCCGGAGCCGGTTATTGGGATGAGTGATGAGAGAGGACAGGTTGGTTTTTCTCCCTTCTTCTTGCTTTTTGTTCTGACTTTGTGTGGCTGATTTTTATTCTTTCGTGATCTATAGAAAGGTCATTGATCGAGTTGTGAGGGGTGATTTCACATTTTTTTTGCACTCAATTTGTCTTGTCTATATAGTCAATATCATGATTTTTTTGATCAGGACTTGAAACGCAATGAATCACATGTTTATCATAAATACGTAATAAGTTAGCATGACTAGCGGCCAACTCTGAAAGACAATACCTAGGCCATCCACGTCAGTAAACGATAACAGAGAGGACACATGTTTCACACGTACATCATGTTTCCCAACTGCAACAACTTCGTCTTCAGAGACACGTACTCCGCCAGCCCCTTCTACGTAGGCTATAGGGACATCGCCCATGACTTTTCGTGCTACATCGCCGACTGTGCTGTTCCTAATTGGCGTGTTAGAAGGAAAAATTGCAAGAGACGTGAATTGGATCCTTACTTCTTCACCAGAACACAATCACGGAACACGGCATTTGACCCCGTTCCCGAGGCAAATGTATGAATGTTTCGCACGGGGAATATCGGTACAAGCCCAAGAACCTCTGCAGCCCGCGACAGACATTGGACGACCCCAGTTGATCCAAATCGGTAGAGAACCATATCTTTGAGATTCTCGACGCGTCTGTTACAGTGAGAAATCAACCCTAGAATAAGTATGAACAGAGAGAGGGAGACGTACGATTTTAACTTTTCATCCATCTCCTTCAATCCCCCTCCATCAGGATCACCCATCTCTATCAAGTCTTCCCGAGTGTCCACAAACTCACTACCTTCCACATACTTAATATAGCTCTGTTTTGCAAGTCTTCGTAGAAAGACTTCGGATATCGCTGAGCAGAGAACGATTGACTGTGGATCTTGCATTCGAGCGATTTTGCTGATATTCTAGTATAAGCAGAAAAGTGTCAATCACAGTACATCAGATCTCAAGTCCATGGTATGGGGAGGGATTCACTTTATCTGCATCCGGATGGTCGATTTTATTGAGTGCGAAGACTGTCGGGAACTTCTCATCAACGAAAGCATTCACGACCTTCTCAATGGTCTCATTTGACCATTCCTCGAGTGGTTCTTTCAGATTCAGACGGTCAAGACATCGAGCTACTGTCTGTGAAGTACTTCCGTATCCAGAGAATTGGCCCTGCAGTGTGTCCACTGGCGATGCCTCTGTAGGTTCCTGTTAGCTATGCCGAATACAAGAAACCGTCACTGGGAAATTGTACTTAATGCGGCATGTCTCCGTTTGATAGAGCCCCTATATAAAATAGTATTAGATATTTGCTGACAGATTGAAAGAAAAAAGGCGGACAATTACCATTTCTCCATCAAATTTCCTTGCACCCATCGCACAATTTCTGACCTCAACCAGACAATATCTTGTGACGGATCATAACCCCTAGTCTCCTTGCCTAGTTGTACAGTTCAGTTATTCAACCCAAGCATGCGTACGTTAAGGGAGAAGAGAATAACCTTCAGCATCCGTAGTCCCGCTCACATCCACCACATGAATTAGAGCATCAGCATGTCGCAGATCATCCAAAAACTTATTACCAAGACCCTTCCCCTCGTGAGCCCCTGGCACGAGTCCGGCAACATCCAAGAGTTCAATTGGAACTGATCTTCGCCCGTCGGTACACCCGCCATAGTTTGGTTTGCATTTGTCGGACACCTTGAATCTCTGGCATGCGCATTCTATCTGGAGATATCCAATGGCTCGTTGTGGGTCGATGGTGGTGAAACTATAAATCCACGTATTGCGTCAGCTTACTGCTGATACCTGTAAAGCAATTGCGACCTTTGGATGCTCGAGGTCTAGCAGGCAGGAAGAGGGGCGCATACGGAAAGTTTCCTGCATATTTTCACATCACAAGTCAGAACTTGATGCACCCGAATTAGTTCTTTCCTTGAAACTAACCAACTTTGGAAGAAGCGTCTGTCAAACTATTCAGCGTCGTGGATTTCCCGCTGGAAGGCTTTTTATTCATAACACCAGTCTGGTCAGCGCGGAGATGCGTGCGGGGTGAGCATGTTCGAGCATACTTTGCCTACAAGCCCTATCAGAGGATCGCGGGGCATTTTTGCGATATGACAATTCTAGTTAGGGTTCTGAAGGTCAGGAATTTCGGGCTGTAACCGCTTCATGCTCGGTTCTTGCTACGCAAGATATAAGATTGGGTTCTTGGGTGGTTGATTGTAGTCACAAATCTTCTGTTTCTGCCGGGTTCGGTGAAGGCGGTGAAGAATACCTAGCTATTCAACCGTCCTCTAGTCTGTCGGATTCAAAATTAACAGCTTACGAATGCTAGAAGATACAAGATTATTTTTTAATTATGACCTCTCACTTGCGCGGTGATAATGTTATGTTATTCGACATTTTCATCAAAGGGATTATCGAAGGGACCTCCAGAAACCTCAGGTCTCATTACCCTAATCTTGTAAGTTGCCCATATGTATGTATAGAGCTCAAGCTTTCTTGATATTCTCCTCTGTCAAAGCCTTGATACGAGCAGCCAGCTGCGCATCAACTCGGCTATAGAGTTTTATCTCACAAGTCAGTCACTCGCAATTGATCACAATACATGTTGCATAAAACATACCGTAGACCTTGGCCCGCAAATCCGGGCTCACGACCTTCTGCACAGAGGCCGACACATTCTCAATATATCTGTCTTGATGGCCTGGTTCTCGGCCCAAAACATGCCACAACCCGGTAGCCTGTTCGAAATCGACGGCGGTGATTTGGCTCGTGAAGCTCACAACCTCGCCCACCCACTTCTCATGCTCTGTGATGGTGGTGGTGTTGAACTGCCTTTGGAAGTTCGTTGGCTTCAGCGACGAGCCAACATAGTTAGGGTCATCACCATAGTTGGTCCCGAAGTTCATGAAGCCGTCGCGCTGGAACGGACAGTATACGGGTACATGCGCTGCGTTCGTTGGCAACATTTGGTAGTTCGTGCCCAGTCGGTAACGTGCGGCGTCGGGGTATGCGAACAATCGCGCTTGCAACACTGTTGTCAACTGGCTGTTAGTTTCATGTGGCTTTGACTAACCAGTTTGTTGGTCATTATGATTCTCACCTGGATCAGCAGATGACGCCCAGCCCGGGACCATATTGGATGGAGAAAAGGCGGCCTGTTCAATGTCCGTGAAATAGTTTGCCGGCTGAGGGGCTATTTTTTTTTTGGATTAGCCGATATGAAATTGAATATACAGCAACAGAAAAATTCTTATATACTCACGCTCCGGTTGATGGTCAATTTGCCGATCTGTCGGAGCGGGTAGTCCTTGTGCGGCCAGACCTTGGTCATGTCGAAGATGTTCTATTTGTAACTCTCGGCATCCTTGGGATCTATGACCTGTACATAAACATTCTATACCGGATAGTTACCCGCCTCGATCGCGTCGAACAGATCCTGCAGCAGGTAGTCGGGATTCTTGCCGGCAATCCTAGTTGCTTCCTGCCGAGTAAAGTTTTTGACGCCCTGCTGGGTCTTGATATGAGCCTTGATGTATTTAAAGGAACCATCCTGGAGTGCAGGTTAGCTATTTGCTTGCAAGCGACTTGCTTCACGGCTTGCCTCTTTGGTAAACTTGTAAGTATGTCCACTGTAGAAGTTCAAGTGTCGAATTGACGCAGGGGTTCCTCGGTCGCTGAACAGGTGCATGAGTCGATGGATGCCCTCGGGATTGCCAGTGTGGAAGCTACCAAGAGGGAAAAACAAGCAAAAAGAAAAATTCAGCGCTGCAATGCAGAGTAACGGATCCTGACTACCTACTCCCAAAACTACAGCAAGATTAGCATATAAGTAAACATACATATAGCCCTGTCCAGAAACTCACCATATTCTCATCTGGCCGATGGGTCCGCGGGTGTCTCTTATGCGGTCGGTTCATGGAGGGGAATTTGATCGGATCTCGGATAAAGAACGTGGGCTGCTCTGTTGTCAATGAAAAGTCCACGCTTATATACATGGGATGAGTGCGCACCGTGTTGTTGAAGACCGAGTCCAGGTTGCCTTGATCAGTGTAGAGTTTCATTGCCCAGCCATGCACGTCGCGAGAGGTATCGGCAGAGCCGCTCTCTGGGCCAACAGTCGAGACACGCAGCAAAACATCGGTCTTCTTACCAACAGTGTTGAGGAAGCTAGCGGAAGTGATGTCAGTGCAGTCATGTGTGCACTCAAACACACCGTATGCACTGCATAGATACGTTAGCCTGCTTGATGAGAGCGAGGCTGCTCAGGATTAACCACTTACCCTGCAGCTTTGGCGTGGACGGTTCTGGATCTGTTAGAACAGTTATCGTTACGCCCAAGTTCCTTGACGTGGGCTTACCGCTCGGGAATTCGCTCGCGAGAAAAGTGGGCAAGAGTCTCAATTAACTGAGTGTCCTGCATCAGGAGCAAGCCACCGCCCGAGCCATTGCGGACGTGGACGCTTGTGTCGGGGCGAGCGTAGGGACATCCTAGATATTCAGTGTGAGCTATCTCTATCTGTCTTTGAGAAAAAGCCAACATACCCTCTGCTAGAGTGTAGTAAGACATGATGGGCATGAAGTATGACGAGAGTGGTACAGGAAGCAAATCGTTGTCCAGACGCTATAGTTGAATCTAAATTACAAAGAGGAGCTAGCTATCTGTTTATACACGTACAGAGAACGACCAAAACAGGTCACGAAATCATGGTAGCGAATAATTGGGCTCCGATTACAGAAATGGCACTGTGCATACATGTCAATGGCCGCGTTAATTTGCATCGCACTTTAGTATGTTAGTCTCCTGATAATATTGTAGTTAGTGACGTTGTGGTTGCGAGTCTAGGGCTAGGGGATCCATGACGGTGAGCCGTGATTTGCCAATTAGTCTTTCCCAATACAGTATTTAGGTCTGGCCATTTGCGTATTATAATTCTGTTTGCCCTATAGTTATACTAGAAATGAATGCAACAGTAAAATCAACTAGATATCCTGTCCATAGCTTCCTAAGTCGCGATGTAAGATTCTGCATTTTACCAGATAAATCTACATATAACAAAGGAAGTCTTTTTTCTGGCTGCCGTTTTCACGGTACTTCCCTTCTCAAACCAATACCAATACCATTCATTATTCAGCTATTAGTTAACTTAAATCAACTAAGGTTGTATACGTGTGAGGCTTGCGCTGAAAAAGACCCACTCCCCACTTAGCGCGAGGATTCTGCCGCATGCCGTTCGGATTTACATTACGCCGGAGCATGAGATGTCGATGCTGCGGACCGCTGCACCAGTAGCATTGCTTCCCGTCGAAGGTAGGGCTTTTATTGGCCAAGAAAAAAGGGTCTGAGTCCCTGAGATAACGATAAAGTTATGACGTTATGTCATTGACTGGGCTTGTTACCGCATCGGGAAATACTATTTCGCAAATAATTTAATAAAGTAAGCCGCATAGTTACTATTCAGACTTAATGAGTCGAGACCCATGTTCGAAGAGATAGCAGACTACTAGGATGAGGCGGATTGGTAAGCCAATTGGCAACGGCCACTTGTCTCGTGTCGTGCAGCTGCGTGCCCAGCGGCATTGTGGACAGCGTTTTTGCGGTCATCTAGCACAAGTGCACCGCCCGTTCCGTACAGCCCAGTCAATATACATGAATCGAAACAAGAACATCAACATAAGCATCAATATGACCACAAACAGCAACGTCCAGCCACAGGCGGTCGACGCACCGCTCACGCATTTCGCGACATTTCTTGTACTTACCGTCAAAGATGACAACCCAGACGCCATCAAGACCGTGCGGTCGACGATTGCCAGTATTAAAGATCTCAGCAAGAACATAACAATGCGCGACTTGAATGCCATGTTTACCTGCACCGTGGGCATCGGGAGCGACATCTGGGACAAACTGACCGGCCTTCCCCGCCCCGCGGAGCTGCGACCCTTCCAGGAAGTCAAGGGGAAAAAGCATACCGCCGTCTCGACACCCGGAGATCTCCTCTTACACATTCGCGCCGAGCGACGAGATCTATGTTTTGAATTTGAGCGCCAGCTGATGGACCGACTGCGTGACACTGTCACGCTCACCGATGTCACGGTTGGTTTCCGGTATTTTGATTTGCGCGATCTGTTGGGGTTTGTCGATGGCACTGCCAACCCTGTTGGGACTGCGGTGCCTGAGGCGGTTATGATAACTGCAGAAAGAGACCCGGCGGCAGTCGCTGGCAGTTATATTGTCGTGCAAAAATATTTGCACGACCTAACGGCGTGGAAAACACTATCAACGGAGCAACAAGAAGCCGTCATCGGGCGGACAAAGGCAGACAACATCGAACTCGATGATGCAGAATCAGGACAACAGCAATCGCACAAGACACTCGCGACCATCGAGGACGAGAACGGCAACGAGCACGAAATCCTTCGAGATAACATGCCCTTCGGGTCGCCGAGCTCGAACGAGTTTGGTACATATTTTATCGGGTATACGGCGCAGTTATGGGTCATCGAGCGCATGCTTGAGCGTATGTTTGTTGGAGATCCTCCGGGCCTACATGATCGAATCCTCGATTTCTCCACGCCGGTGACGGGGTCTACATTCTTCGCCCCGTCTGCCAGTGTCATAGCTAGCTTGGAAGACGATTGATAGGAAAACAAAACTATGAATAATATAACTTGGATGGCTTCTTGAATCTGTGCAAGCGTATGCTGGGGAACTTCCATGTCCACGTAGAATGGCAATTCACCCTCACGCGTCCAGTAGAGCACATAAAGTAGACACTTTTCGATGCCCGGATGCGCTAACTTACGCGGCTGACGATGTGTCTCACGCATATTCGATACTAGCAGCGCCGTATGAGTACTTGTTCACGAAATGATCTTGAAGGAACGAATGCAAGCGGCTTAGAAAGCCGCATAGGGCGAGAGTTTCGGAGGCATCCACAATGCTCTGGATCGGCGGTTGACAATACTGATTCCGACACTTCGACAAAAATCGTCAACAGGTTAGTTAACCTGTCTTTACCTAGTCTTGTTGTCAATCTGATATTCGTTCACAAAATGACGTCAATGAGGAGTACAGCATCATATATTGAGGGGAAGACAAAAGAGAGTACAGCCGTGGTGACATGCCCCAATGTGAGAGAAATATTCTGCTTTCCAAAGTTACCTTGCATTTACTATTGGTATTCCTGACGTCGAAGTTTCCCTGATTGTAGTCTCGATTGAGGGCATCCAAGCTCCGGAAAGCTGTTTTGGGCAATGTAATGGATCACAAGTCTAGCCAGTACAATGCAGCCATGAAATATGAAATTTGACGTTTCACTTTATTTCTGGTAGCAAAGAGTATCATAATGATTGTCGATGAGGTGAGGCAATAGTTGCAAGTCTTTGAGTGGGCCAGCTACGTCACTGAGGCAACATCACCACAACCACTTATTTCACTCTCGCTCTATAAAGAATCACATTTCACATCCTCGACCACTTGCTTGACAAACAACCTTGATCAGTTATTCTTGCATATCAACCCTACGTTGCCCGAAGTACCAAACAAGCCGTACCTTGAACACGCAAATCACTTACCATGTCTGAGGCCACTTTCCACAATACTCTGGAGGACATCCGCAAGCCAGAGTCTCGCACCGGTCTTGCTCATGGCGGTCGGAATGCTCCTAACACAAATATCTCTGCTATGAAGGTAAAACCATATTGCTTAATACTCATGAATCTTTTACATGCCAAAATATCTAACCTAAGCAACAAAACAGTCCATTATCGACTCGAACACCAACAAAAACGACAAGATCGAACAAGTCAAATCCAATCTTCCTCTTCCAGATCAACCACCAGTCGCCAGTGACTGGAACTCCTTCGATCAGCGAAATGTAAACGTCGGCTCTGGGCGTTTAGAGAGTGCAGTGTCTGGCGAAAACAACAGTGCTTTCCGGGATCCTGCGACGGCGGCTAGTAGCGCACGCATTGATGGCGAGGAGTTTCATAAGTATACCGAGCCTGGACCTGGAGTTGGTCGACAGGGCAAGGATAATCTGGAGAATCTGCCTAGGGATGCTCGCTATCGGTGATTTCGATGATTTGGGAGTTTGAAAGTCGAGAGAGTGCGTGATGTATATTAGTTGTTATTTTATGTATCCCTCAAAACAAGCTCAATTAAATAAGTATCATCATCATCAATATTATTATTATAACTATTGTTTGTACAAACATCTTAATGCGTAGATTATTTTGTATGCTGCCTCGGTGTGATGACCAGCCTAGCCCTAAGTCTACTCCACATCCGCCCTGTACTCCATCATATTAGAATCTATAGACACACATGATCTTGGAAATACAGGTGAATACAGCTATCTATTGTTTAGGAGTATTTATCATGATCGTCATACTATCAGTTTGTAGAATAAGACACCTGCAGCCACGTCGAGGCAGCTGGTGCTCGCGTGATGTCATCGCTGTGCCAACTGTAACAGAGACCGCATCACCACGATCTTAAGACCTCAAATCACAAAGAAAAGAGCTCCGTATGTCGTAAACAAGAACATTTGTGCGCTCTAGGCACTCCACCTCGATTATGCTGTTGCATCAGCGAGTGCCCACTGCTTTGACGTTATGGGACCCAGCAGCGCCGTAAGTGTGACATCATGCGTTGAAGGTGGTGATCTCAGCTTCTTATAACAGCAGCTTCTCTCTCTCTCTCTCTATACACTACTCACTTTACCATTACCTTCGCTCCAACACAATTCACTCAGAATCGAAATACCGTGATATCTTTTTAATCAATATATACCCTTCACAATGGATCTGCAAGGCACTCCCATCGGCAAGTCTGCCACTGGCACCAAGGTGGGTTTTATCGACTTTTGTCTTTTCTTCGCCACTTAACTTTCAATGCACTAACTTGGAAACTCCCTGCATAAAGGTCAGCACCGATCCTACCAGCAACATCCCTGTGCAGGAAGGACCAGGCGCCGTCGCCAACGACTCTCTCGCTGGCGAGTCCGTCCGACAAGGAGGCGCATTCTCTCAGAACCCCAATAGCGAGCCTCTCAGCGTATCAGGCTCTAACTCAACGTTCAACAACACTGACACCTCCGGCGCCAACACACTCCCCTCAGCCGCACGAGCCAGTGACCGCAAAGAGGACCGCAAAGACCGCTACCCAGATGCCCTAGGTGGCCAAGGGGACTACCCCGGCGCCCATCTGCCCGAATCCGGATACGTGGGTGGCTCGACCCAAGCGAAGCGTGATCTCGGTGTTGGAGGCCACCAGCACCAATACAATGTTTCCGAAGCTGGTGGAAGCACCGGATACCGCAGTGCCCATAACGGCGGTACTGCGCCGTCCTATGTGACTCCCGTTGTGCAGAATGTGGGCAACACCAAGCCTAATGGAAAGAATATCACTGAGGGCGGATTTAATGATAGCCCGAACAGAAATGCTAGCTGGAAGTCGGATATTGGTACTAAGAAGGATTCGGGCCGGCTTGCTGAGAGCAAGTTTCAGAAAACGAATGCAGAGAGCGGTGCGAATGCTGGCTATACTAATCCTACTGTTGATGTTAGTCAGCCGTATGGAAACTTGCAGCCTGATCAGCGAGCTTAGGATTTGTTGTCAATCATTGTTAATGGAGTCTGTACTGTCTGTACCGCAAAATGTAAAACTCAAAGAGCTTGGTGTTCTTGATATATGTATTATAGAATCTGCCAATACAAGGATATCATGAAGATTTGCCCCGGTCACTATTCTCTTGCTATCTTCTTCAATTCATTCAAATTATTGCGGGTGTGCAACTATTGTCTGGATGCACAACGCACGCGTACCTGAACTCACTGACTCTTGAAGGAATCAGCGTATGATAGTTCGAACTCTTTTGAGACTGCCGACGGTATCAATCACGTCGAGTATTCATGCGTCTCCCTCATGATTATCAAACGGAAAGTGTTCACGCAAGGCGATTCGCTCCATTTCCGACTGCGAATGTTTTAGCAAGCCCTCTTTGACTGCTTTGGCAATCTCCCTAGACCTCTCAAGATGCTTATTATCAGGAACCCATCCGAGGGAATCTATGCCAATAACATCCTTCATTTCCGTCAATTCTTGAAGCTTCTCTCGTTCTTTATTATATTCATCTGTACACTCTATTATTTCATCTTCCGTGCATTGCACGCAACATGGAGCGGATTGTGTAGGTGATGCCACAGTATCAAGAGCCATTGGCCAGTTTCGTTGCACTTGAAGCATTGCATATTTAAGAGATAACGAGTCCCCTTCCCAAGGCGCCCCAGCGCAGGTAAACAGTTTAGCACGGAGCATCGCGTTGTCAGCCCATAATGCATCAAAGTAGCCGGGCATCTGCTTCATGGTCAACGCCGCATAGTAAAAATGGACTACGCGCTTTCGCATCGTCTCTCGTATTGACTCTTGTTCATCCTCAGTGAGTTTATGGAAGTCGTCCGGCAATTGAACATCTGGTTTTTGCAATGTTTCTGATATGGGGTCCCCCCAATTTTGAAAGTGGTCCGGTATACCAGCACACAGGGAAAGTGAAAGAATCACCGCGTGTTGTCAGTCAATGATCCCCACTACAACGTTAGAATTGACCAGGATATTATTTGGCGAGAAATCGGGATGCCGAAGAACGGGTCGAGAGAAGCAATGGATTAATGGGATATTCAGATATGGTGATAATTCCAAAAATCGATCTCCCGCTTTGCAGGAGCTTCGAAGCATGCCTGAAAGATCTCCCCTTAATTATATATATCAGCAAAGTTGCTAGAAATTTGGAGATGGGATGTTTACATGGACCTCGTTTGTCTTTTCATACTGATCGCTCTCGATACCACCATTCAAGCTGTGCGCTAGGACCGACAACAATCTGATTTTGTGATGCAGGTATGGGAATAAAATGATCTGATTCTTCGAGGTCTTTTTGGTAGTATAAGCTCCTGCTTGCTGGAAATGAAAGACTTATAAAATGTTTCTTAATGTCAACAATTTGCCTTATTAGTTTGGTCTGAGTCTTATTGTTTATGGTAAATTATTGGTCACTTAAAGGTGTACCTTTGAGTTTTTCTAACAGGAGGTATTTGGACCCAATGGGATTTGCGCTGGTATGAGAGTATCCCAGAACTTTTGGCACTAGAATATTATGTGAAAGCAGCTAGTTAAGTGTTGCAGCCTTGCTGGCAACCGCATGACATTTTGGAATAGTGGATCGATATGGAATTCTTGCAATCGCTGTGTAATTGTCTTTGAATCTGATTTGTAGAATATGATTAAAGCCTTCCTTGGCCAGTTTTGAGACTGACACGAGATCAGATGTAGATTGTTTTATAGAACGACAAACGGCTTCCGCGAGAGCGTTGACATCAAATTGTACGTAGCGTTCGGAGAGACGGATATCTTCGTTGAACCTACAAAATGAGAAAAATATCGGCACATGATCGTAGATGCCTGCTGTGGTCACTCACAAGAATCGCCCAGAAGTGTAGTCAAAAAGATCAACGCGCGAACTCATATTTCACGCATTGAAGGGGTATTTTGCCCACATATCTTGGTAAACGTCCGCATAGCTTAGATGAAGCGTAATCCAGGCTTTCGGACTATGCGTTGCAGAGGAATTGACAAGAATGAGAAAGATTGAGGTTGTTGTTAATAGTTTGCACGTTGGTCTGTGCCTACATTGGCCAATCATGACTTGTTTGTTTCCTATTGCGCACGCTCACACACAACTCTTCTGATTTTTATACACCTGAATATCACTAAAAGTAATGAAATTTTTGGATGTAGACACCACTAATTCATTGAGCATGACATTATGATTCTTCTGACACAAAGAAGGCTTTGTGAATAAAGAAAGGATTAGAATATAAAAAGATATCATTATTGAATTTACACATTCAAGGGATAAGCATAAAGTAATATAATGCTTTATAGATTGTTTAAAATTCATATAAAAAAAAAAGAAGAAAAAAAACATACAAAGCATGAAAAGGTAGAAAGGTAGAAATTTATCGAAAAAAAAAAATTATTAAGAAATCTGCTCGTAAAAAGTGTTAAGAAATATCAAAAGAATAAAAGCTTTGTAAAACTATCGATTCATTTCTAAGCCGCAGAATAACCTAATAGACGCTTTTTGCACTGGTACCTCCTTATAAGCTTGCTAAGACATCCTCGATTTTCTCAATTATAATCCCCAGCCCTCCGTGTGCTTTGTTCTGTGACATTTGTATTAGCAGGAAGAAAGCGTATAACAGCACGACCGGCCAGTCTCGACGCGGTAATCATGATTTTCCCACTGGCATTAATCTGCTCTGCTACTTTCGTAGTAAGCTTGTCTGCCAGCTCCGTATCGTCGTTCAGCTTTTTCGGGTTTATACGGAAACATGTGAGGGCGAACACTGGACCCCAGATAATCTCGATAATGTCTGATCGTTCTTTGAGGAGGCGAGCAAAAATATCGCCGAGGTGAATGGACCGCCGGATATGCTGCTGCAACCCCTTAATGCCATATGTCCTCAGGACAAACCAGACCTTGAGCGCTCGGAATCTGCGGCTAAGGGGAATCTGCCAGTCGCGGTAGTCGGTGACCAGGCCGGATTCAGAGAAAGTGTTTTTCAGGTAGGCAGGCTGAACGTTGAATGTTTGAATGAGATCCGCCCGGCGTTTGATAAACAGACAAGAGCAGTCAAAATTGACCATGAGCCATTTGTGCATATTGAAATTAAAACTGTCGGCAATGTCAATTTGGCGACTATAGTGCTGAAACTCTTCACAGATAAGAGACGCCCCGGCGTAAGCGCCATCCACATGCACCCAAATCAGAGGCCATTTCTTCTTGACCTCTGCTATCTCGTCAAAGCGGTCGACCGCACACGAGGTGGTAGTGCCTAGCGTCGCGGTCATGTAGTATGGATGGAATCCTTCCTTTTGACACTGCTCCAGCACAGCTTCGAGCCGGGCACCAGTAATAGCATACCCTTCTTCGAGTTCAACCGGCATGGCTCGGTATCTTGTGGCCGAAATGATCGCGCCTTTTTGGGTACTACTGTGTGTCTCCTCGGAACCAATCGCCACCAGTCGGGTTCGCAGATAAGCCTCGATTTCTTCGCGCTCTGGCGATCCTTCTTTCAAGCCCTCTTGATCTATTTTGGTTCGTATATAGCGCTCGCGAGCCGCGACCATCACGGTAGTGATCGCTTCACTGGCACTGCCGTGGATAACACTGCCTCCGCCGTTAGAGCTGGTGCTGAGGAAGCTGCAGGGCAATTTTAAGGCTTTGGCCAGCCAATCCATCATCACCGTCTCCAACTCTGTGCTGGCAGGGGAGCAGAGCCAGTTGAATGCCGGCGCCGTAAAAGCTGCGCTATACATCTCACCTAAGATGGAAGGATACGTTACGATGGCCGGGAAAATAGCGAAGTAGTTGGGTGACTGCCAGTGTGTCACTCCCGGAGCAACCTTGAACATAGTGTCGCTCCGGATATATGCCCATGGCTCCCCTTCATAAGGCGCCTCTGATGGCAATTGAGGCGCAAGAAAACCCGGCTCTACCTGTGGTATAACTGGCCGCTCCGGTAGTGAACGGTTGTAGTCGATAACTGCCCTTAACGATTAATTTGGGATGAATTGCGCGCGGACCTGCGTTACTTTTAGTCTTGTCCACGCCGCTCCCACTAGTAAGTATATATGTAAACAATCGCCATGGTTGAGACACGTAACGTGATCTATCTATTTATATATATATATCTTTGTTTTTTGGCCTTAATTGTACCAGATTTAACAGATTCGGCACATTACTGATTACTCCTTGTGCATCTCGTAACTATTCAGTTGCTCTTGTTCCAATACAGTATAACCGCGGGCTCGACTGTCACTTACTTAGGCTTCTTCGCAATGGTAGCCGTAACCGGCCCGCCATATCAATTTTAGGCCACTACTACTAAGGTTTAATATGGTGGTGGTTTTTGCCCCGTTGAGTAACCTCGTTTGACCAATGCCCCGATGTGAAAGTCTTATAGCTCGTCCTGGTAGCCTTGTTGAGCGAGTTGAATCTTTGCAATGCTTTCCCTTCTACATATTATCATGTTCAAGCATTCTTCCGGATGAGGCGCAATTACTTATTCCATGTTGGAGCATCTCCTACAAGGTTAATGCGCGATTTGTAGCTGGAAGGTAGAGTTGTTGGGGTAGAGAATCTAGAGTAACCTGCATTCTATTAAACATACTGACGTAGCCCGAAGATATGAAGACGGTAGAATGTCAGCTGGATTCGAATCCAAGTTCCCATTTAGTGGTACGTAGTTACGCATGCACAGGGGCTACTATATCCCTCATCGCTTATCTATAATTGGTGCTCACCCATGCCGAACCTTTGATACGTAGAATGTTACTCCAGGAGTAGTATTATTGCATGCAGGTTATCCTATGTCTAGGTATAGATTGTCAAACTGTTCTCCGTTCTCGTTTTAATCAATCCGGCACACTATGTCAATAACGCGACTTTATTTTACTACTTAGAAGAAAGGGTTTACATATTACATGGTTGATTCTAATGTCAAGATCATGGCCTCTCCTGGAGCATGAGTACGGTCGATGTTCCAATATACCGACAACATAAATGCCTCTGTGGCAGGACAACTATCTTTAATCCTCTATTTGGATTGTCTTGACTGGCTTGGCTTAACAGATTTGCCTCGCACAAACACTGAAACAAGATTCCGATCATCGCCCGACATCACAAACTTTTCGAATATTGTTTCAATGGAATCACTGTCCTCAATCATAGTAGATGCTGCATCCGCCTCCGGTAACATTGACACGTGTAGAGCATCAAACTCTTTCCCAGGTGCGAATGAGCCGATTTTATGATCAAGGCAACACACCCGTGCTCCACCGAGAGTTGCGAGATAGAATATCTCGTCTCTCGTGAGCTCCTTGTCTTTGCCATCGGTCATGCGTTGTCTAGCATTGCTAGTAATGATGGCTTGTCTCATGGCTTCCAAGATGCTGCTGCTGAACCCGCCTCCAGAATCTGTGCCTAATCCTACTTTGATACCGAGATCTAGATACCGCCTGATTGGCGCTGCTCCCCATTCTCCACCAGTGGTGTTGCTGACGGGACAGTGAGATACACCTACATTACACGCCTTCATACGCCCAATCTCGTATTCATTTGGATATATGCAATGGGCCAAGACGCTTCGGTCGTTGAAAAGCCCATAGTGCTCATATAGATCAGCCTCATTATTGAACTCTGGAAACAGTTGCATTGTCGCCTCAACTTCCTGCATCGCCTCGTCAAAGTGCGTTTGAATCATGAGGTTTGGTTGACGCTTCGCAATCTGACCCAGACCCTCAAGTAACTCTCCATCACAACAGATGGCAAATCGCGGCGTTAGGATTGGCTGTACCAATAGTCCTTGGGGATCCAATTCGGTCTTGATATATCTGATTAGATCCTCGGTCTCCTCCAGTGATTCGATATTGGATTTGTCTCGGTAATAGTCCGGGGCATTGCGTTCCATGTTACACTTTCCCACCAACGCTCTCTGGCCCTTCTCAACGCAGATCCGAGCAAGGATTTTCGTGGCTTCGAGGTGCAAGCTGCCATAATATGATGCTGTCGTGACTCCTTGCTTGAGAAATCCATCGACTAATTTAGCATATACCTCTTCGGCATATTTAGGGTCCTCGAATTTCGACTCATGAGGAAAGGTCACCTCGTTCAGCCATCTGAGGATAAGCAGCCCTCGGCCCGTTCCGCGCTGCGTCCATTGCGGGGCGTGGTTATGCGTATCGATGAATCCGGGGATGCAGAACTCGCCCTTCTTGAATTTCTTTACCGACAGAGCGCTGTTTCCGTGACTCGCTAGGATCTTGGAAATGTTCTCTTCCTCGACGTCTTTGTCAAGAGACACAATTGTCCCAGAAGCGGAGACGAGGAGAAGGCCATTAGAGATAATCTCTATTTCCTGTGAACTTTTGGAATGAATAAATGTTCCATAAAAGGCCGTTGTCGGGCCTGAATCTAGCTGCATGGCGCGTCACAATATCGTGGAATCTTGCGATCTGCCCAAGAAAAGGAGGGGGTGATTGACGACACCAACGTATTTTAAACGAAGAGGAAAGTCCCGTGAGACATACAGCAGCTTTCCGATCCTTCCCAGTGCTTCATGAGAACCAGTATCATGGAGATTCTACAACACTGAACAGCCGTTGATAAAGCAACAAGATAAATTGTGACCTGTGACTTTCTAACGGTCAACGCCGATACCTTATCTCGTCACTCAGAATATCGTACACTTAGCCGAGCGTCGGCTCTCGGTACCGGCCGCATAGGTGCCTGTTTTTTCGACTAGAATGATAGCACGATTCTTTGAGGTCGTCGTGTTCGGTTGGCTGTCTAAGGGCCTAGATGTGATAACGAATCCCCGCAGTTGCATAGTGGACCAAGCACACCCCCTCCAACTTGATATTGATTCTACATAGTTCTCATGCCGATATATAGCAAATTTGTATGAAAAATGCTGATAAGACTGAGGTAGGAAACAAGATGAGTTTTCATCGGGCGTTTCTTATATTGATGCTTTTGCAGTCTGCTTGTAACGCCTTGAAGTCCAGTGTCGCCAAGTAAGCCACATCGAATGACGTCGAATCACGAACGGCGTCAATGGTAAGGCCTGATAAGCCATGCCATGCGCGAGTCAGTCAGGATAGCGTAAATAAATGAGGAAGATATGCTGCTTCGCCATTTATTGCATTGCAACATCATCCATCTCCACTTGCGGTCTTGTCAACCATGTCAGTCATTCTTGATCGTAAGGACGCATTTGTGCAGGAGCAACCCGCAGACCCCGAGAAAGGCATATCCGAGTCCATTGCGGCAAGACATCATGGCTTTGCAGACCGAGTGGATAATCTCTCCAACGTCGAAGCCTCCACAGGGTGGTTTATCAAGTTCACCCGCTTTGCAAGCAAATTCCACGCTGAAGAAAGAGGCATTGAACGTGTCGATGAGACCGATCGTGCGCAGCATAACTTGCTAGATGCCTTTGCTATATGGGCATCAGCCAACATTACGTATGTGCTTCATGATGGCTCCTTTTGCAATTGAATGCTGATTTAGCTCTGGGCAGCCCGGCAACATTTGCTACTGGTGCTTTGGGATCCGCTTTTGGCCTTGGATTCTGGGATTCTTTTGCTGTCATCGTGATAGTCAATTTCGTCTTCTCCTGGGTGGTTGGCTTCTATGGGTGCTTAGGTCCGATGACTGGCTTACGGACAATCTCTATTGGACGTTTTTCATTCGGCATCTGGGGCACGCGCATTCTTGTCATCCTCAACCTGTGCGGAATGGTTGGTTGGTCGTCGGTAAATAGCATTGCAGGGGCTCAAGTCCTATACGAGCTTTCCAACGGACACTGCCCCCTTTGGGCTGGTAATCTTATCATTGGAGTTCTCACCGCGGTTATTTGTTTCTTTGGATATTTCGCTGTCCATATATTTGAGAGATTCTGCTGGATTCCACAGGTTATTGTGTTTATCTTTCTCGCCGGATATGGCGCATCCCACTTCGACGCATCCGCTTCACCCATGGGCTCTGGTTCTGCTGAAGCCGCAGGGGTCATGTCATTCATTGCTGTCACGTATGGTTTTGTTATTGGCTGGGCTGGACTCGCTGCCGACTACAACGTCCGCAGGCCGGCCAACATCGATAAGAAGAAGCTCACCATAATCATCTGGGCCGGCAACTTCATAGGTACTATCATTCCCGAAGTGCTAGGTGCTGCGTTCATGACTGCTGTCGCTGCGGACCCTGCATTCGCCGCCGCCTATAACAGTCGAGGTTATGGCGGACTTATGGGCGAGGCTTTGAAACCCCTCCACGGGTTTGGGAAATTCCTCCTTGTACTCCTCGCACTCAGCATCGTGGCCTGTAACATGACGAACAATTACAGTCTGGCTTTTGCCTGCCAGAACTTCCACCCACTAATGCTAAAGGTCCCGCGATGGGTATGGACGGCTGTCGGGTCGATTATCATTATTGCCATCGCCATCGCAGGCGAAAACTCGTTTGACGAAGTTCTAGAATCCTTTTTATCCGTAATTGGTTATTATACAACGCCGTTTGTCTGTATCCTTCTTATTGAGCATTTCATATTCCGAAAGGGCGTGTACCCTTTGGACGACTGGAACAACATGAAAGTCCTTCCATATGGTTTTGCAGGGATTGCGTCTATCCTAATGGCCTTCGTAGGTGCAGTCTTATCCATGGATCAAACTTGGTATGTCGGAGTCGTCGCAAAGTCCGTCAAGCCAGACGGAGCTGAGCTTGGTTGGATATTCAGCGGATCGTTTGGTGCTCTAACATTTCTAGCCACAAGGTATTTCGAGAAGAAATACACCGGGAGGTGATGATTCAATTGAGAAATGCACTAGGCTTGAATTTTTTTCTTTTTTGATTACTGCCCATATAGACCATGGTTGTTGTTTTGTTAAACCCTCTTGTGTTGTTTCTCCAATTGCAGTTTAGGCCATTTATCGCTTTTTGAATCATACAATTTTCTTTTCTTGCTCAGTTTTCCAAAAAATCTTAAGTAGCGATGAGGAAGCATATAGAAGAATGTAATAAACATATGAAAAGGAGAAAACTCTCGCACTTGAGAGCAAGATTGCGTCCTTCCCCATTCCGATATGAGGCGAGTCAAGGAAAAGGTCGGGAGTACAATTTAAAAACCGCTCAATCATTCCCTAAAGAGAAGCGTACAGCAGGTTTCTCTATAACTTCTCACGGTCCTAGCCATTCCCTGAGTTTCTTCACGTATACAAATCGCCGACCCAAACCAAGAATTCCTTGAACAGTTCCATTACAAGCAATGTAGCGTGTCTTCCTCTAAACAAATATACCGTTAAGCCGCATGATGACCTACAAATCTAGAGTTAGAACACGTTTCCAAATTTAGTGTCAAAAGCAGCAAAACCTTTTCAATATATCTCACTCCAACCTGGATTCCATCATCGTCCTGGAACTCGCTTTCATCGCCGAAATCAACGTTTCCGGGGTCTAGACAGGTCAAACAGGTCACCACCACCTCGGAGTATCGCGTTCCCATTATGGTTCGTAGTTCTCCGCGAGCCAAAGAAAGCAGACGGTCCAGGTGTGATGATGATGAAGAGCGGTCTGATCCAAGAACGGGCGCTGGAGTTGTTCTCGTTGTGGAAACCTCTTCATTGCTCAACCCCAAGTCTTCCTCGGAGCCCTCGCCATACAACACAAATGACTCCCATAGACCCAATTCGAGTAAGCAGACACCAAGGCTATAAATATCATGCTGCATAATGTAATCCTCCCTCGCGGTTGGTCCTATCCGCCCCGGATGCTGGTAGAGACATCGCTCCCATGCCAAGTCACCTTTGCGTATTGTCTTGCCCTCGGCGGACCGGAAACTATCAAATCCAATAAGGAACGTGGAACCAATAGAGGCATCTTCGCTGCGCAATAGCAGTACTGTCTCCGGTCGAATATTTTTATGCACAAATCCAAACGTATGCACGTAGCTGACGGCTCTCGCAAGCTCGTTAGCGAGTCGGAACCGATCTGAAAGAGAGTCCGGCTGTTTCATATGCTGGAGCACACTGCGAAGGCTTTGGGGCTGGGACAGTCCCGGAGGTATGCGGAATACAAACGTAAATGCGGACGGTCCTACAGGATATATATCCTGCTCAAAGTACTTGATCACACCTTTGCAGTTCAGAAGGCCAAACTCCAGGGGGCTAGAGTGCGCCAGCTTCCTTGCTAAATCCCGAACGTCCCTCTCAAGCTGTCTGATATCAGTTTCGGGAAAGCGATGGATCCGCTCCACGATCAATGCCTTCGAAATATCTCCCTCTCGCTGTCCAAACTTGGCAGAGCATAGTGGTATACTGTCTAACTGCAAAGCGTGCAGGCCCTTTTCGGGAAGAAATATGGGCGTTTGGTGATGAGTGGGTGTAGGAGCCAATGCTGATCTTAGCGATCTGGCCAATACCAACGGAGTTTGACCCTCTGCTGGAATAGTTTGTTTATATACCTTTAGTTCAGTGTCGATCTGGGGGTTGGCTGCCTTTATGATCAAATACCACGACGGATCAAACATTTGCTGCCAAAGCTCTAGGTCTTGTATTGCGTTCTCGATCTTCTGTTGAACCAGCGCATACTTCCATCGCTTGACCCGGACTATAGCCAACTCATCATCGGGATCTTTGCTTTTGATCACCGACTCAATACTCTGCACCGCGATTTTGAGTTTGCTTGCAAGCAAATCCAGTGTTTCCTGCTGTATCTTTTGATGCTCATCGTCCAGTGTATGCGCTATGCTTTCCACTACTTTCAATTGGACCTCGGCTCGTATCCAATAATTCTTCAGACGAAGTACTCCCTCGATGATTTTACTTGTCGCATTTTTGAAGGCAGAGCACAGTTCGACCAGTATCGAGCCATATCTGAAGGTAACCTTTTTTAATAACTGGCATTCAAATCAGCTGCAGCCGACTTACTTGAAGCAAAGATCCAGTGTTGATATGATGGAGAAGGGGTCAACCATTGTAACAATCCTAGTGAGCGCATTCAAAACTGCCCGGTCGACCCATTGAACAGCTGAGGCTGAGGCTGAGGGGGCGGAGTAGTTAACTAGTTAACTAACTACTAGTCATTGGCTGACCAAGACGAAGGGGCGAAGCCATGCAGACTAGTTTAGAAAGAGGCTTCAAATTGTCTTCTGCCCCGCGCTGAAAGTCCGTCCCTTTGGATCGTGTATGGCACCGTTCGCATGGCCCGAAGAAAATATTCGAGGCCGAAGTACCCCGGAATGCGCCTCCCATGGCCCGGCTCTCAGATTTGATTCGAGACTCGAAGCTCGAGACGCACTTTGAACCTCACAGCAGCGTCGAGACGGTCCATACCTACAATACGCCCGACCCAACATCGCGCCGACGCCTCGTGCGCAGATCCGAGCATTGGAAGCGGCAGAACAAGATTGGAGGGGGCAGCTATGGCAGTGTCTGGCTGGAGAAATGCACCCAGGGCTATCGCGACGTGCAAGTGCGAGCAATAAAGCAGATCGAAAAACATGAACAATTCGCGCACATAGATTACACCCGGGAACTAGAAGCCATTGCCAAGTTCTCGCATGCGAAGGTTTGCGTGTTTTCGCCGCTCTTCTGTCGGATGACTGGACTAATATGTCGCAAATAGTATGAGCGGTGTTTTGTCAAGTCGTTTGGATGGTATGAAAGCCCAGAGCATCTGTTTATCGCGATGGAATACCTGGACCTGGGCGACCTCCACACCTATCTGTATCGCAACCCAGCATTGCCAGAACACGACGCCAGGGAAGTGACCTATCAGATTCTGGATGGCCTAAACTTGATGCATGAGAACGAGTTTTGCCATCGAGATATGAAACCAAGTGTCGGTTCCTTTTCCCTTCCTTTTTGGTACATTTCTTAGGGACACACTATCTAATTGCTTCAATTCCAGAATATTTTGTTAAAGTCGTGTCCGCCAGATGATTGGTGGGTCAAAATAGCAGACTTTGGCATCAGCAAACGCACAGAAGAAGGTCTTGGCTTATCCACCACTGTCAAGGGCACACTCGGATACATAGCACCCGAAGTCTACGGATTCACTGAGCGCGGAAGTCCCCATGCGGTAGATATCTGGGCTGTCGGGGAAATCGCATTCCAGATGTTGACGAAGAAGTCTAGCTTTAAACATATCGGAATTCTGTCGAAATATGTAATCAATCCAGAGATATTTCCCTCTCAACTTCTGCTGGATGCCCCGGTCACTCAGCTCGGCGTGGAATTTATTGTTTCGTTAATGAACCCAAACCCAGACGAGCGAGTCACGGCCGCAGAGGCGCTGCAAAACGAGTGGATGGCGCAGCAATCTTTATCAAATGATGGGCAGGATACGTCGGCAGCAGAGCCCGCAAACGAAGCAACCTCTGTACCCACGAACGGACCGGTCATCGAGGACATGGGTACCTGGAATACTGCACATGAAGTAACATGGGATACTTCGACTATCAAGCCAGCCACAGAAATATCAGAAGTGCCACTTCCAGGAACTTCTATTATCAGGCGAAAAAGTTTACCGAAGGTGACCATGCTAGCAGAGCTCAAAGGGTCTGGCACGTCCCTTGTCCAGAAATTCGGCGATGATCTGGAGAGACTGCAACTTCAAAGCACTCTAGATCCAGCTTCGGCGAGAAGGTGCGTAATTATTACTTGGTTAATAAGGGAGAAGCTCACTCTCGTAGTGTTGAAAGCAGCCACTCAGACACCATAAGCAAGTCATTTACATCTACAGAAGTCAATGAATCAATCACACCAACCCTATCGCCGATCAGTTCTGGAATAACAAAAACACAGCCCTACACAATTGAAAGGAGCCACTCAGGGGCTACAAGCCAGTCATCCGCATCTATTCAAGAGGTGACTTTTGATGATATCAACAAACCGAGTCAATCCCCCTCCAATTCTGAACAGACAAAATCCACACCACCGCCTAAAAAGTCTCTGTGGTCACGGCTAAAGAGATATAGGAGGAGAGAGAAAGGTGCGTGGGAAGTTTCCAGGTGGTCAGTTTCTGCATGTTAACTTGGGCTTGTTTACGTATAGAAAATCGAGTTTTCGGTGTTCCCCTTAGTGTCAGCATACGGTATGCTAATGTGGCCATTTCTCTGACGGACGACAACGGTCAATCCTTCATTTACGGCTATATACCGATTATAGTCGCCAAGTGTGGTGTATTCCTCAAGAACAAGGGTATGATATATTCTTCTACTATTGGGAAAAAGAACATGCCTAATATTGTAACAAAAAAAGCAGGGACATCAGTAAAGGGTATTTTTGATACCGAAGTTTCTGAAAAACGAGTCGAAGAACTCCAATTCAAGTTCGATAATCTAGACACAATGTACGGTAAAGGCCTTCAGTGGTCAGGCTATACTGTACACGACGCCGCCTGGGTGCTCCTGACCTATTTGAAAGGGCTGCCAGAGCCGGTGATCATTTTGGAATTCTACGAAAAATTCCGCGACCCAATTCGGTCTTATCAGATGTTTCAAAGACAAGATATTCCCGAAATCTATATGACGACTATCGTCACCTATCAGAATCTCATTAGGGAACTTCCTCCTCTAAACAAACAATTACTGCTATATCTCCTCGACATTCTAGCCGTTTTTGCCTCCAAATCTGACGAAAATGGTCTAGATTCGTTGAGAATATCTGCGATTTTCCAGATGGCAATAATTTGGCATCCTCAGCATTACCATATCGCGGCAGAAAATGATCTGAGCCGAGATGTTTTGAGCTTTCTTGTTGAGAATCAAGATCACTTCCTGTTTGGAATTGAGAATCAGCCTCAAGTTCAATCTCAAGATGAGCCTGAAGTCCATAACAACAGGTCTCGCGCAGCTTCTATATAATGATAAATGGTATGAACATGTGCATAGTATGACCGTTCTAAACGGCTCCTATTCGAAACCTATGCGGAGCCGAGCCTATATGATACCTAGACAGTTTTTATCCAGTTTCTTTTCCTTTCTTTTTTCTACTATTCGGCAATTGTACCTGGTATCCAAGAGTTAGTCTTGGGGGCCAGTTGCGGTAAACAAAGTATAGGTAGCGTTCTCGATGATCTCAAAGCCCTTTTGTCCGAATGGCCTGAGATTTTTGATGTTCACTCAGGATAGAATTGAGCTGAATGCTGATCTATTTCCTGTCCCACCCTCCACGGCTCGGATCATTCCAGGTGAGCAAAAAGACCCGACTTAAAGCGGCAACGATGGGTGAAAAAGAAAAGAACATCAGAAAGGCCAGATAGAAGCTAAAAAGAGAAAAAAAGTAAAACATACAACAGACGGGATTCGCTGGTGGTCACCCACCCAACTACTAACCGGCCGGCGTGTGGCTTAAGTACGGCTGAGCGGACGGGAAGCCCTGTTTTCCACACCCTATGGTCGTATGTACTGGAATGAAGAAAGAGGAGGCTTATATAGAGTATGGATATTACTTGTGAAACATCCAGCCCCGGTCTGAGAGAATGTACACACTATGTAACTCAGAAAAGCATATCAATTCAGCGTAACGATCATCGGGAGATTGATGGAGAAACAAAAATTTCTAAGCTCCATGAGTCACCAGTCATAGCAAAGCGTCAATGCATAGGCCGATATAACCAAACCACAAGGTGTATACATTATAAATGCATGGTGAGCGAAGGACTACTATTAGAATCACAGAAACTAGACCCACATTCGCCGCGGCAAGATCACTGATAAGTGAGTGACTATATTGATGAGGCGAGAGAGCATGTATAGGATCGAGTCGCTGTGCTATCCCAATGTTCCAGAATATAATCAAACTAGGAATATATATCAACAAGACGAGCATGGAACATCATCTCCATCCTTGAGAGGACGCCAAACTCGAGCTCGTATGATGGCGTGGAGAATATTTATTGCCACGAATACCATAGCTTAACCGATCAAGATAAATAACCTTGGCGATATTTGTGAGGTTGCTCCCCGTCGTAGCTTTTAGGGTAGCTGTTGAAGCAGCTGTCTGTCTGGTTGCCATAGACTGAGAGAACGATTCATTTGAGACTTTTCTTATACGCCGTAGATTTCCTATCGTATAGATTAGGTGTAAACCCCACAACCAAAATTATATGTTAACTAGCTTCAAAAACCTCGAAGATCTATTGCATATGTAGCTGGGGATCTCGCAGGGTGAAGCCATGCATACATTGACGGGTCAATTGCTTTTAAACTTTAGATTGACGATAAAGTTAGAAGTGGGTCGGGATTGGCGGCCGCCAGCCTACCCGGTGGGCTCTAGCTTTCTAGCGTCAAACTTAAAAGTTTCTTTGTTTGACATCTGACATCAATGACCACCTCCTCGAGGACCCTCGATGGTGTATGTGTACATATATACAGATCCATATCTATGTATATGTATATGTATTATATAAATGTCTATCATTCTCCCCATAACTAAAAGGTCAAGACTAAGATGCCTCCCTCGAGCGGCGCCAGATCAAAGGACCCCGGTTGTTGTCGCTCAGTTGCATCGTCTGTCGTCGTCGCAAGGTTTTATGCGGCCGCGAACAGCCGGCATGTGCCAACTGTGTCCTCTTAAGTAGAAATGCGTCTATAGAAATAGATGATATTACTGGCCACTGCATTTAGTGTCTCCTGCGCCCCAGGCCAGAAACTTAGGCCTCACCTGGTCCCATTGGGTGCCTGGAGAAACCGGCAATGCGAGAGTAAACATCATTATGTACCCCTGTTCTTCCCTTTGTGCATTTCATTGGTTTAATTGAAAGATGACACATACATAACACAGTATCGCGTAAAATAATGTACCACTAAGGTTATGCAACTTAGACAGGAGGGCAGAATGGTTTGGCATCCATAATTTCCTGTAGTTCTACGCGGACTAACTTTCTTTGTTGCGCCTGAAAAGCACTCAGGCAGGCGTTTCCTTGGTCTGAGTCAAAAAATTTAAGCTAGACGAAATGCATTTTGTTTTGACTCTCGGGAGAACTACAGGGAGAAGACGCATATTGATTAGCAATATGTATATTGAATCTATCATCCAGTGTTTATTCTCTAGCTAGTTGATGTTGAGACCATGTATGTAAGGCAGAACGTGCCTGCGGTTGCAAATTAGGATTAACGCCTCCCAAGGAGGAGATATCTAAGCGTTTCGCTTTCATCCTTTTCACGACTACGCGAGATATCCTACTCATGAGGACGCTAAGTTCAATGCGGTGACGCTGGGCAGTTCTCCCTACGTATTAGCATCGCAACGCAATGAATGATACGTGCATTACTGAGATTTTCGCTTAGCAACAGCTACCTAGGCAAGTGGTACTCTAGACGCACAATGGTCGCCTACTTATCAACCGAGTTCGCATCCTTCTCCTCCTCTCTCCTTTTCATCCTCCCTCCTCAACCTGAACTCCCTTCTTGGTGACTTCAGCTTCAAAAGAACCAATCTTTTTCACATAAAATGAGCATTACCAGAAGCCCCATTTAGGCGACATTCTTTCGTGGCTTAATGGTCAATATTCGGTTGTGGCTTGCTCAAACCTGGTCACTGCCTACACGCCATCTTCAAATTCTGTCGGTTTTTATGTAGTGAAAATTTGCCCGACCACGTTTTCAACTCCAGAACCAGGCCAGAAACGGTATTTGGTAGCCGGAGTCGCTCCAATAACCCAACAGTAATAGACTGGGGTGCGGTAAAGATGGATTATAATAAGGCCTTGTCCTGCTCATTGATAATCACCGATTTGTTAGCATACATGATGCCATTCGACATATCCAGGCAATGCCAGGGGAGCGGCGCCACAATGCACAGCTTCATGCTCTGAGCCAGCTGATGTCCCGACGTGGCGCGGAGGAGGATGCTATCTTTGAGCTGCACCGATACGTTGGCAGTGCAAAGGATTGGACCAACAGTGGGGTTCCAGACGAGGAAGCGAAAGAACACTGGTCAGATGGCATTGCTGTGAGTAGGAAGGTTGAGAAACGACGCCAGACCTCAACGACCGGTTTCAATTCTCAATTGATTTGCTGCGCCAGAAAGCCACTGATGCACTAGCACTAATGAATTTGTTCCCGCCTAAAATATCTACCGCGTCGACTGAACGAGATATTATGGCATTTGTTATAGGAGTAGGCCTATCGCACCCACAAATCGACGATGCATCATTGCAATCAACCAGTCAGAAAATGTGAGTTTTAGTACGTCATTCGATTTCTGGATATTCTCCTTAGAATCTTAAAGCGAGGACTTAGGTCAACAGTTTGAGGGCATGTTTAAAGAGTATATGCATGGTGGTATCTTAAAAGGGCACTGCTGGGCGAGATGAGATTATCTAAGGCAACTCATTGTATATTAATATGATGTGTTAATAATATTATTATCCCTTCTCTTTATTCTCTTGGCCTAGTCTATAAGTATCAACTTGCCATTAACCCTGTTCGCGACGCGGGCCAATACTACTACCATTATTTGACTAGCAAGCGCCTTGACTCCATATATTGACGGATTAGTTTCAAACAGGGTATAGACTGTATCAGCAGTCCACTGGCCTGTTTTATGATCGACAAGAACTTCGGCTGGATCAAGACGTCTGCCGTCTACAAAAATCTCAAGGGTAGGGACATTCCCAGATGTGAACCCCGCAACAGAACCCTTAAGGGATATCATGAGCTTGCCAGCAGATGTACCTCTGGTGGATGAATCGATATTAATGGTGTGCGTATTATAGGTTCCTGATTCTAAAGAGCATTCGCGATGGTCGAGGGGAATCAAGTCAGAGGCTAGTGACGGACTAAGACAGGGTGCCACTCTACGTCGTGATTCCTGCTGATATGCATATGCAAATTTCAAGAGCTCATTGTCTGTGTATGCCTTGCCCGCAAATGTGAGGTTGACAGGCATGCGTGTATCACTCATAACACCCATTGTAACACTGACGGTCGGAACTCCCAGATGGCGTAGTGCCCGATTACCGTTGGAATACTTAATGCCATTCTTATGCGCATGAGCAGCGCTGGCTTCATTTGTTTCAATGTCGGCTTTACCGACATCGCCGTTGGCGGGGAAAACCACAGCGTCGAGACCGTGCTTGTCCATCCAGTCTTCCAAGTCACGTTTTCGCTGAGCCTCAAGAGCGACCAGTGCAGTATGCATGCCGGGGATATCATAAAGAGATGTTCGGCTTTCATGCTTGACCAGCTCGAGGAGGGAGGCGTAAGAAATGATGTTTTTCTTCTCAATGAAGCGGTCCGGTATGTAATCCGCAGGTTTGGGAAAGATGTCGCCAGCGACAACGCGGTCAAGACTTGGATAGTTAGGATCTTTATTAGCAATAAGGAAGTCATCCCAAGCATAGGCAATAATTTTACCACGTTCTAGATTGTTCCAATCAGCTGCAACGCCCACGACATTGTTGGGTTGTTGGGATATAGTATCATCTTCATAGTTGGTAACAATTGGGAAATCGGTTTCAATGACTTCGGCTCCGAGAGCTTCAATATCCTCTCTTGCGCGTTGCCAAAGTTCCTTCACAGAGTCACTGACAAAGACAGGTTTTGCCTTTGGATCGTGACCCCCGATATACATTGAAGGAACTCCGATGCGTTTCCCTCGCAGGGCATCCGGGTCCGCTAGGGTGGTGTATGTCTTTGTAATTTCAGAATTCATTTCGGGAAGTTTCAAGAATGGTTGGTCCCTCCAGAAGTCACCCTTTGTAACGTTATCGGGCTGGGTGAGCACATCCAAAATGGTCAACATATCCTCCACTGTCCTGGTTTGGGGCACAACGACATCACAAGTGGGATATAGCGGCCACATTCCACGGCAGGAAACCTTGCCTCGCGATGGAGTATACGCGACTAGACCATTATTTGAAGCGGGCGATCGTCCTGAGGATACGGTCTCAGTGCCTAGGCCGAAAGCTGCAAAACTAGCTGCTGTCGCAGTTGCAGAGCCAATCGAGGAGCCAGAACTGAAGGCGGCAGGTAGGTATGCTAGGTTATAGGGACTTTCAGCTCGCCCATAAAGGCCTCTTTGCATTCCTCCAGCGGCCATTGGGGGCATATTAGTCTTGCCGATACAAATCGCGCCTGCTTCTCGGAGCTTCGCTGCGACAAAAGCGTCCTCGTTTGGCATCAACGAACGAAAGGCTGGTGAGCCTGCTGATACAGGCATGCCACGATATTTGAAGCCATCCTTAATGGTATAAGGAATACCTTCCAGTGGCCGTGGGGGGAGGCCCATTGCGCGACGCTCGTCAGATGCTGCGGCTTCCTCAAAAAGTCTAGGATTCAGAATAGGGATAGAATTTAGATACGGCCCGCGCGTATCATAAGTTGCTATCCTTTGCAAATAGCGAGCTACAAGCTCTGTGCTAGTGATGCATCCGGAATCGAGGGCCTGTCGGATGTCTTGGAGACTGGCCTCGACTAGGTTGATCTCAGTTCCCCTCTGTTCTCTGATAGTGGGCTATTAATTATTAGCTTCTGTGCCCTCCTTGAGGTGTAAGAATTTTTACTCACGTCCGACATGATGGCCACTGCAAACCGTTGATATTTTAGATAGTATATACTGGAGTGAGATGGGCTCGCCGCTCGAGAAATTACTGAGGAATGCCAGACGCTTCCAGTACCGATGTATAATATAGAGTACTGGTAGGGAAAACACAAAGCCGAAAGGTAGAAAGAAAGGAAAAAAAAAAGTATTGGGATGCTATTTGCTATGAATCATTCGTTGTAGTCAAAGCATTTGTAGTTGCCATGAAATTTTCAGTTCGGGAAGAAAACAATCAAGTACCTAATGCCGAGTGGTCTCCCGTGCTCGGTATAACCTTCCTCAATGCTGCGATAAGGTTCAATAGGAAATCCAGGAACCCAATTGAAAGAATATAAGTTATCAGTGGGAAGAAGCTGCGGGATAATGGGTTTCAAATATCGTAATACTCCTTGGACTCCAACCTTGCAAGAATCATTCATCTCCACGCCATGGCACCACACGCTACATCCAACACAGTCTCCACGTCTATCGTTGAGCCTACAGCACCGAAAATGAAAACAGCACTGGAGGCACTCTCGCAAGGCGGCCCGCCTCTTACGGGAATCCCGTCTTTTCCCTCTCACGCAAGTCAGCGTGCTCACCAGCTTGAGCACATGGCCGCGGCCTTCCGAGTCTTCGCTCGCAAGGGATACACAGAAGGGATGGCGGGCCATATCTCTCTTCGCGACCCAGAGAACCCTCACACATTCTGGACAAACCCGCTAGGTCGTCCGTGGTGCCTAATGCGTGCCTCCGATATGGCTCTCGTTGACTATGATGGGAAAATAATTGGAGGCAACATGAGTCGCCCTGTCAACGCCGCTGGGTTCCTCATTCATAGTGCCGTGCACAAGGCGAGACCTGATGTCAATGCTGTGTGTCATGCCCATTCTCCATGTGGCAAGGCTTGGTCGACTTTTGCCCGGCCATTGGAAATGATCAATCAGGATGCCTGCGTATTCTATGGCGAAGCCCAGAGCGTATACAAACAATTTGGGGGAGTGGTGTTTGACGAAGCCGAGGGACAGAGACTAGCAGAGTCGCTGGGAGCGAAAGGCAAGGGGATGGTGTTGACGAACCATGGTCTACTGACCGTGGGCCAGACCGTCGACGAGGCTGCATATCTATTCACCTCGATGGAGAGAAGTTGCCAGGTGCAGCTTCTGGCAGAGGCTGCTGCTTCCAACGGACTTCAGAAGCAGGTTGTAGGGCAGGAAGAAGCAGAATATACGTTTAAAATGACCTCAGACGCCGATGGCTTGTATCGTGAATTCCAACCGGACTTCGAAGTGGAGGACTACCTGTGCAACGGAGAATTTCGCAAATAACTATTTGGACACAGCTCAATCATACAGTCGTATGAGGACTTATTAACATACAGTCAGCTTGTGGAATTGGAATACTATTTTTATGTCATGACTAGTGTTACCTGTCGATTTGCGACAAGCTCCATCCAAGTCATCTTTGAGTCACTACATGCTCTTTGACTCCATAAATCCTGCAGAAACTCAGCTGCAACATCAAAGTTTCGCATCCCACTTGTTTTGGCACAATTTCTCAGAAGCCTGTGAAATCTTCCCTGGAGGTCTCGTTCTAGAGCTTCAGCGGCAGCAACAAAGCCCGGCCATACAATTCCGCAGTTGACAAGACAAAAATTATGCATTTCCTCCTCGAACAATTCAAGGCTTGTGATAGTCTTTTCGGCGTATGATTGGAGCAAAAGGGGATGGAGTCCGCGTACTCTTCGGTAGAAGAATATGATAACAGCAGAGTGCATAGCCGTGACCAGGTGACACATAATGGCACGCCTAGCAGACGTCGATATAGAATCTTCAATATCCATATTGCTATTAACATCTTCTTCGTCGTTCTTCCAATCGCAGATTTCATTTTCGAGCTCTTCGCAATGACTCTGAAGCTCGGCAGTCACTTGTTCATCTCTATCCTTGAGTAACTTTATTTCATTGGCAAGACACGTAGTGCGTGAGATGAAGGACAGTAGCTGTTGTGGGAAACCATAAATGTAGCGGAATAATTCACAACTTGAGTCACTTTCTCTATGCATGGGCTCTCCAAAAAGCCCATACTCAAAGTCTCCACCGCAGGATGCATCAAGGTCCCTACCTACAAAGAAACTATGAGTCCTCAATGATGGGAATAGCATCTTGTTGAAAGAGAGTGATGGATGCAATAGTGGTGCTTTCCCTCGTGGATATATGTGCGTGCTTTCTTCAATGACACGCAAAAATAGGTAGATATAGTGAAGCAGCTTCACCTTTCTGGACTTTTTCACTTTAGGCACACCCCGAAGACTAATGAACATTTCGGCATTAAGCAGGAATGAGCGAGCCTCTGCCTGTTGGCCATTAACGACCTTGCATCCATTCGAATTAGTATACAGCGCGTATTTTTTGTAAGAGTAAGAACTCACAGAGATAGTAACTATGGTCAATATTGCCATCAAAATATCTTTATATTTTGATTTACTGTGGCCAACTAACTCGGACTCGCAGGCCCATTTAAGCTCCTTCTCCGCCAGGCATTTAAAATGTTCTCCGGTCATCCACCAATAAGTGGTATTTTCCTTTTGTTCCACATCCAATTTATCCCAGTTAAAGGCACTGACAGCCAGTATTGAGTAAAAAAGAGAGGCTTTGGCATGGGTTGTCTTCTTGAAGATACTCAACTCAGAAAAAGCGGAGAGGGCACTTGGAAAGTGTAAGATGCTCCACGGTGATTTCTGCACCCTCAGTGGAGAGAATAGCTTTCCCATCTGAGACTTGTAGTGGTCTAGAAGGAAGCGTGCTTTGGTGAGAACCGAAGCCGCCATCTCTCCATCATGGTCAAACCCGACACGAAAATCAAATCGAGAAGGCGACGCGGGTCGAAGATTGTTCACTGGTGACGAGCTAGTAATAAAAGAGGCATTTACAGGCTCATGTGTGAGATTCAAACCAGAACTGAGACCGCTAAGCGAATTAACATCGACGAGTATGTCTTCCATTGACATGAGTACGTCCGCTGTGCTTATGGCGGTTGAGTCAATCGCTGGAGAGTTGGAGTCATATCCTAAATATGTATCCACAGGACTCGCGTGTGGTAATAAAAGGCTGACGGGGACGTCGAATGAATCATTATTATTATTCACCTGGAACAAAACAAATGGACCGCGCTCGTATAGCCCGTCTATTTGTAGCTCACAATCGGTATCTAAATCATTCAGCACCTGGTCAAGCTCATGCTCCTGAACCAGTTCCTGCATCTGCCTGGACATGGACTCTTGCTCCACCTCTGTATAAAGTTAGTCTCTGCTGCTTTTAGTCAGAATCAAGGCCTCCATATCCATACCGGTGAGGAGCAAACGACGGACATGGCCACCCTCGGCCTGACCTGTGTCATCGGACAATGTAGAACCATCAGGCGTAAAGTGTACGAAACGAATCTTAACCTCGTAGCCACCGCAGATGATACCAGCACGGCAGCACTGGCTACATGCAGGACGAATTTCGTCGCATTTGACCTTGCGTCTCCGACAGGTTGGACAGCCTCTGAAGGAGCGAAGTCGTGCACGCGATGGACCCCTTCCGAAATCGCGCATATTATCTCTCGCAGATTCAGAATGAATCCATTATCAGTCAAATTACGGCGGGTGGTTGAATGGATGATAGAGGGAAAGCCTGGCCGAGATGTAGTTGAAAAAGTTTGGAAACGCGGACCGACGTCGGCGAAGCCTTCCTCCCGTATTAGATAATACCTAGTTAACTACTGTCATAGATCCAGAGGAAATAAAAGAAATGAGTACATATGGCCCTGTTTCGTAGCCTAGGGGACTTCGCATACTTGAATATTGAATGACTACTTGGCCTTTTCTTTGTTGAATTTCCTTGTCCCATGGCCAACTCCGGGGACTTAGTCGCTGAAAAGTCCAGCGATCAATCTATGAAATCCGACCTGAAAGATGTTGAATCGGCTGTTCTTGGTGTCAGTGAATCTGGCGATGTGGTCACAGTTGATCCTGCGGCCGAGCGAGCATATGGTGAGTTGCAATCCCGGAGACATCATTTGACATTTGGCGACCCGGAAGTTCTAACTTGTGCCCACAACAGTACACAAGTTAGACACCTACTTCTTGCCTTTTCTTTCGGTCATGTATTTCTTCAATTCTGTTGACCGTTCAAACTTGGGCAATGCCGAAACGGACGGATTGTCAAAAGACCTCGGCTTTGTGGGCAATGACTATAGCTTGTTGATCCTACTCTTCTATATCCCATTCGGCACCCTTGACCTGCCTCTCAACATGCTCACCAAGAAATTCTCCGCCAAAAGAACCTTGTCAACTCTGATGGTCATCTGGGGATCGATCGCCACACTGCAGTGTGCAGCCAAGAACTTCGCCGGGTTATTGGTACTTCGTCTGATCCTTGGTACCTGTGAAGCCGGCTTTTTTGCCGGAGTAGTCTTTTACCTTACTCTGTTTTACAAGCGATCTGAGCTTGGTTTCCGTGTGGCTATCTTCTTCGGCAGCGCCTTGTTAGCGGCTGCTTTCAGCGGTCTCATATCTTACGGTGTCTTCCAAATCCGAGACTCCCATGTCCATGGCTGGCAATGGCTGATGATGATTGAGGGCCTTTTGACGGTGGTCCTTGGCGTGATCTCTTTCTGGTGGCTGCCCGCATCTCCTGCATCAGCTTGGTTCCTGACCGAGAGTGAGAAGGCTGCGGCGCGAACACGTATGCTCCGTGACGCCTCCAATAAAGTCGAAGTAGCCTTCAATCTGAAGGACTGCTTTATGATCTGGAACGACTGGAAGTTTGGGCTATGGTGCATTGCTGCCTTCACATACCCTGTAGCCTTCGCCACAACCTCAAATTTCCTGCCGCAGATTGTGCAACGCCTCGGATATGATGTTATCAAAACTAACTTATGGACTGTCGCCCCCAATGCTGTTGGCTTCGTCGTTCTTCTTGTCGTTGCCAAATCATCAGACTACTTTCAAGAACGCACCTTCCATGTCCTCGGTGCTCTCCTTCTCTCTTTGATTGGAATGATCATTCTCATTACCATCGATGTGCTAAAACATAAAGGCGTCGCATATTTCGCATGCTTTCTCATGGCAGCTGGTTCCTACATCCCTTCGTGTCTCGTGCAGTCGTGGCATAATAACAACAACTTGGATGAAAACAGCCGTGCTGCTACTACGGGTCTTCTGGTTGGCCTGGGCAACTTGGCGGGAATCATGGCGGCTGCTACTTTTCGTAAGGAGTATGCACCGAAGTACATCCCCACGCTTATCGTGAGTTGCTGCTGCAATGTCATTGCGATGATTTCCGTCTTGTTTTTGGGATGTTGGATGAAGGCAGAGAATCGTCGTAGAAACAGGATACAGGGCGTTAAGCTGCGTGCTCAGGATGTCGACACTTCTGAGCTCACAGAGGGCGAGAAGTCACCCAAGTTCCGGTACTTTACTTGAGGAAACGGCTGGTACAGCTATTCATATCCAGTTGAAAAAAGATAGGGGCCAGCTCAAAGATTGTCAGGACTTTGGCGGTATTCTGCCTTGCATATGTCAACCTTTTAGAGGGACGGAAATGAGAGATAGGGAAAATATAGATTGAGGGATGATTGTGGATCGTGGAATGGCCTCCCCATCTAGATGCTGATCGATTTGTTGCATAGCGCAGGCCCCTAGCGCGATCACTATATGTGTATGAGGCTCCTAGTCGTAATCCATCCTCATGTGTGCAAAATACAATGCAAATTTGCCTTCATCAGCTGCAGAAGTGTATAGAGTATCTTTTTTTTCTTTTTCTGGTAATGAATTTTTGGATAGGAGATAGCCATTTACTATATTTTGACTCTTTGAAAAGATACTCATATCAATGGCCCGTCAAAATTAGTCTGCAAGAGTTTCTGGTTTGAAAAAACATTTATATCCGTAATACAAAAGGCATAGGCCAGCGTCGAACCAATTCAGACGCTCTACTTGTCATCTTGTTTGCTAATTTACTAGAAAGAGGCTATAAATACGACTCAAGAGAGTTTGGTTATAATGAGAAGTTATCTGCCAAGAAAAATGCTCTGGGTTTGCTTCAATTTTAGAGTTTCAGCGATGGGAAGATTCTATAGAAGCACTTAAGTACTCTCGCGCAGCTAGGAGTCTGGCTTGTATCAGCTTGAGAAACTGGTAAGTGCTATCTAGAATAGGGGTCTGAACCCCCCTTCTCCTTGCTATTTGCAGAGCGTTACCCAATATCACCTGTACCTCGATTGGATTTCCTTTATCGATATCAACAAGCATACTGGGACGAATGGATAGTCCTTCCGGAATCGAGTCAATGATCACATCCACGATATCATCTCCCAGGTCGTAGCCATCCGCCTTTGCAACTGCCGCCATTTCAGTCATAGCTGGCCTAATCATAGTATGCTCACCAAACCTTCGGATTGCACTAGTGTCAAGCTGGGTAATAGCACACATCGTATTAAACGTCCCATTCCACAGCAATTTCCGCCACCGATAAAGAACGATATCCTCCACGATTTCAACCTTGACTTTCGCGGCTCCATAGATGGACGAGAACTCCCTTAGCTTTGAATTCTCATACTCGTTGTCCAAACTAGGGCTATGGTAGGCTCCAAGAGCGAGGCGGTCACGACTATCTTGCACGACATGTCCATTGCGTTCATGAGCGCTGACGTAACTTACGCCAGAAAGTATAACGCAAGCGGGAAACGCTTGGGCAATAGTTTCTTCGATATACAGACCGTTTTGTATCAAAACAATGGTAGTATAGCCCTGTTTAACTGCCGGCCCAATAATAGAGGGTAAGTCGGTGGTCTCTGGGACATTCTTCATAGTGACCACAATGTATTCAAAAGGCTCAGAGGGGTCAGCCGAGGGTATGCAATTCACAACTATTAGCACGTCTCATCAGTTCGACCGTTTTTGTATATACATAGATAAATGAAGATATAAAATCCACAAATCATACCTGCGCTAGGTCTCCAACCAGACAGTTTTCCGTGATCAATGGATTCTATCTCAAACCCATGTCTGTTGACCTGATCAAAATTGGATCGTAAAACTGCTGTTACGGACGCTTGTAGGGACCTTTCCAAGGCGACGCAGACCAGTGTTCCTACACCCCCAGCACCGACTACCAAAATTCGGAAGTTGGGAATAGTTGAATCCGCCGACATGGTATACTATTTGTGGCTTCTATAAGATATAGAAGAATATGGCTGAATTGTCAAACCCGCAAATCTGATGGCTCAAAAGTAATTGCTTTCAAACATCGCACTGAGTATGGATAGAAAAGCCCAATAGATTCGAGATAATGACTCTAGTCCTTGCGAGATGTTGATTGCATTATTTGTTTATGGATTGAGGAGGAGAAGCTTCTAGTGGTGGAGAGAGGGCCAAGGCCTTTTCGCTATCACTTGCCGTCCGGCAATTTCTATGTACGTGCATTCTTTACTGGAAAATATTTTCTAATTATTTTCCAGATAAGGAGCTGATTTTATGCCGAAATTATAATTTCGTAGTTACAAAATGCTAACCCTAGTTAGATCAAATCCTCATTTTCTATATATTTTCCTATTTTTTCCTATAGAACCAATCAAACCTGGGTAAATACTAGATTAATAGGAGAAAAAAAGAGGTACCGCTTAGTAATCCGTAAACCGCTATGTTAACTTATCAGTCCTCCTAAACCACCAACGGAAACTCTCACCGACCTACATGTTGATGCACTGATGCAGTACCTACCGATATTGGTGGAATGTGGCAAATGTTGGGTCATGTGGTTCATATAATTGGTAATGTCTAATTTACGCACGTTATCCTGCCCAGGAAACCTTACAAAGAAAGTATGGTAGGGTTGTGAAAACTTCCAGATCACCAGCCCTAGCCCTAGCCCTAGCCCTAGTCCTAATCGGATGACATGCATGATCTATTATCTTGTCTCCAAGTAGTTAACAAACAACCTTGCTTGATATGAATTACAGACTCAATAAAATAGGCCAAGTATTTTTCTCAATCTAATATATGATAAAGTATAATCTTGAGTGTGCTGAGATCGGCTGCTATGACACTTCATCCTGCACGGAAACTAGCAAGATCTAGGATAGGATTGATGACCTCCATGAAATGCAACATGGTACTATTGTAACACAAGCCGTGACGCTTTAATTCTTTGGCCAAGCTAGTCTCTCATATCCTTTCTAGGGTGAAAAGAAGCCTAAATCTGAACAACGATGTCAACTCGACCTCCCTCACATCTTTCCTTCCTCTGCCCTGTCCCTGCCACTGCTATTCAAGAGGACTAAGAAGCAAAAAAGATACGTAAAAAAAGCAAAAATACATACAACAGACGGGATTCGCTGGTGGTCACCCACCCAACTACTAACCGGCCGGCGTGTGGCTTAAGTACGGCTGAGCGGACGGGAAGCCCTGTTTTCCACACCCTATGGTCGTATGTGGTAGGAGGATTGAGGAAGAGGATCATATTGCATATCATTAGGATCTATCGTGGTACTTTGACATACAAATGCTCTCATTTGGCTTCGAAATATCTCTTCGCTTTCAGTTCGCCCCCCAACCCTCTTTAAGCAGAGCCATGGAAGCTTCATCGCATGCATCATGATTAGAAGCGATTGTTCCTGGAGCAGTTGGTCCAGGATCATGGAAAGCCTTAACAGATCTTACATGTCCTTTGGATACCTCAAGAATTGTGCCGTTCTCAATTGGAACGCTCTCTCCGTCATTTGTCCCGCCAAACCGTGAATTGATTTCGTCTTTCTCCACCAATGCTAGCATGACTGCAGCAATTTCCTTGGGTTCAATCCACACATCCCGTTCATCATCAATCATAATAATCTTCTCGGCATCTTCAACGTACATGGGAGTTCTTGTGATGCCCGGTGCCACAGCCACTATACGCATACCTATCGTATCAATACGCTTCATCGATCGCACAAAGCCACTTATGGCATGTTTTGTTGCATCGTAAATGGGCGTGGAGAAGCTTGTTCCTTGTGCACTGGTGCTGGAGATCAGGACTAGAGTCTTTGGGCCCTTCTTCTTCGAGTTCAGATATCTGGCGACGGCCAGCTGGCTTGTGCGTACTGGATGGACGAAGTTGACATCAATTTGCGCATATCCGTCACCTTCGACGTCGTCTTTGCTTTCTGGGCAACCAGGTGGGAACCAGAAGCCGCTCCATTGCTATACGTAACCAACGATCAGTAACGTTTGGTGGGTACATACTATTAGGTGATTATTACATACCGGTTCATAAACGCCAGCGCCTGGACAGACAATATCAACACCCCCAAATTCTCGCTCCGCGACTTCAAACATGCGATTTAGATGCTTCCAAGATCGAACGTCTGTTTCTTGGAACACCGCTCTGCCAAGACCCTCTGCTGGTGAAGTATAAGCATCCACCACCTTTTGGCCTTCGGGCCGTAACCGCAGATCAGCTAGAACAACATTGCAACCTCCATCCAAGAGGAGTTGTGTAAAGGCAAGGTTTATGCCACTCCCAGCGCCAGTGACAATGGCTGTCTTGCCGCTCACTGATTGAGACATTGTTTGAGTAGCTCATATAATGGATGTTCAAAAGTGAAGAAAGAAAGCAACCTTGGAAATCCTCCATATATATATTTACGATCCGGCCTATGGACGAAACATTTTCCCTCGGTCAAAGCAGTAATCTCCATGGCTGTTCCTAGTAGAGCATGAAGCACCACTTTGCAGCATGCAATAGGCCAAGATAAGGTGTGAAGATAAGGACCGAACGGAAATGGTAGGTTTCCCCAGTATGGGGAAACCTAGATCCGGACCGACAGCTCAAAATTTAGTCCGAAAATATGCACGACTTGAGGATATTTTTTAAAGCTCAGAGAAACCGGAAGGGCGTACCGGCTCTTAGGCTTCAGAAAAAATGTCAAACGGGGTTATCTCTGGGTCATTTAACTTATTGTTCCTACCTACCGTCTTTTCGGTCTTCTTTATTCTCCGATGTTCTCAAATTTTGCTGGCAAAGTTCAGTTACCCATTCATATACTCGCAGACAGCGATACAGCATCAATCCTCGCATGAAAGAGGTCAGTTTCACCGGACTTGACAAGTATAGAACTGTAGTAGAGCCAGGTTATAACGAACAGAAGGCCTCTCCGAATCTTAATTATGTCTAAATTAGAAATAGGAGATGTTTCTAATCTGAATAGTCATGTATACTAGTAATCCAGAAGGTTCTTCATGCTATAATACAATAGATTCTATGCACATGATTTGGGATCGAAGGGACCCTTCAATTTGTTATACCCAGACTCTCCTGGTATTAATGGGAGACAAAGGGGCTATATCCATGACCGTGCTTCCACCTCTGGCTTGACTACTTGGAGACGATATTTCCAAGCCAAGCACACAATATATTTAAACTAGTTTCACAAGTTTCTGCGACCGCTTCATCTCGGTGTCAGCGTAACATTCAGGCGATCTGTCAGAACTGCGGCCACGAATTCCTTTCTTGAGGGAAGCGGTACAGGTTTCCAATCAACGTTTGCTGCATTGTGGTTGACACACCGATGCAGAGCTTGGGATTGCTCTGTTATATGAATGCGGTAATCTCTAACGAGTTGCGACAAAGAGACGTAGAGCTCATAGTAAGAGAAACTGGCTAGTCAGCGGAACTTTGCAAACAGAAGACTGGCTTTGTGTAGGATAGCTCACTGTGCTCCAATACATGTATTCGCTCCTCTTGAAAAGGGTATATAAAAGTCGTCTCTCAACTGGTTCTTGCTATTTTCAGATCCGTCTGGCGTGAGCCATCGATATGGGTTGTATTCTTTAGGATTTGGAAACGCAATAGGATCGCGTAGGTACCAAATGGGAGAAGACGACAGAATAATCTGAGAATTTAGTTTTAGTAGTTTTAGCATTTGTACCAGAATATGATGAACAGACTCACTCCTTCAGGGATGAACTTCCCATGAAGCTCGACTCCGCCTTGTGGGACAACTCGAGGCAACATAACCGCAGCAGCGCCGGCCCAGCGAATGCCTTCTTTCACACATGCTCGTAGTTTTGGTACCACTTCTAGACTGGCAATTGATGTTGGGAAGCCGATGCTTTCAAGATCTTCATACAATTGATCTTGGAATCGAATGTTCTGGCCAAGGGCCCAAATAATGTGCGCCAGAGTTGCGGAAGTAGTATCCGTTCCCGGGCCAAGGTTTTCTTTGGCCTCAGAGAGCGCTGTTTCTGGAGGCAGACCCGATTGTGTCAACGTATATATCAAGTTGGATTTAAATGAAGTGTCTTCCGTAAGAGCACTGGCCCAAGCGCTTTCAGCCCACTGCATGTTCACATAAGCCGAGTGTGACTGGTAACTACTCTGTTTGATTCCGGGTACTCACATTTCGAAAGTCTTGAATATGCTGACTGTTTGGGAGTTGATACCCAGTGGCCCACTTGAGGGCAAAGTTGAACATACTTAATATGTTAAAAAGGCCAGGGAAATTAGTGAACTGTTGGAGAGCGTTAGATCTATATATTCAACATCATACGTCCAGCGAAACTCACAAGTGGCATCCAAGTTGCCATTTCATCATTCACAGTTACCATGCTCAATTCCTTCATGTCGTTCCACGCGTTGATAGCACCAATGGCTGTACCAAAACTGAATTCGGCTGAATTTCGTCAGTTGTGCATGTTCCACTTGGAAGCCAATCGTTCCACATACAAACAATATCGGCCTCAAGAGCTCTACAAGCCGACATTAAGTCAATCTTGGAGCAATCGGCACCTACGCATCTAACCCAATGCGCAACATGCTTGACCATCAGGCCTTCAAGATTAGATATTTTGCTCCGACTATAGAGCTGACCCATGAGTCGCCGTCTCTGCGAATGCTCGCTTGGATCACTGTAGGTTGAAAACACTTAGAAAGCAGTCCACCTTCAGTTACCAATGGGACGGAGACATGCTGACATCACCGAGAAAAGTGCTGGATGGCCACCTTGAACAAAGCCTCCGTAGGCCTTAGGATCTTTCCTGAACTTGCTTCCAGCTCCGTGGACCTTCTCATAAGTGCCAAGTGAATAAAACGATACTTCGTTGTGCGATATACGAATCAAGGGCCCTATATACGCGTAAGTCCTCTGTCTCAGAATGACGATACGTTTTTTTATGGCCGGTGTCTACCTAGCTTCTCGTGAAGATCCGGCAGATCTTGGGTGATTAAACCTCGGAATTCGCGAGGAAAGGCCCATAAATATCGGGAATATGTGGCCAAGGGCCCAGCACTCGGAATGCTTGCTATAGGCGATGATCTCGCACGGTAGACTCTCTTACTTCCATCAGAAAATCCAATCAGGCCTACACGGATTGTACTAGGACTCACCGACACAAAGCTAGCACACACGACGGCGGCAGCCACAAATAGCAGATTATTGACCAATATCATACCTACTGATTTCTTCGAAAGTTTGATCCCTCAGCCGCAAAGAGGGATTAGTAGACCTACACAGTCGGATCTCAACCAATCCATACGTGGTTATTTATTAGTATTCAGGGCCCCGAGATATAGTTGTGGGACGTCCTTGGTAGCCTATCACGCCATACACTGTTCCGTGTCCCCGGAACTCATTCAGTCCTAATACGTGCGTAATCTGTTGCTATATTGCAGCAGCGTACTGGTGTATACAGCCCTTTCACGGTTTACCGCTTCCTCCCGGGTCAAGTTAACATTGTAAAAAGCGTGGAGCTTTCTCTGACTGGCACGGGTGTTTACTTCTTTCGAGCCCAAAACCGTGCTGCGTCGATGGCGACATCAAACGTTAATATTCCACAATTTGTTAGCTTGGTTGAAGTTAATTATAGTCTTGTGCGGACTCTTCAAATATGCGGTACAGGGGTGTACGTGGAGATTTCATAGCACATAGGCAATTTCGACCGCCAGTAGACTGACTAAAGGACGACTCCTTAAGAACCACAAGTTCTTCAGACTGGTGTCAACATCGGTGTGAATCAGTCGGATGAGGAAGTTTTGAGGTATTGCGAGCTTGATTGTTGACTCTTACTGGTAGGCACGATTGGGCTATAGACCGGTATGTCTTGGTTAGCAAATATAAAAGAGTCTATGGGCGTCTCTTACGCATATATAAAATAGGTGCTGAAGAGAAGTTATAACTATCTTTATAATTTTGCAACTAATTTCAGTAAGTCCCCGCTAGTGTCTTCAACTGTGATCCTGTCTTCTTATTGACTGTGCATCATAACCGTCGTGATCGTTCTAGCTGCACTATATTTCATTGGTAGTGTTAGAGTGACATTCTCCACTGGTATAGCAGCAGGTGGTAATCTGGCTTTTTGGTAAGGTTCGCCTAAGATCTACATGAAGTTTCTTGCCCTAACGACTATCCAGGACAAGCTTCTTGGTTACCTGCCTCTTCACATTTATCACAGCTGCCGTGATAGCTGAGATATGTTCATCTTTGCCTCTTGCTGGGTCTATCTACCTATGGGCTGCAGAGGCTGGGTTTCATCGTTGCATGGTGGAGCACGACTGCATGGACAACTTTTTGCGCTAGTAAGGCAGCTGGGTTCAAGCGGAAAATATCGAGCAATGAAAGGCTGATTTCATACTCAAGCAATACCCAGGGGGCAGTCAATTACATGCCTTCGGTAAGTTCGGCGGCGCTTGCTACATAGGTGGTGCTGGGGACTTTGACGATGAATTTCCTAAGTTTTCATAGGAGACCGTCGTATTCAATCTCAATTTCCCTGCAGATACCGATGATGTCAAATTCCGAGCCGTGTAATGGATTTGTACTGAGGCGATGTTGGCAGCTGCAGCAATCTGGAATCTACTCTCCGTATGTCGTGTTTCCCCCGTGGAAATGAGATTTGTCACAGATTACTAACTCACGACGTAGCTTGATACTTCAAATGGATCTTCTCCGTGTCGACTGCTTTTGTGCTTCAAGATTTTGCTAGCAGCTGCCTATGGATTAATTTCTTTTGGTCGCCTATTCTTCACTCCCAAAAGCTTCCCAAAGCCTGCTTGGAGCTTGGGCTGTTTCAGGCCATTTCAGTCGTTTGGAATGCCTGGGTTGTTGCGGTTCTGTATTCGCCATACATCTTCCCCATCTCAGCTAGCACACTGAATTATGCCCCGGTGATTATGGCCATCGTCACAGTATTTGCGCTCATCTCGTGGTGGATCATTCCAGCAGAGAACTGGCTCCCTAACAAAAGTATCCAGCATATGCTGGACGCAGACGACACGGCGCGAAGCTCTGATTCGGCTTGATTGATTACCCTGAGGGAATACAATTCATTGTGCATCAAGCCAAAACAAGGCCGCCTGGACGCGTGTGAGTAACATACAAGGATGGCGAAGATAAGGCCCGAACGGAAAAGGCAGGTTTCCCCAGAGTGGGGCAACGCGCCTGAAGACCGATCCCATTGGTCCAAAATTTAGTCGCAGCGGCCCAAAAAGTTCAAATTGGTTCAAAAAAAGGGTTTAAATTCAATTTGAACACAAGTGTTAATCTAATTTGTTATTAGCTTTGAGTCGCTTCAAGTGTGAGCCCATGTATGGATCTTTTCTTCGAATAAGCAAGTTATCATCTAATTCTAGGAGATCTATGTATTATATCCCATGTGAGGAAACCAGCCAGATCTTGGACCGGTCCGAGTGAGTTACTGTACTGTATGTAATCATTTTGGAGCAACGCGATCTGTACAGATCCCGAGATGGCAAACGCCCTACTGTACCAGAAGTGAACCCGGATAAAGAAGGAATACTTGAAACCAAATGAGTGGCTGAAGCTCAATTTACCATGATCACAACCAAATTTTCAATGGGGATTTTACTTAGCAACATAATTATCATATCCAACGTCTAAAAGTCTATCGCTGCATGTAGCCTCCATCAACGAAGAGAGAGGTTCCAGTCACATATGAGCTGCGGCCCCCTGAGAGATAGATAACACCGTCGGCAATCTCCTGAGCCATAGCAGCTCTTCCCATTGGAGTCATAACTGCAACCTTCTCCTCCATGACTTTCTGAATTTCAGGTGAGTTCAGTGTCATCGGGGTGTAGGTATAACCCGGACAAATGGCGTTGATTCGAATACCATCTTTCGCGTAGTCCTCCGATGCTGTCTTGGTCAGACCGATGATAGCGTGCTTCGATGCAACATAAGATGTAGATAGAGGCGTTGCAATGTGTCCCTGAATAGAGCCGAAGTTGACGATCGAGCCGCGTTGCAATGGACGACCGTCTATGACTGATAGGATGCACTCTTGCTGCAGCATCTGTTTGGTAGCTGCCCTCAAAACAAAGAATGCTCCATTAATGTTCACGTCCGTGACACGCTTCCAGTCTTCTGTCTTTGCGTAAGCGATGCCGCCTTTATGTTTGAATGCAAGACCGGCGGCGCTAGCAACGTAATCGACTCGGCCGAAGGCATTGACGACCTTGTCGAAAGTTTGGTTGACTTGGTCTTCGTCGGCGACATCGAGAACATAGGTTTCAACTCGAAGCGGCTTTCCGCCTGGTGTGTAGGCTTTTTCTTCGATTTCTTTCTTGGTTGCTAGCAGGCCGTCTTGATTGATGTCCAGCAATGCCAGACCTGCACAGCCGTCTCTTGCGTATGTCAAAGCACAGGCTTTGCCAATACCAGAGCCTGCTCCAGTAACCAAAGCAATACCTGAGATATCCATTGTGCTTGTTTGCGTATTTTGCCTTTGTTCGCTCGCTCTTTGATTGCCAGGATTTTTGCGTTTATCTCTTCGGAATCAAATTGGGCGGCTGGCCATTGTATTTAGTTGCTCTTAAATAGGAGACAATTTTCATTAATGATAAGCCAAATTTACCTCTCTTTTTTTTTGGAAATGAAAAGGAAAAGCCCCCCCCCCACATAAGCTTTATCTTCTGATAGAAGAGTAAAGTGATCTAACAATAGGACTTTAGCATTTGCCAGGCGTCGACGATAGCCCACATGCCTTGGATTCCAAAGCGGAAGTTTATCCCCAGACTAGGGCCCGCAACTGCTCGATAACCTCAACTGGGCTACGCTAACATGAGCTATATTCAGCCTTAGATACCTTACTGGGCTGGTTTCTGCATTGCCGGCACGTACAGAATTAGCCGATCTGCTTCTGCCTGCTGATAGACGTGTCGGATAAGGAAGTCTTATGTACTCTTATCTCTACGGAGTACTCATAACTTGGGACATCCCGCCTCCCCTGGTAAAAACTTCCCAAAGTACAATATCAAACACACGTCTTTGATCGCATGAGCATGGTGATGAGCACGACAGGAAAGTCGTGGAATCGTGTTCGCTCCGAGAATTGCATGAGATAAACCCAACAGGCAAGAGTAATTTAGATCCATTAGCACGACGTCTCATATGTATATGTTCTGAGAATATTTCTTTACTCTCGCTATCTCTCTATCTCTCAGTTGACTCTATTTATTGTCGTTGTCTTACTCCCACTGTTTCAAAGCCCTTTAAATCAAACCGTTCATTTTCCTACGTGCACGATGGCACCTGCGAAAATTGTCCCGTACGATGTTTTTATAATCGGCGCTGGTCTCTCCGGCCTGTCGAGTTTATACCACATCCGAAAGCGATTCCCTTCCTGGACTGTCAGGGTCGTTGAATCCGCTCCGAGTGTAGGAGGCACTTGGTATTGGAACTGCTATCCTGGCGCGCGCTTCGACTCCGAATCCATTTCGTATCACCTATTCTGTGACAAGGAGCTCCTGCAAGAGTGGGAGTGGTCCGAGGCTTTTGCTTCCCAGAAAGAAATCCTTAGATATGTCGAACGTTTCGCCGAGAAGAACGAGCTTCACAGCGACATTCAATTCAACACTACCATTAAGTCTGCACACTGGCTAGATGACGAAGGCATTTGGCTATTCATGGATTCGGATGGTGTAGAATATAGAGCGAGATTCTTAATCAGCTGCCTGGGCCTTCTATCCAATCCTTCCGTACCAAAAATACCAAATATCGAAAACTTTGCTGGCGAGGCATTCCATACCTCTCGGTTCCCCAAGGACTTCGTGCTCAGCCGCGATCTCAAGGGGAAGCGTGTTGGTGTGATAGGCACAGGGTCTACGGGCATCCAAACATGCACGGCCGTAGCCCAGGAACCAAGCATCGAGTCTCTGACAGTGTTCCAACGAACGGCACAATGGGCAGCTCCCCTGCGCAACTACAAAATATCCAAAGAGCAGATGCAAGGGTATAAGAAGACCTATGATACGATCAAACAGCAGTGTGCGGATAGTCCTCAAGGGTTTTTATACTCCCCAGACCCCCGAAAGTCCCTCGAAGTCACCGAGGAAGAGCGATTGGCGCTATGGGACAGACTCTGGGAAGAACCTGGGTTTGGAAAATGGATGAGCGTTTTCAGTGACACGTACGTCGACCACAAAGCCAACAAGCTCTATTCGGACTACGTGGCTGCCAAGATTCGGGCGAGAGTTAACGACCCAACTATTGCCGACAAACTGATTCCAAAGAACCATGGCATCGGTACGCGAAGATTGCCTCTTGAGAGTGGATACTTCGAGATTTACAATAAGCCCAATGTACATTTGGTCGACCTCAAAGAGACACCCCTGGAAACCGTGTCGGGAAAGAAAATGATTACCTCAGACGGCAAAGAGCACGAGCTTGACGTCTTGATCTTTGCCACTGGATTTGATGCCATCACCGGCTCATTTGTTCGGGTTGATTGGACCTCAAAATCAGGTCGACCTCTGATTGGAACTAGCACTACAGAAAAGGGGAAACGTGCTATCTGGCTTGACCACCGACCAAGTACGAATATGGGCATCCTTGTACACGATATGCCCAACATGTTTATGATCCTGGGACCACACCAGCCGTTCGGAAACATTCCTCGAAGTATCGAGCACGCTGTGCAAGTTACAATGGATCTATTGGAGCATTGCAAAGAACATGGATATACGCGAGTTGAGTCGACGAAGAAAGCTTGTGATCAATGGGGCGAGCATGTTCTTGAGTGCGGTCGAGGCCTTTTGTCAAACGAAGTTGACAGCTGGTCTACTGGTGTCAACACAAACGTGGAGGGGAAATCTCAAAGGTTTGTTGCTAAGTATTCTGGAAGTGTTCCTGAATATCGTAAAAGGTGTGAAGAGAACAAAACGAAAGATTGGCAGGGCATTGTATTTAAATGATATACTTTTCTTTTTGTCGAGTGCCCTTCATTAGAAATGACTTTTGATGCTTGATTTATGTAGTGATAATCCAGTTTACTGTTTCGTTTTTCCTGTTATCTGGTCAAACTTAGAGGCCAAAGTATGTATGTATGTGCCTTAGAAAGAAGAGAAAACCCGACTGAATTAATACAAAATTCCATAACAAAAATTAGGCTAGATAGTCATAAATACAAAGTTTCAGATTGACAAATTGAACCATAATCCACCACCACGTCGGACGACCTTGTATGTAGCCTCACGACTACAGAATGAAGAATTTACACGATTAATTGATCTTAAACCCAGCAACGTGTTCTGTGGAATCGCTAATCCCAAAGAATAGTCAGTGCCCTCAACCATTTTGGCTTCTCACCCTTCGTTTCAATTTCCATTTCGTCCATCCTATTGCACAACTCTGCATCTGCCTCAATCTCCTGGAGACTGGTTGTCATATCAATCTCACTGGCTGAAAGAAACCATGGATCATTTCTTCCGACTGTGAGTTTATGAGCCAGCCACAGCAGAATGAAGATGGGTATTCCAATGTAATTTGTCAAAAACCCACTCAGGCTCCAGTCTCCGGGGTAGAAAACAGTGAAACCGTTTGCTAGCAAGAGAAAGCTGAAAAGGAATATGGCTACCCATGAGCCATAGGGCTGAAAGCGGGATTTGTAGGGAACAGTCACGCCCTGGACCTGGCAGGCCTTGCGGAAACGGAAGAATATAATGCAACAGACTATCCAGGAAGTCAATCCAGAGCTATTGGTGACGCTGACAAGCCAATTGAAGACCTTTCCGGCCTCGGCGCGTACGTTCATATATGCCAGCAGAAAGAAGCTAGCACTGGCTATAACAGCGTTAAGAGGTATGCCGCTTTTTGTGCATCGTTTGAACATTTTCGGGGCATCTCCAGCGACGGCAAGAGAATAAAGAGTTCGACTGGAAAGGTACAGATAGGCGTTGCTCGCAGACCACGCGCTCAAAAGAATCCCGACGTTGATGATGGAGGGTAAGACCGCATAGCCGGCTTCACGAATAGCGATTACCCAGGGAGATGCATTGGCATTGCCAGCGCCTGAGAGCAATCCTGGTGCATCAGAACGACAAGTAATACCGATTGCAAGTGCTCCGAGGATATAGAAGAAGATCAGACGCCAAAAATAGCGGCGAGCTGCCTTTGGTAAGCTTTTGCGAGGATTGTGCATTTCACCGGCAGACTGGACTAGCATTTCCGGGGCAAAATAAAAGGAGAATCCGGCTATAACCCAGCATTCAAGAAAGGCAGTGAATCGCCCTCCTGCCCCGGGTACCAGGTACTCGTTGACAAGGCTATGCCCGTCCCAGTTCCTGAAGCCGACCACCCCTTCATCGCTACCTCCGCACATAATGACTAGAGAAAGGATGAGAAGCCCGACTAACATTACGACTTTGACCAACGTAAGCCAGAATTCGGATTCGGCGTACACACGCACGGGGAAGAAGCCCAGAGAAATAATCACGAGACCCATGATAGTAATCCAAGCCGCAATTGGCACATTGTTCGGCCAGTAGTCGATCAGCAGGGTGCTGACGGTAACCTCGTATGGAATAATGAGGGCAAAGCTGTAGAAGTAGAGCCACCCTAAAGCAAACCCGATAGAGGGGGATAGATAACGCTTGCAATTGAAGGCCATCGAGCCTCCGGCGACTGGCAAGTATGCTCCGATTTCGATGATGGCTGTGAGAATAGCATAGGCCAAGCAGGACATCAAAACGTAGCATAGAAACAAGAAAAGGGGGCCGCCAATAGCAAGGACCTCGCCGGTATTCACCAGCAGGCTGGAGCCGATGCTGCCACCAATGGCTATCATCTGGGCGTGTCTGGGTTTGATTTTCCTCTGCGTGCCATTGCCGTCTTGCAGCTCAAACTGCTCGGCTATCTTGCTGGACTCGACTCGAGACATTTCGGTGTCCCAGGCGCGGGCAGATTTCGCATCAGCATCGTAGGGTTTGGGCTCGCTGTTGAGATCCATTGCAAATCCAAAGGACAGGTCAACGTGGAGATCCTAGCGTGGCGAGCAAGGAGAAAGCTGGCTCCCTGGGATAATATAGCCCGAAGCGCGGCCAATGCCATGATAAGCAAGGCGCCCGAGATACAGATGTCCGTGGCAATAGATGTCTCTTTGGTGTTTATCTGACTCTATCGCGACGGCCGCAGAATCGGGCAAGTCTCCCCAGGGCGTGCTCCACCCAGCAAAGTTTCGCCACACGTGGACTGATAAGCAACCTCGCCCTCTATCAGTTGCTTCTTTCCCTTCACGACGCGCTCGCTGCACTTCACCAGCAGGCATATTGAGGCCAAACTGCCGTTGTGCTAGGTATTCTATCCGTCTAGCGGGCCCTCGTGACCCGCATTCAGCAAGGAGTCAAGTCATTGTACCGAATAGGCAAGTAATGCAGGCGCTCTAGCCCAGCATGGCGACGACGTCGGCAGCAGACCTAAACCGCATACAGAGTCGCTCATTTGGAGGATGTGATACGGTATCTACTCTGCCCTGGATCGAGACCGCAAGTGCTGACTGGCCCAGTGCCGGGCTCGCCACGTCAAGTGCGACGAGGGCCTTCCGACCTGCGCCATGTGCGCCGTCTTAGGCGTTGCTTGTGGGGGCTACCAGAAGTCACTCTTTTTCGGCGAGAAGGGCTCCAGAACTGGTGGTGGTGGTGAGGAGGTGCGTTTCAGGCGGACTGTCCTCACTGAAGCCGAACGGGTGAGCATGAGCCGAAGCCTGACCGCAAGCATTCCTCCAAGCTCGGCCTTTAAATGGATCCTGCAGCTAGAAGACGAGTGCCAAAATATTTCTAACTCCCAGGAAATTGCCATCACTCGAGGTCCTTTTGGGGTATTTCGATCTGTGCAGCGCTCGCTTCCGCCGGTCGACAGTCCACCTTTGATCCCAGCCGAAGAAGCTACCAGCGTCCCATCTCAGCTTGAGTCGCAGAACACTGATTATTTCGAAATTCCGCCTAATGATGATGGGCACAACTCCACATACGATACAGAGCTTGTGGGTGCATTTCTAGACGAGCCGCAGCCAGCCTCAGACTTGCAAGTTACTGAGCTTTGGACCAACCTCGCAAGCAATGACGATATTCAAAGGTTCCCTGACGAAAGCCACGTCCCAGAAGTTGAAGAACTAGTTTCCGGTCACCTCCCATTATTCTTCCAGCATTACTCACACCCACAATCCTCTTCCTCCGGGGATTCTCTTCTCTCGGTTTCTGCAGTCAACTCTCTTATTTCTGTGCTTGGGGCCCAGAATTCCGCACCTCCCGATGCCACATTTTTGCTAAAACATTACTCTGCCAATGTTCTCGGCTTCTACTCGCCGTTCCGTGACGCCAAGACACCGTGGCATATTCTTGTTGTCCCTCAGGCCAAAAACTGCCTGGCTTCTCTTTCGATTGGCGAGTGTCCAGACCATGCAAGCCTTTGTACATTTTACGGAGTCCTGGCAATAAGCGCCCTGAGCTTGAGCAATATCATGGGCTCTCTAACCTGGATGAAGAATCAAGCCAAGCTGTACAGGCAGCGAGCCCGAACCCACTGCCAACAAATGATGTCTTCTGCGTATGAGGTGCCCAAAACTGCCAAATACAAATCCATTCTGATGGCTCTTGTGACAATGATTCAACTGGAGCTGGCGACTTCAAATCGAGACCAGTGCGAATGCTACTTTCTTGAGGCTGAGAAGTTCATTCGTCTGAGGGGCCTCAACCGGAGAAAGTCCCGCAAGGTCCGCCTGCTGCATCATTGCTATGCTTATGAGCGAATAATTTGGGAAACAACAACTATATGTGACCCCAATTCAGCCCATCGTCTTCACGTCCGGACTGTAGTCGAGACGAGTGGTCTAGTTACACATTGCCAGGATAGCCCAACATTTCGTCTTCCAAAGTGGAAGGATCTAGAGCAAGAGATATTCACAGTAAGGAGCTTAGAGGAAGCAGAGAATGATCTACTATCGGAGCAGCTTGGTATAATCGTCGCAACCTTGTATCCCGAAATTTTCGGAGTCCCTGAGCCGTTCGTCCTAATTATGTCCCTCATTGTTCGACTCGGAAGAGAGAAAGATGCGGCAGAAGCACAGAGCACTTCAGATCCGCTTGGCCTGGCAGACTTTTTGCGTTGGGCAAAGCTCATCGAAAAGGGTATTACAGATCTAAACAATCTGGATCCGGCTGTACGAAACGTTGGAATGCGCCATCGTGTCGTTGACCAGCATCAACTAAATCGTGTATTAACCGCCCTCCGGAATGCGATTGAGATTTATTTTTATCGAAGGATCTACGAACACGAGGCTCCCAGGCTCCAACAGAAGATCGAGCTCATTCGTGATGCATTGTTTCGAGACGGGACCGAAAGCTCTAGTAGCCCCTTCGGCTCGGCGCAATTGATATGGTCCGCATTTATTGCAGGTTGCGAAGTGGAAGATTTGCAGATGCAGGCATCATTTTCAATGTGGTTCGAAGAGTCGGCGCGGAAGAGTGGTCTAGATTTCTTCAGTGACGCGGTGCAGAAACTACACAGGGTTTGGAAGATAAAGCAGAGTTCAAATGGGCAAAAACTTAAGTGGATGGATTTGATGAAGCGAGCAGATGGTTAAGAGCTACCATAACTCTCTCAATTCCTTCAGAAGCAAAATTCCTTGTCACGAAGAATAAATGTCCGAGTATTATCAAGGGAAATGAAGCCCTCGGCCTTCATTCGGAGTTGACTTCGATAAACCCCCAGGCTGTACCGCCCTCTCCGTCTGCGTCGACCAGCAATTCCCTATTTTTCTCTCCCCCGATCCTCGTTGCGCGGAAACCTCCCCAATGCTTCACCAACAGAACATGGCCCACCATCCGGATGCTGTCGGGCACAAAAGTGTTCCCAATCATCGTGTTTCCTTGCCCTCGCAACGAATTTTCACCGGTTGTCGTGTCCTATGTACGTCCCCGCGACGACATTGCGAAAGCCAAATCACATATCGTCGTTCTCAACGCAACGTCAGTGGCTACCACGGCCATACAGACGGGTTCCACCGTCATTAGTTCTTTTCCTCGGGGTAGAGGCCCAAGCTTCCGTCTTTGAGCATGATGGCAAGACTTGTCTTGGGGTCGCGGATGATATACGTTCGCCGTTTCCAGGGACATACACCAACTAAGCTGAGACTCCAATAACTGGGCAGCTCTGCGCTCAGAGATGCCACCGGCGATGTAGTGCGGGAGGGTGTATATATTGCTTCGTCGTCTGATGGTAATGACGACATTTTGTCGTTTTCTAGTATAGAACTTTGTTAATTATGATCAACCAAATGTTTCTAATATACAGGAGAATGGGTTATTTGGCCACGACTCACTGCACGTGCCGAATATACGAGTCTCTGAAGCGTATCTAGAGGTTAGACAGATGTCTGGAAAATAAACGGGATACAACATGATTACACGTCTACAGAAGGATAAAATTTACTTGCAGAAAGTCTCGGTATGATCCACAGAATGTTGCCCTGGTATAAGATTATGCCCGCCACAGACTTCATCTGCATGTACCTCGGTACTTTCAACCCCAATTAATGTGCACCACTCTTGATTGATATTCCATGAGGAATCATTTTCTGTCACTGGCTTATGCTGGGCTCTCACTAAGCACTTACTAAGGCTACCGCTAATCCTATGCTGCGCCTGTCAAATCCTTGATATGAGAGGCAACAGCCCCGGCAACCTGCTTGGTGCTGGATTTTCCACCCAGGTCTGGCGTGCAAATGCCTTTGCTGCACGTCTCCTCTACGGCTCGAAGCAAGGTCTGGGCTGCCTCTTTTTCGCCAAGCCAGTTCAGCATCTCCGAAGCACACCAGAGAGTGGCGACAGGGTTTGCGATACCCTTTCCAGTAATGTCGAAGGCGCTACCGTGGACAGGCTCAAAGAGAGATGGGTTCTTGCGGGTCGGATCGAGGTTGCTAGATGCAGCAATGCCAATAGAGCCTCCGAGTGCAGCAGCTAGGTCAGACATGATGTCCATGTGCAAGTTAGTCCCGACAATGGTGTCGAGCGATTTGGGATTAACGACCATGCGAACGGTCATGGCGTCGACGAGCATTTTGTCACAAGTCACGTCCGGATAGTCCCTGGCAACCTCAGCCGCGACTTCATCCCAGAGCACCATCCCATTCCGCATAGCGTTGCTCTTGGTGACTACGGTCAGCAATTTGCGAGGGCGACTGCGAGCGACATCGAAGGCAAAACGCATGATGCGCTCAATACCCACACGGGTGAAAATGGACAGTTCTGTCGCCGCTTCCCAAGGCTGACCACGGTGAGTGCGCCCACCTTGTCCGCAGTATTCACCCTCACTATTCTCACGAACCAAAACCCAATCGATGTCGCCCTCCTTTACACCACGAAGAGGGGAAGGTACGTTAGGGAGACTTTTAACCGGCCGGACGTTTGCGTATAGCTGCATAGGCCCGCGGATGGCCAGGAGAAGGTTCCAGAGAGAGATATGGTCCGGCACGTCTAGTCCATCAATATCAGTACAAGGGCACGTTCACTTCGGACCATGACGGGACAGGTATATCTACCAGGTGCGCCAACAGCGCCGAAGAGGCCGGCATCAAATTTCCTGAGAATATCAAGTCCATCCTTAGGCATATATTCTCCCGTCTTCTTGTACCGTTCGGTGCCCCAGTCGAGCTCAGTAAACTCCATCTCAAAGGTCTTCAATATTTGTTGCATTGACTTCAGCACATCAATTGTAGCATTCACTACCTCCTGTGCCATAATATCAGCGACCGCATCCGTGAGCAGGGGCAAGAGGTGACGAATCAACCTACCGGTCCAATTCCATCTGCCGGAATGCTAGCAATTTTGTATTTTCGCATGCCGTTGGATGCCATTGCGCCTAGGCAAGTAGTATGGGACTTTTCTCTGGTAGGGTTTAATTCCAGCTTAACAGGTTTATGAGCTTAGTGGGCGCAAGTGGGCATGAAATAGAATCCGCATGAACGGAAGTGCAAGCGCTACGCTTAATCGTTTGAGCGCTTTCAATGCAATCATCTTGCTTTCAGCACTATGATAGGATGCAATGCCTAATCTTGATTGTCGACTTGTTAGCCCTACGACATCCGACAGCAGTGGCAAATCAAACTTGAATTGGTCAAAAGTTCTACCGCAGGCCGAGCCGCGAAACGTCTGAGGGTTTCCTACGACTAGGGTTAGGTATATCGCGGCTCATTGTTCAACCGCGTGTTCCAGGTCGCATTGCTTCAAAATTTCCTCGGATTGCTCCAAATACAATTATATTTTTTTTTTCTGTGGGTTACCTCACTTAGAAGATGACAAAGTGAGTAATGAGGCAAAAAGTATGCGCCTAAACTTTTTGCCGTCTCGTAAACCCTCCACGCAAAAGCGATAAAAGCACCCAATATCCTGATATTGCTGCAAGGCTTAGCCAACAGCCCGAGCCCTATTTCGCTTTATTCTAAGAGGAGGCATTGTGTGAAGGAAGATGCATTCATCTAAACCCTTTATTCTATTCTTCAGCCCCGTGAGACACGCGGCCTCGTTTTATAGAAGCTTGCAGGGAATTGCTCATACGGAGGTGGTTACGAGCAAGAGCAGAGACGAGTTCTTCAAGGATGCCGCGGGCAAGTACAAGGACATCTTTGCCATCTACCGCACATCTGCTAGTAATGCTGTGAATACCCGTCTTCTCCGCCCCTAATTCGAGTTGCAGCACTAACAAAGTATTCCATGCAGGTGGCTGGCAAGTTTGACGCCGAGTTTATCGAGCATCTGCCGCCCAGCTGCAAGTACATTTTCCATAATGGCGCAGGTATGTAGAGAATCAACATGCTCACACGAGAGTAGGGACGATCGGGTTGATCAGTAATGTTTAGGATATGACCCAATCGATACAAGTGCGTGCGGAAAAAGGGGCATTATTGTCACCAATGCCCCTGATCCGGTCACTGATGCCACCGCTGACCTGGCTATTTTCCTTTTATTGGGCGCGCTGCGACAGCTAAACCCTTCTATCTTGTCGCTGCGAGCTGGAAATTTCAAGGAGGGCCTCGATTTCGGCCACGACCCGCAGGGTAAAACCCTGGGGATCCTTGGGATGGGGCGAATCGGCCGCGCGACTAAGCAACGCTGTGATGCATTCGGTCTGAAGACCATCTACTACAATCGTAGAGCTCTTCCATCCGAGCAGGCAGCTGGTGCTGAGTATGTCTCGTTCGAAAAATTGCTCATTGAGAGCGACATCATCAGTATCAATGTACCACTAAATGCAAACACCAAGCATTTGATGAGCGCAGCGGAGATAGCCAAAATGAAGCGCGGAGTTGTCATCATTAACACAGCACGCGGTGCCATTATTGACGAGGCTGCCATGGCCGATGCACTGGAGAATAACCATATTGCTGCTGTGGGCTTGGATGTCTACGAGCGGGAGCCTGAGATCAATGAGAAGCTTATGAAGCAGGAACGTGCTCTGGTGGTGCCGCATGTTGGAACTCACACCACAGAGACTCTGGCAAAGATGGAGACGTGGGCAATGGAGAATGCACGGCGAGCGATCGTAGGTGAGCCACTGCTGTCGCCTGTTCCGGAAGCCTGGGATGACCAGAGCTGGTAAGTGGCATGTTCGATGTCATTCCCTTTGACGTATGCCGAGCTGACCTATGTTATAATCAGATCTCTTCAAGGTCGGAGCTAGGCAGGCCCTCACCTGAGTTGCATCAAATTTCGCTGACAGACATCACACAGACCAACGCTAGCATCATCCGCGACATATTCCAGGAGGTTGCTGCAGCGTGTCCCGATGCATTCTGCTGTGTTGTTACCAACCCTGTCAACTCAACAGTACCTGTTGCAGCCGAAACCCTGAAGCAAGCAGGTGTGTTCGAGCCTACGCGTCTCTTCGGCGTCACTACACTTGAGGTCGTCCGTGCTTCCACCTTCGCCGCACAGGCTCTGGGCAGTGACGCTGATCCAAAGGCTTTTCGAGTTCCGGTGATTGGAGGTCACAGCCCTATATCGTCAGGCACAGCCCCCGGTAAGACTCGATGATCAGACTCTGGCAGCCGTCATCAACCGTACGTTTTTCCTCCCGCTTCTCCTCTTCCCCCTTCCTTCGTGCAAATTCTCAAACGAGCCCCGTTCGCTTATGTTCAAAATTCAGGCGTGCAATTCGGAGGCGATGAGAATCGTCAAAAGCAAGCAAGGTGTGGGCAGCGCTACTACCTGCATGGCTTATGCTGGCTTTCGCTTTGTCAAGGCTATTTTGCGCGCCATGAACGGGGAGGCTGTAACAGAAGAGGCATATGTCTATCTACCGGGTATCACAGGGGGGCAAAGAGCTTGCTGCGGAGCTAGAGGTAGACTTTTTTGCCGTGAGGGTTATCTTGGGAAAGACTGGGGCAGTCACGGTCGTACCTGTTGGCGAACTAGCAAGCAGTGAAAAGAAGCTCCTGGAAGTGGCCACTCGTGAACTCAGGACAGATATTGCTACAGGGCTATCCTTCATGTCATGACTAGGAGTGAATATACGGAGTAAATAACAGATCCATTCATTCATCAATGCATTACAATGATTCAAACCATGGCAGTCATTTTGTTCCCACCCACGTGTCAGCTCATCATCTGAATTAAATTCGAGTCTAACTCAACCTCTGAGCTCTATGTAATGCAACTCTGTGCACTGGTTTACTTCGGGAATCTGCCCCCGAGGCTTCCAATATCAAGGTCCTGGACATATTTATATGTTTCTTGGGTTGTACTCGCGGTTTAGCTGTTCCCGGGTTCTACGCCATACTGTAAAGATTGTGGACTGGGATCTTATAAATAGAAGCTATCCAGTGGATTTCTTTTCCTTAAATAATATTCTACTCTTCTTCGACAATCACTACCACCTAAAATCGCCTAGCGGACTCGACGAAAAATCCAACAAGCCTCGCGGGTGTCCACCATCCGGGCTGAGCACTGCAAGGTCCCGCCTATCAGACCAGCAGCCTTCGCCATGTAGCAGCCTCATAAAGATTAACTTCTTTTCGTCGCAGCTGAATGGCCAATGGTGCAACTGCGCCCTTCAGCTGCGTGATTTTTACGACCATGTGGAGAACTGCAGAGTTTAATTGTCTGCTTTGTATTGCATGCTTATTTTTTTGCGTCGACTTAGCCGATGTGCTGCTGGTGCTGGTGCTGGCGACATCTTCATATTCCGCGATGTATCTTTAGCTATCTCATTCACAGCCTACATTGACCACACGTGCGGTCGCTTATTTTTTCCAGCATTCCTTGAACTGGATCAGCGCCTTCGTTTTGCCTCCTCTTTGTTCTTTCTCTTCGAGGAGCGTCCTTAGCCTCCTCGGTAACACAAGCCAGAAGAAAGAGCAGTTTCTTTCACGCAAATTCATCGCATCTCTTCATAAACAGGACCAGTGCTGCCTACAACGTACCTCACACACATCTGAAATGGCTCCCATTGAACTCAGTCGTTCGTTATCGCAAAGCCATGATGACAATGATCCCACCACAGTTATCTCAATTGACGCGGTACGATAAAAAAAAAAAAATACCACGTGCACATCCATTGCCATGACTGTAATGCTGACATAGTAACGAGTAGAGCATTTTAAAGACCCTGATGAGCCAGCAACACAAGAGCCACGCTTCCACGGATCCCACTGTCCTGGAATGCGACATCCATACTGGCTGTCATCGTGCACAAAGCACTCCTAGCGACCAACTACAACAGCAACGACCCCTTTCACCAGCGGGTATGGAGCAGACAAGTCCGAGCAGCGAAGAGGACGACCACGGCGACTACGAACACCTCAAAGAACTTTATCGAAATTGCCATTACAGTACCAAGAATCGCTATAGCTATCTTCTCGACTGCGCTCCTCGAGACCACCAGGACCCTCAAGACCGTGATCATCCCCAAAAGCCATACCATCGCCATCTGCGACTTCCAGACAAAGACGCCAAGGCCCTACAGCAAGAGTACTACAGCACCCTGCACTACCCCTCGCATACACACCGCAGCCACAGCCTTATGCTTGAATTGAGTCCCGCCGCAATTACTCTGATCTTGATCTCGCTGCTGCTGATCTCTATGATGCTTGTCGAAGCGGTCGGCGCTGTATATAGATTACGAAACCCGTCGTCGCCATCATCATCGTCTTCCCCAGACGAAGACAGCAACAGCCGGAGAAGACAACGAGCAAAACGGCCCCAACCTCGTGCTGCGGATTCGCCTAGTGTACAAAACGAAAAGGCATTTGAGGAGGAATGGGTCTGATTATGTCGAAACCGTCATTCCTTATCATTTTTTCTTATTTCTTTTCCCCCTCATTTACATGTTGTTTTAACCTGCGTTGATACCATCTTGTTTGTATGATAATTGTAGAAAATACAAGGTACGTGTCTGTATCATCTTGGAAAGTACATGACAGCCAAAAAGAAATATTAATCGAAGTCAGCGCAAGCGTATATAGTTCCCAATACGAAGACCCATTCAAGTCTTAACCTCCGAACAAAGAGAGAAAAGCCAAAAAATGAGGCTATACAAAAATAGCCGCCGAGAGCCTGGAGAATATCCGCGCTAACCCTCTTGCAGACACTTAGTCAGCAGCCCTCTTTCGGCTAACTTATCGACGGCCCGCACAACCTCAACACAATTTCTGCGAACTTTTTCAGCACTCGACAACCCATTCCTTTCGACACTCTTCACGACAAACAGTCAACAAATCAATCAAAATGGCCAAAGTAAGCCAATCCGCAGACTTCATTGCACACGCAATCAGAAAACTAATCTCCGAAAACCCAACAGGCTAAGAAGACCGGTGACACCATCTCCAGCCGTTTGGCTCTCGTCATGAAGAGTGGAAAGGTCACGATGGGCCAAAAGTCCACCCTCAAGTCCCTGCGATCTGGCAAGGCCAAGCTGGTATGCATTGAATACTATCAGAAAATACGGACGAGGTTCCGAGCTGACGAAAAGGCAACAGATCTTGATCGCTGGTAACTGCCCTCCTCTTCGCAAGTCCGAGCTTGAGTGTAAGCCTTTTTTTCCCCCTTCCTTGCTCTTTAGTGTTCTTATTCTAACTCCAATTCAGACTACGCCATGCTTGCCAAGACCCCTGTCCACCACTTCAGCGGCAACAACGTGAGTATTTATCATGTCCCAGTCCTTGAATAAAAAAAAAAGAAAGAAAAGAGAAACCGAGATAGATCGAATACCCATTCGTCGTATCGCACTTCGGAGGCAATCTCCGTTGCTCAGAGAAGAGTGCTACATATTTTTTTTTCTTGTTTCTCTTCTGGCACTTGATTTCTTTCACATCCTCAGACAAGGAACTGTTGTTTCTAGAAGGGAAACGGAAAAGGATTTGTTAGACACTCGGAGAGCGGATTTTGCTCGGAGAAGGGATCTCTTTAGTTTTTATCATTGATAAAAACGAAGGGATTCTGGAGAGCTTTATACTAACGATTGCAATAGATTGAGCTTGGAACTGCTTGCGGTAAACTTTTCCGGTGAGTCTAATCTATATCTATCATTTCGTTCTATGCGCATCTTGCTAATATATTGTTCCTAGCTGCTCTACCATGGCCGTTCTCGACCAGGGTGACTCCGACATCCTCGCCCAGGAGGCTTAAAGCATTTCTCTCGATCACGCCAAAGAGGCTGTCAACGTTGGACAAGAAATAAAATGCTTCGGGTTGACCCATCTTGGTAATTTTTCCTTAAATTACCTTTTGTGATTCTATCCCATGACATGCTGCATGTCTATGTTCATGTCGCCATCCATCAATTCTTGTATAATGCCGGTAGCCGGGAGAAGAGCAAGGTCTCAAAAAAAAACAAAAAAAAAAACAAAAGTTCTATGACTTTTTTTTTGCCATAATAATATCCTCTGTTATGATACCACGATAAGCAATGTCTGTTTTTTGTTCTGTTAATATTGGATGAACTTGTATCAAGTAAGCAATCATCGTAGAGATAAATCGTAAAGCTTACTACAGAGATACGGATCACATTCATTACCTTGTGTTTGATAGCGTGCACGCAATAAGGAAGAAGATTAAGTAAAGGAATTATCAGATTTCTTTGGAAATTCCTGCCTCTTTTATACACCACTCAAAACGCCATTTTTTAAGAATAGCCAAAGGAAAATCAGAAATCAAGATGATATCACCCGTAGGAACAGAAGATGGCAGGAAAACTTCTTTTTCTCCATAAAAAAGAAGAACAAGGAAAAGAAAAGAAAAAGAAATCAAATCAAATCAAACAAGGAAATATACAACATGAGTGAAACTTGCAACATTAAAAAAAAGAAAAAAGCAAGAATCAGATCAGATCTTGACCTTTTCCTGCTCCTTCAAAGCCAATTTCACCAGATCCGCAAAGACCTTACTGAAATCTTCCTCATCCTCTCCATCCGCATCTTTCTTCTTATCGGCCTTGCCGCTCTTCTTCCCGGACTTGGACGTCACCATCACCACACTTGTAGGACGCTTGGTGGCTCCGGCGGCACCAAGCTCGGCCCGCGAAGCAACAAAAACATAGGGAATGCCGTGGTCTTCGCACAGAACAGGGATGTGGCTGATAACGTCAAGGGGAGAGATGTCGGCGGCAAGAATGACGACGCCAATTGGCTCTGTGATGGGTGCGTTGGCTGCTGGGATGGCGCTTTTGCGGAGGGCTTTGACGACTTCTTTGACTCCGCGTTTGAGGGATTTGTTGACGGCGGCTACGTTTCATAGGCGTTAGAATAAAGTTTGAACAATGTACAAAAGACTGGAGGGGGAAAAACGTACCCTTCTTAACGGTCTTGAACACCTTCTTAGCGGTCTTGTCCTCGGCCAGAGGGTTTGCGAAAGGCACCAGAGCACCAATCGGCCGTTGCTCTGTTGTTGCGACTTCAGCAACTTCGATCTGTTCCTCCTTCTTCTCCAGTCCTTCCAGCACTTGTGCAGTGAGCTCCTTCTCGGCGTTTTCGGATAGCTGCTGCTGCTTCTTTTCCTTCTTGTCTTTCTTGTGCTTGTGAACACCGTCTGTCTCGGAGCGCTTCTTCTCCTTCTTCTCCTTCCTGTCCTTCTTCTCGGATTTGTCCTTGCCCATTTTCAATATTTTTTATCGTCTTCTGCCCGTAAATAAAAAAGGTTCTATATCCGCTGCGGGCGAGGGTATGGACCGTTGTCAGGCAAATGGATTGATTTTTATATGCGGAAAAGCGAAAAAAATGTTTGGTCTAAAAATTAATTTGGTTCTCCGCACCGAACTTCGTCTTGCTTCTTACTCGCTGCCGCCTCACCTGGCGCTAGTCCTGATTGGGTTCCAAGCTTCTCTTCCGCGTCCAGCGAGAAAACAACAACCTTGACTGAACAATCGCAAATTTGGACAGAAAAAAGAAAACCATTATTTTACTGCTCGCTCCTTTTTCAGGGCGGGGCCGCCTGAATATTCAACAATGGCCTCGAACCCGGCATTTCGACAGTCTGTCCGGCAGCCACAGTCCGTCAAGAGTGGTCAGTCTTAGTATTCTCGACGTGTGGCCACTATCTATCTAACAATGAGTCAGATTTCGAGAACGAGGAACTCCGCGTCCAGGTGAATGCTCTGCGCTATGAGCTGGACAATCTCAAACAAGAGCGCGATCTTACCGAATTGCGCCATGAGAAAGAGCTGCGCGACCTACAGCTCCGAGCAGATTCCGACTTTAGGAAAGCCCAGGTAAGTAGCCTTTTTTTTTTTTTTTTTTTTTTTTTTTTTTTTTTCAGAAACTTGCATTTGTATTGCATTTGTATTGATATCTCTGGATAGAGCGCGGAAGCCGCAAGCAATCGAGCAACCCAGAAGAGCGAAACTTTGGCGAAAGAGCTAAAACAAGTCCAAGAGTCAACACTCAGCGACAAGGCGGGCTTGGAGCGACGGATCCGCACGCTACAAGACGAGAAACAATCGCTTCAAGAAGATATCACTGAAGAACAGGCACAGCGATCAGACCAGGAGAGACAGTTTAAGCGGCAAATCAACGAACTCGAGACTTTGCGCGTCACATTAGCCCAAACACTGGAAAATATGCAGAAGGATTTGCAAGATGTACAAAATAATGCGCATTCTACAACCACACAATTGTCGCAACTCGAAAGTCAGGTTGCGACTCTAGAAGCTGAAAATCTGCGCTTGAGAACCGAGGGCAGCGGAGCTGAAGAGCTGGCCGTACTGAAAAGAGAACTTTCCGAGCAAGTCTCGCACATCAGGAACCTGGAATCTACGAATCGTGAGCAATTGACAGAGTTGCGTCATCTACGCAAAGTGCAGAGAAATGTTGAGGTCGTTGAGGAACAGAAGAAATCCCTTGAAAACCAGCTACAACTGATGGCGAATTTGGAGACGGAACTTGGAAACGTGCAGATTCAAAAACGAGTCCTGGAAGATGAGCGCAGATCATGGACCAGCATGCTCGAATCGAATAGTGATTTCTCCGGTTTCGACTCCCCAGAAGCAGTAGTAAAAGCGCTTGTGGAGGAACGGATCGGAAAACTCACTCTAATCGATAAGCTGGGCAGCCTGGAGCCACAACTTCTGGAAAAGGATGAAATTATCCAGAGCCTCGAAAGCGAGAAGCGCCAACTCAGACAGGAAATTGAGAAGCTTCGTACCACTGCATCTGCTCCCGGTGGAGCTTTGGATACTCGTGCTAAACTCCGGCTGGAGCGTCAGCGTGCACTAGCCGTGAAAGAAGTGGAATACCTACGTGCACAGCTGAAGACATTTGATACGGAGGAACTAACTATGCATGAAGAAGGGAGTCATTACGACGAGCACAAAACCCAGCAAATCGAACAATTGGAGAAACTTGTTGATGAATATCGCGTTGAATTGCACAAAGTACATGAAGAATTATCAGCTCTCGAAAAGTCATCTTCGCAGGACGAAGACGCAACTACTGCTACCACAGCAGCATCTCGAGGAGTCAAAAGACCTCTATCACCGGCAGATAGCGATGCGGAATCCGAGCGAATCTCGATCCTCTCCCGCAAGAACCGTTCACTTCAAGAATCACTCTCAAAATCCGAACAAGCCGCCAAAGTCCTCCGTCACGAACTGGACGCGACCAAATCCCACCTATCCACTCTCCAAGAACAATCACGCACCCGAATCCTCGAGCTACGAGCCAACCCAACCTCCGAAGCCGAGAACCTCAAAATGACAACCCTGCGCGCCTTACAGGCAGAAAACCGCGATCTACTAGCCCAACTGCGCAGCGACCACGCCAAAGTACGCGTCATCCCCGTCAGCACGCTAGACAGCCTAAAACTCGAAATGCAAGACCTGGAACGCACCGTTGCCGAAAAGGAGAAACGCATGCGCCGCCTCAAGGAAATCTGGACTGCTAAATCCTCCGAGTTCCGTGAAGCCGTTGCCTCGGTGCTAGGCTACAAGCTAGATTTCTTACCCAACGGTCGCGTGCGAGTTACTTCCATGTTCCACTTATCGCCCGCATATCGACACGGTTCATCGTCTTCGGGCTCGGGCTCAGGAGCACCGGCAGTAGCACCAGCTGGATCTGGAAGTATGGGCAACGGAGAAGAGAATTCGATTATATTTGATGGCGAAAACGGGACGATGAAGATCTCCGGAGGTCCCAATAGTTTGTTTGCGCTTGAAATTAAGCATCTAATCAAGTTTTGGGTGGAGGAGAGGAAGGATATCCCCTGTTTTTTGGCGGCGATGACACTTGAGTTTTATGATAAGACTACGAGAGCGGCGAGAGTCTGAAGTTAATATAACTATATATAAAGTAATAACTACATACGTGTGCACTTTGTGGATGATAGTCGTTGATTATTTCTTTTCGTCGTCCTTGATCCTAGTATATGCTGCATAAAAAGAAGTTGTTGTCCACGTTGATACTCAGCTAATTGTAGATCAGGACGCTCGCCTACTACAAGATACGAGTTTTAGTTCGCAATCAACTACTTATTTCTGTGTATGTGCATAATGATAATTAAGCGACTAACACTGAGGGAGGGCTAGGTTTCCATATATTCAACAAATCCAAAAGAGCCAGAAAGGGGGGGAAAATGTGAAGGTGTGCATGCAATCAGGCCTGGTGATCCCTTCATTAATAAATATCGTTGCACAACATGTACACAGGGCCGACCATGTCCAACTACCAAGCTCGAAACGCGAGAGAAGGAACGCTGCACTGTAAGAAAAAAAAAATAAGTTTTGAAAAAGCATCAATATGTATGTGTGACAAGGCGTGAACATCGATCGTGGTATTAGACTGCAACGTATTTCCCGGCAACTAGTTTGCGCGCTGTGTGCACTTCTTTCCATGTAGTGCTTGTCGACGCTGATGTAGACGTTGCAGCGCCTTCATCAGCGAACGGGTCATGTTCCGCAGCAGCTAGCGCTGCGCTTTCGGCGACACTCAGACTTAAGCGAGATGATGAATCGGTTGTATGGTGCTCGAATTTCGCTTCGACCTTGCCTTGGCGTGGCCAGCTGGCTGAACTTGTAAATCGGGCCAGGAATTTCTCTTCTCCTCCGGCTCGAACTTCTAGTTCAGGTATTTTCCATACAACTGCAGATTGCTTGCGGCGAAACAAGGCGCCTGTGTTGGGGTACATGACGGCGCTTGTCGCACGCACCACTTCACGAGGTTGCTTGGTGATTTCATCCTCTGAACTAAGGTTCAAGTTGACCGTGATCACGACATTCTTCAAAAAGATCGAAGTCGACGCGACAGTGCTCATGAAGGCCGGATTCACAGAATAGAAGACGATAACGCTGGCCTGAAACTCTTCAATGTGCCACACCGGCCTAAACAAGACTGGCGAATATGATGACAGATTCGTGGGCGCGAGATGTAATTGATACTTGAAGGCAACTGTCGGAATGGAGCGAGCAATTTTGTCCAAAGTGACGTTGTATTCTCCTCTTTTGTCGTCATTAGTCGTAGATACTTCAGTCACAAAATGAGGGTTTGCCGCGACTTTTTCGAGCAAGGCAAAGTTGTCTAGGCGAACAGTACTTTCGGACGTAGTTGAGCCCCCCGTGGCATTGTATGCCAGTGCAAGTTCACCAACGACGAATGACTTGGTGACGTTACCACTTTCAAACCAACTGTTCACTGTTTCAATTATAGATGCATTTAAACCAGGCTCATGCAGTTCTGGATGAGAAACAGGGCCTGATATAGCATGCAAGGTGTGCGAAGAATGGATTGACGTCGTGTCTGACATCGCCCGTTCCTCATGGGATGGGCTTGCTGCTGCCTTAGACAAGGTGGCTGCTGCTACTGGAGTAGACGCTTCGGGTTCTTCACTAGGAGAGGTAGCTGGTAATGTACGAGACACTGTTGGGGGGAGAATTTCCGAGGCTGTGGATGGTGCTATAAATGCCGTGTTCCGTACATCACGACGGCCACGAATAGTGCTCGCGTTTCGTCTCATCCCAGACTGCAAGCCTTGCTATGTGATTGTCAATGGGACTTATCATCGAATTACCACTTCAGGGGCAGCCGAGCTTACCATGCGTAGAGTATTTGCCATGTCGTCCATGGCCTGCTTGGCTTGAGTTTCATCCTCATGAATTGGCTGATCTCGGATTGTCAAATTGAGACCAGTGTCATCGAGCCTAGAAACGTTTGACTTAGCACCAACTCCCACCAGTTTACACCTGATAGAACATACCCTGATGCTTCTCTCTGGGCCTGCGTAATATCGTCAAGAAGCCGAGGCCTTTCAGAATATCCTTCCGAGTCCACCTGAACCTGCAACAACCCATATAAATTAGTGAATAATATACGTAGATTTAAAATTTTACATACCTGATTCGTTGCCGTTGAAGGAAGCTCAGCGGCAGTATGAGTGGATGCCAGTCCGTTTGTAGTTGCGATCGTTTCTGCTGTTTCTGGGATTGGAGTAATAACGGTGGAATCCTCAGGTGCATGAGTATCCCGACTTGCAGGTATTGTACCAGACGGACTACCTATGGATTCGCTAGCGATACTGTGAGTGTCTCGGCCTGGAGGAGTGGATGGAAGCTGTGCATGCACATTCTGAGATGAATCACCGCGGCGGAACCCGAAAGCTGGCCGGCTTTTCTTTTCAGAAGATGGAAGTGACATGCCAGAGCCTAGGACGACGCTCTTTCGGCGGTTCATCACGGTGCCCAACCTGCGGAGACCACCCATCCTTGGCGTATTTCTGGGTTCGGGGACTAAATTATGTCAGTATCTCTCAAATCAAGACGATGGCTTGGCTGGAAGTACCTGGCGGAGGCTCACGGACAACACGACCTGATCGGTTTGAATATTGGCTGGCTGCATCATCTTGAATCGGGGGAGGCGGAGGGAGTTCAGCAACATCACTATGCGCAGGAGCCGGTGCGGCAGCGGCAGCAGGCACCGTATTGCCTCGGTTTAGTGTGGGTTCTCGTCCTCCATTTAATCTTGCAGCAAATGTTTTGATCTCGTCCTCTGTCTGCACATTCAGCAACGCATTCAAACAGCTTTCTGCGGTTTGTCGAGTGCGTTCAATTTGATCTGTCTCGTGGGTCTGCAGCTGAGTAAGAACATCTCGAAGATGATTGAGTCTGCTCTCATCAATGGCTTGAAGCTGTTCGAAGACAAACGGAGCCCGCGATTCCCATTGTTGAGTAGCCTCGGTCACGGCAGAGGAGGCTGCTGCAATTTTGTCTGCTCCCCGAGAGCCTTTCTCCTTAGCCTTATCTAACTTCTTCTGCGCGGTATCCAAGCTTTTTGCTAGATTTGTCAAATCAGCTTGTACGGTAGGCATTGAGCTGAGCTCCCTGTTTTTCGATCCATAATCTCTCAGCGGCCTTTCCACGTCATCTTCAATTTTCGATGCGAGCACTTCATGAGAAGCGGCAAGCGCTTCGGTAGCGGCAGTTATGCGATTCCAGGGTAGTTGGAAAACGCTAGAGCGAGTTAGCGAGCGTAGTCTCGCGGGTTAAACCGACTCCATTCCACTTACCCCAGAGAGGCACCTCCTTCTAGTTGCGGCCTTCTGGCGAGTTTCCGAAGGCCTTGGACGTATGTTTCTTCAATACGCCTCCGTTCCTGCACGGGGTATTTCGGGTCAGCTCGGACTTTGCTGATGGACGAGGGTCTCGAGGCGCGGAACATACCTGTAGCCAGTCCGCAATATCGGCGTTGACCTTGTTGATCAGACGAATGCGGTCATTGAGGACGGTCGTGGCCTGGTTCGGCTGCAACACAGTCTGTGGGATGATAGAGTGTGTTAGCGCAAGCGCTCAAAGTGAGAAGGACATGAATGATAATAGCATGTCTGTCAACGTACCAACAATGCCGGATATTCCTGCCTCGACAGTTCCATAGCTGCGACCGCTGCTACAGGGGCGCCAAGCACATAATAAACAAGAGAAGGAGACAGCAAGGTAGCAATACACCAACAACAAATACTCGGTGAGAGCTCTGTTCAATATTGTGTCCGAAGACGACGCAATTCGCAGGAAGGACGTCCGGGAAGTTCGCGGCTCGTCACTGACTAGTTAGTTAATAGCGATGGCTCCACTGCGGAAGCCGCGATGGACGAATTAGGGAAGCACCTAAGCAAGTTGCAACTTCAGGTCGTATTTTCCTTTTCCCTGGGCTAGTTCGACGTGCTCCCTGCAGATGGATAATCAATCAGAATAACAATAACAACAATAAGCGGTGCTAACACTCAATATTTGCTGTCGCGCGCCACCCCGGACTGCTTTCCCTTACGTCACAGCTACCAAGCGCCCTGATTGTCCAATCAGCGCGCACCTGGAATGGTAACGTAACGTCCTGTAAATCTCGCCGTCAACTCTCTCTCTCTCTCACACATCACCATGCCCGACGACTGGAAGGCCGCCCTTGGTTTTAGCGACAGACTGACAACAATCCAAGCAATGTGAGTAGTCCTACTGCGCGGTGTCTTTTTTCTTTTTCTGTAGTTCTCATCGTTGTGCAGCACATCCGCCTATCGCCATGCGTCGCCCTCTGCAAGCTTTGCCGAAGCTCAGTCGCATGCTACCCGTTATGAGGGCGAAGCCTACAACAAAGCTGTCTCAAAGGTCCGGCCTCGCATTGTGAAAGGCATTTGACATTGTCTCGTAATGGACAATTGCTCACCGTGCGAGTAGCTAGAGTACGATTCTCTATGTCAACAAGCAATCGACGAAAGCGAGGCCCAGTATTCGGCTGCGCCAGTAATCGGTAGCCCCAAAGCCCGATCAGACGAAGAAGATGAATTCAATGTGAATGATACCATTGTAATTGGTGCATATAAGCGCTGTATACACCACTTTGATGGCTTGATGTCTACTATTTACCGCTCTCGGTCTGCCGATGGCACCCTGGTCGCCCTAAAAGTCACGACTCCTCATATGATGGGTCCTCCACATGACTCTAAACGAGAAGCACGTCTTTTGCGACAGGCAAAAAATAGATATGTTATCCCCCTGCTCGAGACCTTTGACTTGGTGGGTGGTCGGTTTATATTAGTTTTCCCTTATATGAGATACAACTTTGAAGAGCTGCTTCGTCAGGATATCCTGACGCCCTCTCAAATCAAGTCTCATTTGAGGGATTTATTCAACGGGTTGGCACATGTGCACCAGCTCGGTATTATCCATAGGGATGTTAAGCCCTCGAACATTCTGTTGGCAACCCCGGCAGGACCAGCATATATATCTGACTTTGGCATCTCATGGATGGAAGGTGATTCGGGCTCAGAACCAGCAACACAAAAGATCAACGATGTCGGCACCACCTGCTACCGGCCGCCTGAAGTTCTGTTTGGCTCGAAAGATTATAACACAAGCTTGGATTTGTGGGCTGCTGGCTGCGTAGTAGCAGAAGCAGTGGGTGTGCATCATCGCCAGCTTTTCGACTCGGGAGACCTTGGTAGTGACCTTGCTCTCATTCGATCGATATTTACTACTTTGGGGACTCCAAACACTGGGGTGTGGCCGGTACGTATTGACATTGCACCTCCTCGGACATTGCTTGCTCTACGTTATCTGACGGTTTTATAGGAATCGGCAAGGCTTCCAGACTGGGGCAAATTTGAGTTTTATAAATATCCCGCTAAGCCGTGGGAGGAAATCCTCCAGGGAGCGTCGTCTCAAGGCCGCGACTTGGTCAGCAAGCTGATATGTTATGAGAGCTCCTCAAGACTGACGGCCACACAGGTACGCAAATTGTCGGAGCTTTAGAGAATGATGCTAACGATGTTCAGGCTTTGGATCACCCTTTCCTATCGTTGCAATAGACTAGACCATCGGAATTTGAAGGTGGAGTGATTGCTGAACAAAGTATTCAACGATTATATATATCTGGCTCTTTGTGAATTTCACGTAAGCTGCATTATCGTATAATGTATATTCATATATCGCACTTCTATATTTATTTTAGGCAAAACGCTAGCCATACCCACCACAATGGACCCAAGTCACGTAAAATCTCCGTTCCATCTACGAGATATAGAGATAGCTATCATTGTCTTCCACCAGGACACTTGCCACAACATTTGCTTTCGAGGTAACTTATCCTAGCTAGCATCATCTGTATTATTAATATTGTGTGATGATAGCCGGATCCGCGACGCTCCGACAGCGCTTGTATTGAAACAGACAGCCAATCCGCGCTCAGGCGGGAAATGAACAGCCTCTTTAGCCAGGGAATGGCTGCTGTATTTTTCGGTATGGTATGCATTACATTAGCCTGATTGGGAAATGCAATTGTGCCGCACGGACGAACTCGGGCTGATGATTGGCCAGTGTTTGAAGTGCTTTGAGCCCTGCAAACTCAGAACCGATTAGCGCCGACGCCACAATACCGATGCGTTACCAGGCACAATACATCCTCGGGCGGCTGTCGTTGGTGGGTTTGCCCCAAGCAACCCCGCCATGCCCGGTATTGTTACCCGCGTTACAACAAATATGGTTTTCATTGTGCAATGTGCCCCCAAGGGCAAGCCTCAGGCCGTGAAACGGTGAAACATAACCTCCTTCCTTCCTCGCATATTCTTCCCTCGCCATCTCTCTCTCCCTCGTGGCTCTTTACATTCTTTCATGTGGTGAACCCCTCCACCACGCCAATATTCTGCTGTAGCCTGGATGCTCGTCGCGTATATTGTTTGACTTGCACAGGCTGTGGTCTGATTTCGTTCCTTACCCCACGTTCTCTTTCTATTTTGGCGCTGGCAACCGAGATCCCAGCGTTGTGTCGTCACGTTCACTACCGCAATTCACGATTCGCAACATTTTACTCCCTTAGCATAGTCTATATGCTCTCGACCTGGTCCTTTCGTAACGAGAAACCCTAACTTCTGCTCTTGACTATCCACGGCTTGAATAGTCATCACCATGTCACATGGCCATTCTCACCATCATGAGAGGCGAAATGTCTTCTCAGATATAGACAGCTTCTTTGGAATCAGCGATGATAAGAAGACGACGACATCAGCTGTTGAAGACGCCGTCTCCATTGTATATGTGACTGCGTCGCCCACCTTTACAGGCGCAATAGGAGGATATGTCACTGGCACTGATCCTGCCAGTACTACTGAACCCACATCGTCAGTCGCCGATTCTACGTCTGAACCTTCTCAGACATCAACAGTAGCTCCGGAGACCACCAGTAAGCCTACTACGTCGACAAGCTCAACCAGCTCAACCAGCTCCACGAGCTCGAAAAGTTCATCAACCAGCTCGTCAACTAGTTCGTCGACCTCTTCATCGACAACCTCGAGTCAATATACGTCCACTTTTTCAACAGCCACTTCCGCGACTGCCTCATCGTCCACCACATCTTCGATCACCAGTGCATTAGACCAGGTTTCTTCGTCGACTGCTTCTGCTTCGTCCACTGCGTCTGCATCGAGTTCTAACGGCCTCTCGGGAGGTGCTAAAGCAGGAATTGCTATCGGTGTCGTATTGGGGGTGGGTATTATTGCAGGGTTGATATTCTTCTGGCTGCACAGGCAGAGAAAGAACAGACAGCAAGCGGAAGCCGCGGTGGCGGCAGAAAATGAGAAATTTAGTGCACCAAGACAAGCACCATCACCACCAGTAGCCAGCGTTCCCGCACCGTCAGTTGCAATGGCAACATATCCCTCCAATCCATCAAGGCGTTCCGTCGCCCCTCGTGTCAGCTTGCGTCCAATTACTCAATTCAATCCTCTCTTCAATCAACCTGCTGAAGGAGCTGCTGGCGCAGCAGTGGGCACCGCAATGACAACTACGGCCGGCGCAGCTGGTCTTGCACATATTGAAGAAACGTCCGAGCGTCCCTATGGTGGTTCAGCGCATATTCCTCCACAAGCCGAGCCTCGTCAAGATCCATTCACAGATCCTGCTAACCCATTTGACAATGGCGCCCATGCTGGGTCTCCTCCTTCACCTATTTCCAAGGATGCGCCTTCAGCTTCGTCTCCAGTGAGAGACCTGACCTCCTCGCCAACCGGGAGCATTTCTGATGTTCCTAACCCTCCTGCCGTACCTGGATCGTCTACTGAGCCAATCGAAGCTACAGCCGCTGGTGCAGTCGCAGCTGCGGTTATAGGAGGCGATGCTGCCAGCGCAGTCTCAAAGTCTGATGATAAGCCTGCTGAAACACGCACTCAGTCCCCCGAATACGTTGAAAGTTCCGGCTCTCGACCCCAATCTCCAGTCGTAGGTGGCGCGCCATTCTCTAGCAACGTCCACCGAGTGCAAATGGATTTTGCACCTTCTTTAGCCGATGAAATGGAACTCCGCGCTGGTCAACTAGTGCGATTGTTAAAGACATATGATGATGGATGGGTAAGATCAAGTCTTCTAATTATCTAAGTGCTCGCTTTTACTAACATCCAATAGACCCAATGCTCTAGTATGGATGGTACAATCAAAGGTATCGCGCCACGCACCTGTCTCTCTGCAAGACCGCTTCAGCCTCGACGCCCACCAGGTCCTCCTGGTCCCGGTCCTCGGGGTCCGCCAATTATGGGACCCAATGGTAGGCCCATGTCCCCAGGTGGCGGCCGTATGGGACCTCCGCCGGCCCAAAGAGGGGGTCCTCCACGTTTCTACAGTGACGGTCGTCCTATGACACCCACAAATTCCGGCTTGCCGCAATTCCCACCTCCCCCCGGAAGCCCACGTTCGATGTCTCCGGGACCCGCTCGTGGTAGTGTCGATGCACCCTTCCCATTGACACCGGGAGGTTCACGCCCGGCCAGTCCAGCTGGTAGACGATCGCGTAGTAACAGTGCCAGTGTAGGCCAGATGGGTGGACGTCCGGTTATTCACCACGGACAGAGTCCTCTTGCACCGCCAACTGGTCCTTTACCCGGCCCTCCTGTTGTACATCCAACCCCGGCCTCGGTTCCCTCTGGACCGCCTCCACCACCACCACAACTTCAAATCAATGGACGTCCGCAGTCACCTATCGAGAGGAAGGCTGTCGGCGGTCAGCAATAACAGTAGATTGGGCTCGAAGTTCTTATCTTATAATGATACCCGTTTCCAATCTCTTCTATCAGATCATTTCTTTTCATTCATGTTTCTATTTTATTGCTTCCCTTCATACTTCCTTTCTTTCTTTTTCTGTTGTATTCTTTTAGAGCACAACAGCAACATTCTTATTCTTCATTTTAAAGGACAATCATTTTGTCCTCGTTTTCCCAGCTGTGTTATTGACCATTTGATTGAGTATCAAAGCTCTTACGTACGCATGGTCGTCGACATCTGTCTTCTCTTCTCTTTTCAATTTTTTTCATGTCAAATACATTTTTCCCCATGTTATTGTGTATGTATATAAAAAGAAGTTATTCTCCCAACGGCATTGATTGCTTGATGATTTTCATAGCTGATGCGTGGGTGATGTGTTGTTGTATGTACGTATTAGGTAGATAGATTAGTTGAAATTTTCTACGCATCTTCAGCTCTAGCCTCTCCGTTTTATTGTGAGTAAATACCACACCTTCTGCTTGAGGTGCTTAATCCCACCCCTTGTTTATTTTTTTATCCCATTCCTTTCTCACTCATAAATGCGGCACCCCCAACCCGGCAAAAATCAAATTCACAATGCTCAATACACCCTCGCCAAGAATCAGTCCTGATGCGAGGACAACAACGGTGGATGATGATGTGTCTTCACCGGAATCTACGAGTGATGTGGGTGTCGTTTCTTGTATTACGGTGGTAGTTGCTAGTGGTGGTGGTGGTTGCACATTTTCCTCTTCGGACATGAGGAATGACGATGTTTCATTCTGTTCGGTAGTGGTTGCTATATCCCCAACGGCAGTAGGAGGTAAGTTCGTGTTGATCGATTCACGATCAGACGGAGGAGGGGAACTCGGTCGAGCCCACCACCAAGCTATAATCCCCCCAATAGCTCGCGCCAGCGTGAAAGAGGGAACATTAAACATGCCCACCGCAACGGCAATGCCACCCGGCACAAACGATATCCACGATGGAGGCACTCGTCTATTACCACCACTAAATAATGTAGTAGTAGAAGCCACGATTCGTAACACGGTGGTAGCAACAAAAATTGCACCAAACAGGATAGAGACCTGCCATGCCATTGGCGGAAGACCTTGGCCAGTGACCAGGCGCGCAGTGAAAATCCAAACGAAAGCGGTGGGGATCTGGAATTGGTCGCCAGGAACCGGGTAGACATTGACGTACATCTTGTACACTACTGTAGAGAGCACGGCACCGAAAACGCTGCCGATTAATTGTCCGTAGAATTGCGCCTTGGGGCTTGCGTTGAGTAGATGGCCCGTTTTGAGATCTTGCATCATGTCTCCTGCCTGAAGGGCGCCGGCTTCGGAGACTGCGCCGGCGAGAAGGTTGGTGACTACGGCGGAGCGTCGGGTGTGCAATGATGCAGGCGTGGCGAGAGAGAAGATGAGTTGGGTGAGTTTGCTGATCCCAGAGACGGGGTTGAGGTCTGTTTCTCCCAGGGCGCGAACGCCCATGATCGAGAGAAGGACTGCTAGTAGAGTGGCAAGAGTTGAAAGGAATGGGGTAATGATATCGCCAAAGGCGATGTGCATACAGATAACATTCAAAACCAACGTGAGCGGTAGGAATATGGCAACGGTTTTGTTGGAGACCAGTTCTGAAGATGGGGCGTCCCGTTCGTCTTCTTCGATGATAGTTGTAAATCCTCCCCGGACTTCAGCGTGCGGGTGTAGAGCAGAGTATTCAACGTTCGAGCGATCAGTCCTTTCCAAGTCACTGCGTTGGAAGGACCGCACCTTGACTTTGAGCCATGGCAACGACCCGTATGATGTGCGCAGTATAAGCCAGCCCAGATTGATAATAGAATCCGCGAGCATGATCGCCAAAGACACCCATATAATCCAGCCTTTGCTTCCGTCGGCCCAGTCACCGACAGGCCCCGGTGCCCAATTATTATGTTTGGCAATAGGAGACAAAATCGCCCAACCAAGAAATGCCCCGAATAGCATGTGCATTGAAGTCGAAGGACCCATGATGATCCCCTGTCCGACATAGGCCGGAGATGGGTTTAGGGTCCATAGCCAGTTCTGAGCAAGGGAAGGCCCGAAGATGGGAAGATCGCGGACTTGGGGAACAAAATATGAAAATAGGGTCTATATCCTTCGTTAACAATTCATGATAATCTTCCAGCAAGTAGTAGTAACGGGCACACAAACATAAAAAGCTGAAACAGCAAATGCTCCGATCAGCAAACGGATCTTTGATCTCCAATCGGTACGTGCATCACCTTTGGTCTCTACAATAGGCCTTGTAGATGCGGAAGAAACAGGTATTCTGGTGGGAGTATTTGACGCCGATCGCATCTGACCAGGCGCTTCGTGCTCGGCCGCAAGAAGTCGTCGATTCGCATCCCCGGGCTTTTTATCCGCAGACGTTCCATGCAGCATTCTAATCATCAAGGCTGTTGCAGTCCCACTTGGGAACCTGAGTTTCTCTCGAATAATCACCTCCTTCCGCAACGGGACGGCAAAGATGGCGCCAAACAGGCAAACACCAAGACTCCATATCACCAGCTTCCAGAAACCCACATTCAGTGGTCCGCCTTCACCAGTGCCGCCATCACCCGATGGGCCGTCTTCGCCGTCTCTCAGAAGAAATTCCAGAGCGGGAATGACGCCGACAAAGCCACAGCCTAGTGGCATGGTTCCCACGGCACCGGCAACTGTCTGAATGAGCACATTCTCGACGGGAGTGAAGGGAAAGGAAAGATGATTTGACAAGCTCTTGAATACGGCAAAGCCAATCAAGGACGATGGCATGGTCATGAGACTCATCCAGCCCGTTTGAAGACCAAAGTATGTATTGGAGAATACGATCAGAGTCCCGATGCCGAGACCGACAATCAACGAGCGTGGAGTGAAGCTCTGCGCCGAGGTTCTCAGTGCTATCATATCCACGTCCAAGTCCGTATCTTCATTGCCGTAATTGTCGTTATTCAAGCTGCTATGTGCAGCCTCGAATTCCGGAGACGGCGTGCTCGAGGTATTCCCCACGGCCGCCATTGTGCGATAGTCCATGGTGTCATTGGACAACGCTTGTCAAAACAGTATTAATAAATCGGTCCTTCTATGTCATGGCATAGCTCAGTTTCGTCAATGCATGGAGATATGCTCTATAGCTTGAAACGTCGTTGGGGTGTGTCACTGAGGAGATAAGCAACTAACTTGAGTCTAACTTGCCTAGTGACTGAACTAACCGTATATGGTTAGCAATCTCTTCTTCCTTACTAATCCGGGCGTTCTGGAACTTCTGTCTGGCTGTTATTGTTATCTTATCTTATCGATCAAGAGATTGCATCATTTTGTATATAGATTCACTATAGAAGTAACTTGAGTAGTAAGCACACAACATCGCAGTTTAGGAAATAAAGACCAAACAAGAGAGGGCATCAAGTAACTGTCAGGGAGTGATATCATATATGCTGGCATCACCATTGTCGAACAGTCAATGAGTGAATAGTTGTATAAAAGGGGGAAAGAAAGCAAGAAAAGGAAGTGGCCATTGTTTGTTGCACTGATTATCAACCTAGTTCTTGGCTTTTCGCTCACGTACAACATTGAAGCCACCATCCCTTGGATTGTTGGAAGCAGAGGGATCCTTTTGCTTACGTACAGCATTGAGACCACCATTCTTTGAATTGTTAGAAGCAGAGGTATCTATGTGCTTATGCGCAATATTGAGACTGCTATTCTTCGAATTGTTGGAAGAAGAGACATCTTTGCGCTTAGATATAGCATTGAGACCACCATTCTTCGAGCTATTAGAAGCAGAGGAATCTTTATTTTTGCGCACAACGTTGAGACTGCCATCAGTCACGTAGCTATGACTACTCTCTGAGGGTGCAACATTGAAACCGCCATCAGTCGAGTAGCTAAGGCTACTCTCTGGACGTGCAACATTAAAACCACCGTCATCACGCGCGAACGAACATTCTTGGTTCTCCTGTAGATGATTTTCAACTTGAAGCCAGTACCGTAAAATTTGATTTCCCAATGTCAGGCTGTCCTTCTTCTGTGGAAGAAGCACGGTGATATCTCCTTGTATAGTTAAAAGGTTGTGGCCTTGTTTGAAGTCAAGACTTCCCAGTGAGACAGAGTTGCATATATTGGTTGACTTCTGTACTTGCGGATGTATTTCTTTTCCAAAATTTTGCCTTTTGATAATCTGACTGAAACACGGACTGCTTCTGAATTGTCTTGGTTGTGAGATTCACAGCATTTGGGTTGACAAAAACGTGGTCGATGATCATTGATTCTAGTGCGAGTGATTTCCCAACTTGCATGAGGTTTATCGTTTGGTTCGCACCTGTGTATCTCTAAGGACGTATCATAAACCCCCTCGGGAATCAGCAGGGGGTTGGCTTCATTTTTTCCGTGACCTGTGAACCGCCAAGTACCAATATTCTGTTTGGTTGTGCCGTCAAGTTGTACCGTAAAATAGTAGAGAGTGTTGGTATTTTCCATGATTGTAGGGTGACAAAGATATAACTCGTTAAGATTGATTTCGACCAATGTACCCTACCTAGGTAACTCTATGTCTATCGCGTGTCTCAGTGCTAGGTGAGTCAAAAATGACGCATAATATGCTAAAAAATGGATTAGAAGAAAATGGCGATTCTGAATGACTGATAAACGGATGTATAGAAAAATACATTTTGATGATTTCTCTTGCTATTTAACTAGTAACCCCAATCTTCCACCACATTCTCTGAGATCTACCTGAGACTGATCTCATACATTTTTCTGCCAATGGTCTTTATCCTTATATAAAACCTTTTGTGATATCTGACACGTTCATTGTTTCCAAATGGTCGTGGGCTTGGCGACACTCCCGAATGATGCCAGATTGTTCAGGCATTCAAGATTATCTGACAAGTCGAGACTCGACTCAATGAAGCCTCTATGAGAAAGAATCAACATCTGTTGTTGGATGATGATCAAAGAAAGACCATTAGCAGGTAATCCTGAGTTAGTCAGTGCAGGCCACTTAATTCCCAACAACCAAGATTACTCATCCTGGAAACACAAGGCTTAAAGTATTATCAAGCCTACTTTGTATATCTCTTCTGCTGTATTGCCGCAATGCAAACTTCTCACTGTAGTTTTGGGTTCCTAGTGGCTACCTCTTGCAACGACACTTTCAGCGGTCAAAGTATTTTTGCTTGATTCCACAATTTTCCTGGTTTCGTGCAGGACAGACTTGCACTATCGCATGCGAAGCTATTCGCCTACTGCTGGCTGCAGGTGGCTGTTGGCTTAATGCGCAGAATGGCTGAATGCAAGTGGTTATCTCTGTGAGTAGACGTTGCATGGTTGATAGAATCGATCTTCAGGATCTTCGATATAACTACCTAGTTAGTACAATATAGCTAACGCACATCACGAACTGGTGCACGGATACCAGTTCGGATAGTTCGGATGAGAAGGTGAGATGGTCTGCTTGGAGCAAAGGCAAGTAAGAAGTGCTGTATGATGTTGGAGCATTTCAAATGCCAGCGATGGCGATAGAAAAGGCATATTACCGTATCATACATAGCATACAGCAATAATGACGAGAGGGAGAGGAGAGAGCAGGCGAACACAGACAAAGTCGGACAACGGCCCTAGACCGCATGGGGCTAGCGCAAGTGGGCCCCCAAAGCTTAGCTTACCTTCCTCCTCCCTCGTCTTCCTCTTTGCTTCTCTGGATCTTCGCAACGACTAACTATATTGTGTGCTCTACACTTGTTCCTTTCACCCCGGGGGGAACACAAATAAACATGTCACAGCCTAGCCTTCCCCATACGCCTCCCAAGGCAGCGCCGCCGTTCGCTTTATATTTTTATGGCCGACTCCGGGCCCGCCCGGGCGACGCGTGGCGGGCCGACGTAAGCGAGGTCGCATAATTGATACTGGCCGGTGCATGGCACGTTGGAGACGCGGTTAGATCAATCATCAATGCATTTAATTGTTTTATGCTTTCAGTCTGTGAATCGCTATTAGGTAGCTTACGCAGTCTCCAGCCGAGTTGGATCACAGTGTCAACCGAATTGCAAACTCACGTTCTTCCTCCTCGCACTTGAATCCGAGATACCATTTTCTCTCGCGAGCATAGCCTTAGTACTTCGTACTTACCCACAAGAAGCTCAGCTGTCCTCCTACGAGCAGGCTATCTTGCGCGCTATTCCGATCTATAATTTCCGGCTAAGATATTCATCCTAACCAAGTGGGCCCAACCACGAACTAGCTGGTAAAAGGAAATTTTCTATGGATGCGACTAGAAATTCTATCACCAGTGGCTTCTGCCACTGGGACCGACAGCGTCCTTGGACCAGGGACTTGGATGCACCGCCCCGCCTCGTCGATGTTTTGCGCGCTTTCTTTCCCCTTGGCAGCCTCGGCCCTCAGGGGCAGGAGGAGAGAAAAAATAGAACCATCTATCTTTGGTGTGGCTCAGTGCTTGCTGTACTGGCCAGCGGCTTCTGGGAATCTCTATATTTGGTTCCCTAGCCCCTAATTCAACTGGCTAAAGTTTTTGTGGATATGTATATGTAAACCGGTCTTCTCACTTCTCCGTTTGTTTTCTCTTGTCTCTGTGTAGACTAAACACAGAATTTGTTTTTCAGCAATCAAATTCCAAATGGGCTCTCCAAGGCCCTACTCGCCCAATCTGGATCACCAGGGTGGCTACTATCGAGTTCCCTCTCCAGCCCAAAGCGTTAGAAGCGTAAGATTTTTTTTTTTTTCATGTCTTTTTTTTTTTTTTTCACGCTTTCGAAGAAGAACCCACTCGCCCTGACTTGAGGAAAAGGAACAAGAGCAATCGCTGTTGCATCGTCAGGACTCGGGTAGTAATTATGGTATCTCACTTGATGCCCCGACAACACCAACCGACTCCGTGCGCCGGTACACATTGAACGACAGCGGGCCGACGGCGTTCGCTGCACCGGAAGCAGAATCAACTGGTTTTCACGAGGGTCTGGGGACTGAAAAACCGGCTTCGAGACAAGGCAGCAGGACAGACGCTCTACGGCGATACGGAACGAGAAAAATTAAGCTTGTCCAAGGATCCGTTCTCAGCGTCGATTACCCAGTTCCTAGTGCTATTCAGAATGCAATTCAACCCAAATACCGTGATGTCGAGGAAGCTTTCCATGAGGAGTTCATGTTCATGCGCTGTTGGTACCCAAAGAAACGAATATAACTTTAGGATAAATGGCTGACATTCGACCTTACAGACACGGCGGCCACTTGTGACCCGGACGAATTCACGCTGAGGAATGGATACAATTTACGACCAGCAATCTTCAATCGACACACGGAGCTGCTCATAGCTATTACATACTACAATGAAGATAAAGTGCTAACGGCACGTACCCTTCACGGTGTTATGCAGAATATCCGTGATATTGTCAACCTCAAAAAATCCGAGTTCTGGAACAAGGGAGGTCCAGCATGGCAGAAGATCGCAGTGTGTCTGATTTTCGACGGAATCGAGCCATGTGATAAAAACACGCTGGATCTCCTCGCCACAATCGGTGTCTACCAGGACGGCATTATGAAAAAAGAAATTGACGGCAGAGAGACTGTTGCTCATATTGTGAGTAGACACATTCCGCAACTCTGCCTGAAATTCGACCCCGAGGCAAACTAGCCTGGGTTTTGGCATTTGGTGTTTTCACATGGATGATGGTACTAACCTGTTGACTCAGTTTGAATACACGACACAACTTTCAGTCACCCCTACACAACAACTAATCCGCCCACACGGAGATGAGGCAAGCAATTTGCCCCCCGTCCAGATGATGTTCTGTCTCAAACAGAAGAACAGCAAAAAGATCAATTCTCATCGTTGGCTTTTTAACGCATTCAGCCGGATCCTAAATCCCGAAGTTGTGATTCTCCTGGACGCCGGTACTAAGCCAGGACCTAAATCTCTCCTCGCTCTCTGGGAGGGATTCTATAATGATAAAAATTTGGGAGGTGCTTGCGGAGAGATCCACGCCATGTTGGGAGCCGGATGGCGCAAAGTTTTGAATCCTTTGGTCGCTGCGCAAAACTTCGAATATAAAATTTCAAATATCTTGGATAAGCCTCTAGAGAGTTCTTTCGGTTACGTGAGTGTGCTGCCAGGTGCATTTTCGGCTTATCGCTACCGCGCAATTATGGGTCGCCCATTGGAACAGTACTTCCACGGAGATCATACTTTATCCAAGCGACTCGGGAAAAAGGGTATTGAAGGCATGAATATCTTCAAAAAGAACATGTTCTTGGCTGAAGATCGAATTCTTTGCTTCGAATTAGTTGCCAAAGCCGGCTTTAAATGGCATCTCAGTTACGTTAAAGCATCCAAGGGAGAGACCGATGTGCCAGAGGCAGCAGCTGAATTTATCAGTCAGAGACGTCGTTGGCTGAACGGTTCTTTTGCAGCTGGTCTTTATTCTATGATGCACTTTGGCCGTATCTACAGTAGTGGGCATAATATTATTCGACTCATTTTCCTTCACATTCAGATGCTGTACAATTTCTTCCAACTGATCATGACTTGGTTTGCCTTGGGTATGTCTTAGTTCTCACATTTGGGTTTTTTTATTCCTCAAAAAGCTAATATATTCTCTTCTCAGGCTCTTACTGGCTTACTAGCACTGTCATCATGGACCTGGTTGGTACTCCCGGCGAGTCCAACAAGGAAAAGGGATGGCCATTCGGAAACAAAGCCAGTCCTATCGTCAATACCTTTGTCCAATACGGCTATATCTTTACTTTGATGCTACAATTCGTATTGGCTCTTGGAAATCGTCCGAAAGGGTATGTCAAAACTAATTCGATCAAGAAGGTTATGTTATTATCTATTCAGTAACTAACGACGAGCGAATCCCTACAGAACAAAACTTGCTTACACGCTCTCCTTCCTTTACTTTTCTCTCGTCCAATTCTATGTGCTTGTGCTCTCCTTTTACCTAGTTGTCAACGCATTTACCGGCGGCATTATGGACTTCAATTTCGACCAAGGCTTCAGCTCCTTCATCTCGTCCTTTTTCAGCTCCAGTGGTGGCGGTATCGTGCTGATTGCCTTGGCTTCCACATACGGAATCTACATTGTTGCCAGTGTCCTATACCTCGACCCATGGCACATCTTGACTAGCTCGTGGTCCTACTTTTTGGGCATGACCACCTCCATCAACATCCTCATGGTGTACGCCTTCTGCAACTGGCACGATGTTTCATGGGGTACAAAGGGATCGGACAAGGCTGAAAACCTGCCCTCGGTGCAAACTCAGAAGGACGACGACAACAAGAACAATTTCATTGAGGAAATCAACAAGCCCCAGGCCGACATCGACAGCCAATTTGAGGCTACTGTGAAACGCGCTTTGACTCCGTGGGTCGAGCCCAAGGAAGAGAAGACTGTGAGCCTTGACGACTCCTATCGAAACTTCCGCACAGCCCTGGTTCTGCTATGGGTTTTCAGTAACTTGCTACTCGTACTACTGATTACGAGCACGGGCATAGATAGACTGTGTCTGACGGTATGTAATTCTTTTTTTTTTTTCCCGATTTTGGCTTATACCAAGTGCTAACGTGAATGCTATAGAATACATCTACCGTCCGTACTACATGGTACTTCAAGGTCATCTTGTGGGCCACAGCAGGTCTGTCACTCTTCCGCTTCATAGGTTCTATGTGGTTCTTGGTTCGCTCTGGCATTCTCTGCTGCGTATCTCGGCGTTGATCTTCTGAACTATGTTCTAAAATTTCCTTGATGTATCATGCATGGCGTGTCTTTTATATGTAATTGTGTTTTGTTATTTTCCTATATGATATAGAATGTTATTTACATGAAGAGAAGCAGAAGTGTCTCCGTACAGTCAAGGAGCGGCAGATGGATTAGGGCTTGGTGCTACCTACATTCTGTACGAATTAGAGAAAATGACAGAATATGGTACAGTAACTAATCAAATTTTAAAATCTACCATGGCAAACTGCCAATATTTTTTCATTTCGAAAAACGATGCCGTAACTAACAATGGACAATGGCATTGGCACAGCAAATGCTATCACACAACCAGGTTTGTCGGGCTACCAAGGAGAAAGTTCATTACATTCATAGGTGACATGGACGCATAGTTCTTCGCCGTCTTGTCCGCACACCAAGCCACATGAGGACTCAGCGTCAAGTTCAGCCCACTCGTATCCTCTGCCAGTAGAGGCGAAGTCTCAGCAGATGCGGGTTCGACGGCAAACACATCGGTTGCTGCACCGTGGATACTCCGGTCCTTGAGCGCTTGCAAAAGCGCGGCTTCGTCGACTATGCCGCCGCGAGAGACGTTGATCAGGACGGTCTTGTATGACATCTTCTGAAACTCGGCTGTTGATATCAGGTTTATGGTCTCTGGGAGTCGGGGGACGGCAATCACTAATAATGTGCTTTTTGTGAGGACTTCATCAAAGGATATTCTCTGTGTGTCTGTACTGTGGCCTTCCCCTTTTCGACCTGATATCAGGACCTTCATCCCAAGAGCTCGTGATACTTGTGCCACCCTTTTGCCTACAGTTTCCTCTGCATTTTAGCAATTGACATTTTTCAATCAAAATCAAGATAGTTCAAGAAAATAAGAATGCTGACTGACCCACGGTACCATATCCCAGAATTCCCACAACCTCTTCGTCACACGTCAAACACAAGCCTCCGTCCCTAAACTCCAGCATATCACCCAACATTGACCCCGTTCTCTTCCAGGTACCATCTTTAGTAGCACGATCTATGCGCACGATATTTCGTCTTGCAGCAAAATACAAGGCCATGACGTGATTTGTCACAGACTCCACATTGGATCCCGGACAACTAGCGACCCGAATACCGCGTCTGCGACATGCTTCCAAGTCGACGGTATCCGTGCCGACGGCGGTGATGGCTATGAATTTGAGGTTGGGAGATACTGCTTTGGACAGGGTCTCGGCGTCAATGCGTAGATAGCTCAGCACGATTATAGTGGCATTGCGAATGCGGGCATGGAGCTGATCTAGCGCTGTGCTGGGATGATGTTCTTGGGTGAGTGTTACGCCTGGGGGCGCAGTGAATACATGCGGGGGGTTGAATAGGCCGGCTTGGAGGTGCACCAGATGGTGGTGTTGGTTTTCTGCTGCTGGTGGAGCCATATTCTTCTCCTCTTCTGATCAGTCTCCTTGTCGATAGAACATGTGTATGTGAGTATGTATGTGTCCACTGCGTACAAATAGATAGATGGTATTTATCTTTTGTCTGCTGGTTTTACTTGAAGAGAGTGGAGATTGATAAGCCAGCTACACCAATTAAGTAGGGCACACCCCACATGTTGATGCAAAATCGCGCCCTAGGACATGTTACTTTTTAACTGACAAAATATCCTATCTAGGTAATAGTTACACTTTTAGGGTTAGGTTAGGGCTTGTCGATCATCTTGCGCCCCCACGTGTTTCAAGGAGTGCAAACTGCATTTCATCTAATGTCAAAGGTGTTTCTGGAATTTAACTACGTAGTCATTTGTTCATTAATTAAGCTACGCATACCAGTGGCGCGTCGTTGTGATATATGCTTAGCCGTGACCCTATGAGTCCTTTTCAATTATATATAGTTAAACACCGATATAGATGTGCTTGTCGCGAAGAATAGATTAACAGATTCAGACAGTGGCTATTTGTCGTTCTATACTACATACAATTCATGCGAAAACAAAGTCTTCGTGGTTCCCGCGCTCTGATTGGTCAGCACGCTATACTTCAACAACGTCAACCTCAGTCATCAATCCCAGCCTCGACGCTTTCTAGCAAATGCTGAATCCAACGCATTCTAGAATCACTTCCCACCAGCCTACCTACGGCCACCCTGACGCACGTCCATAGTCTTTGTTGGAAAAAGCCAAAACGGTCCGACATGGCAGGCGTCTTTGTAGACGCGGCGGAATGCTCTCAAGCGTCTGTGGAATGTGGCAGGCAGCGTCCAGCCTGCAACGTTGTCCCTTCATTGGACGAAATTGAATTATGCTTCCTTGATGAGGGCTCATTTGAATGAGAGGCCGGCGAGTTTCCCTTCTGGGCTTCGTCCCAAACTTTCCAGCCATGGACAATCACGTCCCAATATCGTGCTGGGATGTTTCAAAGTTTGGAGGCAGTGCCTATATAACAGTAAGTGCTACTGCCTGTTTGCTGCATTGATATCCTAGGAAAAGTAGCCCTTTCTCGATCGACGTCTGACCGAGTCTTATCTTCTCATTGCCTGCCCTAACGGCATATATTCAATTCAAATTTGTATACGTACAAATACACATCCAAAAATGCGTCACCTCTCCCAGATCCTCTCCACCATATCCTTGACCCTATTCTACGTGCTCCCCACACTCGCCATCACAGGAGGCAAAGCATGGGTCAATTTCTACAAAGACTGCCCAGCCGAAATTATTGAGGTCGAAGAATTCACAGTTATCGTACCATCTTCCGTCAGTCAAGCAAAAGGAGTAGCTTCACCTACCTTGTCACCGTCCTCTTCTTCCATTCGTACACCATCGAGCAGCTCGGCTTCCGTTCTCCCGTCTTCTTCATCGTCATCATCGATCCCATCAGAAAGATCCCAATTCCGATCCTTATTGGCTGCCCGCAGTACAGAAAAAACAACCATTCGATCACCAGCGGTCAACATCACGCAAGGCCAATGCCAGCCCGTACACATCGCCACATCCACACACCTTAACTCACGCTCCGTCTCCGTCGAGGCAGAGCTGATCAACGTCTTGCCCTTTCAGCAATGCAATATCACCGTCCATGAGGTTGCAGGCTGCATTGATCCACCACTCGTCGTTGCTCCTGTGAAGAACCGCGATGCGAGAAGCGCCTGCAAGCCCAGAAATTTTGATGCTTTTGACGATGTGTGGGTAAAACTGGACTGCTCAGAAGTTGGCACAGGTTCTCCTCAGAACACGGTTTCGAGAACGAGGCCTGTTCGAAGGGTGTTTTAGTGGAGCTAGGTGTTTGGTTTTATCGTTTCTTTTCCGTTTGCAACCTGTCTTTCATTTTTCGGTGCATCATTGAACGAGTATGAGTCTACGATATCATTGGGTTTTGGGTTGGCGGAAATTATGTGTATACCTAGTATATAGATGAATATCCTCTTTTGGTTTACATAGTATACATGTATGTTATTAATTCGTGCATACGATTCTGTCTGGACAATTGTCCTGTTTTCCATCCAATTCGACATTGAAGAAGTCACATAAACTTTCGACAAGAGGTTGAAAAATTCCGCATTTCCTTTACATATATCCTCTTCATCAAAGCCGTTCTAATACACGCCACACAGCACAAACTTAAAAGTATTCCGCCAAAATCAGAAGCCGAAACTGTCTAGTAATGAATTTGTATCTGGTTCTTCAAACGTCGTTGGCTTGGGCCGAGGTTTTGGAGGCTTATTTGCTGTCCCTGGGCTGCTGCCATTTTCATCACGAGGAGCCGAGACTGCCATCTCTGGCGGGAGTTGTCGAACTGGCAAATCAGCAATAACAAGACTGCTTCGTCTCCGGAGTAGTTTTCGGATGTCCGTCTCAGCTGTGCTTGTGAATGCAGAAGTCGATCCGCGCCGAGGAGGCGTTCGTAGAAATTCCCAGTGAGCTACAAGGTCGAGTGCCAGTAGGTCACAGCCCATACGATCATAAAGACGTGCATTTCGTATGACAAAAGCCCATTCGTCGGCAGGAGCAATTTGAGTTGCACCTTTAAGGGTTTGCAGAGACTTTTCGCGTATTTGTCTATACAGGACCACCAAAGCAGGGTCATTTGAAAGATATGATCGCCCCTTTAACGAGATCAAACCCGGACTTCCTGGCGATGAAGGGGTAGGAGGAATGAGCGTGTCGACAGGGGACTGTAAACTGTCAGGAACTATAATAGCACGGAAGAATACAAGGCTTGCTCTACTCACAATCAACGCGCGAACCGCTGAGCTTCTGCGATTTAGCATCCAGAAAGCCCAGGATGCCATCCAGCGGTTGCCCTCGGACGCAGCGTCTCCGAGAACTTTCTCTTCCAGTATTTCCTTCAGAACCGATCCGCTATCACCCTCGTAAGCTCGCGTGATAGTAATTGCTAGCTGGATGTCCCCAATCTGATTGATGCAGACATTTGCAGCTTCGCGTAAATGATCCGCTAGAAGGAAGAAAGCAGCAGCATATTCTGTACGCAATTAGAGTGAAAATCCCTTCCCAGACAAACGAGCACACTCACCGAATCTCCGCTTTCCAAGTAGAGCGTATGCGTTCTTCAGTGCTGCCGTCTTCCACCTTTGTTCCTGGAAGTTGTTTGCTAGCAAACGTTGCGTCGCTGCCTGCTCCCGATTCCAGCTTGCCATGCGCCACAGACCCTGAAGGACGTTCTTCTTACGCAAAGCCAGATAAAACAAGGAGCAGTCGACAGGGTTCTTCTCCTCCGTCTTCGTATACTCATTACGAGCGACAATTTCAAGCTGTGTCCTCTGTATATTGTTGGTATCTGGGCGGGTAAAACACATCTAATGACACTTCAACTTACTAGAGCTGCTGTGTCCGATAACCACATAAAAATTCCGCTCTCTCTCGCTGCTTTCCACAGTATTTTCCCATTAAATTGCCGAGAGACAAGATCCGTCAAGATATCTTGACTTCCACTGTGAAAAGCCCACACTATTTCTCTCCACGAGACTGTATTTTTATTGGCGACCCCCTGGCTTCTCCGTAGCATGTGTTGACGGAAAAAGAGCAGGTATCGCGCAGCATTAGCATCCATGGATCTTCTATGTTTCTCAACGGTCGCCACACACTCAATTGTGTCAACAAGGCGGAATTGCTCTTGACTTGACAGCTGCGGTAGACTGATACGTGTTAGGTTCTCATTGAGAATTGCAGCTACCGTTTCATCTAGGACTCGCGGTTCGTCTTCAACATAGTCAAGAGAAGCCCGCATCTCTTTCCATGCAAAATCGTGCAATTCCTGCCTAGAGTCAGTATTGCCTTCTGTCACCATTTTTATGAAGCAGCCTTACATTATCATCCCGGTAGAATTCTTCAACTGGTATGCCAAGAAGGGTGTCGAGGTCATCACCTTCAGAATAGAATTTGAGCTTTTTATGGAGATTCATGAGAATCAGATGGACGAGATTCGTCTTCCCTGACAGAATGCATTGAGCAAGAAACTGAGGGTGATAAACAGGAAGGGGTCCGTTCAATCGGCTGACAATGTCGAAAAGATTTACATCCGAGCTTCCCCGAGCTGGTATACGAAGCTCAGAAACCAAATGGCTATCCGCCTCAACAGCCTTGTCGTACACGAATAGCTGGTTTCCAGCCCCAACGACTAGATTCCCATTGCCTGACCAACATGAGTCCCCAATGGGATGCGGCGTCAGATCTCGAATGCGGATTTCACGAACTGCAGTCCAGGATGGACCAGAGTCTAGATAATCGTATCTTAGCTGCGAAAGTAAAAGGACCTTATGAGAAAAGCCAACAGCTAATATTGATTGCTGATCTGGAGTAGAAGCCCAGTCAAGATCTCGGATCATATCATGATCGGGGAATCTCTCTTCAAACTCCAACTGAGCACCACTGGTATCCCAAATCGTGAGATGTGTACGATCTTGGTCGACTAGTGCTGCCTTTCGAATCGCACTTCCGCTTGCTAGAGATGGGTTTATGACGCCTGTTTCAACAGTTGATGTAATCAGCCAGTCCAGCTTTCGGTTTGCCTTGTCCACCTTAGCCGCCCACGTGTGAATAGTTCCCTTGTGTGTATATGAAAGCGCTATATCTGCAGCGAAGAGATCTAGAAAGCCAGAGTGTCGCACCATCTGGCCTGCCGGGTCCACAGCCAATACGTAAGCTACATCGACATCTAGACCCATGTCGAATGTACAAAATTCTCGCAATGAAATCAGGCACTCCTCGCTATTGACGGAAGATCGCATGTCGGGTAACTCAAGCAACCACGCAATGCCTTTCATCTCAGAGTTTATCATAGCAACACACACAGTTCTATCTGACGTCTCGGAGTGAGGCACAGTCAAGACACAGAGTGGCTTACTAGACGATGCAAATTCGCATGAACTCAGCATCACAGCGGGGGATTGTCGAATATCCCATAGGGATATACTGGTGTGGTGAAGATTTATTAAGAATGAGCCATCGTCAATCACACACGTTCGGTGTATATGGTCTTGTGACGAAAGCGAGCTTTGGGTGGCCAGAATAGAACCCGAGTTTCGCATTTTCTGCCTCCATATCATTGCGTTGTTATCGTCGGTTCGTGACACAAGTACACGCCCACTTGCATTTCGAACAATCTTTTTGATTGGTTCTGTATGACCAGACCAAATTCCTTGAGACAGTAACCTGTGTTTTCGCGGCGTTGGATCAAAGAGAACATCAATTTGAGAGTCAAGCCATTCTATCCTCCCATCAAAGTAGTGTACCAATATCGACAGCGAGTCTATGGCAGTAGAAGCCCCGAAAGCATAAAATCGTGCATAATCCTCATGCAGAAGAGCTCTCTGTGGAAACGAGAACTTCAGTCCCTCGACGTGCAAAATGTTGAATACATCGGTTGCAGATCTCGTCTTACTCCCGACGTTCTCCAAAGCCCAAGCGCACATGTGGCCCTGGTCATCGGCGATAACACAAATTTCCGGGCTTTTAGTCGCCACTTCTACAAGGTGCTCCAAGGCCAAATTATTCTTTGTGGAATTTCGTTGAACAGCCCGCTCAGTCGCCGCCGTGAAATCTCGGCTATCAATTATGAAACCATAGCGGCGGCCTGATATAATCTGCGAGTTGTCTCGTGGCTGGATCGATGCGCTCATATCTATCTCAGTCCATAGATGCATCGCCGAAAGAGCTTGGTGATCTGAAACCGTCCAGACTCTAATCTTGTTGTCTGCGCATATTGTATAAAGAACATTTTCCATTGACTGTTCACGATGGCGAGGTCTTCGCCAGTGTATCCCGGTCACTGCTGCTGGATGAGGGAGGTAGAACACCTCGAATCGGACGTCGTCGGCGCCAAACGAAAGTCTCCTCCAGAGTTTGACAAGGCGATCATATCTCCCCGTTGTCGCTACCAACTCAGCATCAGGCGAGAACTCGGCGAACTTCGTAGGCCCAGCTAGCCGCTTCTTCCACATGAGATGAGGTTCATGTTTCAGGAACCACACCGAAAGGCTCGAATTAGCGACAAGCAATTCCTCAGAGGAACCCCAGGATAACGTATTAATAATTTCATCGTCGTCTACGGAACGGAAAGTGACGGCTAACGACCACTATTGCAGAATAACATTAACGTTGGCCTTGGTGACACAGGCAAGTTGCAGTATGGCCCGATGGCTTCGTAACGATGTTGACTCACCTTTAGGGATTCACCCTTAAATCCATTCGGCCGGTATATGTAGACATCAGGCCCGCTGCTAACGGCAATTTGGCCAGAGGCTTCATCGATAGCAACTGTCTCGAGGTAGTCCGAATCGTCGACGTAGATGGTCTGCAGGAGCGTCTGGGCTCCGGTCAGGACAACGAGTGCATGGCCAGAGATGTATGCCTGTGGTCCAAAGGGTTAGTTAGACATTGCGTCAGCAATAGAAAGAAGAAAACCAATGCCAGGATTGCTTGCAGTGTGCGCCTTACAACAATCCGAAGATCATCCCAGAGCGCGGTGCTGAGAGCTTGCAGCTTCGACTGAGGCCGCCCTGGTAGAACCGCACGCATGGAAGAATGATCGTACTCGAAGCCCCCGTTTCTTGGGTCTTCACGGACACTAAACCATTGCCAGATATTATGGAAATAAGGATAAGAACTGTAGCAGCTCAGCAGCTCGCATAGACGCGGAGTTGGTCTTTCTCTGAGGTCGTTGCGCGGAGATGGTGAAGGTCGCTGGGAGTTTCTCCGCGCGGCGCGTGATCAGCCGTCGACGTCAATGTGCGGCAGGAACAAGCAGCGTGACTTGATACATATAATAAAAACAAAGATTTGTTCATAACTTAACGCAAGAAACTGTTTTGCTACGGACTATATTGTCTTTTTGTATTCTGTTAAATGCACCAGTATTGTGTGGAATATGTTAGATGACGGGTATCGTGGCATCCTCACATTCGTTTATTTCGTTTCGTTTCCATCGCTCGTCTCACATGCCAATAAAACAAATGTAGGTATCATAGGACATAAAATAGACCAAATAAGAAAGATGTCAGACAAGACGAGTCTCCCATAAACACACACCAAATGCCAACCTAGGGGTATCAAAAGCGTCACAACTGTGAATAGTGAAGCAACGAGGATAACTATATAAAACAAGTAGTTAAGAACGGTTCAAGAATGAGGTGCGGTTTATAAACCCTCATCACTCTCTCCTTGTGGACGATTTCCGTCCCTCAGTCGGGGACTGGGGATCTTCGATGGCAAAACGAACCATAGTTCCAACGGAGCTGCGTCGACTTCGTGCTCTGCTTTCGGAACCTGCTCTGTCGCCATCGAGAGCTGCACGAAGGCGGCTTGCAAAAGGCGTGAACAGCGGTGTTGCCGGAGTTGTCGACATTTGGGAAAGCAGACGTGCCCGTGCGGCTCGTCTCGATGGCGATGCCAAATACCCAGGTGTCGCGATAGGTGTTGTTGAGGCTAATCGATGCTCTGGTAGAGATCCTAGTTCGCTCAAGTTCAGTGTGTTTTCCGGATCCCCAACTACCATTGCAGCACCGGGAGTAGTGGGTTCGTGAGTTACGATTCCAACCCTGTCTGGCTCTAGTTCTTCGCGATCTTTGTGCTGTACTCTGGCCTTGTTGCTCCAATGCCGAAGCATATTTCTGTGATGCTTTCTCAGTATACGATCGTGCATCGATTCCGCCATATCAGCCGCGCTTCGGATCTGAAAAATACGGCGACTGATCTTGCGCAGCTGTGCAGACGCAAGGTCAGAAACGTGCACCAAATCTAGTCCATCGGCTTGTTCCTCTAGGCCACGGTATTTTTCAGACCCGTCAATCCAACGTGTTAACATATGGTAAGCAAGTTGTCTGTGATAGTACACCTCGGCATCCTGAGTGTTCTGTGCAACCTTTGCGGTTTGTTGACGCCAACGATCAACAAGTTCGGTTGAGAAGAGAAGTAAATTTGTGCGACTGAACTCATCAGCCTGATCAATTAAATTCGTCACACGTCGTGACTTATCGTACCAAACGCGTATGGCGCTCAACGCAATGTTCATCTTGACCTTCCTGCGGATTTTGACATAGGCTTCCTGTCGGCGTTTCTTGGACGCATCCAAAGTTGCATTGTGCCAGGCCTTGACAAACTTAGTTGCAGTGAAATAAAAGCGAGCATCCTGCGACCACTTTTCCAGATTTCGCACATGTTGATGTCTAGAAGTCCAAATGGTGAGTGCCTCCTGCTCAACTCTGGGCTCGTAGAATTCTATTGCAGCATATTCTCTTTGCCGTTGGACTGCGAGTTTGTTTCCCCAGCACAAGAGATGGGAGCGTAATATATCATAGTTGTAACGATGCACATATTGATCTTCTCGCTGCATCAATTCCTTCGATGTATCTCGAGCAGTGATTATGAATTTTGTGAAAGCTTCGCGCTGTATGCGTTGGTCTCGTATCCGCTGTGCGAGACGATATCTTTCTGCCAAAACCCATCTGTAGATAGCTTCTTTCATTAGGCGCTCTTCAATACGTGAATTTAGTGCATAGCAGCGCAAATGATCGTTCCATGTTGTCCAAGCATTACGCAAAAGTCTCAAACGATCAGCTTCTTTCGCTTCCTGCATAGCCTTTGTGCGTAGTCGCCAATGCATAAAGGAAGTTTTGACCACCTTTGAGTTTACTCTTTCAACTGTTTTCACAGCTGCGGAGTACAACCGAGTCTGAGCACTCCATACCTCGATTTGATCACCCACCAACTTTTTCTTGCGTTTCCTATCCGCATCAAGCTGTGCTGCGTTCACAGATCTCAGTCGGTAAGACCATGTTTGCATCGCTGCGTGAAGAAGCTCATGACGGTTCGTGTGATCTATATCAGCCTCGCGTTCCCGTTGGGTCCTCAAGGCGCGAATCCAAGAAAGAAACGAACTTTTCTTAAGTCGATAATCACTCCATTCCGGTGCTCGCTGTTCGTAATAAAAATTCCAGCGCAGAATCATAAAATACTTCCTTTTCGTATTGATATCGTACGTAGCAGCTGCATAGTCTTCCGACATTCTAATTTGCTGGATTCTTCTTTTCCAACCATCCAATGGTCTCCTAATAGTGAAACGCTGAGCCTTCATCACATTGACTGCTGTTATCTCACGCCAAGCATTGAAATATTTGATGCTCAAGATATGCTGACGAGCTTCAGACGCCTTTGACACTTCATCTGAAGTAAGCTGTGCCCAGTGAGTAAAGGCTTTTGTCATCAAGTATAAGTCTCTAGCTTTTGCAGCACGTCTCTCCAAGTGCCGGAAAAATCGCTTTGTGCGGCTATTTTGCCGTTTCTTCTGAAGCTCTGCTCGCCACAGGTCAAGAGCTTGGCGAAGTAGCGTTGCTCTATCTTGATTGGAAGCCGCGGATTCCATGTCTTGACGACGTTGTCGTACGTTAACAGCCTGTTCTAGCCAATGTATGATGGCTTTTCTCGCGGTTACTCTTCTGCGATATGTCGCAAAGTTCGACGCATCTCGTAACATGTCGGACAAACTAGGCTTAAAACCCAATTCATCGAATGCTCTCATATCCTCCGAACGAAAGTTTATATCAATATTAGGCGACGGCTCGTCACTCTCGCGCAGTCTTTCCGAGAAACTCCGATGATTCGATCGAGGAGATGAACTCATAATCACATTTTTCGTGGGTTGGAAAGGCGTGTCGTTTTCAACTGATTGTGGCATTCCTCTGGGATCTAAGCCGCCCATCAACCGACGTCCCATTTCCAGAAACTGGGCCAACAGTTGATTTTTGTCAGGTAGATTTGTTGGTTCTCCGCGGTGAGTCTGCGGTTCTCGAGGGTGATCATCGATTTCTTCCAAGAAAGCGGATTTTCCGGGGTCGAGTCGAGACATGGAAGACCTTGAGCTTGGACGATACCCGTGTTTTTGTGTCGCATCTTCGCCAACATCGTACATAGAATTAAACGAGGCCCTTCTTCTTCGGATTGATCTTTGGGTTGTATCTTCAGGAATTCGGCCAGTGAGTTGCTGCTCACCCGCGAATTCCAATGCTGATGGGTGAAGCGCAAGGTCTTGGTGTTGCTCGGGCTCGGTGTCGTCGAACGATAATATAATACCCATGCTTTGAAGGAGATTCTCGAATCTATCAAACAAGGATTGGCCCGCAAGTCCTCCGGTGCCCATCTTGAATAAGAAGCGCATGCAGACCTGCTCCGGATCCGCATCCGGCCCATGATCTGCGAGGACTTCATCGTAAGCTGCAAAAAGCGCTCTAAAGGGCAAGCGTTCAACATTGGAATTCTGCTCGGCGCGAGTAATTATTTGATAAAGAAGCCCGACGTCTATTGATTCGGTTGAAATTAGATTCAATACAAAATCCCCAAAAACAGATATTCAGCGACAAACCTTGATCGGATAACACTCGGTCCTCATCTAGGAGAGTCGGACGCTGAACAGGGATTGGAGACATTGGGAGAATCGCAAACTATGGCGCTTTTTTGAAAGACAGCATTGACGCGAGAGCGGACAGGGTCATCGCGGCGATTATGGCGTTTCAAAGGGGAGGGAAAAGAAAATAACGGCCCAAGGTGAACTCAAAAACCACGACCAGCGTGAAGTGAAACTCGTGATCTTTCAAAAAGCGCACGAAAAGTCTTTGACGACTTCATTGTCAAGGACGTGTTTTGGCAAACATTCCGGCCCGGCAAATGCGCGCTGGGCGGGCTGCAACTCCACTGCTGCAGCGGACCAATAGGACGCTATATATCACGTGCAACATTCCTCGTTTGGCCGCCGTTCTTCACGACGACAAGACTCAGTATCAATATCAATATCTCTATGATCAAGCCTTCATTTACCAACGAACTCGATTGAAGTCCAAAATGTCAAGCAGGGCCCGGCCTCTTGAGAAGTTTGCTCAGGCTGCATCTCAATGCTCCGTCGAGGTGTGCTTTATACGCAAAAAGTTCTCCGAATAACACTAACACCCTACTAATTTCTCCTGAACAGGCTGCGGCATACGGGAGATGCGTTGTTGCCGATTATAATGCGGTGCAGAAAGACACGTGTGCTAAAGAGTTCATGCGACTCAAGGATTGTTTCATAGTAAGATATATTGGATGCTCCTCCAGTCAGTGGCCGGGAATTACTACAGAGTACTGACTAAGGAATCAGGCGGCTTCGAAGAAAAAATGAGACCACAGGAAGTGCATAGAACAAGGGGGAAAATGCATTCTTGTTTCCATAACCCAGCTAGTAGCAAACCAGAGATCTAACCTGGCACGTCATAGAAATGAATTCTTAGATAATCCAATTGTACATAAACTAAAATCCTGCTTAACATTTTGACCGCTCAGAGACCCCTCACAATTTTAGGAATCTAAGCAAAAACGTTGCTTTTTGGATTTCTTGTTCTTCCTGCACAATGAGACCCTGTTCCTCCTCATCTGGGATGGTTCCCCCAACTTGGGTTACGACATGTTGGTCGACAGGTCTGCGCAATGCCTTTTCGAAATTGGCAGCTTGATTCTGGAACACCTTCTCCAATCCGATATTTTCGGGGTCAGAAAGAACTTTGTATTCCATCTTCACGTCATCTGTAGGAACCAGGCCAGCTTTCTTGCGTAATCGCTGGACACGGCTGATGATCTCTCTGCCGACTCCTTCATCTGCCAATTCTGGGTAGATATTGGCGTCCAAAATGGTTAGAACGTCAGTGTCGGAGTTGGTCTCCTGACTTTGTGTGGTCTCATCTTCCTTAATGCCACGGCGCACGACGAGATCCTCCTCAACAAGCTCAATACCATCGACGACAATACGTTTCTCAGTCACAAACTTCTTGACATCGTTACTCGTCAAAGAAGGCAACGCTTTCTTGACCTTTTGCGCATCCTTCTTCAACTTCTTACCCAGTGTAGGCCAGTCCGCTGTGACGCTATATTGCACGTTGTATTTTTCTTCGTCCGAGGACAGGATAAGATCACGCACGTTCAATTCCTCGACAATGTAGGATTCAAGAGACTTGACGTCGTTCAAGTATTGCTGATCTGTGTGGATGACAACAAGCGTCTTCAGGGGGGTCCTTAGCACCAGATTACGGCGTTCACGAGAAGTTCTTCCCAATTCGATGACTTTTTGCATTCTTGCTACACGTCTTTCCACCACCTCGTCAAAAAGTTCTTCACGGACCTGAGGATATGGCTGGAAGTGCACACTGCGATCATCTTCGCCGCGTAACGACTTGGGGATATGAGGGAGAAGTCGTAGATAGATGTTGTCGGTGATGAAAGGGGTAAATGGAGCCAGACCGCGAACCAGTGTATACAAAATTTCGAACAATGTGTTAAGTGCATGCTGTGTGTCTTCGATGCCATTTTCGCCCTTCAAGCGTCTCCGGTTGAATCTGATATACCAGTTTGTGGTGTTGTCAATGAGTTCAAGTAGCCTTGGAACCACGGTGTATAGGCGATAGGCAGCCATTTCTTGGTTGACAAACTTTAGAAGACTCTGACAGCTTGCCAAAATCCACCGATCCATAACGTTGGTGTTAGTGACTTCCGCCTTCGGGTCGAAAACATAATCGATGTTCTCAACCTTCTTCAAGAGAGCCACTTGTCCCTCGAAAAACTTGTAGCTGTTCCACAAAGGCAAGAGCACTTTTGAAAGAATTTCCTTGACGCCCGATTCCTTGAATCTCAAAGTTTCAGCTCGCACGACAGGGGAGTTGATCAGATACAGTCGAAGCGCATCAGAACCATAACGATCCATGACTACAGTTGGATCAGGGTAGTTCTTCAGACGCTTAGACATCTTTTTGCCATCTTCCGCCAAAACGATTCCGTTCACTATGACATTTTGGTAGGGCAACTTCCCATACAGATGGCAACCCAGGACGGACAAAGTATAGAACCAACCGCGTGTTTGATCTAACTGAGAATTAGCTCTATGAGAAGATCAGTATAAAGAAAGAAAACACGTACCTAGACCCTCAGCAATAAACTGAGCCGGGAAAGCATCATGAAATTCTGTTTCACGTTCGAAAGGGTAGTGAACTGATGCATAAGGCATAGAACCACTTTCGAACCAGCAATCAAAGACCTCACTGACACGACGAAGCTGGCCCTTTCCTTGCTTGCTAGGAATAGTGATATGATCGATGGAGTCTCGGTGCAGATCAGTCAGATCGCCTTCATACCCGCTAAGCTCCTTGAGCTCCGCGACGCTGCCTACCGCAACAACTTCCTTGAAATCATCGCTAACCCAAAGGGGGATTGGAGTTCCCCAATATCGATTCCTTGCAATATTCCAATCCCTGGCATTTTGTATCCAATTGGCGAACCGTTTTTCCTTGACGAAAGATGGCACCCAATGTGAGCCTTCAATGCCCTTGAGCATGGTTGGGATAATTGGTCCAACCTTCACAAACCATGCGGGCACAGCTCGATAGATAAGGGGCGTATCTGATCTCCAGCAGAATGGGTAACTGTGGGTAATCTGACCGTCGACAACCAAACGACCAATGGCTTTGATATGTTTAATGATGGCTCTGTCTGCAGCCTTAACATGCTGCCCATGGAAATCTCGCACTTCAGCTGTGAATTTTCCCGTTTCATCCACAGGGTTAGGAGGCAGTCTAGTGTCCGTAACAACTCCATTCTCCACACCGACCCTGTAATCGTCTTCACCAAATGCAGGTGCTTGGTGAACAATTCCCGTACCAGCATCGGAAGTTACATAGCCATCATTCCACACACGGAATCCAAAGTCTTTGAATTCATCGGCAAAATAGTCAAAAAGTGGCTCGTACCTCCAGCCTTTCATGTTAGATCCCTTGAAGCGGTCAATGACCTTAAACTTTGCTTTCTTAGGGTCTTTATAGAGCGTCCGAAGAAGAGTTTCCATGAGGATATAGTGCTTTCCCGATGCCTCATCGTGGATCTTCACATAATCGAACTCTGGGTTCACGCAGAGACCAGTGTTGGACGGAAGTGTCCAGGGTGTTGTTGTCCATGCCAATAGCGATACATTGGGGTCGTCAACTAGGGGGAAAGCTACCACAACAGCTGGGTCGGTCACGTCGCGATAGTTCTGAGAAGCCTCGAAGTTGCTCAGAGGGGTGTTGAGAGCAGTAGAGTAAGGCATCACTCGATATCCTCGATATACCAAATCCTTATCCGCTAATTGTTTAAAGACCCACCAGACTGATTCCATAAAGCTAGTATCGAGTGTCCGGTACGGGTTATCGAAATCGATCCAACGGCCTAGCCTTTCGATAGTTTGCCGCCACTCCTCGGCGAACCTCATCACAATCGCGCGGCATTCTGCGTTGTACTGAGCTATACCCAGCTTCTCAACGGCTTCAGAGCCGGACATTCCTAGCTTCTTGTCTATTTCATGTTCGATTGGCACACCGTGTGTATCTGTTCCTTCCCGTCAGTCAAAGAACCAAGTTATAAGAGACAGATGATTTTACCCCAGCCGAATCGTCGCTCGCAATAGTGGCCCGTCATTGAAAAGTAACGAGGGATAATATCCTAAAAGATGAAGAAATCGAGGTCAACGATCCATGTTATCCACGCTGCGTTTGGTGCAAAGGGCCAGTGCGGGCCTAGTTTAAGGGCGTGCGTACCTTGATGGTACTGGCGAGCAAGTGACCATAGTGAGGAAGGCCAGTCGCAAATGGAGGACCATCATAGAAAGCTGCGAGAGGTGCGATGTTAGCCAGAAGTTCGTCGTTGACGAGCTACGCATGATGCTAGCAGACTTACTGTAGGGCTTCCGGCCGCGGGATAGTTCAACCTGCCGGCGAAAGGCATCAATCTCCCTCCACCGTTTGAGGACGGCCTCCTCTTCGACGGGAAAATCAATAGACATGGCTGAAAGAGTAATCCACAAGCTACCACAGTCAATTCCAGAGGAGAACTGTGTTTGGGGATACAGACTCTGAAATATGGAGGGAGGATGAGGGCGGGGATGACTCACCCCGCCGCCTTTTTTTTTGTGCTGGGAAAGCCCGCACCTGGTCCGAGCGTCTATTAGGCCTCCCGCCTGAGGCAGAAATGCAGCTGCAGGAATTTGATATTATTTTGGTTATATATGATGCTCTATGTACTCAATGGGTATCATCATATCATCACGGATTTCTTGACATCGCTAGAACGGGATTTAATCGGCACCTTCATCGTCATCCCCCTCATCGTCCTCGTCCTCCTCCTCGTCTGACACTTCTTCTCCGAGTTCCTTGAGGCGTTGCTGCAATCGCATTAGTTTTGTTACATTTTACATGTTTCATGAAGGAAATATTTAGAGCCTCTGTGACTTCGTACCTTTTCCTGTTTTCTCTTGGCTTCCAAGTCGCCAAACACAATGAGGAGGTCCTCCAATTCGCTTTGTGCTTCTTTCCGGGCCGTTTCTGCCTCTGCTGCTTCGCTTTCGGCTTTTTGTGTTGCTTTCTTAGCTTCTGAAAGCTCCTTTTCGAGTTTTTTAACACTCTCTTCAGCAGTTGTGGTTCGTCCATCAGCCTGCACCAGTTGATTCTCCAATGCACCATATTTAGCCGAGTGCTCCTCACGTATAGTCTGCAGTTCCTGAATATGTTCCTTGTTGACTTTTTCCAGGTTCTCTTCCAGTCTTGCAATAGACTTCTTGAGTTCAGATACCTCATCCTCGTGACGCTGTCGTAATTTAGCGCTTTTCCCTTCATAGTCGGCGGTAGTTTCTTTGAGTTGACTATCAATTGCTCGAAGTTGTTCGCCGTGCGATTTAAGCAATTCATTCCGTCCTTGTTTGTGTTGCTCTTCCAGTTTGTTCATTTCCGACATGTGTTCCTTTTGCAAGGTTGTGATTGTATTTTGGTGATGCTCTTCCGATTTTGATAATTCCTGCTGATGGTGTTCCTCCAACTTCGACAATTCCAACCTATTGTTTCTTTGAAGGCTCTCGTTCATTCCTTTGTGATAATCCTCCAGTCGTGACATTTCGATCTCGTGATTCTTCTGCAGGCTATCATTGATATTTCTAATGCGAGACATTTCATGGCTAGTAGATTCCTTAGTTCGTCGATGATCCAGTTGCTCCTGTTCCAGCTTCTGCTGCAGGTTTAGTAGATCCAATTCCAATTTCTGAATCGTTTGGCTATGTTGTTCAACTTGTGTCCGAAGCGAGTCCACTAGCTCTCTAGATATTCCTTTCTGAACACCATTTGTCATGACTGGAATCTCCAGTCCTGGTTCGCGGTCAATTGCGCGTAAGAAGTGCCCGAAATGATCCTTCAGGAACTCTATGAAAATCCCATCGAAGAATATTTCAGGCAGTGTCCCGTCATGGTCGCCTCGACCAGTTCGTGGTAGGACCTCGAAATCTCGAACTAGAGGATCCTCTCGAAGCTTGGTAATCTTATCAATGTACTGTTCTCTTCCCAGCTTGGTAGTGAGTAAGCCATGAAGTGTCTCTCTTGGTATAGGAGAATCCTTTGTCGAAAATTCGTAGATGATGCCCAGGAGAATGGAGCATAGACCTGGAACGAGAATATTGCCTACACGACTGTGTTTTATCTCCTGGATCAACGATTGCATAATGCTGCCTTCCCCTAAAAAGTCATTAACTGCATCCGGATCTTCAAATAACCAACCACATAAAAGCATCAAAGAAGCAACGGAAATTCGGTCATCGTCGCCCCGCTGTAGGCCAGTGGTTAAGTTGCTAGCTATCATTTGAATGCATGTAACGACTTCTTCGCCCTTCTCCGCGTTCCCTTCCGTGACCTTTAGAGCAAGTGCTTTGGCCTCTGGGTCTTCAAATAGCAGATGGAACATCAAAACAGAAGCAATCCAGTTACGGTACGGATCAACTCGTGCGCGAGACTCAGGGGCTTCTAACAGAGTGGACAGCATGTTCGGTATTTGGTCATTGCCACTCAAGTGTCCATCAATAGCTCTTCTCAAAAAGTGTAATCGAATTCCATGGTGCTTGGCAAAGAAGGCCTCAATGCATTCGCAGGCTGCAAGTCGTGCTTCCAAAGCGAATATAGGAGCCGGTTCAAGCGTCAACTTGAGCAAAGCCTCGATGACATTCATCCGCACGGATTTACTGGTCTTCATGTTACCATTTGAAACCCCGGTAACGCCAGACTCGGTATTCCAGGACACTTCTACATCTGCGAATTTCTCTTGCAATGATGAATTTCCACGAATCATTCCCGCACAGGTTTCCAGGGCCTGCGACCAATTAGTTCATAATTCCGCATAGACAAAAGGGGGTGCTTACCTTGGCGATAACAGGAACCTCGAAGTCTTTACTGAATGCAACAAGTAGCACTCTTTCCATAATGCCGGCTTGCCAGAAGGCTGTTTGATTGGTTTTCAAAATCCCACCTTTGACTAGGAACAACTGAATGATAGCTAATAATCCCCATAGGTTTTTATCTCGCCTAGCTAGCAACCATGGTGGCAATTCTTCGTCGGTCTTCGGGGGATTTGTCACATCCGTAAGCAGGCCTGCGAGTTTCTTAACACACCCTGTCTCTCTGAAATAGGTTTGGTTTGAAACATTTAGTCGAAGTAGATTCGCCAGAAGCGAAAGGCAGTCCACCACAACTTCAGATCCTTGAGATAATGAACCTTCTGCCTCAATTAATTCAAACACACGATCAAACGCATTTTCAAATGCAACAAGTTTTTGTAACTCGGCTGACGACGGAGTCAGAGCGATAAGGAGAACGAGTGCCTCTGGAGGTAGAACCAATATCAGATTCATAGTTTGTAATATGCAAGAATCCTATTACACTTACCATTTCGCACGGGCTCTCGAGCATCAGATAGCACATTTACTAGCCTTGAAATACCCAGTGGGGCGGTGAATATACATTCTTGCGTTCGATCAGGTCTCGCAGCACATATGGCAGAGATCAATTGCAACGAATAAAGCCGAGGGTAGACATCCTTGGTTTCTAGCAGATCCAACAATGCCGTGATATTATCTTGACGCTTCCACATCGTTAAATACATGTCAAAATTGGGTAGGAGGTTCTTTTACCTGAGTGAATTCATCTGCAAGCCACAACACGATCTCGTCTGAAGCTTCGGGCTTTTGAGAGGGTCAGCTTTCCAGTTCCTTTCATAATTTTCGTTTTCCTTAAGACTGACGCTGTTCTCGTCGGGAGAAAATAACATCAACAATGTTTCCAGCACCACTTTCAGAGTGTCAACATCTTCTGCATCCTTCCGAACACTGGCAATTAGATCTCGGAGTGACTCAGATGCGACGCTTGCGGGATATGTTTTTGCGAAGCTGCGTAAGCCAAGTATCGCTGCTCGTCGGTCCTCCAGCAAGGTTGCACTTTGGAGCCTATTCGATAGAATAGCGATTGCATCGGTGGCCGTCTGCTTCGCCGGCGCTTGAGACTCGAGTATGCGGAACATTTCGATCAATTGTCATGGTCACCAAAACCATACTTTGTGGTTATTTCATTTGGCCGTTGAGTGAGTCTGATCGGCGCCGTCGATGTTTGTTATTATTTCGTTTTAAGAGGCCAGGTAGTTCGGTGCATCAGGCCGCGGAGGCAAGCAGTTGGCCGAGCTTTACCTACTTCAGCCTAGTGCAGGTTAAGCTCAGAACTAAAGCGGAAGATCCTTTCACCGAACTGCGGCGCATAATTCGCGACTCGGCAAGTCGGCGACATCTCCGCCGTGCATCAGATTCAGCGTCCATCTTGGAGCTGGATACATTTATTTCCTGTGCCGTCTTGTGAAATTTTTCCTTCCATTTTGCTCTTCATATGATCTTCTGAGACGACTAGAGAGTGTTGTCAATCTAATCTCCTGAGCCCTCCCGGTTGACAGTCTTTCACTTATTGACTACGATCGATAAATGGATTGCAAAAACTATTAGAGAATCGAAGCTTTAGAAATAATCAAGGCTCCTTTCAACAACAGACATCATGGGTGTCCCAGCGCTTTTTCGTTGGCTTTCCAATAAGTACCCAAAAATCATCTCCCCCGTTATCGAGGAACAACCATATGAGTTCAATGGCGAAACAATCCCGGTTGATACGACGAAGCCAAACCCCAATGGCGAAGAAAACGATAACCTGTATCTGGACATGAATGGCATTGTCCATCCATGTACCCATCCTGAAGGCAAACCTGCGCCGGCAAACGAACAAGAGATGATGCTAGAAATTTTCCGCTACACTGACCGCGTGGTTAACATGGTTCGGCCAAGAAAGCTTTTGATGATAGCTGTTGGTATGATAAGTCATTCTCCTATTGACCGGCTACATGCTAATGACGCTCTCTCACAGACGGTGTTGCCCCTCGTGCCAAGATGAATCAACAGCGCTCTCGTCGATTCCGTTCCGCCCAAGAAGCCAGAGAAAACGACCAAAAGAAGGAGGAGTTCCAAAAGCTTCTCGCACGACAGAATGCTGCTAAGGGGATAAACTCGGATAGTGATATTAAAGAACAGGTGATTCAAAAAACTTGGGATAGGTATGTCGACGTGTGGTGCATTCAATCATGAACAGTGCTGAGATTATTGTCTAGTAACGTTATCACACCCGGCACACCATTTATGGATATTCTGGCTGCGTCGCTGCGCTACTGGATTGCTTATAAGCTGAACACCGACCCTGCATGGGAAAAGGTTTGTCAATGAGTTGGCCTCACTTATGATATCTCAGGCTAACTTTCATCAAGTTGAAAATTATTATAAGTGATGCAACTGTTCCGGGAGAGGGTGAACACAAGGTCATGAATTTTATTCGCTCGCAACGACAAGACCCCAGCCATAACCCCAACACACACCATGTTTTATACGGTCTGGTCAGTAACAATAGCTCTGCTTTCTTCTCGGGATAATTGCATGCTAACTTGCTTCGTAGGATGCGGACTTGATTATGTTAGGTCTTGCAACTCATGAACCACACTTTCGAGTACTTCGTGAAGATGTCTTTTTTCAAGAGTCAAAGCCCAGAACTTGCCAGCTTTGCGGCCAACCAGGCCACAAAGCCGAGGAGTGCAGAGGCCAGGCAAAAGAGAAAAACGGTGATTTTGATGAAAAACAGAAGGCTGTAGCTCAGAAACCATTTATCTGGCTGAATGTCTCTGTACTGAGGGAATACCTTGCAGTCGAGCTTCAGGTAACACAGCAGCGTTTCCCTTTCGATCTTGAACGAGCCCTCGATGACTGGGTATTCATGTGTTTCTTCGTTGGTAATGATTTCTTGCCGCATCTCCCGTCTTTGGACATCAAAGAAAATGCAATTGATCTTTTGATCTCTATCTGGCGGGAGTGCATTCCACTTATGGACGATTATGTGACGAAGGATGGTATTGTTAACTTCAAAAATGCGCAACTCATTCTAGCTGGGTTGGCAAAGCAAGAAGGTGCAATCTTCAAGAGAAGAAAACAGGCAGAGGACAGAAAGGCTGCTAATGAGCGGCGCAGAAAAGAAGAAGAGAAGACGCGCAATGAGGAACGATCGCAAAAGCGGCGAAGAAGCTCTCCAGGTTATGCAGCAGGCGATCCTATTGCTTCCACTACGCCAAACAAAGCACGAAAACAAAAGGATGGTTTTATCGCATCAACAGAGGTGGCCTTGATTACTCCAAGCCGAGGACACTTGGATAAGGAGACGAGACAATTAACACACAGCATGGTCGTTAACCGCACGGCTGTGTACAAAGCTAATGCGGCAAACAAAAGCGCTGCTGCCGCACTAAAAAGTCAGCTAATGAAAGGTACATTGGGAGCTCGTGATGAAAATAGATCTTCCAATGGCAGTGGTTCAGGTGAAGAGGGCGCAGCTCTAGATGATTCGCAAGAACCATCGCCATCTGTCTTGGGTAAGAGAAAGGTTGAAGAACTGGATGATGCGGAGTCTGGCACTCCGGGCAGAGATTCGCCAGTAGCAGCTGCTCCAGCAAAGCCAACCGATGAACTCCCTCCTGATACGGTACGTTTATGGGAGGACGGATATACCGAGCGGTATTACGAACAGAAATTCCATGTCGAACCTAGTGATATGGAATTTCGACATAAGGTTGCAAGATCTTACGCCGAAGGTCTGCAGTGGGTCCTTCTCTACTACATGCAAGGCTGTCCGTCGTGGACTTGGTACTATCCGTACCACTATGCTCCCTTTGCGGCAGACTTTGTTGACATTGAGAACCTGGAGTTGAAGTTTGAGAAAGGCAAGCCATTCCGGCCGTTTGAGCAGTTGATGGGAGTCCTGCCAGCGTCGTCCAATCATGCCATTCCAGAGATTTTCCATGACCTGATGTCAGACCCCAACAGCGAAATCATTGACTTCTACCCCGAAGACTTTCCCGTGGATCTCAATGGCAAGAAATTTGCCTGGCAAGGCGTTGTCTTACTGCCATTTATAGATGAGAATCGGCTGCTTGCTGCGATGGAAAAGAAGTATCCACATCTCAGTCCAGATGAGCAAGCCCGGAACACGGTTGGAAGAGACGTTCTATTGATTTCCGATCAACATCCTCTATATCAAGAGCTTGTGGGGAACTTTTATTCCAAAAAACAGGGTGCCCCGAAGTTCACTCTAAACATGCGCACTAGTGAAGGACTCGCTGGAAAAATCGAAAAAGATGATAACTATATACCTCACAGCTCTTTATCTCCTCCTTGTGATGTGGATATGCCGACACTTGACGAGGATAAATCTATGATGTACGTAAATTCTATTGGCTCTTCCCCTCTCTCTTTGATGTTTTGTTTTCCGGTTTCATCTACTTTAACCTTATTAACTTTTCTGGCAGGGTCAACTATGAAATACCGAAATCAGTCCACCTTCACAAGTCCATGCTTCTTCGGGGAGTCCGCTTTTCTCCCCCAGCATTGGACCAGGGAGATATTAATACTGTTAAGTCAAGATGGCGATACGGAATGCGACCTTTCTCAGGTGGCTCAAGGCCTGGTAGAGGAGGCGGTCAATACAATCAGCAGCAGGGTGCTGGAGCTGGCAGACCGAACATGAACGACCGACAGAATCCGTTTGCAGCTCATCTTGATCCTTCATTCGTCCCACCACCTCAGGTTGGCGGCGCTAGAGGATGGGCACCCCCGCCTGTAGGTGGTGCTGGTTACTCTTACGGCCCTCCACCTCCTCCACGCGGTGGCAATTACGAATACCCGCCTCCTTCACAGGGCTACAATAGTGCTGGTTACTATGGTCAAGGGAACGGCTACTTTCAAGGCCAGAATCAGTACGGCTATCCTGCCCAACCCACGCAGTATGGCCAGCAGAACTTCCACAATGGTCCAGAAGGTGGCGGTGGTGGTCCTCGCCATGGTGATTCTCGGGGATATAACAATGATCGAGGCGGCAACCAATCCTACAACCGTGGTGGCTACTCTTCAAGGCGCGATTACGGTTATGATCGTTACTAATGATGTGTCTACATGCAATTAACATGTACAGTCTCTAGGACTTGACGACGGCATTCCAGGGATTGTTTTTCACTTCACTCAATGAACTAGAGCATCTGTATGATACCCAATTAACCGAAGATGGAGGATGTATTGTATGTAATTCTGGAAAAGCTATTCGTTTCCAAAAAGTTCTTTCTATTGTTTCTTTTTTTTTTAGAAATTCTCCAGGCGTTTTCAGACCGTACAAAGGATCCATCCAGTGTTGAATCAGAATGCAAAGTTTTTTTTTTTTTCCCCTTTTTTTGACGCAGCTAGTTCATATTGTTCAATGCCTCAGGCAGCGCATGAGCCAAAAAAGTTGGGGTCCCGGTGAAAGCGGGCCAGCAAAGGGCCGGTCTCGGTGACACAAAATAATCCTCGCAGAAGGTCCTTTGAAAGTGACTCATAAGATTTTTTGACAACCCCGCGCTTAACCAATCGCTCTTTCGTCAAGCATTGCATCTTGTTGCAAAGACGAATACCGTGTGCGATTGCCCTTTCTTAATTAATTAAGGTAAGGCAGTCACCGCTTTGTTCGCAAGCAAACCCTCTTCAGATCGATTGACTCTAAAGCAGAGCATCCCCGCCATGAATTGACGCTCTCCGGCTCATCGTTCATCTTCACCAATTTTTTGAAAGACTACGAAGACGCCGGTCGACTCAATGGCAGAACCAACAAAGGTGTCTATATTGGGCAAGGAGAGTATTGTTGCCGAGTATGGCATCTGGGGAACATACATCGTCCAAGACTTGCTCTCGAATATACCCTCGAGTACTTATGTCCTCGTCACGGATACCAACCTCGGGCCGATATATCGTGCATCCTTCTCCGAAACCTTCAGAGATGCCGCTGCTTCATTGTCGCCGGCCCCGCGTCTCCTAACCAAAGAAATTGCGCCAGGCGAAAGCTCCAAGTCTCGTCAAACCAAGGCGGATATCGAGGATTGGATGCTCCAGAACCTATGTAGTCGTGATACAGTTATCATTGCGCTGGGTGGCGGTGTGATAGGGGACCTTCTCGGTTTCGTGGCTTCCACGTACATGCGCGGTATCAGATTCGTCCAGGTTCCTACGACAATGTTGGCGATGGTGGACTCATCTATCGGAGGAAAAACTGCCATTGACACTCCTTTGGGAAAGAATTTGATTGGGGCAATCTGGCAGCCCACTCGAATCTACATCGACATCAACTTCATTGATACTCTCCCGGAAAGAGAGTTCATCAACGGGATGGCCGAAGTCATCAAAACCGCAGCAATTTCCGACGAAAGGGAATTTGCAGCTTTGGAGCACAATGCTGACGCGATTTTGAAAGCTGCTCGTGGAAAGCCCGGAGTTGGACGATTCGATAAAGTCAGAGGCGTTCTGAAAGACCGCATTGTGGCTTCCGTGCGTCACAAGGCATACGTTGTCACAGCAGACGAGCGCGAAGGTGGATTGCGCAATCTCCTCAACTTGGGACATTCGATTGGTCATGCGATTGAGGCCATTCTGGCACCTCAGGTCCTCCATGGTGAATGCGTTGCTATCGGCATGGTCAAGGAATTGGAGCTTGCGAGATACCTTGGTATCCTCAAACCTGTCGCCGTATCTCGAATGGTTAAGTGTCTCACCAAGTATGGTCTACCAACATCCTTGAAAGATTCGCGTGTAAGGAAACTCACAGCGGGTAAACGCTGCTCTTTGGATCAGCTCATGGCCAATATGGCTTTGGATAAAAAGAATGATGGCCCCAAGAAGAAGGTTGTCCTGCTGTCGGCGATTGGGCAAACTCACGAACCCAAAGCTAGTGTTGTCGCAAATGAGGACATCAAGGCAGTCTTAGCACCCAGCGTTGAAGTAATTCCCGGTGTTCCCAAGTCGCTCAACGTCGTCTGTGCCCCTCCCGGTTCGAAGAGTATCTCAAACAGAGCGCTTGTTCTTGCAGCCCTTGGATCTGGAACAGTGCGAGTCAAGAACTTACTCCATTCTGATGACACAGAGGTTATGCTCAACGCTTTGGAGCGCCTCGGTGCGGCAACTTTTGCGTGGGAAAGTGAAGGAGAGGTGCTGGTTGTCAATGGTAACGGGGGCAAATTGAAGGCGACTCCTGACCAGTTATACTTGGGTAACGCCGGTACCGCCTCAAGATTTCTCACATCTGTTGCAACTCTCTCTGGCAAGGGATCTGTGGATTACAATATCCTCACTGGAAACAATCGCATGAAACAGAGACCCATCGGCGACTTGGTCGATGCTCTCACTGTCAATGGTGCTTCAATTGAGTATTTGGAGAAAGCTGGTAGTTTGCCATTGAAAATCGCTGCTTCGGGTGGATTCAAAGGCGGTCGTATCAATCTTGCTGCAAAGGTTTCTTCTCAATATGTGTCATCACTGTTGATGTGCGCTCCGTATGCCAAAGAGCCCGTCACCTTGAAATTGGTGGGAGGCAAGCCTATCTCACAGCCATATATTGATATGACGACAGCCATGATGCGATCCTTCGGCATTGATGTGAAGAAATCGACAACCGAGGAGTATACTTATCACATTCCGCAAGGGTCCTACAGCAATCCTGCTGAGTACGTTATAGAAAGTGATGCTAGTTCTGCAACCTACCCTTTGGCAATTGCTGCAGTTACCGGCACGACGTGTACAGTGCCAAACATTGGCTCTTCGAGTTTGCAAGGTGATGCTCGCTTTGCGGTGGAAGTACTGCGACCGATGGGCTGCAAGGTCGAGCAAACTGCCACTTCGACTACAGTTACGGGTCCAGCAGATGGTGTACTACGTCCTCTACCAAGCATCAACATGGAACCGATGACAGATGCATTCTTAGGTGCTTCAGTATTGGCCGCAATCGCGCAAGGTGAGGGATCCAACCATACAACCAATATCTATGGTATTGCGAATCAGAGAGTCAAAGAGTGCAATCGAATCGAAGCTATGAGGGTGGAACTGGCAAAATTTGGGGTCGTATGCCGCGAACACCCTGATGGTCTCGAAATCGATGGTATTGATCGATCTACTCTTCGACACCCTGCTGGGGGCGTCTTCTGCTACGATGATCACCGTGTCGCATTCAGCTTCAGTATACTCTCGCTGGTGGCCCCCACGCCCACACTCATTCTTGAGAAGGAATGCGTTGGCAAAACATGGCCAACATACTGGGATGCACTCAAGCAGAAGTTTGGAGTGTCTCTCGAAGGCAAGGAGCTTTCTGAGAATGAAGTTGCTTTACATGCGCAAGCTGACCGGTCCTCGGCATCCATCGTCATCATTGGTATGCGTGGTGCTGGGAAGACCACAACTGGCCGCTGGGCAGCGAAAATACTTGACCGCCCTTTCATCGATCTTGATATCGAACTCGAGCAGGTAGAGGGCATGACAATTCCAGAAATCATCAAGGAGCGTGGCTGGCAAGGATTCCGCGACGCTGAGCTGTCAGTCTTTAGACGCGCTCTTTCCGAGCGACCTACAGGTTATGTCTTTGCCTGCGGTGGCGGAATTGTTGAGATACCTGAAGCAAGAAAAATTCTTATCGACTACCATAAGACGAAAGGAAATGTTCTTTTGGTTATGCGAGATATCAACCGAGTCATGGAGTTCCTCAGCGTTGACAAAATGAGACCAGCTTATATCGAAGACATGATGAGTGTTTGGCTACGACGGAAACCTTGGTTTTTGGAATGCAGCAATATCCAGTACTACAGTAGGCATAGCACTACACCAGAGCTTGCCTTTGCCATTGAAGGCTTCGATCGATTCATTCAGTTTGCATCTGGTAAGGTTAACCACTTAGCAGAGATCAGGAAGAAAGCTATAAGTACTTTTGTGTCCCTTACATTACCGGATTTACGCAACACTGGTGATCTACTACGCACAGTCTCCTCGGGCTCAGACGCGGTGGAGTTGCGTGTCGACCTATTAGAGGACCCGTCATCGGATAGTGTCATTCCTTCGGTCCAGTACGTGCAAGAGCAGCTCTCTTTCTATCGCAGTCGAGTTTCTCTTCCTATTGTATTCACGATACGCACTGCCAGTCAGGGAGGAAACTTCCCTGATGATGCTCACGACGCTGCACTCGAGTTGATCATGCTCGCTATTCGCAGTGGGTGTGAATTTGTGGACCTTGAGATTACTTTCCCGGAAGAGCTACTACAAAAAATCACTGAAATGAAAGCCCACTCTAAGATCATTGCATCTCACCATGATCCACAGGGCAAGCTGAACTGGTCTGATGGATCCTGGGTCCAGTATTACAACAAGGCCCTACAGTACGGAGATATCATCAAGCTAGTTGGAGTGGCAAAGTCGCTCAAGGATAACACTGCGCTGAGAGAGTTCAAGGACTGGGCTGAGCATGCGCACGATGTTCCTGTCATCGCTATCAACATGGGTGACAAGGGACAGCTGAGTCGCATGCTGAACGGCTTTATGACACCTGTCTCTCACCCTAGTCTTCCTTTCAAGGCGGCTCCAGGGCAGCTATCGGCTGCTGAAATTCGCAAAGGTTTGTCGATCATGGGAGAAATCACGGCCAAGAAATTTGCGATATTCGGCAAACCAATCTCTGCTTCTCGCTCTCCAGCTTTACATAATACACTCTTCGAACAAGCTGGGTTGCCGCATGTGTACACACGTCTTGAGACCGACCATGCTCAGGATGTCAAGGAATTCATTCGGTCACCGGACTTTGGAGGCGCGTCCGTGACGATTCCCCTCAAGCTAGATATCATCCCGCTTATTGACGAAGTGCTGAACGAAGCTGAGATCATCGGGGCAGTCAACACGATCGTCCCTGTCGAGGGAAGCGACGGTAGCGTTCGCCTGGTTGGACGCAACACCGACTGGCAAGGAATTGCCCGCTGTCTACGTGACGCCGGCGCATTTAGTGAAGAGGCCGGGTCTAGTGCTCTTGTCGTCGGTGGAGGCGGCACTGCTCGAGCGGCAATCTACGCCTTGCACCAGATGGGCTTCGCCCCGATCTACGTGCTAGGAAGGTCTCCCGAGAAAATCCAGAACATGACGTCCACCTTCCCAACTGCATACGATATCCGCGTCTTGGAAGATGCCGGGGAGTTAGAAAAAGTTCCTCGCGTGGCAGTGGGCACCATCCCCGGTGACAGACCGATTGAAACTAATATGGCCGAATCCCTCAGCGCTATCTTCAAGCGCAGTCAGGCCACTTCCGCTCAAGGCAACATCCTGTTGGAGATGGCATACAAACCATCGGTGACTCCGCTGATGCAGCTGGCATCTGAGTCGGGATGGACAACTATTCCAGGTCTGGAAGCCCTTGTTGGTCAGGGAGTGTACCAGTTCGAGCACTGGACCGGGATTACACCGGTGTACGAAGTTGCGAGGGTGAGTTCTTATTTTCTGCCATTGTGGTGACTTACGCTAACTAATATTTCAGAATGCTGTATTGGGCACGTATGAGGCCAAGTGAAAATTTTGACATTCTTTGTTTGCGTGTTATTACCCTATCACTTCTTTTTCTTTCTGGCTTTTTTTTTAGTGGACAGTTGAGTCTTTGTAGTACAAAGCAATGCAATTCACTGGCTAGTCTTGCCTGGCTACCAAGTACCATGCCGTAATTTGGTGCAACCTTTGTAAGGGCAACGACCTATTCTATTGGAGCAATTACTATTTGAGGCCTGAAGCATTTCATTGTCATTGGCGTAGGGCGTAGGGCTATAGCCTAGGTAATTTCCTCGCCGGCAGACACACATAGGGCTTGTTACGTCCGGCATTCTTGCTACCCATGAGTACATCTTTATCCTCCGTTGAGACGCGTATAAGCCAAACATCTAGAACATGAGATAGCTTGATTTTATCTAGTCGCGCGGCATCGAGAACGCAGCCATCAAACTATGGAGCGCACTTAGACACCACTGCCTGTAAGTTTCGTCAATGTCTCTTAAGCTTTAATAGCCCAAGGACACTAATTGGAATAGACCTCTGCATCGTGCAACACTCGATGCTCTCAAAATTGGCCAGCTACACGTGGAATCGGAGATCCTTCTTTCTTCTCTGAACTGACAGCTTATACTCCTTGACAACTACTTCATCACCGCTCGTGCTACGAAGCAAAATAATCTCCAGCGCAGGAAACAAAGCAAAGGTCGCCGGATCAATTTGTGACCAAATCGACAAGGAACAAAAGAAGCGCTACGAGCGAGTCTCCGACATCCTAACTGCCAACAGAAGTAAGAACGTCACAAAAGGAAATCAGCCAAATTGACGCTCTCGTTCAAAATTATAACGTCTACCGCACCACAAGATCCCATGGAGAACTTGTCTACACAGAGTGGAAAGCGCCAATTGGTAACACCTTATGGAGAATTGCTGAGTAGTTTAAAAAAAAAAATGGGTGCTGCGTTTCTTTCCAACGAACGTTGAGCCATCTTCCGAATCTATTCCACCATCCCTTCGTGTCGTGAATTTCCAACGAACGTTGAGCCATCTTCCGAATCTATTCCACCATCCCTTCGTGTCGTGAATCTTTATAGCCTAGTCGTATTCTTCTTCAAATATGGCAAATATCGGACTTTCAACTCTCTATGTTACGTTCTTTCAAAGCATTGCATGAACACAACTTGAAGTCGAAGTTGCTGACATGCAAGCCACAAGCCACAATCCATAGAGTCAAAGAAAATTAGGTAAATTTAAAATTATGCACTCCCACAGATGCCAAAGCGGGACAGCCGAGGATTCCCCACTTCGACATGCACTTCATGCCGATCGGGTCCACACTTTTCTTTGCTTCTTGCTGTAATTACGAATACCAGTATGAAGTAACTTGTATGTCAATATCTACATGATTAGGACTCGCTTATCAATCGATTGATTAGATGACAATGGGATGAATTGATTGGTTTGACACAAATTGAAGGGACAACTGCATCCGTCGTCAAGCACATTACGAGCAACCTACGTACGTAGTCAGTTATAATAATAGACACATTAATTGGTCTGATCACAGATATGTCATCGGCGAGTAAAAACCCAACTAGGCAGTACATATGCAACATTCAACCGGGAAATAGGAGCCGTACAGATCCTGCAACTAACCTTGGGAAGGAGAGAGAAGGCAATGGTAGACAGGGTAATGTAAGCTAGTTTTAGAATGTTATTTGTATCATCTGCTATATTAACCTAATAGTAAAGACTACATGGATATCAACGGACTAGGTGAGACATGCACAACTGACGAGTCATGTATTAGATGTCTTAGCTGCCAGATCATCCATTATGTAGCCTAGGTAAGATAAAGAGTACATGCAAGCCTCGTCTAGCAAGCTTCAAGAAGCATGTAGAATATATAGTGTATACAAACGATGGATTTTTGTATAAGTAATATAAAATAGTGGTAAAATACAATCTATAAGCTTGTTATGATATGATACAGTTATTTTTGTACATTCCAAAAGGAATCAAGCCCACAAAAGACACCTCCCTTTTTTTTGTTCCTTATGTACCCTCGAATAAATCCATGCATATAAAAACACCCCTCCCCAATGCATATAAACAAGTAATAGCAAGATAATAGTAATTGTTGTAATAACAAGCATGATTGTTGACATGTCAAACGTAATCGGTCGTAGTTAGTACAGTAAAATCATCCATCGTGTGCCACGTCCCACCCTCCATGCTAGGGGGAAAGAAAAAAGACGCTGTAAATAACGATCAATACAAAACAGTCATAACAAAACAATGTCTAGTAAAATGTAAGAAAAGAAAAATAAAAAAAAATTAAAAATTGATAAAGAAGTGATGACGAATTCATCAATCCGTTGAAGTCATTCCCGTTGGAAACGAAAAACATGACGTCAACGGCTTCGGTTCTCCATCGCGATAAGACGCTATCGATGCTTAGGTAATCGGCCTGCCGATCCGGGACCGCAAAACGAAGATTCCTTACCCGATCGGGATGCGCCATGACGTCAGCGGTAAGCAGCCCTCGGCCTATCTTTTGCTATCCCTTCGTAACAGAGAGCACAGCTCGAACCGAAACGAAACGAAATGAAACGAAACGGAGCACAGGACTAGTCGCGTCCCTTGCGCCGCTGCTTCCCCGGCCAATCCACTTCAGGATGCACCACGCGCATGTGCCGAGTCAGCGCATCGTTGCGCGAAAACGTCTTCTCTTCGGTACACAGATGACATCGCACCTTTTGCTTGCGCGCATTGTGTATTGTGTCCTCATGTCGAGTAAGGTCGTACGGTCGCGAGAAAATGGAGTTGCAGGGCTTGCCCGTCGAAGGATTGATCCGCTCGCACTTGTGCGGCCCCGCTTGCGAATTGCGCAGAGCCAATGAGGTGCTTTCGCCGTTCTGTGCCCCCGTCAATGTTTGACGATGGGCTTCACGCTTGTGTTTTTGGAGCTTAGACGGCGTTTCAAACCGCTGCGTGCAGCCGTGGTAAGTGCAAGTGTAAGTGCCCGAGTCAGACGAGGTGTCAGTAGGCCGCTTGGTTGTCTCCACAGTGCCGTCACTGTTCGTAGATTCCATCGTAGGCAGCGACGCCGGAAAGGCAGATACCTGCGGCTGCTGCTGTTGTTGTATGAAATTGTTCAGTGGCTGTTGTAGACCAGTGTATTGAGTCGGGAATGCTTCCATTTGAGTAAAGGGTAATGAAGACTGCTGGAAAGCGCTGGTGGCACTTTGTCGGCGGGACGTCATAGTACTACCAGCCAAAGACAGATCCGTTGTCGAAGGAAACAGCGAGGGTAGGCCGTTGGCAACATCATCAGGACCTTCATGGTACTCCAGCAGAGCATCCTTGGGAGAAATGGTTTTCACTTCCCCTTGGTTGCCAGGCTGCTGGTCAATGTTCATGCCCTCGCTGCCAGGTATTTGTAGGGCTGCGCCGAGACCCGATGGTGCCTGAAGTCGCACCTGTTGCTGTCGGAAATCCGCGGCAAGTGGAGACCCCTGGCGGAACGGTGAGCGTTCCCTGTTCACCGAATTTCCAGCTGGTGATTGCGAGCGAGCTGAGAGATGGCCTTGGGTGGCAGCATTAAGACGATCGGCAAAGAGGTTGCGGTATGGTGTAGAAAGTAGTTGCTGGTTGGCGTTGGGGTTCTGTTTCCGCATTTGCGACGAGGAGGTTGGCACGACCGAGGTATTGTAGAGCTCGTCTTGATAGATGTCGGAGATGGTTCGATTGAACTTGGGCACCCCGGGGAAAGACATGGCGCCTTGGCTATTGAAGTCTGGAAGCGCATCGAATTGTAAGTAATCACCCATCCAGCTGTCAAAGTCAGAAGAAGGTAGGTCCTCACCATGGACTACCGCTTTGGAACCGTCGTCAAACTCGTCATACGTGGTCTGCGGCGTCACCGGGGAGTTCTGGTGACTCAGACTTGACACCGATGGCGCCAAAGAGTAGTGAAATGCTGTGTCCTCGTCGACGGCTGCCTGATGTGGCTTATTATTGTTGTGGTGGTGGTTATTATTGTTATTCATAGTCTGCTGTTCCATAACTGCCTGTCTCATAGCCTGGTCGGCTGCGGCAGTGTCGCCATTCTGCGCTGATGGGTCGTAGTTCTGAAAGGCCGGTGCCAAAAAGGAATTCTGATTTGGCGTCTGGACAGGTGTAGGCAGCGACTTTTTCGAGTTCTGGTATTGGCTGGCAGCAAAAGCAGCCGCAGCAGCGGCCTGTGGCGAACTTGATCCCGTCTTAACAGACGACCCAGAAGCAGCTCGCTTGTGTGCGCTGTGGAGGCCTGAGCCTTGGGCAAGGCCCTTCTGCGCATGCGCTGGGCTGAGCAGCTGAACGTTGGCGTCAGTGTCCCAACCGTGCGTGTTGGTAGTGATTCCCGGTTGCGCCAACATGGGTGACTGAGTCGCTACAAAGTGCGGTGCTGGATAGTACTGTGCGCTTGGATACGGCGACGGGATATGGAAGGAGGGGTTGTAGGATGAAGCGACGCTCATCGACGGCGCCTCTGGAAGCGTGCCGTCAAAGACGGAGGCGTAGTCGAGGTTCGTCGTGGCTGGAGAGTGCGTCGACGAGAAGGAAAAGGTGGGAGAGGACGAGCCGGACGAAGGCAGGAAGTGAAACCGGGGAGACTGGAAGGGAGAGTCTAGAGGCTGGTGGTGACTGGCGTGGAGGAGATCGGGCGGGAGCTGGCCGTCTTGTAAGTCGATGTTGTTGTATGTGGTGAGGATGAGGTCCGTATTACGTACGGCAGGATGGGCGAGCATAGTTTGGGTCGGTGGAGAGGCAGAGGCTTGCCACCCGGGGGAGTCGCTGCAATATATAGGCGGGTAGGTTTTCCTACCGTGATCCGTGGCTGACAACAGTCGCAGCGGAAATGTCTGACTTTTTAAGCCGTCGATGACTGGCAGGCCATCGAAATGCGTGGAAGCGTTCCGCCGAGAGTAAAATCCGATAGCCAGTGAGAGTCGATGAGTCAGTCTGTCGAATCAGTCTGTGGCTCGGCCGGATATAGGCAGATAGATGATGCTAGCACTAGTATACCGTGTAGTTGCGGGTAGGCGCGGTGCACTAGCTGAAGGATTGTTTCTCTTCTTGGGGTGTCGATGGGGGGTGATGAACAGGCAAGAATTCATTTCCTCGCTTGGGCCGGGGATTGTTTTTAAAGTGCATGGGAAAGAGCGCGCGAGACGGCCATATGATGACGTTGGAAACTATTTTAGCGGAGGAAAGAGACCCTGCTGCGACCCACCGTGGCTTTCTGCACTGTCGGTCATGCCCGGTATGGATACCGTACCGTACGAACGATACCGGCCGCCGTCGATCCTCCGCGCTGATTGGCTGCAATGCGCAGTCCGGCATCCTCATGCCCGCGCGCCAATCAGATCGAACCACGACTCACCAGCCACACCGGCTTAATAAGGCGGCTACCATTGGCGTGAGGCCCCGACGCCGAAGATTCTTCCTGCGGCTTGAAGAAATTTTCGCGGTCCCAGAAGACTGGGAGCCAATCAGCAGCTGCCGGCCGCTGATTAATGTCACTGCTCAGCCACAATCTCGCACTAACGATCGGTTCGTTCGGTTCGATCTCCCTCGAACTAGCCAGAAACTACAATTCTGTTTCAGCATCATTTAGGCAATAGTCTAGGCAACCCATTTTTTTCACTTGCTAGTCTGCTAGTCTGCTAGCACAACGGAGTGGACAGCTCACTGTCAGCTAACCCTGGTTCCGCGGAGTTTGCCGCCAGCATCTGGTTAAAATTCTGACTACCTCATGACAGCGAGTGACTACGTGCTTAAGTTGGCTGGTACATACTGAGTCACCTTGATCTTGTACTCTGTAACGAGTCAAGCGGGCATTGCTCGGAATTAGCAACTATGATCACGCAGTTTTACCAGTAGTATCGCACGCATGCTAGTAGTCCCGTAACTCCGAAGTGCCGAAGCTGGCCGAGCGAGCAGTCAGCTGACCATCAACAATGCATCGCATCGAATTTTTTTATCACATGCCCAAAACACGGAATGAATACCGTGGATACAAAATACTAAGTCTGTTTGGTTTTGCGGGGTTAGCCGGGAATCGCTGGGCTAAGTTCTGACCCATCCATTCTACGTTCTGCTAGCACTAGTTCCATATTCATCAGCTGCGGTGAAAATGAAAACAAGAATGTACGTACGGTATTTACTAAATCCAAGTATTTCGCCGGGTGGAAATACACAGTTAGAAATCCCCGGCAAGCCGGCACGGCATGGCCTAATGCGAGGGAAGAGCGAGTGCAAGTTGGTTGGCATGTATGTCTTACAGTCTTTCTGACAATTGCGACGCATCTAGACTTGACATCCGGCTTATACAAGAATTTTCCTAGCGACACTGGTGACTGAGATGCTGCCATTGACGAATGGTCGAGCAGTGCGCTACAGGGATGCAATTCTAGACCGCGGTTAGAAGTCTAGAACATCTACAGTGCTAAGATTAGCACAGTTCCGAACTAGGCTGTTTCTTCTTTCAATATAAAAATATTTGAATCTGCTACAACGAATATGGTCGAGATTCTGATGGCCATGAGGAAAAAAAAAAAAAGAAAAAAATTCGCTTTCTAGACTTCTGCAAGAGTACCTACACTAGTTCTGTACTGTGCAAATATATGCGCACTAGGCAATTAGTATATAATACTGTACATCCTCAGCTGACTAGTGGTCATAGAATAGATTTTTTTTTCTGTACTGCGTACATTAAACTATTCGACATGCATACGAAAAAAAAATTATCTCCGCGGAAAAACAATCGAGCCGCATCGCGAGAGTTATTGAACAGTTAACTCATCGAGCCGCACCGCCACAGATCGTAGAGGGTCGGTCAGTCTTGGCATGGATAAACAAACAAGCCACTTGGCATGGGTTAACTAGGTGTATAGGATGAGAGACAATACCTGCGACCGACAATAGACAGCTCGAAAGGAAAAGAAAAATTGAAACTGTTCTATCCAATGCAATAATAAAATCATGAAAAGTAATAGTTACAGCTTACAATACTGCCAAATACACGTACCATACGGAAGTACGGAGTATACTTTGTATATATGTATATAGCACAGGCCGCCAACGGCCAAAGCCAATATGTATGATCGGCGCTAGCATGCGACGCTAACAAAAAAAATAGAACAAGAAGTCAAAGAAGAAGAAAAAAATTTTCCACGCGAGAAATGGGGCACTGCGCATTCCAGAATACTTCCGTTTTCTGCTAGTCGGGAGCCGTCCGACCTATCGTGTGCGCTGAAGCTATCGCGCTAGACTAGTCAACGGACGGAGTACTCCGTTAGCCTTCTTTTTTAATTTTTTTTTTTTTTTTGGGTATGCCACATATGCATGCATGCATCGCGTTGGGAACTTTCTTTATCCGGTTGATTGTTTATTCTAACACCCTCGGCGGCCGAGGGGGGTCCTACTCCTGCACGAGGGGAAAAAATTTTATTCACTAGCGTTACTTATTGATGGTTCCTTCCAGCTGAGTATGTACATCAATTACAATGCAGAATATTATAGAGAAAGAAAAGGAGTTTGTTTCAGCCGTATTTCTTCTTCCCGCGGGATTGATTGTATTCACCGATATTCGGAGAGTCCTTGTTCCTAAAGCTAGTGTGCTATTCGGTCAACATGATTACTCATTCCTTTTTCTGTGTGTATACCCGTATTATTCATCGGGGTAAGAAGTTCGCCAGTCTGTTTTATATTTTGCCAATATTCTCCGAAAAGGGAAATCATGGCCCTTTGCGGCATGCCCTCCGTGCGACATCTAAAGTTCATCCGGTATCGCTTGCGCCAAATGGGATATTCACGTACCGGGATCGTCCGAGGTGTGTGTGTGTGTGTGTGTGTGTGTTGTGGTATAACGATCCTGCTGTTATGCATCCATGCCCCCAGTAGAGATTTGACAACTAGATTCAGCTATGAACTTGGTCCTGGCAGAGCCTTTCTCTCAGCTTCTACTCGATGTATGCTACTGTCGTCACTCCCTGAGACATTAATGAATCAACTGCGCTGCGACCCTTTTTGTTTTGCATACTGCTGCGTACGCACGTACTTCGTATACTACAACGTTCCATCGACGATAAGCCGTGGATGCATCGATTAGACTAGACTATCGATAAGGCAGCGGGCGGGCATCTTATCGATATCGATAAGTTTGTCGCCACTTTAGGAGGGGATGTTGTTTTGCCGCGTGTCGCCGCTTTGGATGCGTGGGCGCGATGAACGTGTATGAGCGTTGTGGGAGGCGGTTGTGCTTGTTCTGTGCCTGCGATCGCGTGGCGTATGCTAAACTTATTGAGTTATTCAAGGTAGAGTAATTTTAGCTTCAATTAGCACTTCGTAAGGATTGCGCGGCGCGTTCGAGTATTGACTTCGTTTTTGAGCGGAAATAAATGAGAATATATATATATATATATACACGCACATATAGGTGCGTTTCTATAGATGGAAGCCAACACCACCAACACCACACAAAATACTCGAGTTGACGCATCAAAGTCTAGTACGTTGATTGCAAGCATGGACTAGAGACTGCCGCAACAGAGAATAATCATGTATCTACGCGAGATCACATCTACATCGCGAAACTAGTTGCCTGGCATCATCGAGGTGCTTGAAGAGTATACGTAGAGCATGGAGATAGACCAAGTACACGTAAGTACGATCACAACTAGAAACCTTGTTAAATTGTACTCCAAGGCAAATCCTATTCATATTATAAATTTTAACAGCAAAGGCGTGGAAAACGCATAGATTCATGCACAGGGTGACATCCCTAAGACTCGACCACCAGACGCGCAACGACAACGGACGCGCGCGCACAACAAAGCACGCGAGAACGCGACAGCCTACGACCACTGGACACATACAGACAGAACAAAATCAAGAAGAAATGTTTCAAGTCATCATTTCATATGCAACGATCCTCGATCGTGCAGCTCCAGTCCACTGCGAACGGCCTCTATGATACAAAAAAGCTTGGACCCGCAGGTAACAAGTCGACCATATAGTAGACGAGGTATAATTTAAAGTAATAGTAGTAGTAAAATGCAAATCAATCCCAGACCCATAAGACGTAAAAGGAAAACAAAAACACTATTCGGAGAACACCCTGACGACCCAGTCATACCGAAAACCGACCCAGAAAAATGACAGCGGCGAGCAGACGCGTCGGCCGCGCAGGCAAGGCCGTGAGAAGAGAAAACACGAAGAAAGAAACGCTTAACCACCGAAACCGTAGAGGGTACCTGGAGAGAGAAGACGCGTTAGAGACGCGTCGAAACACGCGCAAGAAGAGAAAAACTTACGGCCCTGTCGCTTGAGAGCATAGACAACATCGAGAGATGTGACGGTCTTTCGCTTGGCGTGTTCAGTGTATGTGACGGCATCACGGATGACACCCTCGAGGAAGGTCTTGAGGACACCGCGAGTTTCCTCGTAGATCATGGCGGAGATACGCTTGACACCACCACGGCGGGCAAGACGACGAATGGCAGGCTTGGTGATACCCTGGATGTTGTCGCGCAAGATCTTGCGGTGACGCTTGGCACCACCCTTGCCGAGACCCTTTCCACCTTTGCCGCCTGCAGAAGAGAACGTTAGAGAAGGATGAGCAGATGAAGCCAGACAGGGAGATACTCACGTCCAGTCATGTTGAGGTGTTGTTTGAAGGTTGAAGATAAGAAGGAAGCGTGGTTGTGTAGACGCGTTGGTTGAGAATGGAGCTGGAGATGGAGATGGAGATGGAGAGAAAGAGAGCGCGGGAGGGCAAAGATGCTTCTATAGCAGGCGCTGCTGTCTCGGATCACGCGCTAGTGCGGCGGCCGGCCAATCAGCGGCCGCGTGGGGCCGGGCCTCTGATCTGGCGACGGATCAGTGATCCTGGCTCCAGCAGGCCTGGCAGCGCGGATCAGAGTGCTTGGAATCGGGAATCCAGATGCTGATGGCTGCTGCAACAGCCAGCCACGGCCATTCTGGTTCAGAATCGCAGTTGTGGTTGGGATCAGAGAGGCATTTGAGAGCCGTGATCCTGCGACGTGATTGGCCGGGCGGGAAGATCGACTCGCTTAGCAAAGCACGGCGTGCCAAGCCTTTTCTGATTCTGATTTCCCTAACAAAAATGCGCGCCAGAATCACGCTTATCGCAGCCTGCTTTCCGGATCAGAAAAGCGCTGGCCCAGATCACCCGCCCGCCCTCGCCCACTACAAATACTTTCCCCCACCCACTTTCTCCCGTCTTCCTTACAACTCCCTCACGCACTCATCTGTCTCCATCAACAGCATCAACTTTCCATCGCCAACTTTATCTCCTCCATCAAATAAAACACATACACAATGGCTCGTACCAAGCAGACAGCCCGTAAGTCACTTCATTCTTTGCCTCGCCTTACCGTCGACTCTCTTCGCTCGCTGGTGGCGCGTCTCCCCGTGTCCCGCGACGCGACTTCCCTTTTCACCACATTATTTTTTTTTTTGTCTAACATCCTCTAGGTAAATCCACTGGTGGCAAGGCCCCTCGTAAGCAGCTTGCTTCCAAGGCCGCCCGTAAGGCTGCTCCCTCTACCGGTGGTGTCAAGAAGCCTCACCGCTACAAGCCTGGTAAGTCCACGCGCCTTCATACCTGTTGTCTCATCATCTTCTAACATCTATCCCAGGTACCGTCGCTCTCCGTGAAATCCGTCGCTACCAGAAGTCTACCGAGCTCTTGATCCGCAAGCTCCCCTTCCAGCGTCTGGTTCGTGAAATCGCTCAAGACTTCAAGTCCGACCTTCGCTTCCAGTCCTCTGCCATCGGTGCTCTTCAGGAGTCCGTTGAGGCTTACCTCGTTTCCCTCTTCGAGGACACCAACTTGTGCGCCATCCACGCCAAGCGTGTCACCATCCAGTCCAAGGACATCCAGCTTGCCCGCCGTCTCCGTGGCGAGCGCTCATAAGTTCTTTTTCTGTTCTTGACATGGGTCGAGGTTAATTTGGGTTGGCGATTATGGGGGCTTCTGTTTTTATTCCTCTTTTCATTTTATCATGACACTACTGGCGAGAAATGATGGGCTTTGTTTTTGCTTTATGGGTTTACCTGGGTCTATTTGATTTTCCTTTATTCCACAATTCAACTGAATAGCACAATGGTCAACGAAGGCAGCGACCGTAAGACGTCGCGTCTATTGAAATGTATATTATCGAGACCAACTTGATGACAAGAGACTTTGATGTCTACGACAGCATGGCTTTGCCTTCTTGGCCCTTTCTATTCGTGCTATTAAATCAGTCGCTGCTAGCTAGTAATAAACTATGCCTCTGAACGCGCTTAATGTCTTCTAGCTAATGACCTGTAACGACCCCGCGGATGACGATCCTGTGGTGGTGTTTCAGGTGATGCTTACGTACGTAGTCGCTACTATGTGCCGGATTCTTAGCACTTTCTACAAGATCGTCGTAGCTGTTGAAACTTGAAACTTTTTATCTGTGTGCTAGGGTGCGAGTGGCGGTGAGTTTGGTGTCGATATACATCGACGGGGATGTGTGTATATATATATATATACGTGTATCTACATACTCGTCACATACGGTACGTCACTGGGACCACAAGCCAGACAGATGATCTTACAATTACGTGCCAGAGTCGAGACATGTCTCCTCCGGTGCACAACAGCATGCAACAGGTCGGATTCCGGGTGTATATAAACACTACTCAGTATAACTATACGCACAAGCAAGCAAATGCTCGCGTCATGGAAGCACGGAACTCGGCACGTGTGGGCTCGGCATCTCGTACTGGAACGGCTTAGCGTGCCGAGAGTTGCTTGCAGCTTCGGCCGTTCGGGCTTTTACTCGTTCGTTTTCGAGCCTTATGAACGCTCTGAATAACAGCATTGATTCTGGCCTCGAGCAAATCATCGTTGCAAATCTGCAGCCCAACGACCCATGGCCCCCAGCTGGCCAATCAGCCGGCGCTCGTCATCCTGCATAACTCTTGCACCGACTCGTTGCAACCGCAGACGGTGGACTGTCATTCGCTGGGAGACGGAAACGGCCCTGTAGATTCTAGTTCTACGATCGCACTGGCGCGCTTAAGGGTGGAGTCAAGGAAAAAATTTGGATAGGGGATTGGAAGACTAGGAAGTGCGTGGAAAATGGACGTCCTGTTTAAAAAGGGGACGCCCGCTCTCCTGGTGGCGATATCCAGAGTCTGCCAACACTTCTACTCTGTACTATCGCCACAGTAAGAGTTTCGCTTCTTCATTCGTTTTCCTTTCTCAACTACTTACTTCACCACAGCCTGCCTTCCTCAACCTGGGGGGGAAGAGTGAAATACACATCACGCCATGGCTGAGAACTCGGACAATGGGGTCGAAAAGCCCAACCCGACTCGCATCCCCTACTGGCGCATGGTCATCGACCAAGCCGGCATCACCCCCGAGGTCGAAAGCTACCCTTACCCCGGTTCTGGGACAGAAGAAGACCCATACGTCGTGTCATGGATCCCCAACGATCCCCGCAACCCAATGCTGTTCTCTACCTCGTATAAATGGTTTATCACCATGTTGATCGCCCTCATCACCATGGTTGTCGCTCTCGTGTCATCGGCATACAGTGGTGGTGTGTCTGAAATCACGGCCAGCTTTGGCATTGGCGATGAAGTCGCCACCCTCGGTATCTCGCTGTTCGTCCTGGGTTTCGCCATTGGGCCTTTGATGTGGGCGCCCATGAGCGAGATGTTTGGTCGTCAGATCCTTTTCACCTCTACCTATGCCCTCCTCACTGCCTTCAACGCTGGCTGCGCCGGTGCCCAGAACTCTTGGACTCTGATCATCCTGCGTTTCTTCGCCGGTTCCTTTGGATCCTCGCCCCTCACCAATGCCGGAGGTGTCATCGCCGACATGTTCCCTGCCTCCCAGAGAGGTCTGGCAATGAGCTTCTACGCCGCTGCACCGTTCTTGGGTCCCGTGCTTGGTCCTATCATCGGTGGATTTCTAGGCGAGAATGCTGGATGGCGCTGGATCATGGGACTGTTGGCTGCCTTGTCCGGCACGCTCTGGATCTTGGGAAGCTTGCTCGTGCCTGAAACCTATGCGCCTGTCCTGCTTCGCCGACGCGCGGCGAAGCTGTCGCAAATGAACGGTAAGGTTTACACGACTCGTGTTGATTTGGAGCGTGGCAAGATCACCATATCCCACGCCTTCAAGACTGCGCTTTCCAGGCCGTGGCTGCTGCTGCTCCGGGAACCTATCGTGTTCCTTCTGTCTGTCTACATGGCTATCATTTATGGAACCCTGTACATGCTTTTCAGCGCCTACCCCATCGTCTACCAAGAAACCCGAGGCTGGAGTCAGGGAGTGGGATCTCTTCCGTTCCTGGGCGTTATGGTTGGCATGTTAATCGCAGTCGCTTACAGCATCTACGACAACAAGCGCTACCAGAAGGCAGAGAGTGATAATGGCGGATTCGCCCCACCCGAGGCCCGCCTGCCCCCTTGTATCATCGCCTCTTTTACCATTCCCGTCGGTCTCTTCTGGTTTGCTTGGACAAATTCGCCCTCCATCCAGTTCATGGCAAGCATTGTGGCCGGCGCGCCTTTCGGTTTCGGAGTCGTTCTCGTCTTCCTGGCTATCATGAATTATTTGATTGATGCCTACACCATCTATGCTGCTTCTGTGTTGGCTGCAAACGCCGTGCTACGTTCGCTATTCGGTGCCGCCTTCCCCTTGTTCACCACCTACATGTATGCCAACTTGGGTATTCACTGGGCTTCGTCCGTCCCGGCCTTCCTGGCCGTTGGCTGTATCCCCTTCCCCATCCTCTTTTACAAATACGGTGCTCGCATCCGCGCCAAGTGCAAGTATGCCGCCGAATCTCTTGCCTTTATCCAGAGGTTGCAGGCCAATGCCAAGGAGGCCGAAGCAGCACCGGAAGAAGAGGAGGTAGAAAAGGAGAACTTCGACCGTGACGAGGCTCCACCACCACACGACATCAGCTCAGACTCCGACGGTGAGGGTGACGCAGAACGGCCGCAAAGCCGCGCTCAACGTGTTCACTCGCGCGCGTCCACCCGAACGGCGGGCAGCACCCGTAACATCCGGGACGATTATGAGGGTAATCCCTACGATATCGACCGCGTGAACACTAAAGACTCGGACTTTAGCCTTCGCAGGAAGTCGGCTGCATAAGTACCTTCTCTCACTATCCCTCTCTCTTAATCTCCCCTTCTATTCCCATCTCTCTCTCGCTCTCTTGTATTTTTCTTGTATTTCTTTTATATTGAATAATGTCGGTTCTCTTGGCAATTGCATATGGCTCAGGGATGAGCCGCGGAGTTTATTATTTGGGCATATCATTAAGTACATAGTATATAGCTAGTCAATACACATACATATACACATAAATGACACATAAAACCCGGTAGATTGCACGGATTCCACGTGACCCGGGCGGACCTATGCCTAATCACAATTTCGTATCGGAGTTAAAGAGCGCACGCAATCTTATGGGCTGCTTAGCTCCGTGATTATTCTTTCTGTTGGCTTCCCTATTTATTTTCTTGTCTTCCACCCCCTCCCCCTCCCCTTCTCTCTCCCCTTCCTGCTTGTTTGCCATATCTCATTATCTGTCGCTCACTCACCATTGTTCGTTTTTGGTTCCTCTATCTCTCTCTCTCTTTCTTTTTGGGGCTGTTTCTCGCCTGTCTGGTTCGGCAGTCATTCCCGATTGACTCATTCCCGCTATACAGTAATCGATATCCAGATAAGGCATACTATACACTAGCAGCCACATTCATTACATTCCACGCCTCGAGGCTATTCGCTGCGAAAAGAGCATTGGGGTACCTCTCTAAATCCCCGGTCTGTCGAAAGACCCATCGCAATGCACCGGGCGATAACAGACCTGGTTTCTTTGGCGGGACGACGACCGGGAAACACTCTGAAGAACAGCAGGATCAATAGATATGCGCAGCGACGGCCAAACTCGACCAAAACCGATCCTCTCCCAGCAAAGGATTCATCTTCTTCTCCTTCCACCGCAACAGTGACTTCTCCCTCCGTCGGTTCCGCAGCATCCGCCGCTGGAGCAGCCGCTCCGCCGTTGAGAAGTCGCAGTATATGGGATAGAGTCAAGACAGGCCCCATTGGCCGCTTTGGAGATTGGTATACACAAGTACAGCTCAGACGACCGTACACCACACAACTCGCAAGCAGTTTTATCATTTATCTGGCTGGCGATCTTAGTGCGCAGCTGTTTTTTCCAGCCGACGTCAAACCGACTACGTCGGAAGAGTCGCAGCAATCTGCCGTCGCGAGCGATGAGAAGCAGGATGATCAAAAGCCTGTACTCGCAGGGTATGATCCGTTACGGACCTTGCGCCATTTGACTGTCGGTGTTGTATCGGCTATTCCTGCATTTAAATGGTTAGTAGATTTCCCCTCCCCCTTCCCAACTGATGTTGATCTACACAGTATATTTATGATTGATACGGGTTTATATATTGCAGGTTCATGTTCTTGCACCACAATTTCAACTACACGTCCAAATTCCTATCAATCGCCACCAAGGTCGCCGTACAGCAAGCCGTTTTCACTCCAGTGTTCAGCACATATTTCTTCAGCGCACAATCACTTCTAGCGGGTGCCTCGTTGGAAGAGACATGGGAACGACTGAAAAAGGCCCTCCCTCCGAGTATCGGGAACAGCATCAAGCTGTGGCCAGCAGTCACGGCTTTCAGCTTCATGTACGTTCCACCGCATTTCCGAGCAGTGTTTGGCGGCGCAATTTCTGTGGGATGGCAGACTTATCTCAGCTGGCTCAACCAGAAAGCCGCTCGAGAGGTTGCGGCAGCCGAAGCCGCTGAAAGAGTCTTGCATCCTACAGATGTGCGAATTTCGCAGGCGGCTTGAGAGATGTGGTATATAGTAATGGCTGTTGATACCCTAAGATCTTTTTTCCTTTTTAGCGCCCACTGGATTTGATTGATAGATTTGCGTTCTGGTTTTGATTGCAATCATAGATTTTTTAGAATTTATAGATAGATAGATAAATATATGGAAGATGCAGACGTGTCACTGCATGCATTATGTGTGTACAAAGTTCAAGTGCGCGGATTGATCTATGCGTTGATAAAATCCGTAGATAAAGATAAGTCGCGTCATCCGCACATCAGAAACTTCCTCGCAAGCATGCCCGTGGATGGTGTCTTTTCCGACCTCCATACTGCCATGTCAACGAAAACGACATGCGATCCGGCGAGAAACAGGACGACGATAGCAGTGACTACGGGTCCGATTTCACCTCCGACGAGGAAGAGCTTCTGAACGAACTGCTCGAGCGCGTCGTTGCCGCTGCGAAGCCAACAACAACACCGTCAACGCCGCCATCCGAACAGCACAATCTATCAGACGCCGTGCATGACCTCCAGCCACTATCGCAACCACTGCTAGTTACGGATATAGAGGATTATGAAGTGCCTCATGCAGCGCGCATCCCGAAGGTCCTGGGTCGGGAGGCTTGGAGTCCTGCGTCAAAACGCGTATGGCAGCAGAAGCAGCATTTACCACCACCACCACCACAACAGCTTGCACAAAAGTCCCAGTCAAGCTATCCCTCGTCGTTACAAAACCACGCCCGCTTTTCGTCCAGTGGTATGTATTTGAACGAAGATTTTTGTTGGCTCGCGTTAGTTAATAGAAAAGCTGACATCCTGACAATCTAGCGTCTAATAGAACGCGAAGGATCCAGTGAAGGAAGACCGCGAGAGTTAGAAAGACAGCAAGCACGTGAGAAGAAATGGACAGAAACTCAAGAAAAAGCTGATGCACAGACAACCAATGATACAACAGCAGCAGCAGCAGCAGCAGCAACAGAAGATGCCCATGCCCAGCAACCCTCGCCGCTCCAACGATTCCGCAAACCGCCGAATAAAGCGCTCTCAGTATCAGATTTGATTGCTCCTGCTTGGTGCGAGCTACAATATTTGTATACACTGACGAAACATGGACGGAAACGGGCAACGCCGGCTATGAAGCAAGGTAGTGCGGTGCATAAAGTCCTTGAAGATGAAGTTCACACCACGGTGCCAATAGATATCACGACCAAAGAGGATGGCTGGGCATTGAGGATATGGAATGTAATACAAGGACTTCGCACACTTCGGGAGAATGGGATGACACGTGAGCTTGAGGTTTGGGGGCTTGTCGAGGGTGAGATCGTCACCGGCGTCATCGACCAGCTTTCCTACATATGCCCAAACCCTAAATTGGAGACGACTGCTGCCGAACACTACGCCGAGGCCGAAGCTTCCAGGGCCGTATTGCCGGAGTATCAGATGTCGATTACAGATTATCTCTTGTCGCCGTCGGGGGGCGGAAGGAGATTTGACGAAATGTGGAAGGATACAGACGAACCTGCTATCGAGGCCGAAGACGAAGATTACTTGGCGGAGCTCGACCAGTCGTATCTCGATGTTCCAAGAATCTACATGACCGACATAAAGACCCGTGCTAGTCGTTCTATACCTTCTGTATCGAGTACATCATTTCGTCCCACACGTTTGCAATTGCAGCTTTACTATCATATGCTTAATCGATCGGTGACGAGTGACGACGTGACGATGGAAATGATTGCTCAACGCTATGATCTGAACCCCGGGCGTCCATTCACGGATGCCTTTATTGCGGAAGTCGGCGGCTTGAACGAGGAATACTTCGATGCTTTATCTTCGCCAGGCTTGGGCTCGGATGATCCCGACTACGTACAGGGTGCGAGCAGTCAGGATTCAATTAGCATTTTGCTTTCACACAACAACTTATCCAGCCTTTGGAACCTGATGAGGAAACACCTCCGCTACACGTTTCTTCCTACGTACCACAACAAAGATATAGCGCCGTCCATTCCGGCCGCGATGCAGCCTGCATCGCTTGAATTATACCCTACTGTTCTTTCTCCAGTTCTTACTGCCAAATATCTGTCGTCCGCAACAGTTCCAGAAGGTGTTGCACCAGATGAGTTAGGCAGTCGTTCTTTTCTTTTTGACCCTTGGGATTTGACATCATATGCATCTGACCAACTGAATTGGTGGCGCGGCGACCGGGAGCCGCGAGGAGTCGAGGTGTTTGATGCATGGAAATGCCGGATATGCGAGTTCCGCGAGGAATGCGATTGGCGACAAGCAAAAGAGTATGAACTGGCTACGCGCCGGAGGAGGTTGCCGAGAACAGCGATGGATATGCTTGGGGCATAAGCTTCTCAAAGCACATATGCTACTAACATAGCTAAGACTCAACCGAGAAAGAGTTGTTTTCTTGAAAAACTATTTCATTCTACTTCATTTGCTAAGTCAATACGGATAAGCGCGAACCTCATCTTCCTTTTCAAGGTCCAGCCCATTCGCCAACTGCTCCTCATGCTTCCTGTCAAGATACTCCAACAAAACCTCGCCGTACTTCTCCTTGCCTTTATACACCGACACGTCGTCCCCCCATGATCGGATCGCCGATGCCAGCCTCCCCGGTACATATGGCTCTTTCACGATCTCAGTGATGGGTTCAAAATATGTCCTGATGGTAAAAACCACGGCACCAGACCGCGGCAATCGGCGTAGAGACTGTCTCTCTGATCTGAAAAAGTGGTGCTCGATTGCACGGTTCTTCTCTGCCGTATTCCAGGAAATCCCGGGCTCGTCTTCGGACCCAATGCTGCTCGACCATGCAAGCTGGTCATCAACCTGCAAAAAATAATTGTTGCGCAGCACCGGGTCTTCCGGTTTGACCCGTCGGAAGAAATTCATCATCCCCTTTTCAAGCTTCTCACGATACTGCGGCACGTCGCCGGACGTATGAATCTCGCTGAGAGGCATGCCGAATTTGTCCTCCAGGCGCCAGAATCCGGCGAGCAGAACGGCGCCGGCGAGGAGGTAGTACTGTCCGTCGGGCTTTTCGAACATGAGTGCCAGGTCGTCCTGTACAAGTCGCGCCGATGTGACCATTGGATCTTCGGGAAGCGGCCGCTGGACGATGTTGAATGATTCGCCTGTGTAGAGATTGTCTATTCCTACGGAACTTTTGCGGAACATGCTTGGATACCGAGCTGGAAGATACGAAGCTCTGACGAAAATTTCAACAAACATTAACTGATTCTTTCTCGAGAGAATACACATTGACATAGAAGACTCACAATTCTTCAAGCAACTCAATCGCACCGTCCATGGCTTCCGGCGCTGTTTTGCAACATTTTGACCCACGCTCTTTAATGCGACGAGCCTTATCAGCGTGAAAGCGGGGATAATGATTATCCAGTTCTGTATATATATTTAGAATCGAGTATACAGAAAAGAAAAAGAATCAGTTGAATACTAACCAATCCACTCATCCCATTTCATGCTCCTCAATCCCATAGTCACGAAGTATTTTCTATTTTATATACGCAAATTCTATTAGCCATGCCAATTCCAAAATGGACAAGTAATCTAACATACGGTCCATATCGAAAAGGACGATACAAAAGCGGCTTTGTCGTTTGCACATCCCAATTTGGATAAGGTGCTGGTTCTGGTCTTTTGAAGGGTGATGGCGTCCATTCTATTTCATTTCTTAGTGGAAACAAACAATACCTAGGTAACAATAGTTAAAATGATATATATACATACCGCCAAATTCCCGCTTTTTCTTATTCTTCTCAATGTCCGGCGTTGACGGTCTGGTTTTATGTTGCTGTTGCTGTTGTTGATAACGAGATCGCAGATTCTGTAGTAATGCGTATGTAATCCAGGCGAACGAGGCGAGAATTGTGATACTTAGAATGGCATCGTGGATTTGGCTGGTGTGTTGGAGGAGAAAGGCGTGGAGTTTGGTGGTGGTGCTGCTGACGATCATTTTGAGGTGTCTCTATAAAGTTCTTAAACTGAGGGGAAAGAAATATATATGGAAGAAAAAACGAAAAAAAAAAAAAAAAACCAGGCGAATGTAAGAGTTAAGATGAAGATTTTTCGATTGCCTAGATGTAGATATAGACGATCAGACTGCCCGGCACGCTCTTCTAGACCAGTACTTATAACAACAATCGAATCCATTAGAGTAGAAAGAGATAAATAAGCTTATCTCTGCCTAGTGATAAAATGTGTCTATTGGATACTTACTATCCAATAGATAGTAGGAAGTTGTGCTATCTTACAAAAGGCAAATCGAGTCCTAAAGCGGGTGCGGAATCTTTTACCCTTTTAGGAAAGACCATGAGGAACACCGTAAAGCGTCGCGATGGGCTGACTGTTCTGGTATTCCAGTAGGTATAGACCTATACTTAAGGATCGATTCGATATGTAGAACCAGAAGGTCTTAGGGAAGACTAGTTACTGTGACAGTCCATCGATGGTGTTAGTTTGTCGTCGTCGCAGCAAGCAATATTCACCCCACTGGCGCTTGAAACGGGCCGGAACAAACGGTAGGTCTGGGATCCATGAAACCCGGCCAAGGATCGATGTTGCCGCCGCATCCAAGAATTTCTCGCAGGATAGCTTCTCCCAGTTGTCTGTGTCGTGAATGTAGTCCGGTTCCAGGCTGGTTGCTGGCTGACTAGGGAAGTAGGAGTCGACGAGGAACATACACTGAGAAATATCGGTCTATTTTTGGCGTTATTATATGTAAATAATATCAAGTCAGACATTTAAGCGGGAAGAAAGGGAAACAAGACATACGTATTTAGATGGATCTCCCTCGTTTCGATCGTTCATTCCCGAGGGAATCGCAGATGTGCCGGAGAGCAGCTCTTGGATGCTGGAACTGTCGTCGAATTCACCAGGTAACAAACCGGAGAATTCACTTCGCACAAACTTCGCTCGCATAGACTGTGGCAGGAAGAAGGAGGAAGGAAACCGGTACCATTCCTTGCCCAGGCAGAGATATCCTCCCTTCTGTGCAATTCCCGGTGCTTCGAGAGCGTCATATACTCGCAGAGGGGCACCATAGGCGGTAATCATACCGATGGACCTATGAAGGCCCGCGAAGGTAGAAAACAGCACGAATGCTGCGACAGCGAGCAATTTGACTCGGCCTGGTATTAGGCCCATAAGGGTTCCTGGTTTGTTTGTTCCAAGATATTCTAATATCAGATGAAATGCAAGTGCCGCATTGAGGACAATGAAGGGATACGCTGGATACATAAATCGTTCTTCCTTGTGAGGTTGAATCGTGAATATTGCCATCCACACGTAGAAGGGTGAGACGAAAGCGAGCGATCGTACGAGGGTTTGACTCGAATTAGAAGCACGAGATCCAAACAAAGCCTGTAGAATGAGCAATGGCGCAATGGACACTGCTAGAATAAACCAGACATTGAAATTTAGCAGCAGATTCCGAATATAAAATGTCCACGGCTCGGTGCCAAAAATGTTGGGTCCCTTCCCTTCCCCCCCGAATACATTGTACGCGACAATGTTCCAAGGAACCATTGCAAATCTTTGGAAGAAAATAGAGTCGACCGCAACTTCTAGCCCCTACTAATGTTAGCATGTTTATCGTTCTGGTCGATCAGAGCCATACAAGGATCACAAAGCACCTAATGCCTCCATTGATAATCTGCCAAATCGCATTTTGCAGGTTCCCAGAAAGCGCCGATGTGAGGATTACCTCTGCGAGCAAGGGAAGCAGTAGCGCTCCAGCAAATGGCCAGCCGATGATGGCACCCGTGGCAAACCACATGATGCCTTCTGCAACTTTGTTCTTGCCCCGTCGATCCAAAAACGCTGCCAAGCCGAGCATCGAAGCGTACATCGTAAAAGTAGACGGCAGGAAAGCGGTAGAAGCATGAAAAAGCCCTGGGCTAAAGGTGGCAATGCTTAAGAAAAGCACGCCGATTCTAGGATTGAGTGTTCTCGAGATCGCGGAGTAGAGACGGGTTTCGCAAGCAGCGCAGACGAACGCCAGGGCGCCGCGAATCGCAAAAAAGTGAACCTTTTTACGTGGGCTCCAAAAAGAGCTCGTTTTGCCTACTATGGCGTGTAGAGTAACATACAGCCAGCTTCTGATGGAATATTCGGGCGAATATTCCCATGTTTGTAGTCCGTAGCCATGGTTAAGGTAGTGCGTAGGCTCCCAGTAGTTGAAAACTTCATCGCAGTCTTGAATTGGCGCATGTGCAGCTGAAATCGCTCTGGACACGAGGAATGCGTAGAAAGCAACGTTTAGTGGTAGAATGAATGGCGAGGGCGTCTTTCTGAAAACACGTATCCTCAGTGAGCCTGGCTTTCACGGGTTGTTTCATTGAGATCTCGAGATACCTCTTTGGCCCGCGAGATACGCTGTGCGAATCGCTGGAGTGTTCATCATCAGAGGATGACATTATGCTGAGCCAGTCAACTCACGCTGTTAAGTCCATGCGTGAGATTCCTGTTGAACGTCTTGGAAGGGAAAGAAAGACTTGGGGAAGGAGCTGTGCTTATCGATAAGCCTAGGCGCTAGCCAATCAGGCAGCTCCGAGGAAAAAAAAGAAAAAGTGACCGCCACATTTCTGCGTCGGCATTTTCTGCGCATCAACATCTTCTCTCCAGTTGGTCATTTTGGCTGCTTTTTGTTTTTATTTCTGAGATTGCAAATACATACAATCATGGAAGATTATCCTAATAACCAAATGCAACCGGAAGAAGCACGGCAATCTCTACCAGAACCCTCCAGCAATGCCGTGCCTACTCCGCTTGAAAGCAACAGCGATTTCTACAATACACCGTTGACTGGCCAGACCCCTGTTTATCCTGCAGTAAATACAGCTTCAGGGCCGGATGAACAGATCGAAACACCTCATGGCCCTGCACCTGCAATCCCTGGCTTGTCTATTCAGGACAATGCCGTCGCAACGAAACCGCTTGAAGAAGATGACACTCGAAATAAACCCGAACTTCTAGCCGAGACCCAGAGCACAGAGAATGTACAGAACGCACACGATTCTATGAATACAACAAGCGGCGCTATCCAGGCAGCGCAAGTCATGAAGACCGCCACAGGCACTGAAACCACTGACACAATGGAGACCGAAGAAACAACAGTAGATCAGCCTATGACGACAGAAGAAGAACATCCGGAATGGGAGGTGGACTCTTCACCATATGAATCCTCATCAGAAAGTTCGTCAGATTCTTCAGATGATAGCGACGAAGACGAGGAGGATTACCCTATCTTGTCGGCAGAGGAAACCGCCCGGATTCTCATGCAGGCAGAAGGTGGCTCAGATGATGAAGGTGATGCAAAGATGGGTGGTGGATCTCATATACGGACAGCAAACGAACAAGCTGAGGTCGCTCCTCCGATTCCTGACATTACGGTGACTCCAGATATGAAGATTGTGCCGCTCGGTTATTTAGAGACCCTCGTTGAGAACATTATACTTATCAAAGCTACTGTGTCCGGAGACTACCAGGTTCTTGAAAGCAACTCACTTTTGTGTCTTGAGGATAGAACTGTCATTGGTGTGGTAGCGGACACGCTGGGACGTGTTGAAGAACCTTTGTATACGGTCAGATACCAAGACCCGGCAAAGATCCAGGAGCTTGGCCTTGCGCCAGGAAAGCAAATCTACTATGTCGAGAGCCACTCCGAATATGTGTTCACCCAGCCCTTGAAGGGCATGAAGGGCAGCGACGCTTCTAATTTCCATGATGAGGAAGTCGCAGAAGATGAAATTGAATTTTCAGACGATGAAGCAGAGGCCGAATATAAACGAAGATTGAAGCAGAAGAAGAAAGAAAAGAGGGACGGTGCACTTGGTGGGAAGCAGAGAAAGGAAATTCCTGGACCTTCGCCACTTGGCAGAGCTGAGTTGAATTACGATGATGATGAGGATCGAGCAGTCCACGATGGCTACACTCCGCTTGCTCGTCCCAAGAACTACCACGAGATGATGGGCCATCAAGAAGCGCACATGGAGGCATCCCCCGCCGCCAACAATAGAGGCAACTTTCGAGGCAGGGGACGAGGCCGAGGTGGCTTTGATAGAGGGTCTGGACGTGGCCGAGGCGGTGATAATCGTGGAAGAGGCAACCACCACAATGGTCGTCGACCGGACACGTCCCAATATCAGAATTTCTCAGCACCGCCACAGGCTGCTTTTCCTGCTCAACAATATGCTCAGTACCCTTCATACCCACAACAAGCACAGCAGCAAGTTCAGCCTCAGTTCCCCCATTTTGGACAAGCACAAGCAGCAGGCATGCCGCAGTTTCCATTCCAGATGCCATTCCAACAGAACCCATATCCAAATTTGCCGGTAGGAGCTCATATTAACCCAGCATTTTTCGCTGCACTGCAACAACATCAGCAACCACCACCGCCAACACAGCCTGTCGCCGCGATGGCAGCACAGCCTCAGCCCGGCTCGTACAACCAAACGGCGTTCAGTCAAGTGCAAGCGCAATTGGATATCTTACGGCAGTTAGCGGGCAATGGGAGTGTCCCGCCCCGATGAAAAGTTTATTTACGTGTTTTCTTTATACCCTTGGGATGGTATGGACAAAAGCATTATTTCAGGAGTTCTGTCAGTTTAGGCAATATAAAATTTCTTTTTGCTTTCTGGATTCTAGAGATATAGCATGTTATGGTATTACTTGAAGCTTAGGTGCTAAGACATCATTATATTGACATATTTGTATGAATATGAGTATATCCCGCCAACGACGAGCAATGTTGAATGTCTAGATAGGCTTGAGGCCTGTGAAAAAAAGCGTGATAGAACAGCAACGAAGATACATCATGCTCAGAAAGTATTTTGCTTGAAGCTCTTTGCCAATACCCAAAAGTTTTCCATCTTTGACCGCGTCAGAGTTTCCTTCGCCGCAGCGTCAGTTTCGCAAACCCGAGCACCCAACCATTTTCTGAAAGCTCTTGTTCTTTGTTGACCCTCCCAGAGGAGGGTACAGCTGTTGGAACCGAGATCGCGCAATTCACCATTTTCGTCCTCAGCTTTTAGCCAGGATGATAATGCCTCACGGTTGCCCTCGCGTTGAGGACCTGGACCAGCGTTCTCTGTCCAATCGATGCGGTTTAGCATCAATTTTTTATACGCATTTATCGAATGAGAGCCACCTTCCACAATGACGAGGTTTACTTTGGGGTGCATCACACATACGCCAGTAAGTGCCATTTGCTCGGCGTTCTTACTGATCTTGAAGCGGTGGCGACCATTGGCAAGACTGTCGATTCTGTAGACGCACATGTATATTCCTTTCTCAGCGTCCTTTTCCTGCTGTAGAGCAAGTTTCTCTTGTCGCTGTTCCTTTGTTAATCTGCGTTCTGCATTGGCTGCTTCGTGTGTTTCTCGGCGCTCTGCAATTTCACGATTTACACGGGCCTCCACAGCCGTAGGATCTTTGACGGCTTCTTCTCCAAGAACTCGCATCAGATTGGATTTCTTGACTTTTGGTGGAGGAGCTGGCTCGAGACCCAGCCTAATCTTTGCCTGTTGTTCCTTCAAATCTGCCATACGGCGTTGTCGGCGCAGCTTCGCCTGTTCTTTTGATGTGAGATACATAGGCTTCTGCTGTGGAATCAACTTCTCTTGGGGAGGATCCAGTAGAACAGGATGTTGTACGTAGATCGTGACAAGAGTATCATCGGTGTTGATTTTGATATTCGCCGAATCGTCAATCGCGGCATAATTATCACCGTTGACCAAACCTTCATCCCACCATTCTAAAGCGGGAGGCGCGGGGACTTCAAACGCTCTCTCGAGACTCAAATCTTCATCTACACCGGCTTGGCGGGCCATGCTCGCAATTCGCTTTTTCATCTCCTCCATCTGCGCCTGACGGCGCAAAGCCGCTGCTTGCGCAATGTATTTCCCTTTCTGATTGAAAATGAGCTGCTTCGATAAACGGGGCTTCGACGTGGCGTGAAGACTGTCATCGTAATACGGATTCTGTTTTATTTCTTCCAAAGAAGGTCCTGACAGGTCTAGACCTGGCTTCTGTTTTGAGACCGCGACCGGCGTCTGTGACCGGCGATTTGCCATGGTCGTAGCAAATTTAGGCTGGGAAGCACCACGACCCTTTGGCCCTCGCTGGTCTTGACCTGCATCACCTAGGAGAGCAGGATGAAGGCCTACTCCTAAGCCGCCCCGTGCCTTGGGTAAATCATCCTCGTAGCGGGTTGGTGGTGGTTCAATAGACGTGGGTGTAGGCGTCGCTGTCGGTTGAGATATAGCGGCGTTCACTTTCCCAGTTGCGGCAGCCACCCTTGCTCTCATCTGCTCAAGCCTAGACATCGCTGTCCCAGTGCTAGTAGCAGGAGGTGTCGGTGCTGGACTGGGTGAATTCGCTCCGGGACCACCTCTGGCTACTTGGAGTCTTGCCCTGACCTCCTCGGCCTTGGCCCTGGCTTCGGCGACCATGCGATCAATATCGACTTTGCTTTTGGGCGCGCCATTGCTACTGGGCATGGGAGAGCCATGGTTGGATCGCGATCTCTTTTGTGCGTTCAGTTCTTCATCCTCCGGGTGAGGCCTCTTCAGCGACGCATCGGACATGATGGAGGTGCAAGATACTACTCACCCACGACTGTAGTTCCTGACGAGCGGGGTAGCGAGAAAGGCGCCTGAAGCAAGAAAAAGAGCGGGATCGAGATATCACAATGCTGATATAGGTGTCTGTTTTTCAAGAAGTGACGTGACACGCGCAGAAGTTATCGCGGCACCCGCTAAGAATTAGGCAATCTGCCATCATTGGTGGAATCCAGAGGCGGTGAGTAACAGCAATAAATTTTCCCCAAAAAAAGTTTCTCGAGCTTGCCGTTTCCCGCCAAAGATTCATTCCATTTTGGAGATCACAATTGCTTTTCTGTTGTCGTTAAACATGGGTGTCCGGCCTTGATAAGGCGCCTCGATTATGTCTTCCTTCGCCCGTCCTGTCGCAAGTGAGCTTGCGGCGGTCGACTTCTCAGTCTACTCGTCTGAGGACATCAAAAAAATATCGGTCAAGCGCATTTTCAACACCCCGTCTCTTGATTCACTTCATAACCCTATACCCCATTCGCTATACGATACAGCCTTGGGAGCTTGGGGGGATCATGTGTAAGTGCTGATGTCTTATTTATTTCAACCCAATTAGAAAATTTATCTATCAGCGTTTGGCAGATAGCTGATATACTCTTTTGTAGCTGTACAACCTGCCGTGCGAGCTCTTGGTCGTGTCCAGGCCACCCGGGCCACATTGAGCTACCTGTTCCTGTGTGGAATGTGACTTTCTTTGACCAGACATATCGTCTTCTTCGAGCAAAGTGTGATTTCTGCCATCGCCTGCGCATGGCCCGTATCGACGTGAATGCCTACGTCTGCAAACTTCGACTGCTCCAGTATGGATTAGTAGACAAGACTGCTAAAATCGATACCATAGGCGAGGATGGAGATGATGGTGCTGTCGATGCTGATGAAACTGGAAAGGTTGATCCTCAGACAAAGATAGAGCTTCGAAATAAATTCGTCAAAAAGAGCATACGCGAGGCCCAAAGACAGGGCGAGAATGAGGCTTTCTTCACAGGGCTCAAGAATCCTGTGGCTGCAGAGCAACGTCGAGAGTTAATAAAGGAATTCATGAAGGCTATTGTGGCGGTCAAGAAGTGCACAACTTGTCACTAGTAAGGCTCTTTCCCAGTTTGAGATTTGGTGGATCTCTTCTCACATTTGCACAGTGTCTCTCCAGGATACCGTAAAGATCGTTACTCCAAGGTATTCCGCAAGGCCCTACCCGAGAAAGCAAAGGTAGCGATGAAACTGGCTGGAATGACAGCACCCAATCCTCTCATCGTCCTGCAGGAGGAAAAGAAACTTCTCAACAAGACTAAAGAACAAGAAAAGCAAGCCGCTGCTATTGGACAGGTCACTGAACTACATGGAGCAGAGGAGGAAGTTGTCCGGGCAAACGCTGCGGTTGATCATCAAGCCGGTAACCAAGCCGGTTCCGAAGGTGGTCAACAGTTTGTCCCATCTCCTGAGGTCTATGCTGCTATCTGCTTGTTGTTCGAAAAAGAAAGAGAAATTTTGAACCTGGTCTATAGCTCGCGGCTTGGATCAAAAGTTACTCCTGATATGCTGTTCGTGAAGAACATTCTCGTTCCACCGAATCGTTTCCGTCCACCTGCGCAGCAGGGAGGAGAAATAATGGAGGCACAGCAGAACACACCGTTTACGCAGATTTTGAAAACGTGTGATTTAATAAACATGATCAGTCACCAAAGGCAGACAGCTGAGTCGACCGGTGCTGCAATGCGAGAATATCGGGACCTGCTCCAAGCCATGGTTACTCTTCAGGAGCAAGTCAATATGCTCATTGATAGTGATCGTGGACCTGCTGGATTTGCTGCCTCGCGGTCTGCGAATGGCGTTAAGCAGCTTCTGGAGAAGAAAGAGGGTCTATTCAGAAAGAATATGATGGGCAAGCGTGTCAATTATGCTGCTCGAAGTGTCATTTCTCCTGACCCTAGTTTGGAGACACATGAAGTCGGTGTTCCTATGGTCTTCGCCAAAAAGTTAACTTTCCCTGAACCGGTTACGTCTTTCAACTTCCATGAATTGAGAGAGGCTGTGATTAATGGGCCAGACAAGTACCCTGGTGCATCGGCTATCGAGAATGAATGGGGTCAGGTTGTGAACCTCAAATTCAAGACCCTTGACGAACGTACTGCCCTTGCCAACCAACTACTCGCTCCCTCGCACGCAAAAATGAAGGGAAATCGTAACAAGAAGGTTTACCGCCATCTTACCACTGGTGACTACGTTGTTATGAATCGTCAACCCACCCTTCACAAACCTTCGATGATGGGACATCGTGCGCGAGTCCTGCCAAATGAACGGGTCCTCCGGTTACCTTACCCAAATACAAATTCGTACAACGCTGATTACGACGGTGACGAGATGAACATGCATTTTCCACAGAATACGTTAGCTAGAGCAGAGCTCTCAATGATTACAGATGCAGACCGTCAGTACATTTCTTCGACCGACGGGAAACCTCTCAGAGGCTTGATTCAGGATCACATCACAGTATCGACATTTTTGACGAGCCGAGATTCGTTTTTCGATGAAGAAGAGTACCAGCAGCTTCTGTATAGTTGTTTGCGTCCTGAACATGCCAACACTGTCACTGACAGAATACAGCTTCTTGAGCCGGCTTTCATTCGTCCACGGCGTCTTTGGACCGGTAAGCAAGTTATTTCAACTGTTCTTAAGAATATCACGCCACCGGACAGGAGAGGTCTTAATCTCCAAGGGAAATCATCAACTCCCGGCGAAAGGTGGGGAAAAGGGAACGAAGAAGACAAAGTCATATTTAAGGATGGCGAGCTTCTTTGTGGTATCCTCGATAAAAAGCAAATCGGTGCTTCAGGCGGCGGCTTCATCGACGCTATTCATGAAATCTATGGCAACGCAATCGCAGGAAGCTTGCTTAGTATTCTCGGACGGCTTCTTACTCGCTTGTTGAACATGCGGGCTTTTAGTTGTGGTATCGACGATCTTCGATTGACTCCAGAGGGAGACCGTCGACGTTTGAATATTATTGAAAAGGCCAACTCACTTGGACGCGAAGTGTCCTTGAAATATGTCACCCTTGATAAAAATCCCAGTTCGGAGCAAGATGCCGAATTACAAAGACGCCTGGAAGATGTCCTACGCGACGATCAAAAACAGTCTGGCTTGGACAGCGTCTACAACTCTCAAACAAGGAAGCTTACTTCAGATATCACCGCCGAGTGTCTTCCACACGGCCTTATCAAACAGTTCCCTTGGAATCAAATGCAGCTGATGACTACAACCGGTGCTAAGGGTTCAAGTGTTAACGCCAATCTGATTTCGTGCAACCTTGGACAACAAGTTCTCGAGGGTCGTCGTGTTCCAGTCATGGTAAGCGGCAAGACGTTGCCGTCTTATAGAGCTTTCGAGACTCACCCGCAAGCTGGAGGTTACGTGTGTGGCCGTTTCTTGACTGGAATCAAACCCCAGGAGTATTATTTCCACACCATGGCAGGTCGTGAGGGTCTTATCGACACTGCTGTCAAGACTGCGAAATCAGGTTACTTGCAGCGTTGTTTGATCAAAGGCATGGAGGCCGTTAAGGTGGAATATGATTCTTCCGTACGAGATACTGCCAATGGAGGCGCTGTCATTCAGTTTGTTTATGGTGAAGATGGTCTGGATGTCGCAAAGCAAGTTCATTTGCAAAATTTCAGCTTCCTGGCACAGAACTACGTCTCCACTATGGCTCAATTAAACATGACTTCGGACTTCCGCTCACTTGAGAAACCAGAAGTCTTACAGTGGCATAAGGATGCCTTGAAACAGGCAAAGAAAGCTAGCAAGAAGGATATAAAAGATCCGACTTTGTCCGTATATCATCCTGGTGGACACTACGGCAGTGTTTCAGAAGCCTTTTCGTTGGCCTTAAAGAAGGTATATAAACCTCTTGTCTCTTTTTCAGTTTACAGTAAGCTAACAGTGATTTTGTAGTACGAGGAAAATAATTCCGATAAGCTCCTCAAAGACAAAAAGGCAGGTGTTGCTGGAACATTGAGCAAGAAGGCCTTCGAAAGCGTTTTACAAATGAAGTATTTGAACAGCGTGATCGATCCTGGTGACGCCGTCGGTATCGTTGCTGGCCAGTCTATTGGTTCACAAACAACCCAGATGACACTGAACACGTAAGATTACTCTCATCTCTCCTATTATTCCCGTACTAACTCTCCTTGGCAGGTTTCACTTGGCAGGTCACAGTGCTCGTAACGTCACTCTTGGTGTTCCTAGACTTCGCGAAATTGTGATGACGGCTAGCAAGAAGCCTATGACTCCAACTATGTCGGTGGAAGTCATCAAGGAGTTAAGCGAGGAAGCTGGACAGTCTTTCGCAAAGGGAATTAGCAGACTCAGCATCGCCGAGGTTATTGATACTCTTCAAGTGAGAGAGAGCACAACTTCTGGCAAGGGTGCAAAAGCGAAAATATACGACATTGATATCAAGTTCTTTGACGCGAAGGAATACTCCGAGGAATATGCCATTACGAAGCGCGACCTCGTAAGAGCACTCCAGGATGAGTTTATACCTCGGTTCATGAAGATGATCAAAGCCGAGATCAAGAGACGTGAAGACGAAAAGAACCTCAAGTCCATTACAGCTGCTCAGCCAGATATTGGTGTGTCGATTGGTACCACTGAGTCTTTCGAAGGTGCGCCCCGAGAAACACAAACGACACAAGGAGGAAACGATGGCGATGAAGCAGATGAGGATAATGAGGACGATGAAGAAGATGCCAAGCGTGCGAACAGCAAACAGAATCGTGATAACCAGGTTAGCTACGAAGAGCCAGACGAAGACGAAGATAGGATAAGGAGAGACCAGGACGACTCGGATATGGACTCAGATGATGATGAGAGCAAACCCCAAAAAGAGAAAACGCAAGGGGACGACTCGGAATCATCTGACGATGAGGATGAGATTTCCGCTGAAGCAAAGCTTGATAGGACGGACGCCAAGATGCGTGCAGAGGAGATTATGGGCAAATACGACGATATCAGTTCATTTAAATTCGATTCGAAGACCGGCAATTCTTGTTTCATCCGACTAGAGTATTCTATCGGCACACCGAAGCTTTTAGTCCTTCCCCTTGTTGAAGATGCGGCTCGGCGTTCGGTTATTCAGGCAGTTCGTGGTCTTGGTGCGTGCCTTTACAACCCCGCTGATACAGAAAAGGACGAGCCAGCCACCATCGATATTGAAGGTGTGAATCTGTTAGCCATGCGCGATTACCAGGATTACATAAACCCGCACAAGATCCGCACGAACTCGATTCATGACATGCTCATTTACTATGGCGTCGAGGCAGCTCGTTCCACCATCATCCGTGAAATGTCAGATGTCTTCTCTGGTCACAGTATCACCGTCGATAATCGTCATCTGAACCTGATTGGTGACATTATGACACACAGTGGTGGCTTCAAGTCCTACAGCCGAAACGGACTCATCAAAGAAAGCAATTCTCCTTTTACAAAGAGTTCATTCGAGACTAGTGTTGGCTTCATGAAAGAAGCTGTCCTTGAGCGGGATTACGATGATCTGAAGAGTCCAAGTAGTCGTATTGTTGTCGGACGGCTCAACAATGTCGGCACTGGTGCATTCGATATCTTGGCTCCTGTGGCATAAACTTGTATAGATTGGTTTACTTCATCGAGAGTTTCGTTGTACTTTGAACGTCGCCATGTGCATATAGCAGCGTTTGTTCCTTTGTCGTTTGGAGTTTGGAAGCCTTTCTTTCTTTTCTCTTTCTCTCTTTTTGTTTCACGATTAGACGACGTCCTTTGTCTTGCAATTATTGAAAAAAAAGTTTTGTATATTGGAGCAAGATGTCTTTGCCAACCTGTAAAGAAGTACGTAGTAAAAAGAAATGCAAATATCTAAATAAATTGTTTCCAATTTATAGCTGAGAAAGAATGTACACGACTCTTTCCGTGGGTCTGGTTGTTGACTGTTTTGCCTGTGAAAGACTTAATATAGGTATCTAAGGTGTTCGACAGAATAGTAACAATGATTTTTGCCTGAGGGTGAATAGCGTATCATCTACTTGTTCGAAAGGTTTCACTTCTGATAATGCTTCTGGCAATTATGCTGGTGGCGTCTCTTTCAAATAATAAGTATTAGTTCTTGAACTGGTTTAGAAAGCTGCGCGGGATTTGGGCGCAAAGAGACAGATATCAAAGCGGGAAAACATGTGAAAATGGAAGTCTTCTTGTCATACAGGGCTGAAAAAGGAATTGCAATGCTTCCTAAGAAGTATCTCATGTGTCTAACATCATCAGTTCCTCGTCAATGTCGTCATCAAATTCATCTCTGTCAGCTTGTACGTCCATCGCTTCGTGACCGTTTCCTTGTGTAAGATGTGACTCCAAGACCCGGCCCTCTTCTAGCTTGCGTTTCACAATTTGCTCATCTAGTTGTGCTGGAGTCCAGCTGGAGATGCCTTCATGGTCTTTGGCCTTGAAGGGCTGCGCCATTGTGCGTAGGAAATTTTTCGCGGTCGCGACAGCCATGTCAGTACTTAGATTTACCTCGCTTTCCAATATAGTTTGACTGATCCATTTTGGAAGCTGGGCTCTCTTGCGCGCGAAGCGTTTGTCCGCGAGAACCATGATACCGTAATCATCTTTACCACGGATGACACGGCCTAGACACTGCGAAGCATGTCTCATGGCTAATGAGACATATTGTTAGATGTATTGGCAATGTAAGCGTTTAGGCTGATGACTTACCATCGAAAGAGAGGAAATCATTCTCTCGGATACCGTAATTTTCTCGGAGAAACTCGAGTCGTGCCCTCAGTATACGTGATTCCGTGTACTGAAAGGGAACACCAATGCATATGACTGCACGCCCATACTGATGATCGAAATCCACACCTTCTGCCACTTTGCCTCTGTTCAAAGAGTTAGCATTCGAATGTAATCATGTTCTTTTCTTCTCAATTTTATTATACACACCTCGCGACGGACATCAAAATGCTGTTCACATATTGTTAATAACATGGAATTCAAGGATAGACTGAAAATCAATCAAATGTAGGATCACGTACGCTCCACGGCCATTGCAGCATGCTGTTCGATAAGTTTCCAAAGCTAGAGATGACTCTTGAGCATCCGGAGTTTCGACCAAAATGAGCTTATAATTCCAGATCATATCCAATATACCCATACCGGACCACACGTGTAATGTGGACTCCATGTACAAGTACGACGGAAAGAAAACCACGATGCCGTCAGGAACGACCCTGGCAAAGTCAAGCAGTAAAGAACCAAAATTGCGCAAGTTACTTGGATCATTTCTTGTCTGAAAAGAGGAAGAAATTTGTGATTGATCTGATCCTCTAGTAACTATCATCGGAAGGAAAGAGCGCCGGGCAAGGGTCATAGTATAAGACTCTTGTAAGACTGGGGTGAAGTCGAGCATCTTAGGAAACATGTCCAGAGGAGTTAAAGTACCTGTACATTTATTAGTGATTGCACAGGTCAATTTGGTGTCAATACATGCCGGAAGTTACGACTATAGACGAAAAACGTTCGACCACAGGACGGAAAGCTATGGCAGCATCAAGGCACGCAAGATGTAGCACGGGGTTAGGGACTGTGGCGGCCTCAGATTCAAACGGTTCTAAAATCAGTAAAAAGCCACGGTCGTAGGTGCTAACAAGCGTGGCGAACATTGCAACTTCTTGTAGCGGTTGATAATCTTCAATATTCATAAGCTCCAGAGTACGGACGAGAGAAGTTAGTCGTTCCGAGCAAAATTTGAGCGGTTTTGCCTCGATGAAAACAAGTTCACGTAAATGTTGTAAGAAGCTTGGGGTCGTCTCGCTGATAGTATGCGTGACTTTCATTCGTGTCATCAGATATTGTATGAATCTCTGCAGAAAAGCTATGAAGTGTTCCGCACGGCGAATGTTTCCAGGCACAGCCTCTTCGATATCATTAGTGGATTCCCTTGCCAGAAACGATATGTAAGGTAAAAAGCATACCACTTAGTAGGTCATTTGGTAAAACGGGATTTGACATAATCAAGTCCTCGTCTCTTGCTTCTTCGGTAGCCTTCAAACCTTCAACAAGTTTTGTGTACTCTGATTGCAATTTTTCGGCATCTGACGATTTCAATTCCTCAATTTTGCGTTCGAGGTTCTTGGCTCCTCTGGAGGCCTTCCGTAATGAATCCTCAGTCAAATCAATGCTGAGCAATATAAGTTAACATAAGGTTGCAATGGATATAATTCAAGACATCTAACCTGAGCGACTCAATAGCCACATTATCAATATTGTGAGCCTAGATAATATTAGAAGGCAGTTAGTTTATTAGTATGAAGAATATCTTGAAAATTGCCGAACCTCATCGAAAACAACAATACAGTCCTTCGATAGCTCTTTTGATACTCTTTCTGCGATCTTAGGATCCAGAAGGTAATGATAGCTGTAGATTATGACGTTGCAATATGGTAACTGAAATCCCAATGTTAGAGAAATACACACAGTATTACTATACACTGAGAGACTACCTTACCATGCGTCTGACGGTGAAATACGGACATGTGACCTTTTCTTGACAGTATTTTAGGAGATCACCGAATGAAAACACACCCGGCTCAATTAAATTATGCGGTTCTAGTAGATCCAAGTTCTGTGTTTTCGAGTTAGTAAGATTAGATGAAATAGGTAACCATAAACTCACATCATGATATGTACAGGTGTCGACCTCTTCGCCGCGTTCCTTCTTTTGCGCTACAAAGGACGCTGTGAGGCTCCTGCACCGCGCATCAACGACCGTTCCACTTTTTTCGCGTTTTACAGATGGATGCAGACAGAGATTCTTCCGGCTGGAGAGTCCCAGTCCACGGAAGTCTTCTGTGTAGCCTAATTGCGATGCGCGATATTTCATGAGAGCCTTTAGTTCGTGAAGCGCCTTGTCTTGTTTGAGTTAGTCTCGAAAGCTGTAGTCTATCGAAATAGATCATTGATTACCAATTTCACTCATGGTTCGAGAGCAGTAGATGAGTTTCCTGGAGTCGCCATGGTGCTGTTGATAGGCGACAATGAGCGATAAGAGGGTCACGGTTTTGCCTTTTGGGTTTATCAACATCAACAATCTGTGCATAATGACCGTGAATAGCCTGCTACCTACCAGTTCCAGAGGGCATTTCAAGTAGACAGTGTCCAGCGCTATCTAGAGCCTTTTTCAGGTCGCACATATATTGCCTGATAGCATGTTAGAAATTACTTCGATACAAGAAGGCCCAAGAACGAACCATTGTTCAGGATAAATCTTTGGATACGGAAAAAGCACTTCGAGTTCACTATAAATTTATTGATTAGCCAGTGCCAGCTACTTTAAAGCCATGTGAGCTAACTAACTCTATCTTGAACCTCATCTTGGAGATGGTCGGAGGCTCCGGGGAGTCTTCAACGTGGCTCAGGAAGTGAGCCGCAAAGCGGCCACAAGGTCAAAGACGTAGTAGAAATCTTGAGATTGGACTTTTCAAAATGTACTCCGTATCTGGATTTGGTATTGCCGATATAATTCTAGTGAGGTGGTGTTGAGATGGAGCTCTGATAGAGTCGAGCCAAATTCAATCTCAAGTGACGTTGCGGCTAAAACTTAAGAAAGGTTCCGGTCTAGCCGTGTTGGGCATAATGCAGCGCGTAACCAAACGCCAAACCACGTGACGATAAAGCTTTCTTTCCTAAGTGGGAGCCCGCTGCGGGGAGGTCTTTGACGTCTTCGACGACACCAAACTCAGCCTTCTGACGATTCTAAAGAGCCTCAATGCTGAACATGGTCTAGTAACCAGCTCTGGCCAGCTCTACATGTCATCTGAGGACTTGCAGTCCCGTATATAACTCGCATGCCTTGTTGGATGGCACCGGTTCTTCAATCTAACCCCACACAATGAGCAAAAAGTTCAAGTCGCAGGCCTCCAGTAGTCGCGCTGCTGCTGGCAGTCTCGGAGGGTTTACCAGCACTTTTGGCGGTTTTTCAATCGATTCGGCATCGTATACAAATGCGCCCTCGTCGCTGTCCTATGTGGCCGAGCCTCCGGACCTGACCCGCATCTCAGATGCTAATCTGGTGGTGGCCTTCAAAAATCTTACCAAGAAGGATGACACCACTAAGACTAGAGCGCTGGAGGATATCAAGGAAACGATTGTGAGGCTCGGGAATCGTAGTGATGACCTGGAGGATGGATTTTTGGAGGCCTGGGTATGAAGTCGTTTAAAACTCATGTTCAGATATGATGGTAACAAGCCCTGCAGACCAAAGTATATCCCCGGAATTCCATAGAAAATGCTCGCAGAGTGCGGCAGCTTGCACACACAATTCAGGGTCTAATTGCATCGCTTGCTGGCAAGCGAATCGCGCGTTATCTCCCCAAGGTAATCGGCGCTTGGCTAGCAGGACTCTATGACAACGACAAACTTGTCTCGCGTTCTGTAGTGGAATCAGTATCTCAAGTATTCACCACTGAAGAAAAGCGTCTTAGTCTTTGGAAAGTTTTTCAAACCTCGATACTGGAATTTGTCGATGATGTTATCCTCCATCAAACTGCCTTGAGTCTCAGTGATGAGAGAATCGTGAAGCCCGAAGATGCTGAAGCCAAGTTCGCGAGAGTGTCTGCCACTGCGATCCTGCTTTTCAACCGTATAATAAGTGAGTAATTTGATCAAACTTGGGCATCTCGCTTTCGCTAACCAGACTTCAAGGCACTGCTGCACCGGAGCAAATATCCAAGGATCTACCTGTCATCCAGACCATTTTGAACAGTAAGAATATTTGGTCTTTCGCCCATAATGCAGATTCATTTGTTCGTCATTCAACATATCGCCTCCTGCGATCCTTCTTAGCACGGGACTTTGAAAGTATTGATTGGCGAATAATCAGCCACAGCATTATTTCGCAAGCTTTACCAACATCGCAACTTGGTTCTGCTACTGAGTTCTCCGAGACAATCCTGCAGTTATCTCAAACAAGACCGCAAGTATGGACTACCGATTTTAGTGGGAAGACTTCTGCCAGCAAGAGATTGCGCCAATACATTCAAAAAGGATCCCAGGGCGCCGCGGAATCATACTGGTCCAACCTGGTCGAAATGCTTAAAATTATTCCATCCGAAGTGATTAGCAGCTATGCTTCTAAAACTAAAGAAACTTCTCAGATTGGGAGTCCACAAATCAAAGCTATCATGAATGACCTGCTGGATGCCTTGACATCTAGGGATGAGCCGCGATATAACCTTAAAACAGGTTGGGCAGCTTACTATGATATAGGAATCTGGCTGTCAACCCTCATTCCTGAGCAAGAAAGGAACGAATTTGTTGAAGAATTTTTGACACAGATTTTCAATCCGTATGTAAATGGCCAGGGTGACAATCGGTGGATGTTGCCTGCGTTTAGCGCCTTCGACACTTGCAAAGTTGCCTTTTTGAGACTTGCTAGTCATGGATGCGACGCAGAATTAAAATTCGCATGGAAAACTGCTACACAAGATCTGCTTCAAGCAGTTAAACTGTCTTTGCCAGAGCAGTCCAAAGATTTTAAATCGTCGCAGGAGGAGGTTTGCGCCAAAGCCAACCGCTATTTCAAATTACAAGCGGCAATCCTTTCAAATTCCTCACCAGAGAACAATTCGATTACCGTATTATTTCGGGAAACGAGTTTGCTTCTTTTGGAGGGCTCACTGCAGGCATTACAGGCCCGAAATGGAAAGCCTTACGGCGCCGCTGCAGTTGTGGAAGAAGCAATTCGCCATGTGCCACAACTGGTTGAAACCTCTGAAGCTGTTATCGAGGCTCTCAAAGCTGGGATTCCCAAGCTTCTCACAACCCCGTCTGCGGATAGAATCATGTCGGTGGTTCTTATGTGCAGTGACTGGGAAGAGTTTGATTCTGTATTCGATGCTTCACTGCAACAGATGACAGAAGCAACTCCAGACGGCTCAAGTGGTTCCGCACTTCAGAAATTGCTTTCTACCGTTGACTTCCAGAAAGTGCAAGATTCATCTCATTTGGTATCCATTGTGTCGACAAGCGTTGGGAAGGCAATCCGAGGGAACCAATCGGAATGGCCGATCGCCTTCTCGGTGGCTGAGAATAAGACAGTACCTGATGACATAATTAATGAAATTGTCATGGCCCTACTGAGCGGACTGTCATCAGATGAAGATTCTATTATCGCTACGCTTTCTGGGCTTTCAAATTTTGGAGGACAGAAACCAGAAGCTCTTCGACGTCTTAGAAAGGGTAGAGATGGCTCCCGCCTTGTGGCACGCTTACTCTATTTGACTGAGTCGCCGATAGACGAGATCAGTCAGAAATCTGTCCAATTAGAGAAGAAAATGAGAGAGACCGTGTCGGCAGATATTACTTTGGCATCGAGCCGGGAGATTGTAGAGCAGGGATTAAAATATGCGGGCCCTCAATCACTCTCGTAAGTAGTGGCTTTCTCCATTTTCATTATTAAGCGTGCTAACTTCTTTTCGATCAAAGTATTGATGTTCTCTCGGACATGGCGCAAGATCTGTTTCGGAATACCAAGCCTGCGGATTTACATTCTTTATTAATTGACATATTCCCCTCAGATGGATTGTGGAAGGAATCCTTGGGACCATTCCTGGAATTGCCTATCAGACTTTCCACGTCAATTACTAGTCCTCTAGGCGGAGCTGTCAACCTTCTGAGTAACGACTTGTCGTCAACTGCTCAGCAAGACCTAACAAATGTACAGCGGGATTCCGTGGGTGCATCATCGGCTTTTCGGTTGGCAACATATGTTGTGAAGATTCTCTCTCTGCCAAATGTACTCGTGTCTCTCAATGCCCAGCAACGCGAGAGCCTCTTTTACTACTTGCCGCTTGCTCTGCAATTGATTGACGACGATGTTGGCATTGAAGCCTCAATTGGAATTGTTGGACTGGAGCTCTCGGAGGACCGAGACGAGGCTTTGGAGGTTGTTAGCGATGGTCGATCAATTATAAGTCAATGGACTCACTCAGACACACGTTTAAGTGACAATGGTCGTACTATCCAAGAAGATCTTCTAGGTTTATGGGAGCTCAGGGTTGGCGCTTTGGACGATCTATCACCCGAGAGTTACCGGATCGGTCAAGCATACGTGAAAATAATATCCGGAGTAGATGCTACTAAGGGCTCTGACGCACTTACTGGTCTCGCACGAGAAATTCGGAAGTATAATCCGATACGTGCGGCTTCAGAACTTGCTGTCTGGGGCCCCAGTTTATCCTTATCACCATCTGGCACACGCTTATGCAATGAACTAATCGCAGATGTCACTGGTTTCAAGCCAAAAAAAAATCTTACCGACGGTAATAAGGATCTATTTCTTACTTATATATAGGGATAATCACTGACTCGATACAGGACCCAAAAGCGTTGTGCTTCTTAATCTTTTGACCCAGAGTATGGAAGGTATTTTAGATACGATTCCTACGCAGCGGCTGGTATTTCTTGTTAAAAACCTCATCCATATTTTGCAAGAAAACCCAGATTCGACAAGCATCAAGACTGAAGCGTTCAAAGCTCTGTCAGCGATTTTGAGACCTCTTTGCGAAATCTACGGTTCACATTGGATCGAATCAATTGAACTTCTAAACACTACTTGGAAAGATATCCGTGGTGGAGATGCAGAGCTTCCCGTTCTGCATTCGTCCCTGAGACTCTTCTCTGCTTTGAGAGATCTAGTGCAATCCGAGAGCAATGACGATTTGACGGATGCGTGGAATGAGTCCAAACAAGATCTATTCGAGAATCTCCTCTCTACCCTGTACAGATTAGGTATGTGTGAAAGAAACAACGAAGCGTTAACTAATCAGGTATTGACAACAGCAGATACATCAAGCGCTGTTTTCCAGCCTCGGGACATTACGGCAGATTTGTTGAGACGAGAACTCATGCACATACCAGTGGAGTCTCTTGCGAATAAGAATGACATGTTCTCGCTGTTAGCCGCTGAATGCAAAAATATTCAACAGACAGCTTTTGAGATACTCCATCGACATATACCGCAAGCTCAAGAACAAGTATCATTTGATGTTGCCTTGTCAAAGACAACTGTCAACCTTCCCGACGAATTGTTGTCTCTATTACTCGAAGCCCCGCAAGCAAAATTAATCACTCCAACGAGTGACACCACGGCGTGGATCAGGATCCGGGGTTATTTGCTGAGTTGGAAATTAGTTTTCGACCATTTTTTGAATTCTGTGAGTATACTCATCTTTTGTCCGTGAAATACAAAAATGAAGCTAACTTATTTTGTTTCTTCTCTGTAGTCGCTACCTGTTCAGGAAAATTACGCCGAGAACATTAAGGAGAATCAGAATTTACCCCCCCTGTTAGAGTTTACCTTTGACTTCCTCCAAAAGTCTCACGGCAAACTTATCGATGCTTCCAAGTTCGATATCCGTTCATGGGAACCCACTGATGAACCCGGCGAGAGAGATACGCAGTGGCTGCTCATACATCTTTACTTCCTTGCTCTCAGACACCTTTCCACATTTACGAAAAACTGGTGGATCGATAGCCAAAAGCGAATCAAGGGCCCAGTCGAGACTTGGACAGAAAAATATGTAAGCACCGCTGTCCAGGTCACATAGAATAATTTGAATACTGAATTGGATACTACAGATATCACCATATATCATCGAAGACGCATTAAATAGCGTCTCTGCATGGATTGAGACTCAGGAAGAGGATGAAGAGCGGCCGCTCTCTGTCAAAGTGTCCCATCGGGCTGCAGAGCTTATTGCCAGTATTCCAGTAGACGAAGATTCCCCTCCAGTAGCCATGGCAATATCTCTTCCGCCGGCCTATCCACTACAGCCTGCGATTGTTACAGGCAAAAGCCGTGTGCTCGTTGACGAGCGGAAATGGCGCAGTTGGATGTTGATCGTTCAGGGTGTGATAATGTTTTCCAATGGCAACCTCGTGGATGGCCTGCTTTCATTCCGAAGGAATGTGCAGGGCGCCCTGAAAGGACAGAGCGAATGCGCTATCTGCTATTCTGTCATTTCCACGGACATGCAGACCCCCAACAAGCGCTGTGCGACCTGCAAGAACGCCTTCCATTCAGTTTGCCTCTTCCGATGGTTCAAGAGTAGCAACCAGAGCACATGTCCACTTTGCCGAAATAACTTTGTTTATGTTTGATTTCTGTTTTCTCTTCTTCGTGGACGGTGTCATGAGCGACTTTCCATATCTTGCTTGCATTTATTAGGAAATGTATAATAGGTAGTCGATAGAAAGCATAGACACAACTAACCGTGGTCTTTATACAAGACATTCCAAGGAAAACAAATCCCTTCATAGATTCTGTTCATGGTTCCTGTTGCATAGTAAATATATATAGCTGTGCCTGAGGCCGTGGGGCAGGCTGATTGATGCCCCACCGAGAGATCCCTGCGGACTTCTGCTTCACTCTCAAAAACCGCGTCACATACAAATATAAAGAGATGTATAGATGCCCCCAAGTTGACCCCATCCCTCATCACCAACTGTCTCTACCATGTCAGCAAGCCAGATACCAAATCTCAACACGCTCCGGCGCGGGGGAGGCGGGCTGCGAGGGCGACTACGCGCTCGAGGTCGCGGATCCGGCGCTCCATCAGAGGACGACTCGCCTCAAAGCCAGACAAGAAGCGCCGCTGAACAAGATCGAATCATCCAGGGCACTGATAACGATGCCAGTGTTTCGAGGCTGAGTGCTGTGGAACTAGGCTATCTGGACGATGTTTTTGCGAAGATTTTGACACCAGCAGCGCCAGGTTCCAGGAGGTTCCCTATCATTAATCGAGGTAATTATGTGCATACTTTCCAATTTATTTTTCTGTGCACGTATAAACTTGGTTGAAAACTTCTAGGTACATATGCTCGAACATCAGCTATTGATGAGTTGGTTAATCGCTTCCTTGAGGACGATGAAGGGCATCCCACCAAAAAGCAAATCATATCACTTGGAGGGGGTTCAGATACACGGCCGTTTCGAATATTCAGCGAGAAACAGCCAAGCTCACTAGTATATCACGAACTTGATTTCTCAATAAATACCTCGGCGAAGGTTAAGGCGATACGTTCCTCGCCGCTTCTGCGGAGAACCGTACAAGTCCGCTCTGAAGCCCAACACAGTAGCGGCGACATGATGATAACCCCAGCGGGAGATGCCTTGCATCTACCAAATTATCATATCCATCCAATTGATTTGCGGTTACTTGCGGCCGAAGCAGACAAAGTCTCTGCCAATGGAGCCGAAAGCAATACCACATCGACATCGACGCAAAACATTCTACCGGGAGTCGATACTTCTCTACCGACACTTCTTATTTCTGAATGCTGCCTTACATATCTATCACCCCACGACGCGGATGCCGTGGTCGACTACTTTGCCCGGACTCTCTTCCCATTCACAACGCCTCTGGGGCTAATCATCTACGAGCCTATAAGACCAGAGGACGCATTTGGAAAGACCATGGTATCAAACCTTGCTGCAAGAGGCATCCACCTGCAAACGCTACACAAATACTCGTCCCTACCGGCACAGCGGCAACGGTTGTTGGACCATGGATTTCAGACGGGCCAGGGGGCTGTAGATGTCGACTTCATCTGGAACAATTGGATTAGCGGAGCTGAAAAGGAGCGTGTTGCAACGTTGGAAATGCTGGACGAGATCGAAGAATGGAGATTACTGGCACAGCATTACTGTGTGGCTTGGGGATGGCGGAATGTCAGTAACGATAGGGAGTTTAGTTCCTGGAAGCAAATAAAGAGAGAGTAATCAAGCAGAGTCAAACAAATAGTTTGCAGACATACCAAATCATCCAGTGTTGGCGACTTTCAGGGAAGGAAAACGTATGTAGCTATACTGACGTCATGACGCCTGAAGCTCTCCCCGCATTTTTCGCTTTTCTTCCAGCAGAACTTCTTCTTTCTTTACCAACCATTGAACCAAAACTTATTGTACATATAACTAACGGATAACTCGACATTCCCACCATGTCTGAATCGCTCGCCGCATTCCGTAAACACCGCCGCGAGGAGCTGGCAAAGCTCGCAGAGCAACACCTCCAACACGACCTCCAACCGGCTGACCGCGATGCCCTATTAAACGCAGCAACGAGAGTGTCAACCTGGACCTTGATTGGTTCTGCGGTGGGGATTGGGCTGGGCTTCTATGTTGCTTTTCGACTCAGAAGCGTGCGCAAGACCATCTTCGAGGCGTTCAAAGCACAGGAGAAGCCGGTGAGTGTTGTCTTTGCGGATGGACGGACTGGTAAGAACTTGGATTGATTGACTATTGGCGCACTGTATGAGATGCTTATTTGTCTTATAATTCACTAGAGAGTATCCCTGACATCACCCCGTTGCTCAAGCCGTCAACATGGGGAGACTTTGCGACTTATTTCTTCGCCTCTGCTGGAGGATTATTCCTGGGCGGAGAACTAGGTTAGTTGCCTTTTTATTTTTTTTCTCTCTTTCGGTTTGAGAACAGCTTTATTACTATTCTTTGTTGCTTCGCAATGAAAATAAAGCTGACGTGTGTGGACAAATGTTCTAGGCCTCCTAGGCGGCTCAGCCAGTGCCAGCCGCAGTATCACTAAAGATCCCGAGACCAGGAAAAGGATAGAAAATGCGTTCCGCAAGTTCAGAGCAGATGTCCTGCGAAAGCAAGCCGATGACCTTGATCGCGGGGTTGAAGTGTGGGATAAGATGTTCTGATTGACCTACAGCGATCTGACGGCCTCAAAATGTCCTTCACTCATCGGTGTCGGCGTAGGACAGTTGACTTGTTTTATATGGTGGAGTACCTTGTAGTATGGATTGTTCTTTTGGTTTAAAAGATGATGGCCTCTATTCTGTATTATTTTTATGAATATACCGGAGTATAATGTGCAATGTCATTGATTTTTCAGTTCGTACGTTAAAACGTGCTTGGATCATCGCTTTCTTGGAGGATCAGCTGACTATATACAAACTATATTCATTGGCTATACTAAAACCCTATTCCACTAACACGCATGGAATATACAGGTATTTTCCAAGATTCTAGGTATCTATTCAAAAGAGAATCTGAATTGGATACTAGGGACCTCCGAACTGTTCTTCGGCATGGTGAATGTCAGATTCCAGAACTCGAAATCACTGGAAAGAAAGACGAACGTTAGTATAAAACAAGCCGAGATCCCTAGCAGAGAAATATATCAAGAAGAGAAATTAACTTACTGAACTATATCGCAAGTTCCGCCAACCAATCCACAGAAAGAAACCTCAGGGACTGGGTTAGCACTGCCACCAACCACCTCAATGTTCAACCCGTCGACGTCCTCCAGCCCAAAGATGTCACGCTTTGCACCCAATGGGTTTGAGGCGAGAACAAAGGTGAACGTGCTAGTCTCGTTACCGAGGGGATAGGTCAAATTCAGAGCGTACGGGGACACGCTGGCCTGCAGAGCGGTTTCCGTTGGATATAAGTTGAAATAACCGATGGAGCCACCAGGACGTAGCCATTGAACAACAGAAGGGCTGAAAGAGGTTGAATCTTCCGAGTAGCCACCGACGACACTCTGGTTGAATGAGTCCGTGCCAATGGTCAGGTTCGCCGATAGCCAGGTGCTAATGTTGCGCGGTTCGTAATCTGCCGGAGGAGCGTATGTCTGTCCAGTGTATGTGTGCTCGCCAATGAAGGATCTGAGCCGGTGGAGGATGGAATTCGGAAGAAGTGTCTTGTGGAATTCTGAGAGTACCGCGATAACAGGCGCGATTTCAAAATCGTCGGCGTGTGTCATGGTTCCGATGGGTGAGCTGTAGTGCCAGACCTTCTCCTTTCCTACTAATGACCATATCCATTCCGCCATGATGGCGACGTAGTTGTTCATGTCGTAGCCGTAAGAGCGATCCCATGGACCGGCAAAATTCCGCAGGTTAGGATTCCATAGTAAGGACTCGTACTCCCAGATATCCTGGATCACACGCTCCGCATTTTGGCCAATGACCGAGCTGGTGGATGAAAGGTATTTTGCTGCGATGGTGAGAGCATACAAAGAGACACCGGCGTAGGTTGGACCGTTGAATTCAGGCAAAGTGCCGTTGATGTCGAAAAGGTTCAAAAATTCTTGGGCGTACACGTCTCCAGACGTGGTCATGTTGGAGTCGTTCAATTTTCGCCCAGTCCAGGAGGTGGCCACAGTCCTCATTAACCAAGCATTGGAGTAGGCTGGGTAGAGATTGTCTCCATCGACGCCTCCAACACGGTAGGAGTCGCCCACAGTGTTGTTGTACAAACTTTCGAGGATCAGATCTTGGACGTTTGGCGGCAGCAAGCTTCCAAACTCCTCATAGATCACGATCAAGGCGGTGCCAATGAAGCCTCTCCAGTTGGGATCCCATGAGTTGTAGATCTGTTATGGTTCAGAAAATCAGATGGTCATCCATCATCTCTACGTTCACATCTGGGAGGGAGCAAACATACCACAGGTGCGTAGGCAGGAGTTCCGACGGTTGGCTGCTCAGGGTAGACGGTATAATCGCCATACCACTGCAGAGAGGTGTCCTTTTCTTGGTCACCGATGACGTTCTCGAGAATCTTCACAGCCTCAAACAGATCGTTTCCCTGGTTCCGTTGGAGCAGACCAATTGAATGCCAAACAGTTGACCGGGTCTCATGAGGACCAGCTGCGAGAGGGAAATAAAAGTAGCGCAGATAAGAGACTTCAGGATCGTATATTTCGTCCTGGATCATCATCGACTGGTCGAATAGGGTCTGCGCATGCCCGGACAACTCAGCCGAGCGTACAACGCTGGCGGCGCTCAACAGGCCGAGGCCTAAGATCCAATTGGCGCTGGGCAACATCTCGTGCTGAGTTCCGTCTAGGCTAACAATGATACTTTGATAGAAGCAGCCAAGGATGTCTGACACTCAGCCCATGCATGTTCCCTTGGCTCCCTTATACATGCGTCCTCTCCTCCAAAAACCCCTGTAGATAGCCATCATTGTCTATCAACCCCGCGGGAATTGCTGTGCTGCTGTTATCTCTGTTTGCAGATAAGATCAGCAGATATGCACGTCGTTTACAACCTTATTTTCCTTCATGGATGCTGTCGAGCGGCGTGAACGTGGTTAGTGCAAGATTTAGGGCCTGCATTGAGTTTTCGGCTAAGCGCCGACCTTCTCCCAACTACTCCGGCGAGGTTCGGAGGAACCCGGCATACCAGGAATCTGGCTTTTAGATGGATAGGATAGGTTCATAGCTAAGTTACATTATGGACATGCAGATACTTTTATTGCTATCTGCCTGTATGTACATAGACTTCCGTGAAATTTCGTTGATATCGGACCGGAATACCGTGGTCGATGAACCCGGCTATCGGGAGTAGATTGATAGATTGTTCTGTTCTATTTGCTGAAGACGGGGTTGAGGCGAATTTACTGAGTCAATGACCTGCAAACAACATTGAAGGCGATGCTGGTCTAATCTTGAACAGAGGCATAGGCGAAGAAGTATCCTGTGGGCGTATAGTTCATTCTCTGGTGTAGGTATCTAAAAATGAAATTCCACATCCACTGAACGAGCTAGGTAATGTAATAAAAACGCCAACTTCGAATATTGATGATGGCTGTATACTCTATAATATAAAGACAGGAATATACCTTCTTATGCTAGAAAAGCATTCTATCCTATACCAGTAGAAACAAGACTAGAAAAACTTATTATGAACATATTGAAAATTATTTCATTTCACGATTTTGGGTATTTGATTAATCTAAATTTCATATATATCGCACGTTCTGTAAACCGACGTGTTAGGATGATAACAAATTTCCGGCAGGAATACTACTGTACACAAAGATACATCGCGCCTTTGGTAAGTTTACCATCTAGCGGCAGATGCTTACTCCTCCTTGGCGTTGGCTATTTTGTTTTTATACTGCTTGCTTCCAACAAACCACCATATCAGGATCAGGATGGGTAATCCCCCAACCACGACACAAGTGTAGTTCATGTTCTCCACCGTCACAGGCATGTCATAAGGGAAACTGAAGAAGACAATAGCAAAAATGAGCCATGCCACAGTGACACTGTTGACGATCCAGCCCCATCTGCCCATATGGAACACTCCCTTATGCATACCCCTCCTGCCCATGATCATATTCGTGGAAATCGGAATCAAGTATGCGACGTTGTTGATAGTCACAGACGAGCTCAACATGCTGTTAAAGGCCGTACTGCTACCGAGATAGATACATCCCAAAGCTGCGTTGGCAGCGGCAACCAACAGCTGTGCGTTGAAAGGAATACCAAATCGCTTGCTCACTCGGCTCCATACATCAGAGAATGGCATAGCACCATCCCGGGCAAAAGCCCAGAGAACACGCGACGTGGAGAGCTGTGATGAAACAACACAGGGCCCCAGAGCAACGAACAGAATAAAAGTCAGACCGAACGCGCCGCCGACCGACTGGGTTGCCTGGTTGAACAATTCAGCGAGAGGCAGGCCGGTGTTGGTCGTGGACAAAGCCGCGTAGTCTTGAACGCTAAACATTAGCGCAATAAGATAGGTTAGACCAGTCACGAATGCAATTGAAATGGTGATGGCAATTGCAAGCGGTGCGTTGCGCGATGGCTAGGTGAGAGTAAGTATATGTAGGTCAAATCAGAAAGAAAAAAAGAGGGTTGGGGGGGAGGAGCGCAACATACATTTGGCATCTCTTCAGTGATGTGTGTGACTCCATCAAGTCCACCCAGACTGTAGAGAGGGTTTACCAGGCCAGTAATGAAGCAAATAACATTACTATTCCAACCGGTGTTATTGACCCAAGTTCTGAAGACAAACTCGCTGCTTTGGTGTGTCGGGGCACATGCCACAACAGTAACGAGGACGACCAGCCAGCCAATCTGTAGGTAGAATAAAGAAAACCGATTTAGGGCTGGAATGATTTTATTGCCGAAAAGGACCACACCAGCCGTCAGCAAGTTGAGGATTTGGTATATGATGAAGGTCTGCCAGTCCTTGATCACCAAGTCAGGATGATAAAGAGCATAAAGAGCTTGGACTATATAAACATCGTCAGCAAAAGGTATTTCTTTCGTAAGACAAGTGAGCGACATGGATAACTACATACCGACTTCGGCAAAGATCAAGTTGGTCGAGGCAGTGGTGAAAATCCCTAACATAAGTATGAGTAGAGTTCCTATAATATGCATGCCAGCACAAATCACTTACAGCCACAAACGGTCAGCCAGCCCGTGACGAAACTCAAGAACGCGCTCGACCTCTTGGGCGCAATCGCAGCAATCCAATGGTACATGCCACCCTCTGTGGGATAACTGGACACAAACTCGGCGAGAGAGGCACCAAGGAAGCTCTGTAGAACCGTCACCAGAATAAAGCCGTAGATGATGGCACTCGGCCCACCGGCATTGATTTCAGTAACGATACTCAGTCCCAGACCAGTCCATGAGATGGTGGTCGTTGAAGCAAGGCCAATCAAAGACAAGATGCTAAAATGACGCTTGAGTTCTTGGGTATGGCCTTAAGAAAAAAAGGTAATGCGAGTTAGCACGTGCTCTTATTTATTTTCCTCTCATGTCGTCTATGTCTCTGGAACATACCCATCTGCGCCAGTCGAAGCTCGTCCGCATCCATCTCCGACGAAGCTTTGGTCTGAATGACAGACTCCTTGGTACTGAGGTCGGCCATTTTTTCCCCCTTGATTATGTTCTGCGATGACTATAGCATTGGTCTTCCTGACGTGCGGCACAAGCCATGTTTATGAGGCGAGCAAGAGCCTCGTGGAGTCGTGGGTATAGAACAGAAAGCTCCACTGACCCGATAAAACCCCACGGAAAAAAAGGCCCCTTATCGATATCCTTATCAAGCGGCTCCCCCATCGTTTGATACTGCCGGCCCGGTTTACGCCGTACTTCTCCGGATGAACAGAAGTCCATTCAACGGCGAGTGAGTCACGGTAGACTATGGCACATTTTACCGGGTCTAGACACATATTTTAAAATTATCAAGATGAAAGGAATTGAGCTTGAGTGCAATTCAAACGTAATCGAAATATTCTCATTCCGGTGTGGAAACCAAAGACTTTGTGTGAAAATTTCTGCGAGTTGGAGGGAGGATCCTCATTTAAAGACCCTACAGCTTACTTAGCTCAAACATACTATCGATATTCACTGGAGTGTGACCTAGAAAGTTGCGAAGGAACGAGGTATATTACAAATATTTCCTGACCGCCGCCAACACAGCAAGATGCGTCTTATAATACGAGGGTCACAGGAGGAGACGGCACAATATATTGCTGATTATATAATTAGTAAGGTCCTTTGACTACCAAAACAAAGTATCTGGCTCGGATTGAGGCTTACCACTCTGTGCTGCCATAGAACGAGTCAATGCCTTTGCCCCAACTGCAGAACGGCCATTCGTGCTTGGGCTGCCCACGGGTAGCAGTCCTTTGCCAATCTATCAAGCCCTTATAGCAGCATATGGTAAAGGAAGGATATCGTTCCGCCATGTAGTGACGTTCAACATGGATGAATACGTCGGCCTGGTGCAAGACCACCCGGAGACGTATCACTCGTTTATGTTTGCGAATTTCTTCAGTCACGTTGACATCGACTGTAAGAATGTCAACATCCTGAATGGGAACGCGGCGAACTTGCGGGAGGAGTGCCTCTCGTACGAGGCCAAGATCAAGGCCCTTGGCGGAATTGAGTTGTTTCTCGGAGGCGTGGGCAGCGACGGACATATTGCTTTCAACGAACCAGGCTCGAGCCTGTCTAGCCGTACCAGAATCAAGTCATTGGCTTATGAGACCATAGTGGCCAATGCCCGATTTTTCAATAATGATTTGAGTTTGGTGCCTCGAATGGCGCTCACGGTCGGTGTGCAAACCATAATGGATGCAAAGGAGGTGGTTATTATAGCAACAGGGAGTGCGAAGGCACTTGCTATTCAGCAAGCAGTTGAAGGTGGCGTGAGTCATTTATGCACTCTCTCATGCCTGCAGCTTCATCCTTGCAGTATGGTTGTTGCCGATGAGGACGCCACGCTTGAACTTAAAGTAAAGACCGTGAAGGTAGGCACATTATATTATTGAAGTGGCGGGATAAGGAAACTAACTTCACCCAAAAACAGTATTTCAAGAGTGTCGAACGAACAATTCTGCATGCAGGCTTGGACGATGAGGGTTCCAAAACACCTCTTCCCCTCACTATTGATACGAAAAACTCGACAACTCCTCAAGACGGGGAGCTGACTCCGGATAGCATGTCATCGCGCATCGGGGAGCAGAAGTTTTGGGTTCACAGATCGGCTACTATTCCGTTCGCTTTAACTTGACCTCGGATCCTGTGTTCCAGTGGGTGCTGGCCAGTCCTGGTACATCATTTGTTGTAGGCTGGACCGGTCGAATATCTGCCATGACATGTCCATGGGGGCGCCCATTGTGAGGTCGTCGTAAGCATTTGGTTGCATGTCTGCTGAACCAGGGGTGTGGACATTGGCGAGACTGGCTTCTAAGCGGGTTATGAGTTTGGAACAGACACTGGGTTGTGATTTATTCATTTTCCTAAGCATTTCCAGATGTATTCTTATGTTCGTGAGATCTATACACCGTCATACTTTATTTAGTTCATGCCAGATTTGATTAATGAAGAGGAAGAAAATGACTTACCATCAGCTTCACCAGCACCGCCCTCAATACCCTGTATTACAATAAGCGCTGCCCAGGTGATTATAATCAAGTCCCAGTTGGACCAAATACTATCGTCATGTGAATGCAACTTGAGTGTCGCACGAGCTGAGAGGAGCAATTCATATTGTTCCTTCGGCGTGATGGTATTAGACCATAGGTCACAGCCCCTACCTGGGTGATATATTGACAGGACAACCAATCGATGAAGAACGTATTGACGGAACACTGTTTTCAGGTCCTGATCCGATCCCTCCAAGCCTTGGCTAAAATCGACAAGCCATTCATCTAGCTGTCTCGCCCAGTCTCTAATTACTGCTCCGTCAATGGCGGTAAAGCTTCCGGTCAAGTTCACTCCCATCGGCGCTTGATCAGTAGCAAAGCAAGACCAAATGGTAGGTAATCCCCGACCGGTGAAATGCGTGAGTCCGGTACGCATCATTCGAGATAATCGGTAAAGTTGATCGCGGGGCGATGTCCGAAGCCCGGGCAGGGGTGACTCAATGGGTATAACGGGGCATGATAGGTGAAGAGAGGCGTGCTCTAGATCAATGATCTGCACCCCGCTGAACAGCTTTCGCCACTCCCGTGATGTCTCGTCGATATGAGCCGGGCAGTGCTCCAAGATGAGCCGGTATGCTATTGAAATCCATATCCCAGTTTCGCGGACGGTGGCCTCCGTGAGAAGCCCAGCAATCACAAGCCCTAGGACGGTCTGGAATGCCCACTCCTCGCTGTCCTCTGGTGTTCTGCCGATTACACTACTAGGGATTGAAAGTTGCGCAATCGCATTGCATAACACGGTGAAATAATGGGGTGCCATCTCCGCCATGTCTGGAGGCCCACGCATACTCGAACAATACAAGATTGATGCTAGGAGTAGCGGCTGTGGTGCAGAGAACGTCTGCTTGCGGGGCATAAAATGAAGACCGGGCATTCGTTCATGAAACCTAGAATGATCGATCAGATCGACGGGTTTGCGATTGAGAAACACACTCGTTAATAACCTACGATAGCCATAAATCCTTGACTGTGCTCTTACGCCAGATTGATTGGGGCACAGAACTGGGAGCACTGCTTTGTAGCACTACGGCTGCATCCCACAGCGCACCCAAGCCGGCAGAGTACAAGTCCTCATCCTCATCAGACTCCACATCACCAGCAACTACAGATTCAGTAGATATTCTAGGAGCTTCATCAGAGAGGCCAAGGGTGTCTTCAATAGCCTTTAGCCTACGTAGGACATTTGACTTGAAATCGCCCTCGTTAAGGCCTAAGACGGCCTCCGGCAGCGTGGCAGCATTTGCACGAGGCACGAAGATGCACGGAAGGCCAGAGCGAAGGCATCGGCGACAATCTCTACGGCTGTCTTCGATGACGCATTTCATCTTCTGTCGCCTGCAGTTGACTGTGGGCACCGGCTACTTAGTACTTGTCTTAAGGTGAACATGAATGGCGCGTAAGAGTGCTATGCTCACTGCAGGCCTTGCGAGCCTTTTGCTCTAATCCATATTCCTGCTCTCGGCCACGGCGGCCATCATTGTGGTCAATGCGGGCTCGTTTATTGGCGGACATATTGGTGGTGGTGGTGGCCGTTGTTGTCGTCGTCGTCGTCGTCGTCGTCGTCGCCAGAGGGGAAGCTCGGAGCAGAAGCAGCTCGCCGGGTATGTCCGACTGGGGCGCCGGGAAGGCGCATGTCCCGTTCGGGCTAGCCTGGACCGGCGCAGCTCGGAGAATCTGTCCAGCCGGCAATGACCGGCCATCTACGGCATTCCATTCTTCGCTCTGCCTAGCGCATCGTTCCTTTCGTGAGGCAAATTGTCTCTGCGCTGTTGGTTGGCGATCTAATTGAAGGGGCACTTATCGTCATGTCTGTCAAGGACATAGCAGTACTTCCTTGCCCTCGCTATGTGTCGCTAGCTTCTCTTTCCCCCTCTTGACCACTGTCGTTATCATTGGTCATGTCACAAGTCACCACCAATGACCAGCAGCGACCAGGCTTGTTGGCCCAAGCAGAGCGTATCGCAGAGGACTTTGTCCTCAGCCCGGAAAATGTTCGACGAGTTACAGGCCACTTTGTGCGCCAAATGAGTGAGACTGAATAACCATCGCCTTGCAATTGATTCTGCAACTGGTACTAACTGGACGGACAGAGGATGGCCTCACGAACCACCGCGTCTGGCAGTTGCCGAGCTTTGTGAGAAGCGTGCCGACAGGAGCGGAGACGGGCACTTTCCTGGCTATTGACCTCGGGGGAAGTAATTGTCGAATATGCCTCGTGGAATTACACGGCAATTCTACCTTTGCAGTGACTCAACGCAGGTACAGGGTGCCACCTGAGGTCATGGTCTGCCAGAGATATCAGCCTCTCTTTGATTTTATTGCAGAGAAACTCTCCGGTTTCCTTGTCGCTCACCCAGTCCCAAATGGCAGAGATCACCTGAGGGGGGAGACAGAGGAACAACGGAACACGCCGTATAGATTGGGGTTCACATTCAGCTTCACCTGCGAGCAGACCTCGCTAGCTGGAGGTAACCTCATCCGCTGGGATAAGGACTGGGATATTCCTGACGCAGTGGGCAGAGACCCGTGTATAATGTTACAAGAATCTATCGACAAGCTGGGATTACCAGTGTCAGTCACAGTGCTCGCCAATGATAGCGTCGGCACGCTGCTCACAAGGTCATATGCTGCGGGCCAAAAAACGTCCTCCACGCTGGCCGCCATCATTGTCGGCACTGGAACAAATGCCGCATATGTCGAAAAGGTGTCTAATATACACAGACTCGGCGCCACGGGAGGTCAATCAGACGAGATCATGGTGATCAATACCGAGTGGGGTTGCCTAGATGACAAGATGGAAGTTCTGCCACGAACGCCATTTGATGACGAAATTGACGAGACCTCCACTGATCCAGGCGTCCAGATGTTTGAAAAGAGAGTATCAGGACTGTATCTGGGAGAGTTGCTGCGGCTGGCACTTGTTCGGTTGGTGCGGCAGGGTGCCTCGGAGATGACATTTGATGAAGAATCGCAGCTCTTTCGGAGACAAGGCATCGACAGCTCCTTTCTCTCCGAGCTTGCGGTTTTGAGTAGTAAGAACGACTCTTCGCAAACCGTCAAGCTCATCACAGACAAACTGCTGGCGAAGAATGTCACGGCACTCGATGTGAAAGCTATACAGCTCTTGTCCGCTGCTATTGTTCGACGAGCTGCACGGTTAGCAGGAGCGTCATTGGCAGCCATAATCATACAAAGTGGCCGATTAGACCAACGCCCTTTGGCATCGAAAGATCCTAATACCGAGGTCACAGAGTACCAGGCATCAGAGACGATACAAACTCCTATGACAACCAGCGTAGGACGCTTCTGTCATAATCTGAGCTTGTTGTGGCGCCGAATCCTTAAATTTTTCACCGGGTTGAACTCTTCTTCGAAAGGCAGATTCTTGCCCGCTGATTCATCAAAACCGACCCAGGGCTGTTGTCCGCAAGATCAGATCATTGATATCGGTGCCGATGGCTCACTGATTGAATTTTATCCAACATTTGAGACTGATATGCGCGGAGCCATGCAGGAGGTGCCAGAAATTGGACCGGATGGTGAGCGAAGAGTCCGTATCGGTTTGGCTAAGGATGGGTCTGGCGTTGGCGCTGCATTGATGGCACAAGCAGCGTTGAGACAGAAATAAGGCCAGGTAGTAAGACGCATATATATTGGATCATATATTAGAATAGATAGGCTCAGTTTGAAGTTTTTTGATCGCACGATTTAGTGTGGAGGAAAGAGGAAAAACAAGAAAACGCAATGTATATATATAGACTCATTGAGCATACACGCTGCTGTACTCTAAATACACACCTTCGAAGTTAACATTGACCAGCGCTAGTGTGATTCTGGACCTCATCATTGCCGTTCTTGATACTCGAAAAAGCCTCTAGCAACTCCGCAACATCCGGCGCTCCATCAAACCTGTACTTTCCCTGCACCAAAACAACCGGCACACCTCGAGTATCGGCGTCATCCACCAGCTCTCGGGCCCTTCCTAGCTCAAAGTCAAGCTGCTCAGCACCGATATTCTTATCGTCTTTCCACTCATCCACTTCCTTAGCCTGCATGCCTGCTCCAATAGCAATTGACCGTAGAACGTCCCAATCCGTAATATCTAAAGCTTTCTCATGGAAGGCACTGAAAATGCCTTCTAAGATACGATCTCTGACTTCTCTACTCTGCCGACTTTGTGCTAATTGAATCAATCGATGCGCTTCCCTCGTGCCGCCGATTTTGCCGTCGGAGAAATTGAATGAAATACCGTAGGCGCGCCCAATCTGTGTAATACGGGTGTATGCCCGGTCTCGATTTCGAGGGTTTCGTGACTGATCTTTGAGTTCTTGCTTGTCTGCGAGCGGAGTTGCAGGGTCGAGAAGGTAGTAAGGGAGGTATATTATGTTGAAGTGGTCGGCAGATCCATTAGGAACTGTGCGGCGATAGAGTTGAACGGCTTTCAAGAGCACGCGATGAGCTAGGAAGCACCACTGGCGAGGAAAGTAATTAAAATATTAGTATGACGAACAAAGAAGTTACGAATGATGTGGAGTGATATATACCGAGCATATTGGGTCGGAGATCACTTCAATTGTGGTTGTGGCCATTTTTCCTTTTCTCACGGCGTTATTTGTTTCACTCTATGAATCAGAACAACCTTGCTGTTTCGTGCCTTTCCCCCTACACGTGGGAAATGTTCTCTTTTATAAGAGCATTGTTCTTGGTTGTCGGTGATGCGCGATTCCCCGAATTGCCGGATCACCGAATCAACTGACCAGCACAATCGAGCTTTGACATTATGGCTAACTAGTGAAGCCCCTTCTCATATTGGCAACTGCCACATATCCTGCTGGGCTGCTTATCCTCAATATGCAAGCAGTGTGCATCGCTCTCAAAAGAAAGGGTTGAGTTTCCGCAAGAGCCGCAAAACCGAAATGAGAGCAATGAAGATGGTTGGAATCGCCTGCTAGAGAGAATATCACTCGCCAGACGCAAGCTTTCAATTCGAGCATCATTTCCGGGACAGAATCCAAAGATATCCAGGCAACAACAAGCAAGGAGTGTCGTAACGAGCCGACCAGCGCACTCATGATTCATCTGCGCTGCTTCTGACTTCTGACTCAGCGCTTCACGAGTGATGCTTGTTTGTGCTACGCTGACATGTGACGCTTCTTCGTCTGGCAAGACAGGCACACGTGACTGCTGTCTTACTTTGGGTCGCTCCTGCCCTATGCTCGCTCGTTTTGCGTCTTTTGATCCTGCACAACCTCAGACTCATGCGCATGTCCATCGCAACAGAATCTGAGCGAATCCATGCCATGGCGACGGTGGAAGAGCAGAAGAATCTGGTGAAGCGGGTTTGCCAGCAATACCGCTCGATCCCATGGGAGCCCATCAGCAAGAAAACAGCGCGATAGTGCGGTAGATCGTCCTGCTAGGGGCGCCGCTTGGATCAGTCGAGTCTCGCTTCCTGCTCCCTCAAGCACTAGTATACGCGACGCCTTGTATAGAGTCATCGAGCATCTTAAGTGTGACTACCATTTTATAACCCCGGCAGACGAGACGCCATTTGATGTCGGTGTGGAATTTATAGGAATACGGGCCGGTGGAGATGACAATGCCTCGGAACCATCCATACCAGAGGACGAAAGGCTCCGGGCTTTGGAGAAAGAATGTACCAGTGACATGACAATATTATTCGCCCATGGAGGTGGTCTTTAGTAAGATGACGACGTCTAATTGACCAGGAATAGGACTGAAGCGTGCTACAGTTTTGGCAGCCCGGCTGCGTACCGCGCAGCATCAGTTCGTCTTGCTCGACTGACCAAGGCTCGTGTTGCATCTATTAAATACCGTCTGTCGCCAAACAATACATTTCCGGCTGCATTACTGGATACGTTGATAGCTTATGCCAATTTGATATCGCCCCCGGCTGGTGCACTATGGTCCGCTGTCCCTGCTGACAAGATAGTTCTGGCAGGAAATAGTGCGGGTGCGAAATCTTGAGCTTGGCCTGATCAAGTTTCTTCTCGGGTGGGCAAAGATTTCTCCTACTTCAGCAGTGCCAGATTTTCACGGTCATCCTGTCGTCCTTTCCCTTCCCGCGGGTATAGCTACTGTTAGTGGATGGTGCGATCCGTGCGATGCACTTCCCTCATGGCATAGGAATGGTGAATATGACATTTTGGGAGTGCTACAGCCGGCTTGCATGCCAAATCATCCCACTGACAGCCTATGGCCGACAAATCCACCTCGAGAGCACCCTTACTGTGTGGCCGCAACCCTAGATCATGAACTGATTTGCCCCGCGGCTGTCCGTGACTGGCATGGTGCGCCGCCAATGTGGTTTGCTTGCGGCAGCGAGGAGCGAGGAGTAGACGGGAATCGAGACGTTGCGAGCCAGGCAGCCAAATCTGGGGTGACCGTCATTTGGAACGAATATGAAGGAATGCTTCATGACTTTCCGTTGATCATGGGCAAACTTCCTCAGGCCAAGCATGCAATCATATCTTGGGCGCACACGTGCATGGGCATGATAGCGGAGGATCAAAGCAAGAAACCCCAGCAGTCCTCAGCAACGAGATGGCTAATGCCTGACTGCAAGAAGAACAGTATGGGTAGTCCCCGGAACCTATCGCTGCTTCCGTTCGACGAAATTCGAAAGAAAATGAAGGAGTATAATGCCACGAGGCCAGTGTGGACGGGGAAGCTTGGAGTTTCTCGGCTTTGAGTACTCGTTTGGTAAATTATTTTAATGAGAATGAAAGCCTCCCTTGCGTGTTACAAATCAGTAATTTATTTAGCATGAGTTAGCCATTGAAATACCATTTCATGGTAAAGAGGACAAAATATACGCTCTTCACATGTCAGCTTTTGTCGGAACATACTGAGAAGACGAGATGTAAAATATATCTTCGTGTCAAATAAGTATAAGCTCATAGGTATGTGAACGTATAGCCACAACATCAAGCAACATCCATAGCCCTCAACTCCCTACCGCCCCTACTCCTTGCACAATCCTTGCCTTCCTTCAACGCCATAGCCTTCTTAAGCTCCCACTCCCACGCAGTCAGACTGCTAATACCTTCATCCTGAATCACCAAACCTTCACGCTCATCGTCTTCCACCGTCGGAATCCGACCACCAGCAAGACGCTGCATAGCCGCTTCCTTGTACGGACGAGTCAGAATCGCGGCACTATACCGGGGCACAAGACGCTGTTCGCCGGGGGCATATTTGACGCGATGCATGTTAGATCTGAGAATACCTCCCGTCCACTGCACCATTGCATCGCCCATGTTCACAATCAGACAGCCGGGCCGTGGACGAACCCATTGCCAACCGGCTTCATCTTCGGGCTGAAACTGGGGATTGAGTACCTGCAGACCGCCCGTGACGTTGGCCAGGAGCGTAATACTGCCAAAATCTGTGTGGGATAACAGGCCCGTTCTCATATCGGATGGAGAGAGACTGGGTGCGTAGCGGATTAGGCGAAGCATTGTGCCCGATGACCGTGTGGGTGCCTGTAAGTCCCAGAATGTCTCCGGTGGAAGATGTAGCTGAGTTGATAGTGCACGGCAAATGTACTTCAGGGCATAATGACCATGCTCGAAATATGACCGCAGAAGCTCAGAGCGGGAATTGATAGGTTCTGGAGTGGGAAGAGCTGGTGATACTGTGCTGTTACCCAGAATATCATCTTGCAGGAGACTGTAGAATTCACAACGGTCTGGAGCACCGGTTTCTGTTTTCATGATTCCCTCGGCTTTGTACCTTTTTTTCTTTTCATAGTCCGAACAGGTCAAAAACCAGGGGAATATGGTGTAAGCAGTGGAATTTTATGCACGGATATAGACTGGCGAACAGAAAGATAAGTCTCACCCACGGAAATCCCTCGGGGGATCACTACTATACTTGACTTTCTCCTCCGTGCTCAAATCCATGGTTTCGCGCACCATTTCAAAGACTTGGTCGACTTCCTTGATCATTTCCTCTCCGACAGTATCCCTAGACAGATCTAGAAGGAAGAATCCTAGGTGACGGCATGCATCGAGCATTGTCTGGGCTTCGGATGCATCGTCTGCGACTAGCTTGGCGAGTGAGATGGTAGCAATCTCAGCAACGGGCTGCAAGTCATCTGGAAAGGGGGGCGTTGCTTCGAAGAGGGTTTTGGAGGCCATGACGATGAGTTTTATATATATATATATATATGCTGTCCTCTTTTCAAGTAATAGGGGAAACAGAATTGATCCAGTCGGAAAAAAGAATACTCTATATAGGCTGCTCATAGTCGTAGGTTCAAAGCCAGCACGAACCATCCCTTGATCTCGCCAACCTCGGTAGTTTAGTTTAATGTGATCTACACGTTACATCTATCGTTACACCGTGGAACCGTGCATACGCATTCTTTGCCTTCCAATTGGGGGGTTTGCATATACTGTAGCCCCCGGCTTGGTTTAGGGCTTCGGGACTTAATTTCTCTTCCGTCACAGACAGGGTCTTGGTTCAGCTCAAATCACTCAAGTAATCATATTCCTGTTGTAAATAATCTCTGCCCCTCTTCCGAAGATGCCAGGCCCCTGATCAGACTCTTGGTGCGACGCACAGGACCCTTCCAGAGCAACGCACAGATGAATGAATACGCTACAATAGTGATCAGAGCTGCCGTTCCATACACCCAGTTGATGCCCACCTCGTCGATCCACTGCGAGATGAAGAAAGAAACTGCCACGCCCCACGAGAGCCGGTAAAAGGTCATGATCAGCGTGCATTCCGCGGCATAGTGGCTGAATGACTCTGCAATGTAGTTGACTGCCACCGGAACACAGACCAGAACAGAGAAAGCTGTCACAAAATACCCGACGGCGAAGACCATGTAATGATCGTGATGCTGAAGCGCCACCCCGCAGATTCCGAGCCCAATAGGGCAGAAAATCATAGTAATTGTCATTGTATACAGCCGTAGCTCAGGCCGCCATATGCCGTTGTAGTATCGCTTGCAGATCCAGAGCGGCAGTCCGTCATTGGCCACCATGCCGATGAGCTGAGCTATGATGACGGCCACCCATCCTGCGAATGAGACGGTAAGATTGTTAGTTAGCACGGTTACAAGCGGCTCACAAAAAGTAAATACTCACACGCGGCGTTTTGTACAGGCGTGAAGCCATAACCACCCTGCTCGATTGGGTTTTGCAAGAATGTCGGCAACAGAACGTCATTTATCAACAGCCAGCCAAACACGACAAGGGTAAAGAGGCCACAGAGCATGGTGATAGGCGACAACATGATAGCTATTGGGATTATGGCGCGTGTAGCCTAGAACGTGATCCGTTAACGAGCTGTCCACGCGCTGTTATCCTCACTCAATATGAAAGTGAAGAGCCTGAGCCTTACAACTTGAGGCCTTTCCAATACATGAACCGGTTTCCCCTGTTCCCGATCAAAGCTCGTATCTTCTGCCAAAACAAAGACTAAAAGAGCCGTAATCGCCAGCAAGGGCACAGTCCACCAGAAACACCAAGTCCATGATGTTGTACCAGCAATGAACCCACTCAATGTGGGACCTCCAGTAGCCCCAAAAGTCACCGAAATCTGGTCGCAGATGAAGGCACGGCCTCGTTGATGCAGATAGAATAGGTCAAATATCGTACTTCCGCCAACGGCCGATGGCACGGAACCAAATAGACCACTTAGAAGTCGTGACATGATGAATTTGAGATAGTCGCTTTCACTCGTCCTTCGTGCAGACCATATTGCGCATGCTAGGCTGCCAACTAGTGACCAGAACGTGATGGACCAGCGGCCGAAGATGCGAGCCAGTGGGAGGCAGAAAATCGCACCCGTTGCAAGGCCCGATATAGCTGCTGCGACCTGGGAGGTTAAATCAACTAAGAGAGTCTAATGTAAATGATTGAGTGCCATTTACCGAATAAGAAGCCTCCAGAATGGCCACCTTGTACAAACCTGCCTGCACTGGGTAGGCCTCTTGCCCCGAAAGAGCAGCTACATTTCCGGCAAAGGCTGCAAGGCAAGTGATGAGGATAAGACGTAGCTTGCGAGAGAAACTCCAAGACTGCAACAATCAGATGTCAAATCTGTGCATTCCTTTAATCCATGTGGACTGAGTACGCACCAGGAGGTCTTCAGAGTGACCACTTGGTTGCGGAACAAGGTGTACTCCATTGTCCGTAGAAGAGTGAAGGGACCCTGAACATATCTCTCCGAGTCTCGTGGTGTTTTCTCCATCTTTTAGTTTCAAACCGTGTCTCATGTGGATGTTTGTGTTGTGAATGCACGACAGGCTGTGATTGATGCATAGCAATGCAAGGTGGTGACACACAGTGAAGGCCTGACAAGAGAGAGAGACTTTATAGCACCGACTTTGAATACATAGGTACGCTTAGGGCCTTGACTTGCAAGAAACGTCTATCAACTAGGGCTTAGGGCTGGGCGCCGGGCGCTGGATGGCAGGAGAAAGACACAGTCATGCTGCAAGCTAAGGATTGGCAGAACAGAGGTCATCAAAGCCCTCGGGGAATTTGAGAAAAAGAAAAAAGGGGAAAAAAAAAATAAAATAAAAGGAAAAGAATGAGATCTGCTAGATAATGCAGCCAAGGGAGGGTTATCGTATCGGATCAAAATACGCCAATATTGGACACGCGTACCGCTGTTACACCAACATCCCTTGCTGTTGTACATGTCACACGTACCTGCCAGGCAATAACCTCTCTCTCCCACGCACAATGTCTTTGTACACCACTTTGTCGGCGTGAAAAAAGGTAAAGCTCGTCCCAGTTTGTGGCTGAAATGAGATGAGTAAATATCTATATAGCAGCAATTGAACAATTGCACGGCATCGAACCCTTTTCAGTTCACATTCACTATACACAGTATGCGATGATCTAAACGCCATGTCATCTACCGACGACACTGCAATCAGCACCCCTGTCGACATTCAGGAGCCCAAGGGGACTGATGGCGTTAGATCTCAAACCAGCCTAGAGCCCAAACCACCCGTGACTACCAAACAATGGCTGCTAGTCCTCAGTGCTTTTGTCGTGTTTCTAAATACCTGGTAGGCTACGTTGAGGAATGGCCATCATGCATCACTAACAATGTATCTACCTACAGGGGAATCCTGCTTACCTTTGGCGTCTTTCAAACCTACTACGAGCAAGTATTGCTGCCAGACAGAACAGCGTCTGATATAGCATGGATTTCAACTGTTTCTGCGTTTATGATGCTGTTCAGCGGTTTGATAACCGGCACGCTGTTCGATTATGGATATCTGCGCCCGTTGCTGTTTTGGGGGAGCTTGTTGGAAGTCTTCGGTCTCATGATGGTTAGCCTTTCAACCAAGTATTATCAGCTGTTCCTTGCTCAGGGCATCTGTACTGGACTTGGAGGTGGCATGCTCTATATTCCGGCCATCGCCGCAGCCGCAGCTGGTCTTCAACAGTTTCGACGAGCAAAGTTTATTGGCCTTATTGCTTCTGCCACCGGGATAGGTAGGCAATACCTTTTATTCGATATACTTCATACGAATTAAGTACACTAATGAATGGTCCTAGGTGGCGTAATTTATCCGATCATGTTTCGAAGACTTGTTTCTCCCCTTGGATTTCCCTGGACTGTGCGCGTCATCGCTTTCACTATGTTCGGGACGTTCTTAATGTCCTATTTAACTCTCATCTACAAGCCACAGAAGAATTCTCTTGTTCGGCCCCTGATTGACAAGGCGGCTTTTACTGATGCGGGCTTTCTCCTGCTGGTGTTGGCCGGATTCTTCTGCTCCATGGCTTACTACATGCCCATCCTGTATCTTCCCTCATTTGCCGAATCCAAAATTCCCGGGTTTAGTGCACAAAACACAGACCTGGCCTTCTACTTGGTCTCTATTGCAAACGGAACATCTGTGGTTGGCCGCCTAATCGCAGGAGCCATCGCGACTGCAATCGGTCCAACTGAAACGGCAACCTTGGCGGCTGCGTCAAGTTCGATTATATTGTTCCTGTGGATTATAGTCAAGTCCAAAACCAGGATGATTGTCTGGACAGTATTCTGGGGTCTTGCATCTAGCGTCATCGTTGCAATGCCGGGTGCAATGGTGCCCCTTTTCTGCCCTTCTTTGCAAGTAATCGGGACTCGCACCGGTATGTTCTGGGCGGGCGTGGGCATAGGTGTTCTCATTGGGTGCCCTGTTGCAGGAGTATTGATAGATGTCAAAGCTGCAGAGATACATTGGTGGCAATTGCAAGTCTTTGCAGGCGCAATCATGACAGCTGGGACACTGTCCTTCATTTACCCTGTAATTCAAGTGCGGAAGACTCGTTAGCTTCGTACGCCAGAAAAACCTGGATGGTCTGCCCAGGGTACAAGAGTGACCGCAATTATTTTCAACTCATTATAGACTTGATTCCATTGTGACTGGGCTCAACCAAAGAAATGGCGCGAGCACATTCGGGACTGATGTCGCACATATGGATACGTTGTTGTACTAATATATTCGGTGCTGTCACACATTCTTTGATTTGAAATTATATACATACTATAGATACAATTTTCTAAAGAAATATGCTAATATCATGATTTTTGCTTTCATTCATGGCGATCGAGTACTTCCTCGATGCGATGCGCAGCTGGTCCCAATATCTTATCTTCCTTGGCATGACGATTTGGTTTTTACTGTATCTTCCAAAAGCTCGATTCTATCTCAAAGTAACTCTCCAAGAGAAAGTTCGACCAACTGCTTTACCGACATCAGAAGGTCGAAATGCAATTTTCGATTCCGGCAAAGCGAAGATCTTCCCTGGACGCACAAACCACACTCGACTCTCGCCTATAGTGCATTTATTTTCCTACCCGTTTCTCATAGCAGCAGTTCCTGTGAGAAATTGCAGGTCAAACTGGCTTCTATCGATTGATAGTCAAGATATTTCGTGGTGGCGTCGAGGATGGCTTCGGGTTGAGCCTCAGGACCATCTTGAGAGGGGCGGGGAAAATAGTTTAAGTCGTAAGCTGGATTGCTTCTTGAAGTCTAAGGTATAAAGTAGAAATATAGCCATTGGGTGCGATGACGGTTTCAGTACTGACTCGTATGTTCTCTTAGGGCTACGACCCGGCTAGGTATCCCACGGTATGGCTTATCACATCGCCACGATTTCTTGGTTATAAATCCGGTCAAGCGTCATTTTGGTGTCTGTACTCAGCGGATAGTGAGTTTATGAGTGTTCTTATTGAAGTGAATAACACATTCGACGAAAGACGAATACATCTGCTCCCTGAACGGTCTACTACTACAAGTACAACGGCAGTGCAAAGACGGAAATTCTATCATACCTGGCCAAAGGACATTCATGTCTCGCCCTTCAACTCTAGGAATGGATCCTATTCGTGTTCGGTCAGGGACTTTTTGCTGCTTCCAGGAGAGTCTCTTGCGGGCAGCATTAATGTTACAATCACGCTTCTGTCGTCAAAACGACGTCCGAAAGTTGTGTCTCGTCTTTGGTCGGTATCAGAACCGTTGGATCCATTCACAACACCTGTATGCCGTGCTTTAATATTTATTGCTTCTTGGTCGTTGCAAGGGCCGCTTATTTGTGTGTGTTTCTTTCCATATTTTCCCTGTCTAAAGAAGTTAATCTATTCAATAGATCCAAGGACGGTCTTCCAGGCTCTCATTCTATGGAGAAGGCATAATTTGAAAATTCGCAGTTGACCAGAGCCTAACTCTGAAACGATCCCACGACAGAGCACGATATGTGAAAGGTACATTTCCCTTCTGGTCTTTCCAATGTCCCACAAAGCTAGGATTAGAAAGCAAAACTAATCATCTCAGATATATCCGGACAATATTCATAGAATATCTCCGAACGATCATGACCACATCTATCGATGAGTTCCACCTACATCTCGAGGATCATACCTGCATCACCAATGCCAATCTTACGAACAACATGACTCTGAGTTCACCCAACTCGGGCCCAGCATCACCCATCCATGTTCTCACAATTCTCACACCCAAGTTCTACTCCGCTGCAGTGGCACACCATTCCCTCGCCACTTTCCTGTCAAGTGCCCTACTTCCAGGGATCATTGAGGATAGAATGGCGATCACAAAAGCTACCGATCCACAAACTATTATTGAGCTTGTGAAACACGCTGAGGACCGTTCATCATTGATCATTTCCAACGTTTTCAGTTCCAATACCAATACAGTTGTTGCACAGCGTTTTGGTTACAAAACCCCGACTTGTGTAATATTGCAATCCTTGCTGAGCCTGGTCTGGTCCTGTATGACGCTTGTGCGACACAGACTGTTGACCAGTAGTAGCGTCGGTGGGTTGAACGCGAGATCATCGGTCATAGCCAAAAGACTAAAGGTGATAGCAGGCGGCGACTCCGGAATATGCAGCGATATTGCTTCTGAACATGCTAATGGCCTTGATAATTCTGCGCTGGGATGCTTTTTGGACGGGTTTGTACGCGAGAATTACGGAGCTGCGCAGCAAATCAGATACTTGGCTGCAGGGTTGATGGCAGTGATAAGAGAACGGATTCTGAATATAGTAGGTGGTGGTTGACACTTACTTCCTTGATTCTGCTTTTAGTGTGAGCCTCAATATTGGTATATTTTCCGTATAGTTATTACAAAATTAACACCATTAAGATTGCGCGATATCCAGTTCCAGTCCTAACCCTAGCCCTAAAGAACTTCCGGATTAGGCAACACTTTTCGTAATCTCTTTCGTTGCTTCTCATTACCTTTCTGGCGATTTTTTGACGCTCCAAAGATGGTATCGCATATCAATAATTGCGTCCTGTTGCCATGCTGCAACGACCGGAAATTCCCACGAGCAAGATTTTTCTTTCGCTCAGACTATGTGTACTGCTATTATATCCATCCTATTGATATCCACGACTGCGATGCGATCTTCGAATATAGTCTTCACGAACAGTTGAAAACGCAGAACTGACTGAGTAGTTATCAGAACCAGAATAGTAATAGTAAGATGATCCTCGCCCACGATTGTTATTAGCTGCACGTTGACGGATTATATCGCAGCCTGCAAGCGCTGAGCCAACCTGCGTAGGAATCGATAGCCATGGCCAGATCACTTGGGAGGCCGATGTCGAGGGACTGGAAATTTGAGGTTCATAGTTGAAGTAGCGAAATGTCTCCAGCGAATCTTTGTCATTCCTCAATGCGGCGTACATCAAAGGTGTCATGTTCATGCTGTCCATACAATTGGGGTCTGCTTTATGCTCAAGAAACAGTTTTATCATTGCGCTGCTTTCAAACCGAGCACAGTGATGAAGACAATTCTGTCGATATTGAAAGGGAAAATGGGATAACGCGTATTCTGAAGGATTCGAAGGCCAAGCCAAGAGAAGCTCAGAATTAGGATCAGCACCAGCTTCCAGGAGATATCTCGCGGCTTTGACCCGATCTTCATCTGATGCACTAGTGCAACCACGAGCCAGCAGGAGTGCACCCAGAGGTGTAACATCTAGTAGTCGGACAATAATTTCAGTGGAACCGTTCGGAAAAGAAACACATATCGTTGACTTAGCGTCCAAGGCTTTGTCATTACCAATCTGACTGATGGCCTCCTGTGCAGCTTTCAGTGCCTCGAGCGGCTCCACGTTCCCATTGTCTGGCAAGCATATTGCTGCAGAGGCTGATAGGTGATATAAAAAGCTTCCTATGGGATACAGAGAATCGCAGAAGCCGAGTTTGCTGTACCGCTCATGGGCTTCTTTAAGATGTTCATGAATGAAGCCCGACTCATCTTTGAAAAGGGCGGGAAATGATCTAATTCCTGCTGCGGTTGTCGCGGCTAACAGAATGAGTGAGGCAATGTCAGTTGTTATGGTTGAGAGAGTGATGTTCTCGTTAAGCAAAGATTCGTGCAATATCGGAAAGGCTTTGAACACTTTACGGCTTTCTGACCAATGCTGTAAGCGCCTGCGAGACTCGTTGAGCAATAATAGATGGTGTAATGAGCTTTGAATACAAGTAGAGACCTCCGATGGTGACAGATGACTCGGATCAAGCTCTGCCTTCCGAGCGTAGTATAAGAAATCCGATTCAAGATCACTCATACTTGGGTGCCTGGAACCCTCAATCGCACATTTCAGAAGGTAGAGGAACCCAGTTAGACGTGGCATTGCGTCTTGAACAAGCTCTACGGGCCATTCGGAGGTGTTCTCAATCACAAAATCATTGACCGTCTGGTGAATTGGTTGAACGTACTCTGTTTTTGCCCGCTGCCGTGACCCCGATCTTTGCGCAGGCTCGAGACTATCATGATTTGAATTATCATTCTTTCCAAGAGAATTTCGAAATACAGTTTCCAGCAATCCACCGCTCCTGCTGTTGAGGAACAATCGCATTTCCTCTGTAGATGCTTGGTAATCGGAGTGTGATCCATGTTTCAAGAAGTATACACAATTGTACAGAGTCTCCAGTATTAGGGGCCTCCGTGCGTAAATCACCAGTTGAATCATAATATATGCTTCCAGATGATATGGGGCTTCAATTCGCTTTAGCGTATATGTGTATAATTCACCAAGTTCATCAGGTGTTCTCTGCAATTTTTCTTCAAGGTCGGCAAATGGCGTGCCGTCCTTTATTGCCTTGACCATCTCATCGACAACCAGCCTAACCCATATAAACACGCCGGATGCCCTATCCACGATTCTGTCGATGAGGGAGCCCCAGGTGGTTGATAACGCAGACTCTTTGTTCAGATTGGGAAGTATACGGCCTCGAGTGTACAGCTCAATGTCCTTCTTAGTATGATCCTGCATCGTAAATCCGGGATATCCCTCAAAATGTTTTTTGAAGGCCGTCCAAGGTCTGCTGGCAAGGCAGAACAGAACAATGGTATTCTCATTTTTGATTTCGGAGAGCTCTTTAATGAGTGCCACGAGCCGCTCGTTGTTCACATTGCGCGATGACTCATGTTCGTCAAGAGCATCTAAAAACAAAATCAGTCGGAGGTTTGGGATTTTCTCTTGCTTGATGATGGCCGTCCATGCCTGAGTCAAGGTTGTTAGAGTCCAAGAAGGCCGTTTTGTCTGTTGTTTGAGGGTTAATTCCACGTAGATCGGATATATGAGATCCACAAGGGAATTGAACTTCTCAAGAACCTGGAAAAGAAGGTCTTGCATCATTCCTATAAGAGACTTCTGCATATCTATGCCTCGGCTATGAAAAAAAAAGCCAGCTTTGACCCAGACTGGAGCAACCCCGGTGATACGATGCATCCCATTACTGCTATTACTGCTAGAAGAATTTCGAGACTCCATGCTTTTGGTCGAGCTTTCAGAATTATCACGTAGTGAACCTTTTCTCAGAAGCTCCACGGTTCTCTCGTCTTCCAGGGCCATTTTCATTAAAGTTGACTTCCCCGAACCGGGCTTTCCCTGGACCCAGAAGATTCGATCAGGATATTTCCCCCCTTGGTCTAGCCAGTCAGCAAAAGCAACTTCATTCGGATCAAACAACCACTGCAATGTCGACTGATACTCCTCAAGGATTTCTGCCCTGCGTGCGCCAGCAACCCGGTGACTCAAGCTCTCGAGCACTGTTACTCTAGCAATATTAGAATCAGCTAGTTTGCCAAATCGACTTAGTCAGATGGGATCTCACCTTGAGCAGCGATCTGTCCATCATCCAAACTCTTAATCTTATCCACCCATCGACTTAACTGTGCGCTCACGCGCTTGAAGCCGACGTCGTCCTTGCTCTGAAACTTTGTCATGCTGCTGTGGTCTGCTGGAATGCTACTTACTTCCTCTGCTGCATGACCAATCTTCGCGGAGTCTGATTTCACAACAATGGAATGAAAAAAAATATATTTCCTGGTTTCATATTCTTCTCGGAAGGAGTAAATATGAAGCGCGTGTCGTTGAATGGTTTGAAGAAACTCTGAACCAATGCGATCCAAGGTATCCGAGTTCTGCTCTAGCTCGCGTAGCAACCTCACATTCGGTCTTCGCGTTGCTGCTCTAGTTGCTGTGTATGCAATCTTTCCAATGGACGCGGTTGACGAGCCTCGATGGGGAGTCCCCAAGAAGCATATACCGAAGGTCAGCGGCGTGATATTCTTCAATCTTGTTCCTTCAATTCGCGAGGATTGATTAAGTGCCTGACCAAAGCAAAGGGTCTGTCAGCAAGGGGGAAAATCAACCTATCAAACTCACAAGGATATTGCTCACATCTTTGACAATCAAGCCACCCAAACTATGTGTAACGAATATGATGAATCGTGGCGCCGTAGGTTTCTATACATTTTATCAGCATTGACAAGTAGTTCTGGGTGCCCTTCCTTACTGGTTCTGCAGCCTCCAGCCTGTCCGCAATATCGGCCAGGAGATTCTCAGCGTACTGCTTCACTGTATTCTGCGACGCAGCGGTGAAGAGACTGTCGATGTCCGCATTATAACCCCAGGTGAAAACATTCGCATCTTTGATCACGTCCGGCAGTAAATCTCTGGGCCAGAAGACCCCGTCCTCGTTTCTCGGCTGCGTGTGATCTTGTGCGCGCAAGGTGTCAGATACTCTCGCCGTCCATGTCTTGTAAGCGTCGCCGAAGAGTCCGTGAACGAGTATGATGCTGCGATTTGGAGATGGGGTTGTCAGCTCGCTGCGCTTCTAGCAACCTGTCAGGCTACGTTTATACTTACAATGCGCTTGGAGCATCGACGGACTTCACCTCGGACAGTCCGTAGCGCGACGCTGACCGCATAGTGAATGTCTCGTCTGCCAGGTTTCTTGTGTGAATGAGGTTTTGCTACCATGGCAAAGCTGAGCGGGGGGTGAGTGATCTGGCAAGCCTCAGCCTTGCGCTGCATGTCTTTCCTAATGAGGGTTAGATTGACAACTAATGACCGGGGTCCGAGGCAAACACGCGAGGTGAATGCCAAGTTAATAGCCTGAAATATTGGCGTGCTCTTTTAGTTACTTCATGTGCCTTTTTATTTTCAGAAATAAGGTCATTGTATGTTTTGGTCTGCCTCTGAATTCCTCCTGCCTTGACTGAACCCTAATCAATGCTACTCCCCACCAAAGCCCTGAACCTAGGCGCTGACAACAGATTGGAAATATGCAAAACCCATATTGAAAGATCCAGTAAAAGTGTTTCAAATCATAATCGAATGCAAGCTCACATAATTGATCGTGACATGTGGACATCTTCGGTCCTGGTTGGTGCGGATCTTGACCGCCATACCACGTAAAACCACCTGCTTTGCCTTCACCTTCACTCGGCTCTTCCTCACGCTCCGGAACGATGCCCTATTGTTTGCTTGAAGATACAACAAGATACAGTCAATAAATTCCATTTCTCTTGCACTACCATGCGGGAGGAATGTGACTGCACAGCTACGGAGCTCACTGGCGAGGCCGTAACGTCCGTTCGGCTTCAAGGGACATTTCGAACATGAGTCAACTTGATAGACAGTCAGCCTTGTCCTATATGTAAATCCAGAAGTTGCCCCGCAGCTGGCTTCTTACTGCACCCAATAAAGACCGATTATGGGTCGTTTGGTTACTGAGATATAACAATTCCCTTCCAATCCAACAAAAATAGACTGCATAACCGCCAATTCCTCAGCATTGTGAGTCGGTGTTGTACTATTGGGTAGAAGAATCTTTATACTCTGGGGGTCAATCAACGCTAAAGGAGGCTAGCACGAAACTACTTCAGGGGTTGTTGGCTGTCTTCTTCGCCGACTCCCGAGCAATCTGCGTCAGCAGAGACAACGCAGCGAAGGACATGCGATGGCGCGGATCACAGCTAGTGCAGACGGCCATGAACCTGTTCGTTCAACAAGTAGCTCTAACCAGGCCATGCAGGAGGTCACCGTCGATGAAACATCCGATCCTGCTCGCTTGCCCCGAGAAGTCGATGCCGATTCGGAGTATCTGACCGGCGCAAAGTTCTGGCTCCTCGTGCTCAACCTGGCCGCCGTTCTCGTTCTTAGCAGCATTGACATGAACATTGTCGCTACGGCCGTGCCTAGTATTACTGACTACTTCCACACCGTCGCGGATGTCGGTTGGTATTCTTCCGCGTTCAGGCTCTGCCAGTGCGCTTTTCAGTTTGTGTTCGGAAAAGCGTACAAGCTCTTCCCTACTAAAAATGTCTTTCTGCTTGCCAATGTCATCTCTATAGCAGGCTCGCTGCTCTGCGGCGCGGCCGCTGCCTCGACAATGCTTGTCGTTGGCAGGGCTATAACGGGACTGGGCTCTGCTGGTCTTCTTTCAGGATGCTTCGTCATCCTCGTGGAATCGACGCCTCTACGCAGACGGCCTATGTTTACAGGCATGATGGGCGCGATTGAGGGCCTGGCTACGCTATCCGCACCAGTCCTTGGTGGTGCCATTGTACAGTCACTTGGCTGGCGATGGTGTTTTTACATCAACGTGCCTGCCGGCGCAATCACGCTCCTGTTGACAATATTCTGTTTCACCGCTACCCCGAAGCCTAGCCACATTGCCCGCATGGCGCTCAGACAGAAGATTGCGCAACTCGACCTGGTTAGCAACCTGCTCTTCATCCCGGCGCTTACTGGCCTCTTCCTCGCATTATCATGGGCGGGTACTAAGTATTCCTGGGGCAGTGGTCCAGTGGTCGGTCCCTTGGTTGCCTTTGCTGTGCTTATGGCTGCATTTGTCTACAATCAGATACGCAGAGGCGACACCGCTGCCCTACCGTTACGCATCATGAAGCGCCGCAGTGTTATCGCCGGATGTATTTTCATTATGTGCGGCAACAGCACTGGCAGCGTGCTCGAATATTATCTGCCTACTTACTACCAGGTCGTTCGTGGATATTCCCCCGCCAAAAGCGGCTACATGATGTTCCCTATTATCATCGCCGGCACCATTGGAGCGCTCATCCACGGGTTTGGCACCAGCGCCTTCGGCTACTACGCGCCATTCATGCTCTTTGCCTCTATTATAATGCCTATTGCAGCGGGCCTCATAACCACTTTCAAGATCAACACTAGTTTCGAGCAGCTGATCATATACACCGGCTTCTCCGGACTCGCCTACGGGATTGGCTTTTCCGGACCGCAGAACGCAGTGCAAACAGTGCTACCCAAGGAAGACGTCCCCCTCGGTACATCTATAATGCTGTTTGCACAGTCTTTCGGCCCCGCTGTGGCAGTTGCAATCGCCCAGGTCCTGTTCGAAAATGAGCTCTCTAAGAATCTAAGGGGTCTCGTGCCGGGCCTGACCGGGGCGAATATCGAGAATACAGGCCTGTCACAGATTGTAACAAGCGTGCCAGCAGCCAAGTATAGAGAAGCTCTGGTGGCAATTGATAAGAGTCTCATTCAGACATGGTACTTGGTGGTTGGGTTAGCGTGTGCCACGATGGTTGGGAGTTTGATGATTGAATGGCGGTCGGTTAAGACGAGACGTGATTAGAAATGCTAGACAATCAGCTATAGCAACGAGTCTCATGGATTCCCCGGCTTTCCTGGAGTTTGCATTATAGAAAATTCGATTTTCAAGGCGCTGCTAGATACTATAGTTATAGGTAAAGGCTTGGTGCACATCAGCAATGTATCAAAATCAATACTGAAGCTAGAACCGGAAGAGTGTCATATAATAGCAGCAAGCATTTACGAGGAATCATCGGAGTACCGGCTACACATTCGTTGCAGCTATTAGACATACGTACATAAGTAGGTAGTTAGGGCTTCGAAGACTTAAGGCATATGTAGGGCTAGGCGCTTCCGACTAGGGAAGTTACATTTCTTTTTCACCACTCTTGTATTCTTGGCAGTGCATTTAAGGTCGACTTTTGATGCACAATACTTAAATATTCATTGATTCCAATTCCACCTCATGTCAAACATTAAGTATGGTTTCAAAGACGAACGGAAATCCTTTTATCATATCCTACCTCCCGCGTCCGTTAGCATCTTGTGTTGCTTGTTTCGAAGACTCAATCTTCGCTCTTTACGAATCTGAAAATCCGTCTGCACCCGGATTTGGTTTGATGAAAGCATATTACTGTTATTATTTTCAGTCTGGATTTGCTCTTTGCTGCTGCTACTGCCTTGAGGAGCCTCTGTGAACCCACCATCCGAAAGAACAACCTCCTGGCTAGTAATAATTGCTGGTCTTTTCTTCTGTATTGTAAGAGCAATGCTCTCCTTTGAAGGAATATCAGACTCCTCAGGGATAGCCGGATATCCTCCACTATGCTGCTGATGCTGATATAACTCATGTTGAGATGATACCTCCAGATAGACATCTGCATCGGTCATGGTGCTATTCATAGTATCATTCAGGGCATTCTTGTTCTTGACATTGTTGCGCGAATAATAGTATGGCAACGACGAACCCGAGCTGTACGAGGAGGAAGCTCGTTTTCGGAGTTGGACGACAAGCAGCCACAGTGCAGGAAGATTGGCGACAAAGGCAGAGAAGTTGCGCTCGATGATGTCGCAGATAAATTCGTTAATGAGAGCCCAAGTGATGTCCTCTTGTTCGAGGAACTCGCGGGCGAAAATGATGTTCAGAATTCCCACGATGAGGACGCTGATAATCGTATTCTCATTAATTTCTAGCTACTGGGACATTGGCAGTTGGGATAGCACGTACAGAATACCACAGCCTGTCAGCAGTATGATAGGCAGTTTCTTTCTCCAGTCCAACCGGGCAGACCACAGGAAATGGAGCGGCGAGAGTGCATAGAAAACATCCGTAAAGCATCCAAAGGCATACACAACATAAACAATAATCAGAAAATGCTCCGGAGTTGCCCTTGTGCCGTGGATACGAGGATCCCACAGCTTAGCAAGCGGATGCGCCTGTGTGCCCCAAAGAATGGATCCAACCAAAGCGGTGATTGAGGTCATACTGATAAGTGCATAGACAGCCCAGTTGTAGTATTGGTATATGTCGCGGACGATACTCAGCAGGAAGAAACAGACAGACAGTTTGACCGCCCATATAGCCCAATTCGCGACTGCGACAGCTAACTGGGAATACTTGATGGCGTTGACTTGTTCGTCTACGGTGAGGAACTGGGCATGCCGGCCGAACCCAGATAAGGTGGCCTTGTAGTCGAAGCCATTCGCCATGAGGTTTAAAAGCTGGTGATCAGGGCGGAAAGTCAGCAGGCACTGATGTTAAATGCTGGCAGGGAGTACGTACCGTGCCTAGTACGATGAACCAGTCATCGATTCCAAGACGATAACGGAAATAGAGTTTTATAATCACCCGTGCGGTAGTGGTGAGTACAATCATGACGGTAAAGACAGTAATAGTGATGTAGAGTTCATAGCCACGATTCACATCTGGAAGGTCTATCGATTCAGACATGTTGTGGGACGCTGTATTCTGAATCGTTCCAAATAATCAGAATGAGAGCATAGCTTGAAGCAATCTAATAGCAAATATCAAGCAGAAAAAGAATAGACATTATAGTTCCATCTCATCTTCACCATATCAGTACGCTATATGGTCCATTATACCCCTCCAGAGACTGAGTATGGACTCCATTACTTAACATGGAGTTGCACTGAAGATACTTAGCCCATTTTCTGTGTTACTGCTGTCGCTGAGTATAGTGAATACTGTCATAACATCAGCTCTCTGGGAAATACAGTGCAAGGGAAGACTCAAGTCAGGTAGCATTTTGTGAAAGCAAATGGGCAAATCCGGCGATCAGTTCTGGAGATGAAAACCCCGGATAATGACAGCCATTAACTCAGCATGCATATGACATTCATAGAGATGATTGTTAAGATTGGCTTGATGCAGGTTGGAGGTGAGGTATGCCCCCGGAGCCCCCCTCCGTGTGAGTGGCTGCATCAGTATCCAAGCCCAATGACAGCGTCCGAATGGGGATACCGAAGTAAATGTACTGATGTTACACGAATGATATAATATTGAGGGGTGACGAAACCTATAAGAAATGGCTTTTAACGATCTGTACATCCTCTGTATGCGTCTATCCGAGCACATGCCACGTATGGTCGGTGCTGGTTACAAGGAACTCAGGCCTGTGCCACACCAGCGCGAGTCACGGAGTAGTAATATACCATAATATATGTATACCAAGCAGTAGATCTGTAACTTGGAATGTCTTCGAGACACTGTCATAGAGGGAGGAATATAAGGTTATATAGACGAACAATGATTAATGCCGCAGAATGCTTGTGAAAAGCTGCATGTACCTCTATGCGGTGTTATGAAAAGAATTAATATTAGACCAGTTCAAACCTCTGACCGAACAAGTTCCACAAGGAAGAAGGTTGCTTCTTCCTTCTCCGTTTACTGTATGCCATAGCCCTAAGCGAGAAATACGACGAAACAACCGATCCATAACTTACTAGCTACCTTCCCTTCTTCTTTCTGATCGATAGATAATCTCTACTCAGGTAGCGGCATGGAACAAGAAGTACACACGTTGCAATTCGAGGCCGGTACACGATCAGATACCATGCGGAGTATTTTTGGACTTGTGATACGTTACATTATATACACCAATCTATTCAAAGGAATCCTTATCTACATACCTACAAGGATATGGTTCTTGTATTCGGTCTTTTACAGATACAGCAGCATAACTTTGTGGCACCCAGCCTAGGAGAGCAGAATGGAGTGACTTTTTCTTCATCATCACCGACAAAACAGAAATGGCCGAATTATCTGCCACAAGGAAACCTCCCCATTCGAAGATAATGGCCGACCAGCAACACAAAGCTCCTGAACGCATTGCCATCATAGGTGGCGGAATAGCTGGTATTGCCTGTCTCTGGGGCCTGCGAAATCTCGCCTCTGGGGTACATCTCTACGAGGCTAATGCACATGTCGGGGGTCACTCGCACTCGTTTACTTTGGAGAACAACAACAATGCGACTACCGTCGATACAGGTTTTATTGTTGCTCAGGAGGACATGTACCGTGAGTTCATGTTCATGCTTCTTTTCCGCTGTATCGTTTCATACACCACTGGCTGAGGTTGATCGTGCGCAAAGCAAACTTCACACAGTTCCTTAAAGAGCTGGATGTCCCGACCATAGCAACAGATATGTCATTCAGCGTCTCAGAAGGCAACGGCTCCATGGTATGGAGTGGCGTGTCTGTCGGGAGTTTCATCGGTGATTGGTCTCGGCTATGCACGCCCTGGTTCTGGAGACTGGTATTTGACATTGTCCGCTTCAACATCTTTGCAACAGACATATTCGGTGAGAAGGCAAAGTCACACCGGACTCGTAGAGATAACACCGAGACTAGTGACAGGAAGCATCACAGGTTGGAGTCTGTGGGTGAATACTTGGATCGTAATCGATATTCAAAACAATTCAAGAGATACTATCTTGTCCCCATCACTGCTTCGCCGTGGTGTATGTCGCCTGCAGATGTGTGTCGGGACTTCCCTGCAGAAATACTGATTTATTTTATGTCTGTTCTTGTTCCCTATATAGATGAAAAGGAAAATATTGTGAGATACTGACTAGAATTCTCAGGCTAAGACATAGATTCAACACTATTACTGGGGGACTTCAGTGGAGGTCACTCAAGAATGGTTCCAAAGCATATGTAGATGCCTTTTTGAAAACGCTTCCATCCCACCATCACTGTCATTTGAGAACTACAGTCCACTGCGTCAGGCGTGAACAGAACAATAACCGGGCATCCGTTATTTTTGCCGATGCGCGCTGTACAATTTGTGATTGAGCTTGTGGAGTGGCTAAATTCATGGCTATGAGGTTTGAGTTACATAGAGATTGATTATCATTCACATTTGAAATCATTGACACAATACCAAACAGGTTGTTTTTTTCCAGTTTTCCACTTTAGCCATGAATATCCTCACATGTCCTCACTAAAATCATCATTACTAGCCCCAACCATATCCTGATCTTTGCCAAAATGTACGGCGTCCGGCACCAGATGGCCAGTCTGATCGTAATCAGTCTCGAATTGTTTCTCTACCGGCAGAGCAGCGAGATCGTCATCCGAGAATGAGCCAGCGCTTGACTTTCGGGTCTGTTTTTGTTGCTGCTGTTTTGGCTGCTTGGATTGTTTGTTCAACAGGTTCCACGGTGATTGTTGCTGCTGTTGCCCCTGCTGATGCTGCTGCTGCTGCTGTTTACTCATGTCTCCGGGTTGGTCCTGATTCAACATGCTGCGCAGGCCTTGGTGGTACTTTTTCTGGTCTTGCGGACCGGTGAAATGAGTTGTTGGTTTGTGAGGGTTGGATTGCATTGTGATTGAGTCTTTGGAGCAACGTATCAATTAATCCAGTAGATAATAGGTTTGCGTATGTCTGTGTTATTATCGAGTCTATCCAACTGTAGTTCTCTCCATATTTATGTGTCATTTATTCTCAGCAATTAATCGATATTACCTAACGCTGATCTTGGACAACGTCAAGATCGCTCTGAGGAAGTCAACGAATGATATGAAAAAGACATTTCAGCAATGTATCGATACATGTAAGCATAGAAAATGCCCTACTTCCGGCCCCATGACAGTAGTTGCAAATGGATATCAGACGTAGAAGAGCTGAAATATCTACTCCACAGATATGATACGCTGCACAGAAAGCCAGAACATGACCCGAAAGGCCCTTTTTTGATATTACAAGATTCGGTGTGCATGAATTCACACGCTGGAATGACAATACCAAACTGAGTATATTCTGCTACTAGAATTATTGAGGGCTGTCATGACATCAGTTGAGGGCTACAGTGGCGAAGTACGGAATCTGTCCGGGGAATTTGCGGGGAGCTTTCAATTCCAAAAGTTTTATTGGTGCATTCGATGCTATATCCTTGTATATGCTGTTGGTATCAATAAAATGAAATAATACAGACAGCTAGAGGCCTGGCCTCGTATAGTCCAGCAGTTTGACGCGCTTCCATACTTCGCGCACAGTGCGTTCCTGCGATTGTCGACCTGTTTCTGTCGCTGAAGGACCGGCGGGCCTATTTATATTGTTAGTTATATCAATATCTGTTTGATAGAAATAGCTCACCTTATAGCCAAGTATAGTCGACTGCCTAGCTTGGTCTCTTCAATTGCTGCCGTTTCTGGATCTTCTGGGGGATTCGCTGTGGTCACCAACCCTCCGGCTTCGAGCAAAATGGCGATTCCGGCCGCGACATCCCTGGATATATTTATCAGTAAGAATTTCCAGTTAAAGACTTAGAATAGAATACAAGATAGACAGAGAGAGACACACCATTCCCAGCATCCACCCTCCCACCAAATATCCAACGACCCCATAGCTGTATAGGCCAAATCCAGCGTCGCACTGCCCAAACTCCTCACCCCATGCACCATACCTTGCAGTCCATCCCCATTCTCGCCGCCCTTTTCGGCCGCCATATTCACAAAACTGTCGATCTTTCTCCGCATGTTACCGCCGGGGATGTTCCGGCGGTCTTTCCCCCATTCGCAGGAAAACACGCATTTACTTGGTGCATTACTCGGCATAGGCGGAATTCCTATGTTATCATTGATATCGTTGAAAGCACGTTTGTCACTGGCAGGAGCGTTTCGAATTAAAGGCAGTCGGGTGCTCTCGTTCAGCCACGCGCCGCGGCCGACGCACGACGAGAAGAGCTGGTGAAGCATGGGTGCATAGATCACGCCAATGATGGGTCGTCCGCCAAGTATAAAGGCAATGCTCACGCAGAACATGGGGAACATGTGTGTGTAGTTGACTGTGCCGTCGAGCGGGTCGACGCACCATGTTGGATCGGAGGAAGTGATGAGATATTCTCGCGCGGACGAGGAGGTTTTGGCATATGTCTCTTCGCCAATGAATCTGTATACAGAAGAATATCTACGTGAGCAGCGTTTCCTTTGACTTGTAAATGGGCTAAAAAGACTTGCAACGGACTTATGGGTTGGGTATTTGGTCTTGATGGCTTCGTGGATAAAGTGTTCCACATCTGAGCATATCGAACATACATTCAGTAAGTTTGTTTCTCCGAAATATATCATATAAGAAATTTCTGAAGACAGGACTAACCCTCATCAACCTGTGTGACAATATCAACCGAGCTATCCTTCTCCGTAAACGCGAGGTTGCTCGTCATATTTGCGTCGTCTGATGATATGCCGGATATACTACCGCCAATGCGTGCATGCACGCCATCCATGAGCTTTTGTCCGGCATTTTTCCCAAGCTCGACTGCGAATTGGTAGATTTCATCAAGTTCGGCGCTGCCTATGTCGCCGAGGTGGGGTGACGATGCGGACATGGTTGGGATGATGGGCACCAAATCTATATCGGGAATAACGAAGAGATGTAATTATCAAATGGTGTGGTCTATTCTGGGTTCTAGAATTATGCGGAGCCGGGCCGGGCCGGTCTTCTTCTTGTTGTTGTTGTTGATGTTGTTGTTTGTTGACGCCGAAGAGACTTCCATTTGAAATGCGGAGATCAGGTGGGATTACCCGTTGATAGCCGGCACTGCCCGCATATAAAATACTGTATGTATTCGCCTACGGATATTCTAGGAACTTGGACTATATACTACTGCTTGTCAAGCACTCTAGTACTCGTTAAACTTCGCTACTGCTGCTGGCCACCTGTCGCCCTGCACGGGGAACGACTTCAGAATATCATCGATTGCCTTCATATCGGCCTCGGTCAAATCGACCTCCTTCGCATTCTCCAGCACTGTCTCGGGCGATCGTGCGCCAACAACCGTCACAATGACCGGCATACCGGGCTCCATGCCCTTTCTCCTGACCCACGACAGTGCCAGCTGAGCCGGGCTACATCCCTTGGATTCCGCCAGCTTCTTGACTGCCTTCACCAAATTAAGGTTGCTTTCAAAGTTCTCCGGCGAGAAACGCGGCCGATGTTTGATTGTCTCCGGCACATCGTCAATTGTTTCGAATTTACCAGTCAAAATCCCCCCTCCCAGCGGACTGTGTGCCACCAGCACAATCCCAAGCTCGGCACATGCTTCAGCTACCCCATTGGTAAAGACATCAGTAGACCACAGGCTGACCTCGGCCTCCACCATATCAATCTTTGTGACGCTTGCGGCGCGTCGAATCGTCTCAGCCCGAACCTCAGTGAGCTGGATACCACCTATCTTCCCTTCCTCGCGCAATTCAGCCAGTGCCTTGACACTCTCTTCCACGGGGACATTGGGGTCAATCCGTGCCAGACCAAAGACATCGATTTTGGTCATGGTATCCTTCGCGGCATCTAGCGCCTTTTGCACGAAATCACGCAGGCCCTTTGCGGAACAGTCCATTTCAAAGGTGCGGATATCAAGCAGTCCGCTCTTGATGCACACAACAAATTTCTCGGCATCCTCCGGGTAGGCTTTTAGGTAGCGGTTGATCAGATGCAGTGAGTTGTTCTCCGGGGTGCCGTAGAAGTCGGAGCCATTCCAGAGGTTCATGCCGGCTGCAACAGCAGCTTTGAGAATGGGGAAGCTCTGGGAGTCAGGAAGTGCCCCGAGCTGCCATGTCAGACCTGCCGCTGCTGTCAGTTTTGGACACTTTCTAAAGAGGGGATGACATGATTTTGACTCACGCATTATACCAAAGCCATTTCGGCTGATGGGCTTTCCGGCCAGGTAGACTTGAGAAGTAGTTTCCATGACTGTTGGTGTTTGTGTGGGTATTTAGGTATGTAGTTGTGAAATGATAGGTGTTGTATTCGAAACTGAGAGACCCAGCCCATTTATACTTCTTCATTCACCACCATACTAGGGGGATTTGTATGGAAATAAGCGGACTTTAGCCGGACCCTTAAATCCAGCTATTTCCGTCTTGCGCTGCATGCAAAGCCCAAGAATTGGACGAGAAAGGGAGCTGGCGTAAAGCTATTTCGTCATGACCAGATGGGTGCCCCATCGGGTATAGTCAGGGCTGATGCTTTGATATTTCCCAATTCGCCTTTCGGTATTAAGAATAGCTCTCTTTATGTAAATGTTATTCTGCCTTATTAAGCTGATCAGTCTTGGATCATCGAAATTGATAGGTATTGAAGCCCTTTGCGTGTCCGTCTTGACAAAACCCTGAAAAGATGAAACTGGATTGCTTTTTGATATTGGCTACAATTTGAGCCATATATCCCGAGGCCTAAATTCCCCGGAGTAGCTTTTGATCCAACTTTGGCACACATGCATACATACACAGGAAGTCGAGACACTATGGAAACACCTCCTCTCCTTTCCAGTCCCAACAACGGCCCCTCCCATCATTCATCCCCGGCGGAATTCCACACAGGACTTGGAGTAACTTCAACGCAGCATCGTCTGGCTCCAGCACATTCCTACTAGATTCCCAATAATCCCTCGTAAAGTCCGTGCGTACCGTGCCAGGATGCATCGCCACCGCCAGTGCTCTATCCGCACTTCGCGACCGCAGATACAAATCAAACGTTTTCGCAAGTTGGAAAACAGCCGACTTGCTAGCTCGGTACGAGTACCATCCACCCAAGGTATTGTCCGAAATCGAGCCTACACGAGCTGCCATCATGCAATATATGGCATGCGAGGGGAGCTGGAATGGGGGATCTGGCTGCTCTTTCTCTAAACAACGAAAAGGAGATTCCGCAGAGAATGGCTGGCTTGATTTGGAAGGCAGGAATTTGTGCAAGTGCTTCATCAGCAGCAATGGGCCTAACGAATTGACCTTGAAGCTCTCCAGAGCATCCTCATAATTGATCTGGCTCGGCGATTTTTCCACGCGCAGAATTCCGGGGATGGTCAGTGCCAGACGGAGTGGAATATCGCTGAACTGTTTGCGGAGCCGAGAAGCCAGAGCAGATATACTCGATTCATCTGGAGTGATGAATATCCAATTGTGGAAGCAAACAAGTCGAGACAAGACGTGATGGGAGCCTACCTGTAACGTCGACTTGGAACACAGTCAACCTCTTCCCTGCATTATTCTGTGCTTGAAGAGAGTTGAGGAGTTTATCATGCAACTGTTCGCAATTTTTGCGCGCTGTTATGCATACTGGCAGCTCAGTATGAACGAGAAGCTGTCGCGCGAGAGCAAACCCTATGCCACGCGAAGCTGGAGTAATTAGGGCAAACCCTGAGGGCATTGTCACCGGGATATTGCTGAATATGTATGTCTTTTGACATATCAACAGACAGTGATATGCATGTATAATGTCGATCAAAGAAATACAACGCCAGATCATGACAGCATTTGGGGTTGATGATGTGGCGACTTTTTGAGGTCCCACTGTTCCCAGCCTTTCGTCGGCATTGCTGTACTTGCATACATACAATTTGGGGGGAAAAAAAATGCACCAAAACTTGTATTAACGCGCATACTATCATGCATCACAGCTTTAAAAATGGATGTAACCAAATTCACCCTTCCCATCTCCCTCTCTTCCAGGCGATTCTCGCCCCCAGTCTAGATTTGTGAGTTCAGCCATGCACACTCGTGGTCGCCACGCAATAGTAATACCCGGCCAACAGACTGTAGCAGTCATTGCCTACCGCCGGATTCCACTGCTCAAACAATGCCAAAGTCAGATACGAATACAGCTTGGCGATCGAGACACATGTGTCCCCGGATTGTGCCTTGTAATATTCCGTGCAATCTGAAGCAATCCCGCTTTGGGTCAGTGAAGGTGCTGAAGCGGTGCTAGTAGTAGCAGTAGCAGGGACGCTTGTAGTGGTGGGGGGTTCTTGGATATCATTCAGGTTAGCAGGATGTTGGGAATGATGTACGAGAAGAGATGGCACGCACCTGCAACTCCCACGCAGACGAAATAACCGGCCAAAAGATTCTGACAGTTGGAGCCCACGGCTGGATTCCAGCTGTAGAACTGGTCCAGTGTGATGGCGTAGTTGTTGGCAATGCCAACGCACGAATCACCAGAGACAACCTCGTAGTAGTTGTTGCCTATGTATGAGCCCAATTCAGAATTCCCATTGCGCACATGCAAATGGTAGAAGAAAGCTTACAGTTACTGGTAATTCCAGACTGAGTTGGCGTGGGTGCTGAAGCTGCTGAGGCTGCTGTGTGCGCTGCACTCACCACAGCAGCTATATTATTAGAAGCTGCAGCTGCCGAGGTATCTGAAACGCCAATGCAAACATAATAACCATCCAAGAGCTGTGAACAATCTGATTTGACCGCTCTGAGAGGAATAGAAGCGAGGATTAGCATGAATCCAAAAACGCTAGAATACGATATGAGACACACTCACGGATTCCAATTGTAGAAATCACTCAGCGTATAATTACCGAATTTGGAAATCACAGTGTCGCAATAATCGCCTTTTTGGACAAGATAGTAAGCATTACATGTTGAGATGATGCCAAGCTGTGTCGGAGATGGTACATCGTTGTAGAACCTAGAGATGTAGCCCTTGGGAGGTTGGATACTTTCCGGATGGGTTACAATCAAGTTCGCAGCTGACCTTGCCTGAATGGCACTCGAAGTAGTTGTCTTGAGGACAAGACATTGAAAGAAGATGCTGAGGATCAACATGTTGTTCGTCTCCCTCACTTGAGGGCAGCTCGATCTGTAGATAGTTGAGCATAGTAATCAAAGAAGTTGACAGCTATGGGCGATACTACCTACTATATATTCTGAGTGCAGCCTCATGGCGTCACATTTTGAAGCAGGTAGCAAGATCGTCACACAGAATTGCGTGTTTTTTCTGTTTGGAACATTTTGTGCGCATCGCAACCACCGTCAAACTGTTGGAAACCCGGTTGAAACAGGCGTATACCTGAAAGCATGGAGTACTCTGTACTCCCTTCCATCGCGGAAATAGTTGGATTTGCCCGTCTCCAATGATTTCTTTTCCGTGCTATAAACCCGTTTTACATGTTGTGGATGTCACCACTGTGGAAACTTACAGGGACCACGCCGTTTTCTCGTTTTCTCGTAATACATGAGCCATACTCATTTATTTACGTTATTCATGTAACCCTAAGAGAAGCCGTTGTCTTTGGTTCTTCCATTGACCCATTTGGTAAAGAGCTTGAAGATATTTGGCAGGAAAAGTTGTGTGTTACATGTTTACCTAGGCAGTATGCTATCGATACTTATATGAATAGAGAATCAGTAGTCGAGAGTATTAGAAGAGGTTCTTGTGAGAAAGTGCAATTCCTCATTCTCTATCATGATGGGTATCCCAAAAAAAAAAAAAAAAGTCTATGTATATATACAGATTTCAATCAGCTCAAAACGCTCCAATCAAGCAGACACCGCAGAGGCAGCCGATTCAATCTTCTCGTCAATTGCATTAGCAGAAGCATTGGTAGCAGCCTCGGCCTTGCGCTGGTCCTTTTTGCTAACTTTCATTGCTCCAAGAGCTATCGCTTCCTCCGGTAGAGGGCGAATGTACGGCTGGCAAACCCACCAGGGTCGTCCATATTCGGCTATTGTGGCCTTGGATCCTTGCAGCTTATCGGCGTCTTGTTGCTGACTGTCAAAGTGACTGGGATTCCTTTCATATTCTGTAATTCCTTCCTTAACGGCCTCCTCTACCATGCTTAGAATGCGCTCAAAAGACGCAATATCGCCGGAACGAGTTCTTGCAAGAGTATCACGTATATGCGTTTTTTGTGCGACTAGAGGACGGAGGAGTTGAAAGAGATGGCCTTGCATGGCAACAAGATTGGGCTCGGCCACTCTCTTCCCTTTGGCGTGTTTCTGCTTTTTGGTAGGCGGCTCGGTTTCTTTATCATTATGATCATTATAATTATTTTCGGCCTTCCTTTTTCCGTTCACTGCCCCGTCTTGTGGGCTTTCGCTTGATGTGCTCTCGCTTAGCTTGTTTTGTTCTATCGTTGCAGTCGTGGCTTCGTCCGATGGCAAGAAAAGTGGCTTTCTTTCCGGCACAGGTTGCTCAAGAACATATTCGTGAATAATATTCAGGTAACGTCTGAGTACTGCATCCATGCGGTAGCCTCCTTTGCCATTCCGACCGCGCCAGTATTCCCGCCCTTCGCTGCCAACTGCAGGCGTCTGACCGAAAATCGTAGGATCGGAAAGATTTCCCTCGGCACTCATGACCCCATCTGCACCTGTAGCTTCTAAGCAATGCTCGATATCACCATAATTCAGGATATTTCCGTTGGCAAAGATGACTGTCTCAGGTGGGAGATTGTCCCTCAAGTATCTGATATAGCTCCAGTCTGCCACTCCCGTATTGTGTCCCTTTTGTTCCCGCGTACGACCGTGAACCGTGATTATGTTGGCTCCCGCTGACAATATCATTTTAGCGTACTGCAAAGTCTTTTCCTTGGTCTCCTGAATGCGGAATTTAGCGGTCACCGGAATGGGCAGCTCCGTATGTAGTCTATTGATAAGTTTATAGATTAGATCCCAGTCTTCTTGCAAAAAGGCGCCGTAATGGCCCTTGCGTGCAATTCCCTGGGGACATCCGAGATTGAGATCGACCGCATCGCAGTATGGAGCAACTTGATGAGCAGCTTCTACAAAATCATCCGGGTTGTTTGCACAAAATTGTACAAAGAGGGGTCGGTCAAAAGCCGGGTTGCCGTCAAGAAATGGTTTGCCAGCATCGTTATCTCGGCGTGTTGGCTGAAAATGCTGCACACGAAATGCCTCGGTTTCCTTGAACAAGCGGGCATGGAACATGGGCGAGTATGCGAGAAGACGGTGTGATTCTTCCTTTGTCATAAAAGAGCGTGTGAGCATTCGCCAGGCCTGCGTATTAATGACAGTGTTAGAATCGCCGGTAGAGTCTGCAAAAGGAAGAGTTGGGAAGAGAGGGGCCGCACAAATTCCGATCTGTCCACCATAGGCGCCACGATAAATTTCGGGCTTCCAATACTCTTGTAAAATTCTCGTCCCCTCAGCGTTGCTGGAAAGCTGGGAGTATTAGAATTGGACGCGCTTGTTGTATCCATTTCGGCAGCCTCCTTCGACATCTTGAAAAAGGATCGGAACCAAGATCGGACGGACTTCGAGCCCCAGCGGGGGGCACCCAGTTTGGATAGACCTATGTTGAAATGTTTCCTTCCTAACTCTCAATTCGAATAGGAGCAGTATTCGGCTCCAGCTGTGCTTCTATGAATGGTGAGGTCTGCATTTGTAGAGACTCGAGACATTTTTTTCTTTTTTTGTCCGATTTGGATGGAACGGAACAATGTCGGCCCGGCTTATCTTATCGCGCTTTGCAGGCAAGGATTCCAACGAAGTTATTCGCTTGCAATTTTGATCAAAACAATTGATGCTCTTGAATTGCTACTTAGTTTAACTGTGCACACTGAAACCGTGTATACAGCTGATTGGCCAAGATATCCATGTAAAGCTGTGAGTATCGAGCCGCCAGCCCAATTGCTGGTAACCCAACTGTCACTCATTGAGAGTGGGAAAAAGTCACTACTCCAAAACAATACCGAGCTTTATTAGTTAGGTCGCTGCGAGCACTGAGTCAATGACTTGCTGGTCAGGCTAATATCAATGGCTTTGCATGGGACCAATGGAGGTGAGTCGTTTTGCTGCCGGCCATCCGATAGTGAAATTGTATGGAAGGAAAAAGTGGCACAAATGATTGGCACACATCTAACATAACGAGCTACACAGGTTCCACAATGGTGACTGTGTCCCGAGATGGAGACTATCTTGTGCACGTTTATGGCAAGGAGCTTTCGGTACACTCCGCTATCCCTGTAGAGGGATCACGTTTCCTCCAATCTACCAAACTTGCAGAGCCTCTCGTTTCCCAACTCAAATTCGTCAAAGTCTCTCCACTGAATATATCGGGGGATGACGCCGGGGCTCGGGCATATGCAGAACATGAGGAAGAGCTTCTCAACCTTGTTCCCGATCAACGCATCTTGTGTGCCACCAGCAACCAGATATCGATCTGGCAAATCAATTCTCTGGAATGGCATGCCGATATCGAGAACATTGAACCCAGCGTCGCTGCTGTTGATTTTGGCGCTAGGGATAATGAGGCCATTCTGTTCCATGCATGGAGTTCTAAGGTGACCATCTTCAATCTGGACTCAGCATCGAGCTTGGTGATCAAGTCACCCAAATTTTGCAATCCCAGCAACCAGGGGCATGGTTATCGACCGCGAACGAAACAACTGGCCATAATCTTAAAGCCAGAAGCTAGTGACTTGTTGACAATCCATGAAGCTTATTCATATCAGGTGGTCTCCAAGGTTGTTCTGCCTACAGTGGATGCACAAGGGCTCAAATGGAGTCCCGATGGCAGGTGGATTGTTATTTGGGATGCTGCCAGCAACGGCACAAGGATACTTGTCTACACTGCCGATGGCCAGCATTTCCGTACATATACCGGAAGAGACGATGTCGATAATACCCATGATCTCGGCACGAGGTGCGTAGAATGGGCTCCTCTAAAACAACGACACCAGAGTTGTGAATACCTCGCAGTCGGAAAATACGACGGCACAGTCGATCTATTGAATACCCGTACGGTTAGTGTCTTTAGTACTCTCCTCTCTTCCTGCAAGCGGTGAATGAACTCACTGAATAATTCGTAGTTTTCATGCTTTACCACCCTTTCTCACACCTTTCACATTAGCGCTCAATCGCCCAGAGTCTGGCGAGAACGCATGTCTCCTGAGGGAAAACTCGAGTACGCCGAAGCAGCATCGTCATCTGCATTTATTGCTGCTGGAAGTGACTCCACATCTCAGCTCCCTCGCGGTGTATCGTCGCTGCAATTTTCATCTAATGGCAACTTCCTAGCCACGACAGAGCAAGCCCGACCCAATATCGTATGGATATGGGCATTGAGCACACCGCCAACCCTGGAAACAGCGCTTGTGCATGAACACAACGTTAGGAATATGTCGTGGAATTCGAGGAATTCGCAGCTGCTGATAACTACTTCAAATAATACATTGTCTGTGGTGCATTTGTGGGCTCAAGAACGCAGCCCTGTGATAGCTGAAATTCCCGTTGCACGCAGCGAAACAGGCCGTTATGATATTACTTGGGTGAAATCGAGTGATCGAAAAGAGGCGGAATTATTTTGGTTCAGCACGACTGATGACGCTGTTCTTGGTCATGTCGCGGTTGATGCTGACCGAGGGTACGCCTCGTTCAATGCGCTTCATGTCGTTAGTGGGCGAGGCAATTTTTTGTAGATGATGTTCATATATATACTAAATTTGCGTTGCATGCAGCTTGCCGCAAGTTCGATCAACAGAATTTTACCTATTGTAAATGAAGACTAATTGTACCCCCATTCGCCAGCTTTATGACTAAACCGGCAGTTTCGAGGCAGTTTCGAAGCAGTTCGTCCGTCTTGAAATTAGCCCTAGATTGTGCCTCAGGCAACAGCCGAGGAGCGTTGAATCTATAGACATCTAATATGAAGGATAAGTGGCAGCTTAGATTTTTAGCAGCACTCATATACTTATTGTTTCTCAAAGATAGCATTGGCCGTTCCATAACCCATATTTACGACCATAATATTGAGTATTATATACTGAACTAGAATACTCGCCTATGCACATTCCATTGTGCACCTGCCTCAATCCCTTCTTATTCACAAATTCAAATCGCTCGATTCCATCTTGCATACCATTTACAGCCTCGTGAACGACTGTCTTGATTCCTCGGAAATAGATTCAACTTCCACCCTTCGTCTGTATAGTTGCAAACCAGCACCTGCTATATAGCCTTCACAATATGTGCGGAATGCGACATTACTGACTTATGCGTCATAAGACAGCATGACAGGAGTGGCATCTTCCGAAACGTTCTTCGGGTCATACTGGAGCATCACTGCATTGGAGCGTTTCTCAGTAGTGCTGTCATAAGCAAGCATGACAGGAGTGGCGCCCTCAGGAGCATCACTGGCATCGTATGCCAACATGACTGGGGCTGAACGCTTCTCACTTGTGCTGTCATAAGCAAGCATAGCAGGCGTAGCACCCTCGGGAGCATCGCTGGCATCGTAGGCTAACATAACCGGAGTGGACCGCCTAGTCTTGGAATCATAAGCCAGCATAACTGGGGCCGAACGCTTCTCAGAAGTGCTGTCATAGGCAAGCATGACAGGAGTAGCATCCTCCGGGGCATCACTGGCATCATAAGCCAACATTACCGGAGTTGAACGCTTGGCCTTGGAGGAGTCGTAGGCCAGCATCACTGGAGTTGCGCCTTCAGGGGCATCACTAGCATCATAAGCAAGCATCACCGGTGTGGCATCCGTGTCTGGGACAGGAGCTGCCATAACACCAGCAATAAGAGCCACTGAAATAAGTGAGAAATGCATTTTGATAAAGATAAGATAGAAAAGTGTTCGTTGAACTCTTCAAATGCGTTTGGAGGTGTGATTTTATGAAATATGAAAGTTATTGCTCTTCCAAGATGCTCAAAAGTGCGTCTACTCAGTCTTCTTATATACCCGTCAATATCCAGGGACCTCTCCAGACGCTACGTCTTGAACGTATTCTCCTGTACACTGGCCCCCCTCTTTCACTCTTCTCCTTCCCCTCCTTTAGTCACTGCCCAATACGGCCTCATGCTGCAGCGGCTTGAGACAAATGATAGCCTCTAACAGCATTTTCGGCATAATCTCTACCTCCTTCGTAAGCTACTATCTAATGTACTCAGCACTTCCGCAAAGACAAAGACTTCACAACACGTCTCTTGCATTAGCTTCAGCATTGAAATGCAGGCTAGCCCAAAAAATGAGATGGACAAGATCACGCATGTGATGTAGTTACAAGGATCAAGGAGACTACTTACTATCATCTTCAATCAGAAGATCAGGTCGACGATCCAAGACCGGGCTCGAATTCAGACTGTGCATCCGCTTTAGGCAAACTGGAGCCCTTCACGATAAGTAGAAAGACAATGATTTGAAGTTGGAAACTTTCTATCTTTGAACATTTCCAGATAAGAGGGTTGCAGTGCATGGCATATTAGTTGTTGAAAGTCTGCAAGTATCTGAATAGAATAGAAACGAGCATGATAATCAGGCACCGTCACTCGGCTTCCTCATTAGGCGAGTTAATACTAATGCATCCAGGACTCGAATGTCTAAGACTCTCTGCAGATCCGAATTACGACGGTAGACGCTCATTAATTTTGTCATATCCATTCCTATGAGTTTTCTTCCAATAACTTCCTCTCACTCAATCTACCAAACTGGAAAATTTTTTTTGGTAGCATACACCAATTCTTTACACATTCTCCTACCTTGACCTAAGAGATAGATCACAATGGCTCCCCTATCCGACCTACACAAAGAAGAATATCTTCCACTACGAGATGGAGGCGACTCAGACTCATTGGAAGATGCAATTGGCCGTGACACCGATAATATACTCCAACGGTCACAGCAGCGAGCCATGAAGAACGCTCGCATACTCAAAGTACTAACAGGCGCCATTCTGGTCCTGAATATCTTGTTGTTATTTGGGCTTTTCTTCGTGTTCAGCCATCCCCAAGTGGTTATGAGTGATCAAAAATGTGCTCGTCAGCTCTCTACTATAGGTATCTAACCACATATTTGCGCTTTATTCTCTTTATAGGCTCATCTGCTGGACAGGCCCTGGACTCGACGCCGTGGAGTACCAAACAGTCACCTTCAAAGGCGCCCAGGATGACGTTAATCCATACAAAGGACATCCCAGCCCCGAGCTTGATGCTGCCTGGGGTCAACTCACTGAAGGTAAACCAAAACATTATCTACGAGCCATTTAAGCAAGCGAACACAGCTGACAAGTCAAGGAAAAACAGTTCGCCATGTCTCTATTTCTCCGGAAATTATGGTCTCTATAAACAAGTCAAACAACAATGCCGTCCAATTGCCTGACGGTAACTATCTTGGTGCCACCGAAGTATTCCACCAGCTGCATTGCTTGAATCTGATACGGCAGCACTCGTATAAAGAGTACTACGATGTGGACGGACGACGACCCCCGGGTCTCACAGACAGTCCTGCCACGCTTCGACTGCACGTGGGTAGGTTGTCTGATGATCTATGAAAAAAATTCCATACACTAAGATATTGTAGATCACTGCATCGACATTCTCAGACAGAATATTATGTGCACTGGGGACACCAGCGTTATCACTCATAACTGGGTGCAGGGATATCAATTCCCATATCCGAATTTCAGTAAGTACAACTATTCTTCTACCTTTTTGTTTTCTCGCAGCCGAACTAAGATCCTACGACAGACACGCAACACAAGTGCCGGAACTTCGACAAGATCGTCGAGTGGGAGAAAGAGCACCAGGTAAGAATTCTACCAAGCTCGCAAAAGCAATCCTCTAACAATCTTTGAAGATCATGGACCCTACTCGCCCTGCAGATGCAATCGTTCTGCAGACTCCTCCAACATACTAAACAGTGGAATCGATTCTCTATCTGTAGGTTAAATAGCCGATGAACAGCTAGTATGGAAGCAATGTTATTCTTTTTAGGGCAAGACAGCCGGTGATGTGAGACTAGTGAACTGACAATCATTAATGATAACCCAATAGTTAACTAGTTAGTTACATCTTAATTGATTAATAACATCCTTGCCTCTAGCCCTAATGAATGCATGGACTTTGGTCGAAATCGAGGCCAGTCCTCGTATCACTCAGCCAGGCTGCATGGGGCGGCAGACGGGGAATTTAAAAGCTGCGTTGATCAGGCGTTGTTGCATTGCATCCTACCCCGGCTTCCCCGCTTGATAATAGCAGTAGTATCAATTATGGGCGCGGATATGCAGGAGAGAGCATGCATTTGAGAGGAGTTGCAACCATTTAGCAGGGGTAGCTAGACTATCTATGCTAGTTCTGAGGTTGCAGCGCTAGATGGCTGTCATTCTTACTAAGTGTCAGTTGAGATAAGGGTGGAGCGGTGTTTGATGATCGACGTGCGAGGTAGATCAGCACAGGTTTTGCGAGGTGACACGTATACTTACATGATCATTGTTTAGTAGGTCACCCTACTATATACATGCGTAGTCAGAGTCACTGCGAGTTCCGGATACACCCCGAGAGCCGTGAGGATCACCATCCTTGCTAGTAGGGGGTTTAGTATGGTTACAGATTCGAGACTATTCACGGGGTGAGAGAGGGGAGAACTAGCTACAGCAGGAATGTCAATATACTGTTACTAGGATCTGTTAGAATGGTAATAGTTTACCATTAGGGTTAGCTGGGTACCCGACGTCTTTTTATCCTCGTGGTAAACCATTATGATATCATTGTCGTGGTACATTCCCACGGCTCAAAGAAACAGCATTGGGATTTAGAACGGTAGAAGCAGCATCGCAAGTTTATACAGAAGTATCAAAAGAGTATGCGATATCAAAGCTGGGAATTGACCTCGCTCACCTTCTCTTCCACATGTAGAAACCCGACGTACAAAGCCACAAACTTCTCAAATGCCTCTGCAAATCTGCGTACATGATCTCGCGTGATCTCAATAGAGAGCGAAATAAACCCCCTCGAGGCAATATAGATCCCATGTGTCAGCAGGTGATGGAAAAACAGCCCCTTGAGGATGAGAGCATGTTCGCCCGAAAAGTGCACCGCAAGCATACTGCCCAGCCCACGCACATGCATTAGAGGAAGCGCCTCAGTAGCAGAAGGATCAGAGTCATCAACACCATGGCGATGGAGTATTCCCTGCAGCTGCAGTCGCATTTCGTCCCCAAGCATATTCACATTCTCAATAGCCGCTTCGTCAACAACTTGTAACCCTGCCAACCCCGCCGTCATGGAAAACACATTATTATTGAATGTGCCCGAATGCGCCAGCGAGCCCGTGTTCTGATCAAACTGGGACATGATGTCTTCTCGTCCGCCAAAGGCGCCAAAAGTCATACCACCCCCAATCCATTTGCCCAGCGTCATGAGATCAGCTTTGATGCCCATCTTGTGACTCTGTCCGTGATACGCCAGCCGCGAGGTCATGGTCTCATCGATGATGTAGACTGCGCCTGTAGCTGTGGCAGTATCCCGGAGGAAGTGCAGGAACTCGACAGAGGCAGGAATTGCACCCCCGGCGCCTTGGACAGGCTCGACGAATATGCCGGCAAGTGAGTGTTCGGGTTGCTGGGAGAGTACTCTCTTTGTGCCTGCTATGTCGTTGAAGGGTGCCACCACAAAGTTATGCGGAAGTACGATCGATTTGGCTGGTGCAGGAGTTGGGAAGTTGATCGTTGAGCCGTGAAAGCCGTTAGTAAAGACGAGGATCTGTCCATAATGACTATAAGCTTGTGGTACTAGAATAAAAGAAGAAGAAGAAGAAGAATTTGCTTCACCTACTCGATCTCTGCCCGTAAAATTCACCGCTGCAGCGAGAGCCATCATGCTAGCTTCTGTGCCAGAATTGGTGAAGCGGACCTTCTCCAGATAGAAGCGTTGACAAACCATTTTGGCAAAAAGTCGTTCCCGGTCATTGAGACCTCCATAGTTCCAGCCCGTGCTGAGCACAGCCTCTATGGCATCTTTGATTACGGGGTGACTGTGCCCGAATAGGCCGGAGGTGTACTCGCTGCAAAAGTCTAGGTATGTGTTACCGTCCACCGAAGTGAGATAGCAGCTGTGAGCAGTCTGGAATGTCAACGGAAAGGGCAGCGAGTGCAGCAAGGTGCGCGTATTTCCTCCAGGAAAGTAGCGGTTTGCTTCGTTGTAAGCGAGTAGAGATTTTGGATTGGCAGCGGTAAACGTCTCGCGAGCTGATTTCAGCGCAGTTACGAGCCGTGGGTGAGACTTTGGCCCGAGCAAGGGATCGGTCGTTGTTAGAGAAGGCATTCTGGGCTGGGCAACACTTCAATTGTAAAGCTACCTAGAATGTCTGTATTGTAGAAACAGTGCATGTGGTGTGATATGATCAAGACTCAAACATAGAAGACTACCTAGGGAGCACAAAATTTAGATTTTATATGTCTATAACGGCCGATGCAACATTGCCCAACGAGCAACTACCACGAACGACGACCCCAAGATCAACGAAGTTCCTCCCCAAGCGCAGGCATAGGTATATGAGCCGTTATCGCGTTGAATCAGTGCACCAGCCAGAGGTGGTCCGGTCAAACAGGCAAAAGACACGATGGAGAGAACCATCCCGCTACGAACGCCCATCTTGCTGAGGTCAGTCGTCAAGGTTGGCAGTGATGACAAGGCAGTGCCCTGCACGCCACCTCCAATCAAGCCGTAGAAGACGACAAAGGCAATCATGCCACCGTAGCTCTTGACGGCAATCCAGCAGTAAAGCAAAACCCCCGCAATAAAGCCGAGTACGACATACGTGTTGAGGATGCCGCCAAAAAAGCGATCTGCAACCAAGGCAGGGATAATACGCCCGGGAATGCCCAGTCCATTGATGATGTATAGCATGCTGAGCGAGTCGGAATTGGAAGTCCCAATCACATCAAGAGCATACGAGTTGATCTGCAGAGGTGTCAGCTGATTCATCTGATATGGAGGAGGGGATGAAGGCACACTCACGTAGAAGTAGCTAAAGTAGACGGCCCAGAGGGTAAGGAAGATGCCAACGACGAACAGCGAGTAGGGCAACTCGCGAAAGGCACTGGGCTCGACGAGCGGACCACTGGCCCGTTTTGGCAGTCGGGTTCGCGCCAGACTCAAGCATACGAGGAAGCAGAAAAGGACCACAAAGCCCATGCAGCGTACAGTCCAGGCAAAACCTATCTTGGGGAGGAGCTGCTGCACCATGATAGGGAAGATCAGCCCGCCAGTGCTCGATCCGGCCAGCGTCAGCCCTAGTGCAATGGCACGACGCTTGACAAAGTAGGTGGCTATCAGCGCTGTCGTCGGGCAGAAGAGAAGTCCATCGCCAATGCCGCAGCAGACGCCCTGGGCTAGGAAGACCTGCCAGTACTGCTTGCACAGGGAAACCATAAAGATCCCTATAATCTGGAAGACAAAGCCACCAATCAAACAGTAGCGATAGTAGCCTGCATCCATCAGACGCCCGGAAAAACTGCCAATGAAGCTAAGCAGAAACACCTGGACGGAGGCGACCCACGAGATTTGCGAGGCGTTGACGGCCATGGTCTCCTCGTAGTACGCTTGGAAGAAGCCAAACGAGTTGATGAAACCCCAGGTGCAGAAGAGGATCAGATGCGCCATAGCCACCTGCGTCCAGGCCTGTAAACCGCCATCTGGAGGCGGCGCGACTGCGTCTGTTGTTGCTAGCTTCTCGCGCAGCAGAGCAAAGAGCATAAACCGTGGGGGCGCGCTGCTCTGCTGACCATCGAGAGTCGTAGTAGTGGCTTGCTTCTCGCCGCTCATGGAGTATATATATAGCTAGGTACCTGGTTGTATACCTAACGTGGTGCCCAGGTGGTTGAGGGGGATACCTAGGTAGGTGTATATTGATATGAAGCGGAGACAAGAGAGCCAATAAACCACGAAGACAAAAAGACAAGAGAGGAAGAAAGGCTAGAATCTGCTTTGTTTTGTTATGTCTTTTCTTTTCTTTTCTTTTTTTTTTTTCTCTTGTTTTTTTCCTTTGTTGCACCAGACCGCTTTATCTACATTAAATCTAATGCATTAATGTCCTACTGTAAGTGGCCATTGGCCTAAGGCGCCGCCGCCAAGTTGGCTATCAGTCTCGCGGATGCACACCCCTGTCAGTCCGTCGCTGTGATAATGATTTATGCCGCAGCAGCTCATTAATTCTTTAGCTGCAGGCTACAGCGCTGTGCATGTCTTACTTGTGGTGGCCGAGGCATCGCTATTTGGCCGGCTGCGTTAGGGTTTCATTCATCCTAGCTGTCCGCTCGATACGTAGGCCCTCACTCACTCTACATAGGAAATATTCTTGACTATGCCCGGCGTTGCTTGAGCCGGTTTTTAGAGAAATTTGTGCTTCTGCATTTTCAGACTCTGAGTCTCGTATGCTATGCTGACTGATCTAGGGAATCATGTCGCGACTAAACAGCCAGGCCAAATGGATCATGAACAACAAGCAAGACACGGAAAGCCTCCCCCAGCTCACATCGACATTGACTGAGTCGCTGGTGAGTCTGCTGCAGAATGCTCGCTCGCGCGACATCCTGCCTGCAAAGAGCACTCTCATCCACGCCGTGCAGTCCTTGCCTGCACAGCTTCCATCTCATGGATTGGGCTTGAGCCATACCACCCAACATCTTGTTCAAGACATCGCGCCCGCTGTCTCGTCCTCCAGCCTGTCATCAAGATACTTTGGGTTCGTGACTGGAGGCACAACCCCTGCGGCGCGACTAGCAGACTACCTGGTCACGACGCTAGACGAATGTCTTGCGGTACGTATTCCATCGGATACAATCGCCACCGATGTCGAGAATCGCGCTCTGGCAATGCTAGCCGAGCTTCTCAAGCTCGATAACAGCAGCTGGACGGGGTTCTTCACCCCGGGCTCGTCGACGAGCAATCTCTATGGCATCGCATGCGGCAGAGAACATGTGCTTCGAGCACGGGGTGCCCCTTCTCCTTCTGCTGAAGGCCTTCAAACGGCCTGTGAGGCGGCCGGTGTGCGCCGCGTCCAGATACTGTGCAGCATGGGTCATCCATCCATCATGAAGGCCGCTAGTCTGGCTGGCTTAGGGCGTGGTACCGTAAAGCAAATGGGACTGGCAGATCGGCCATGGCATTTAGATGTAGCTCGCGTGCAGAAGGAGCTTGAAAGCCCTGGTTTTGCTTCAATCGTGTCTGTGTCTCTGGGCGAGGTAAACACGGGCAAGTTTGGTATTAGCGCTGAGGAATTGCGGCAGCTGAGGAAGCTCTGCGATCGCCATCAAGCGTGGCTACATATTGATGCCGGTTTGTGATTGCAACTACCTTTTCCAGCGTTCCATTCTGATTGAATTGTAGCATTCGGAATCTTTGCAAATGTCCTACCTGGTACTCCGGAATTCAAATATCTCAAAGACATTGCCAAATACATTCACCTAGGTGATTCGATTACTGGGGATGGCCACAAATTGTTGAATGTCCCATTCGACTGCGGATTCTTCTACCTGCGTGATCCAAGCCGGCTGAAGGACATTTTCAGCATTCCCAAGACGAACTTCTCGGAATTTGCCATTCCTCCTGTCTACTTCTCTCGGTACGGTGCCTAGACTCGACCAACCTGTTGTTCATGCCGTCTACTGACTCTTATCACATAGTCCCGTGCCCGCCCCAGGCGGACCAGCGAACCCGACTGACGTAGGAATTCAAAACGCGCGCCGGTTCCGCGCACTGCCTGCCTACGCCAGTCTCGTTGCCTACGGACAGGCCGGCTACGAGGACATGATTGTGCGGCAGACGCGCCTGGCACGGGGCATTGCAGCATTTGTCCTGGACCATCCGGCTTACGAGCTGCTGCCACACATGCCAGGCGTAGACGACAAATCACCGGTTTTGGAGACCGTGTTCATACTGATTCTGTTCCGTGCTGTCGACCCGGCGCTGAACGAGAACTTGCTTGTCCGGATCAACGAAACGGGGAAAATGTACGCGCAGGGGGTTGTGTGGGAGGGACAGAAGGCAATTCGCTGCGCCGTTGCCAACTGGGCTGTCGATGTTCAGGAGGACCTGGCCATTGTCACGGAGGTCTTGAGAGGGGTGACCGAGCAGTGGGCGGGCAGGTCTCGTTTGTGATATTGCCGTTTGTTTTCGAACGCAAGAGAGAAGAATAACTTAGAAGCTGAAAATAACTAAAGACTTGTGATGTAACTAACTAATCCAAATGGTGGGGATAAGTCACGTGCACATCGCTTAGGGCCCGCGCGGCTTAGTCATCGCCCACTCAAATTTCGCACTTGCCATAAAGCCTTCCCGGCTCAGACTTGCACTCCCCGTGGAAGACCTCAACCCGACAACCAGCAAAAATGGTGCGTACATTTCCATAATGTTATCAGCATGCTGCGGCAGCTGAGCTGACTCTGTCTGTGCTACAGGCTCCAGCAGCATCCACCGGTGGCAAGAAGCAAAAGAAGAAGTGGTCCAAGGGCAAGGGTACGTGATGATACTTCCACCAGTCAACCAGCAGAGCAGTTCGGCGCATGCGATCGAGACTCGGTGTTCGTGTACGAGGGAAGAAAGAATCGACGTCAACCAGAAGGAAGCGAACAATGAAGCGATGATGAAGACGAATTCAAAAATCCAACTAGACGAACGGCAACCCGGGTCTCGACGCATGCACACGACAGTCTCGATCTGGAGAAAAAGAAGTAGCGAACTAACGTGTTTTCTGCATCTAGTCAAGGACAAGGCCCAGCACGCCGTCGTCCTCGACAAGACCACTTCCGAGAAGCTCTACAAGGATGTCCAATCCTACCGCCTGATCACCGTCGCTACCCTCGTTGACCGTCTCAAGATCAACGGCAGCCTGGCTCGCAAGGCTCTCGACGACCTCGAAGAGAAGGGCTTGATCAAGAAGGTTGTTGGCCACAGCAGTTTGAACATCTACAGTATGTCTACCAACCCATTATCTATCATCTTTCTTTTTACCTGCCATCTTGCTAACGCTTGCCTGCTCTAGCCCGCGCCGTTACCGCCGAGTAAATTGGGTCTTAATTTCCTGTTTTCTTTTATGGTTACGGTTTCTCTTTTGTTCTTGTCTAAAATTACAAATCAACGGGGTGTTTTTGTTTGAATCAGTGACGACTTGAATATCACTTATGCCTTCTTTTTCGCGGAAAAAGAACCACCATGATCCGGGTGGCATGAAATCGGTCAGGACACGTTCGGACGGATATAGTGTGGACATGTCAAAAAATGAAATTAGAGATCTCGAGAATTGAATCTGGACTCGAAAACTATTTCTCTTTGTAGACTATATTTGTAGTAGGCATATGGGTAACAAAGTCTATAAGATTCTCTCAACATGACTGACTTAACGGACAGCATAGCAAACTTGATTAAATCTGGGAATAGATGTACTCATCTAGACTGCATCGCGGTCACAGTCCTGCCTCTTAACCCAGCGCCCTAGCATTCGATCAGTAATAACAAAGTCGTTGTCGTTTTCTGCTTGTTTCTTTGGTATAAACCACCCTGTGTTCGCATCCTCATCTAAAACTCGAAGACGGTAATTTCTGCTCGCCAGTCAACGGGCTGATCTTGCTGGAGCTGCGTCCAGCACGAAGAGATTTATCCACATGTCGTACACCCATTTCTCAAAGGTGATTCAGAGGTTGCATTGCAAATTTTATCTTGTATGCGCTCAACCATCGTGTCATTGGCTCTGAATCGCGCTCAACTTTTGATGTGATTCAAATAACAAGTCATATTTGAATGTAATATGAATAGTAAAGGGGACATTTCTGCCTCCACGATCATGCTAACAAACGCCTATAATGCATAATACAGTACACATCCTCATGCTCCATCTCAACGCTATGATATCAGCTCAGTAACCGCGCTTACAACTTCTTATTCAAATCGCTTCGCAAAGGCCTATTCTTCTGCGCCCCTTCACACAACACCCTCTTCTCTCCCTCCCCATCTGCCGCCCCCGTTTCCTCCGGTATAACCTTCCCAACAGCAAAATACTTCTCATGGCCCGAATAGAAGCGAAGCCAATGCTTCACTTGCGCATCAACCTTCTCTCGCGCCTCTCTGCGCTCCCGTTCACGTCTCAAGTTCTTCTCCGTAAAAGTCAACGTCATCTCGCGATGTGAGTCATTGTCATCCTCGATGGGGATGTACATCTCCTCGACTCCCGTCATGTCGTTCGTAAGATCTTCCTTGAAACACCCCGTTACGAACGCCCGAGTCGCGTCCCGCCCCACGAAGAAGTGGTAGCCTCCACCCGGTCCGTAAATGCCAGGATTCGCTGAGACGTCAATTATGGTGCCGTTAAGTGCTAGATAGATGGGCAGGGAAGGGTCGGAGCCGTCGTAGAGCGCGAGTTGAGATGGTGTCAGGTTCACGGGTCCTTTCTATATATAAACTTAGCATTTGGTCTTATGACAAGAAGATAAGCCTGAAAGGAGAAAAATAACCAGAAATTGCTTTATATCGTTAGACCGCATCCACCATGGCCGCTGCCTCTCAAACCCCCATATATAGCTTTCTCCTGAGGTCACGTAGTAGCTCAACCCAACCGACAAGGCGATCAAAGTGAGGATGATGCGAATGACGTCGGACAGCGAAATATAGAATTCATCGTCGTCATCGTCATCTTCCTCGTCGTGTTTTCGGAAATTCTTCTTCTCTTTCTCGGCGCGATTGCGTTCACGCTGCTGTTCGGTGGTGCGTGTGATTTCGACTTCTTCGTCCGTGTCCACTTCCACGACTCGGGCCGATGTGTCTTCTTGGGCAGTGTAGTTGCGGCGATTGCGGAGAGTTGGGGGCATGTTTGCAGTAGATTATTCTGTTAGATTTAACTTGGACTGAGCTTTGAAATGAGGTGTTCCATGGGTTCAGATTGAAACTTGACGCTTGAGGTAGGTAAAACGGCAGGAAGGAAATGGCCCACCGAGTCCGTCGGGAATGATGATTGGCTGGCTCTTGTAAGTATAAATAAACCTTCGAGATATTTCACATAACGACCGTGATTATTATTCTATATCTACAATCTGAGTTCTTCGAAGTAGTAATACGTAACCATAACTCTAATGGAAAGACCTGGCCGTCCTTTCATTGATTGATTATTTTATATCCTAAGACTGTGACAATACTTTGTTCCAAGGTTATGCCCCCTCGTGAACTGCTACCGCCGAATCCAGTCCCTCTGGCTGCTCCCACGGACGCGAAAAGACTTCGTTAAGAGCCTCCTGGAAGATACGGCAGTTCATATCAATCAGTCCCTTTTTCTCACTAGCGTCAGGATTTCGAATAACCGATACTAGACAAAGGTACCTTGAGAAGAAATGTTAGTGATGCCCAAGACAGAAGACAGCAAAAGTCTTACTTGTTCATCTCCATCAAATGGATCATGCTGCGATCTTGCAAAACCACATGAGACTCAGCCTCACGCATCTGCTCGCCCTTTGGCTTGCGTGCAGGATGTTCCCACGAATAGAGTTCCGAGATATCAACGATGACATCGATATAATCAGAACACATCTCATAGCACGACATATCCACTGGACGGGTATCCGACGCGATGTATATTTTACTGAGCACATCAAATAAATAACACTTGTCAAACCCGCAATTATTCCCAAGAATGTTGATCAAGTTCTCTAACGTCGGTAATTGCGGGATGAGCTTTTGTATCACTTTACTGAATGCCTCGAAAACGGAGTAGTCATAAATAGAAGTAAGATAGTAGTGCACAGGGGCATTCTCGTAGCCTGCATCACTAAGCTCGTCGGAAATGCGCTGCACAATGTCCTGGAATACCTCCGTCCGGTATTCGTCGGCTAGTGCATCGACCTTGTGTATAAAGACTTCAATATTAATGTTTGGGTAGTATTGTAGGATGATCAGAATGGTCCGATTGAGCCGCACGACAGATTCCAGGTAGTCGTCTTGTGCATCAATCACCCAGACAAGGGCACCTATAGAACCAAAAATGCTTTCTAGGTCAAACGAAGGGTCAAGCAATTCTAGCTGACCAGGGAAGTCCCAGACCTGGAAATCCATAAATGAACTATACAGCATTAGATACCAGTATAGTCGCTGTTGTTGGGCTGCATCTAGCTCACTGGATAGAATCTTTTTGAATGCGAGTAGTCGACTCAAGAAATAATGTCTCGTTCGGAGGCATCTTGTGAAATACGACACTAGAAATGGACGACTTCCCACTTCTGCTCATGTGTTAGATATCGTTTCCCTTGGCGTAGGGGAAAACAACTAAACATACCGGCGCAGCCCCATCAGCAAGAGCCGAGGCTTGCTGTCCCGGAACTTGTTGTCATTAGGATTCACAGGCAGGCCTGCCTTCGCTTGAGCTTGCTTTATGCGTTGGATGTCCTGTAAAATATGTTCCAACTTTAGCTGGGCACGTGTCTTGATTTGGATTGGTTCTCCATGCAATACAGAGCTATCCGAGAAGATTAGCCTGTCTTGACCCGGTGGAACTTTGGGCCTGTTGCTGGGCACGGGGATGACAGAATATTCGTTCCACATTATTGCGAATATGACAGTACAATTTGAAAGTACAGCTGGTCATCATAGAGGGGGTACATGTTTGAGAAAACAAGAATGACGAAACTCAAGGGCAAAGGTTTTCAACAATGACTCAGTAAAGTCACGTCAGTCTTTGTTGAGGAAACTTGACGACGTCAGGAGACGACGCAGGAGCAAATCTGCATAAAGATGACGGGCCTATACATCTTTCCAGTACAAGCTCACGCGCGTGGATTCAAACAGTACATAGACTGAAATCATGTCCACGAAAACCGGCAAATAATAAACGAAGAGATGCAAAGAGTGAGGGAATCCGTCGGAGAAAACAGAAGAGAAGAGAAGTGCACAGTCAACAAAAAAGAGGTCACTTACAGCCATGTTGATTCGCTTGTTTTTTGCACTATCTAGTATCAACAGTCACCCGAATTGACAGGGAACAAGGATCAAGACATGCTAAAGAAAAATAAGAGCAAATCAGCAAGATTGCGCATTGTCGAATAACCATTGGCTGGCCGAAATCAAGTGCCGTATAAATGCCATATCAAATCAAGGAAAGGATCGGGAAACCGACAAAATGAATGATTGTCCACTGAGCTTGGATCAAGTGTATGTATCAGGTTTTGGGCAGCATGGATTTTGCCGCAAGTCAATCACAGGGCAGAGGCAATATGTGTCATCCAATCGCAAGAAGAGAGGATATAAATGCCGCAAAGCCGGATTGGATTGGATTTGGTTGGATTGTCGTTATATTAATTGCTCGCCGTTGCCGAGCTTCCCATCGCTACCTACCAGGATGGTCGGAGCCTTTTAGATAGCGCTGATGATCTGAGGGCACGCACCCAGTCCGCGAATGAATGGTCTTGCTATGGTTCTCGCGGTGCAGAGCAATTGAGCAGAACTCCCTGGGTGGCGAACAGCCGCAATGTCGAATACTTTCAAGGGAGAGAGACAGACAGACACGACAGAACGGCGGTTGGAGTTGTTGGAGGGAAAGAGAGAGAGAGAAGGCGGAGGAGCTGGTAATTACTCCGTATTGGGCTTAGAATTGGTCGGGTAAGATTACGTTAGCGCCGTCACATGCATGGTACACACGATTACAACCAAATACCATATTGGTTAATTGTTATCAACATGCTCTCGCTTTTCTACAGTTCTAGCTTGTATTCTTGATATGGGTTATAACTGCCCGCTCTTACCTTACAAAAAAAATGGTATCCAACAAAACAACAAAAATGGGTTAATAACCAGCAGCAGACTTGTCTTTGTCATCTTTCCCAAAAATACCTTCGTTAAGATTCTGCAAGCACTCTGATTGCCAACGTTGGGGCGTGAACTTGTCGACAATCTCTTTGAAAGCCTCCAGAGTGCAGAACGAATCATCACCGGGTAGGTGGTTGGCAGTCTTTGACACGCAGCCAGGGATTTTTACAGGTCGGTCATTAAAGCGAAGGCGGACATAGTATTTGCGTAAGCTCTCTCTGCGAGATTCATCAAACTCTGAAAGAGGCACGCGTGCGAGGGGACTGGATGGAGAAGGCTGTTGTTGGACAGAGGATGCGGTGCGGGATTTGCCAAGGAAGGAAAAGAGTCCTGAGGATGATTGCGCTGAATCGTTTGAGGCTTTTTCTGGCGCAGTACTTTGAGCACCGTCGTTGGTCGAAAATAGCTCGATGGCAATGGAAGACGTAAAGAAGGGCCATTTGCCGTTATCATATGCGCCCAGACTTGTGAGGACCGAGGCAAGAGTAGTGTCATGACAGCCGCCCATGGAAAACTTGATGGGTACTTTGTTGCCAGTTACGCTTGATGATGAAACCTCGCTACGCCAGCCCCCTTCTAGAGCAGTGCTGACCATGCGATCAACGACATCTCCCATAAGACCGCCAATACCAAGTCGTCGATACTCAACGTTCTCCTTGTAGCCAGCGAACCACTCTTCGACGGCGATCTTATCGATGATTTCCAAGGCCTTTTTATCGTAGAACTGGGGTGGGAGTTTCGTGGCTGATCCATGAGCCAGAGTGGCATTTATGGTATCCATGATACCAGATAAGCGCGGATGAGAGTCGACAGCAACTCTGGGAGAGCTCTCTGGCATCCACCTAGAGTAGATTTTATTCAAGTATTCCATGTCGTCGGTTGTATTCCCTAATGTACAATTAATGTATCAGAGCAAATGTCATAGGGTCAAAAGAGGGACAGAAGATGCGAATGGACTAGAGAATACTGACATCTCTTCGCAGCTCGATCCGCAAATAGCCTCGAAAGCTGTCTAAATCGTCGGCAATTGGCGTCATTGGGATAAATCGTCTCGTCAGCCAGAGCCCGCGTCACGATAGCCGGAGTTGCAAAGTCTGCTGTCCGTGCGCTGGCAGGATACATGCCCATAAAAGCCTGCTGCATTGATTCCAAGGCACGCGGAATAGGACTTGCGCGAAGATACATATCTTCGGCATCGGACTTGATTTTCGGCATGAATCCAAGCTGTTCAACATAAAGGTGGCGCAGACGCTGTCCGAGCTCGAATGTCGTCTGGCGTCCTTTGTCTGTGAGTTCTCCAGCTTGGCTATATCATATGTACCATATTAGAGACAACGATTCGCAAATGGAACGACCTGAAGTTTTGAAGCAATACTTGCCAGATCGCCTCTGTTTCTCCTCCCGGACCATGAGTTGAAACGGCTTCATCATCATGGCCGAATGTCTCGATCTTCCTGCGCCATTGTAAGGTATCCCATGTCGAGAGATCTTTGCTGGTCGATACCATTGAAGTCATACGACGAGCGACGGCACAATACGGCCAATCTCGAGCAGAAACGTCAGCGGAGAAGGTGAAGCACGGGCGGAAAATAGGGTAGGTTTACATATCGGCAGTCCGGCCTAGAAATTATGCGGAACATTAGCTGTGGAACAGCTCAAAACTGAGACTAAGAATTGGGGGTTATACATTCTGGAAACGAGCGGAGACGGGAGTTCTTTCTCCTGAGAAAAATATTTATTTCAGCATATGTAAAAGTCATAACTTGAGTTTCAATGGTGTGCAATATACCATGTCGCAGAAGCTGGTTAAAAGCATGGTTAGTCCAACTCATACGTTGTCCACCGCTAGTTCGATACAATGCGATGCAGCTTGCGGAATGACATGAAACAACGTACCACTTGGACCAATTGCAGCTTCAAATGCGGGGGATAGAGGCTCTTCAGCTCCTCTTCGGAGTAGGGCTCTCTGAACGTGATGCTAGTCATGACGACTTGCTGTTTTGCTCGTTCGCGATGTTGGAATGAAGCTGGCAGTATCCCGGCTTTCCTTCCGTACGTAAAGCGGGGAAATGGAACAACGTTTCGCCGGCCTCTCTATAAACGATGATCGCTGGACATTTAGGAATCTCCAAGCTCTCTAACCTTCCCAAGTATCTCAACAAACTCCATCAAATCCTGCGCTCTTTCAACGCGATACTCATCCTGAATAATGAACAACGGGACACCGGTACTCGTCCGCCGACGATTCTCACGCGCTTCTTTATCAACAACACTCTCCATGCTTGCCGTTAACGGTGTTGACCGAGAACGCAGTAGCAGTACTAGGGCTTTTGTCGACTGTTGGAAGACTAGTACTAGCACTTTAGTGTACATGACCGTCATCAATGCCAACAGAAGGTAAAGACGACGTTGATGAGCTAACAGTAGCAACATCAGACAATTTCTCCCGCTGGAGTAGAAGCTGTGTATAATTCGAATACTATGGCCGCCAGGTAATGTTGAAGATGTCATTTTTGCCGCCGGGGAAGGTCTTTTGATGTATTCTGATGGCTTTGTCGAGCGTCTGCTTGCCGATATAACACCACTTTCATTTGATGGGATTAACTGGGCGAGTCAAATGCGAGGGAGTGAGGTATACAAGGACTTACAGCACATACGATGTCCAAGACTTACTTCGATGTTTATTACTGCCATGATGGTGTTCTTGGTCATTGTGAACTTTGGGCTGAGATCGGACAGAAGACGGATTGAAATGTCGTTGCCTTAGGACCCAGGCAGCTGTATATTGTTATATGCACAACTCAGTTCTGGACAGATAATGATAATAATATATAGTGTATGAATATAATACCAGGAGAATGTCCAAGAATAATAGTGTTACATGTTATGAGCTTCGCAATGCTATGCTCTTCCTCGACGAGCGATCATCATCAAGGTCACTCTCGTCCGACCAGCCGCTCTCCGACTCACTAGCACTCCACGCCGAATGCTTCCGTTCAGTCGAAGGACGAGAGGGCAATTTTGCAGCTTCTTTCCCCTTGCCGAACTTCTTCGGGTTTTTGGCCTGCATTGCTGTGATTTCCCTTTCCCTCAATTCGAGGGATTCCTCATCGGCCGCTTGTTCAAGACGTGCAATCAGCTTCTCAAAGACCGGTGAGTACATTTGTGATATGGGGATGTCCCGTATCTTCACTTTCATGTAGTCAAACGCTATGCATACTGGCATCGGCGAGTTGCGCACTCTATTCCTTGAATCAGTAACCATCGAGAGACCAATATCGTCGTTGTTGCCGACGTCCATGTCGCCATCGGCCGGCCATCCGCTATCCTGAACATCCAAAGTGCCTACTCGGTTTGTAAATTCTGCTCTCGCGTCGCTCAATTCCGGGACTGGTCGATGAGAGGAATCGAGTTTGCTGATTTTGGCGTATCTTTGACTGAAATGGGTCAAAAGCACCATTCTGGCATTCATGTACCGCCCGACTTCAATTGCTTCAGATGCTGTGCTGTGCTTTTTTGCCAGGGCCTGGCCCCGAAGGTCGTCTTGGAAGGTAGCCTCGTGAATAAGGAGGGTGGAATCCTTGCCTATCTCTGTGAACGCCTTGGATGGCCGACAATCTCCAGAGTAAGATACTTTGAAACCACCGTGCCACTCCAAAGTCACTGCCATTGCCGCACGGCAGTGGTTGACAAAGACAGCGCGGACATCTTTAAGCCCCGTCATTTCTCTCAACAAATCACTATAATCGGATGACCGATCCTTAAACTGCAGACTTGTCGCTTTAGGACTTTCGTTCGCAAATGTTCCGTCGGCTCGGATATGTCGGTAAGTGAATGTCGACTTTCTTTCATCCACTTTTCCTGCCGTGCCCGAAGATTGGCTAGTTGAAAGAGGAAGAAGCCTATTAAATCCGAAATCCTCTACCCCAGCATACTCCTCCAGCCATTGGATAAACATGCTGTCACTGATCACGCATAGCCTCTTCTGCTTCAGAATTTCTTCCATATTATGTGTCTCCGCTTCAGAAGCAGTCCTGTCGTGACCGTAGTTCACTTTATACCACTCTTTGATAACGGAAACGGCGCCGAGGTGATGATCAGCATGCAGATGACTAACCCAAATCAAACGAAGATTTTGCATCACCTCGCGAAGCTTCTCCGGGCTATAAACTCTTTTCAGCTGACCAAGGGTATTCTCTCCGCAATCAAACAGGTAGTATCCCTTTGTAGGTACATGCAAAAGAGTAGCAGACACGTTTCGATACTTGGAGGGACTAGACGACCCTGTGCCTAGTGTAACGACCTCAGACTCAGCTGCTAGGGGAGGAAGTCCCTCGCGCATCTCAATAAACTTCTTAATGACAGAGGGTTTGCGAAGTCTCTGCTGGATGACAGAGAGCCGCTGTTGAACTGCCTTCGGCATCCGAGTAATAAACTGTTGAGTGTTTAATATAGGGTAGACGGTGCTCTCGTTCAGTCCATATTTGGGTTCCATGTCTAATGAAAGGCCCGGCCTTGCAGCTTTCCAAGGAAGCTTCTGTATTAAAGAGGTATTTGTTTTTGTACCTTCGGGTCGTGTTCCGCTCTGAGGAAGCATAACGTTATCATGGACCGGTACAATGAAGTTGTCGTTATTAATTCTAGCAAGACGGATCGTCGACTTGGCAGCAGTTACCATCGTCAAGTGGTTGGGACAATAGTCAGTGCTGGAGACGATATGGTCACAGTGTTTCATACGTGACGCGAAGTCGATTATACGGGGATCATCGCCAACGCCAGGACCTAAGATCCAGAAAATGGCAGACAAAGTCTCAGTCACGGTCTGAGATCGCCATTCCGGACGTGCGAGGAGGTCGTCAATGTATAACTCGGAAGGGATATCGAGAATGGCAACAGTTCTACCACGGCGAGTAGGCCCTAGCACCATATCTGGAGTGACGACCTTTCCGTCTGGGAAAGTGTAGCTGTTGCCTTGCGTGAGTTGGCCGAAAGCCGGGCCTTTTGGAATGCCTAATTCGATGGCCTTTTGTACATCAAACTTCCCTCTCTGGTCTGCACTGCGCACAAAATAGCACATAGATTCAGACGATGGGGTTGTCGCTGGAAGCCTCTCGATCATCGCAGCAGGCCAAGGCTTTCGAACGAAAACCCTCAGGTCGGGCACCGACCCTGGACTTCCAGGAGGCGGTCCAGTATATCGCTCAAGATCTTTTGTTACAACATTCCGGACAAAGATAGTGGCTGGCATTTTGACATTCGACAATCTCTCTTCATGCAATGTGTCAAGCCTCCAATCACTGTCAAGCATTTGCTTGACAATGTGCTGACGTAGTAATTGGTCCTTGACTTTAGGATCCAAAGTTGCGGGTTGCTCATCTCGTTCTTCAAATTCATTCAAACTTCGCTTTCGAGGACTCTTAAAGCCAGACTTGGGGCTCTCAAAACGTCTTTCGTAACTAGGTCTGAGCGACATGGCCCATACTTTGATATTATGGTCCGACCACGTGGGCTGTGCGAAGGGGTCCGTCGCTCCGCCTGTCTCCTTTTCGCGAGCGAGAGAGGCCGAATCGTACTCGTTTACTACGAGAGGCACCTGTCGTCTGAAAATGAAACGGCGTGCCGTTGCGATCGTGTGATTGAGATTTTTGCCACCGTGTATGGTCAGCTGCTGAGACGGTTCCGACTGTGCATTGCCAGACTGTTTAGAATTCTTCTTCGTCATGCGACTTTTTTCCATTTCGGATATCGAACTAGCCCACGAGTCAGCTATTGTGAGAATCATCCCCAGCACACCACCGGTGTTGGCCCATCTTGATTTTCCGGTTATGAATATTTGGTTCAAATTAGCCGCCGAAACACCGTTCTCCACGAAATTTCGCTGCGTTCCTTCTGCAAGGTGGCCAAATAGATAGTTTTGACCCTCATATTGAAGAATAATGTTCGTGCCGGGGGTATCAGCTGTGGGGGTGCTAAGCACCTGGTATGAGTACTTCATGGGTCTTGGAGTGCCAGATAAGCTGGTAGAACTCTCGCGGTTGCCTTTAGGGTCAAGGATAAGATAGGTAGAAGGCAAGCCACTTTTGTTGTAGCTGTTGTACGGATTTAGAGGTTCTGGAATAACGTGTAAGCCTGGTAGGACGGACTGCTTCTCAGCCAGCGGGTGATTGTCGGCAAGACGGCGCGAGTAAACACGTGGGGGAGCAAAAACCCTCTTCGAGTAGCGAGACGTCAAACAGACTGTGGGAAAAACACCACCCACGCTGACAGTCGTTGGGCGCCGTGGTGTTCGGCGAGGTGTTCCGGGGAAGGCGACCCTTCCGAGTCCTCGCAGGGAAGCCAATGTGGCAGCTCGCCGATGGCTAAGAAGAGGGAGAAGGCAGATATTGATGCAGAACAAGCATTGCAGACAAGTACTGTACCAAGACGTAAGTCTGGTTGGAAACAAAGAAGCTTGAAGCAACTGGTTCGCTCGGGAATTTTTTTTTTTTTTTTTTTTTCTCTCCTTTCGATAAACTCCGCCCATGAATGTTCTGCGCTAACCGGATTGGGTTGTGAGCACCGTGACTGTAATTGGTCCCCGCGTCAACCTATTTACTATAAAATTGGAAAGGTCAAGGTATAACTCAGGAGGAAAAGACAGGCAGCATACTAATCAGAGTATATCTCTTCGACGGCTAGATGGTTTCAACAAACAGATAGATACATACGATATATGCTGTAAAAAGGGAGAAAATTTATACAGGAAACGCAATAAAAAATCCAGAAAATAAAAGACAAGGCAAAGCTTTACAAAGCCAGATTTTTCCCCTTCGCTTAGGGCAACACCTCAAGAGGCAAGGAAAGAAAGTTCGGCAGGCCTAATCCATATAAATCAATGTGGAAATGAAGGTATTTTCCCTTGCTCCTCACCCGCAAAACTCCATCAGGGATAAAACAAAAGAGTCTATAGTGCAAAATAAAACAGGAGAGCGTCTCTCAGACACCAACAAATCACAGCAGGTGATCAGTGACCCTGCATACACGCTCAAATGCAGCATCTATACTAGCACATAATCGCTCAAAACTGCGCACAGAAGCCGCTGAAATATCGCTAGATGTTGGTTCGACAGCAAGTTTGTAGTGGGAGGGTTTTTCGGATTGAATAGTAACAAATGAGACAAGTGAACTAGTAGTCGAGGTTGAAGGTACATCTTCTAGGAACAAAGCGAATGATGGATCTGACTCGTCCAACTCGTACGTGGTGTCAGCGACTCCCTTAATAGTTTCAGCAGACGGTGATACCGCGATAGGGGGACGCTCAAGCTGAGGAACTTCCAACTTGGTAGATTCAGAAAATGGTTCAATAAAGTTCGAAGATTTCCCGGATAGAACCTCCAAATCAACAGCAGGACCATCTGGAACTTCTAAGACGGCAAAAACAGATGCGTTGGTGTAGTTCATGTCGATCCCCGAGTTCCAACCGGCGGCATAAACATCCATACGGTTATCAGGTACCATCACCATATTGACCTGAAAGTTCTGCTGGTGACCAGGAAATTCTTGCCTAGGCCTTTGAGTGACATCAGTGAGGGGGAGGGGTGTCTGGGATACCGCCGGTTGGGGCTGAGGCTGAACGTGGGGTTGAGAAGATTGGGGAGCAGTTTGGAATTGGGGAGGTAAACCATTCGCACTGAGCTCGTTTAGGACATCCGAGAAGTGCGGGGAGGATAGTAGCATTCGAGTCAAGTCAGTAAGGCGACTATTTTCCTCGATAAGATTGTGATTCTGCATGCGCAATTCATTATTCTCGGTCGCCTTCGATGCAATTTCACTCTCCAGTTGAGTGATATATTCTGTATAGGAACCAGATTAGCATGCGAATCAATGAAATGGTCACAGGTTCCATGAAATCATACCTTTCCTTCGCGAACGGAAAGCACGAGCCGACACTTTGTTCCGTAACTGACGTCGCTCTTTGCTCGTGAGCTTCTTACCCTCCTCGCTGGCTAGCAAGCGTTCATCTTCATCCATGTCATCTTCATCCTTTTTGAGCTTAGCCATCTGGGGCAAAACGGACGAAGTAGGAGTAGATAAGTGGCTGTCCTGGCCAATACTATTCTGTCTCATTTGTTGTAAGAGACGCGAGATGCGTTCTTCAACAACGGGATCAATTTGGCGTAAAGGCCGAGCTGTCGGAAACGGCTGAGTGGGTGTTTGGTGGGCCATTTGCTCGGCATGCTGTTGACGCATTTGCTGTTGCTGCTGCTGTTGCTGCTGCTGACGAATTATCTCGATTTGCTGTTTGTGCTGCTGGGCAGCGCGTGCCATGGCAGCTTGCTGTTGATGCATGCCTGGATACACGCGACCGGCCTGCGGTGCGGCATGAGCCATGACAGACATTTCATGGCCTCCTAGAGCATTTGGATCAATAAATTGTTGGGACTTGATAGTATTGGTATGCGGGAGAAAATAGGCCTTGTTGTTTGCATTGTCGGTCTCGATATCCATTTCCGAATGATTGCGAGAGGGCGGTGTAGAAAAATCAATAGCGGACCGTTCGCGTTTCATGTGGACGAAATTGCCGTCCACCATGGGGAAGCCTTGGTGACCCGCACGCAAAGATCCCATCGAGTTTTCATTATATGCCACGGCGTGGGCAACGGCATCTGGTGGAAAGCCAGTTTGTTGTTGGTGATCTCCGTATTGATGGCTGGGGCCGGAGAAGGACTGGCTCATGTCATGAATAGAGGCGTCTGATGTTGCCATGGGCGGCTGAGAGAGAAGGGAAGGGTTCGACTTCATCGATTCTGACATGGGATAGGCGGTTTGATCAAAGTTTAAAAAGGAATCGAAGTCGGGATCGTGGGATGCGTTCAGGTTGGGCAGCGGCGAGGCTGTTGATGATGCCAATTCCAGAGCAGCCATCTTATCCTGCTGCCCCGTTCAATAAACAGCGGTTTGGGTCTGTTAGGCCAGATTGAACTAGGATAATGATATATGCGATAGCGAGGGTATAATGGCTGTCGGAAGTATGAAGATGTATCCTCCCGCTGTAATCCGAATTCGACGGACAAAAAACGAGCAGACTGTAAAAGATGGAAATAGAGAGTGATGTGTCGTAGACGGCGTGGATAAGGATGAGGATGAGGATGAGGATGAGGACGAGGGCGGACAGGGGAGACAGACGATGCGGTGATAACTAGCGACTCACAAGAGGGAAACAGCGACTGAGACCGAGACAGGAGATTCGAGCGCACAAAAGTGGCTTAGCGGGCGTGGCTCGGTGTGGGTGCGGGTTCCTGCCCAATCAGAGGAGCCTAGTCGGTGTTTACTACCAATACGGCTAGCTCAGTCGGTACGGACTGCACCAGACTGACCCTTCCTGCCTTCCCGGCCCAATCAGAGGTGTGTCTCTAAGAATAGCTCGGCTTCTGAGAGGGACGACGCGTGTCCTCTGAGAGTTCCTTTTTGGGCAATGTTCCTGGTGGCCGTAAAGTGAGGCCTGAATCCTGAGGCCCTCCGCTAATGTCCAGGGCTATACTCTTAGCCGCCGTGGAGACAATCTTTTCCCTCTACTTTGTAGTACCACATGCATCGCATCCAGAGAAGGGTGAAAAAAGAAAAATTCAGATAAAAAGTAAAATAAATCAAAGTTCTAGAATGTGTCCCGCCACAACCTTAATTTCTTCCAACTTCCCCTTTGAGAAGACTCCGTTCGTCCCTTCAGTGCCTTGTGTTAAAAAGAATAGTTGCCCGGAATATCCCTGAACAAGCCACTGAGCGCAGGGCTGCATATTGCACGACCTATACGCAATTGAACTTGATAGCTACATGCATCTAGAACCATGTTCCATTCCACGGCATTCACGGATAATCTTCGGTCTCTCTGAATCGGGGCATTGATCTACACGTTTTGAACCTGGTATCCTTTATACTTCAATAATTTGTATATTCTCTGCGCCGCTTCGTCCTATAGAGGACCTAGACGGACACAGATAGGTCGTTGGTCTCAATGAGATTCTTCGCGAAGAGAAGCTTGCTATATAAGGAGTCGGTTTTTGATTGCAGATCACATCGCCAGGCCTCAGGGGTAAGGGGCAGTGCTCCAATAACGTGTATGGGGTGTGCTTGGATACTAATTATTTTCTTTTTTCCTTTTTTTTTTTTTTTTTACGTTTTCTCTTCCATGGAAGAAGACCAAACTACCATGGCTGCTACCTTCTATCGCTTCCAAGTTCTTTTCCTAGAGGCTACAAGAAGATAACTGTCTAAGGCTAGTCATTCTCATAAAACATGTTCCTCTAAGAACTTCAATACCATCTTCGCCTACAGATTTCACGCATTCATTGGCGTTGTTGATTCAGGGCGTGCAGGTCGCGGCGGTCCAAAATTTAGTTGCAGCGATCCAAAAAGTTCAAATTGATCTTAAAAAAAAGTTTTTGAACTAATATAAGTGGGAACACTAATCTAATTTATTATTAGTTTTAGGTCACCTTAAGTGTAAGTTCCTATACACATATTTTCTTAGTATAATGTTGATTCACTTTGGGATTGCCCATACAAAGCCCTAACCCTAACTCTATCAGCGGTATCCGGATTTTTCCCCGCCAAACAAGATGACTCGCAATATAATGTCGCAATGGTTTATGACTCATTCAGTTAGGTCGTAACTATTCATCTAGCAATACTTAATCTAATAATTTCATCGAGATACCTACTGGGAAGAATCTTCGAAAAGCAGAAGATAATAATCCTAATAAACACGACGTCCTCAATCACAAATGCCAAGTGAGAACTCAGCGCGTCCACTGGGATTCCCAGTCGCAGACCCATCAGCTGCACCTCGTCCAGGCCGGGTCATTCTCAAAGGTCGAACAGTGACTTTGGAACCACTCCAGGCCTCGCATGCAGAGGAACTATTTCCACTCATCGGCGGCGAGGAGCATCACTGGCTCTGGGATTACATGACCACCGGACCCCCAGCAGACATTAAACAACTGCGGTGTTTATTAGCCGGATACGAGAAATCAGAAGACCCCTTCTTTTGGACCATCAAAGTTAAAGCGGCAAAAGACGATGACTATACACCGGTGGGATACATAAGTTTCTTAAACATCGTTCCTGCGAACCGCTCCATCGAAGTAGGCCATGTCATGTACTCCTCCGCCCTGCAGCGGACCACGCCTGCCACAGAAGTCTTCTACCTTTTGGCCCGCTATGCGTTTCGTGACCTTGGCTATCGGCGGCTGGAGTGGAAATGTAACAACCTGAATGAGCCATCGAAAAAAGCTGCTCTTCGATATGGGTTTTCTTTTGAGGGTCTGTTCCGGCATCATCAGATCGTCAGGGGCCGGAATAGAGACACAGCGTGGTTTTCCACACTGCATTGTGAGTGGGTTGGAGGGGAAGGGAAGAGAGGGTATGAGGCAGCTTTTGAGCAATGGTTAGACGCTGGTAACTTTGATGAGCACGGGAAGCAGACGGCGAAGCTTGAGGAATTTATCAAAAATGCGAAGTAGCGCTGTATCTGTTTGTTTGCAAGTTTCCAGAGACATGTATAATAACCAACCACTAGAATAAAGAAACAGAAAACTAATACGTGGTATAGAGGGTTACCTAGGTATAAAATAAGTTCATATAGTTAGAATTAGCCATCGGTTATTTCGGCACAATAAACAGAGGATCATTACTCTTACTGTAGAATACGGCTATGCACTGCATGCAATACGGCGTCTGAAGTCTCATCCAGACATTTGTTCGGATCAAGTCTATATCCTGGGCCACAGTCTGGGTGGGCTTATGGCTGCCCCCCTTGCAGCTGTCGAGACCCCTGTAGTTGGTTGCATTTGATGCCAATCCCTAGTGAAACCATGTATCGATGTGTCATTCGCCGATTTCGGTATATAGCCTCACTTGGCTAAGACCATACCGATGAGGGATCTCGAGGACTACTTTCGGACGCGCAGGAGTTTGAAAAGCGGGCTGATATAGCAGATAGTCTGGCTTTAAGCCTTGATACACCTGTGAATCAATTGCCGCTCGGAATTGGCACTACTTACTAGCTTGGATGCCGTGCCTTGAGTCCTGTGGAGCCAAGCAAACAAATAAAGGAGTCGATGCTGATCCTTCAGGATGAAAGATTACCAAGTCACTGTGGATAACTCTAAGGACCTCTACATCAGCCTGGAAGGCAATGGAAATGCTGAGGTTTCATTTGTATGACAGTTTGAACCACTGCTTTGTGGCTGGTAGTGGTCCATCACGTCCTGCCGAGTATAATTTCCCCGGTAGATTGGAAAGTTGTGAAAAATAAAAGTGAGTGGATAGGTGAATATTTGAATGATACAGTTAAGTTGGAATAAATATCAACTTCCAGAAGCATACCACATATAGCTTGTGTTTATCAACCTCTAATGAATATCTATGTAAATGCCGAACAGTATCACTAAGTACTAGTCACGGCCTAGAACTACATCCCACCTTCTCACCTCCATTGCTTGTCTGTAAGTACTTGGATATCTCCATTTTGGCATACTCCAGAAGAAAAACGCAAACACCCAGACATAGCCAACAAACCTCCCAAACCAACTCTGCTCAACCATCCTCAGCTCCTGAGACAACCTCATATACTTCGCAAAGCACCGGATAGCAGAAAGCCACAAAACCTCTACAAAACAGCCAATAAAATTGAGAAAGAACCAGAATATATCCAGAGCCCACTCACGATGACCCAGCTGCCAGCTAACAGCCGAATGAGAAGCGCCAGAAAGCCCAAAGACCACACCAGCCACGACCGTCTTGGACACGAAAGATCCACTCTCCAATCGTAAACTGCGCGCAAGCAATTTGCCATAGTTCGTATACGGCCGGACCGCAAGTCTGTGCCAGAAACTCGACCAAAACCTACGAAGACTCGTTGCCGATGTGAGACTTCCGAACAGAGCGGGCCAGTCGCTGGGCTGATCGAGGCCAACCAGAACAAAGAAGCAGGCCAGCAGGACATTGACGCTATCTAGGAACACTATGCTTTCCCAGATCCAGATGACGGCTGTATAGCCTCGCAGCACAACTTCGCGCGCGGTGACTTCGTGGAGACGGCGGATCAGAGTTTGTTGTAGAGGGGCAACGTCTTCGGGGAAGAATCCGATTATCGTTTCTGAAACGATCAATGGTATGAGGTATGAGTGGAAGTAGTAGTATATGGGTAGTTTGACAAGACGCAGGAAGAAAAAGACTGAGTAGGGGACTTCTGAGTCCGAGTTAACTGAAGCTGTAGGAAGGAGCTGTGGATTTCCCCAGAGCTTATAGGTGACTCGAAGATTTAAGTGCTGCCATGGTAGTGAATTCGAGTTTGCAGTCTGATGTTGAGCAGGGGAGGGACGCGGGGTTGGCCATTTCTCTATATATAGTAGAGAAATAATGTGGAGGATATAGAGCGATACGCCCAGACTCCAGAGACTGACGAGGCAGGAAAGAAGACATCCAAGGTACGTAGAGGTGGTGAAATACAAGACTGAAAAGATGACGAAGAATGGAAGAAAGTATACTCGATGCCTTTGGTTTGAGCAATGCAACGCGGCTGTGAAGACTGCGCCCGAAAGAGCGAGAAACAAAACTGGAACACAACATAGCAAAATATGCATGGTGAGTTTCATGTTATATGGAATCTTGAAGGTAGTTCCTAGTATTGTGCTAATAATGGCTGGCATTAATGACAAGGAGACAGGCGAACAAGTAGGAATGTTAAGAAGTCACTCAGTCAGTAAAACATAGAAGAAGATAGGAAGCAGGATAGGGAGACCAATTTGAAGGAACTAAATACGTTTGTAGTGAATAATCGCCGACGATTGATGACAGCCCTAACTTATGCATGAGATAAAGAGTGTATGGGGGCGGAGAAACGTGCACAGTCAGCTAGACGTTGCTAGCCCAGCTACAAAGATACTTTACTGGATGATTGTTTAATTTCATTTTATAATTGAGTAATTCATGTATCTTGTATGAATCAACTTGATCCACATGATGTTGATTATCAAACCAATTATCCAAGGTCACGAAGCGGATATTAAAGTATCAGGAACAATTTCATACTGTAGTACGGCATGAACTGAAATTACATTCCAAGGAAGCGCCATAGTATCATATATAAATACAATCGATGTAGACAAACCATATCACAAGGTAGAAATAAGAAAAGAAAAAAAAAAGACCGATCCTAGAACTCAATCCTAGCACTTCTCAACTGCCTATTCGGCTCGCTCCAATGCCGATCCCTCAAGGGTTGTAATTGGGGTGAACGTCGAGAGCATTCTGGATCTGCTGAATATCCTCAGAGGAGAGGTTGGTGAAGCTGACGGAGGAGCTGCTCTCGGGCACTGGGTTTCCCTCATTATAAATGCCGGTGAGAACACCGCACAAGGCCATGCATGCTATATCATTTATCAGCGTGTCTTCTTTTCTCGAGCAGAAGAATGAAGTAGATCTTACCAGGAGGCATGCCCGAGACAAGCACGGCTATTGAAGGATCTTTGTTAACAAGTTGCCATCTTCAAAGCTACCAATATTACTTACTATTGTCAGAGGGACGAGAGAAGGTGAGCGTGGTGCCCTTCAGCTCATCGAGACAGTCAGGATAGGCAGTGCCCAAGCCCAAGTTTGACAAATCCTGGCGCTTCTTGATGCGGCTGTTGAAAGGGCGAGGTATGTCCCTCTTCTTGTGACTGGCGGAAATGCCGCCCTCAACGGCACCAGCTACTCCTGCAGCTGCACCAACAACAGCAGCTGTGTCAGAAGCTGTGACTCCAGCAACCACACCTGCTATGGCGGAAATGAAGGGAGCAGGACAGTACTGAACCATTGTGAGAAGGGCAACGGTAGGAGCGAGGACTTTGCTGATTGCGTGCATCTTGAATTGGTAATAGGAAGGGAGAATAGTATTTAGAATGAAATTTTGATTGTTTTTTCAGAGGAGAGTTGATTCGAAAAAAAAACTGGAAGACTGTTGTTTTTTGAGTTGTTGACGATAGTCCGGAGAGGCGAGATGGGCGCTTATATACCTCAGAATCGCCATCATACCTGACTGTCGCCATGTTGGCCAAATTCAAGATACTCCTGCTTGCTGACCGTTGTGACCCAATAGATTGAACCTATGTTGACATTTCCCCCTTCTATTGAGGTGCTGAAAAATGTTCAGCTGGCCGCATTGGCCTCGAGATGTCAGACTCTTGAGATCCTATGCCAGATTTCGATGAGATACCAAACAGCCAAGCCCCCTGAGAATAAGGCATTTATCTCAAAATTATATAGATGTACATCTTGGCGGAGGAGCTGGGGTGTTGAGCTGAACTCATGATGACCACGGTGGAGAGGAGAGGTACTTTAGTATGACCATCCTCCTGAAATAATGACCTCAGTCAATATAGCCTAGAGATAAGTTATAAAAAATAGGGTTCCCGTTGATACATATCCCTTACATTGTTGGTCATCATCTGGAGTAAATTAGCCTCTTGATATCTGCATGCGGTCAGGTAGCGGACAAGTACTAACTATTGGGAAGTATTTTGTCATGGATCCAAATGGCCCCAATGGTCCCTTCATACAACAGTGTGGAGCGATATCAGTGGGAATCTATTGGTGAGCATCATGTACATTGTAGTGCAGTTACGTGCTTCATAATTATTATCATTGTTTACGAATATAAACTTAATCACCCAAACAGACTATAGCAGAATACCAATAAGAAGATGAAATATTTGCCCCAAACCACCTCATGCAAGCAAATAACCAGCCAGCCAACCAAAGGCACATAGCCCCTTACGAGCCCTACGACCTCATCCCTTGAGACAAACTCTCGCCCTGGAGGATACAGCGGGACATCCATGAATTGATTGTTGTCGCCTTTTGTTAGAATAAACTGTCTGCACTATGGTCAGTGCATAGGTCCCAATAGGGGCAATGTGTAACGACGATTGATTACCTCGACGTCGCACCGTGGTCTTGCTCCGCATCAGTAGTGAGGTGGTAGACTTGGATAGCGCGATGGACCATTGGGTATGGATTTCCTGCGAACCATACAACGGGGATGTCGCCGACATTGATATAGGATGATCTGTTCCAGAGGATGAGGAGATCACCCCGGTGGAAAGCTGGAGCCATGGACTCGGAGATCACACACATGATCGGATAGGGCGATGCGGTCAGGATGGAGAGAGCTTTCCATGCCATTAATGGAAAACTGAGGCCGAGCAGAAAAGAGAGGGCAGAAGTGAGGAGGACTCGTATTTTGCCATGCATCGTGTCAAAGCGTGATGAAAATAATATTGACTATCATATTGGTATGGCCACGGTGCTATATATGTGACAAGAGGTAATATGATCTCGGTTATTAGTCAATGTCAGCATATCTTGGCCTCCTATAGTTTGATGTAAGTATAGGTCATCACTGTAACAATATTCTTGGATTGGAGAATTTCTGGCCAATAGATCGTTTGGGCCCCAAGTTGAATAAGGGGTGTAGGCTATATACATAATTTTATAGTTTTGGAACAATATAGAATGACTATGTACCCCGTATGAAACTGTGAACTAATTATCCCTGCAAACAAAGACTGCATGTGGCACTGCTCGGGCTCAGCCCTCAGCCCCAATCGGCCTTGATGACCACTAACTTAGGGCTAACTTATAAGTTTCATCCTTTGTTTATTTATTGGCGGCCCTCCTGGCATTTTCTTTCTATCTAGATGCCCAGAATCCATCCTCGTCCATCTCAACAACACAAACTACAAATATGGAAACTCTCCTAGAGTTCCAAGCGTCCCCTGTCGCCATAGTGGACGGCTTCATTCAAGCTGGGGAGACCACTATCACCATGCGCTGCCACGACCGCGTATTCAACGATGTCGAAGTACGCGACGAATCCGACGAGCTGCTATTCACCGTAGAGAGCAAAGGCGTCGCGTCAATGAGCTGGCGCCGCATTGTCAAGGACGCAACTGGCACCCCGCTGTTCCATTTCCGCAAGTTCTTCAACTACGGTGTGAATCGCAACTGGACTGTCGAGAATTCGAGTGGGGGCGAGCTCTGTACGCTAGAGCACGTCACTAAATTTCTGAGGAAACAGCATGCTGTCAATTTGCTTATTCACCATAATCAGGCTGACGATGGCAAAGAAGCTACGGTCGAGATTCGTCCGAAAGATCAGGCTGGTCTTACGATTCTGGTTAACATTCGAGGCGCGAATGTGGCTGAGATACAGATGACTGAAGTTAATATTCGTCGCAAGTGTGATAGAAGCGTTTGGAAGGCTCGGATTGCGGGCGGAGTAGACCTGACCCTGGTAAGTGTGTTTCTTCTAATTATATGGGATGGGTGCTGATTCGGTTTAGATTGTGGCTATTATGCTCTGTCGAGCTGAGATGCAGCATGCCTGGAAGGAATAACTTTTTAGGGGTTGACGAATTTTTAGTCGCTGTTGGTACGATATACTACGCTCTTCATGCCCAGATCAACTTGATTTTTCCGATTTGCTTAGTTGCATTTCGATGTATCTGTTAGGGCAAGGACTCGGTATTTGTTTTAAGTATAAGTAACCTCACTTTTACATTATATTGTCACGTTATATCCTTCGGAACCCGTTAGTTATATCACAAGTTGCTGTCTCTATTTTTAGTGGAGTAGGACGACTGAAATAGTACCTACTCTTACTTATCTGTTATAGACTATTGAGGTCAATGTCTGTGACTCTACCGAGACTTAAAGGGGTACCATAACCGTGCACATTGAAGTCTAAGACTGACTGGAATTATCCCAGGGGAAATATTGGCTGAGCTGGACTTTGCTAGTATTCCAAATTCTCTATCTGATACAAAATAGCCTTTTTAGAAGAGAAGTTTTTATAGTTTGTAAGTGTACTATTGTTGCAAATAAAACATGACGTGAATATCGGCCTAAAGTCTAGAACAAGTAAAAATTCCAATGGGGCCCAGATTAGCGATGACAAATGTCTTGGAGTGTTACTAACCAGCGTACAATCAAGCCGTTCGATCCCATGTACGAATCTTTGGCCAGTTTTTGACCATAGTACACTTATTGACGATGCTCTGACTTCTGGACAGCAAGTAAGAGCGACTACCTGATGAGTCCATTCTTGTTGGAATGGTGCTTGGCCTCTTCCTTCACGGTATTGGCAATTCGAAGTTCGGCTACTATGCCCCCTTCATGATCGTCGCTCCCGTATGCATACCATTTGCTGCGGGTTTGATGACAACATACGATCTACACTCGTCCCTAGCATTTGTAGAGTTCAGTAAAGGCATCGGCTTCCAAGGCCCCAAGGCCGCCATGCAGACAACGTTAAGTAGGGCAGATGTAAATCTTGGGTTCAGGTCATCTTGTTCAGCCAGAGCATGGGTCCGGCTATGTGTATCACGATTGCACAGATGATATTCACGTATGAAATGTCGTCAAGTTTGAGCAATGTTATACATGGCTTGTCGCCTGCTTATATTAAACAACACGGAACTTGGCGATTAAGAACAGAGGTTCGGCGAATCGGTCGGGGAAGCTTTGAGGAGTATCTATCGGAGCTTGACGCATACTTGGTACATCCCTATCGCTTTGGCTTGCGCGACAGTGGGGAGTATTTTGATCCAGTGGCGCTCGGTCAAACGGAAGCAGCCGTAAAGGAAAAGCGAGAAAGACAAGTTCGAACATCAAATTGTGCAGACAAGCCTATCTTTCGCAGTGACTACGGTGCTCACTTAAAATATATTAGTCCTCGGACCCTCATTATACCCCTACGAGATACATGTTTATTACTGCATATCACGGAACATGACCCCGATTATATTTATGCTTTAAAAAAAGTCTGCCAATTAAGAGAGCCCTCAAAATAGTGTGGCTTAAACTAGAGGTTGGATTTGCGCCAGGGGGAACTAATCATGATCCCTAGAGTACTGTCAATCCCAATATACGTACACTCCTATATTTGCACCACACTCTTAGGATAAGTGTGATTGACCCGATCTCCCACGCCTGCCACTTTTGGTCTAGCTCCAGAGCTTATCGCGTTTAAACAACGGACTAGTACATTTTGAGCATGGCGCGCCCCGCTGCCTTCCATTTGAAGATTCCCAATGAGGAACGCTGAACTTCAACTTCATCTTGTAATGTTTGATAATTTCGTGCTCATTGCTGTGCAGGACAAAAAGTAGAGAGGGGAGCCTTCAATTCTAGTCAATTCTCACGGCTAAGTACATAAATAGCCTGGCACTGCTGTCCTTGGCCTGGGTAAGTCTAAGCGGAGAAGCAATGATCAATACGTTCGAACTCCCTACACAATCAGTTGCCTTTTACTTACCCTTTATAAATCATTATCTTCAGCTTTCTAGTACATACGACCATAGGGTGTGGAAAACAGGGCTTCCCGTCCGCTCAGCCGTACTTAAGCCACACGCCGGCCAGTTAGTAGTTGGGTGGGTGACCACCAGCGAATCCTGTCTGTTGTATGTTTTTTTGCTGCTATTTCAGGCTCTTTTATTTATTCAATCATTTCGTAATTTCCAAATTGAGAAAGGAGAAGAAGAAAAAACAAACATTTCATGTTAATCAGATGTCGAGCTGTTCAGTGGTTTCAGACTTTCGGTTTGTTAAATTGTGTAGGCTTTCTCATTAAGGACCGACCTGATTTCTGGACGATTGCGCATCTGTATTCCTCCTTGCAAACGGCCCATCGCGTGCTGAAGGAAGACGCTCAAATGAGCATCCTTTGTTGCATTGAGGTCATAAAACTTGCTCCGCCGGACAACAAGGGATTCTATCACTCAAATGAGCTTGTACGATCCTGCCGTACTTATCGGCTGTAAATGTGAACAACATTACAGGCACGATAGTTTGGCCTTTGGGATGTTTGGCAAGTCGACCAACCATAAGTGCTACGATAAATTCAATCTCGGCGACGAAAAGAATATCGTCGTCATGTTCGTAAGCAAGTGCCATAGTAGCCATCATGTGGGTCGTGTCTTTTGCGGTCCAAATATTTTCAGATTGCGTTCGGTAATCGCCAGACCAATTTTGAGGAATGTGGAAGCCGCGGGAGTCTGTAAATACTTCCTTCTGATTACCTCTGCAATAGAGTTAATGTTGGTTTATCGGAGCCCCCTGATCGTTGACATACATTTCTTTCCAAGTGGTCAATTCATAAAGCAAAATCGGTGTCTTGCCTTCCTGATTTCCCCCCATTCTATTGTATGGCATGCCGGAGAAGGCGACGGCAAATGCTGTGCATAACGTTCCAGCGTTGTGATAATTGACCCTGGGGTGCGTTTACTTTCCCCCGCCTTTTAGAATATGCAATTCGCCTATTCGGGCATGATATTCCTTTGCAAAGTCTGTGTTCAAATCAGGTGTAAAGATTTCGTGCGTCTCCCGATTCATTGGCACAAAGAAACGATTGGGATGCGGATCCTCATCCTCGCAGGAGCTCTTGTCATCTGGATTGAAGGCCTCAGGCGTGATACCATACTCTCCAAAGAGTTTTGGGTCGAAGATGTGGGATTTTTTTCTCTGGCTCTCGAGGTCGGTCAAGACGTCCAAGAGGAAGATGGAAAATGTGTCTCTGATTTGGCTTGCCGGGTCAACTTGTCGGTCGTTCTGGTCTTCGTGTTTTCTTGAACGGAGCAGCTTTGAAGTTACTCTGCTGAGGGTCGACATTGAGAAGTGCAGGCAATCCTGGAAGTTGGGAGGTGAGCGAAAAGAATAAAAAAGATCAGGAGAAGCAACAAAGAAGTCAAGTAGGGTTGGCGCGGAGAGCATTTCCGGCGCACTAAGCTACTTTTGGTTTGGGGGACGGCACGCTTATGATCTACAAAGAACGCCAATCAGGACGCAGTTTTGCAGCGTCAACTACTACAAGATGTCTGACTGACTGGCAAAAAGAAGAATTAAGTATCAAAAAATGGTGAAAAAACATACAACAGACAGGATTCGCTGGTGGTCACCCACCCAACTACTAACTGGCCGGCGTGTGGCTTAAGTACGGCTGAGCGGACGGGAAGCCCTGTTTTCCACACCCTATGGTCGTATGTGCTGGGCTCTCCCAGGAAGTGACTTATATGAACTGTTACAGTTATTAAAGGTCTCTAGTGGCGAAGAAAATCTTGTCTAAGCCAATGTTCGAGGACTAAACTGTGTCATTATGGCAGTGTTTCTGCTTTAAGATCGTACCTAGACATGGTGCAATCCGGCATCAGCCGCTGGAACTATACATACATTCCTATCCCTGGACTATATGGCCAGTCTGTGCACTTGATAAGTCTAATTACAGCTCCTCAAACCTCCTCAGGTCCATTTCCTTTTCCAAGAGGGGTATGACATAGGGATCAAAGGTTTTCCAGTACGGATTCTCCAGGTGATATTTCTGCGAACCCTCATTCAGGTAGCGTTCGACGATGGTAAAATCTTGCTTGTCATGGACTGACTGCATGACAAACCACGAGAGGGTCTCGTGATCTTTCGAGTACACAGCCGAGGCTTCGAGGAGCTTCGCGTGCAGCTTGGAAATGGATTCCTCGTCGGGCTTGGCCCGTAGGTCTGGAGGACGTTAGTACGATGTATTGTTGTTGTAGTGGATGTGTTAACACTTACGGACGACAATCGTATAAACCATGATTATGTTTGTAGGGGCAGTAGTTTTTTGAGTTAAGTGTAAGAGGATGAGAGCTCTGGATGAGGGACAACGTTTCCAGTGGGCTCCACTTTTAGATGATGTTGCAGATCTTCGGTGAGAGCAATCAGTAACAGGCCAGTCAAAACGCGACAATTTTTACATTTCGTATTTAAATTAAAACGATCCAGAAATATGCAAATTAAGCCCAGAGACTTATTTGAATTTTGAATAAAATTGAATTAAGAATTGGTTCTTCCCATGATCTGACTGACTGGCCTTGATAATTACCTAGGTAATATTTGTGTTACGAAATACGGTAAGTGGTAATGCCTAGTAATTTGTACATGATTAGCAATCGTGGGCCAAATCCGGATGGCGGATTTGATGACGCGCAGATTCAACACCATAAGCCTCAATTTTTCAGAAGGAAGAAAGCATGCTAAGTTAAGGGCCCATCAGTTTCTCAATCATGATACAAATGTTAGGGGGCCAAGTATATAAACAATATGGGCCAATCAATACTCAATAGACACTGTCAATATCATTGTGCGGTATCTAGTTAAAAATGTAGTCTATGTAGACGTTATTGTAGTTTCAGTACCAAGTTTTGTCTTTCGTCTAGGATACATAGCTGCTATTAGCAGCCCATTACATTTCAAACCCATTCGCTACAAAATTCAGACACGTATTCTGCACATTGATAATTTCTGCAGCTCTTTTACAGGAGCCCCAAATCCCCAATCTGACCGCCGAGCAACCACCAGCAGTGCCGGTTAAGATATACCTAGACTCACGAGCTAAGACTAATTGGGAATGTCATCATAGTCCATCATAGTATGACTATGATTGATATGATGCAGATAACATAGACATCAGAGTATGTCCATGAAGGCTATGACGGAGGATAACTTATAAGGTTGCTCCTTTACCATGTATTTAGTTTTCTTCTATCGTCTTGAATTAACCGTGTTAAGTAATCCTTGACTGAGATAACTTGAGTATACGATCTTCTATTGATTAGGATATTTTATCTTGTTTTCATTAAGACCTTTGTGTTTTATACACCTTTCGTACTCCAGAAGCCTATTAACTTCGCCCGTTAATAGCTATCCTAGCTATACTCGACGGTGGTTCGGCGAAGTTTCCGACACCTTCACGGTTCTGGCTAGTGCATTCGGCCATCAGGTGCAGGAGGGGTAGGCGCCTGAGTAACAATCAGCCTTGGTATGAGTACTTAAGTAGATCATCATCTACTCCACATAACTTAATCACTCGTCTTGGATGAATATGAATACAAACTAATGAGTTACTATCAGAAGACATCGGCTAAATGGCACAGAGCACCACCTCCCGGCCGCTGCGTCGTGATGGGTTTGAAATCGCAATCTTTTGCGCTCTGCAATTTGAATTCGACGCCGTCGCAAGCCTTTTCGACGAAAAATACTATGGTGAAGACTATGGCCGAGCGTTGGGGACCAGAACCATTATACACACGGACTACTTGGACAATTCAATGCCGTACTTGTACTGTTGCCGGCTGTGGGCAAATTGGCCGCTGCCAGTGCAGCAGCCGGTTTTCGGTCGAGTTACCGTGGGATCAAGCTTGCTTTGATCGTGGGTGTTTGTGGAGGCGTGCCTTACGCGTGTAGTGATAGAGAAATCCTATTAGGCGACGTCGTCATCAGTGAACAGGTCATCCAGTACGATTACGGTCGACGTTTTCCCGATGGCTTCGCGAGAAAGAACAATTTTTTAGACAGCCTATCTCGACCGAATCAGGATATTCGAGGGTTTGTCAGTAGCCTACAAACCCGCATCCGTCACCAGCGTCTGCACGACCAATCTACGAGATATTTGACTTCACTTGTGACCGAAGTAAATCCGGATGAATATGCATATCCCGGCATTCTTGAGGACAGGTTGTACCAGTCAACATATCGCCACAAGCACCAGGGCCCTGATACATGCGAAATTTGCAATCGATGTAGCCATGGGCTGGATCCTGTTTGCGATCAAGCGCTCGTCTCTTCCTGTTCAGAACTCCATTGCGATAAAGTCTACCTGATTCCTCGAAAGAGGATCCTCAAGAATCAAACCTTGGTTGAAAGCCATCAACAAGCCGAAGGTGCCTCTTCACTACCATCGGATAATAAGTTTTCTCGCGAAGAAAATAGATTCGTTTCCTTCAAAGAAACACAAGTTGTAGTGCCTCCTCCCCCTCCCCCAGAGATTCACTTTGGTACAATTGGATCTGGAGACACGGTAATGAAGGCTGCTGAGCTACGTGATAATATTTCTCGCCAGGACAATATCATTGCGTTTGAGATGGAAGGAGCTGGGGTATGGGAGGTTTTCCCAAGCATTGTAATCAAAGGTGTTTGTGACTATGCAGATAGTCATAAAAATAAAGACTGGCAGGGCTTCGCTGCTGCAACTGCTGCATCGACGGCAAAAGCACTAATTGAGCTCTATCCTAAAACAGACAAAGGTATGTTCCTCGCACCGAAATGTCTTCTCGTGATCCCAATCTAATGCGTTGTAAATATTTCCTAGCATATTCTGCTTCCACCGAGACCAGGGGTCATGTCGTACCTACTCCCATTCCATTAGCACCCAAAGGTAACTATTCGCTTCACACAACACATGTTTGATAGTTTTCTGAGTTATTGCTAGTTAATATGAAGCCGTTCGATCCGCTACGTGACTTGGAAGAGTCTTGCTTTCGCAAATCCCGCAATCCAAAGTTTACAGGAAGGAAGGAGGAATTATCTTTAATCAGAGAATATTTCGCTTCCAATACTCATCCCAACCAGCAGCTACCGCTTCGTTTAGCAATCCATGGACTAGGTGGGGTTGGGTAAGCCTTTAAGTTCTTTCGTCAGTATTTCTTATAAAAAACTAACTATAATTACTTTAACTCCACAGGAAGACGCAACTTGTGGCGGAGTATTGCCACCTCTTACGTGAAGAACAGAAAGAAAGACCTATCTTTTGGTTCACAGCCAGCAGTTTGAATAAGCTTGAGTCACAGTACAAAATGCTTGGTCAACAATTAGACGCTTACTCGCGGTTACCCTCCGCCATTGCAACCATCCAAGATATTGTTCGCATGCACAGTCAACCCGGAAATGAGGTTGGTTTGATCAAAGCATGGATTGAAAGTTATGTCTCATGGGTAGTCGTAATGGACAATTTTGATGATATATCCTTTGACGTGAACCACTTTATTCCTTCTTCTGGGCCTGGTCAAGTCATGTTTACTTCAAGGAACAAAAGATTAATATTGGGATCGGGGACACCATATCCATTCAAGCTAGACGAACCAGACTTTTTGGAAGGAGAGTTTCTTTTCCTTCGGCTACGAAACAAGACGGAAATAAGTTTCTCAGACGTTAAACAGCATAACGAATATCCACAGATCCGAGAGATCGTAAAAAATCTACATGGATTTCCTCTAGCTTTGAGTCAGGCAGCAGCCTACATTCGAGCGAACGATCCATTTAGCTGCGCCGAATACCTTGAGCTTCTGACTGCTCGAGAAGACGAGGACCGCGAGTTTCTTCTGAAGTATATGCCAGAAAATGCTGAATATCCCTGGTCAGTCATGTCAACTTGGGAACTTTCTTTTGATTACCTACAAAAAAAGGACCCCGACTCTGTCAAGCTTCTACAACTGCTGGGTTTTTTTGCGCCATCTGAAATCCCAATATACACCTTCCGGAAAGCCACACAGAAGGCTAAGTGGTATCTTGGAACCTACGCAGTCCATCGGAGTTTGGGTCTCCAGCAATGCCACGAATTGAAATTTCTTGCCCACCAAGCACGGTTAGGTGATCGATTAGGCCTTCTTATTTCCTTATCTTTGATCTCGAAAGACTCCAGTCAAATTACGCCCCCAGGTTCAAGCCTTCCCAGGTTTCAAGATACAATTTCGATGCATCCTCTTGTGCATGAATGGGTTCAACTCCGATTGAAGCCTCAACCGGAACAAGTAGCCAAATTTGCCCACTTGTGTGCTTTGATACTATATCAATCATACTCAATCGATCGCTATGTTGGTTTCGTCGAATCATCCCCTCACGTCCGAAGGGAACTAGAAACTGAGCCTTACAGGCTACAGTCACATCTTCTTGAAGTTGCAGGAAATGTGAGCAAGTACGAATATTGTGCTGGGCCATCCCCCTTAGAGCTCAGAACTCTTCTGCTAGTAATGCTACTAGAAAATCTATGTGAACCTGGTTTGGCTATAGCGGACAAAGTGAACTGATCTCTCGATTGAACGGATCCAAACGCATCTGTTCATCTTGTTTAGCAGCAGAAGAGATTGATGATTTGGCTTCATTTCAAGCGACTCTCTTCAGGGCCATAAACAAGCTTCAGGCCAAATGTGACTTACAAGCCTGGTACAAGCTTACAAAGGAGCTTCAGTCATGGCTGACTCATCCAAAGAAAAATATTCTCTGGACGTCAGCAATGACAATACATTTAACAACAATCATTTCACTAATTGTGGCCATCTTGGATTGGGGTCCAGACAGAATTACAGGACTGGATAGAACTAAACCTTTCAGTCTTACGACTGAGAATAAGTTTTCTGAATCCTTTATAAGAGAGGACAATACAATTCTACCGGATGAGATCGCTGTTCAAGTCCAAAATCAATATTTTGAGGTTCTTTCAAACGTCTTGTCATTTTTAAGGCAGCTCAGCCCCAAGATGAGACAGCTCCAGAAGAGATTTATTTTCTCATTGGTATCGTCAAATGTCGACTAGGGGACGTGGTTTCCAAGGAACGATACTCGAATCTGCCGCAACAATTCTTCACCCAAGAACTCAATTCGAATGTTTTCAAACATAATGGGAACACACCTATCAGCAGCTTACTTCCTTCATCTCTTCCGGTTACATGTGGAGGACCAATTTGAGATGGGTATACTGAGCCTGATCGTGTCTCGATATACAGAGGTGGTCAGCGAGTGGATTGAAATGAAAGAGTCGCCGCCGATTCATGGACATAAATATATTTCGAGCAGTGACGGTCGATACGGAAGCATGTCAAACTATGGCGTGAGTGATCCCGTGAGATCTAAGCTGCAAGGAATCTGGTACGCCATCGTCGGGGCCGTTATGACATTTGTCGAAAAGCTGAATGAGACAGCTTACCACCAAGCTCCAGAACAAAATGTCTCGAGAAACCAGCAGAATCGAACTAGCTTGCATGAGCACGTTGGAAATATTACGGAGTTATCCAAAATTGCCTCTACCCTCGTATCAAGAGTGAAGAATAGTTCTTTACTGTGGGATACTTCACATCTTGAAAAGAAAGTTCTTGGAACAGGACTATACCGTAAGTTGACATCGCATGTTGAGGCGGAGGATGGCGACGGAGGATTTTTCAATATAACCATAGATTAACACAGACCGACTACTTGAATAACCATGTATTACACAGGTACTCTCTTGTGAGTGTAGGGGACCCTTTAAGGGCACCAGGCTCTATTAGTCGTAAGCATTAATGTAACTATACCTTTAATATATTGGTAAATCCGACCAAATACGAGACCAGATTTCCAGTTATAACCGTAAAATTAACAGTAAGCCGTAGATCACAAGTGAGTATACTATGCCTCACTAATAGCACTGACAGATCTCTTTATAATAATGCCTGCATAAATTAAAATTGAATTTCATCCACCTTCTTTGTGTCCTCCTGAATCTCCCGAATTATAGCTTAACTTGCTCAAGGTCACGATAGTGGGCACGTGCCAGCGGTATGAAGGTATACATTCTGCCCAGTGAGCAAATCAGTGCGCTCAGCTGCGGATCACTGAGCTATGTCCATGGGGGGGTGACAGCGGATTATGACCGCTATTCCGAATACAGCATGTAATCCACAACCAACACCGTATTTCACAGAGGTGCACCTAATTGGCCAGAATAGGCATCAGATACGTGTCTTAGTTGACCTCTATTCTGATCATAAATATGGCCTTAAATAACCCCTGAATATTCTCTTTAGTTAGATATATAGATTATATAGTATTTTTAATACTAGCTAATACAGTGTTCTGAATCTATTATTATAATAATATGTCTTGATGGCATTAGATTTTACTAATTTAGAAAAGAAACTGGTTAATAGGATATAAGAGCTTATAAATAGCTAAATCCTAATTATTAAAGTTATTCTTAATCTACATATCTAAGAATTATACCTCTACTAATTTATAATTCTTATTAGAAATAGATGCTGGTAATCTTATTAAAATATTATAAATTTAGTATTGAAATAATGGCAATAATTTAAAAGAAGGTTAACTTAACTAAATAATTATATTAGTATAATTGGTTTAAATTAATTTAAATTAGAGTAAGATAAGGAAAAATTTAGGAATATATTAATCTTAATCTTAAAAATTCTAAATTAAATAAATATTCTTTTATTTCTGATAATTTTAAAAATAAGATTAATAAAGTTAATTATAAGTGGAAAATAGAAGAGTATAAGAAGAAAAAATAGATTTTTAAAGCTATTCTTTCTTATATAAATAAGTTAGTTAGTATAATGGCTTAATCCTTAATTTTTAATAAGAAGAAGATTTATAATATATTAAAAATGTTGTTAATTTATTTTAAATTATTAAATTAAGAGATATAGTGTAGGATTATTAGTAAGTAAATTAAATTAAGATTAGGATTATTAAAAAGTAAAGATCTTACTATTTGGATATTAAATTAAATAAAAATATATAATAAAATAAGAAAATTTAATATTAATAGTTTCTTAGATTAAATAAAATAATCTTTATATAATTTTTTTAACTTTATTAAATTTAATTTTAATAGCTTTTACTAAGTCTATTTAGTGCAAGTTAAGATTATTAAAAATATTATTTTTGAGATATTAATCTCTTAATTTAATAAGAAGATTATTAATTAGATTAAAAAAAACTTAAATTTAAAGATATATATAACCTAAAGAAGTAAGAAATCTTTTAGTAAAAAAGATTTAAAAATTTTTATATCTACTAGTTAGAATTAATTAAAAAGAAATAAAAGTAATAGAAAAAGTAATTAGAAAGATAACTAATCTTATTTATATATTCTTTCTAGAAATCTTTATCTTAGATAGAAAGATTATTTATACTATAATAAATAGATTTAAGAAAAAAGCTAGATTTTTAATCTAGAGAAGATTAGAGTAATAATTAAAAATATTATTAGATATTTTCTTCTAATTAAGTTTATTAAAGAGTATAAAATACAATCTTTAATAAAGTTAAAAACATATAAATTAATATATTTCTAATTAGACTAGTTACTTACTCTAGAAGAAAGCTCCTCTTATTAGATTAATAAGGATATACTTATAGAAAGCTTTATTTATAATAATAGCTTAGAGGATTATATTTATAATACTAAAAGTTAATTTATTATCTTTAAAAATCTTAACTTAATTATTAACTTTATCAGTATATTAAAAGGCTAAATATTAATATATAATATTAATATAATTAAGGTTCTTTTTACTATATCAGATAGAATAGAATTTAGATAGCTAATAATTTTTTATAATATATTATATTATCTAAAGATGTTAATTAGTCTTATTTCTACTAATAAATATAAGGAAAAGGATTTTTACTAGGATAATTATAATAATATTCTATATCTTCTAAAGAAAGATTTAGAAAGGATATAAATTATAAAAATCTCTAAGTATTATAATTAAATTGTTATTAAATATAATAAATTATTAATAAGTATAGTATATATAGCTAAGAGGCTAATTTTATACTTAAAATAGATTACTAAATTAACTGCTTTCTGTTAATATTAGTATAATTATCTAGAGTATCTTAATAGAGAGATTTTTATTTATTTTAAAAAGAATATGCAAGGAGTATATATTTCTAATAATTTTAATATATTTTTTTATAAATATTATAAGTTAGTAAAAATATTAGCTTAAATCTTATAATAATCTTAAAGGACTAAAAGCTTATCTTAAAAGATTATTTATTTTAATCTTATTCTTATTAAAAGATTATATAATAGTATAAAGTATATAATTTATTTCTATTGCCTTTATTTATAATATTATAAAATTATTTTTATGTAAGATAAAAAGATCTAAGAACTAATTTATAATTTTCTAGAAAATCTTATAAGGAGAGGCTTTAATATTAAATTTACTTATATTAATAATAAGCAAGCATTAGAAAATAAATATATCTTATTCTATAGAAAAATAAATATTAAATAAGAATATGCTGCAGGTTATATATATAAGTAAAATAATCTAATAAAAAGATTTGAAGTATTTTTAATTACTTTTATAAAAGTCTTTATATATAGAGTAAATCTTTTATATTTATTTTAGCTAGAAAAACTATAATATATAGTTTAGTTAGCAAATTAATAGTTAAACTAATAATTTAATTAAAAAATATTTTATAAGATTATTTAGAATTCTTATAATTAGAATAATATTTTATATTTAGGAATACTAAAAACCTTTAATTATAAAATATATTAAAAGATTCCTAATATTCTATATCTCTAAAAGATAGTGGAACATATAAAGATAAAATATCTTATAAAAATTAAATCTTCTAATATTTTTTAGATTTAGATTCTAGGCTAATGGGCTATTATTAGAACTTGTAATATTATATTTAATAAAGATATATTTTTTAATCTATTTTAGCTGATTTAATAATATAATTTATAGGAACCTATTAAGTTTAAAGAAATATTTAATGTTATTTTAAACTTAAAAAATAATCTAGTAGAAAAATCAGAATTAGATGAGAAGATTATTAAAAAATTAGAAAATATATAAAAATCTATTAAATAAGCTGCTCTAAAAGTATAAAAAGAGGCCTTTAAGAAATTATATTTAATATATCTCTTAATACTATCAATAATTGATTCTAGATATAAATAATTCTTAAATTTATTACTAAATTAATTTATTTAAAATAAGGAATCTTAAATATCTATATATAATTAAGAGAATACTTACTTATTTACTCTAGAATCTCTATCTTCTATAGAAAAGACTACTAATATATTATATAATTATAATATTAAGATTAATATATAACTCTAAGCTAAAGTTTAATTATATAATAATTATAAGTATATACTTAGATATAATAAGATTTCTGCTATATTTGATATTTCTAATATTATAGAAGATAAAAGAAGTTATAGATTAAAGATTAAGTTAAATATAAGATCTTATTTTACTACTTTTAGTGCTATATTAGGTATTTAAAAAAAATTAAAAAATAGTTTTTTATATTTATATTAAAATAAGCTTCCTAAAATTCTAAATTACTAGAAAAATCTCTTTAAACTGCCTTAAATTTATTATAAAGGATTTATAAAGGCTGTAAGAAAAGAATATTATATTTTATTAGAAAAAGAAATATTTAAAGAGATAAAAGAATTAGATATTAATCTAAATCTTAAATATATTAAGATTTTGCTTTTATATTAAGTATTTACTTATAAATTAGATAGTGATAGTTATTTAATATATTATAAAGCATATCTCTATATTAAAAGCAATATATAGCTTAACTAGAATAATATTTATATTATTATAATAAGTATAAGAATAATTCATTACTTATTGTGTCTTGTAACTATTTTTAAATATAGAATAGATTAGTATAATATAATTAATGCTTTTCTAAATATTTTAATTAATAAGAAATGCTTCTTTATATATTTTTCTAAAGGTATTAAGAGAAAAAATAAATATATATTAAAGTTATTAAGGGTACTTTATAGCCTTAAGTAATCTTTTTAACTATAATAAAAAAAATTAGTAAAAATATTTTAAGAATTTAGCATAAGATAATATTTAGATAAGATATATTTTTATTTAAATAAATACCTTATTATCTTCTTCTTTATTAATAATATTATAATGCTTTATAAACTAAGAAATAAATATTATTATATCTTATTTTAAGAAAAAGTTATAAGTAAATATAAAGTTAAGATATTTAGAGATATTAAATAGTTCTTAAATATAAGAATTATTTAGAATAAAGATATAAGGGCTATTTATCTATACTAGAATTCTTATATTAAGAAGATTATAAAATACTATAATCTATTTATTAATAAACTATTTATAATATTAATAACTATTATTAAATTAATATTTTATAAAGATAAAATAATGCCTTTTTAGATTATATTTTACTAAGGAAAAATAAGATCTATATTATATATAGTGATTATAATAAGATCTAATATTATCTATATAACTTTTTATTTAAGTATATTTATATAAAATCTAGCACTAACTTATATAAAGATTATTAA